GTGGGCTGGCTTGGGCGCTGCTGAATCTAGCTAAAATAGGCTAGTCTAGGTGGGAATACCGCCCGAATAGCAAAAATCTACTGCCCGAATAGCAATACTCAAAATAAAATAATAAAATAAAATAATAAGGGAAGCAAAGATCGCCCACTTTCGGCGCGAGCCCCGCTTTGGCCGGACCCCGGACCGCGGGCGCTAAGCCGCTTTGGTTCGTCAATACAGAACAACAATAGCAACGGACAATACCAAGCCAAGCGTCGACTAAGCCGCTGCACCCCTCCATACGGCTCTGCTTTCTCCATCTCTTCTTCATGGCGCACCTGTGCTATCCCGCTCCTGGCAGCATTTTTGTACATGGCAAACTTTTCTCAGCTCTAAATCACCCCATGGCCCTGCTGGCTGCCCACAAGAACGGCGTCTGTTGCGGAAAGGGGACAGCCACAATACGCAGACAATACCCGGATTGTGGCTGGTCGCGGCGAACTGCAGGGCAAGGCGGCTCTGCTGAGGTCAGTTGGCCGACACTCACCCTTCCGCTGGAGCCCGGAGGATGCTCCGTCCTCTAATCATCTGCTGCCGGCAGTGCCTCTGGTACGTGCAGTTGCCTATTGTGATTTAGCAGAAAGCCTGGGCTGCGCACACAGAATCAAATCACAGCATGTTACTTTGCAGATACGCCAGATACAGTATTCTTTGTACGCCGGACAGAACAGCCACACACACCATAACTGGCGCAACCGCTAGCTCAATGCTGGCATTCCAGCCATGGCGGCACAGCATCCGACCCCCCACAAAGATCCCAGAGGCTGAAAGTCCCTGTAGTGCTGCTGCAGGGAGTGCTTGTACATACTGTACATGCAGAGTTGTGCTTCAACTGAAACGTCGCAGCAGGATCCTGTAACTAGCCAGCACTGTTGCTACCTGAGGAGCCTGATATACGACACCCAGGCGATAATTATGGCCAACATTCTGTTCGTATGATGTTATTCTTGCTGGACTTGCGCTTGACTCGTGTCTGTGAGCTGCCAACCATCTCGGTCATTATCCGTCGACAATGCACATAACATCAACCTGACTCGTATAAGAAAGAATAAAATACCGGCAAGACTGCAGATCTGGTAGTAGATCTAGTCTCTTCGCAGGACAATCTTAACTCCGCCGCAGAAAAAAAGAGCTAGCTCAGGCAGCCCACTCAATAGGTACTGTAGTTTTGAAAGTCGTTGAAGTAAACAAAAATTGGTTATACAAAGTACGAGGTACACACGGGAGCCATGATGAGGCATCAATAGCTGCAACGTCCTCTTGTGCCTACTACAAGTTCCGCAAACCGCACCCCCTCCCGGACATGGCTTTCGGGCAAGATCAAAGGGGGGGCGTATGGCTGTCCGCGTGTCCCATGAGTCTGGGTGCGTGCGCTGTGCGGGCAGCTGCTGTTGGCTTGGAGCAGGGCGTGAGGTTAAGCATCTGCCCGTTTTGGTGATATGGACACTAAAGCCGTCGAGCCGTCGTCTCTGACGTTTTTGACAGCCCTCGTTTCTTTTTCTCTGCTCCTGTTAATTTGGCTCATGGCATGCATGAGCCGCCCATCGATCTACCAACCCGGCAGGGCCAAGAACAGCCGAGGAGGGGGGAGACTGCAGCCGTACAGTAGTGCGCCTGAAGTCGTGGTTGATCGTGGAGCCACAGGCAATCAGAAAAGAGGCAGTAGTATGTAAGTATTGTTGCTAGCCGCATGGGTGCGCTCACACAAATTGAGTAAAAGACGAGAGATGCGTGGAGACCTGAATCAAGGTGTCGCTCTATTAGATGGAGCCGCGCCATGGATCGAGGCCCAAGGGTGGGTGGTGCGTGTCTGGCTCGCACGGTACCTTCGGCCTGCGGCAGAGATCAATCAAATCAACATCCATCAGTTCAGGTGAATGCTGCTGACGGCGCTTGACTTGGCCGAAGTGGGAATACAAATCAGTTTCAACGGGAAATTCCACCCTTGGGCTTTTTTTCTGTAACATCCAGATGGAAACCAAGCGTGGGGGGGTGTGAACTAGGCAAGTGAATAAGAGAGACAGCCAGGGTTGTTTTGCAAAGGGCAAAAGGTATATATCAGTCTCGGTCCGCAGCACCAAGGGCTGCGTCCTCGCTATCATTGCCGTAATTGTCGGAGCCATCATCACTGACGACATTGTCCTGTGCGAGGGTATATCAAGCATCGAGTCTTGTGCTGGCTGTTGGCTTTATTCGCTACATCACGCCACATCCAAGTCTTCCGCATTCTAGCCGTCCAGCCATTTTGCACCCTCTCACACGGCCTCCAACGCTACCAACCGACCCTCCATCTCGGAAACATACAGCGAGACTGGAATTTCTTCAACCGAGCACTGTGGGCGTTTGAGCAAGATATGATATTGGGCCCGACCTTTTCCATCCACATATAGACCGCGTCTCGCCCCGAAGAGGCGTATCGGACCGTTTGAGGCTTGGTGTACTTGGATTCACCGTCGGCTAAAGCATATATCAACAATTCACTCCCCCTTTTCACCTCTACATTTTTTTCAACGACTCATCCCCAACAAGGACCTTTTACTATTTACAACTAATAAGAGTTATATCTGCCTCTTAACAACTCTTGATATCTTCCACGCATAATCCTCAGCCATGAACACCTCAGCCTCGTCAGCAGCCCTAGGCTCTTCCATGCGGAATCACATCAACATGATGCCCAAGGACAATGCCCCAACTTTAACCTCGCCTCCTCCAGCATACACTCCTCCCCAGACAGCACCAGCACTGGCGCTTTTACGGCGACAGATGCGTGAATCCTTCATCATGGGCCGCTCTTCCATTGCCGACAGCGTATTAGACGTCATGTCTCCCAATGAGGACGACGCAGACGACGAAGAGGGCTTCTCTACTATTAGTCTCCGAATCAACACCTCTGTCCACATCTCCAGCAACAACAACCTCGTCTGCCTCAACGACACACCAGCTAGCCACGCCAACGCTATTGCCAGGGCTGTCGTCCAGGCCATCCAGGAGAACAGCTCCGGCCAGTGCGGCATCCCCATGATTGACGAAGACGGCAGGCCTCGGCCTGTCAAAATTGAGGTTGACGCTGGCATTACAGTGGAGGGTTCAGGGAACATCGTGGGCAACGAGAACGTGGTAAATCAGGTTCTCCGCATGCGCAGCCTTGCACGCAAGAGATCAGCAGATGATGACGAGAGTGATACACCAGCTCGACTACCAAAGCGTCGCCGTGAAGAGAGCGGCAGCAGCGGCAGCAGCAACAACTCTCCTTAAAGACTCGACAGATCTCACCAGGCCACCATGCATTTTCATCTTGGAGTACTTTTTTTTTTACGACACTAAAAAGAATCATCGCATCTCTGCTCCTGAGCTCTATTTTGCTGCGTTTACTTCCGTTTGGCCCTTGGCGTTCAGGCATCACCGGAATCTCATATACCCAAAGGCAGAGCACCTTACACATTTTNNTTTTTTTTTTTTTTTTTTTTTTTTTTTTCGTTTCTATTCTCACACTGTCATGACATGAATGTTTGTTCATTGGCAAAATGGGGTGAAAGATATTATCAGAGGCCAAGGCGGGGAGAACCAGGCCTCGACTTTGGTTTGAAGCGAGAGGGCCCCATCACATATTAGATGCAGCTAAATATATAACCCGCAATTAACATTCCTATCACTCTCATTGCGTGCTCTATTTTATATTACCCATACGAGATACAAATATATGTACGTGCACATCTCTCATAAATACTGTTTTATAGCCCAATGCAGGGCGACGTCAATGAGGTTGGCTCGCACGCATTACCTGCATAAAAAGGGGAGAGAGCTGAAAGCCCAAACCCCATGACCAGACAAGATCACGAAGCACATCATTGCTACGGTTGGCTCTTCCCAGCATGCCCGAAACCTCGCATAACATTCTACAACAGAGGGGGGGTTATCATCCCAGACGGTCACCGCCACCACCTGATTCGACTGCGGCCGACTCCGCATACCATTCCCCTTCTTTCAGCTGCCCAAGGATAACTGCCCAAAGCGAAAGATGAGCGTATAATACGACGTATACAGATTAAAAAACCCACCGTTTTTTTTGTTCTCTCACCCACAAGGCATTGGAATTCTCGTACGAGCAAACGAGGTTGTTCGCCTTTCGTTTCGTATCTAGTGTGTAGTCTAAGCTCCTTCCTTTACCGGTTTTGACGGCAATTACAACGGCCAAAATGGTGGTTGGTTCTAGCACGGAAATCAAAAAAACAACGGCCAAGCATATCCCGCCGCCCGCGCCCTTTAATCTTTTTTTTTTTTTTTTTTTTTTTTTTTTTTTTTCCTCTCTTGGACAAGCCCTAGGTCTAAAAGCCGGGAGTTACCATTCAGTTGGATCATAGCCGCTGAGCCAAGCTCTTTTGACGCCGCCACTACTTGAATTTAAACAATTCGGGGGAGTTGTTTCTCTTTGGTTTGTTGGATGGAAGCTCTCTTTTTTTTTTCCCCATGTGTTGGCGATAGCTCCTTGATAAAAGCTGTTCATTTGCCTCATGTAGTATCCATTTGGTAAAAACATTGTGTCTTGTTTTTTTCAATCTCGTGTCTCACTTCTTTGTTGTAGGTTAACATGACGTCTCTGAATTGCCCCACCAGCCTACAGTCTTGGCTGGGCCACTGCCCTCGTCCCTCACGTAGGTCCATGCATGATTATGTTTCTCAGCCTTCTTCTCTCATTCCAATTGTGTAGTGATTGCTCTCATCTCACTCTGTTTTTTGTAAACCCTCTCTCTCATCTCCATATCGCCTCTCCCCCCTTCCCTGTCCAATTGAAGCTGCGATGGCCGACCTCACCATCCGCAACCTCACAATCACCCCCCTCGAGCTCGTCTCCATCCAGCGCCTCCAGGGCGAGAAGATCCGCACCGGCAACGTCGTGTCCAACGTCACCGGCCGCATCACCAGCTTCATCAACGCCACGGACTTCTCCGCCCATCGCCTGCTGCCCCGCGCCGACCATGAGCCGCACGACCACCGTGACGTCTCCATCCACCTGGACCCCTTCCGGACTGTCCAGACCGACGTCCGAGCGGCCGATGCCGCCGGCCGAGAGATTCTCCGGCTGACATTCCGGGCCGGCCACCGGCGTTATGAGACGGATGTGCCGAGTCCATCTCGCAAGTCAGCTGTCATGAAGCGCATTGCTGGCGATGATGACGACGGCGACGAGGAAGAGCTTGACCTCACCGTCGTGTACATCCCCAACGGCTCCTTTCTGGCCATCTTCTCGTCCGCAAGGCTCAATGCCTGGATGAAGCAGCTGGACGATGCCTGGCCACTCCCGCTCCTCTCCATCCCCGGCACTCACAACTCACCCACCTGCCACACGGCCCTCCCCTCCGTCCGCTGCCAATCCGTCGGCGTCACAGAGCAGCTCCAAAACGGCGTGCGCTTCCTCGACATCCGCGTGTCCGTCAACCCCGACAACGACACCCTCACGCTGGTCCACTCCGTCTTCCCCGTCTCTCTCGCCGGCACAAAGTACTTCGCCGACATGCTGGACGACGTCTACCGCTTCCTGGACGCCAACCCCAGCGAGACCGTCTTCATGAGCCTCAAGCGCGAGGGCGCCGGCCGCGGAACCGACCAGCATCTCAGCCGCTACCTCCGCAGCGGCCACGTCGACAAGCGGCCTGAACGCTGGTGGACCGAGCCTGTGATCCCGACGCTTGGCGCTGCTAGGGGCCGCATCATTGTCGTGCGCAGGTTCGCATTGGATGACGAAATGGCAAAGACGTGCTGGGATGGCCGAGGTTATGGCATTGATGGCCAGAATTGGCCGGACAACTGCGAAGACGGCACCTGTGACGGAGGCCAGATCCGTGTGCAGGACTTTTACGAGGTCACCGAGAGCCAGAACATTGAGAAGAAGATCGACTACAGCAGAGGCCAGCTGGAGCGCGCTGCCGAGCGAGAGTTTCACGTCCCTAGCCTGGCGGAGCACGACAGCAACGCAGATGCTGCTGCTGCCGCCAAGCTCCCCATCTTCATCAACTTCCTGAGCGGCAGTAACTTCTTCAACGCCACGTGCTGGCCGGAGAGAATCGCCGCCAAGGTGAACCCCGCCATTACCGAGTATCTCTGCATCCGTCACGGCGAGGACGGCAAGGGGCCTCAGCAGCTCAAAGTTGGTGCTGCAAGCACTGGCATTGTTGTTACGGATTGGGTGGGTGCGAATGGCGACTGGGATTTGATTAGATGTATTGTTGGGTGGAATGCCAGGTTGCAGGTGTCTTGATGGTGAATCATAGATTTACGGGATCTTATGCGAGATGAAGGTGTATTACACGGCGTTTATTTACATGGGGAAAACAGCAAACAGATCAAGAAAAGTAATTGGCAAACTTGGATAACGTGAATGAAATAATAGATTAAATATTACTACTATTAAGAATATGTAGCACGTGTACTACATAAGAGCAGCCTCTTATACTTTTATAGCTAGCTTAGGCTGTGAAACGTAGCATCATAATTCAAATGGTATCTAAGGCAGCTAGGTTAGCCACTGCTCTCTCATCTCTCAAATCAAGCCGTGTTGAATAAGAAACCAGATCAGTTCTCCAAGGTGAAACTTTTTTCGTCACGTGGAACTCGGACAATGTAGATAATATGGAATAGTCATCATGATGGTGTTGTGCAAGAGAGATAAGTAAAAACAACGTACCATTTTATCAACCGGCGTAATATCAGCTCGTTTACCTGACTATACACTTTATCAAATGTCAGCCCCTGCGTCAATAGAGACACTAAGAACACCAAGACATAAATATGATTCATCTATCCATCGGTTAGTTGAATGCTAGATCGGCTCCATGTGTCGACTCGACTTACCATCAGAGGGTGTAAGTTTGTTCATATCCAACAACGCCCGAAGGTGTTGCGGAAATCAGACAGTGTGAATACAAATAAAATAACATTTCATCACAGAAATACAGCAGCAAGTGATTAAAGAAAAAGCTTTGTATAATATGTACCTATTGTTGTACGAGTTAGCTGACAGATTCATCCCCAGCTTGAACAAAGAGCCGATGCCATTGAACCACGATCAGGTGACGAAATCTCATCCTGAGTTCTCACTCCCCTCCACCACAAGGATTGTACGTCCTCGCTTTCAAGGATGAAAGGGAGCAAGGCTCGATATGTCCGCCCGTTCGTTCAATTTTTCATCATGTGGGACAGATAGGCTGGAAGAAGAGAGTAAAAGTACCTGTTGACAGTCCGAGTTAGCAAGACTAGCTTTGATAACGAGAGCCAACAAGAAAAATTTTGTGAAAATTCTGATCAGACAAGGCTGAAACTTATAAAACACGGTATCCACATCGTATATTAAGCATGAGGAATCCCTGAGGTGTCAAATGTTCATCACACAGAATCACAGCTGTATTTGAAAAAAAAAAAAAATCACTAACCTTTTGTTTTGTAGATAGTTGTGGGTGGATCAAACGGGGTATTAGCCCTGTTTCCTAACCTCTAGATTGCGTTAGCAGAGCTCATCAATAGATAGAAGCCTGAAAAAGAGGTGATCCAAAGCTCGATCAGGTAATTGTAAAAAATTACAAAGTCACCATGGTTTGGTATGAATTGGATTGTTCATGAAAAATAAAGCATCATGTAAGGCGCAAAGGAAGGGAGCGTAGAATAGCTTACCTTTGAAAGAGGCCGACCACCAGAGCTCGTGCCTTGGGCGCGCACTTGCAGCTCCGAAGCAGAGCTTCTGGTGGTTGTGTTTGCAAAGAAAAAGAAGAAAAAGAAGTCAAGAAAATTTCTCGAGCCGAAGAAAAGTAGAGCTTGACCAGGCTGCGCTAGTCCAAACTCGATCTAGCGGGAGGCAGCCCCGCAGTCAGTGGCTCAGATCCCATCTGTGCTGCCAGCGCATTGGCACCCTGGCTTGCTTGCGTGGCGAATCTAGGCACTAGGTCACTGCCGGGGCTTATACAAGTCCGTCAGCTCCCTCTTGCCAGGAGATGTTTCAAACTCAACTCTTTCAACCAACTCTTGGTTGAAGTACAATAACAAATCTCAACATGGCGTCTGCGGGGGCGATATGGGCTCCTGTGGCCCTGCGTCTCCTCCGAGCCGCCGTGTCTCGGACCACAGCGGTGGTTCGAGAGAAGCTCGCCAGCGCGGCGAAGCCCATACAGAATCAGGCACTTCAACCGGTCCCTGTAGCCGCTAGAAGCGGTCGACAATCCATTCAACAATCAGTCCTCAAGGGCGCCAGATACTTTTCCGGCACCTCAGCCAAAGGTGCAAGCAAGGCTGCCCGACGATACCTTAGCTCTGAGAGTGCTCCTCGATATGATCGATCCAAGCTGCCGAGCTCCAATACCTCCCGCCGAGTCGCCCAATTCTCCGGCCGTGCTCCATTTGCGAATACTCTGCGACCCAACCTGACTGGCGGTGCCATGCCTCGAACGGCTGGTGGTTATAGTCTGGGTGGAAATGCTCGCTACTTCTCGCATACTCCCACAGCTCCTGCTCAGGTTGTGCAGAATGTTTCGCAGGCGATGCGAGCCTTTTTCCTCTCCGGACAGAGAATCCGATATGACGGAACAGGACCACGAGGCGAAGCTCAATACCGGGCCGTCTCTATCGTCGAGGATGAGGCTATGCGCAAGCTGGCTGCCATCCCCAAGTTTGCTCCTGGCGCCTATGTCGACTTCCAGCTGAGCCCAACCATCACTGCCATGAGCCCTCTTGCCGCCGCCGTTGTCCAGGCATCTGGCACATCCGGCTTCCAGGCTGAGGCTGCTATCCCAAGCCTCAATACCGAGGGATTCCTTGATATCCTATCCGCGGATTTTGGCCGTGCCCTAAAAGACTTGACAGCCATTTATGCCGATCTCGGACGGCTTGCGGCCTTGGGCGATTTGCCAATATCCTTGGAAGCAGGCAACTTGCTTCGAGTTCGATTTCCGGGCGTTGATGTTGAAACGGTCGAGAGACTCTGCGATGACATTGGTATCCAGAGGGGCATTGTCGGCCAAGACATTGGGTTTGAAAGCTCTGATGACGTCAAAACTGCACTCAGATTTCCTTTTGCACCAGACGCTGAGAAAGCCTTGACATCTCCTGGAGGATCAGAAAGGTCCTTGGAAGGACATGAACTAGATGACATATCATCTCTTGGCGACGACTCCTTTGTTCATGAAGCGTTTGCGTATGAGAGCTCAGAAAGCCCTTGGTTTTCTGAAACAGACGGGTATGGAAGTATGTCGCCCACGAATAAGTCGAATCAACACTCTGAAGAGTATGAGGGCCTAGAAGGCATCTATCGATTTCTCGAAGAATGCGACAAGGCCAAGGGTAGACTGGGTTGATGCGAGTGCAATTTTCTGCGTACTGCAACAAACATATGAAATTATGAAATTAGAACATCCACGCTCTTTTAGGCATCTTTTTTGTATTATTACTATTATTTAGTCATTTTGATTAGCATACTTACGACAAGAATGGAATTCCTTTTGTGTTTCTTACCTGCTTATGATATGCGAGCGAAGAATTCTAGAACATCAACAGTGGCTGCTGTAGATCTCTAACCTCAGCGGAAGCTGACCTGACAGGCTCTCATCGAATTAAGCCTGAGCTGGCTACACCTTGCTTTTCGAGCCACTTGGACTGGGGCCAGAGGGATATGGTGGACCTTTTAGGAGGTTGGTATTGGTCGAAATGTCTTGTAGGAAAATGCCGAATGAGAACATGTAAGCGCAGCAGAGGTCGCAGTTGATTACTGAGGCCGGCTCCATGATTCTATTGGAGGCAGGATGTGACTGGGCAAATATGATATCTTTGGTTGCAGCACAATTGGGGCCTGCATTAGGTATTCTGCATAGGTGTACTGTACTGTCGTGAGCTTATCGCTTATCGATAAGCGATAAGCTCATCGGCTGATTTATTGGGGCACATGCTCCAGATGCACGGTGCATGCAACATCTACATCCATCTCGCGAACAGGATTAGCGGTGCTGCTTTTTCTCGTGTTCCAATATCTAGATTAGAGTTTCAACAGAGATCTCGAGACTTATCAGATCATCTCAAACGCTTAGCGCACATCGGAGATCAATTCGCGGGGTTGCTCGGCTGCCGATGATGTCTTCCGCAGGTGTTCCCCACAAGCGTTACCTCGGCTTGGAGTCTCAGCGTGGCCGAGCTCATCCTCCGAGGGCGCGAACCATCCATGCTGTTACTAAGACAGTCTTTGATATAAAGCTTACGGGCTCTTCTTGATCTTTTCTCTCTGCATTTGCATCCGCGTAGCTTCAACTTTTTCTCTCTCTCTTAACACGTATACACATCACACATCACAATGTCTGGACCCGGTGTCGGCTTTGAGTATCCTCCTCAGTCAGTTTCTTGGCTGAAGCGCGATCTCCTGCTCTTCGCCAACTCCATTGGTGCTACCGCCGATGAGCTTCACTTCCTTTACGTGAGTAGTTGCAAATCTGGAAGCATGCGACAAGCTGGATCTAGGGGGGAGCAATTCGAAATTGACAGTCCATCTATAGGAACTTCACCCCAATTTCGCCGCCTTTCCCACCTACCCCGTCATCCTGCGTAAGTTCCCGTCGGCGAATTATTCTTGTGCACCGCCGAGTGCTATGGATTGTGCAATCAGCTGACAAAAAGAATGAAACAGCTTTCAAGGGAGATACACAAGAAGTGATTGACTTCTACGCCGCCCAGAAGAAGACCAAGATCCCCAACGTGCCCGACTTCGACTCCCGCCGAGTCGTTGACGGCCAGCGAAAGATCGAGTTCCTGAAGCCCCTGCCCGTCAGCTCAGCAGGCCACAAGTTCGAGATCCGCCAGAAGGTCCTCGGCGTCTACGACAAGGGCCGGCCGGGCTCCGTTGTCGACACCCAGCTCGACCTCGTCGACGCCAACACCAACGAAGTCTACACCCGCCTCTTTGGCAGCGCCTTCTATGTCGCACAGGGTAACTGGGGCGGCCCCAAGGGCCCTGCCAGCGAGAACTTCCCTCCCCCAAAGGACAAGAACCCAGACTGGGTCCTGGAGCACCCAATCACCAAGGAGGCCGCACACCTGTACCGTCTGAACGGCGACTACAACCCTCTGCACGCCACTCCTGAGCCCGGTGTCAAGATGGGATTCCCCGGTGCCATCATGCACGGCCTGTACTCATGGAACTCCACTGCCCACGACATCCTCAAGGCCGTTGGCGGCAGCGACCCTGCCAACCTCAAAGAGTTCCAGGCCCGATTTGCCAACCCCGTCCTGCCTGGCGACAAGCTTGTGATCAAGGTGTGGAGAACAGGCGAGAAGAAGGGTGACTTTGAGGAGATTCGATTTGTCGTTGCTGTCGAGGGAGGAAAGGTCTGCCTGAGCAATGGCCGTGCTCTCATCAAGGTTGTGGGCGATGTCAAGGGAAAGCTGTAAATATATAATAATGTGCTATTTTGATGACTGATTTTAGGGGGACCCCGCGATGGGGGGTTCTAAGCGATTAGGAGTGTATTGAAAACGCTTGCATGTAGCCTAACGGAATAAAAATACATGAATCCAATCAATTTGCTTCAAAATATTTATGATATAAATTATAGAAAACAATATGTAAAAAAATATTTAAATGACTGCTGCCTCAAATTGTAGATGCAGGAGGTTGATAAAATCGCTGCCTGCGTCAGGGTAAATTCTGCTGCCTGACAGAGCGCGAGTCTCTCTCTCTACTGCGGATATGCACTTTTTTTCCCTATATATCCCACATCACCTCCATCCCACAGCTCACAGCAGCCGGACATGCCTCCGTCTTTATGACCTTTTTAACTCCTTTCACTATTTTATAAAATCAAAATGAGTCAGAGCCACCACATCGGCCAGCGGATATCCTACGATGGTGCGCCGTGCACTGTCCGCTACGTCGGTGAAGTCGCTGGTACGACGGGTAGCTGGTTGGGCGTCGAGTGGGATGATGCCGCGCGAGGCAAACACGACGGCTCTCACAAGGGCACCCGATATTTCACATGTATTTGATCCTCATTTCAATCGCATATTCATCTTTCAAGGTCATGGGCTGATTCGATAACGAATGCAGGCTTGTCAAAGTCGCTCACTGCGGCGTCATTCGTGCGGCCAACCCGCCCGGCTGATGCCCCCCTGAGCTTCCTCGCCGCCCTCAATGAGAGGTACGTCGTGGATGCGCCGGGTGCGGTGCAAGGCAAGTCAAAGGTCGAGATTGTCATCTCGGGTAAAGTCGCCCAGGAGATGGGGTTCGACAAGATCTGGCGGAGACAGTCGCGCCTAAAGGAGCTGAAGATTGTGGTCCTTGACGGCCAGAAAGTCGCCATGGCAAGAAGTGATGGCGATGTGAATGACGAGGGCCTTGCCGCAACCATTGCTGAGACGTCACCCAAGGTTGTGGAATTGGACCTGAGTAGGAATCTATTTGAGCGATTTGGGCCCGTGGTCGATATTTGCAGAGACCTGAAGGATCTGCAGAAGCTTTGCATCAAGTATGTTCTTCTCACTATTTAAACGGATGTCCTATTATTATGCTGACTTGTGCTCCTCTTTTTCTCTTTTGCTCTGCAATAGCGGAAATAGATTTCTCGATATTCTAACAGATGATGCCCTCAAAGGCGCAGAGTCTGTGTTTGGAGGCGTGACCGAGCTGCAGCTGGGAGAGACGCTGATGAGCTGGGAAGAGTCATGTCTAGTGGCCAGCAAATGTCCTTCCTTGGCAACTCTCCTCGTAGGCTCAAACCAATTATCGAGTCTTCCGTTTATGAGCCACGTTAGCCTACCATCAACCCTGACGTCTGTCAATCTGGAATACAACGATTTCACGAGTTTGTCAGATATATCCAGCCTGACAACTCTGAAATCCCTTCGCCATTTACAGCTCAAGGGAAACAACATATCAACGATAATCTCTTTCTCTGACGCTACCGATGTCGTATTTTCTCCATCCGTACAACACGTCGATCTATCTTACAACAAGGTAGATAGCTGGGAGTTTATTGACAAACTGACGGCTGTCTTCCCTGGTATGACAGCCCTTCGTATCAGCCACAACCCCATCTACTACACCATAGATGCCGAGTCTAACGCGCAGTCTTCTGATGAATCATTCATGTTCACCGTCGCCCGCATTGCTCAGCTCAAGATTCTCAACTTTACACAAATTATTGCCACGGATCGCACCAATGCCGAAACATTCTACTTGTCACGGATTGCGAAGCAACTTGCCACAGTACCTGAAGCTGCGGAAGATTCAATCAAGGCCTTGCACCCTCGATACAAAGAATTGTGCGAAGCTCATGGAGAGCCCGATGTGATTCGTCGCGAGGAGATTAACCCCAACTTCCTCGAGGCTCGTCTTATCACGACCGAGTTTCACTATGAAGCAGCTTCAGATGAAGGAAAGAAAACCAGAATCACCAGGATTCCCAAGTCCTTCGACATATACGCTGTCAAAGGCATCGCTGGGAAGATGTACGGTCTGGCACCGCTCAAGCTGCGCCTGATTTGGGAAACGGGCGAGTGGGACCCCGTGGCCGGATTTGACGAAAAAGACGATGACGATGATGGCAGCGACGACGAAGATGAAGTCTTGGCAGAAACGGAGCTGGAGGCGGATAACCAGGCGGCAGGCGGTGAGGATAACCAGGCAGGGAGATGGGTGAAGAGAGAGGTGGAGCTTACAGATGGTCCGAAGCAGCTAGGATATTGCGTTGATGGTTTGAGAGTTAGAATCAGAGTAGAAGCATAGCGATGGGGTTACACATTAGATAGAATTCTACGGGGAATTGGTAATATATTATCAAATCATTCCTCCAAAAGTCTCTTTGAGCACAAGCGCAAATGGCATCGGGGCAAAACCATAGGAGCAAAATTGCTATAAGCGGGCAAATCCTTCAGCTTCGAGATGGCAAGCATCGCCTTCTTTTCTGCACCAGAGTCGGACCGGAGCAATAATAAAGGATGTAAAGTGCAAGGCGCACAACAGAACTGCTTGAAGCGACATTCCCCGAGAAATATCCAAGGTAAAATATATGCTTGTTTGCGGTCCACCTATCGACTCTCCCCGCACTGCAGGGATGCCCGTCATCATCATTGCTGGTCTTGCAGGTCTTGGCAGAGAGAGCTGGAGGGAACATTCAGAGGAGGGGGATGGAGTGATGTGTAGACTGTAGTCAATAATGTTACATCGATCTATTTCGGAAGACATGAGCATTCAGGTTCGGGTGAATGGACGTAGATGGACTAGAAGATGGATATATATAGACATGACGACCTAAACAGCAACTTCGTAGAGGCTTCCTTCATCTCCATCACACAATAAACAATCAAAGATGCTCTTCACAGCCACCATCGCAAGCTGGCTTCTCGCAGCCAGCTCCGTCTACGCTTCCACCCCAGCCACAAGCTTGAAATGGCACTGGCTCAACAATCCCGGCGTTCAGCCCGTCTCCCCAATCGGCCGCTCCATCACCGTCCAAGTCCCTCCCGACACCGACATCTGGCGCCCAGCCATCTCCAAGCACAACTTCACGGCGCCGTACCTCTACACGACCGTCGCCATCGCACACTTCCAGAGCGTCCAAGTCACCGTCACCGCACCCTGGAAGACGCTCTACGACCAGGGCGGCCTCGTGCTCGCCTTTCCAAACCGCCACAACCCCAACGCCACGCGCTTCATCAAGGCAGGCATCGAGTTCAACGACGGTGCCCCTGCGTTGGGCGTCGTCGCGACGGATATCCTCTCCGACTGGAGTCTCAGCCCCATCACGGAGAAGCAGACGACGGCTGATGCAAAGGCTACGATCCTGGTGGAGAGAGACGGCACGGACGCGTGGGTGTATGTGGTAGAGAATGGAGGACAGACGAGGCGGGCGTTGAGACAGGTGACTTGGGCGTTTAACCAGGACGATGGTCAGGGACTGGCGAGGGAGGTTGAGGTTGGCATCTACGGCGCAAAGCCGACGGAGGAGTCGGGCGAGGGACATGCGAGGGACAAGATTGCTGTGACGTTCTCGGGATTTGCACTCAACATCGTGTGATGGAAGCTTTTTTTTTTTTTTTCTAGTGTTAGTAACGATATTGCCCTCATCATCACGCAATTGATTTATCGCGCTGCTGGGACTTATAAACTCCATATCCGAAAGGCGAGGCATGGATTAATTAATCATGCCGGAATAGCGAACAGCGTTCACGAAAACCAAAGGCCAGCCCCGTAACACGCCATATTGATCAAACGTCAAATTCGGCTGCGCCAATGTAAAACTAGGCAGTCAGGGTTTAAATCGGCCATGGCGATAAAAGTCAGCCAAAGAACGACTCTCGGAGTTCGCGAGATCGCCTGTCTTGAGCTTCGGATCGGGTCGCCCAAATCTGCAACTCGGGGTTTTCCTCTATTCTGGAGATAAAAACTAATCCCGTAACGGGCTGCTAACCAGATCATCGAAGGGAAGAGGAAAGAACAAAAAAGTTTAGTGCTGGTCGGGGTTTGGAGCGCCACGCTGGAAATTGCTTTGCTTCGGAATAAATGAGTTGAGAGTGACAGATAAATCCGATTGCCTAAAGCGGAAACGCCCCTACTGCCTTGACACCATCATGCTGGAATTGCGAAAGAGACTGTGGCGCCATGGAATAGATAAATAGAGAGCTGAAGATCTCCAAATGATTGAAAAAAAAAAAAAGTTGTAGATCAAGATAGTAATTCAAGCAACAGCTTCAAAACAGTTCTTTTATCTTTAAATCGCTTATTTCCAATACAACTTCTACATCAAACTGAAAACATGGCCACAGTTATCAACAGGAGCGTCGGTCCTATTGGCTACGGCCTTATGGGTAAGTCTCACAGTTTCGAAGCCCTTCACAGACAAGGTTACAGGTTTTGCCCAGCAACAACTTTACTGACACATTCTTCTCTCTCCGTTAGGCTTCACCTGGCGACCTGAGCCCCCGCCATTGGAACAAGCCATTGCCGCTTTGAAAACCGCACTGAACAATGGCATGACGCTCTGGAACGGCGCCGAGTTCTACGGCACGCCTCAATACAACTCCATGACTCTACTCAAGGCCTACTTCATAAAATATCCCGAGGACGCCGAAAAGGTCACGCTCATCATCAAGGGCGGCTCGGATCTCGATACACTCAAGCCCAACGGAAGCCCCGAGGGTGTTCGGCGATCTCTCGACAACATCATCAGCCAGCTCGGCGGCACCAAGAAGCTGGATCTCTTCAGCTGCTCAAGGAGAGACCCGCACACGCCTCTAGAGGTGACGTTTGGCGTCATTCAAAAGGAGTACATCGACACGGGCAAGCTAGGCGCCATTGCACTTTCAGAGTGCAGCGCCGAGACGATTCACGAGGCCGCAAAGATTGCCAAGATTGGCACGGTGGAGGTTGAGCTGAGCATCTTCACGCCGGATATCCTTACCAACGGCGTTGCTGCCGCGTGTGCCCAGCATGGCATCCCCATTACTGCGTATTCCCCCATCGGGCGAGGAGTGAGTCCCAAAGACATCAATGCATATATATATATATATATCCCTCTTTCCGTTAGCTGACGTCAAAAAAATGGTAGATCCTCACCGGCAGATTCAAGGACGTCTCCGAAGTCCAGCACTTTGGCTACATCGCCACATTCCCGCGCTTCCAAAAGGCCGCCTTCGACCACAACCTGAAGCTGGTCAACCAGGTCGAGACCCTCGCCAAAGAAAAGGGCTGCACTCCAGCCCAGCTCGCGGTCGGCTGGGTTCACAGCCAGAGCAACCGGCCCGGCTTGCCAACCATCATTCCCATCCCCGGCGCAACAACCGCGGCACGGGTGGAGGAGAACTCGAGGGTGATCAAGCTGACGGAGGAGGACATGAAGAAGATTAACGACATCATCGAGTCCTTTGACGTTGCCGGTGACCGGTACCCCGATGGCGCGCCGAGGAACACCTAGATGAGCTTCCTCGTGGCAGGTTTCTAGCCATGCGTTTGTTAGCACTAGCACAGTTATTTGCGTGTATATATGATATGAATTTAATGGATTATGAATATCAAAGATCAGGGGTGAAATTGTCCACAGTCGACCATCTCAGCTTAAGAAACCAAGACGACCTTGAGCATTGCAGAATTCATCGAAATGAATACATCATGATGCGAATTATGAAATAGGAGTTGGATTATCTTTGAATGAAACTCACCATACAAGCATTATAGCTCCCTGAGGGGTAACTTTTACGCGTACATGGCGCATGTGCTCAAATGCCGCGTGGCAAAAAAGAACAGCGTCTGGATGAGAAGAGAAACGCATCACGTCGTGCTAAAATATCCTCCTCGATGGAGACCCACGACGCTAACAAAGTGGGTATAATCCTCATCCGTCCAATATTATTCCGCGTCTTACATAACCGCATCAAGCAGACAATACAAGTACACGTCAAAACGGCAATTTATTATCTCCATCGCCTTTTCCGCCTCGCACATTTCTAGGGGTATACATATCTCGTCTCACCTTCATCAATCATTACACAGGCCAAGGATCATAAGAAAAGATTAATGTGCCATGCACGCCGGTAAACCAAAAAAAAAAAAGTGATGCTAGACAATCATCGCTCCATTCATGCCCACGGCCTCCACCCTGTTGACCAGCTTCTTGACATTTGCCCATTCCTCATTCTTTAGTCCTTCTTTGCCGCCCAGGCCGCTAGCCACCTCAAAGACAGTCAGCGAGCCGTCAATGCCGCCCGTCGCGATACGTTTGCCGTCATTGGGTTCCCAAGCCACCTTGTTCAAGCTCTTGGACAGCATTGTCCTGCCATCCTGCCGGGTGCTCGGTGTTATTCTCGATACCGGCTCTTCTGTGTCAATTGCGATATCCCAAAACTCTAGCCAGCCAGCTCCGTCTACTAGCGCAAAGACGCTGGGTTTCACGGGTGACCATTTAGCATCGTAGACAACATCTTCGCGAACAAAGTCAATCAGTGGTGATATAGCACCATCTCCAGCACCAATTGTGGAAGTGGCCGCGGGAGCACGAATCTTCCAAAGCTTTACACTCCAGTCAAGAGAGGACGAGATGGCCAAATCGCCGAGATCCACAGGGCCCCTGGCGGGGTGGAAGTCGACTGACATGACAGGTGCCATGTGTCCCTTGTAGCTAATCTTCTTGTCGACACCAGCCTTGGCGCCGGCACGATCGTATCTGTGGCAGGGGAATATAGTTCCCTCTTCGCTTCCTACTAGGAAGAATGTTGGATCTGTCTGAGGGAACGAAAGGCATGTAGGGCTGACATCCTCAACAGCCACTTTAGCCTGGCTGGGGTTTTTCAGCTCGAGCAGTTCTTGCGGCTGTGCAAACACATCCATACTCCAGCCGCAAACGACGCCGTCTGTAGAGCATGAGATGATGTTGTTGGCGTTTTGCGTGCCCACAATATCAACAGAGTAGATCGGGTGGGCGTGACCGTAGCCAGTTAAGGGAGTCTTCTGGACCGGCGCAGACTTTGCTCGAGTATCCCACAACAGAACCTGACCACTGTACGAACCACCAACAATGAGGTTTGGGTGATAGGGCGAAAACTTTGCTGTGAGGATGTCGGATTGTGCGGTGAAGACGTACTCTGGTCGATTATGCATGTGAATATTCCACACCTGGACAAGCCCATCCGGCTCGTGAGGTGCTGTCGGGTTTTTGGTGTAGGAAGCGAGTACCAGCTCGTTGAACTTGGGAGAGAAATCTATCCCGCTAATCATTCGCTTTTTAGACCAACGATCATCAAAGAATTGTGTCACCTCCTTGACTCTATGCCCCCCCTTTCCTCCCGTATTGCCACTTTCTTCATCTTTGTCCTCGAGGTCTTGGCCATGCAAGGCGTAGTCTGTAAGAATATCATAAGTCTCCTGGTCTAGGGCCCTCTCAATCACTTTTGTTGACTGCTCCAAGAAATCCGCAAATTCATCTGAGTGAGTGACGGCCTCGAGTTCTTCGGCTGTAAGCTCTCTGATTGGATAGTTGGTAGTTGAAAAAGGCTGTGTTCCTGCAGCGCCCTCGCCCAGAAGCTCCTTGGCCGCTCGCAGCTCTTCTTCCACTTCCAGTCTAATCTTCTGGCGCAGTTCCTCCTCTCGGTCTCGTTCCTTCCTGCTCAACCTCTTGTTAGGAGTTGAAGTCGGTCCCATGAAGTCATCTGTATCGGACGCTATCGATTCGGTTCTTGTCCTGTCAGGGAACGTCCATTCATCAGTGGTTTGCACACCTTTGCTGTATGAATAGATCTCCTTCACAGGAGATGGCGGACATTCATATACGGTTGTCAAAGGGACAGTAGTTAGGTTCAACGCAACGGGAGGAGGGCCCGGGGTAGTCTGTCCTCCTTGTCCAGCCAAGGAAGTCGTCCATTCGGAAGTCACATTGCTGATTTCGCCGCCGCTGAGAACACTATTCGGCCTGCTCCCGCGAGGCGCAGGCGAGCCAGGAGGTCCTGTCCCAATCGAGCTGGGCCTACTACTACCAACTAAGCTGTCAATGAGGGACTCGATTTCGCGGCGACTATCTGCTCGTCCTGGTGTCGGCGATACTAGTTGCTATAGAGCGGGCGATTAGCGGATAAGAAGCAGCTTCAGACAAGGGGGAACAAACCTCGTTGGGAGAGCTCATACCAGTGCGGTTGTATACCGCCTGGCTTTGGTTCTGAGAGGCCCGGAGCTCTCTCTGGCGCTTTAGCTCTGCGAGCTTCGCCTTCTTGGCAAGAATCTCATCTCGTCGTTGCTGCATCGCGATTGTCCCACAGTCCCATTGCGGGACGCACCAGATATTAGGGGCGAGGCGAGATGCGAAAGGAGAAGAGGGAGGTCAAGCCACGGCGCCACGGGGGGTTATGACAACAGGCCCAGGCCACGATCCAAGAGGGCGGGGTTCGAAGAGAAAAGGGTCGGCGCAGGGAAAGGAGCGAGCGAAACAATTAAAAGGATTTAAACAAAGGTCTTGCGAGCCACTCGCCCACTCTCTTGTCCTCTATCGATACTCCGTACACCGTAATATTAATGGCACTGGCACTAGACGATAGTGCCTGTGTCGCCAATATGCCTTTCAGAGCTTATCGCATTGGAGCTGTTCCGGCTGGCACGTGACATCCGCAGGCCCAGAGCCACGCCTGTAGCAGCGGCATTCCGGGGCTGGAAAAACTGCGACTTTTCCCGAGGACATTTTTCAAATCTTTGTCCCAGCCGACGCAACAATTCCCTCGAGCCACCGTCGACCAGGGTTCAGCGACGGCCATTGTCGAGCCCCCCAAATTCGCCCTCACTCCTCGATTCCTGCTCCCAGCAGCCGCGCGACGTGCGATTTTCACCATGTCGTCAACAGGAGTCAACGTACGTTTGTTTAGTCTAAACCTCGCAGTGCCCAACCGCAAGCCGTCGTCCCGCATCGGCCTCGATCTTTGCGACAGCCGCTTGCAATTGGGCCCGCCTGCTTAGCGACTCAGTTCTGATTGATTTTCTTCCAGGTCTTCCGGTGGTCCGCCCTCGCCTTTGGCGTGTTCTACGGTTTCTCCCACCAGCGCACGATCACCACAACCCAGCGAGCTCAGCACGCGCAGTACGAGTATGAGCAGAAGCAGAAGCTGATAGATCAGGCCAAGGCGGAATATGCAAAGAAGAAGAACCCTTCTGTAGCATCAGCAGACGGTGGTACGCACAACCGCGCAGCTACATGGCATATGCTCTATCTTTCTCCTCTAGTCCAGCGGGGCTACTCTGCAGTTTTCGAGGAGAAAGGAGGAGTGGAAGCGCATGCCACGAATATGACCAGCAAAAGCTAACTTTTTGCAACAGTTGTTACGGATATCAACAGCCCGGAGTTTGACCTCGAGAAGTTCCTACTAAAGATTGCTAAGGACAGCCCTTGACGTAACTGAGGAAAAACGTGGGCCGATGGAGGGGTGAGGAGGGAAAGTGTCGTCGGAGGAAAAAAAAAAGATGCTGGGCGGACGAACAAAATATGGCCGTCACGGAGACCCAAAAGCCTCACGAGGCATAATCAGGACACCGCAGACTGCAAAGGCAGTGTATGCTTGAAACTACACATGGCGCCGCTGCATAGAGGTTTCGTTGGGTCATTTGTTTTGGTGAACTGTACTTGTAAAAATATGCGCATTTAGACGTTTCAAAGTTAAAAAGAAAAGCTACCACAAGTGCCAACTACGCTGAGAGAACGTGTTTTGACCTTCCAACGACTATCAATTGCACCTCGCAGAGCGAGATGATGCACTGCGACTGGCAGGCAAGATGTGGTCTCCTAGAGGTGGAACGATAATAAATACGCACCAACGGAGATTTTTCTTACCTCATTCGTCTTTTTTTTTTTTTGCTTCAAGGAGAAGGGAAATCAGGAACATCCACGACAGGGAATGCTGCCAACTGCTCCAAGGCGATTTCTCGACGTAGACCAAACGGCACAGCAATTCTACAGCTTCAGCCACGATTCAATCCCGTTCCCACTTTTACAATTGGCGCAACGCAGCTTTTTGGCGATGTTTCGTGGACTGGAGAAGTTGCTGTTTCGGGAAAACACCGGGGCGGGTGCCCGCCCCACAATCTCTTGACATACGTAGCACCTTAAGCTCAAGCTGTCCTCACCACGGCTGAGCGTGGCTTCTCAAGGTACGGCACGAAGCATCGCCATCAACCTTCAGGAGAGCCACAATGGCGGTCGAAACCCCCAAAGGGCCCGCCTTGGGCTACACCACCGAAAGTACTCGGGCTCTGTTCCGGGTCGTCATCCTCTGCTTCATTGCGGCCGCCGCTATTGCGAGCCGATTGTTCTCTGTTATACGTAAGCTGCGATTGTTCTTATAGCTGTCATTCCGCGATGTGGAAGCCATTGCTTCGCTCAATCGCAATTGTGGTGGCATTGCATGCTGAGAGCTAACGATTCGCCTCTAGGATTTGAAAGCATCATTCACGAATGTCAGTGAATTCTCTCTCTCTCTACGTTGGAGCGCATCGACTTGCCCAATAACACGAAGCTAACCCACCCATCTAGTCGATCCTTGGTTCAACTTCCGAGCAACCAAGTATCTTGTCGCAAACGGTTTCCACAAGTTTTGGGATTGGTTCGACGACCGAACATGGCATCCTCTCGGTCGAGTTACCGGAGGCACCCTGTACCCCGGCCTGATGGTCACCAGCGGTGCCATCTACCATGCTCTGAAGACGCTTACAGTCCCCGTCGACATTCGCAACATCTGCGTTCTCCTTGCGCCGGCCTGCTCCGGTCTGACGGCCTTTGCCACATATCTGCTGACCAATGAAATGACTACATCGCCATCTGCAGGTCTTTTGGCGGCTATCTTCATGGGAATTGCGCCCGGTTACATCTCAAGATCCGTTGCCGGCAGCTACGATAACGAAGCCATCGCCATCTTCCTTCTTGTCTTCACCTTCTACCTGTGGATCAAGGCTCTTAAGCTGGGTTCCATGCTTTGGGGAGCCCTCTGCGCTTTGTTCTACGGTTACATGGTGGCATCTTGGGGTGGATACGCCTTCATCACCTGTCTCCTCCCTGTGCACGCCCTGACTTTGATCTGCATGGGCCGATACAGCTCTCGCCTCTATGTCAGCTACACCACCTGGTACGCTCTGGGAACACTGGCCAGCATGCAGATTCCTTTTGTTGGCTTCCTCCCCATCAAGACCAGCGAGCATATGCCCGCCTTGGGTAGGAATCATCTTTGCCCTTAATAGTACCAAGAACTCGTGTCTCTAACCTCGCTTGTACAGGTATTTTTGGCTTCATCCAGCTTATTGGGTTCATCCAGTATGTACGATCTGCAATTTCTGGCCGCCAATTCCAGACCTTCCTTGTCACAATCCTCGTGGCAACCTTTGGTTTGGGTCTGCTTGGTCTTGTCGGTCTTACTTCTCTGGGCTACATTGCCCCCTGGAGCGGACGATTCTACTCTTTGTGGGATACCGGCTATGCCAAAATCCACATTCCCATCATTGCCTCTGTATCTGAGCATCAGCCTACCGCTTGGCCGTCCTATTTCTTCGACTTGAACTTCCTTGTCTGGCTCTTCCCCGCTGGTGTCTATCTGTGTTTCCAGGAACTCAGAGATGAACACGTCTTCGTCGTTGTGTATGCTCTTTTCGGTAGCTACTTTTCTGGCGTCATGGTTCGTCTGATGCTCACACTCACGCCTGTCGTCTGTGTTGCCGCTGCCATGTCTGCCTCTCAAATTCTCGACACCTACCTCAACTGGAAGTCAGCTGTTCCCCCTGAGGAGCAGGAAGCACCAAAGAAGGTAAAGGGCGGTCTCCGTGGCAGTGAGAAGCCTAATGTCGGCATCTACAGCAACCTCACCAGGGTGCTGGTGTCGGGATCTATCCTCATCTATCTCTTGATGTTTGTCTCACACTGTACCTGGGTTACATCAAACGCCTACTCTTCGCCATCTGTGGTCCTTGCCAGCCGTATGCCAGATGGAAGCCAACACATCATTGACGATTACCGAGAGGCTTACCAGTGGCTGCGCCAAAACACCAAGGAGGACGCCAAGATTATGTCCTGGTGGGATTACGGCTACCAGATTGGTGGCATGGCTGACCGGCCTACACTCGTCGACAACAACACCTGGAACAACACCCACATTGCTACCGTTGGCAAGGCCATGAGCTCGAGGGAGGAAGTCAGCTACGAAATTATGAGACAGCACGAAGTTGACTATGTTCTTGTTGTATTCGGTGGTCTCTTGGGCTACTCTGGCGACGATATCAACAAGTTCTTGTGGATGGTCCGAATTGCTGAAGGCATCTGGCCTGACGAGGTCAAGGAACGAGACTTCTTCACTCCTCAGGGTGAATACCGTGTTGACGATGGTGCCACCGATACCATGAAGAACAGCTTGATGTAAGTGAAAGATCTAACGACATTGCAACAAGCTACAAAGGCTGACAACAAAACTAGGTACAAGATGTCATATTACAACTATGCCTCTCTGTTTCCTCCGGGACAGGCCGCTGATAGAGTCCGACAAGTCCGAGTTCCAGACCAGGGACCTGTTATCAATACCGTCGAGGAGGCTTATACCAGCGAGAACTGGATCATTCGTATCTACAAGGTCAAAGACCTTGATAACATTGGTCGTGATCATGTCAATGCTGCTGCCTTTGAGCGCGGCCAGAAGAAGAAGAAGCCCACCAAGAAGAGGGGCGCCAGAGTGCTTCGCGTGGATTAGAGATTTGGATTTTTTTTTCACGGATAGGTATCTGAGGGAGACTGATAGAAGCCAGGAAAAAAAGACATGGCTCGGGTGCTCCTATATATCTAGACAAAAGTTAGTCTAGAATGTATATCAATTTCATGTTTTGAAGAAAATCCTATCAGAGACTTTTCAAGTAAATATCGATCGCTTGTATCACCAACAAGGATCGTAGACATTGTGGCCGCATTGCCGTTTATGTAGGGGATTCATCACCGCACCACGACATCGTTTAGTCACCCCAGAGTTAAACGTTTATCAGTGCGTTGCAGCAATTCCATTTGATTTTTGGCTTTGCGCTCAACCCGTCTCTATCGAGCTGCCCACCAAGTATCGATTGGCAATGCTAGCAGCTGCAAGAGATGGACTTGCCAGCCGCCGTGCTTCATTGCCATAATACGCAAGTTTGGCACGAGACGCGCTTTCATCCCAAGTCACGCCTTGCCCTTGATGCTCACTTTCTCTCTTCAGTTCAGTTTCACTTTTCACTCATCCAATCTCTCATCTGCCACACTTACTTTCCTTCCTCTTCTTTTCGTTCTTCCCCTCCCTTCTTTTTCTTCTCTTCTCACAATTTTATTCTCTATCACACATCTTTCCTTTCTTTTCTTTTTCTTTCTCTTTCTTTTTTGATTCCCCATCATCGCCCTTTCTTCCCTCTTGAACTTGACTTTCAACCATCGCTTTCTGTCTCTTGAATTTTCGTCCTAATATCCTCACCTCTCTTCTCATCTCACTTCCTAATTCAGGCATCATGGGTAGCAGCAAGAAAAATCGACGCAAGAACCCAGCCGATGACGGCGGAGTTGATCTTCTCAGCCTTGCTTTCAACCTGCCCACGCGCCGCGACATGGAACGTGCAGATAGAGAAGCTGCCCAAGCTCAAGCTCACTCTCAGAGCATCAGGATTCAATACGACCCAGGCGATGGTGAATCCAGTGACAGCGAATCACTGCCGACACTCAATTCAGACCCCGGCAAGCCAAACACAGAAGTTGAGGAGACTCCAAAGGTTCAAAAAGCATTGAAACCTCGCTCACAACACCAATTGAAGGCGCAGAATCGTGTTTTCCAGCTCTCTTCTCCCAAATATAAGCCGAAGAGAGTTGATAATGAGCCGCCACCTGCTCGACGAGCCTCAAAGCGAGACTCGTCCAAGGCTCGAGAAAGATCATCTTCGAGCCCAGCCGCTCTAAGAGCTCCTTCTCCTGCTTCTTCCATCCCATCTTCAGCTACTTTTCCCCGCATCACCTCCAATTATCCTCAGAAGGCTGCTCATCTCGCTACCTCAGATATTCCAGTCAGGCCACTTCAGTCTGGCAAAGGCAGAGAGGCGCATCCACAGCAGTTCTACCAACCCATATTTGCTTTCCCTGCGGCCTCTGTGTACCCCCCATCTCAATACTATTCAGCTGTGGCGAATGCCGATCTTGTGTCTGATGTTAATCAACATGTGCCTTTTCCCCTGTACACACTGGCCCCTGCAAGTATCCTCAAATCTCATCAGCCTAGCTCAATTTCTCAGGAAGTCCAACGCATTCAGAGCAAGCTCGATGAAGTGGTGGTCAATCTTTCTAAACGCCCAGAAGATGCTACTTTGAAAAGCGAGCTGTCAGTTTTGCAAACAGAGCTCAACACTCGATTGAACTCTCTGCTAGGCATGGCACCTTCAAAGGAACCGAATGTGTCCGAAGTCTCTGAGCTTTTCAATTCAAAGGCAACCTCCAAAAATCCTACGACTCAATCCCAGCCTACAGCTGTTCAGAGAGAGATGAGCCCTAAGAGGAAGATGCGGCATCACCTCTGCACAGGCTGCGGCAAAGTCCGCTCTTCCAACTATCACACCAAGCACCCTATCATTTCTGGAGACAGGCCGTCCACGAATTACTGCGAAGACTGCTTCGAAGAAAACGTTGAGGATGGGGCTTTAGACAATCATTTCTGCTACGGGTGCGGAAATGTCAGATCCAAAGAATTTCAGCAGAATCATCCAATCTCGAAAGGCGACAGACCTTTTCCCAATTACTGCTCGGTCTGCGTGAAGGAAATTCGATCTGCCGAGACCATCGCAGACGTCTCCATGGTTGATTTTGTAAGTGATTTGACCAATTACTTTTAAAGAAGCGAAATCATAATTAACATAACATTTCAGACTCCAGGGCGTTCTCACAAGAGCAGCTCATATACTGATTCTGCCCTCAATTACACTCGGAATAGTGTGCCCACAAAACCATCGACTTCAGAGCAAGACTTGAAGTATCAGGATAATGAATTGGATGCTTTGCTTTTTTCAGCTCACACAGATGGTAGCAATGCTGTTGATGCTCGTGAACAAAAGAAAATTCCGCAACCACTAAAGCTTTCCACAAACGGCCCTCAGTTCAGCCCCTCCAACTCCTCGCCTGGCTCTCCCTATTATCCAGTTCGCAACACTGGAGCATCTCAAAGGCGGGCAGAGCGAAGTCCGCTTGCTAGTCCAGGAGGTCAATATTGCAGCTCTCCTGATACCCCAACGACGCCGAGATATCAGCCTCCTTATGTCGAAGATATATTTTCCCCTCTTCAAGAAACAAGCCGGCGGTCAGCAGATTACCAAAACTCTTCCAGAAATTCTCCTTGTGATGATAGGAAAAATAGTTTCTATCGAACAACCGCTGGAGACAAAGAGAAATCTCAAGACGACCCTGTTGGTCGCTCTGCAAAGGCTCCCCATTCCGATATCTTCCAAGAGGGTTCCGACGATTCTACAGAGGGACATGCTTCCACGGACGATTCAACTCATTCTACGGGAAGCAAGAGTGTAAAATTTAGACCCAAAGTCAATATCCGTCTTTCAGATTCTCAATCTTCAAGCAATGCCTCTTCACATGCCAAGATACTTGAGGAGGATATCAAGCCCGACGAGGAGACCATACCCAGTCGTGTGGGCATATATGGAACTTCGCCCAAGAAGTCGCACAATGGCTATTACACAAGAGCGAAAGAGTCGCAAAACTTTGCTTCTCTTGCGGGAGAAGATGGGTGCGGCGAAACTATCCCAGAGAGAGGCTACAGAGGAGCATTCTCTAAAGACAGCCCTGCAAGCTCCTGGCTGCCCCCTTTGTCCAATGCCAGTGGAGGCCATTGGTACTCGAGACCTTTTTCATATCAATCTACCACATCGCCTAGCATGGAGAGCTACACAGGATTCAAACCAGGTGGAAAGTCAACCTTCAACTATGGTTCTAGTGGTGGGGTTGGAAGTGAAACCAGCCGGCCGCCTCTTCGTGCCACTCGCAGTGCATTTAATTCAGCAAATACCAGCCCGGAGGCGGCTTTTTCAGGCGATGGAGCAGATCAGGAGTCACAAAGGCCTCCTCTCTCCTCAAATTCTAACACGCAAGCTGAAGGATGTCCAGAATCGCCAAGCAACCGTTGGAAGAGCTTCACATCGCCCTACGCTGGACCAAGCACCCAGTCTTCATTCAGAAAAGGATCGCCCTGGAATAATTTCCCTTCTCGATTTGACTCTGATTGTTATACAATGCAGGACGGCTCTACATTCAGCCAAACCGCATTTAGCGACTACTCTCAACCTAGTAGTAATCCTTACTATGAGCCTCGCAAACGACCCTTTCCGGATCTGAATGATTATTGCTCCTTTGGCACTCGGGCTCCTCGCATTCCAGGCAAATGGGCAAAAGACTACCAGAGAACAGTAAAGCCTCCTAAGCAAATGCCGTACTGGATTCCCGAGCCCATCATTGAGGAGCCAGATTCTCCTATCAGCTCGCCAGGCAAGCGGGCTAATATGCTCGGTAAGTTGACATACGTAGACGATTCTATCTTGTTCGAAGGCTAAATATTTACAGAATTTGATGATATTGATATTTCTCCTGCGTCTGCCAGCAATACCGCTACTGTATTATTCCCTGATTTAGGAAGCTTCGCTGAACATGACCATCAATCAGACGATGACTCTGACAAGGAGAATACAGTCAGCAAGAGCAGCCGCGACACACCATCCCTCGACTAGATAATCACAAGGTCATCATATGTAGACAGTTAACATTTTGCTTTTAACGACTATTTCCTTTGTTTTTTCCTACTATTAACTTGCAATTGTCACCAAGGATGGATCACACTTTATTTGTATAACTTTTTTTTTCATGCGGTTTCGGAACGATGTTTATGACAGGCCGAGGAATCGGATTCATGCCCTTTTTTGCGTTGGTCTTCATGAATTTTGCATTTGTATTAGTACGACCGGGAGATTCTATATCTTGCTGTTTCCGTTTCTTTTTTCTTCTAATTTCTCTTTTGTTTGCTATTCATTTCTTTTCCTTGTTTTCTTTCAGGTTTGTGCCATTGCTTATTATAGCGAGGGAGGAAGGTCGATAAATCCACCATGGCAAGGAAACATGGACAGATGACAGGTCGATTGACTGCCGTCTAAATACGATTAGCTATCTGGGAGATTCACGAAGGTCAGTCAGCATCAGAGGTCAAGGAACTAGGAAGAAGATTTCGATTTGTAGTTGAGAGATTGCATTTGCTAAATATTCTAATAATACTGAGATGTGCAACGCCTATGTATTAGATGACATGTGTGTGTGTCGTATATGTGCCCGGTCATAGCAACAAATTGCAGCCTGGGCTGCCCAATATTTCCATTCCATACCATTCCAGTTCCATCCTTTCCTGCCTAGCCATCCAGTCATCCAACACATACATCCTTGAACTCATATATAGAAAAAAGAGCCCAAAGTTCACTCCTCCGCAAAAGAACCATTTTTTCCCCCAAAATAAATAAACTTCCAAACGAAATGAAAAATAGAAGAGAAGAAAAGATGCTCGCTCACATTGTGCCTACATGAACTTTTGATGCATAACAACAATGAGGTGAAAAGAAAGAAAGAAATGAATAACGCCAAAGTTGATGAGGAAACGTGTTCCACCCTTTCATCGAACCAACCGCACAGCATCCTTCTCCGGACTCGTCCTCATCACAGTCGACTGGAATCGGGTCGAAAAAATAGAGGGCGCCAGACTAGTCGCGGGAGAACCTCTCCTCGAAGAAGCAGTACCAGTGGTAGAATGGCCCGACTTGAGAGCCAGGAACTCAATGGCCTCCAGTCTCTTCCTCTCAAAGAAGAGGCTTCTCTCGCGCTCGGAATCGCTCCGTCGGAGGCGCTCCTTGTCCTCCACCTCGACCTCGCTGATCTTCTGGCGCTTGTCGGCTCGCTTGTCGGAGACGTCGCGGATGCGCTTCTCCGTGCGCAAGCAGGCGGCGTCTAGCTCCTTGGCCAGCTCGGTGGTCGCGAGCTCGAGGTGCTTGTCTTTACGCTCGTGGGCTGAGCCGCCCCAAAGGCATTGGACCTTGAGCTTGGTTTGTTCGTTGGGGTCACCCCATATGAGCAGCTCGTCTCCGTTGTAGACTTTGGTCCAGTTTTTCGAGGGGCCAAAGGGCTTCTTCGAGTCGCAAGAGTCAAGCATTTGTCCGTTTATACGGATCCCGAGCGTGGCCTTGGTCGAGATCCAGAGGTGGTATGACTTCTCATCTCCTGCTAAATCCTGTGTCCATGGAAGGGGTACCTTGGCGGGGTCGTTGGAAGGGTCATAGCCTTCCTTCCACAGCAAAACTTTAAAGGCATACTTTGGCACTTTGGAATTAAATCTGTCCTCGTACACGGCAGTGTTCTCGAGGCCACGGCCAAATGACACCAATGTATCGGTCATGAGACACTCAATATCTCTGACGCAAGACATGGTGTCAGAAGCTATCAGAGCAATGGTCCGAGGCTGTCCGTCTTCTTGTAGTACCGGGACTACCCTAAGGCTATCTGGAATCTCTGTATTATTAGTAGCCGCGCCGTCAGCGAATGGACCCGTCGCCGGAAAGTCCATATTGACGTCCTCGTCAGGAGAAGACTGTATAACTGGCGTATTTTGCCTTTCTAATGCAGTAACAGGGGGGAAGTACTTCATAGCCAGGCTCCACAGGGGCGTTTTGCCCGGGAGGAACTCTTCCTTTCGCCGATTGGCTGCTAGGAGAAACGCATCATACTGAAGCTGTGTCATCTCGGGGTAGTTGAGATGCCACGTCCTGCGATCCTGAGCCCAAAAGTGCTTTTTGCTCACCGGTTCATCGATCTGGCGGCCGGAGTTAGATCTCTGAATCGGTGGCATACGGGACAGTAAATTATACTCTTCGATTGTAGGGTCGGCAACATCGTCCATATACCCCTCTGATTTTAATCTTTTAAGGGCTGGCTTTTCGGTAGGCGTGCTATCATTATCAAAATCTGCACTTGCTGCAAGAGGCGAAGGGGATTTTCGCTTGCTGGCGTTGAAGTCGGAGGAGGCAATTGAATAGCTGGACGCATTTGGATCCTCAACCCCGACCACAGAGACGCCAAGGCTTTGTGAAGCAACGTTTTCCACCAAGCTTTGCAGTTGATCGGCAGATTGCGCGTGATCGATAGACACGCTTCTCTCTGGCCTAAATATGCTGCCGAGCTTAACCAGGGTTGCACCGGAATCCCCAGAATCCCCAGAATCGTAAGCCTCGTCGTCTTGGCCTTCAAAATTGCTACCGTTGCTGCCATCGCCGGTCATTTTCGCAGCTGGTAGATTCAGCTGGCTCTCTGGGACGGCACCAGAACTGCCAACGGCCGAGACACCAACCTCTCCAAATAATCGGAGAGGTCGCATCGTGCCTTGCCCAAAGGTATAATTCCAGCCAATGTTTTCCTTCTCATCTTGCTCTTGCTGCTCGTTTTCGTCTTCTCTTTCCGATTCTTCCCCTGCAGAATCACTCACCCGGTCATTCTCGTCCTCGATTTGGTACACGTTTGGTTGGTGCTGAGTCCCGTGATACTGGGAAGACTCCAAGACATCTTCTTCGTCGGTGATTTCGTCAAACGACTGTGAGGCCTCAATAGTCCTGCTGTGGATCCATGGATGCTCGTCCAGCTCTTCCACCGTCGCACGGTTTTCCGGCCTTCTCTGAAGCATGGCGCAGATGAAGTCAATCCCGCTATCGGAAATACCACGTTCGTCTAGTGGTCTTATATCTAGCAACATAGTCATGATCTGATGCAGCAGCTCGGAATAGCTAGTGCCGCTCTTTACGGGATAAGGAGGCTGGCCGGTCATGGAATAAAAGATGACGCCGCCTAATGACCAGATATCCACGGCATGGTTATATCTTTGGCCTGGAGCACGGCGAGCCTTCTTTCCCCTGCTCCTGACGCCTTTGTCGTCATACTCTGCATACTCGTTATACACCTCTGGAGCACAGTATAGTAGGGTGCCACAAAACGTTCTGAGGAATGTCTGCTCCGTATCCACCATTTTCGAGAGGCCAAAATCTGTGAGTTTGACTTCCAGAGGGTTGAGTGAGTTGATCAATATGTTGTCCGGCTTGACGTCTCTGTGAGTGATGTTGTTGTTATGTAAGTAGGCGAGTGCGCTCAGCAACTGCTGGGAAATTATCCTAGCCTCCGCTTCTGGAAACGGCCCCTCGTCTGCGACATGCTTTCCAATATCACCCCCAGGTACAAGCTCCATGATGATAATGAGTAGTCGATCCTCCCAGTCGAAATTTTCCATATAACGCACGATATTGGGCTTTAAGATTCACGCGCACAAGTTAGCCAACCCCTCGAGTCATACACGGTAGATGGTTGAAAGTAAAGGGGGTGGGTGGGTGGTAAATCGCAGCTTACATGTTTTACTCTCTGCATAATCTTCATCTCATTTTCAACTTTCTGGTCCAGCACTCCATTCTTAATAAAGCGGCGCTTCTCAATCTCTTTGGCAGCATATGGCATCCCATCGTACTTGGATGTCACCTTGTAGACTACGGCAAATGCTCCCTTGCCAATCATACCAATCCGATTGTACTTGCCAGACCCATTCCACTCTCGCCGCACGCCTCGGTTATCTTTGCGCTTTGTGGGAGAGCGTTGTTCGCTCGGTTGGCGTTCTGGGCGCCGCGGCGTTATCAGCTGGCCAGCGTTCTTGAATAAATCAACGTGGCCTCCAGGGCCGGCGGTAATGGTTTCAACGGGCCCCGGTAATAAGTTGTGTCGAAGGAAATAGTCGTCCACCTTGCGCTGGTAGGCATCCATATATTCGTCGGCGCGGCGAGGGATTCGGACTCGAAAGGTAAGGTCCTGCATCTCGTTGTGTAGATAGATTCGGATAAGTGATCCTGAGCTCAACATCCATTTGAGAATGGGCTTCTTTGTAGGGTCTCTGTGGGCATTTTTGAGGAGGCGATCGTCGACAAAGGTTCCATTGGTAGACTTGTCCTCGATCATGACGGTGCCGTGCTCATTGACAAATATGCGAAAATGGATGTTGCTGATCCTCCGCAGCGGATCATTGGCGAAGACTATGTCGCATCTACCAGGGTTCCTCCCAAAGACAAAGCCGGCCGCAGGGCTGTGAACTTGGCTGGAGAGCCGCAGGATAATGGCGTGGTTGCCATGGTTTGCGGGGTTGGATTCGAATTGACTCGGTCGGTCCTCGTGCTCATAATCGAGTTCGACGTCGTCGGCTTCGTCTCTGCCGATGAGGTACGGCGACTCGGTCTTGAGCAGCTGCTGGACCTCGATTCGCGCAGTGTCCGAGTGTGGGTACAGCACGCAGATGATGTCTGAGATGTCTTCGTCCGAAAAGCCCGAGTTCTGCTTGCCTAGTCGGCGAGGGTCGAGGATATTTTGCGTCGCTGCGAGGGAACAGACTTGTCAGCATCACATTGCATTGCATTGCACCGCACCGAATCGCATCGCATCGCATCGCACCAGCCTCATCCAGAGGCAGAGAATTGAATGCACGGCTGAGTCCTACCTTGCGTTGGCTCTTGCGTTGGCTCTTCGCCGTCCATTGGGAGCGACCCGATGAAGCTACAGCTAGAAATCGGTCCAGGTTGCCTGCCTGAGGAATAAAAAATGCGCTTGCTATGCTAATCGTATAAGCAGAATGGGATGAACACAAGATCGAAATCCAGAACCGCCTCTCTTTTTTTTCCTGCGAGACCAAGAAGGGAGCGTGCTCTTTATCAGGGAACTTGGCGGGAGCCTAGGCGGACGTGACTGTCACAAGCGCCCTCTTTTCAATTAATAAGGGAGCTAAGGTAGCTCATACACCAGCCGCACCGCACCGTAGTGGCCGCTCTTTTCTTGCGCCACCAGCCCAGCCAGTCGGGGTGAGAGTTGCAGAGCTTGCCAGACGTGAGGCTGTGCCTATCTGGGGGAATTTATGGGAAAAAATGTAAAAAAGAGAGTACTAATAGTAGTCTATCGTTGCGCGGCGGGGAATAAAAAAAAAAGGTCGAGAGATGAGGAGAACACAGCAGGCAGCTAAGCAAGGCACTGGCACCGAGTATAGAAGCCTTTTAGCTGACGGGATGGGCGATTAGCGATAGCGGGGTCGGCAGTGCCTACGTCTGGAGTAAATTGGCCCGAAAAGAGGCATCCGGTGCGCGACGCAGCGATGAGGGGAGCAGGAAAAAGCAAAGAAAAGAGGTAATAAGAGAGGAGGGAGGGGGGTATCTGGCAGCATACAATTGGTAATTAAAATAAGAAATAGCAGCAGCAGCAGCAGCAGCAGTAGTTCTCAGTAACAAGAGAAAAAGAGAAAAAAAGAAATCAGATGAAACAAACAAACGCCTGGATAGATCATCAAGCCCGTAGCAACGTCATTATTAGGGCCCCATGGCTTCCACATCACGTCCCACGCATTTCGCGCCACAGCTATGGAGAAGAAAACATAGCGGCATTAACCCCTTGCATACGGAGTAGTCTGAGTAGAATTAAGATGGAAACACGCAAAAAACACAAGAGGAAGACACAAGAACGGGCGTGTACCGTGCTCGTGTCTTCAGATGCGTGGACGTGCGTGTGCGCGTGGACTTGCACACCAAAACGCCTCCAACAGTCACGCGAAGGTGTCCGCCGCGCGCGTCTTTACTCGTCTTCCGCCAGACACGTTCTTCCACCAAAAAAAAAAAAAAAAAAAAAAAAAAAATAAGAAAAGAAGAAAAAAACGCCTCAAATCTCTTTTACCATACAAACAATGCGCCTCGCATCGCCACACCTTTACACCCCCCTGCACCGCGTGTTCGTGACAAGTTCCCCCGCCAAAGTCACCAGATCTCTCTCTCCCACTCTCCCATTTTTAACGCTTCGCCTCGTTTTTCCTTTCGCGACGGCGACGGCGACGGCGACGGCAACGCTGGATTTGGGGCCTTGCATGAAATGGGTAGCTCCAGATCTTGCAGCTGCGTGCCCGCACGCGCGTCGGGGCCAATGAAAGCCCCATGCAACCCCAAAATGACATGCTTGCCGCCTGTCTTTTTGTTTTCTTTTCCCACCCCTCTCTGTCACATAATCTAGTAGTATCTTGCTAGCACGGAGTATCTACGTTCTCTGCTTAGTGCGGTGCTTGCGGTTGCGGTGGTGGTGAGGGGGCTTCAACCAGGGACGCAGCGAATAATGGTCGTTAGATACTCTGCACTTGTATGCTTTACTTATGCAAGTCTTCAAATTGATGCAACGGCGGACTGTAACCCCTCTATTAACGTCAATGTCAACGTCAGAGCTTATCGCTGCGGCTGCAACTACGTCGGTGAAGATTATCTCTGGGCGCAGAGCACATGTAGATGAATGAGCACAGCGTCTCAATAAGCGTCATAGTAAGTAATCACGCGCACTGCTCATTCAGCAAAACTAGTCTTACCACTACTACTGCTATTTGCTCTACAACATCGTCACGAGGCAGTTAAAAGGGAAAAAGAAAGATATTGGTCATGAAAAGGAAAGTTGTCCTCGTTATTTGGTAGTATTTCCATCTGTATAATGAGTCTACCTAATATCAAGAATAGTGATCAATGCATTTTTTTCTTCATCATGTCCGCTTGACACGAATACTGAAGAACTTCCACCTGCTAACAAAAGAAAAGACAAAAACAAAACGCCAATCATATGAGGAGAAGAAAAAGATGTCATAAGAGCATTCCTGATACTGTTTCTAAACAAAATATACTTTGCAATATGTGATGCTGCCAGCCCAACGCCTACCAATGCATACTGCATCAAAAGCTGCATATACATTACTACCGCTTCATGGGGTATCTATCGCAAGATAGAAGAGATATACGAAAAAAAACGTATAGGGAAAGACGGGAGAAAAAAAAGAGGAGAGAGAGAGTCAAGGAAACATGCAAGGAGGGTATGTCGTAACCAAAAATGCTGGTATTGTACTTTCAGAAAAGAAGCATCGTCTTAATATTGCTGCATATTAGACACTGATTGTGGGTATCCACCAGGCTGGCCCGGTGCCATCATGGAGCCTAGGGAGTTGGCTGAGATGGTTCTCCCGTGTCCGTACGGTGCCGAGGCAATAGAGGCTCGGTGCTGAACGTATTGCTGGGGAGTGAGGCCATGGGATCGCTGAGAGCTGGGCGAAGCCGCAGCAGGCTGCCATGGCATGGTTGCGGAGTCTTGCCTCCTGTGGCTAGCAGGCTCTGTCGGTGTCCTCGGCGGTGGTGGTACTTGCGCTGTAGGGGGGGCAGGCTTGCGAAGCACCGAAGGGGCACCATAATTGACTGTTGGTCCAAAGTTGACGGCGGCCATATCGAAGCCGGGAGAATAGTGAGCGTCCGGATCAGCACCGCCGACCGTCTTTAAAACACCCGCGCGTGGCCGGTCCACAAAAGGTTGCTGGAGCTCGTCGCCAAACTCGAGATGCATCGGTGGCTGAGGAGGGAGAAAGCCGTCGTATTGAGCTCGAGATTGGGTAGTATAATGATCAATGATGTCGTTTGGAGTGATACTCTGATGTTTATTATCATAAGAGACCGGTCTCATGGGAAGGGGTTTTCGCTGAGGGTGTCCCTGCCGATATCCGGGAGAGCCACCATTTGGAGAGTAGGCACCATACCGATCATTTGGGTAGGATGTAGTATGAGGAGGTGGCAGTGGGCGCTGGCCATGATAAGCATCTCCCGTGGACGGCCTCTGGTCATAGTCATCATGCGAGTAAGGCACTCTCGGTCCATATGGGGATGCCTGTCGCTGATTAGATCGGTTGGAGTAGCCGGTAGGCGGGCGGTCGTTGTCTTGGTAGCTATGGTGACTGTGGTGGCTGTGGTGGCTGTAGTGACTTGGCGGTGGGTTCAAGGACTGAGCAGATCGGTTCTCGTTGGTATAAAATGTGGTACCATCGCCACCATGGACCGGAACTGGTGGTGGTGGCGCCGTATGATAGGACTCTTCATCTTCGTCATCTGGGATATCGGGAACTCCTGGCAGAGCAATTCCGCCAGCCTTGGCCATTTGGGCCAGGGTGCCTTGGGACAGGCGGTTGTTGGCTCGTCGGAGGTCGGGTGAATGATAAGGTGCGTTGGCTGGGCGATCCTGAGGATTACGGTTGATGACCGGGGGTCGAACGACAGGTTCCGGCGTGCGGATAGCTCCATTGCTGCTCTCAATGGGCTCGACATAGCCATTCGGCGTGACTGCCCGGCCCTCATCTGAGCTTGAGCTTCCTACTCGCGCAGCCATTTCCAGGGGGGACTGATCATTTGGCGAAGAGCTGGAGCCCGTCGATATTGGGCTATTTGAGTCCGAAAAATTCCGCAAATCATCGCCGGCGAACCCTACTGCTCTGGGCTTGTTGTTGTAGCTCAGTCTAGCGCTGGCTCTGTTTGAGTTTGAAGAGGGAGAATAAGATCGGCTTCCATCTTCAATCGAGTTCATCCGCGTGCCGGTGGCATCCTTGAGACGCTTTCGCCACTCCCTCTCATCCCAGCTCGAACTCTTTTCATCAAGCAACAGCGTCACAACATCCTGCAGCTCCAAGTAGCCGTACTTCTTGTGCTTGGGCATAGCAAACATGAGCGACCTAGCATCCAGCACGCTAGCAACAATTCTGCCTGGGCGGCCGTACAGACCAAAAGTATCCCAGGTCGGGAACAAGAAGCGAAGCATTGTCTCGAAGCCGCTGACAGCAGGACGGGTCTCGGGCATGATGAAAACAAATCCTTCGGAGGATGACGCTGGAGTAGAATGAATTGAAATGTTACCTTCAATCTTGATGAGAGTGGAAGCATCTACCAGTGACTTGGCTTGGGGGTAGATTGCATAGGCAGAGTAGGCCTCGCTGATGGAGGCGACGGGCTTTGTCCTCTTTTGCTTCTTGCCTTCGGTTTTGACATCGTAGAATTTGATATCCCCCCTGACGATGCGAGCATGAGATCGCTCGTAGGGAGCCTTTTTCTTCAGCTCTTTTTGAAGCTTGTTGTACTCCTTTTCGTTAGGTGGCGTGATGACACACCAGCAGCGTCTCCATGGCACGCCAGCTCCGAATCGAACTCTGACCCATGCCCCTATCGTAACTTTGGACCTCTCCATCATCACGTTGATGTTGTTGAGAAATTTGGCCTTGCCAGCGATCAGGGCGCCAGTATAGGCTTCCTGAAGGGCTGCGTGCTCATACATGGCCAATCGAACAGCCGATGTCCATTGGACAAGTGAGTCATGAGAAGTGAAATGCAGCAAGTACCGATTCCTGCCAGCGGTGGAAAGGCTGAGAATATTTCGCAAAGGCTGCTCATCGCTTGATCGGGTTGGCAGAGAGTCGATCTGTGAAAGAGGAGAAAGAAAAAAAAGAATGTCAGTGTCTCGCAGTCGTGACAAGCGGGGGGGTTATCTTACCACTTTGAGTGAGGCATCTGTGAGATTAATGAATTTGGGAAGAACCTCGCCATCTTCACCGGCAGCATCCAGTTCTGCGGCATCCCACAAGGAGAGCACAGTCCCGACAAGCTGCGCAAAGCATTCAGACCATGTTCTGTCGGGATTCGGCTTGCCCTCTGTATCAAACACATTCAAGTCAGCCAACCCGTTTCGATATCAAGATTGCAGATAGATGCGCTGCTGGGAATGAAAAGACAGATGAAAAATATATTACATACGTGTGTTCTGGTCATCCAGCTTCAAGAAATAGCCCTCGTGGTACAGCTTGTTGGAGTGGCTGTTGAGCAGCGAGAAGATGGGCTGCAGCTCCGGAATCGTGTCCTGGTTGACCTCCATGACCATCGGCTGATAGGTCTGTATCATGGACATGGGTCGTGCGCTATTCCGCGACGTGCTATTTCGGTTGCGGCGGGGAGGGTCAATGTTGTTGATGTCGACGGTGTTGATGTCGACGGTGTTTACTGGAGTGCCATAGTCCGACTGCGGCGGCGGCGTGGGAGGGCTGCGCAGTGTGATATGCGCGAGCGAGTGACGCTTCTTGACCTTGGTTTTTAAATCCTTGGACAAGGGAGACTCGTCCGAGGGAGGCGTTGACGAAGGAGATGTCGGTGTCTTGCGCCCAGAGGAAAATTGGGACATGAACGAGACAACTATAGGTCACTGGTCAGCACTCGTGGGAAGAAAAAGAGGCTAGAACGGCAGGCCAGGCGATTTGGACATGCTTATTGCGGTAAGCATTGAGTTTAAGAGCGCCAGCCAAGCAGATCCGTCCCGTGCCTGGTTGCGAGCAGCGCCGAACAGAGCCACCCTGGCGGCGCGTACAGGTGACAGGTGGTGTATGGCAGCAGGTCGCACGGGCGCTGTGCCGTGCTGCACGCTCGCTGCTCGCTGCTCTGCACAGCAGCCGGGGGCGCCACAAAGGGCCAAGCACTGTGGTGCGTGGAGGCCAATGATGCCACCGACCTGCGCAGCGCAATGCTGGGGTCTAGCGAGGGAAATGGAGCCCCTAGAATGAAGCCAAGCTAGAGGCTAGGGGTCCTGCTGGGGGCTTTGGTAGGGGTGTGGGAGGGGCATTGTGACGAATGCGTAAAATGACGGGCCAGACAGGAATGGGGCACGAACCTCGATTGCGACCCATGATGGCGATGCGGCCGATCCGTGGACCAAGACACACAGAAGGCGGCGATGAGCGAGCGTTTATGTACAGTGCTGACGAGAGCGCTGCGATATCATGTACAAATCCGTACTCTGCGCTGATGGCGACGGCCACGGATGATGGCGAGCAGTTTGATCTCTTCTTTTCGATCTTTTTCCCTTCGCCCCCCCGTCGTGTCGTATTCGGAGTTGATTGCTCCGACAAGGAATGCAATAGTCGATAATGTATAATGCACAGCGCAAAAAGGGGGAAGGCTGCGATTGGCGGGGTCCGGCGACTTGAGCAAAAAAAAAAAAAAAAATGAGACGGCTGAGCTTATTCCCAATGGTGTCGCGGGCTAGATAAAGTAGGCGTCTGTCAAAAAGAGTGGCGATCAACGACGCACTCTGTGCCCTTTTCTTCTTCCTTCCCCTTCAATAAACTGGCGTGAAAGATGCTCTTGGCTTCGTATCGTATGTTTTGTTCCAAGACCTTTGTTAGTATCCAGGAGGGCCCCGTGAGACAAGCACGCGACAGGATTGCCTCGTATCGTATTGATTTAGTCGAACTGCGGTTAGCGCTTGGCGATTGATGCTTTGTTGCGCTGCTTTGGGCCCTCTTCCCCAATCACTCTGCCGTCTTACTCTTTGGGAAGGAGAAAGCGAAAGCGGGAGACAAGGTCGCAGGGCAGGCTGGGAAAAAACGAGCGTCTGGTACTATTTATCATTAACGGCCTCTTTCATGCAAAACCAGCTGTGGGAAAGCCGTTTCTATGGGGGTGGGCTCCCAGCCAGCGGATATGCCGGAGCCATCGAGCACATTGGCATGACAGCAACATGACTAGGAAGACCCGGCCGGAGCACACAAAAAAAAAGCCAAGAACAACGGCTCCGCTTCAATCCAGGAGCGCCTCATACTTTTTGTCTTCTTTCCTTATGTTCTCCAACCTGCCCGGGCGGGAGTATTGCAGCCACGCGTATAAGCTCGCGCCGTTTCTAGCGGGCTTATACCGACAAGCCATGGCCACGGCACGGCGGACGGAGCAACTGGGAGCCCAATTGGAATCTTACTCACCAGGTACCGGTACTCTTGCGTCTCACTGGCTCAGGAGAGCGCGGAGAGAGCAGATGCTTAAGCTGTTTGGCTGTGGCGTATTTGTTTCGTTTTCAGTTTGTACGAGGCGCAGTCATACGATGCTGCGAGCCACTCCAGACCTCGTCAGCGCTTCGGCCCAGGTATATCCAATGGGTGCCGGCGCTCGTATCAGATGTGTTGTTGGCGCTGCGCTGCCAAGGGCGAGACTGGTGCGGCCAAGAGCCAAGAGAATACCAAGAGAAAACCAAGAGAGTAAAAAAACAACTCTGAGCAATTTTTCCAGCGGCCAACCCACTTTTGAAGCTTTCCTCCTGCTCGTCGTCGTCGTCCTGTCTGAGTCCTTGACGTCCTTCCACGTAGTCGCCAAGACAGTTCTAGATTCTCTGTGACGGCACGGGAGCATGCATGCTCGACGTCACCGGGTGAGTGGCAGCTGAGGCGGCGCGCACTAAGCAAGGCGATCGGCCACAAACGTTAAAACCGGGAGCTGAAGATGGAGAGACAAGATCGTCACAACGACGTCGCAAGATCCAGAATCGCAGAAGCAGCCACACAAGAGATCGAGGGGAGGCTGGAGAGCTATTTAAGCAGCGACGGAAATAGCCTACCCAGGTCCTTTTACCTGATCCTCTATTACGGATACGGAGGCCAAGCTATTAGACGTAGATGCCGCGTACTGCACTGAAGAATGTGCAGCGCAAAGAGCCCCATATTTGGACAACTATGCACGCAAATACGGGGATAGATACGGGGCCGAAACCAACTGGCGGCGCCTACGGGCAAGTATACGATGGTGTTGGCCAGGAGGTATGTACCTACTTGCATGCCCCTCTGGACCCAGGCGGTGATTTGCCTGGGCGCGCTCTTTATTTGCCTAACGAGATGGCGCTTCTCTGCGTGTACAATCACGGCTTTTGCGTGCAATTCTGCGCCCGCAGTGGATAACAAGCAGTCTCTCCGTAAAATTGAAGCCACTATCATCAGGTAGCTCCGGATGCCCCGTATGCGCAGTGGGGCTTCAGGTTTCTCAAAGGACCCCCTATCAACGAGCCGGATACATGTATTTAACCTCTATCCAACGGGCCTGGAAGCACGAGCCTTTCTGTATTGATGCTACTTTTAGCCCACTCATCATGTAGATAGCGCCGTCGCTTCTGGAATGGCGTTCCAGAACTACATTGGCTGCTTGAGGCCAAGGCGCCTAATAAGGTACTTATAGGAACGTACTCCGTATATGTGTGCCAATACAGTAGCACTAGCATGCCTGCAAATGGTATCATCGAAAAGACCCATGTATCACTTCGCCCAGGTTTGGGAGGCCCTCTCAAGTCATATCCACCAACAAGGGCCATGACGCCTACCTTGCCGCCAGAATAATTCCATGGCCCTGTTGTTTCGGGCCCTTCTAGCCGCTGTGCATCACTGGCTGTCAAAGCCCGCAGACGCAGAGGTTAAATAGTCGCAGCATTAATCAGTCCACCGCCTTGCAGCCCGTCCTACCGCTCTAGGCAAGTAGCGCCACACCGCGATGCAGGAACTTGCGCACTTTTTTTAGCATTTAGCATTTATTTGCCTTGCTTAAAACCACTTCGATCCAAGGTTGTTAAAGCCCCTGCATGCTCGGCTAGCCGTGGGCACGAGCTTGACTTGATATACCTGTCTGCCTCCCGAGCCACTCTGGAGATGCTAGTGCTTCAAGCCTATGCCTAATGCTACGACGCCATGTTTGGAATAGCGGAGGGAGGCTACCATGGCAGTTCTGCCCATTGGGGAAGAATCCAAATTCAATCCATCCATTATTACACCGAGCGCAAGCTGCAACGTTGTACAAATTACATGCATCGCCGTCGCCAAGCGAAATCGGGAAACTCCCGGCATTCAAAAGGCGGGTGGCACAGCCAGCCATAAAATCTTTCTGCCAATGGGATTTGCCGAACATCTCTAGGTTCGAAGCCTCACCGCGAAAAGTGTCATGTCCAAGACTCCCAAAGTACGACCACCTACTACCGCCAACAGTAGTACCTTGACATGACTCTCGCACCATATACCAGAGACGGCACCGAGAGTCATGTCAGCGCTTGTTCCTAGTGCTTTCGGGAGCGGCACCGTTTCGAAAACTCATGGGCCTCTGCCGCTGAGGCAAAACCGGCACAAAAAAAAATCAAACCGCTGAAGAATGATTCCTCTTTGACCGAGGAAACATAATGCCAAATCTCCATCGAATGGCTCGTGCTGACGACCCAGGAAGGGCAGTAGTGGTGCGTATTAGCTCTAGCTGCCAACGCACTCTGACGTCATCTGAACCCCTTAAAAAAGGAAGCAATTGATTCTTCTTTATTTCCACGATAGAGCCGCATACTATCTGATCATGAAATCGCCCAAGAATTCATTGCTATCTAGAGCCATTGCACCATTATCGACGCGTCACAGCAAAGTCCAAGCCTCTTCTTTACCCCGGGCTAAGGCAATGCCGGGACCCATGCCATCTGCCTGTATCAATCAGCTCTCGTCTGCGCAGTGTCCATCTTCAGGCCCAAGCCGATCGCCGCCTTGGCCGCACTGAAACATGTACGTCAATGAAATCCAAATCGACGGGCGACAACAAGTCCATCGCACGCTATTCTTAGAGTGCGCCCGGTACTGCCCCGTAGCTCCCCGTATTACTGTCTGCTACACACATTAGTCGGTAGTACACGTAGCCACAATTGCTTGTTTTTTGTTCTGGCGATCCCCCGAATCAGACCCCCTCCACTCGCTATGGAGTCCAATAATGTCAGATACAGTCAGGTAGACGCCGACAGTCGGTGTGCTGATCAGCTCTCACTGACAGTTGACTGACGTGGTACTCCATGTCCCCTGCTTGGATCTTGAATTGCTGCGGAACATTCGGGTTGTCGGGCTTTCAAGCGGCGCTCATGTGCCTTCCTTTTCATTTCCGTTGAAATTAGAAAGTCGAGGCCATCCTCCGCGGTAATTTGACCCTCTGCTTTTATATGGCTACTGTCATTATAAATTCCGCTGCGACTTACATGGGTACTCATATCGCGCATGGCCGCCTGGGCTATGGTACCTACCTTAGGTACTATTACAAATGCAGACATCGTTAAGCGATATTAGACAACCAAACAGACGAAATAGATTCAACCCTTGGCGATCATATATTGCAGCTGGTAGCATTACTCGCGCTCTATTAGACAAGACTATTCGTTGCATCGTAAGCGGTTGTGATATCCAAACCGTATATACTCAAGATACTGTAGGGTAGGATGCAAGTCGCGCAATACTCCGCAACGGAACTTTGGCCATCACGTGCGGAGGAGCGCCATGTCTCAAGCTCCGATCTAGCTGCTGATTCCCAGACAATCTCCTGATAGCATTCAGGAATTGCAAAAGGCTGTGGCAGCGACCCCAACGGGTCAGCATCGCTGTACATGGTTGGAATGCGCACATTACAATACCCTACGCTGGCGGCTTTCCTGACCTCTTCATCGCGTCCGAAGCAGCTCCCAGGTCTGCTGTGGGGCCGCTGGGGGAGATGCTTCGTCTCTGCGGCATCGCAATCGCCATCACGCTATGCGAAATCACCGTTTCGCTTTGAGACTGGCATTGGACTGTTTGCAAAACGATCCCCTCGGCCATTTCCTCCACCCTTCTTGTCTCCTCCGTCCGTCTCCTTCTCAGATCCTCTAAGTACTCATCACCTGAGCCGGGACCGCCGACCCCACGCAACTATCAATGGAGAGCTCATTAGAGGACTCACAAATGGTGATGATGCCGTGTATGCTAGCGACTATTTCATATGTACAAACGATGGCGTAGGCGCGTGGGCAACGCGCCCACGAGGTCATGCTGGGTAACTTCTCCTGTGATATGGTGAACCATACTGTAAGAGCGCGGCCCTGACGGACATGACAGATTGTGGTCGCGGTTAGTATTGCACTTCTGGGCGGCGGCCATTGAAGAAGAGTCGACCAATAGCCTATTCCAGCAAGTGGCCTATCAGCCCGACCCCATTGCGTCTCTTCAGACGGCATACGAGCAAACGCAAGAAGCGACTGGCGCTCATAACTGGCAGGGGACCACAACAGTGTGTGGCGCCCAGCTGCATTACAGGACGGTGATGGATGCGGGGCGCGAAGTTGCTACGCCAGTTCTATATGCGACAAACCTGGGCGACGGTCAAATCTTGGTTCTTCGACCTCGAGATGAGGAGATCATCTACAAAACCACAGAGCAGTGGCACTGGTTCGACTGTCCACGCCAGCTCGGCACCAATAGCCCTGATACGCCAAAGCAGAATGCAGTTGTTGACACAATAGATTTGGAAGAGGGCGACGTGGTCCTAGCAATGAGCGATGGTGTTATTGATAATCTCTGGGGGCACGAAATTGCTGCCAATGTATTTCAAAGCATCAAAGCGTGGGAAGCTGGGAAAGGCGCTGATGACCAAGGCGATCGCACAGGAGGACGTAATGGCGGTATGGCTCTTGCAGCTCAAAACCTAATGGCAGCTGCCAAAGTGATAGCGTTGGACCCGTATGCAGAGAGCCCATTCATGGAACATGCCATAGAAGAAGGGCTGGCTAGCGAAGGAGGTTGGTTCACATCTATCCATCCCCCCAACCCTCATGAAACATACTTACTTCTTCATGAATAGGAAAATTGGATGATATCAGCGTCGTCGCAGCATTGTGTGTTAGAGACAGGAAACAATAGTTTTGCAAAGCTTTTCTTGATATTTATACACCACAGACATGTTATTTGCGTTGATTTTTATAATGGAATTTACTGGCAACAAGGCAGCTATGGGGCACGTAGAACGATCAAGTCTGGGAGATGAATTTTCTCGTGGATATTGGCTGAGTAGCATTAATAGTACATAACGGTAGTGATACGAGTTATATTTTATATTGTTAAGGCACTGCTCCCGTCTTACACGGCGTCTGAAGATGGAGATCAAGTTGGAGAGATGTGAGCGGGGCGGGAAGCCGCTAGTACGCACCTCTACCAAGGTACGTAGTTGAATGCCTTATCGCAAGTGCTCCACTATGTCGCGATAAGCCTGGAAATTTATTTTGCAAGCTAGTTACCAGCTGGGACTTTATTGCTGCGCCGATAGATTCTTGGTCCTGTTTTTCTTCTTTGAACTTCATTTGGAGCCGGCTGAAGAAGATATATCAAAATGAGAGGAAAACGATCAAAACAATATCGCAAGCTCATGGAGCAATTCTCCATGACCTTTGGCTTTCGCGAACCATATCAGATTCTAGGTTTGTCTCTGCCAACGTCTCGTGACGGTTACATATCCGAAAACTAACGGGTTTTCGGGCTTGCAGTGGACGCAGAAATGGTCAAGGATGCGAATAGATTTACTATGGATCTGGCGCCCGCGTTGGAAAGGACAGTTCACGGAAAAGTGAAGCCATGTGAGCGACGGCGTCAATGGGTAACCTGGGATGAATGCTTACAAGTTACCAGTGATTACTCAATGCGAAATCCGAAAACTATACGCGAATAAGGACCAGCCTGGCGGCAATGCAGCGATTGAGTTGGCCAAGACGTTTGAACGAAGGCGCTGCGGTCATCACCCCGACCAGTACCCCAAACCTCTCGAAACGATAGAGTGCATGCAATCTGTGGTCGATCCCAAGTCAACAGGCGAGAACAAGCACCGCTACGTTGTCGCAAGCCAAAATCTGGATGTTCGAAGAATGCTACGAGGAATCAGAGGAGTCCCGCTGATATACATCAAGCGGAGCGTCATGATCTTGGAGCCCATGGCGGACGAGAGTGTACAAATCCGAGAGCGAGAGGAGAAGCGAAAATTTAGGGCAGAGCTTAAGAAAACACTGGGCAAAAGGAAACGCGAGGACAAGGACGACAAAAATGAGGGCGAGGCCGATGGCAATGGAAGCGACAGCGAGAACGAAAACAAGGCAGCGCTGGCATCCGGATCGGAAAAGAAGCCTAAAAAGTACAGAGGAGCCAAGGGAGCGAATCCGTTGGCCATGAAAAAGAAGAAGACCCAGCCATTAGAGAAGAAAGCAGCTGTGAAGAAGCCAGATGCCGAACCAGATGCACCAGCCAAGCGGAAGCGAAGAAGGAAGGCCAAATCAGAGAACGGCGCAACGAACAACGCGCCAGAACCAAGCACAGCAGCTCCCAGCAATGGCGCAGAGGAGAGCTGAAGCGTTAATTAGTTGGAGGACGAAAATGGATTAGAGTCACCACCAGTGGTGATTAATGCGGGCAATGGAGCATTTGGGCGGCGCTCCTGTTATTGAATGCTACGGAGTTATTATAATAATTTGATATCTAGCACTTACCAAAATAGATAGAAGCGAATGTCAATATGGGTACGATTGTTACAAACTGTAGCTAAGAACTTAATCACTGACGGTTGCGGGATACAGGTGTCTCGAAAGGCAAGGAATGCAGATTGGATGCTGTTGATGAATGAGTTGTCTCGAAGCGGACGGCTTGGAGAGAGGACAAGCCATTTTCTTGAGCATGACTCGCACGTGCTGTTTCCTAAGACAGCAATGAAAATGAAAAAAAAAAGAAGACTAGAATAATACATATTAAACCAGCTTGTTTGGTCTATTGATATAAGCAAATATCGACATTCATAGGACTGGTAGGTCTTGACAGCTGCTAAGACTTGGCCCACTACGACAACGTATCACATGTATAATCAACTGTTTACCATTTACTTCGTACTGCAAATAAGGCACTTACTTGGGTAAGTGGATACCTGCTAGGTATGGTAGTGGGCATATTAAGACAAGAATTAAAGAGAAGAGAAAAAGAGAAGTAGAACAAAAAGAGAAAAGAATAAAATAAAAAAGAATAAAAGGAACGTTTCAAGCGACGAATTAGGAGCGCCGGTGCTCACTCCGCCCCCCACGCGGTGACTTGCTCTCTCTTACATAGTACTATATCCCAACCAGCCCTGGTTTCGAATACGGGGCAGTGCGCAATACCTTGTGATTTAGTCGGATCGTGATAAGATGACCATAAAATATCCCTGATCATCATGCGGTCTTACTTGCAAGTCCCCTCTCCAAGCTGTTTCTTGGGTGATGGCTGGGCTCTGAATACGAATGCGAGTGCGCTGCCACTGTGGAAATTGCATGTCCAAGCACAGGATACGGAGGGAACCAGGACTGGACTAGGCCGACTCCTCTGATATTCCCGCACAGCGCGGCCTTTCCCCTACGCTGCGCTGCTTATTTTGCTTATTTCCACAGACGAGAGTGACCGAAGCCGTTTTACAGCCTGGCCGTTGGGTTGCTGGTGGTGTCAGCCAACGCCGGATTTCGCAGCCTGAAAGCGGCAGCGCCTCCCGCTAGCTGGGCCACTAATTTTAATTTAACGACGTAACCGCACTTCCGCAACACCGCCCTCTCTTTACTGCTGCGCGTGCATCTCCAACTTCGAATCGAAAAAAAAAGAGAGAGAACGGCGACGGCGTTTACTTTGCAGAGCCGTGCCTCCCACCACCGCCATCACGTCCCATCCATGCTCCTCGCGTGTGCCGCCCAGGTGGATGTGGACGTGATATTCAGCAACCCCTCCTCGCATCCCTTGTGACAATGGCCAGCGTAAGCCAGGATACAGAGCCCGCGGCGGCCGCCGGCAATGCGACTCCAGCGCCACCGGCGAGCACAGCACCGGCTGAAACCGCAACGGCGGCGGCGACGGTTGCTGTACTAGAGGTCGACGACTTCGGCCTGCCTATAAAGAAGTTTATAACGCCGGTGGTAGAGACCACAGGCTCGGAAGCCCAAGATGCGACAGACGATGCGAACACGGGCGACGAGATCCAGAATGGGACACACGAAATTCAAGAAAACGGCGGGGAGACAAAAGAAGTTACGGATAACAAAAGCGGGCACACGTCAGGCGACGGTACGGAAGACGCTGATCCCAACGATGCTCAGGAAGCCAGAACTGCGGCTACCTCGCCCATACAAGAGGAGACCAAGGCAGAGACAGGCCATCAAGAACCCTCAAGCCCATCGATAGATGCTGAGAAGTCGAATCCTGCCTCCCCATCTCCGGCAAAGGATGCTCCAGCAGTTGTAGTGCCTTCTACGCCAAAGACTCCCAACACCGCCACCGGATGGGGCGACAAGTCTGCCCAGGCAAAGACGCCTGAGGGACTCAACCAGACACACAGACGAGAGATAAGCTTCTCGAGTCCCGCTAGTGGAAGGGGCATTTCGGAATACTCTCATCAGCACGTTTTAATGCAGTCAGAAGAACATGAAGCCCAATTGAAAGATGACGATGATGGCGGCTGGCAGGAGATGCCATCCTACGCCCGGTATGACATGTATGACGACGACGACCGATTAATTGCTCGAGAGCACGATGCAGATGAGGACGAAACTTATGGTTATGCGGGGCTCGGCGGCGCCGGAAAGGGATATACACGCGTTATAATGGATGAAGATGCCGAGTCGGCAACGAGCATGGATGAACACACACAGTACTTATTCAAGGACCCCAAGAGCACGAGCGCCATGGGCGAAGATGACGAGGCCAGAGACGCTGTGTCACAGATGCAGGCTACGAAAGATCTCCTCACCGAGGGCCAAAGGATTGCGTACGTCGGCGTTGTTCGCCTGGAAATTGTAAACCTAGTCAAAGAAGCCAGCCTGGAAATTACAAGAGGAGCCAAAAGGCAGGTCGTCATGGGTGCCGAAGCAGTCAAGATGTGGGGTCAAAAGATGATGATTCGGCTCTACGCTCATATGGACATTAGCGATGCAGAGCAAATCATGATTGAGCAGCTTGCAGCCCACGGCGTCATGGCTCAAGACCTGACACCTGCTCTGCTCGCCAACTCTCGAGTTCATAATCCCATGGCTGAAGAAAAAAGCGGAGGGCCACCCGGGACACCCAATTCTGGCCGCTATCCGCCATCATACGCAGAGGAAGAGAAGCCTGCCGAGATGCCGCCACCGTACGAGACGCACACCGGCGAGGAGCTGCCGGAGGTGAAGACACCATCACAGATGCCGACAACAGAGAAAATCGACATTGATCTGCGATGGACGATTCTCTGCGATTTATTCCTGATTCTCATTGCAGACTCAGTATACGATGCTCGGTCAAGAACCTTGCTGGAACGGGTCGCCAAGAGCTTGGATATCTCGTGGATAGACATTTGCAAGTTTGAAAAGAGAGTGACGGATGCGCTGGAGATACAACAGGCTGCCGAGAAGGAAAATTGGAACGAAGAAGAGCACATGGAGCACCGCAGAAAGATGGCCCTGAAAAAGCGATATATCATGATGGGCCTGGCTACCGTGGGAGGTGGTCTTGTTATTGGCCTTTCAGCTGGTCTACTTGCCCCTGTCATCGGAGCTGGTTTGGCGGCTGGCTTTACAACTATCGGTGTCACGGGTACAAGCAGTTTCTTGGCTGGAGCGGGAGGAGCAGCCATCATCACGTCCAGCGCAGCGGCTTCAGGAGGCATCATTGGTGGCAGGGCAGCCGGTCGCCGAACCGGCGCCGTCAAGACCTTTGAGTATCGGCCCCTACACAACAATAAGCGTGTCAATCTTATTGTTACGGTGTCTGGCTGGCTGACAGGAAAAGTCGACGACGTCCGCTTACCGTTCAGCACGGTTGATCCAGTAATGGGTGACATGTACTCGGTACTGTGGGAACCAGAAATGCTTAGGAGTATGGGTGACACTATTAACATTCTGGCTACCGAGGTGAGCATTGTTTCAAAGATTGGTCGAGATTCTTTTTCTGCACTTTACAACTGATGGAACCCATTTTAGGCACTTACTCAAGGTCTGCAGCAAGTCCTGGGCAGCACCATCCTTGTCAGTTTGATGGCAGCTATCCAGCTCCCAGTGGTTCTGACCAAACTTTCCTACCTCATCGACAACCCCTGGGCGGTTTCCCTGGACCGCGCAACAGCGGCGGGTCTTATCCTAGCAGACTCGCTGATAGAACGGAGCTTGGGCACCCGACCCATTACTCTTGTCGGATACTCACTCGGCGCTCGAGTCATCTTTTCCTGTTTGAGAGAGCTGGCGAGAAAGGGTGCATACGGACTTGTCCAAAATGTGTACATGTTTGGATCGCCAATTGTGGTGAGCAAGGATGATTTCCTCAAGGCACGGTCGGTAGTTTCAGGCCGTTTTGTAAACGGATACAACCGCAATGATTGGATTCTCGGCTATCTTTTCCGGTTGACAAATGGAGGTATTAGGAAAGTGGCCGGATTAGGTCCTCTGACAGACTGCCCGTGGGTAGAAAGCATTGACGTGACAGACCTCGTGGCTGGCCACATGGAGTACCGTAAGGCCATGCCATCTCTTCTCATCAGATGCGGATGGCTTGTCACCAGCGAGGAGTTTTCGGAGATTGAAGACCCAGATCCCGATGATCACCAAGGACGACAACGCGAGCTCATCAATGAGATTGAAGAAGCACGCAGAGAGCTAGAGAGGGAGGGCAAAGCAGAAAAGAGAGGAAGCAAGTTTGGAATATTTGGCCGGCGCAAGAAGGGAGAGCGACAGGAGTGGGAGATTTACGAAGAATCAGGCAAGGGCTCAGCCAAGGACGAGAAGAAGACTGAAGGCAGCGATGGCAGCAACTATGGCGTGCTGTTTGACATTGACGCCATCCGAGCTGAGCTGGCCAAGGAGGCCGAGAATGAGGGCGGGGAAGAGATTCAAGTCAAGGAAATCAAGTCTACGCTTCCGCCAATGAAACTTGATTACTCGCCGGTGAGTTCTCCAAGAACGCCGGTGCGAGGAGCGTCCCTGGGGCCACGGGACTCGTGGCAGACGTCAAAGAGCGCAGAAGTATTGCCGATACGCTCCTCAAACGGCGGCAGCGGTGGCTACAGTCCGCGGGAGCCGCCGGCAACGACGACGCTAGCAACGCCCATAACACGATCGCCAGCACCGCCATCGCCGTATCTTTATGAGGCGAACCCACACGAAGAGGAGGAGATTTCCATGACGTTTGACACATCGTTCCACGAGCCTGTTGCTCGGCGCCACTCTACGTTTGATGAAGAGCCGAGCAGGCCGGAGATTAAGACTACGAATACGCTACCAAATGTACCGAATGTTTCGAACCCATGGAATGACTTTGATGATGATGAGTTTGGCAAGGAGCAGGAGATTTCCATGACGTTTGCATAACTGCTAGATGCATCTGGGGAGTGCTGATTCAGCTTATTCTCTTCTTTTATTCTTCTTTGCAATATATCTCTGCACGTCATAAATGGAGTTGGGTAAACCTTTTTTTTCTCTTTTCTTTCCTTTTCTTTTTCTTTTCTTTTCTTTATTTTTTTTTTCTTACCTGCGTTTTATTTCGGTCATCATCTTCCCACTGCCTCTTCTTTGTTGCGAGATATCTTGGGGTTTGTAGAGGTTTTAGGTGAATATGGATGGGGATGCTATGGATGACGTATGACTATAGTTTTATCTTATATTTGAAACGTGATGGGATTTTGATTGATGAATGAGGAAGAGGGTATTGATGTTGAACTTGCCTGGCGCTGGGAGGAGCGGGAATGTGTGCCATGTACTTTTTGTGGCTGTACGATGGAGAGAAGATAGATGTGTGTGTGGTTAGAAAGAGACATTAAAAAAGAAGGAGAAGAGAAGGCATGTTTTATTAATAGAGGAAATGAATCCAGACTATTGCTTATACATGTATGTACCGCCTACTGTCGTTGTTTTATATGAACTATTATACTGTACTATGTAGCAATGAGTTGTGTGTTATGCCATTGAGTGCTACTACTACTACTACTAGGTACATATTAGCAGGCATTAGCTCAACGCTCTAAATGCTGCTCTGCTCTATTGCCATTGTACACGGCAGCACTGGCTATTGACTTGGATGCTGCGTGCATGGGTGAAACAGGCTATTTCCAAGCCACGATGCAATAACGCGACGCAACGGTTCGCTAGCAAGTGGGTGTCAGTCGACCGGATAGGCTGAGGAGGATGAGGAGGTGGCCAAACGGTGATGCTGGGCTGGGCTGGGCTAGTAGTAGCATAGTAGGTATCAGCTCCTTTATCACGCGGGCCAAGCGTTGGTTCCACGCCAATGAAGCAGCAGCTGAGCCTGGACGCATCATCGTCGATCCATTTACTCTGTGCAAGTTCTGATAAATGGTCTCTTCTCCTCCAACAAAGTTGTAATGTGTGTGTAAACCATCACCATCACCATCACCAGTACGGCGTATAAACCCCCCTTCACGACAAGGCAGACAGACCTCCACCAATTCGTTTCTGCTCCCAACTTGTGCTTCCCCACCACCACAAAAAGCCAATCCCCATGTCGGGTCCCGACCCAGTCAGCCGCGGTGGAGCCTCTTCAGCCTCACCCGGCACCGTCCATAGGCTGTCCCTAGTTGTTTGGCTTAGCCCGGCTCCATTTTTGCGAGGAATCGATTCCTACCAGTAGTCTAAAATAGAGAGTAGTCTACTCTGATGTGTACTTTGTCTCGTTTCTCCGTGTTGCTTTATATATCAAAAGCTGCTTCTCTTTGAACTACATTATTGTAGTAGTAGTATTAATGTCTCTTCATCACCCCTTTTTTTTAAAAAAAAATCCTTCTTTCAAATTCCCACCTCTTCTGCCGATCAAACTCCATTTCTCATAGCACTAGGTTGGTTATTTGTAAACATTTCAACAAGCCCCAGGTAGTAGTTAGTTCCACCAACCGCCGACCTGTCAGCTTTTCGTAGCCCGTCAGCAACTCCGACGCTTTGAGCCGATCCCCCGTTTTTTGTTTTTCGTTTCTTCTCCCCAACAGCCCACCTTTTTTGTGTACCGTATCTATATATATATATACTGCTATCGTTGCCGTATGTATCTCCCCGGTCATGTTTGTATCAGGTAGTACATACCTTAGCACATACATAAGATTCATTGCGGTGTATACCTACATACTTTGTAGATGTGCCCGCAGGACGAACTAGACATAGAATACCTGGTCCTACTACGAACCTACTAGACTATAGTACTGGGTGCTAGTACCTAGTAGTATTACTGAACCATCACCACCACCACCCCCAGACAAGAGCAAAATAAAAAAGATGCCATTTTTAGAAAGCCTTATTTTTGCCTCGCCCACTTGGAAAAAACTCACGCCAGTCGTGCCTCGCCGCCCGTCACCATCTCTTTTTACTCCTTTTCTCCTCTTCTTTTTTTTTTTTTCTTTTTCTCGTTTAGACGCCAAGAAAGAGGGGGTCCCTGAAGGATGGGATGCGACAGTTCGGGCCCGAGTCCTGCTCTGCCGCCACTGCAACCCAACCAACGAATGAACAGACATTGAAGCACCGCAGCCGCAGTTATAGAAGCAGTGCTAGTAGATTGTAGACGTGGTTTAGCAGCAAGTACTAGTTATGTATAGCACGATGAATGGGTCCATCGTCAGTTCACGCACCGTCTCCGTCCAATCCATCTGCAACAGCTGAAGAAGCAACTCAAGCGGGACAGAAAAAAAAATGAGCGGCCACTGTTGGTAGGATTGCTCCGTTGTAAATTACTACTACTGAATTGCCTAGCATCGTTTTTTTTTTTCTCTCTCCTCTTCGCTGGCCGCTATGCCTCTCTAAAAACCCCCCGGTCTTACAATCTCACATCGCGTGCAGCTCTGCGCCTCGCTCGAGTCGTCGTCGTTTGTCTGACGAGCCCACTAACACCCGACTCGACTTACACCTCCCCAGCCCACCCCTGTAGATTGTCTCTGCCCTGCGCTACTGCATCTCGCTCTCTTTCTCTCTTGCGTTCTTCTCTCTCTTCTCCTTCTTCTCCTCTCTCCTCTCTGGTTTCTTTGATATCTGACATCTTTTCTTCTTCTCCCCTGCTGCGTTTCCGCCGCTTCTTCTCTAGCTAAGTCCGGCTGTTGTCGCTGGGGCTGGGGCATTGCCTATTCCAGGGACGCCTTACCACACCACCACAGCTCACAACGTATATACCTATACAATTCTTATAGAGAAAAAAAGAGACAGAGAGAGAGAGAGAACCGCTTCCCAGTCGGTTCATCTCAAAAACCAAAAAAAAAGAAAAAAAAAAAATCCACCGGGAATGGCGAGCCTCGACCCAAAACCCGCTGCCTCCAGCATCCCGCCGCCCAACGACGTGCCCAACGCCTCTCCAACCGACAGTCCCAACGGCGGCTCTCTCAACGGCAATGGCGATACCATCAGCGGCGGCGGCGCCGGGCAGGACACCAGCAGCAGCATCACCAGCAGCATGAACATCCTCTCCAGCGCTTCACCCACGCCTGCGCCCTCCAACCCGGGCATCCTCCCGCCTGCGTCGACGGCAATCCTCAGCTTCAACAACACGGCCAACTTTGGCAACAGCATTGCCGGCCGTGTCTTTTACACCGACATGCGGACAAAGCCCTTCTCCTGGACGTACGACTCCTCCAACACGAAGCTGCTGGACATCTTCTGGTATGGCAAGAACAACACCGGCGAGCCCTTCAACACGTCTCAGGCGACCGTCATTGCCTCTGCCGAGTTTGATGGTCCTACAGCTCTCGAGTTCTCCAAGCGTATGTTTTTTTTTTTTTTTTTGGTTTTTCTCTCTCACTTTTTGTAGATATATATATATACACACACACACACACGCATATGATTATAAGGCCCCCTACTCTTTTTTAACCGTGCAGAAAAGACGAAGCAAGAAGAAACAACAAAAACCCCCCTCACCCCACCTGAAGCATTAATGACAATGGCTAACAACAAAGAATCCAAACATTCCAGTCACCGCCTTGAACGCAGTCCTCAACCTCACAGCCCCCCATGTAAGGAACTGGTACGAAAAAGAAATGGTCATCAAGATCGAATGGAGAAACCAAGACGAAGAACAAGGCTTCTCGCAGTCCGGCGTCTTTACCGTCGCCGAGAAAAGCGATCCTACCTTTAGCGCAGAGGACTTTGGCCGCAACGCAACCCGGGCCGAGCAGGACAGGCAGGGCTTCGAATCAATCACCTCCCAGGGCAACCAGAGCACCGCAGCGCCCACTGATGTCGGCAGACCTTCTGGCGGCGGCGGCGGCCTCAGCACAGGCGCCATAGCCGGCATCGCCGTGGCTTGTTCAGTCGTAGGCATCGCCCTCATCGCCGGCCTGGTCTGGTTCCTCCTCCGTCGTCGAAGACGCTCCGTGGGCGAGGGCTACAAGGCCACCCGCCAAACCACAAACTCCTTCACTGCCGTCAAGGAGGCCCGGCCCTCCGTCGCCGAGTCGCCCATTGTATCGCCCTTCTCCGACGACGGCGAGGCCCGCGGCTTTTCCAGCTCCAACATTGCCATTGCCCTGCCGCAGCGGAGCACGACAACCACCAGAGCGGTGTCTGCACCCAATGGCGAGAGCAGGACAGATCGTACAGAGTCTGCTGCGTCGGGCAACAGGCCGCGTGGCATTGCCCACCTTGTCGAGGAGGGTATGACGGAGGCTGATATCCTGCGGCTGGAAGAGGAAGAGCGACACTTAGATGCCGAGATTGAGCGTGCAGCCCGAAGAGGCTCTTCTTAAAACCCTGACTCGCCAACAACAAGAGAGAAGAGACTTGGTGAAACTAGACAGACCGTTGTGATCTTTCTCTCCTCCCCTGCGCCTTTTCTGCTATAAAATCCGGGACGCTGCGTCCCATGCTGCCGCATTTATCCGTTGGAGTCTGTAATCCCCCCCCCCCCCAGTAATGATTTGGATGTCATTTGAGCGCAATGGACGTCACGACTTATTATACATACGAGATCAGTCCTTGGCGGCATTCTTATAGTCAAAATTACCCACGCTGTCTTGACTGGAAATGACTTTGACGTTCTGAAAGATAATGACCTGGTTCCTCTCGCGGGCATCCCCTTTTCGTGTTCTTGCCTTTTTTCCTCTTTAATCTCGATCTGTATATAGACATATACCCTCTGCGTACATTTAGCAGGTTCTTTGGATACCACGAGGGCGCCACTCGCTGTAAAAATTTTTAATAGAGAAACAAGAATATAAATAAATGCTAACCTCATTCTTCATTGCTTCGTATTTCTTATCTTGCATGTGGAAATGTAGATTGGAAGAAAGGCTGAATTCGATCGAATAAAACTCCTTCCAGCCATGCTCTAGGGACCCAAAACGTAGTAGACTTGCTAAATAATAATAATCCACCTCCGCCTAAACCATATGATAAATGTCGGCGTGGCCTCTCGACTCAAAATCCAGCCATTCTCAGACCAGCACCATGCCGTGTTATATATGAGGGTGGCTATGAAAACCAGCACACACAATTTCGTAAAATCTCACCAGTCAAAAACAAGAATACCGCTCTCACACACATAAAACGTCTTTCTTTGATTTACGACCTGAACATGCGGCTGACAAAATTGCTCGCAAGGCTTGTTGCCAGGTTTGTCGATCCGAAGGCGCCGCCCGCGAAATTGCTCGCTTGGCTGAACTTGTCGCATCGAGAGAACGCCAGAGTATTGATGATGGTGAGAGCCAACGCGATAGCTAGATACCACATAAGTATACCGATGAAAAAAGAAGCAAACAAGGAAAAGGAAAAGAGAAAATGGCCGTAACTCACCAACAAGAGGCAGCCACAAAAACTGCAGCCGTATAATGGCAAGAATCGCCATCAATATCCACCACAGCGGCTGAATATAGAGCGCCAGCCAAAAGAACCGGCTGTCCGTCGAGTTGATCTGTCTCGTCCCTGGCTCTAGGCTCTCAAACACCCACTGCGAATCGCCCGTCGAAGGATCAACTTCGTTCCACCACCGCAGCCCGACAAGACGACGACCAGCAATGTTCTTGAGGTAGTAAAAGTCGCAGGCTAGGAGGAGAATCGTAATGATGAAAATCATAATCCTGTTTGTGAAAACATACGTCAGCACGAGGGTCAGCTAACATCGTGGCGGAGGGGAGAGCTAGAGAAAGCAAGCAGGGTTGCTACGCACATGCTTTGGATGACCCATAGCCCCAAGAAATATATAAGCACGCTCGCTGTTAAAATCGCCGTCAGTATCCCATGCGACACAGTTTGCGACATGGCGCTACCAACATATTCTAAAGCCCAGGAACGTGAGCAGCGTGATAGGATGGGAGCTGAGCCGCCAGCTCAGCGCTCCCGGCTGGGATTGCGCGGCCGCCTCCATGGTGTAGTAGCCAGCGTCCTGTGCGGTTCGATATTGCGGAAGATGGAGTGGATCAATTCGTGTCAAGCCGTTGTCGTGAGGTGGTTTCCGGCCTTGTTCGTCATCAGAAGAGCATGTGGAACATGGGAGCTTCGCGATCAAGCTACCGTCGCTGGTTGACAGTGCCACGGATGGAGGTACGATGTTCCGGCCAAGGTGGGGTCGTTGTATGTACTTCGGCTACTGCTACTCGGCTGCATGTATACAAGCAGCCATTATGATGTGAGCCACCACTACGGTTATTCTTATGCTCGTATAATATGTGATTTGATTTCAACTTGATACTGCATCTCAATCTAGGAATTTGCCTTGTTCGGTTTTCATGCCATACACATCCGAAATTCCCCAGTCGCAAACCACTGAATGCACTACCCCATAGTATATTGAAACATATTAGCATCTCAATCACTGCTTTTATACGCAGTCATCATGGCAGCACGAGCGTCGTCCATACTGCGCCGCTCCTTACTATATGGTTGTCCCCAAATCATCATTGTTCAAGGATGCCTGCTAAGATAATTCGCATAGTACCTGCGTCTTCTCAAAAGATGCTCACCAAGTCCCTGGGCTTGACAACGGACAATGTCACCTATGATTTGGAGGATTCTGTAACCCCCTCTCAAAAGAGCAATGCTCGGAATCAATTGAAAGACCATTTATCTGGCCTCAAATTGCGCCCTTCCACCATTTCGGAGCTTGCTGTTCGAATAAATGCCGTTTCCACACCATTTGCTCTTGACGACCTCACTACGCTGGCATCTGCGGATCGTGTTGATGCTGTTGTTGTGCCCAAAGTCAACTCCGCTGCCGACTTAACCTTTGTTACCGATGTATTGAGGCATGTCGCTCCAGCGCGTCACGAAGATGGCTCAGAAAATCCTATCAAGATCATAGCGCTTATCGAATCTGCACGAGCAGTCATGGACCTCTCATCCATATGCAAAGCCTCCCCTTTTCTTAGCGGCTTGATATTCGCAGCTGAGGATTTTGCACTTGATCTTTCGATAACAAGAACACCGTCACTGACAGAATTCCTCTATGCACGATCAGCCATTGTCACCGCAGCTCGATCGTATGAGCTACCAAGTGCCATAGATTTGGTGTGTACCTCATATCGAGGTGATGAGGGGTTGCGGACATTGGAAGAGGAATGTAAAGGTGGAAAAGCCATGGGATTCAATGGGAAACAATGTATACATCCTGGACAGCTCGAAACTGTCCAAAGATTGTTCGCCCCCGATATGAAGGATGTAGAGTGGGCTGTTCGTATCACTATTGCTGACGAAAAGGCAGCGGCCGCTGGGCGCGGTGCGTGGACTCTGGACGGGAAAATGATTGATGCTCCAGTGGTGGGGAAGGCCCATGCAATAACCGCCAAAGCAGAACATTGCGGCATTGATGTTCAAGATCTAAGAGCCAGGTGGAAAGATCAAGAGCCAGAGTAGTAATACCCTATGTTAACAGCGCTTGCAAATACATAAAACAAGGCCGTTAGACTGAAGAATGATCTTCGGAAGTGATTAGCACCACATCATATGATTTGGCCGCCAGAAGAATGTAGATTCTGACTCGTCTGGACTCTCTTCAGGATAAGATGACCTTGGGTAACTCCCGGAAAATGGATGCGCACCCTCATGGGATTGGTCTCGTCGAGGGAGATCATCATTGTATTCAATTCTGCGCAGACACTTCATTGGGCGTCTTCCATTATCGAAAATATTTGCTTCGGATAAAGGCAAAGCCTTGTCAATACAAGGCGCAGATAGTTCACTCTCTCCTAGTATTTCACGTTCCATTCTTTCAATGTACTCTTTGAGTGTTTCACCTGGTATGTCGTCAACTATCTTCGATGACTTTCGAGAAATGGTATTTAATTCTTGGAAAGCCTCCTGGTGTGGTTGGTAGATTTGTTTAGCCACCATGGGTTTCGCAGGCCAGTCGATACTATAGGTATCCCTAGACTGCGTGTTGATGATTTTAGAGGCATCCAAGTGATCAAAAGATGTCAAGTCCTTGCTTAGGTGTGGATGTAAAGCGGGTGGCGGGTAACGGCCGCTGGTATCAATAAAGTACGGTATCGGAGGGACGTTATCGCGAGTATGAGTAACATCTTCGACTCTTGATTCCTTGAAGCTGAAGCGCTCGGAAACGTTTGGAAGATGTGAAGGGTACTCACAAGCTCGATTGTCTATGCTTGTTTGCTCTGGCCGACATTTTCCGCCTACTTCAGGGGCTGATGTTTCAAAGTATGCACTGGACATGTGTATTTCTGCTCTAGAGTTGGAGGACTCTCTTCTCCTTGGTCGGAGCTGATGGTCGGCACTAACCGTACCATATGACATATTTTCTGCAGCCCGCTGGTGCATCCAGGGGCTCACCATTATTCCTTTGTCTTCGTATTTAGGAGGTTCAACAGTTTCATGACAATGGGGCTTGTGATCTTCACAGCTTATGACTGCAGTAAGTTCTTTTTCTGTGGTAGGTCTCCCCCGAGCTTCCGGTGTAAGATTTCGGCATGAATTGACAGCCGTTGGATGACTGCGAATCGACAGGCTTCGTGGCGTATGACTGCCACGCGGTAGTAGTCGCCCGGCACTGTCTCCATTGATGCGCTGCGTACAAGCACCACTAGAAACAATCGTGCGGTTAGGGGGACTGGCAGATTTCGGAGGTGGATAGTCTGCTATTAGTCGTTTCAGCGCATCAGCGAAAATCTTAATCTCGTCCTGACGGCTTTTCCCCCTTTCCCGTTGTTTTGGTTCTGGCTTCGACGGGTGCCCCTTTTCGCATGTTTCGACATTTTCGTGATTCAAAGGTATATCGTTGAACGCCAAATCGGCTACTATTGAGATGTTAAAACCAGAGCCTGTCCAGATTGCATGGGATATACGCACATGAGGTCGAGCTACGCCCATTGACGAACAAGCCTGGAGTAAACTTTTGATCCAACTTTTGAATGTTAGGTATTCTCCTAGTAGCCAATATCAAGAGATAAAATGGAAGTGTACCGTTATTTTCTCACTTGCATTCGCAATCGCGCGGGAACTGAAATTGGCCATTACCTCTCGGCTAGATCGCAATCTCCCCTTCTTTGTTACGCGAGTCGAAGGTTTCTTTCTTTGCCCCCCTTCCATTCGTTCAGCCTTTGATTTTACGGTGTCGTAGCGATCTCGTCGAGTTTTCCGTCGGGGTTGCTTTTCGAAAACAGTGTTCCTAGTTAATGAAGTCTCTGATGTCGTTGACTTTGGCTGTATGGGATGGCGATCTCTCTCTCTATTATCCAAGTTCTGACCATGGTCGCTGTTTGGGGCTGATTGGCGATACTGATGATGGCATTTCTGATCGGGCAGAGACGACTGTGATGGGCTGCCCTGGATGAAAATATCCGATGGTTGGTATCGTCCAGTGTCGCAGTTCGACTGAATACGAACAGTCGTGAGTCCATTAGGATGCCACGAAAGATTCGTGGAATCAATAGGACGTTTTTGCTGTGGAATATCTTGAGGAGGATCGTTATGGCATGCCTGCATGTGATGTAACCAGGAAGGGATAAAGTCGGCCAGTGAGGAGAGGCATCCGTCATTGGCAACAGGCGATGGAACAGCTGAATAACCACTCTGGTCTGGGTGGTAGGTCGTACTCCTGTTGGTAGAACCACGATGCCTATGACGCGTCATGCTGATGCCAGGTGGCAGCCGACTGGAAACGATTTGGTAGGTAGAAAGAATCAAAGCAAGCTGCGAGCACGATGAAAGAAAGGATTCGGTACGGAACCAAGTGCTTTGTTATCAAATCCATGGAAGCATTTACAATTCTGGTTCTAGCTGGAATAATAAATGTGTCTCCCCCCCGAGTTTATACTGCAAGAGGCATGCTTCCTACAAACCTGCCAGAGGAAACTGATACTCACGCAGCAGGAAGCAGGAAGCAGCTATCACAGCATACATGTCACGTAAGCAGCTGCCATCTTCCATCAGGCGATTTTTTCTCTCGTTCCTTTGGGAGGTTGCAAAGTCGCCATGGCCACAATGGACTCGGCGCCCTGAGGCATATTCTCCGGCCACTGAGAACTGGTTGGGAGACATTCATCGACGGCTTGCAGTCCTCGCAATATCCTAGGATTGCTGTGGCGCTGCCTAAAGCAGCAAGGTTGTGCCATGCACAGATTTGCTGTCCCATAGGCTCTGGGCATATAAAAGAGGACCCTCTAAATTAATTAACTTGCGTGCGGCTTGCCCCAAAGTAGCTGGGTGGATAGTATCCTCCCCCGCTCTGAAATGCTACCAGGCCCATGATTGGCAGCGACTAGCCAAGAAATCCAAGATGCTGTAGTACACGGACGGCCTTGCCAGATATCATCATCCATGGATATTACTTGTACATACGCGCAGGTATGGCGATAGTGCTAGTAAAGCGCAGTGGCAAGGTAGGTGCTGGAGATGGGCTAGTATCTTATGCGAAGAATACCAGCCTCGGAAGCTGACGCGGGCTTGCTGCTTACAGGCAGTGGTGGCTCGGATCAAATCACAAAAGCAGCAAGGACGACGTCCCGTTCCCCTATACAGTACGCAAACAATCTTTATGCTGCCATGCTAGTACCAGGTAGGCGGATCTTTGATACAACCGTTATGAGGTGTGGTAGTACTAAGACTACTAGTACTACTCTGCTGGTACGAAGCTTGGAGGCAGCGGCTAATTGCTAGACACAGGGAATGGCTATGCCAAGATAGGGAGTGCCGGTATGTAGGGTTGCGAATGAGTCTGGGAATGCTCCCTGAGCGATCTTCAGCTAGTAGCTCTCTGACGCGCACTGAGATCTGAATGCCTGATTACCAACCGAAACACGAAGCCGTATGAAGCATATGACCCGCCTTGTAGGCTCGATGGGGTCGAATCCGACTTTCGGGTCAGTGGACTTTTTTTTGGAGTGGAGCCGAGGAAAAGCGCGCGCAAGATCCTGGATTGCCAAAGCCCGGATGCCGTTGTACTGTATACGACCATGGACCAGCATCTAGGCCATTTCCCAAGCCCGGCGGACGGATAAATTATCCAATGCAAGGGAATGCCAGCAAGGCGGCTTACCAATGGCACGAAGCATACGAAGTACGACGAGCAATTGGGCAAGAATGCATGGCGCCCTATCAAGAAGCCAATGCCGGCCAGGCACCGGGAGTGGACTGGGAAGGCTGTGCTTTGCTCTAGCCAGCTGAAGAGCAAATCAAAGGGACTCTAGCACTCACAAGCCAGAGATCTGGGCAGGCTGCTTGCCCACTTCTCGCCACCCCATTGGGTACGACTGGGAGGATTAGATCAGGGGTTCACAGACGACAGACCGGTTGACGTGGATCCCTCTTGCACCTAGCGGCTAGCTTACGGTCAGGCTGGCTTTGGGGGCTGTTCCTGAGCCTTTTGCGACCGGGGGTCCCAGCACGGCTCAAAAACAAGTTATCGGCATCTCAGTGGAACTAGCAAGGTGCTTCACCTATGGTGAGCTGGACTTCTGTCGATTGTGCCTGCATCTGAGAGAGCAGAAAATCTATCATAGTGTCGTTGAACTGTAGCTGTTCTCGTACTCTGCGGGAAGCCAAGAAGTGCCGACTTAGCCAAGAGTTAAGAGCTGAGAAAGGGTTGCTTTGTATCATGCATGCCCCTTTGATAAACACCCACCCAACAGACCTTGGTTTCTGTGATAGAGACATAGCACTAGGACATTGTAGCCATCTTGTCTTTGACATAGGAGCAAGGACTCAGAATACCACATAAACGGATAAATGAAAAGAGTAAGCTGCGGACGCAAAGTCGTACAGTCTTGATTTAGCCTTGATTTGCTGCTACAGGGACCAAGCCCTTCCTACAATATCATATGCTCGTACAAGTACAACATCTTCACCATACTTGTAGTAGCTCAACCCTGGCACCGCTTGTTCCTAATCCAAGCCCCGGTCACGCCATCTCATCTTCATAGCGTACTGTATTATGGATACTCGGTCGGTACAGCAGATGGGATTTTCACGGAGAATTTTCAAAGTACGGAGAATTCGGCCTCTTGAGATCGCACCCCAAAAGGCTCTTTGTATGTGATAGAATCAGTACAGGCCTTCCATAGTGTCCATAGTGCCTAAAGATGGAACGACGAGGGATGCCACACCAACGGCTGTTCAGCAGCAGGTTGTACAGCTGGGGTCTGCATTGACCTCCCTGGTGCAATTGCTAGCATGCACTCTCCATCCGAGGTGCATTCCAGGTCTTCATGGCAGCAGTGGTGATCATTGACATGGCCCCGGTGCTGCCACCAACCGATGAGCAGACGCATGAGTCCAAGGTCATGCGAATCCTCTTGATATAGGCGCAATGGCAATAGTCGTTCGTCCGGGGCCCCTTCTGGCTCTTATTGAGCCGGCTACGTCATTATTAGCCTGACTGTATTTTCCGCTACGAGGCGGTCACCTGCTGCTCTGCCCCATGCGTGGTGGTACTCTGAGGTAGCTGCCAAGTAGCAGTAGCAGCATTTGCAGGAGAAGGTGCGTCTGATAACGCCAGCTGCCAGCGTTTGGCGAGCGAGTACCGAGCACATGTACTTGGTGCTTGTACCGCAGAGCATAGCACAGACTTGGGCAGCTTGTAGCAAGAGCCACGGCCCTCGTTCTCGATCCTCTTTTTCTTCCTTTCACAAACCTCATTCCAGCTCTTTTTGCCGTTGCGACAACGCCTTCAGCCTCAAGGTTCTGCGCGCTCCGTCGTCCGCCTGTCTGCTCGAGGCCCGCCGTGATACCCGATAAGCATCCGCACCCAGCGAGGCACCCTCAGAACACACTATCCCACTATCCGACGCGCCGCGGCCATCTTGCCAGCATAGTCCAGCTTCCAGACTGGACCTGGGGCATTTTAATTAGCGCATAGCTTAGGACAGCCGCCGCAGCTCGGCGTCGATCGCTGAAAGGGCGAGATCAGCAAGCCACAACCTCGTTGTGTGGCCTTCTTGTTAGGCCTGGACAAGCCGTTCGAGCAGGACGAATCAGCAACCAGTCTGCTACGGTAGGTAAGGCCGCGCAGTAGTCTGCATTTTTCCTGTCCCTCGCTGCAGTATCGCATGGTACGCCATTGGCGTGGCTGTCCTCCTTGTTCTATCTCAGTCACCGTCACCGTCACTTCTCCCTCTCTCTCTTACCTTCTCTCTCCCTGTCCTTTGTCCGTCTTGCCCTCTCACTGCACCCGTGGCTCGAGCTTGGCACTGCCATCATCTGGAGGGCTGGCTTTTGAGGATACTCCCATCAATTTGACATCCCAGCACAAATCAACTGCTTCTGGAACTGGGCAATAGCCTTTTCTGTCTATCCAGGCTCTCTCTACTCGTACGTTGCTGCCAGCCCATGTCGACCAGACCCCCTTGACGTTGAAGCATGCCATCCTATACCTGCTTCTGGCCGGGCTAGCGGGGTGTCCTGGAAAGCCACAAACCACAGATTGCTTGCACAGTAACACTCCATAGTATCCAAGGCCAGACGACACTATGCGATGCTTGCTTGGACGTTGACAGCGCCGCCACCAAGTGGTGGCTTTTGCGCGCCATATGCAGCTTAGAGGACTTTACACTGCCCAAGCCTATGATTCTCCCCAGGCCATCTGCTATCACCTGTTGAGACTAGTTCTTGCAATCTTCCCCCTCCCCTACCGAGCCAACTATACATCCCGATTCTGCACCCCGCCTGACAATATTAGAACATTCGGTCAGGGTATCGCAACTCAGGACAAGGACTGTCACATCCACCAGCATCAGAAAAATCAAGACCCCGTGCATCTCGAAATGTCGAAGCTTTTCATTGGGTAAGTTCTCCGGTTCGCGATGTTGTTGCACTCACTCGCACGTCATGGAGACGATTGGACATGCTCCTGACTGACAGTTAAAGCGGCCTGGCATGGCACACCGAAGAGGCCACTCTGCGCCAAAAGTTTGAGGAGTTTGGCGCTGTTGAGGAAGCGGTAAGCTTGCCTTTCGTTCATCAAATAACGCCCCCGGGCACAACCCAACTCGTTTGATTGATTGATTTGATTCGCCTGGCCTGGATTTTGATTCATTAATGCCAATGGCGTGGATTATTTCAACCAACCGATGCCAACCCCCTATCTGCGGCAACTCGTGCATGGAGTGTTTTCTAATCTGGATTTGTCAAGGTTGTTGTGAAGGATCGAGATACCGGCCGCAGCCGTGGCTTTGGCTTTGTGCGATACGTGCAAGAAGCTGATGCCCAAGCTGCTATTGACGCTATGAACAATGTCGAGTATGGATTCTGGCTTCTTCTTTTTGCCTTGTCTCGCAAATCCTTTGTGGGTTGAGTTTATTTTCTGGCAGAAGAGTTCTGATCCTTTTGCTAGGTTTGACGGGCGAACCATTCGTGTTGATAGGGCATCCGATAATGGCCCTCGAGGCGGAGGAGGCTTTGCCAATCGTGGCGATGGCCGGTCCTACGGAGGCCGAGGTGGCTACGGAGCACCGGCAGGAGGATACGGAGGAGCACCTGGCTATGGCGCTCCAAACATGTATCAGCAGGCCCCGTACGGTCGTGGCTACCCACAGCCGCAGCCTGGATATGGCATGCCTCCGCAAGGTATTTCAAAATCAGACTGATGCGATTGTCGTTGCGTGGTTGTTCATGTTGGAAACCTGCTAACCCTTGGCACTAGGCTACGGCGTCCCAGCACCGTATGGTGGCTACCAGAATGCTCCCCAGCAGCCACCGCAACCTCCTCAGCAAGGAGGCGGAGCCTATTAAACAGGTCCTATAAAGCCGCCGCAGATTCTCATCCAAAGTCCTCCCATTTTCCCACAGAGAGAGGTTTAGAGCCCTTCTAGAGCCGTGTTATCGAAGAATAAAGACCTAGGCGTGTTCTTTTGGTTTCGCGAGCGGCATCTTTTAGAACTCCGAAGATGGAACATCTATGAGCGTTCAAGATATACCCCGGATTTGTTTTTCTTTCGATATATGGATGAGCTGTTCGGCTTTTTATTAAGATTGCTCGACGAGAAGCTATTTGGAGAGGGAGGATTTCTTTTTTCATTTTTTTTTCACTGCCGATATTTTACTTGTCCCATCTTGTTCTTTTGGAATCCAAAAAAAAGAAAGGGGAGGGGTTCCTGCACCATCGTTTGTGGGAGGGACTTGGCCGGGCGGGATCACGGACTAAGACAAGGGAGGGATTTCTGGTAGGGATATCTGGGGGGATATTGGAACCATGTGTGTGGGCCGCCTTTCTAAAGAAGGCTAACTATAATATTGGCGACGTTAATGACGGGCTATGATTAATATCTAAGCCGGCCAGTGTGACTGATGGGGCGGCAATTTCTATCATTAGGGGTCTGAGAGGAAAAAAGCATTTGCGTTCAATGCGACTCGTTGAAGTTTTCGTCCTTGTCTTTCTGTGTCTTGCTTACGCAACAGCTTTCTCGAACTCCTCCGCTTCTTGTGTGCTGCCCTCTTGTTTGAAATTGGAGATGGGGTCTAGACCTTGAGGAGCTTTCATCGATCCATTGGCAGCGAGTTCAAGAGCCCTCACACGACGCGCAAGATCGCTAACGTGGACATCTTCACTCTCCGGACATAGTTCAGCTAGAGCTGTATCGAGGCCGAAGAGGTAGTCCTTGTTCAGCCCACTGGGGCCGCGACTACGCAAGATGTGCTCCGCTAGCTTCTGGGGGTCTTGAGGGCCGACAAACTGCTCATTATCCGGAGTGCCAATGTAGACAAGCGTCCGGATGGGCGAGGAGCCATCGGCGGGATAGAATGGCGTATAGTGGATGGAATAGCCGTTGATTTCTCGAATATCAAGATACTCCTTGACTTCTGCGACGTGGTCGGCTTCGATTCGGTAGGCTACACCCCATACCTTGTCGGGAGCAGAATCGTGGTGATCGGTGAGTTGTTCCCAGTGAGACCGTTCGATGAGAGTAACTACTCGTCCGGGAGCTTCTGGAGTCCCTCGATGGTCCTCACTAATGTGGCATTTGGGTTAGCATTGGAGACGAGCCCTTTGGACACGATTACTCTCGCAAGAGGTGTTTGGGTGCTGTCATACCTGGCCTATTTTATGGTTAACTATGAGCAGCATTAAGGGAAGAGAGATAAGTGGGTGATGGAGTGATGGGGTGATGAAGTGATATCGTTGCTAGACTGTTCAAGTACACATACCTGCCAAAAACGCCTAACATACCCTGTTATCCAACCCGGTATTCTTCTATCTACCTGGGGTCAGCATTTTGGGAGTTTTTCTTTTCTTTTTTTCTTTTTCTTTCTCTTTTTCTTTTTTTCTTTTCTAGGGTGGCATCTATATACATACCAAACCAGGGAGGGGGCTTCCATATGAGGCTCCTGCAGATTGGGCACCCATCAGCTATCAGATATATGAAACAAGCAGAAGAGCAGGGCATCGGCAGGGGAGTAAGCGAAGCAGAGCAGTGCCACGTCTTAAAAGATTCTTACCCATATCCACAAATCCAGAATTCCGACGTATTATCGGATGCAGTCATTGCAACGTGTCACACGAGATACCTATTCTATCTTGCCCGTTGCTCCGGGCCGACTAAATAGATGCACTACCGAAGAGATTTGAGTGATAAAATTACAAAATGAGGATAACAAACAGCGGTCTACTACAGGTCTGATAGAAAGAAGATTTGTTGGCAAGTCTCTAGGAAAGGGAATAGCCTTATAGAGGGGCGTTTTCGTTGGAAAGACAATGGGTCCAAGTTGCACATTGAAGTAAGAAAATGAGTGCTATATCCGCGGTGGGAATGATTACAAAGCAAGATACCTATCGAGTCATGGCAATGGCATATTTAGAGCTTGGCAAGACACAATTTACAGCAGCCTCGCTCGGTTTACCTTGAGCGAATAGGAATCTGCGAATGGATTCTTTGCCAGCCTAGGGAGGTGGGCAAAGCCTGTCCATAACATAATGCAAGTCGAATCTCGTGACCTGGACGACGTGAAGAGCGAACAGACAATTACTTGGCCATTGTGGAGTCTCGTTTTCTCTCTGCGACCTGGTGTCATTGGATGATGCGCAGAGCCTCAACAACCCCGAGGCGGCTGTGCAAGTTTCCAATGGATGGATCAACGGTCTCCATGCTGGTTAATTTTCTCTCTCATACATGGATCTCGGTTTTCGGCGCCTTGGCCTCTTGGCTGACAACCAGCAGCAGCAACTTGGAGGGACACGCATGGCTCTGGGTTTCTGCTGACAACTTGGGCATTTTTTTTTTTTTTTGGAATCAGGATAGGCGAACTGTCGATCTACAGCCAATGTTCTATTTTGGTCTGCTTCTCCTTTGACACAGCAATGGGGAGCCCTGAATGGATGGCTGGAAGGATTAAACGAGGCGCGGCGCTCAAGGGCACCCCGCCCCAAAGGCTGGCGCAAGGCACAGGGATCGTCTTGCTTGCAGACTAGGCGGATGACTACGAGGACGGCGTCTGTGTGACGGATGTGCAGCTGAGGTCCAGTTAACGCGTATTACTGTACGGAGCGCCAGGCAATCCGCATTGCATCGCCGGCAGTGCTCGACTAGGTTCAATCCGGGGCTGCTGGTGCATCATCTGGACGCCAAGGCAAACACCGCCAGACGCTTCTCCTCGCCCTTTTCCAGCTGCAATCTTAAATAAACAACGTCGTCGCGTCGCTTGGGATTGACACAGCTCGGCTCTTCTTTCCGAACGCTTGCAGGCTTGTAGCCCCTATTCGGCGTGCAATCTTGGCTTATATAGACCGTCATTTCGAGCCTTTTGCCCCGCGCAGGCACTTGCTGCTGCAACTTGGATTGTCTCTCTTTTCCCCCACCTTGGGTAGCTGCTCGATTCAAGAAGCTTCCAAGAGCAAAGAGCGCGCATCGCACGTCGCATAGAAATCCCGCATTGCGTTCCGTATCATTCACCTGCCGTTTCTCTTCATCTTGCTACTACAAAAATGGCTTATCAGCGCCCTTACGACGAAGACGCTCTGCCCAGGTATGCCCCTTCGCGCCCCGTGATGCGAAACACCAGCCCACTAACGCTTTCGCCAACAACAGATTTGCCGAGCCTGAGCCCGTAAGTTTTGCTTGAACCGACCGTTTCGTTTCGAGATGGAGAGGCGGCAGCAGTTAACCGGCCCTTTTGTGCATCTTTACAGAAACCAGGTTCGGTTCCGCCACAGCATGGCGGAGCGCCTCCACAGGCGAGATACGATCGACCGCCGCAACAACCGCAATACCACCAGCAGCAGTACCAGCAGCAGCCCCCGCGCCAGCAGCCATCTCCCAGACACGACCAGCATTATGACCACCCGCCGCGGCGTGATACAGGTGGGCATGGCCCAGGACAGCCGAGATACGACCAGCAGCAGCGACACGACAACAGATCACCAATTCATCACCCAGGCGCGTACGGCCTAGGGTCGCCGCCTCCTGTTGCCGCTGCCCAGCGCCCGGCAGCTCAGCACCACCCTGCTGCAACCTCCAGGCCACCGCCATCTCCAGCCAATGATGGGAGTGGTGCTGATCCGACGCTGCTGCCCTTGTTCAGAGCTGTTGACAAAGATGGTGAGGAGCCACAAACCTAAAAGATGTCGACGTGGCTTTATAGCAAGGTGCTGAACTATAGACTAACACTACGTCTCTCCAAAACAGGAACTGGACACTTATCCGAGAAGGAACTTTCAGCAGCCCTGGTCAACGGCGACTGGACCGCCTTCGATATCCAAACCGTCCGCATGATGATTCGCATGTTTGACTCGGACCGCAGTGGTACCATCGGCTTCAACGAGTTCTGCGGTCTCTGGTCCTTCCTAGCCTCGTGGCGCACCCTGTTCGATCGCTTCGACGTTGACCGCAGCGGCAGCATCTCCCTCCCGGAGTTCACCGATGCCCTCATCGCCTTCCGCTACCGCCTCAGCCCGCAGTTTGTCGAGCTGCTGTTCCGCACGTACGATAAGCGCAACGAGGGCGTCATGAGCTTTGACCTGTTTGTCCAGGCTTGTATATCGCTGAAGCGCATGACGGATGTGTTCAAGAGATATGATGATGATAGGGATGGATACATTACATTGAGCTTTGAGGATTTCCTGAGCGAGATTTTGAAGCAGATGAAATAGATGAAAACAAAATCTTGATTCTAAGGGGGAAATTCTGTTAGACTGTGCACATTAGAGGAGAGATATATAAAGGAGGAAAGGGCTGGATTTTGCTTTTTTTTTAATCATATGTTGGCGGATATGTCTGCAGAAGTAGACAATGTCGACGTGGATTGACAAATGGATGCGCGATACCCTGGGAGATGTGAGGGCATCTCATTTGTGTAGGCGAGACAATTCGTTTTTAGCTATTATAATCATCATTGACTTGAGTATTATACAAGGGGCTCTACGCTTTGGAATTGTGATATACATGCTAGCTCGCAAAGCTCGGAACAAGTAGTATTGACATTCTCATTGCCATCCTCTACCCGATGGGCACGCGATATGCGGAGTACATTTATTAGATGGTGACACTCCCGGAGAAACGGGAGCAAAGTCAGCCTGATTGGATTTTGGATTATTGTCAAAAGGATATGTTGGTTGGTTCATACTATGAGAGCCTGGCTGGATTTCGGATTATTGCCAAAAGGAGATGTTGTTGGTTGGTTTATACCATGAGAGAGCCTTGTTTCTTGAAGAAGGGTTGTATATTATGTGGCAGTGCATCTTCTACTTCTATAAAGCTGATAAATTCGTTGGTTTATACCATGAGAGAGCCTTGTTTCTTGAAGAAGGGTTGTATATTATGTGGCAGTGCATCTTCTACTTCTATAAAGCTGATAAATTCGTTGGTTTATACCATGAGAGAGCCTCGTTTCTTGAGGAGGGGTTGTATCATGTGGCAGTGCATCTTCGACTTCTATAAAGCTGATGAGTTCTCTGCAAAAGTCATCAAGGAGTTTCATTCTATTCATAACTCAGCATCGAGAATTCTGCCTGCCCGCGACAAACACAGAGGAAAAAAAAAAAAAAAAAAAAAAAAAACCATGCCAAGATATCGCAAAGCTAATGTCTTGTGGTGGGACAGTTCTTCAATGTACATCCGCTGTCCCCATTGCAACGACATCCATCGGCATACCTTTATTGGGGATTATCAAGATGAACAGTACCGCGTACCGCACTGTGGACATCGCGAAGATTACAGGATTTGCTTCCCACGCAATGGTCAATATGAGATCGACAAGATCAGGGGTTTCTATGTCCGGGCGGGAGTCGATCCGACCGAATATTCCGCGAGATTCGATCCCGCTGAGACGGTGGATGTAAGCCACAAACGCAAATGGTACGAAGCAAAAGAAGAAGTCGAGATGGACGAATATCATCGCCATAAACTTCAGCAACTCTTCTGCAGTCTTAACCTGGGACCTATTCAAGAAGTTGAGCACGTCAACAGACTTCAATCTGCGGTATCAGACATGATTGGGGGCAGGGTTGAAGCCGTACGGTCCTACCTCGAGACTTCGCGCGAGAAGGACATCTTTCTTCATGGCGTGAAGGCTTCACAAGATTGCCAGTACGATATTGACGAGTGGGATGCATACCAAGACCTCCTCAAGAGCGGCCAAGCTGGGGACCTGGAGCCGCCTGAGAAGAGGATTGTTGAGACGTCGACATCTGGTGTTACGGCTCTGCACATGGCTGCCTGTGAGAAGTACCCAGAGATGGTGAAGCTGCTACTTGACTATGGTGCCGATCCGAACGCAAGGACGGTGAATGGAAGGACCCCATTGATGGAAGCGGCTCTTTGGGGACGTTTGGATAATGTCAAACATCTTCTAGATCATGGCGCTGACAAGTCTGTGCAATGCGTGCAAAAGGGAGTGAAGCATCGAGCCATTGATTTCGCCAGGTACAACAAGGACAATCATAAGGAGCGATACGACCGGTCCGGTGGGAAGCATCAAGTCTATAAGGAAGTCACGTACGAAAGAGACGAAGAACGTGAGGCTATCGTCCGGGAGCTGAGTGACGAAGCTGCAGATGATGACGATTATGGCCAGGCTTCCGTCTTGCGCCTTCAGGGGTTTGCTTCTACTACAGTGATTGATGGAGGGGCTATCATCTCTATGCTTGCCAACTTTGATGTTCCTCGCAAGAACAAGACGATAGGTATCCTCTTCCGGAGTGATTCGAACGACACATCGGCTTTTCCACCCACTGCTGCCATGAGTGGATGGTCGCACGAGCCGAATTCGGATCTCAATGTGCAGATAGCGGGTAGGGAATGGATAAATGAGGTGTTTTACCTATGCCAGATTACTGGACATCGGCTGCCTGAACGCATGAAGCCTGATCAAGGCAGACCTGGGCAGTTTTATGCTTGCCACGCAGAGAAGCAGTTGATTGCGTACCTGGTAAGCAGGCATGTGTTTCTTCCGCATGATATCGAAGAAGAGGACTTTGGGCTCGCGAATCTAAGCCTGAATGAATTTCAAGACGACCAGAGCCCTCGGCAAAGGGTTAGGGAGCTTAAGAATATTGAGCCTCCACAGAGACTTAAAAATGCCGTGATCTTCGTGACTCGTGCGGTGTGCGACGACTGCCGTGTCTTTGCTAAACGTATCAATGAGACATTGGGGCTGAATATAGAGGTGAGAGGCTCGAGTTTATGTACTTGAAGGGTTGGAATATGAGTGGTCGTGAGGTGTGCTTCCTGTGGGTGTGAACGTGTATAAGATGGAGGAGGTGTATTCTTGGCTAGGCTACATGTGGCTTTTTGTATATAGTTTGAGCTGTTGTTCTTTATGTAAGTACCTTGAAATCGATTCAAAATTATCTACTACTACTGATAGTCTGGAGCTGACCAAAGATGTGTACTTGTTAGGTATTTTGGCTGCTTGAGCTGTTCTGTCGTGGTTGTCTCCTCCTCCTCGCCCTCGTCCTCTGGTGGATTCTTTGTATTACATAGCTTTGCGTTTGATTCCCTTACCATGACGGGGATAATTTCGAAAACTAAACAATTTTACGAATTTTCCTACTCTCGGTTCTTTAAGCCGCTAGGAGGTCGGTCTAAAGTCCATTCGATGTGAACAGCTCTTCCTAACCGAGAGAGGATCGATATCGCTAGCGCGATGTATGTAGGATAGATACAAGTATAGAATCACTAATATAAGGTGCTTATCTATATCCTAGATCAACTTGAACTCGAGAATCAAGCAAAACCGGGGCAGGCCTTGCCTTCACCAATACTAAAGCTCGGCTTAGACAAACAAGTATTTTTTTTTTCTTTCCAAAGAATCCAGATGCCTAGGGTTGTGGATTTCTAGAAATCGAGTCAAGATTCCAGCTCGACATGTCACAATAGCAAAGCTTGACGCCTCTTGATGAACTGCCTACTCAGGCCCCCTTGATAAGCCCAGTTGTTCTCCATCGAGTCTTTTTTTTCGGTACCTTTCCGAGTCGTGTAAAGCGACAACTCAACTTGTACCCCGGCAGCTGATTCCGCTATTGTGTCTGCTATTGTTGCTGCTATTGTGAAACAATCAACTCCAGCAAGATTAAAAAAAAAAAACGGTTTTTCTGGTCCTTGGGGGTGGGCTAGAGAGGGCGTCAAAGCTTCCACGCCTACTCCGTAGATAATAGTATCTACATAGGTGGGTGCTATCATCTCCATAAATATTCCACAATCCCAAACTAGTCTATGAAGAGCAACAACAATGGGGACAAAAAGACTTTGTCGAAGGGCTTCTTTTTTTTTTTTTTTTTTACGACAAAAGACCCCTGTCGCCGATATCCATTCTGCACGTCAGTTTTCGGCCGGAGGGACCCTCCCAGCGGCAACAAGAAAAAAAAGAAAGAAAATGATGTCAGTTCGTCCGAGTTTTTTTTTTTTTTGGCTAGTCAGTGGCGCTTGGGAAGCTTTTCTTCTTACGGCTGCCGTTTTTCGCAAGAGAAGGAAAAAAACGAAGTTTCTTTTTTTTTTACTCTCCCCCTTCTCTGCCGCCACTGCCTTTGGGCGAAACTAAAGACACACACTTTGCTCGCAGCTCGTTCTTTCGCAGCTAGCAGCTGTTAGCCTCGTTTTTGTGCTACAGCTTTGCTCTTCAGACGCTGCCGGCCAGCCCGACGAGTGCCGCCGCAGCGCTGTTGGCAGTGGCAGCTCTTCAGGTCTCTGCGACTTGCTAGTTCGCAGCAGCTACAGAGGCTGGCTGACGCCCCTCTCCGGACCCGCCGGCGTCCAGAAGCGGCATCAGCTTCTCCAGGTCTTGGTCGTGCTGCTTGCATGTCGTATGGATGGAGTGCCGCCGTGCATGTACTGGGGAGGTCGTGGTACTGCAGAGTACAGTGCAGACACTGTAGCAGTGGCATCAGAAGTTAGCAACAGAAGCAAGGAGCAGAAGCAGCAGTAGGAAACAAGAGCACTTGTAGGTACTTGTGCGGTACTGTAGGCCTGGGAGTACATTCTACTGCAGCAACGAATACCTATTCCCTGCTCCAGGCCAAGCTTGCTTATCACCTCTCTTGCCTAAGTAGGAAAGATTGACTTGGCCAGGCAGCTTGCAAAGGGTCTGTAACTGGGTAATACGTACTGTAGCTATCGTGACGAAGAGAAAATGCCAAAAGATTTCCACTCATTCACTCCGTTACGCACCCATTCAGCCAGCTCAGAATAATTCCACACGCGGGCAATAACTTTTTTGCCCTTCCTCTTCCCTTTCCCACTCGGGAGCTCCGCTATTATCTAGCCGCCACCACGCCCACGCCTCTAAAAATGCCCGTATCGCTGTTAGGCCGCATCTGTGCTAGCAGGTATCAGTGACCAGAGCTCCCGGGAAGCTCCCCTTGTTTCGCACCCTTTGCCCCGCCTGTCGGTCAGCTGAAACCCTCGTCCCAGCACTGCAGAGTAGAGTAGAATAGAGTAGAGCAAAGTAGAGCAAAGCGCAGCTGCAGTTTCGTTGCGATGCGATGCGCGAATAGGGCGCTCCGCCAAGGTCCCGAGTCATTGCTTGCCAGAGATGCATTGATTCATTGATCCACGGGTTTGCCACGAGGGCGTGTTGATGATGTTGTGCTTTTTCTCGTCCATGGCGCTTGTGGAAAGCGGCCGGCACCGAGACTTGGACGGAGCCGTCTGTACGGAGCAAAAGACGTGGAGACAGGTACAGAGTACAAGCAGCAGCTCGAGTACCTAGGTATCAATCAAGACAACTGAATGGGAACAGAGAGAAAGACGAGAACGAAGAAGATGGTCATAGAAAGAGAAAGACGATAAAAATAAACTGCGTAATAGACTACCTATGATGGCAGGCAATGCTGCGTCTTGTAATATTGAGCAGCATCCATTGATCCATGTTCTCATGCACAGCAACAGCTCCTGCCAATGCCCTGCGAGCTCCCCCATTGGCCACCCACCCAGCACGCAGGGCATCACAAGGGACCTTCTGGCGCTGCCGCATGTGCATATGCCAGGGAGCTTTGGCACCTTAGTGCGCGAGTACCCCGTAGGATGCGCCAAGTACCCGCTACCTGCCGCTACATGCCCGCCTGGCCTTGTGCCTTGATTGATTCGAGCTCTGCTGTCCACACACATTCCTCCTCGCTTCACACGCCCTCTGGCTCTTGCAAAAAGCTGCTCTTCGGCTTCGGCTGGGCGTCCCCAGTAAAAAACGGCAGCGCCCCCATCCAGTGCTCCAGTGACACGCTGCAGACCTGATCATTTCATCCGGCCGGATGGTACCTCGTCGGACTAGGCTGGGGAGGTGGTAAGCTAGGTACTACCTAGCAGGCAGGTAGCTCTCGACTAAGACGCCTACAGTGCACTGTACGTTCCAGTCCCCTCCCCAGGTCGCCAAACCTTGGCTGAGCTCGTAGCCTGTCTCATCTTCCCATCTCTTCTCTACTCATCTCATCCCACCTCCATCTCTGCTTCGCCACCGCTATCTAGAAGATCCTATACCGTGTAGTGCTCCCCCCGTGCCTCTCCCATCTACACCTGCAGTAGTATTTAAGCTGCATCGTTGCATCTCCTCTCTCTCTCATACACCCTCTTCCGTGTCCAGTGCCGCGGCTACCTGCCGCTCACTCTTGTCGCTTTCGGAAAGCCCACTTTGGCCTGCATACCTACCGTATGGGTACATTGACGACGCCTTGCTTCGAGAAAAGCTTCAAGCTCTCGGCGTAACTTTGGCTGAGGCGCAATCAACTGCTTTCCAGGAACCGCCGGCGGATACCTTTCCTAGCTGCAAGAGCTCGAGCCGAGAGGACAAAGCAAGGCGCTTTCCCCTTCCTTTTCCCTTTGCTCGCTTCGTCTCGCAGCTCTCACTTCATCGTCGTCGTCCTCTTACGCTCTTGTCCTTTGCTCTAGTCTCGATAGACGAGGGCAGCCGACATAGGCGGCGAATCGAGCCTCAGGATATCTTGCTCGCAGTCGCCGCCGTCGAATGAGTCGACTCGACTAGCTGATCGCTCTCATCGACCCAATTGAGCAAGCTGCTAAGCTTCATACCAAAGCCAGGCACTTCGGCCGCTGCATCTGCCGAGGTCCAAAATGCCTCCGAGATCTACCTTGACATCGTCCTTCTCCATCACAGACTCTCAAAATGAGGTTGTCTGTCCGCTCCGAAACCAAGACGGCTCAAGCTGTCGCAAACGATGCATCGGCGTGAGTACTGCTTGATTGTCTTGCTCTGTGTTCCCCTCAGCCTGCGTTGCTTCAGCCCTCGTATTCCTCTCATGCCAAGCTTGCTTCAGCCACTGCCGGCCTCACCGACCCTCCTCAATGCTGCTATGAAATATAAAACATGCCTCTAATGCCGTGCTTCGCCTTGTAGGAAAAGAGATACCGCTCCATGCAGGAGCATATTCGCCGTGCGCATCCTGAGCACTACATCTCCAAGCTCCCCGCCACCGAGGAGAGCTTCCTGCTCATGATTAACACCCCGGCACAAGACCGCCGCCAGGATGGAACGCCAACAACAGCCGCCTCGAGTTGGTTCACTGCCCTTGTTTCTTGTCTATCAGTAGCTAACAACGCGCTCAAGGTTTCCATGACCGCCATTCATTCTATAGGGACGAATCGAGCAATCCCGGGACGCCGCGGCACGGAGACGACCAGCCACTGCCCGGTACCAGCTCCATTCTCGGAACTGCCAGTGCAGCAGCTGCCCTGGCTGATTTGAAGAGGGAATCAGACATGGAGGTAAGTGGCCAATGTCGCAGATGCATGCATCACATGTGCCCCGCGGCCTGCATCTATCGATAGAAGGGTGTCTTATCGGATGTAACTATCGATAATGAGCTGCCCCACGATGTTTTTGAACGAGGGCCGCTAACATGGAGCTTCTCATTGGCGTCAGGGATATTATTCCGACCTGGACGCTCGGCGCAGGCCTAGAAAGTCTATTGAACTGCCGCCCATCAATTTCAACAACATAACGAGCGACCCGTTTTCCAACCGGCCTCGCGAAATTCTGCCTTCCCTTCTGAACGTGTCACCACCCGGGCGATCCTCTACTTTGCCTCCACTCCAACGCCCCTTGGGACCGAGCCGGCCTCGCAAGCAGTCTGTATCAAAGAAGAGTCGAGAATCCCACCACAAGAAGAAGCCCTCACGTGGCTCGGCCGCAGATTGGCTACGGCGTATCCAGAACGAAGAGCGCATCGGGCCCGGCGGCCGCGATAGAAAAGCTCTGTCTGCCGAGCCTTCCGCTGACTATGGCAAACGCTGGGAGGATCTAATTGATGCGGCAGACCAGGCTGCGTCCGCCGCAGGCGACGTGAACGAAGACCGCACTCCGGTAAGCCGCGCTGGCGAGGAGAAAGTTGCTCATCCATATTCCACAGCAGTGTCTCTAACTCTATCAAAGATGCCTCAATCCCCAGTCTCCATCCACCGGTCATCACTGCCTCCCTTTAGCCACCCTCAATTCCACTCCGCCAGCAACAACTACCAAGCTTCTCCCTTGCAGCAAGCTCTGACGCCGCCCTCATACAACCAGGACGTGATTGAACCTTTCCCGTCCGTTGAGAGCGGCGAAAGCGGAGAGAACTTCCACATTGGGTCTCGTGGCCTGCCCGACTCCTCCCCGACCTACAACTCACAAAACATCCAAATCTACTGTGCTGCCTGCCATGGAATTTCCTTACTCAAGAATTCGTATGCGTGCACTGAATGCATCTGTGGACTGTGTTCGAGCTGCGTCGAGGTTCTCATGTCTGAACACGGAGCTCGGAGGAAGTGCCCTCGCTGTGCCACAATCGGTGGCCGGTATAAGCCCTTCCAGCTGGACATCAGATAAATGGTTTGTTGGCGATACACTGAAGCGCATCTTTATCTTCTCTCCTATTACTTTGTCGACGCGTGAAAAAAAAAGTCCCATATTTCTGTATTTGTTATATATTCGGCGCCAATATAAACCAGCTGCTGGGAGGCGCACTGGGAAGCATGATACAGGTCTTTCTATTCTATTCTTCTTTCGACTGTGGAGCGAGCTCCCCTGTCGTACATTTTACCAATGTTCTTTGGAAGGTCAACAATCCCTATATCGGTCTTTTCCATTGGAGCTTCTTTGTCAACGGGTACTTTCTTTATCTTTACCTTTTTTTTCTCTCTCTCTAACTTTTGGTTATGGGTATCATTCTTTTTGTTTATGGGTTCATTTAGCTTTCCAAGTTATCTTGTCGGTGTTGATTGGGTTTGCTCCACTTTGTTTTTTTTTTTTTTTTGCAGTTGGAAATCAATGGGAGATGTTCTCTCGAGTAACTTGGCTGGGACAGTTGCACGTTATTGCTTTTATGAAATGCGATTACAAGAACTTTCACTTTTGGATGGGGGGCTCGGGCTATGATTTATATGATGGAATCGGTCATTTTGGATGAGAAATGGTTTTCTGGTTTTTAAAAGACAGTCAATAAATGATTATGCTTACATGATATTTGAGATTGGTTGCAATTGTCTTTTTTTTTTTTTTTTTTCTTTTTCTTTTTCTTTTTCCAAATTATTTATATACGCTAAATTTTTTTATTTCGCCCAGTTTTATTCTTGTACTGTCGATATAATTCCCAATTGTCCGTCCTTATTAACTCGTAAGTGATCAATTATGCTCATTTGATTATTACCACCGTTGCTGCTGCAACACAAAGAGCCACACGCTTCCAAGCTATTTGCCCTTCTTGTCCTTCTCCTGCTGCAACAGTATGTTTCTGACAGCAGCTCTCTGGTTCCGGCTGCCACCAAGCTTGGGACCTTTGAGGACATCCGCCGACTGCTGCTGCTGCTTCTGCTGCTGCGTCGCCGCGGGGCGCTTCCTCTTGCGGCGCAGGGCCATCTCGTCGTAGTATTGCTGCCGGAACTGTTCGGCGAGGCGGTCGTCGGCGGAGGGGTCTGCGCCGGGGGCTGAAGAGGAGGCGGCTGCTGACATGGAGGAGGCGGTGGGGACTTCGTAGACATCGACTGTGAGATTTGAAAATCGTTGGTCAGTTATGGGGTTGTAATTTTTATGCGATAAGGGGCGGGAAAAAGGGGAGAAAGAGCTTACGTCGATTTTCGTGGAGGAATTGCTCAACCATGGCATCGCGCGCAATGTCCTCGCTGTTGCGGCGGTTGCGCCCTCGGCGATGAGGAGCAGGTTTGGCAGTGTCGGTGTCGACGCGGCGGCGCTTGTCGTTGTTCATTTGGTGGTCGCGAAGGTTCGTTGTGTCGACTTCGACGAGTTTGCCGTGGCGGGTGGGCTGATCTCGCCACTTATCCGCTGGATTCGATGACGATATCGCATTGTAATTTTGGAGATCCGTGGAAGATAGAGGAGGGAGCTGCTGCTGCGAGGATGATGATGGTGATGATGATGCGCCTTGGGGTGTGTTGGCGGCGTTGCGACTAGCTAAACGGGATTCTATGTATGCATTCCTGAATGATTAGTCTGGCGCTCTAGAAGGAAAAAAAAAGGAAAAAGACGGGGAAAGATGGAGGAAGAATTTGTTTTTGTGTGTCTCGGTGAGTGAAAGAAAAAAAAGGGGGGGGAGCCTGGGAGACGTACATGTGTGAGTCGTCCAGGATGGTGAGGAGGCCGGTCTGATGCATGAAGCGGTTCGTGATGCCGCCCACGACGCGATCTTGCGCCGCTGCGACTTCTTTGCCCTGATCTCGTAGGACCAAGGCATGCTCCGAGTCTTCTTCGTCGTGTGCCGACCGTCCTTCTGATCGAAATCCCACGCCTCCCCGACGAGATGCTGCCCGTCGAGCGTTGCGAAGGCGCAGAGCTGCCGCCACGGCGGATTCTTCCGCGGTTTGATCGTCGCCGTCGTCGTTATTTACGTCCATATCGGAATCGCCTTCTGCAGGGTTCTGCGCTTCCGCAGCTGTATCGTCTGCATCTCGTTCCGGATCGACATCTTTCGGATTCGACGACACGGCTGGCATCACCGGCGCAGGCGAGATCGCCGTCGTTGCGCCATTGTTTCCATCATCTTCTTCTTCTGCTGCTGCTGTAGCTCTTTGTCGGTAGGCTTTTCTCTTTTTGCCGGCGCGGAAGCGGATTGGTTCTATGGTTGGGCTGGTTTGCGATGGTTCTGTTTGCATATCATCCATGGTTGTTTGTTTTGTTTGGTTTGTAGAGATAAGAAAAGAAGCTAGGCGGCGAAAGAGGTGACTTCATACTTTGGTTGAGATCCGGCGATTAACCGAGGCTGGTGACGGACTTGGAGCGTCAAGTGAATGATGAAGGCAATTCTATCATGTACAGGATATAAAATCATATTCATTGTGTTGACATGGTAAAAAGAGTAAGATCTTTTCTGAATTTAAATGCTGGATATAATGATCTCATACGAATTACAGGTATATTTCGAGGTTCATGGATTCGTCCAAGGTAATGTCTGGCCAGACTCCCTCTACCCACTTGGCCTCGCTAACATCAACTTCCCAAGGCGTGGGCTTCCGGTATACGAGACTCAATATCCCGCACATTAACTCCCGATATTAATGGATTGCAGCTACTTTACGAGAAAGAAGGCTCATGAGTATGGCGTAACTGGGTGGTGCCGCAACACTATTGATGATACGGTAAGACGGAATTCCTCGCCAAAGGCTCATCCGTAGCTCATGCACTCCTACGCAGGTCGAGGGCGAAGCTCAGGGAGATGACGACATCATGCAAAAGTTCTTCAAGGCCATTGGCCAAGGCCCAAGCCATGCCACAGTCGACAAGGTTGTGACAGAGGACCGTGATGTGGTGGAACGAGATGGTACCTTTGAAGTCCGGCGATAAATTAAGAAGTGCTTTGTAGTAACCCATGCCTTGAAACCCACGCCATGCCTAACAAATATATACAAAATAACCGAATTATACAATTATTTCCAAAGTCTAGAATCCTCTCCCTCGTCTCTTTATTACGGGCTTCCTTACCGCGCCTTGAGTGATAATCTTCTTCTCGTCTGCATTGTCAACCTTTTTCTTAAGCGACCGCTCTGCCTCTGCCTGTTTACGCTCTTCATCAAGACGCTTATCCTCTGCCATCTTTGCTTCAATCTCCATCTTGCGGTTGAATTCTGTCTCAGTGATTCGTTTGTCTCGAATTGAGTAGCCCTTCTCTTTGATGGAGTAAAAGACACCGCCGAGGTCTGCCAACCAATGGGGATCAACAGCTGTAACAGTCGAGACGTATACTTTAGATGTGAGGATGAGTTCGTGATATACAATGTAATCTGGCGGATGGCCAGCGTACAAGGCACTCGTAGGATGCAGCTGGACTCCGAGGTTCGTTCGCAGGTTGGTGTACTCGCCAGACCCCTTATACTTGGCGGCTTGGTGGTAATATCCAGAGCAAATACACTTGCGAATGATATCCCAGTCCATGCCACAGCTAATCAAGTTCATCTTTTGCATCTTTACAATGTCCAGAAGCTGTTCCCGGATTTCCTTGGCTCGCCGGAGAGATTTGGAATGAAGAAAATGCTTGATGCACCATCCATCTGAGAATCCGTTGGCTTTCCATGCTGAATAAACCTGGAGATAGGTAAGATGGTCAGATTCATGAACCCAGAATTTCTCTCGTTGTGCATCGGCCTCGTCTTGTCGCTCCTTTGGCCTATAAAACACGTTTGGAACCGATAGCATGGACACAATCGTAATCATCTCCTCGCTGCAGCCGTACTCTTCCGCAGTAATCAGTAGCTTGGCCAAAGAAGGGTCCATAGGAAATGCGCTCATCTTGCGTCCAAGCTCCGTCAATTCTCCCAAGTTATCTAGAGCTCCTAGAGCCCATAGATCGAACATGGAGGTGGAAATGGTATCCTGCGGAGGTGGATCCATAAAGTCAAAGTCCAGCAAGTCTTTGACACCGAGCGATTTCAGCATCAGCACCGTATTGGCCAAATTGGTCCGCTGGATTTCAGGAATGGTCTGAATGTACAGCTCTTCCTTGAATGCCTTTTCTGTGTAGAGTCGAAATGCTTTTCCTGGTCCAGTACGACCGGCACGACCGGAACGCTGACCTGCATTGGCCTGGGAAATTGGTGTGATTTGAAGCGTGTCCATGCCCATCTTCGGATTGTACACCTTCATTTTCGAGTAACCCGCATCAACCACATATTTGATACCGTCCACAGTCAAACTCGTCTCGGCAATGTTTGTGGCAACGATGCATTTGCGAACTCCTGGAGCTGCCCTGTCGAAAATCTTGGCTTGTAGATCTGCTGGCATTTGGCTGTAAATCGGTAGTATGCTCAACTTTGGAGGGTCGTTTAGGGCGTCTAAGCGCTTCTGTACCAGCTCGCAAGTGATTTCAATATCTTCCTGACCTGTCATGAAAACGAGAATATCACCAGCGTCCATGGACACGTGGATAGCCAACACCTGCTGAACTGCCTGATCAACATAGTCCTCGACGGGAGATCGATGAAACATGACATCGACAGGGAAAGTTCGTCCTGGGATCGTAAACTCAGGGGCACCACCAAAGAAGTCGGAAAATTTCTTTGCGTTCATTGTTGCAGATGTGACAATGAGCTTCAAATCACGCCGCCTTTGCAATATCTTCTTGAATAGTCCCATCAAGATGTCCGTATTTAGCGCTCGCTCGTGCGCTTCATCCATGATGATGCAAGAATACCTATCCAAATCGGGTTCGTTGAGCGACTCACGAAGGAGAATTCCGTCTGTCAAGTACTTGATGACGGTGTCATTGCTGGTACAGTCCTCGAATCGAATTGCGTATCCAACGGTGCTTCCCAGTTTGACCTCCATCTCTTCAGCCACACGCTTGGCAACACTCATGGCAGCGACACGACGTGGTTGTGTGCACCCGATCATTCCAGTCTTCCCGTAGCCGTCCTCATATAGGAACTGGGTGAGCTGTGTTGTTTTCCCCGATCCTGTCTCGCCGATGACAATAATCACCTGATTTTCACGTATCACTCGGAGAAGCTCTTCGCGGACCGCAAACGCAGGCAGGAATTCTCGTTGTTCGCGCAATGACTTGCTCTTGCTGAAATCGCTGGCCCCTTCTGCGTTTTTGATGTGTTCACTGAATTTGTTCCCCTTACGTTCAGTTTTTTCCATATCCTCCTCAGCAGCTATTGGCAGAGCGCTATCTCCATCTTCTTCTTTAGCTCCCATGATATTTCCGAGAGCTGTGCCGGTAATGCTTGTTGCTTCATGCGCCTGTTTCTGCCGCTCTCTCTGCTGGCGAGATTCTTTGACTACCCTGCTCCCCTTCCGACTGAAGACAGCCATGTCGCTTTGGTAGTCCCTAACGGCTGGAACGGGCTCAAGTTGTTTGGTGAAAATCGTCTTTCCGTCCAAGAATGGCGGCCGTAAATCGTGAACAAGTAGATGAACTCGTGTCGTTTCCTCGTCGTCAAAGTCGGCGGCTAGATCTCGTCGCTGTGCTACGCCAGATACAAGCATACGGTTCGTCTCCCAGGCATCGTTTTCTCTCCTTCTCTGTTCCTGTCGGGCGTCATATCGGCTGGTCATCTTCTCGGCCTTGGCCGACTCCTGTTGTTGACTCTCCCATGCCGAAAGGTCATAAGACGCGAAGGGATTATAGGACTCATCGCCGAATGTATGACCTCCAAATTCGTCGCCACCGTACCAATCGCGATCCAGCGCTAAAGAATCCTCATCTGTTGGTTGCGGCTGGTTGGAATCTCGAGGAGGCGTCGGGGCATATCGAGACTGGCCGCGCGGTGTAGAGCTTCGGGATCCATCTTGGTACCTCCCCTTGGATCTGGAGAACTCGAGCTTCCTCCTTTTGGGATTAAACCCATCGTATTCTGCCTCTGACACCATAATTCGAATATGCCGATTCTTGCAAAATACGGCTGCGAGGCGGTGATGCGCCAAGTAGCTACGCGACTTGCGAAATGATGGTTAGATCATTAAGGCGAAGTTTCCCCGAATGCGCTGCGGAGCTACTGAAGAAGCTTATCGATAAACCCCACCATGGAAATTTTTGGGCAAAAAAGTTTAGAAAAGGTTCATGCAGAGATTCAGTCCCCAGTTACACTGCAAAAGACTTCAAGATACCCCAGACATTCGCAAAATGTCTTCTATGATAACTGCTGCCCAGTGGGTGCCTCGCGGCTTTGCGGCGCAATTCCCCCAAGTTTACAAGCTTGACGAGTCCGAATTCGATAGAATAGCTGCATTGGCCAAGCTGCAGCTTGACGATGCAGAGGAGGACTTGAAGGAAGCGCAAGAGGAAGGCGAAGATGCAGAGGAAGGGGATGCAAACAACGACGAGGAAATGGGAGGAGAAGATAAAGAAAACAAGGCTGAAGCTACAGCCAAGTATGTATACTTGGGCATTGGTTAAATAGTACGGCCCTTTTTTGCTGACAACTTAACTCAGGTTCGATGATGATGATCTGAAAGAGTACGACCTAGAACATTACGACGATGACGATGACGACGACAATGCGCCCGCTGCCAACGGAAGCATGGGCATGTTTGGAAATGTCAAATCGCTGGCATATTATGAATCGAACAAGGAAGACCCTTACATCACATTACAAGATGACGAGGAGGACGAGGAAAGGGAGGATCTCCAGGTCCTGGCAACTGACAACCTGATTCTGTCTGCAAAGGTTGAAGACGAATTGGCGCATCTGGAGGTCTACGTCTACGAGGATGAAAGCGACAACCTCTACGTCCACCACGACATTATGCTGCCGGCAATCCCTCTCTGTGTAGAGTGGCTAGACATCCCCGTCAGTAACTCGGGAAACGCACCCAGAGATGGCAAGGGCAACTTTGTCGCCGTTGGCACCATGGACCCGGATATTGAGATTTGGGACCTTGACACGGTCGATTGCATGTATCCAAATGCCATCCTCGGCCAGGGCGCAAACCCCGAGTCTGGCGAGAAGAAGAAGAAAAAGAAGAAGAAGGCCAAGGCAAATGACGAGTACCACGTGGATGCCGTCCTGTCTCTCGCCGCCAACCGCCAGCACCGAAATCTGTTGGCTTCCGCCTCCGCAGACAAGACTATCAAACTCTGGGATCTCAACACAACCAAGTGTGCCAAGTCATATTCGTACCACACCGACAAAGTGTGCTCACTCGCCTGGCACACCGCCGAGCCTACTGTGCTACTCAGTGGAAGTTATGACCGGACCGTTGTGGCCGCCGATATGAGAGCCCCAGACGCAAAGGTCCCTCGATGGGGTGTCGAGAGCGATGTCGAGAACATCCGATGGGACCCGCACGACCAGAACTACTTTTATGTCTCGACAGAAAACGGTGTCATTCACTATCACGATATTCGCAATGCCCCATCAACCCCGGAAGCAACCAAGGCGGTTTGGACCCTGCAGGCACACGACGAATCTGTGTCGTCATTTGACATCAACAGCGTCATTCCCGGATTCATGGCCACCGGATCGACCGACAAGACGGTTAAGCTGTGGAACATTCAGGCTACGGGCCCTTCACTGGTGGTCTCTCGTAACCTCGATGTGGGCAAGGTGTTTGCTACCTCTTTTGCTCCCGATCCCGAGGTCGCTTTCCGACTGGCAGTGGCGGGCAGCTCCGGCAGCATGCATGTCTGGGATACCAGCACCAACCCCGGTGTCCGAAGTGCTTTTGGACAGCGCGTCCCTGCTTTGAAGGAGGGCGTCAGTGAAGATCGACTAGTCGGCGTCATGAATGACGAGAGCAGCTCGAGCGAGGATGAGGGAGAAGGAGAGAATAATGAGGAGGGCGGCGACTCCATGGATGAGGATTAACCAAGACGCTTAATGCAGCCCCCGGGATGTTGGTGAGATTCTGTATATCTGGAACGTGGCGTTGTTTTTAGTAGTGTAACCATTGATGCCGTCTTGGAACGATCAATGCTGTTTGCTATATGATGTGAATAGAGGGATTTTATAGGCATTTGGGACTTGAATAGACTTGTCGGAGCCAGGAAGAAGACTCTGGTATTGCGAAATATGTGGTAACCCATCTACTTTGAGTAAGAGTCCAACTCATGTCATCTACAGTGACAGCTAAAAAATCGAGATGGAATAATAACATCGTCGTCACTCCCTTGTACTCTATCTCAAAGCCTAACGGCATTTCAAACATCATGGGGGTCTAAGCCTGGCAGCTGAAACAACTAGAACATAATGCTTCAACCTCCCTGTGAAGCCAATTGCCTGGGTAGAGGCCCTGGCTACGACACCGGCACTTGTGCCGAGCCATGACACGCACGCGTATGCGGCATGTGGCTTCGCTACGTTCTTTTTTTTTTCTCTTCTTCTATTTTTATCTCTATTTCTGTATCAGCAAGAACCCGTACTGTATGGAGCGTCCTTTGGTCTCGTCGGAAAGGCCCATTTTTCAACACAATCGGGAGGGGGGAGGCCATTGAGTTTGTGCCTGGACCAGTGGCGTCGGCTAGTTTGCTGCTGTTCCTGTGGCTGATCGACCGTTGGCGTCGGTGCGATGAGAACTAGAGTATGGGTCATTTTGAAGATTTTTTTCTTCTTTTTTTTTTCTTCTTTTCTCTTTGGTTGTATCCCCCTTTCCTGCTCCTCCTTGGGCGGAGCAATTGTGCCTGAGATGGCGTTTGCGTTATGGATAAAGTGCAAAAAAAGTACCGAGTACATTTGTAACATCAACCGGCAGAAGAAGCCTGCTGTAAGCACAGCACCGCGCATCATCGGCGCACTTTCATCCCTTCCCCGGTAGTGTCGGGTAAAACGGGGCCCAAGAGGAAAGATCAGCGCCCAACGCCCTTTGGACATGTGCGCTTCTCTCGCTTCCTCTATTGAGCGCTGCATAAGCATGTTTCGCGATCTCTGTCCCTGGCAGGGGTTTTGCTTCTGAGAAGACATGCGCTGCGGTGCCGTGCTGCTAAAAAAAGGGCCCTGAAACATGGCGGTACAAGGGGACCGGTCCAATCAGGCGGCCCGGGCTCTCCAGTTTTTGGCACAGGTTTGCAAGATCGGCCTGTCTTGTCGCCGGGGGTTGCGATTGGCTGGCTTTGCAAACCTGGTTTCTAACGTGGCCAGCTGTGCTGCAAGGCATTGATTGTGGTTTTGAACAGCAGACGCAGGTACTGCTGGCGCTGCATGCACAGAAGGCCGGTACAGAGTACATGCAGGTCTATGGAGCAGTGCTAGCAGAGAAGCAGCAGAGCAAACACGCAATGCGAGATTTTGAGAAAATTTTATTTCCGCCCCCATTGGAGCTCTCGAGTCGTGGGACAATGGCGAGCAATAGCAAGAGCAGGCACTAATCGGAGAAATTTGTTGGGTGGCCACGGCCAGTGCCGCACAGTACAAGCATCCAAACCTTCGTAGCGGCGTCAATCCTACCTCGAGGTCCAAGTACTTTATACAAGTTGGGCCAACATGGATGCACAGCTGCAGTTTAGGGCTGTTTTACAGTGGCTGCAGTGAGCAGAGGTGGCGCCGGCCTGACAATGGATGCTTCATCAAAGCTTGCATGTAAAAACATGCTGTGCATCCCGTCATCTAATGCCACGTTTGACTGCATTTGAGGCGAGATGCCAACAGCAGTTTGTGATTGTGACTACTATCGGTATTTCCTCCATACAGGCAATCAAGTACCCCGCACGCAAACACCTACACAGCAGCTTGGCAACTGTCAAAAACGCACAGAGCAGTCAGCATATCAAGTCAACAATAGAAAATGGCCTGCGGCCAACAGCAAAGAAAATGAGACTGGCAGCAGAAGAGAGGAGAAACGCCAAAAATTAGCAGCTCGCTAGGCAGCTAAAAGGCCCCGGCTCTAGTGGACGGCCTCCCTCACTATTGGCTGCAATGGCGCTTCACGGCACCATCCTTCATTCTGCACCCGCCCAAACAGGCTTGGCCCCGGAGCCTAGTCCAGGGGCCTGAAGCCTCCATCTGCCCCAAACAGCCTGATGGGGGCGCGCATTTGGCACCGGGGGCCGAGCTGGCTGCAGCTGGCCAATGAGGCCGGGGGCGCTGCGATGGGGGCATGAGCATGGGAACATGGGAGCCAAGCACGATTTGGGGCCAGGGATCATGCGGGAAATGCCACGCCGCCTGGCTCGCGATGGCGATTTCGTTGCTCCATCCCACTGTAACTTAGTCTATCCGTCTCTATTTTTTTTTGTTTCTTCCCCTTCTTCTTCCAATCCCGCGTGCGCGACTGCTCTCCCGCTTCGCCTCTTCTCCTTCTCTTCTCTCGGTTCCTGCTGAAGAAGGGCTGCGTTGCGTGAAGGCTGTCTTCCAGACACTTGGCCGCGGCTATTCACTTCTCTCCTGTATATATCCCTATATACTTTTTTTTTTTCGAGCACGCATCTCGGCATTTACGCCTCTGCGCTGTTCTGTTTCACTCTCCTTTTCTCCCAGAGAATCAAGGCACATCTGCCGTTACTAGCTCTGCGACACATCAGTTAAAACAACTCGGCATTTTGATTCCTCGCACTTTGAACATCATAAACGTTGACCGTTTGATTCCCGCAGCCTCGTCCAACAGGCTTGTTTTCTTCTCTCATTCCTCCCTCTCTCACTTTTCTCTCTCTTAGTTTCGCTGGTGTCGCCCGAGACAATCTTCGCTTGCGTCCAAGACACAGCAACGAAACAGGACTGGACTCCGCCTTTCTTTGAACACACGTGTGACGACAGAAAACTGTCACAAGCCGTCGCGACAAGAGTCGAATCCGACAGCCACAAACTCTGTGCGCCAAGTACATGTACTCTTGCAGCCAACACACATAACCACATACCACGCAATCTCAATCTCCAACAGTCACCTGGCGTGAACCACAGTTGCTCTCTTTCTTTCTGCCTCTCTCTCTCTTTTTCTTTTTCTTATTCTCTTACTTCTTTTTCTGCCCCTCCGGCATCCATCTTCATCCATACAAGCGCAGATCAGCTGTCGTGAATTCCCAAAAATCACCTTCCGACTTGAGCTTGGATTCACATCGACGCCGCAGCTCCACCACAGGCACAGCACCCGCACAAGGCCCCTGTGCAACGTTCCCAGCCGTTTGCATACATCATCGGCCCAGCTCTCTGAAATAGTGAGCGCTGGTCACACGGCGTCATAGTCAACTGCCATATCGGGCTGTAGACTTCTCATCATCGCTCACCTCATTCTTCACCACTCGAGCGGCTGCCTCATTCGCCTGCGGTGGCCACAAGAGTCATACAGCGTGATACCATCTCACTCTTGTTCTTGTTCTTATTTGAATCTGCTTGTCCCTCCCAACGTCAACAGCACATTTCTTCAACCTAGCAACCACTGCCACAATGTCGCTATCACGGGCTTTCACTACGCGCAAGCTCAAGATCGGCTCTGATGCCGACGGCAAAAGTCCCCAGCGCTCGCACACTCTTCGCCACAAGATCTCGGCTCCTGTCCAGCTTGTTCACACAACCAACATGCTCTCTTACAACGCGCCTGATCTGCCTCGAGTACCTGGACGCACCAACTCTTCGAAATCTCTAACCGATTCCGACAGCGTCGAAACCACCGAGTCGACCCCGCCAACCAGCCCGGACATTGCCCAGGGAGAGCGCTCGCCTTCTCCCAAGCCGAATCACCTCTCGGGATACTTCAAGCCCGCAAATGCGAAACCCGTCGTCCCAGCCCCGGCTGAGCCTGAGCCAACTCCCGCTCCAATGATTCCCCAGCGCTCTCCCACTCACACCAAGAAGAACTCGGTCGATGCCGTCGCCAGGTCACGATCCATCACGCGCATCTCTAGAGACTCGGAATTGTCCGCTGCGTCCAGGAGTCTTCAGGCCTTCTCTTCCCGTTCTCCGTCTGTATCAACCAACTCTTCGGCACCCTCTTCAGCACATTCGTCAATGCACTCTTCGGCGCATAATTCATCCATCTCGAGCCGCCTTGCGAAACAGCCTCTAGCTCCTGCTTTTCCTCTGGCCCCCGCGGCCACTACGGTTTCTGCAGCTCATGCAGCTCCTGCAGCCTCGTCTGTGCAACCTTCTAATGCAGCGAGGCACCACGTCGCCAAGGATTCAAATCCTTTTGGAGCAGAGCTGGCGCAAGTGACGGAGCTAGCGGAGGAATTTAGCTCCAGAAGCCAACGGGAGCAAATGGAGGAGGACGTGGAATATATCCGCTCCAAGGGCCTCGTCAAGCTGCGTCCCGACGACTATCTCAGCATGGTTCAAAGCCTGTCATCCATCTTCTTCTCCGAGTCTAGTCACCCGGCTCCCAAAGCTGCGGCACCACTCTGGATTTAACCCTATACAAATTACGAAAGAACCAAAGAAAAAACAAAAACACGAAAAAAAAAGAGCTGCCATGTCACTGTACATACCGAAATTGTTTGGATATATACTCTGTACTGCTATGGGCAAAAGCGCTCCAGCCGTGACGACTACCATCACCATTCTACTTCTTCTTCTTCTTCACCATTTTTCTTCTTACTTTCTTATTTTGTTGACATGGATGGGAACGATGTGGGGTCTAGAACATTAACATTACTAGGTACTTGGATTGGCTGTTTGCTATACCTGAAACAGGAGAAGAGGTGGCGTTAAATAACGGATGGGAAATGCTTCTTAACTGAGGCGTCTTTTTATATAATTTCTTTTATTTTTCACTATTTATGATGTGAATACTACATCAGTCACAAGCCACTGCACATATTATGTTTTGATGAAATTTTATTTCCTTACCATGTACTCCCCCTGCCTCACAACTCAGTGATTGATTGATGTATTCACAGAATTTTGTACTTGAGCTTGCTTAGACATATGACCATCATCATCAGATATTACAATGAAATAACGCGACTGCCGCATTGGGCAGGATATGCATTCTGTCAGATGGCCCCAACGATCGTCTGTCTCTCTGGGCACATCAGCTGTAAGATCCCACAAAGAGCGGATGGGCGCCGGTAAGCGGGAGATTGACGATCCCTGCGAATGTTTCAACTGCGCCCCACGGATACTTTGGCCAATCACGCGATGGACTGCGGCTGATTGTTTCAAGGCCAGGGTGTTGGTTGCCCGCTTGCCGTGAGTGGTTCGAATGCTTGTACTGCGCTGAAATTGATGGAATCGGGTTCACGGAACGGCTCTATGAAAAAGAGATTGGATTTGAGGCATGGGCTGGGAGACTGGCAGGGTTCTGAAATTGCTGTATACATAGGAAGCGTGAACATGTGGTTGATGAAGCTAGGGCCACCTGTTTGGCATGATGAGCTGTTCTGTGCATGGACAGATTACATGGAAGAGTTGTCATGTACCTGCTGTCTATTGAGATTATTCAAGACTTGAACATGCGAATTGGTGTGATTGCATGTGCCAAGTCATTCAACTACCAGAAATGCTACCATGATTCACCATCACCATCAAATAAAAGAAAAGGTTATTATACAGACGCTGCTCTTTCTCTGTTCACTGCCGTCATGTCAACTTGCGTATGTAATCACGTGGGGCAATTGGCGGCACCCACTCGTTGAGAAATGTTCTGAGCGATACCTGCTATTCAAGCTGAATGGAGCTCGTATTGCTGTTGAAAAATTGAACAAGATCGAGTCTCTATATACTCTCATGACTGGGAGACTATTCCTGTTTCATATTCCATTTGTATAGCGGGTAAGACCACCTTGGCACTTTTCCATTTTTTTTTCTTCTTTACCACTCGACGTGGGGTAGCGTTTTCGTTTGCTGGTAAGCATATGAGCTGAAGTACTACCAGATTTCACTACTTATTACTATAAACCTCATATTGAGGCAAGAAGAACAAGAAAGACATCGTCATGGCGGGTTCAGATAACGCCCCCGACTCCTTCATCAGCAAGGAGGACGGGCTCAACTACTGGGAGGGTGTTAGCGCTGATATCGACGGCATGCTTGGAGGCATTCCATCCGTCAAGGGCTTCTCTGGTATCTTAAAGAGCGATCTCCAAGGCTCACGGACGTTTCTGGCCAAGCTGGGCGTTGGAGCAAAGCAAGGGCGGCAGAAGTTGGCCACGGCTTTGGAGGGTGGTGCCGGGTTAGTAGCATCCATCTGGCTGAGGATATTGCAAGGCCTGAGCACTGATGATTAACGAGTGCTGATCTTTGATGACTGACTCTCTTCCTTGTATGCAGAATCGGAAGGGTTACCGAAGGGCTGCTGATCCCATTGGCCGACGAGGTCGATGTCATTGAGCCCGTGGCCAAATTCACCGCCGGGCTGCAGGGCAAAGAGGGCGTTCGTAACGTCTACAATCATGGTTTGCAGGACTGGGAGCCTGTCGAGGGGCTCAAGTACGATCTTATCTGGACGCAGTGGTGCGTGGGCCACTTGACGGATTCGCAGCTGGTGGAGTACCTGAGGAGATGCCAGGTTGCGCTGAATCCGGGGGCCATGATTGTGTTGAAGGAGAATTTGAGCACATCGGGCCGTGATGTCTTTGATGAGCTGGATAGCAGTGTGACAAGGTGGGTTCACTCTCTCTCTCTCTGATATTCCATTGTCCGATGTTTCCTTTATGAGCTGACGAAGAGCCAAAAAAAAAAAGGGAGGATGCCAAGTTTAGACAGATTTTTGAGGAAGCGGGACTGCAGCTTGTCAAGTCGGAGCTGCAGAGGGGATTTCCTGAGACGCCGCAGATGACGCTCCTCCCAGTGAGGATGTATGCTTTGAAGCCAAAAGCTGTGTAAGATGAAGGGCTTTTTGTTTTTTTCTTCTTGTTCCTGCGAGTGATTGGGATTTTTACGGATTGGGAATGTTGAAGGGGTTAGGGAAAAGTTATGATGCATCGTAAAAAAACAACGGTGGAGGGAAGAGCTTCGAAGCTAGTTGAGCTTGAGGTTGCTGGAGTTTTGTAGATACCCTTAAATTCAAGTGCTGTGTTGCAAAGATTCGGTCAACGTAGAATTGTTTGTATCGAAATGACACATGATATGCTGTGATGATGTGTATTTGGTTGGATTTAACAGCTGCCAATTGACATGGCTAGACTTTGGGCGATGTTACACCATTGGCTTTTGGCAACTACCCGTATATGTATATGTAGGTCAACTTTTTACCATCTCTTCGTGTATAAACTCAATTGATCGAACTTAATGAGCCCTTGTTCATTAATTCTCCAATCGAGACTTTTATCATGACATCCCCTACCATCTACAAAGCTGACATGGAAAGACGGAAGCTCGTACCAGCAGCAATTTAGCGCCAGCGCTCCACCGCCAACCTCTCTCACATCTCACCTTTATATCAATCTTCATTTCCATCTTGTATACACACCCAACTTTTTTCACCCAAAAAAAAACTCATCCAAAAACCCGCCCGATGCCCTCTCCCACCCCTCCCTCCACCTTTGGCCAAGCCGCCCTCATCACCGCCCTCAAAGGCCAGACCCTCCGCATCCCCAGCCTCCAAGCTCTCTTCCACACATGGCCCTCTCCCAGCCTCAACGCCCACTACCAAGAGCTCGTCCCCCTTGCCAGCGCCGCCATCCTTGAAATCGCCGCCGCTGCGCCCCAGCTGAGCATTGAACGCCGTCTGCGCGACGACATTGCCCTTTTGACCTGTCTGCTGTTCCCGACCGCGCGCCGGAACCAGATTGAAGCGCTGGTGCTGTACATGGTGTGGCTCGTCTGCTGGGACGACACGGTCGACACAAACGAGGGTGATTTGGCTGCTGATTTCGCCGGCGCCGAGGAATGGCGCGGCAAGACGCTGGAAATTGCCCGGACAGCCCTTCAGCTCCCCGATGATGGAGGAGCCCAGCATGGAGCGGCGGTAGATGCCATCAATGCCGTGCTCGTCAACTTTGGGCAGCGGTACTGCTATGGCACCACCCATGAGAGAGCCCCCCTCGAGCAGCGTCAGCGTCTGTACGACGAGATCAGCATCTTCATCCGCGCCTGCGCCATGGAACAACGGCTACGTCTTGACAACGCCCTGCCTAGCTTTGAGGAGTACATGGATCTCCGGGAGGGGACTGTGGCGGGCGGCACGCTCTGCGCGCTGGTTCCCTTCGCCATGGGGAGACACGTGCCGCCGGAGCTGCTCGATTCGCCGCAGTTTGGAGTTCTCCGGAAGCAGGCCAATGTGTTGTTTGGCCTGCTAAACGATTTGATATCGTTGAAAAAGGAGCTCAGCATGGATTGTGTCATCAATGCCGTCTGTACGCTGCTGCGGCCGGAAAGGCCCCTGGATGAAGTCATGGCGCAGATTTATCAGAAGCTGCAAGATGCGGTGCGGCTTTTCAACGAGGCGGCCGGGGAGCTGATTGATCAGTTCATGAATAACAATCTTCTTTACGACCTGTCGAAAGATTTGGTTGATGGATACAGAAGTGTAGTCACTGGCACGCTCGAATTCATGTGAGTTAATATGATCCCAAAAATAGCCCTCCATAAACCGTGGGAGGCTTCCTTTATATATTAGGCTTCATGGTCGTTGGATGACCAGCAGCCGTGTAAAGCAAATAATAAGCTAACCTTGGTCTCCGGAAAAAAACAGGCTCAAATCCCCTCGCTATAACATCTCGCAGCTCTTGCGCGAAGATGGCTCACTAGAAATAGTCCTCTGATATCATGACTCCCACTTCCATTCACCTTGTTTGACTCCCGTGAGTTCCCAACTCCAGTGTTTACCCTTCCCTTTATCTGCCGGATTGTATGATGATGCTCTCTCTTCTTCTTCTTCTTCTTTTTTTTTTTTTTTTAAAAAAAAAGAAAAGTTTTCTCCCTTTCCCCTTTCCCCTTTCTCCTGATATGCGGATCACGCCCATTGCAATTAAAAAAAGGTTAAAAAGTAGCCAATGCGTATGAATGAATGAAAAGTAACTCCGCCTCTTTTTGTGTTTAATAAATGTTTCCCGGAAATGTTGTCGTCAGAAAAAAAAATCAAGGTTTCAACTCTCCAAACTGCATGGCTTGCCGATCGCCCAATGGCTCAACAGACGTCACCAGATCCGTGATAGTGACAATCTTGTATCCCTGTCGCTTCAATTCCGGCAGCACAATTCGCAGCATCGGTGCTGTCCAGCCTCTTCTGTCATGGCATATAATGATGGCTCCAGGATGCGCCATGCTCAGAATATGCTTGGCATTCATGTTGGGGTAAGGAATCTGCGGATCGTGGGGGTATATGCTCCCCAAAACGATCCTGAACCCTCTATTGCCAAGCAAGTCCCTCATCCGCTTGTTGAACAAGCCCGACCCAGGGCGGAAATAGTTATTCGGCAGGATCTTGCCCTCGGCCTCGTACGCCTCCGTCAGCATGGCCTTGACCTGCTTGACCTGGCTCTCCAGCTCGTCGTTGCTCAACCTCTTTGAGGGCTCGTCGCGCATAGCGTGGTTGCCCAGCTCGTGGCCCTGCGCAACCAGCTTCCGCAGCGTGGCCTCCCGCCCCTCGACCTGCTTCCCGATGACGAAGAAGGTGGCGTGCGCGTCGTTGTCCCGCAGCACCTGCATGATCTCGTCGGTATGCGCCGAGGGGGCGTCGTCGAGCGACAGGGCAATGATTTTCTGGGCCGTCGGCACCTCGAAGAGCACGTCGGGGAACTTGTTGCGCAGGTAGCCGATGAGGAAGCGCGGCGGCTTGTAGACGCAGTAGATGGAGTAGAGCGGCAGGGCGAGCAGCAGCACGAGCAGCACGAGGAGGCCCTGCATGGTGAGGCGGTTTCGTCGGACCCGTCGCCGGACGGTGGTCGGCAGGCGGAAGAGGTTGAGGCGTGGCATTTCCTTTTTTGTGTGTGTGTTTCTGCTGCCCTCGTTTTTTTTTTTTTCGTTTCTTCGAGGTTAGCAGCGGCGGCGGCGAGGGACGACGGTAGTACCGCCTGCTGCTGGCATGCTCTCTCTCTCTCTCTCTCTTTCCTCCTCTCTTTTCTTCTTCTTTTTTCTTCTTCTTCCGCTTTTCTCCCTTGAGCCTCGGTCTGTCGTATGTCAATGGCACTGAATTGGGGTGGGAAAGTCGAAAAGTGCAGAGTTGTTGCTTCTGTGTCGAGACCGCCACTAAGGCGGGAGAAACACTAGATATGAGGCTTGAAGTTTTGTTAGCCAGGGGCAAGTAGCACGAGCGCTATCTGATTTAGCGACTGGGGGTAGTGGCGCCCCAAAATGGGGGTGGGAGGATTTGGACCCCTAAAAGTACATGGGATGGAATGGATGTGTTAATCTTGAAAATCCTAGAATTCACTCTGCACGAATATTCAACGCAATTGCACGTGCCACGAAGTAGCTGAGGTTCTTTTTTTTCGCGCTTGATTTTTAAAATTTATTCTATTCTTTTTGTAACTGCATCAAAATGGATTGTTATCCCAGCTTTTCTTTTCAAGCTGCCGTGAACTTAATGCCCTCTTTGTCTTATACAAGAGCTAGGGATGGATGTAAAGTAGATCGGAAGATCCCCCCCTTAATCCAACTCTCATTCTCACAAACCAATAGTAATAGGATATCACAATCTCTCAACATCTCACATAAACAAATACAATGCTCTACAGCCCTTCCTTTACCAAGGCCTCAAATCCGTGCTGCAAATCCGCCTTCAAATCCTCCAAGCTCTCCACGCCAACACTCAGCCTCAACAAACTCTGGTCAACCGTGGCATCCGTCATTGCCCGCCACTCAATCAAGCTCTCCACGCCTCCCAGGCTCGTCGCGTGCTGGAACAAGCCCAGCTTGCCGGGGAACCTCCTCGCCATCTCCTTGTTCTTCAGCGTAATGGCAAACACCGGCCCGTAGCCGTTGGGCATCTGCTGCCGCAGCCAGCTGCCTTCCTGCGCCGCCTCGGGCTGCAGGCTCGCGTGCTGGATCCGCGCAATCGTCTTGCCCGCCGCCGTGGCCGGGTCCTTGGCCTGCTCCGCGAGCCATGCGACCAGCGCCGCGGCCGTGGTGCTCTGGCGGTTGACGCGCAGCTCGAGGGTCCGCAGGGAGCGCATGCCGAGCCAGCCCTCGAGGCTGCCGATGACGGAGCCCAGCACGAGACGGTCGGCGAGCAGGTCGCTGACCCACGTCTTGTGCTTGGGGTTGGCGGCGAGGACGCCGCAGAGCAGGTCGGAGTGGCCGCCAAAGTACTTTGTGCCGCTGTGCATCACAAGGTCTGCTCCCCAGGCAAAGGGATCCAGCAGCGGCGGCGGCGCAAAGGTAGCGTCTACGGTTAGATATGCGCCCACAGAGTGTGCTCTGTCGGCATAATACTTCAGGTCGCGCGCCTCGCCTGTGGGGTTCAGCGGCGTCTCGACATGGATGATGTCTCCGGGTCCCAGCTCCGAGAGGTCGCAGTCCAGCGGCAGCTTCTTCAGGCCGGTCAGTCGCTCAAAGATCTTCAAGATGCCGTGGCAGCCGTGATAGCCGTCTCCAATGGCCACCTTCTTGGGGTTCAGATGGGTGATCATGGCATGGAACGCAGCCAGGCCAGACCCATACACAATGGCCTGCTGGCCAATGATGGATGTGAGGAGGGCTTCGAAGCGGGCCATGTTGGGACTCGTGTGGCGCGAGTAGACGTGGAAGTCGAGCGGCTTGGTGGTCTAGCGAGACGAGTCTCTTGTGTCAGTCACCCGGAGAAGCTTCTTCCACATGCTCTCGCACACCAAAGTTGCCCGGCACTTACATCGACCTCTGAGATGGGCTTGAGCCTCTCCGGGTCATTGGGATACCGAAAGGTCGTGCTGGTGTGCAGCCCAGGCGCAATGGCTGGATGGCCATCAATGCGAGCATCGGCATGCACCGCTCTGGATGCAAGCGACAGCGCCGCAATGTCTGGCACGTATTCGTCCGAGGCGTTCCCCATGGTGTCTACTGGTAATTTGTGTATCGTTGTTTGTGTCTATACCTGATACTTATCAGCGTATAGTAGGTATACTCGTCCCCGTGCGACGCCCATCTTTAAGTTCTCGCCGTGCCCTTTTATATATGTCGTGCTAATTCGCAAGTCGCAATACTGCCCCGCTCATAGGCCGTCTCGCTGCCGTTGTCGCTATTACTCAACGGGCCTCACATACCCACTATTACCCATTCCGAGTTACATCACGTTTAAAGCTGTCGTATCATGTCCAGCAAACTCAAAACCGCTTAGATAGCCACGAGCCACTCTGGGTCCGGATAATCATGTAATTATGTACTGGCTCCGTAAAACTTGTCAATACAAGGCGCAATATACATCCAAGGTAGGTATCACGATAAGGGTGGTCTCGCTCCACCCATACGCTAAACTGGGGAGCGGCTGAGTGCCACCTTACGCCTTGTTGTCGATTCTCATCTCTTTCTTGTGCTTTTGGATACTATATCGAGCATCCAGCAGTTCGTTCAAAGAGTATGCCGTTAATTTCCGTCCTGTACAGACAGAATCGCTCCGACTTACCCCTTCCGGGATCGGTGGCATAGTTGACTCTCTCTTGAGAGGAGAAGAAAAAAGAGCGGATACCTTTGATTTAAGCGTAGGTAATGAATATTCGTAAAACTCTCAGAAGCGCATCAACAAATTAGCCGGGATGAGATATGGAAAAAGGAAAAGGAAAAATAATGCACCGTCACAGCCTTGCATCACCAGTTGTCATGATTCCTCTAATCATTGTTATTCTCCCTTCAAAGAATGTTCACTGGGCTTATCCAAAACAAACTCTGTCACCACACAATAGTCATGAACATGATGACGATGGAAAATGGGCAAACATAAATATGTGCTGTATTAGCGATCCGATATGTAATCGCCGACATAAGTTATTATTAATCATTAAGTCGTCTTGTTTCCCTTCCATTAATGCTCCCAGGCCGTCATAGTCTTTCATTTCTGCCAAGCTTAAATTTCGTGTTTCGCAGGCAAAGCCAACAGATGCAAATGCATCGTGCAAGGTATATGGCAGCAATGAATATATCCACTGCCAACAGTCCATCCCAAACGCCATTGTCGCAAAATAAAACATATCCGTAGTCCAAGAAAAAAATCGTTGATGCTTGATAAAGTTTCATGTATAGTAGATTATTTCGAGTTGCCGAGTTATTTGCCGAGACGCCTCTCAGTCTTTCGTTGACACAGTCGAATGTTCCATGGGGCTTAGCTCGGATCCTTGGCCGCTCTGAGCCCTCTTTCGACCAGGAATGAGGAACCTGGAGACTCCCGAGGGGGCTGGAGACGAGTCCTTCTCTTGGGTCTCGGTCAATTTGGAGAAGAAGCCGCGCTTGCGAGGCTGCTGCTTCTGGTCTTCGAGCCCGACATCCTCAAAACCTTCGTCGGCCGTGGGCAGTTGTTCCAAGTTACGGTTAAATGCCGATCTAGGCATTCTAGAGAAACGTGCCGAATCGAGACTTTGGCGGGTGGGAATGTCGTATGCGGTGATGGGAGAGCGTGCCGAGATATCCTATAATTGAAGCCCGCAAGTCAGTCTCCAGTGCTTCATGTGCGGGGTTGATGTTGTAGCCGGGAAATATGAATCTGTGTGGCAGAAAGGCTAAAGCGACAACAACGTACAAATGATCGTCGGTACGAGTCAAACGACTCTCGCGAAATAGAAAACTGCTCAATCTCGCCCGAGCTGTCTGAGGACTCGCGCGATGAGAGGTGTCTGCGCGGCCACTGGCTCTTCTCCTCCGCAGGCGAGGGCTGCTCGCATAAACACAATTAGCAGTCTGCGCAACAGATGCAACCAAGTGCCAGGGATGCACAACTTACAGGGAGATATACGCCGCTGTCATTGACAACTAAACGTGCAAAGCGCATGTCAGTTCCAGCCCACCGAGAGTCGTGTGACGCTCTGCCGCTGCATGGCCCAGAGGGGAAGGTTGCAAGCGAGAGCGACTGCGGCCACTTACCGCTCATCTTATACTCGCCGGTGTCTTGGCTTCTGGCGCTGCGGATGCTCAAAACCGACGACGCCTTGGAGCCCACGATGTCGACTCGCTCAAATCCGGGGTAGTTGTGCTCCTTGTCGGCGTAGACACCGTCATCGGCCGGGACGACAGCTCCGGGGCGGCGAGTGAAGGGATTTCGGATCGGCATGGTGGTGTGATATTGGCCGGAGTTGATTAGAGTAAGAAGCAGCCAAGTGCGATGGTATCCGGCTCGATAATAGTGATGTGAAGAATGCGCAGACTGTCGAGAAGAATGATTCTTGTAGAATAAGTAGCGGTTGAGTGATGCAATTGAGTGAGGGGACGGAAGCCCTTCTTGTATATAAGTGGAAAGGTCCGATTAAGCTCGTTGAGGAAAGAAAAGCTACAGGTCGAAAAGGCCAAGGAAGGGGCACAGCACAGGGGGTGGGCGCTTCAAGGCCTTTAAGAAGAGCGACGATGGCCAGATGTCAGACGAGTCGCGAACGGATCAGCGGCAGAGTTTGAGGGGGTGGGATCTCAAGGGCCTGGCGCATTGAAAATGGGTTCCGGATGGATACAATGGAGCATGAGCATGAGCATGCACTGACTACGAGGTACCTGATGGAGATGGAACGAGGCGAAAAACGGCAGCTTGCCAACTTGATACTAGCAGCGCTGTTAGCAGCATCGACGGCGGCCAGTCGTGGTGCTCCATGACGCCTCTTTGGCTGCGCTGAAATGCCAGCAACAGCATTTTCGCTGAGCAAAGACATCAGATCTGCGCAAGTCTGATTGATCCGTTGATCCTTTCGGCGGTGCCTTGCCGGCGGAACATGAAATACGGTGCCGCGCCCGGTACGCACTGTGTGCAGTGCCTGGATTTTTAGTGTCTTTATTGGCTTTTCATCCTCATGATCAGCAAAGCTTGGCTATTTGGCTGTGTTGCGGTGGCTGCACTGCCTCACAGCTCAGCTCTCACACGCAAAGGCTGCTCTGTGCTCGCATCCGTTTCTCCTTCTTGGGCTTCTTGATTCCATTCCGCACACACTGCTGCAGCAGATCGGGCTGTTTTTTGCACTTAAAAATTGGAACTGGACCAGCACCAACAACGAGCCTAAGATGGCTCCGGCTGCTATTGCGCGCGCACCCTAGACTCCAGAATTCGAGCTTGGTGGAGCCACCAAAAGGCACGCGCCCGGAGTCGCTGAAAAGCCCGGTAACGAATCGCCCGAGCAGCGGTTGACTGACAGAGATTTTATCCGCCAGACTGGCTCTGTTATGACGATGCTTGGATGTTTAGCACGCTGGAGTGGAGCGCCAACAGTAAGTATCCGGAGCCAAGGCTACTGTGCGTGTGCGTTGCGGGATTCGGATTTGGGCCAAGAGGATCTCGTTCCTTGGGCCAGTTTCTGTGCGTTTGGGGCAGGTTTTGGACAAGAGAACGGCATTATTACCTCATCTTGCAGCGCCGGGGCGGCACCGAGGCCGAGTTTGCCATATTAACAGGCACTCGTCTTCGTGTATTGGCAAAGAGATCGCCATGCTGAGGCCAACAAAGGCTGTGTGTGAACCTATCCATCACAGATCACCACCAGGCTGCTGGAGAACAGACTGTCCCCGCCACCCACTTTGCCATGCTCTCTACTCTGTTGCAAATCCGGGGCCGCGCCGTGCAGACAGGGGCTATGCTGGAGATGGATTTGCCTTGATTGGCGCAGTGTGCACTGCAACTGGGAACGTGAAAACCCTGTGGCCATGCTCCGTGCAGCGAATCGATTGCGGATCATAACCATCTACGGCTTGTGGTAACCCATTGCGCGCCGAAACGAGCACATGTCTGTACACATGTTGACATGCACAACAATAGATACCTATACCTAGCACTGGTAATAGCCTGATCAAGAGGAATAGCCGCCTGACAATGCCCGCTTCTTTTTCTTGCCCATCATACGTTGCCTGCATGGCCCAAGCAAGACGCCACCAGATGGCCTATTTGGGACACCTGCAGCGCAGTTGTTGGACAGCACACCTGCGGTTGAACCGTTGAGCAATTGGGCACAGCAGAGAGCTCCAGATGGGGCCAAGCCGCCGTGAATCCTGCCGCCACAGAGCAGGGCTTCTGCACCTAAAAAAATATCGTCAGTCAACCACTGCCTTGTTCTGAGTTGGTCTGGTCTGTACTGTCAACAGCTCTTGGCACTTATAGTACGATGGCGCACGGCACAGAAATCTCTTCTGCTTAGCTTCCTGCACGAAAAGTCTCCGAATTGGCACCTCGCAAGACCCTGCAAAGTGCCAGAGGAGAAGAAAAAGGAAAGAAAAGCCAAGCCAGATTCAATGCCCCCTTGAGTTGAAGCTTGCAGGTGTCACTTTAGCAAGTGCATATTAGTTAGGTGCCTATTATGCCGCTATGCAGCTCCCATCGTACATGTAAATCTCAGTGTGACATCTGATGGAATTTTCTAGCTTCCTCTCCGTCCTCGTCTTCCTTCTTGTCCTCTCGTGATGGCGTGGCCATGTCTCTCTTGTCTCTCCTGTGTCTTGAGGGAGACACAAGGCCGGTGAGGCTGTTCTGGCCAACCCTTGGACATTTCAACGTCTGAACCTAAGCAGCAGCAGGCCTGCTTCGTAGTGGTAGCATTTTCCAACTCCCACCGTTCTTGTGCCATGTCCCAGCTGAATTGCAACCCTGTCGGTCCGATCGATTGGCATTGAGCAAGCAACCCCCATGCTCACCTATTCCCCCTCACTGCCTTTGTCTTAGAATTTTTCTTTTTTTTCCTTTTTTAGATCGGCACTGAACTTGCCAGCAAGCCGCATACGAGGTGGTAAGCTGCAGGCCTTGTGCGGGCTGTGTTTCCACGGGACCGCCCCAACCACAAAGCACCTCCCGAGTCAAGACAAGGCCCAAAGCCCAAGTCCATGCATGAGGCCATTCTGAATCCATCCATTCGCTCGCCCGCACGGGCAGATCCCAGCCAGCTTCTGGTGCCGCACTGGTTCTGACTTGGCGAGCGGGCCTTTGTGCGGCCGATGGGCCACGAGAGATACAAAAAAATGAGATTGAGCGCTCTGATCGTTCAGGATGTCGATCATCTGTTGCCGATTCTCCTCTTACATTGTTGGCTCTGTGCTGCCGATGAACCACTCGTTCACCACTTTGTCTGGAAACAAGCCAGGCTCTCGTTCGTTTTTCTCTCTCTTTAAAAACAGCATCTACGACCTGTATTGCTCCTCCCAAACTTGACAAATCTCAGGCATCTCACCACCGCCACGTGCATTGCTCTCGAGCCATCTTTAGGTCTTAACACATACAGTCGTTTACTTTTTCATCCACGCCCAGCCTTCTTCACAGGATTTCTATTTTAGAGAGCCTGTGTAATTTTTAACTGTTAAAAAGAGCATAATTTTGCCGACTTCGAGCCACTACTTCATTGCTGTCGCCGGCTAACACAGACTGCTCCTGGTGGGTCGCAGCCTCCAACAGTCTTCGTCAACATGGGTGCTTTCTTCACTGGATGGGAGTTGTGGGAGGAAATGAGCTTTGTAAGTGCTTATAGTCTATACTGATTGCCCTGCTTGACCATATTTTCTTTAAATTACCAGTACATTGAATTTCTAACCCATTTTTTATATATAGGTCTTGGCATGCTCCATCGTGTTAGTCTTCGCCTTTGGGCTGGTGCGACTATGGTGGACGAACCGCAAAATTGCAAGGCTCGAATTGATAGACGAAGAACGGCGCGTGCGATTGGCAGAGATGCGGTATTGCGGTATCAACGCTCGCGGCATCACGGATATTCCCTTTGGGGTGCGCGCAATACAAAGTGGTGTTGAAGTCGAGGGCATCTGGATATCACGGCCTAACACTCCTGGTTCCAGTCATGCCGCCTCTTCGCCCACTCTGATTGGCGACCCTACAGGCTTAAAAGCAAAATTAAAGGAAAAGGGGAAAGGAAAGGCTCGATATACGTCAGTGGAAGTTACCGAGACGAACTCATCATCGTCACCACCTCAGACGACACCTACGTCGGGTTCTTCAACACCTCCGCAGGCTGACGATAGCGACATAAATGATGTACGACAGCGTCGATTCCAGCAACCAGTGAATTCCAATACGCCTGAGGGGTCACTCGATGCTCAGCGACGAAATATTGCCCGCCAAATGGCTTCTCGCAGCTCTTCTGCCAACCGCAACAGCATGGCCTCGTCATCCATGGGCGAGTTTGTGATTCCCCACTCGAGAAACTCATATGCCAGTTCAAAGCCAATCCTTCAGGGATCCACAGAATACTACTCTGACATATCCAGAACCGGGACAAACGAATTCTACGACGCCCCTCCGTCCGTACCTTGGGATCAAGGATATAGCAGCTCTGATGCAGAGAGCTTAGAGGTGGCCAGCCAACGAGCACAGCCAGGCCCTTCTAGGCTACAGAAGAAATCGCATTTCTATAGACCAGTACGAAATTAATGATGGAACAAGGGAAAAAAAGAGCATACTGACGGCCCCCTGTTGGGGCTATGATTTTCACGTGGGTATAATGACTTGATGTCTGTTTTCATTGCGTTCATGAGTTACGTTTTATAAAGAAAACCTGAGATGGACTTAGATTTTTGCCATGCGGCCATTTGCGAATAGCTAAATTATCGGACAAAGAAACAAACCAAAAAAATTACTACCATCTACAATCCGCCTGATCTAGATGTGATTTACCCCTGCCATCTGCTCTCCACATACACAAAATTAGAGTCAAAGACGCAATCCATTAGTCGGCATCTCGCCAGTTGATTCGAGAAGAGAGTCACAGCATCGGCACTTGCCCACGCCGAACCCGGCACACCGGCACGGGAATAAGTACGGAATTGGCGTCAGACCTCCGCTTTAGTGGGCATGAGGGTAGAAGCTCGATGTTGAGAGACGGGACTATATAGCTAGAAAGCGCCGTGAAGAAAATCAGAAAAACAGACATTTTCTAAAGGCTTAATATTCTGTATAATATATTGTAAAAGTCTCTTCAGTGAAGCAACCCAAAAATGGCGTCTGTAGAGTACCTCCAGGCCTCGTCAACCGGCTTCAAAGACGCCAGAGCCTACGACACGCACCGGCCGTCGTACCCTGCCGAAGCTGTCCAGAGCCTCCTGACTCGTCTCGGCGTGGCGGGCAAGCCCAAGGCGAGAATCATCGACCTGGCGGCCGGCACGGGCAAGTTCACGGAGCTGCTGGCAGCTCGGCCGGAGGAGTATGAGATCCTGGCGGTGGAGCCTACGGAGTCGATGAGGGAGACGCTCGTTGAGAAGGGGCTGAGAGGCGTGACGGCGAAGGAGGGGACTGCTGAGAAGATGGATGTTGAGGATGGGTGGGCAGATGGGATTGTGGTTGCTCAGGCATTTCACTGGTATGGCTTTTAAAAAGGAAAATGAAGTACAGTTTGGGTAAGCTGATTAGTTGTGGAGGTTTGCGACTGAGGCTTCACTGGCAGAGATTCATCGAGTACTCAAGCCAGGAGGTACCCTGGGAATGATTTGGAATGTGGAAGACTGTAAGTCTTTAAATTTTCTTTTGCGCTGATGGCTTAGGGACTGACTGACACCCGCACGCACCCACAGATAACAAGCCAGCATCGTGGCCTGCGAGCAGCAAATGGGCAGAGGCCTTGAACGCCCGCATCTTTGCCCTCCCGGACTTTGGCCCCCCACGGTTCCGCCACAACAAATGGCCGCTGGTGTTCGACCGCCAGGCCAGATTAGAAAAGCCCCTGTTCTCGACACCAATCGGAGAGGAAAAGGTCCCATGGACCGTCTGGCTGGAGAAGGATGCGGTGTGGAACCGGGTGCACACGCTTAGCCATGTGTATACCTTGGAGGGCGAGGACAAGGCTTCGTTCAAGGCGAAGTTTGATGAGGAGGTGAATGAGAAGAATGGCGAAGTGAATGGCAAGGGCGAGATGGGCGTGCATGGAGTGACGCTCTTGGCATGGAGTAGGAAGCTGTGAGGATGGCCTCGTATCTGTAGGAAAATCATGAATCAAAGGCGCAGTAAAGATTGCTGTAGTAGAGACGAAGTAGTAAAGTTCATTGCACTTAAATGGAATTTCATTGTGTATCAATTATGAGTCCGCTGAAATATACATGACTGTCAAAAAAGTTAGCTCATCTCACTTCTTCGTTGACATGTTAAGATTATCCGTGACTCTCTCACCATTGTTGCCTCGCACAAAGGTATCGCCATACTCCCTCCGCTTGGCGCCGTTGACATATTCCACCGTCTTCTCCAGCGCAATGTTCATGTATCCGTCCACAGATTGCAGTTCTCCTGGAGAATCCCACCAAAGTTAGGTCGCCTTACGCCTTTTTCACGAGAGTTGGCCGCCACCTCCCCTTGAGAGTCGAGAAACTCACCCTTGTAAACCACGCCGGAATTGAGCTTCACAATGACAGAGTTGCCGATAATATCACTGAGGAAGCTGGACGGGTCCTTGCCCTCGCCCTGTGAGATGCCGCCGTTCTCCATGACGTCGTGGTGTGGTGGTTTAAGGAACCGGTAGGGCGGGCTTGCTTTTGTCGTGGGGAAGTTTGGCCTGCGGCGGCCCAGAGGCTTGATAAGATAAAGCCAAAAAAGGTACATTTGCTCAGATAGGCGGCTGGAAGGAATGAGGCTCGGTTCGCACTGTAACCCCACCATAGCGGTTAGCAGCTCTGATTAGCGGTGCACCGCGCCTGTGAATTCCCCTAACAAGTCCCCGGAAATTTTCAATTGGGCGCTGTAAATAGTGGCGCGCGCATCACAGTATTTATTCGAGCTGCCGAAGAGATCGTCATACCATTCCCGCTTCAAAAGATACATTAGTACTTCTCTCTCTTTGTGCGCCGCGCCGGGCAGCTATTCTGCCAGCTTCATATCTCGTTTTTTGCGCTTCTCTTGGGCTTTTTTCTTTTGCGCAGGCTTCGTCGCCGATTTTAGATTCGGTCACGACGACCAGGTCGTCCCGAGCAGATCCTCGCCATGAGTGATGGAGCAACCGCCGCTGCGCCAGCTAAGAAGAAGCTCCCGTTTAAACCGACAGCCTTGCGCAAGGCGGCCCCGGTATCGAAGCCTGATGTTTCTGTAAAGGATGGCAAGCGGAGGGAGGGCAGCGACGATGACGATGACGATGGCCTGGACTTGTTCCGCCAGTCCAGAGAAATGGAGTCCATCGTGGCCGCTGAGAGACAGCGAAAGCTGAGAAGGAAGCAGAAGCAAGCGGAAGAGCGTCGCCTTTCAGATACAGCTGGAAAACAGCTCTTGGATTCAGACGAGGATGGTCTTTCGTCTTTGCCGGTTACCGCCGAGGCGACGCAGGCGACCCCGGTGGACGAATCTCTAGCAATGGACGAAGACAGCGTCAGGTGGGTTACGCCGCTGTTATCCGCCAACGACGTCCCCAGCTGCTAACAATCTCCCACCAGGAAATTGGCTACTCCTCCTTCTTCGAAACGCTCGAGAGGTGATTCGGAACAAGGTTCAAGGTCGTCCAAGCGGCAGCGATCCGCAGTAGAGCCTTTGGATGACGACCCCTTCAACGACTCTCCATCGCAGTCAACGCTACCAGATTCTATTACCGCCACCCCTAGCAAACGATCCAAGAAACAGTCTGTCACGCCGACCGAGGCACCGATAATATTACTTGACTCTGACTCTGATTCTGATCCTAATTTCGATGGCGGGAACGACGACACGAATGCGCTCGAGTCTCTTGGACAACGAGAAGATAGCATCGAAATTGTTAGCTCAGGAGTCGTTGACGCTGGGTCACCATCCGTTACCCCCAAGCCTCAAGCAGTGACGGAGATTGAAGATGATGACGACGACGAATTCGCCGACTATGTTCGCAAGGCTGAGGAGCAGCGCGCTCGCAACAAGGACATGATGCAGATGGATTCCGACAAGGCCGCCAAGAAGGACGCGGCAGCTGAAATTTTGGTCAGATCCAACATTCCTGGCACCAAAGTCGCCATTATGAAGTATCAGTTTGACAGGCCTATTCGCCTGATACGCGATAGCTGGTTTGCACTTCAGGAAAGGAATAAGCAAGTGGAGATGCCAATCGCTTCAGCCGAAGATGTCATCTTGACATGGCAGCGAAAGAAGGTGTACACGTATTCTTCACTGCTTGGACTGGGGATCCGACCGCAAGGCGACGGCAAAATCATTGCCGATGAATATGCCAAGGGAGGGCTTCAAGATGGACGAACAAAGGTGGTCTTTGAGGCGTGGACGACGGAAGGCTTCCAGCAGATGGAACTCGAAGAAGAGCTACGCATGAAGAGAGAGGCTGGTGAGCTGTCAGACGAGGAATCGACGCAAGAAGAGCAAGCCAAGGAGACTAAGCTGCGCATTGTGCTCAGAGCCAAGGATATGGAGGCAGTCAAGTTGACTGTGCGGCTGGAAACTACAGTCGAGACGCTCATTGTTGGATTCCGGACTCAGAGGAATATTCCGTCGAGCAAGGACGTGGGCATATGGTTTGACGGCGACCGGCTTGAGGAGCATCAGACGATGGAGGATGTGGATATTAACGACATGGACACATTGGAGGTTCACATCAAATAGGCGGTGGTATCAGCGGCAGGATATTTTTTGACTTGAAAGCACTTATTTATGGATATGGGCGTTTGTTCTTTGAAAAGAAGCGTTGGGAAAGCTGAGATACCCCAGGGACAATCATTGGAGTCATATTCTTGAGTCGGTACGAATCTAGCATAGGGAAACACTTTTTTACGTAATTCATTTTATTTGCATTCTTCACCTAAAAACTTCTATCTTATTCTATGATCCAGCCGGCCTCCTGGCAAATACCTTTATACCACGAATGGTTGGGCGGATAGACGCTGCGTGATGGCATCCTCCACCATGTGTACCCTCACCTCGCGCGACTGTTCGAACCAAGTGCGAAATCCATCAGGGATCGATTCGCCACTGCCCACGCGACGAGTAATAGCAGACGGCATGTCAATGTCGTCGAGCGAAGCTATGATTATGCCAGACCTGGTCTTGTAGTATTTGAACAGCGGCGCCTCGGATCGCCTCCTAATGGAACTGTTTTGGACTTCGAACCCATCGTTGACGCAAGGGTCGTTGTTGCAGTACTTGATGCCTCCAGGGTTGCCAAAGTTGATGGAGAGCTGGCGTGGGCCTTGTTGTTGTCCGCCTTGCTGCTGCTGTTGCTTCTGTAGTCGTTGCGCGAGGAGCTCGAGTTGGGTGCGTTGCTCGCACTGCTCTTCTTCGGGAACACACCTCGAGACCTGGGAGGCAGAGGGGATCGCCGAGGGAGGAAGAGGGCTTTCCTCGGTGGAAATGGAGAACGGGTAGGCGTTGCAGGCGCTGTACGGATGGCCGCGATGGCCCGTCTTGTTGAGGCCGTGGAGGTTGCCGCACAGGTTGTTGATGCGGCAGCTGGCCGAGATGGCGGTGCTCTCGTTTTGGGCGCCGGGCCCGTAGCTGCTGGGCTCGAGGGTGAGGACTTGCGAGAAGGAGGGCTGGGCGCAGCGGACGGCCCAGCACATGTTTGTGCAGATTTCGGGCATTTCGTTGCAGAGAAAGGTGACGTCTGGTGGGCGGGCTAGGATGGGTGCGGTGAGGGCTGTGAGGAGGACGAGGATGGCTTTGTAGGACATGGTGACTGAATATTGATATTGGACGATAGGGGTTTTTTGAAGAATTCAAGTGTTTTATTAGGCTTGTGAGCAGTGATGAGTGAGGATGTGGGTGTAAGCGAGTTTACGTCCTCACGGCCCCTTTTCTACTTTGCCCGGGTGCTTGTACGTAGATTTTCCAAGCGAGCCTAGGGAATGTTTATCTTTGTGCCTGGTGATATCCGGGAAGGGAGCGTTCGGAGCAGCACCTTCCAGGCATTGTCTCAATGATGCCCCGTCCTTGGATTCGGGTGTTACTGGCTCATGTAGTGTTGGAGATTTATATGCGTGCTCGTGTAGATCAACATGCAACTGCTTCGGACGTCTCAAGTCGATGTATGAACTTGCCTTGGAACGAGCCGCCATTAAGTGTCAAACATTATGCAAGAGACTATCATATGACGATATCAGTGTCTAATTTCTTTCATTGTGCGAGCGGCGAGTAAATGTGTAGTACGACAGCATGCTTCTTGTTGGGCAAACTGGCCGAGTAGGACCAAAAAGAACCGTGAGGCCGTGGTACGTTGAAGGATCCCTATTACACAAATCTGGTGTTTGCAGAGGACAAGCTATTTATAATGGTTTTCTCTTATAGCCGCAACGTGCTCAGCAATAGAGACACAACGCGCCATTTACACAGTATTATTCGTGCCAAGCTTTTCTCATTAGTATGCCAGATAAATTCAGTCCTTAAGGAAAAGAGAGAGAGAAAGTTATTTTGCTAATGAATATTAGACTGTGCTTAGAATAAAACAGAATAGCAGTAAATGACGTCATATAGATATCCATGAATTAGAGAAGAAAAGATATCATCATATCATCGCTCCCAAATCTCAATTATTTTCGCCAATCAGTCCCGTCTGGTTCCATAACCAGAAAGACGAATAAACCACTCCAAAGTCTCAATTCTTTTCGCCAATCTGTCCCATCGGGTTCCATAACCGGACTTGAAAAGATAAATAATCCATTTTGAGGTTCTAGATTCTCATTAACTTCCATAACTGAAAAGGGTAGAAAAAAGAAAGAAAGAAAGAACCACGGCTATCCTACTGCGTTTAGAATGAGAAAAGGCAGCATGACCTGGAACTAGCAAGCTGTGGATTGGGCGATCTCAAAAGACAGAAACAGAACAATCTCGTTACCCTTGGATCAGATCGATGGTGGTGGGCTCGCCTGGGGGGCTGAGTACTATTGGAATCGGGCATGTTCGCTCCCTTTAGGGGAAGAGGTGTATGTTCCAAATGGTAGAGATTTTCCCTCATTATGGAAGCTAACTTGCCTTCCTTCAAGTTCGTCGTACGGCCATTCCAAAGATATTCGAATATCAATAGCAAATGGAGTAAGATTATATAGTTAGTATAAGGATTTCTTAAAAATTAAAAGAGAATTATTTTAAGGAGTCGTTCGTTATCCAGCACCCCAATTCTATTATCCAGCACCCTAAAAATAAACTTAAAATTTTATATTTTATATATATATATATATATATATTTAAAAATAAAAAATATAAAAATATTATATAAATATTCTTTTTATTTTTTTAATATTAATTTAATAAAATTATATATTATTTCATTTTTTTAGGGTGCTGGATAATAGAACTGGGGTGCTGGATTCTTTATTTTAGGGAGGGCGGCCTAGAGTTCCAGGTTCTTCAAAGGTTTTGTCTATGGCTGATATGTCTAGTGCCCAAAACCTGCCACATTCCACTTTCTCTGAGGTGATGATTCGTGGGTGGCCATTATTACCCTTCAGCAGGGAGTTCACCTTTCTTTGGTCAGCTGTTAGGAGCACAGCTACGCCATGAAATGAATTATCAGCTAGTGCAGCTGGAATGCATAAAGAAATAGCATCAACAGAGCTAAGGCGTTCATAGGTGGGGGTACCACAATGTTGCACCGACGGGAGTCCTGTTAATAGTAGTTGCTCATATGTTGGAAATACATATGGCTCTATGTTGATCATTCGTGGCATATGAGTGTCGCGCATCATATGTGGGAGAAGAGGGAGCCCCATGTCTCGCTTGGAAGATGATAGAGGTATTACTAAGATGTCGCTATTTATACAACTACTCACAGTACAATAATAATACCCGAACCAGATGAAGTTCTTATAAGAACTTTTCTATTATTTTTATTATTTTTATTATTTCTACTACTTCTACTACTTCTACTACTTCTACTACTTCTACTACTTCTACTACTTCTACTACTTCTACTACTTCTACTACTTCTACTACTTCTANCTACTACTTCTACTACTTCTACTACTTCTACTACTTCTACTACTTCTACTACTTCTACTACTTCTACTACTTCTACTACTTCTACTACTTCTACTTCTACTATTTTTCGATCCAGAATAATTCCACCCAACTTTCGTACACTGAAGGACACCTTCGTGTCTTTACAATTGGGGATGATGACGACAGAAACCTTACCAACCATCAAACAACAACTGCAGAGACATTTGAGGTTGAAGCAGATGCTTGGAAGATAATCGAGGTATTACCAAGATGCCGCTCTCTATACGACCATTCTCAATATCACAATTGTGCACCGGTTAGAAGAAGTTGTTTTAAGAACTTGTATGAGATGCTCACCGTATGGCCACGTGATAATATGGCCATTGATGAAGCCTGGGATAATGTGGAGGATCGTGCGAGATGGATGCCTGAGCCAAACTACCGAAGACGCCCACAACCCAAAATTCTGGGTGCATACATTGGTTACTCAATGTATATGAGTGGCCCCGTTCTTGTCAAATCTCGTCGGTCGACTTCTACAACAGAAGAGGCACGCCAGAACGTTGGCTTATTCAATTTCCGAGGCAATGAGTTCAAACTTGAACCTGGCGGCCAATCAATGGGAAATCGAACCATCCCGCATTTTGCGTTCACTATACCAGCAAGAGGAATTCCGGGAGTGGAGTGGGATGAACTTCAGCCTGTTGCCGTGGCCAAGTCACGAGGATCATCTACAGAGAACGAGCTCATATCATTCCTCGAGATCTTCACATTGGAATTCTCCAGGAGGATTTTATTCGTCTTTTGCCTAGATTGGCGATATATGCTCCACTTCGAGCAGCAAGGAGCCGTACGTGTGCCCAGCAAAAGGCACGGATATCTAGATTGTCCTTGAGGTGAGGCTACTGCCGTTCATGATATATTTCCAATACTGTCTAGGGTGTTCAGACGTTCATATCCATTTCCATTCATGGCATTAACATTATTAAGAAACAGTGGAATCGTTAAGCTTTCACAGAGGAGCGCCTATTGCCCGAGAGAAAGACAATTGGGCTTATGTTTGGGGTGGGGTTGAAGATGTCCTCCATACCGCGCCCGCGCCTACCTCTGTGTCATTCACTTTCAAACGCAAGGCTATCGACAAACTAGATCAACAATCACCAAAAAGTCCTGCTACAAATGCGTCGCATACTCAGCCCCCTACATCCTCACTCCACAATAATATTCACTTGTACGCGTGTTTGCGGGTTCTCAAATGCCCTATACCATTGAAGTTGAATCATATGAATTCCCTAACAAGCAAAGGGCAAAAATACAGGATCTTACAACAATTGTGTTTTAGCTGTCCTGCCTATAAATGATAGCAGGAAGCTGAAGAATAGACCAAGAAAAATGCCAAAAGTCTAATTATACTCCATCTCACCATGATCAAAGCCGTTTGCAAGGGCCACGAGAAAAATGGCTTGGGCGCGGTCATCTATCGTCAATGGAATGGCCTAGTGAGCGATCCTCAAACGCATAACAGAACCATCTACAGTAGCCAGAAGAATTCGAACCATAATTAGAAGAATCAACGACAAGCTTTATCAGTTGTTAAAGCGTCCCCGCACTGCGTCCTGGAACATGTCTCCTAGGATATTCCGCTAAGCCCGAGAACAAAGGCGGTGCCGAAGGCGGTAACCAAGACGGTGTGGAAGACGATGCCGTGACTGAAGAGAGCAGCTTGTTGACAACTAGGCATCTATTATAGAAGAGACTACTCCAAGGCCCAAAGACAAGGCTGCGGTTCGAGAAGGGAGTAATCAGTGAAAGAAGAACTGAAAATTTCGGACGGATAAATTGTGAAAGGGAGAGTCTATTGAAGGCGGTGGTTGCAGCTCACACGCCTATGGATATAAGTTAATTACGCCGTCCCTTTTCGATAATTCATTATTTTGGGCACACTGAAACACCTAGATATGAGGAAGTTGATGTTTTTGAATATAAGTGTTCGATAGAAGTACATATATTAAGACCCACCAGATAACTTGGTTCACTCGCAAAGGCCTAGGCGTATCATGCTAAAAGCGCCTTTTATAAGTTCTCCGCACATTATTCGATTATACATCGTATTGGGATGTTCGTTTGCGTCTGCCTTTGAGTGCAAAGTGGGGGAGCAGGCAAGAGGGATCCCTCAGGCGCTGATCCGGCCAACGGCTTGGCAGTCTTATTTTTGTCTTCTCTCATGTTAAGGAGGTACGTAGAGGTAAATATGGCAAATTTGTTGTATTCTTAGAGGTGTGATGGTGGCGCCAAGTGTGGTGGGAAAACGAAAAGGCAAAGAAGGAAAGGAAATGTGCGTGAAGGTACAAAGAGAATTGACGCAAGAGAAGCAAAAAGTGAGCAGTAAGTGAAATAGAGCTGTTCATCAGGTGGGGACGCCCTCGCATTCTCATCACCACCTGTTTGCCAGATGGGAGAGTCTGTGGCAGCTGTATCCGAATGTTGCCTCTGGTCATAGTTCACTCCAGTGGTGGTCGGCCAGACTAGCAGCGCGTTTTCTACTTCATACATTTCTTTATACTGCCGCCACACATCTTCCGACGTTCATTCAAGCTGTCTTCGGTCCCTTGACTTCTTCGCTGAGGCATTCACTCTATATATGCAGTAAGCAGGGAGGATCATGTAATACGTAGTTTGTAGCCATATACCTACCTAGTAGTTACTAGAATTTGGCTTCACCAGTACAGAGTCCATAGTAATAGACATAAAATGCTGAAGTGACGTAAACACTAGTGAGGAAATAGATATCCTTTAGAAAGAGTAATAGGCGCAGAAGTGACAAAGCAATCAGGTGTTTTTAAAGCAATTAACAAAGTACCTTTCGCTTAGGATTCTCAGCTCGCAGGTGTCTTCCAACGCAAACGAAGGCGGCGTTTTAATCTACAGCGATCACACAAACTATTCAGCTATCCCTCCAAAAGAAATTATGTTAAGATAAACCCCCACTCTACTCTCAGTTCACTTTTCTTCTTCCTCTCTCCTCACCCTTGACTTTTTTTTTTATTCCCCTACATCTTTCTCTACCACGTCTAAGTTTACTTTCATACAAAAGACAGCTTTTTACTCTGTCGACTTGACTGTTTTTCTCACCCCCATTGCTGCATTCGAGCTGAGTTCGACGCCAAAAATACCCTCCAGTTCTCTTACTCAATGGCTTTCCCTCATCTTTATCATTTCTAAACTCAGTTTGACAACGAAGACATCCTTCATTTATCCCGATTCCAACGGGTTTTCCACATTCTCTCTATAACTATCAAGTTCAGTTTGACAACAGAAAGTCTCTCCACTTATCTAAAGTCTGCGTCATTAGCAGTCGTCATGGGCTCCGTACCGCAGCAGACAGTCTATTGGAAGGGCGCAAAAATCACCAGACATGAAAACGGACAAACGAGAGCTTCCCCCATTGGAGGAAGATCTGATACTTACACTACATGCGACGGAGGTGAGTACAAGACTGTCAACCCCGCTGCATGGCAAATTAATATCCCGGGTTCTCTAGGCCCCCCTGCAGAACTGATCAATCCTGATTGGAATTTCTTTGATCATTGTTCTACCGAAGATCAATTTTTCTTTCTACACCATCAACGACATTCCCTACAAAAATTAATTAAGATGGGAGCCTTGAAAGTAGGAGATGGATTTAACATTCATGTGAATGAACAGGGGCTTATCAGTGCCGTCGAGTGCACACCAATGACGGTGGATCAGCTGAGACTTCCTCCACCGGAGATGTTTTCAGGTATTGGAGGACAAGAGAGAATTGAGGAGCAAGCACTCGACGAGCGCTTATTTGAAGCAGAAGAGGAGCCAGATGGATCATCTCCGGTGGCAATCTTGATTATGAAAAAGTTGGCTGATGCTCCTCCTATGATGTGCTTGAGCTGGAAAAAGATGTTTACGGAATTAAGCATCCCATCGGATTTACACACCACAAGCGCACTGGTAGAGTGGCTGAACAAATCCTTGCGAGAAGAAGAGACCCATTGGAACATCCTTGAGTCATTAGAAAATACCTTGACAATGGAAAGGCTGGCAAGCACCGATATCAACCAAATCCTTGATAGTATTTGCGTTCTATCAGGAGTAGACTCAGGAGTCAAACATCCAATTGAAGCTTTGCAAGAACATTTCATGTTTTTCGCTTACGATTGTATTGAATTGCAGAGTATGCATCAAAGACTGAGAGATACCTATTTGGGACACGCCATTCAAAGCAGAGGTGCTACTACTCTCAAGAGGTTCAAAAAGACATGGAAGCTTATTATTGAAGAACTAAAACCTGGAAGGATAGCGGTAGAGATGAGACAGTATCTCGGGATGCTGGGAGAGGATTTTGGCCCTGTACCAAAAAAATCTTTTTCACACACTGGAGAGTCTGTCCCTGGGGACACCATCCCTGAGGATATTAACACCCAAGACGCCGACTCTCAAGACTCTGACTCTGAAGACTCTGACTCTGAAGACTCTGACTCTGAAGACTCTGACTCTGAGGATACTAATTCTCAAGCTTCTGACATCAATACTCAAGAGTCACCCTCCACAGAGTCGCTTGCCTCTCGAGACTCCGAGTCTTTCCCAGATTTTCAAGAGTTAGTAACTCCTCCCGGCATATCGGGCATTATCGCGCCTCCTGAAAGGATGTTTATTGAGCTCCTTAGCCCAATTACTTCGCGATCTTCTGACATCAATACTCAAGAGTCATCTTCTTCACCCTTGTTTGTTTCTGAGCCTTTCCCAGATTTTCAAGAGTTACGAACTCCTCCTGGCATGTCAGGCAATGTCCTGTCTGCTGAACTGATGTTTATTGAGCCCCTTAGCCCAATAACTTCGCGATCTACTAAGCGGAAGCGCGATGATAGCGAAGACACCGACGACGAAGAAGACTTTTGAGGGAAAAAAGAAAGACAACTTTCTAGAAAAACTACAAAAAAAGGTCAAGAAAGTGCGATGGAAGAAAAGGGCGCCTTTATGGGTTTACTCTTGTTCTATAACGAGATAGAGAGAGCCTTGGATTACTGCAATATCTTTGCTTGAGATGTTTTTCTTGCTGGGTATGCTCTAATTATCCATCAAAAATTGCATTTAGGGAAACATCAACTGGAAAGGACATTTTCAAGCGTTAGCTGCATTTCTATGCATAAAATAAAGGACGCATCATTACGAAGATCGTATTTCATTGGACGGAGAAGTTATATCTTGGGAATTGGAGATTTACGTTTTTTTTTTTTTTTTTAAGTCGCAGACGTATCTGGTCCCTCTGCCGTCAGGGGCGTTGAGGATGAGCCTTTACTATGGCAAATAGCTATCTGTTTTCTGCTATAAAAGCACTTATTAGTACCAAAGATACACGATTATTAATTTGCTGCTCTAGGCACTCTTTTCTTTTACTTGAGTTAATACATTTAACACAACATATGGGGTTTACAGTAAACATGGTCTTTCACATGAAGAAAGACCCAGAACTTGTATATATTATTTCATGATTATTTTCCCATTTTCCTTCTTATTACTCATGATTCCTCCTCTTCTTGTGCCTTTTCAGCATACCGTTTGTGGCTAAAGCCTCGCCGCATTAGTCACATGCAAAGGGCCTTTCCCCGAAATGGATCATAGCTATATGTTGTTTGAGATTCCATGCTCTGTTGAACTCAGTGCCACATTCAGGACAGACGTTATATTTTGTTCCAATGGAGTTTATTGGCACCAGCTTGTTCAGCATTACTATTCTCAGTACCAGCTTGAATATTGGCATGCTCATAGTTGCATGCGTTCACTGAATATTCTCCGGGGTTAGAATTGTGGTTTTCTTTGCAGTGACGCAAAAGCGAACCGATACTTGAAAAAGATTCTTTGCATTCTTTGCAGCAAAAGGCATTGTTGTTGGATAATGTCTTGATGAGGTTCCATGTTAAACCAATGCTCAATAGGTATAAGCGGCATGTAGAAAGATAATTGAGGCGGCATTGGTACAATATCACAGACTTGGCTTGAGTTGCAAACGCAATAGCCAATCCCCCGATCTACTCTCCAAAGGAGTGGTGTAGCGAATATGGTGCAAGACTGAATGGATTCAGTGCCAATCGGCAACTGCATAGTTCTTCATGGCAAAGTTTGTAAACCCTGTATCAAGTTCGACGACCCGTAAAGAAAGATCAATATGCCGGGGAGGATTAATTGCCTCGCCATTAGTCGGTAGAAAACCAAGCAACACTGCGATTCCGTGATCAGGTCCTTTACACAAGGACATTCTTAAAACATGACGGACCCATGGTACCATGGGGAGGCCCCATCGATCCAACATAGAGCACCACAGGATCTCAGACTCTCCGGCCGCTGGATTAGCTTCCTTGAAATCGGCGATTTTTTTGCTGAAATAAGCGGCCATCCAATAGACCATGGTAGTCTCATTGAGATCAGTTTCCCCATATCCCGCTGCCTCCGCGTGTCGGTTACATTGGTCTTTAAGGGCGCGTGTTAATCGTCGACCAAAAGCAGTGACTCCGTTCCAATCCCATCCATTCTCTTCCGCTTGGGGCCGCGACAGAACATGGAATGCGTAGAAGACTCTCTCTGATCGACCAGGCGCTTCAATGGTAAGGTAGGTAGTAAATTCTTCTCGTGAGAGTCCATATTTCTCCCCAATTCCCATGAGCGTGTCTAACATAGAACGACTGGCGATGATTTCTCGATGAGAAGTTTTGGCAAGAGGTTTCCTACTGCTGTGGAACAGTTCTCCAGCAGAGAGCCCAGATAGCAGCTCGTCGACAATAGGGTCCTTGGTTCCAGTCCTTATTACCTCAAGAGCCTCTTTCTGCCGCTCCAGTGGCCACGCTTCCCACCTTGCTATTTGATCTGCGTGCGATAGTGTAAGGTGGAAAATGTGCTCTAAGCTGGCAACATTGCAGAGTGCATTGTAAATCCACGTCTGCTGAGCCTGGCGAGCTTCAAGATCATGCTCTCTCATGCTATTGAACCATGCTGCGATAAGCGCCAAGAGGATCGGAGGGTGCCTCTTTCTTGCCATATTATTAGATGCTGCAATAAAGCATACATTAGGGTTTGCATGGTATGCAATGCGATCTTCTTTTACAACATAGGGATAAATAGCTTCCAAGGAGAGACGACCTGGTCCTTCTGACCATGATAGTGGAATCCCAGTGTAATCACAGACTCTTGTTACCAGATTACCATTCATGCATAACGAGCTCTTCAAGGTTTGGAAAAGACCTTTGGCATCTGCTTTTAGCATTTCAGGCGTGGTATTTGGCAGACGTTGATCTATGCCTCTGTGGCTCTTGCTAATGATAAAATTGATATGGTCTTCTGCAAATGTTTGGAGGACTGACACAATGTATTTTTGTGCTTGAAGGGGTTGTGGTCCAACCCGAATAATTATTGGTGCAGTTAGTAAAGTCTCATCTCCAGGTGCAACCTTAGCACTATTGTCGCCAGATATAGCAGAGAGGGTCTCACTGCTGTATGCAGTAGAAGGACCTTCATTATAAGGCGTAATAGAGGGACTTGCATCGCCAGACGCGGCAAAGGGACTGTTGTCGATGGATGCGCTAGGGAGACACTTGCTGCTGGGTGTGGAAAAGGGACTTGCGTTATAGAGTGAAGTAGACAGACTCTCATGACTAGGCAAGAAAAAAGGACTTGCGGTATAGAATGAAGTAGATGGATTCTCGTGGTTAGGCGCAACAGAGAGACAATAATTGGCAGATGTAGTAGACGGACGCTCATGACTAGGCAAGAAAAAAGGACTTGCAATGTAGAATGGAGTAGATGGACTCTCATAGATGAGTGTAGCAGAGACACTGGAATTGGCAGGTGTAGTAGACGGGCTATCACGGCTGGGCGAGGCAGAGTTCTGTGTATCATGATAACGATCGGACTCTTGGCATTGACGTTTATTCAGCCGCGGTGTAGAGAGTGCCTTTTCGTCCGAGGCTGGAGATCGACTCCGCTTTTGTTTGGATGAGTCTATAACACACCATCAGTAAATGCAATAAGGGAAATGTAATAGAACTTACTGCAATACGGCATTGTACTAGAATTTGCAAGTACTTATCGAGATACAGGCGAAAATCTTGCGTATAGGCAGACGAGAGACTTATAGCAGAGTGTAAGGACAATTACTGGTGCTGCGAGAGACTGTTTTGAAGACAATAATACAGTTGTCTGAAGAGAAGTATTGGATCTAACTTGCAAGTAGATGGCGGATAGTCTCATAGAGAACAACAAGATATTCGAAGATGGTAGATCCAGCTGGCGGGTAGATGGGAGAGACACTCATAGATCAGCACGAATATAGCAGCTTGAAAATGGATCATGAGGCTGAGAATATGAACAACAAGGTGTCCGGAGAGAATTGGCAGATCTAAATTACAGAGAGACGGACGAGAAGCTCTCAGATCTCTGGGAAAGTGATAGGGAGCTTGCGGCTTCAAGCACGAATGGACATTAAGGAATGCTTTATCAAATACTACCATAAGTGGTCTAATTAGATATAATGAAGGCAAGTGCTTCCTCTCTCTTTCTATGTTAGATGCTACTAGATGAGATAGCTGACCACCAATAGTTTCGCCTAGATGCAATCATTCCCTGAGTATGGCTTGCTTTAAGCGATAAGATTTCCTTTGATGACGCTTGTATGGGGCCATTGTCGGTTCAGCAACGCACTTTCCTCGTAAAATCTGTCAGGCGCGCGATCTAAATTTGCTGAAAATGTATTATAGCCTACACCCCGGTACGACACTGAAGTTCCTTCCTCCAAAAACGAGAGTTCCGGCGAGCTCCTTCTCTGTCTGAGCAAGAAAAATCGTACCGCCAAGCCATAATGACGTCTGCTAATGTAGCTGTCCAAGCACCTGGAGGGAAGCGAATAGACAAGTCTAAGTTACCAAATAGTGAAAGGGATTATGGTGTAATCAAAATGTACTGTCTCAAATTTAGGTGTGTCCGAGCAATGTCTAGGAAATTATACTATTGTCTTTTTATCTGGCTGCCAGTAGATTAGTAGGTACCAGGGCAATGGGTACGGAAAGGCTGCGGACTCTTCAAGGACACGGGGCTTGTTTGTACAGTTTTCATATAAATCAACATGCGTTATGAGGAAGGACAAGAGGAATATACTAGGCTAAAGAATGCGCAAAAACATCTAGCGGGAGCGGAAGATTCAGCTCCTGCAGCTGAGGCGAGTCATGGGGCTGGAGTGAGCGGTGATGTGGTGCAGTCGCTGGGTTGAATCTGTCTATAAGCGCATCTCTGCCTAGTGTATGAGTGCGCCGTGATTCCTACTGTTTTTGTTCCTTTTTTTAATTTAGCTAGCCGCTTAAATTGTTATAAAGGACTTTGAATCCAGTGGTTTGGTGCTTAAGTGGTACCAGTCTGTATATTATAGCTCTTTACTTGAAGCACATGTCTAAAGCCAAGAGGACCGACTGCCTCGTCGACCAATTGGGAAAAGCCGAATTAGGCTAGCGCTATCAGGAAAACTCAACCGATGTCAGCCCCACACCCAATTAATCTTTCATAGATTATTCTACCCCGTTCTCCACCATCAAAATAAGTAGTAAATGGTCGAATCGTATAACGGTTTAGTATGGCCGCTTCACACCAAAAATTGGGACCCGCGGCAGATCCGGGTTCGATTCCCGGTTCGACTATTTTTTTTTCTTTTCGCTTGCTGTCCATTCCATAAGCCGATGCAAGATAACGCAAGGCTATACGCTAACTCGGATACTCTAGCTGATCTCGCGAGCCGCGGCGTTACCACTATTTTTTGGCCGCCTTATTCGCCTGGCCTTAATCCTATCAAAGATATATGGAATTGGATGAAGGACTGCATACAACGCAGATATCCGCAAGAGACTATGACTTTCGACCGGTTGCGGGTTGTTGTGCGCGAGGCTTGGGAAGCTGTGCTGGAAAACTTCCTAAGGGAGCGTCTAGAGACTATAAATGATCGTTGCGACAGTGATTGCCGCAAACTGGCTTCACACAAAATACTAGTAAAATTTTCATAAGAGAAACCTGCCTAGATACATACTACCTAGTAGAAGACCCTAGTCAAGACCCTTGTTGATACCTCTGTTTCCCCAACCAATTACCCAGGGGACCAAGTAAGACATCGCTCGCCTGTGATAAGTTCCTGCTGGGAGAACAAGAGCGAGCGAGCGGCCTCTTCTCATGCGCTTATAGCGCCCAAAAGGTCCTTCCTAGCTGTAATAATTGCATTTACAGCAGCCAAATAATGTAATATAGCAGAAGGTCTCAAGTACATCTAATAATCGTATAGAGGAAAAGGCGAATTGTCGTGCACTCGAATTGCTGCTTAAATATATCGTAGACGCTCTACCTCATTACGCATCCATTGGCATTTGTCTGCGTTGGAATTGAATGAGAGCCTGTCAAAAGGTATAGACCAGACTAATCAAGCGGCTGTATAATCTCGAGGCCAATTTTTGTCAAACCAGTATAACGTCGGGCGAATACTGCGGAATACATATCGGAGACGCTCCACTTCTTGTCGCATCCATCGCCTCTTATAGGCAGGAGACTCAAAGTGAGGCTCAATGTTAAAGATTTCAGAGGCAATCATGGGAAATGTCCGAGGAGCATGTGCAACGGAAGGGGAGTTAGTGTAAGCCTGGAAGGCTAAGAGAAGGTATTGGTGGCCTTGACGTTCATTTTGCATCCATTTATCCTCCGCTTCATAGGTTTGAAAATAGAGTCTAGATAAAGCAATTGTCTCTGCATATTAAGGTAATGGACCAAAAGGGTTATGCGTTATAAAACGGGGTTTAGGTGCGGCGCTGAGCACCTGCTGCGCTGCAATAAGATAACAGAGCCGCTGGGCCTCATTCTTCATCCATTAACACTTTGTCTCATCAGACTCAAAGGAGAGAGCGTTAATAGATACTGGATGAGAGTTTAGATGGTGTAATACTATAGATATTGATTGAATTTCCCGAGTCCCATTATACATACCCATATGGGTTTTTCGGGGCATTAACAGGGGATGGAGAGTCATCGTGCTCCACTACAGCGTCTCCAAGGTACCGTATATAAAGCGTGAAGAAGTTTAAATAGGTCGCTCTCTGTCCTGGATCTGCAAAGTCTTGGTCATCCAGTTCATTGATGTCGGGAAAGGACTCGGGGCCCGGTCCTGTTACAGTAACAGGGGCTGATACGTTTATGGACACTGGAACATAGATTAGTACCGCGATAGTGTATCCATTTATAGTGAACGTACTAGTGTTGTACCAAGAGCGTTAGGACGTTGCAACTAGGTGGACCAAAATAGGGCAGTGAGAGACATTACTCTATGCGACATAAAAGCAGTGAAAATGTAGTGTTCTTGTAATGAGAATGCTAAAATGTTGTGGGTTAGTGTATAGTACCAATAATCAATAGCTCCGATATCGGCATCATTAGTCATTAGGCCCTAATCTAGAATTCTGACCCGCTTTTCTAACTAATTAAAAGCTTTGATATAAATTTGGCCGGAGATTCACCTTTATCTGTATGTCACTTCACGTTCAGCTGCGGTTGTCCCTTGCGTTCGTCTACATTACTTTTGCCTAGCTTTATTAATTATAAAGCAGTTTACAAACTGCTGTATGTAAAGTGGCTCAAACGCGTGTTAAAGTATTCTTGTGCAATAGAAATTACTTATGTTTATGGCTTTAAAGGGGATGTGGCCTTGTAGCTGTCTTTGCGGATTAGCTAGGTGCATGTAGCTATTTTGTATCTTCAGACAATATTTACAACACAAGGGACTATATGTATTAGCACGCAGCAACATTAGTTGAAATTCACTATACTAGTTCCAGACCTTTCTTTGCTAAAGAGTCCCTGTATATCTCTTGCTTGCATCAACACCCTCTTAGACAAAAATAAACTACTGCAAATCAATAGTCTCCAACCAGGCCTCCACTCTCTGGATCAATCCAGAAGATGCATATATATGCGCGTAATTAACAGCTTTTGTATCTGCTTCACTGTTGCACTGTGCTAGCGTAATGAAGAGACTCCTGGTTCCCGTAAGGGTAAGAGACCGTTCTTCAAGTGGACCACTGGTTCCCGTAGGGGTAAAAGACCGTTCTTCAAGTGGACCACTGGTTCCCGAAGGCGTGGGAGACCGTACTTCAAGTGGACTGCTGAGCCTCTTCGGATTCCAAGGTGGCGGGCGCAACGCGGTTCTAACAGACATCTCCTCATGTTTATGACGAGCGAGGAATCGATGGCGCCATACTGGAGAAGATAGCTCCTATAGCAGTTAGTTTATAAACATATAGCTATACCATTATTATAAAAACATTACTAGTGTAATGGCGTTTTTTGGAGGAGGTCGGGGGATTGGTTGTCGGACGACCCCTTGATGCTCCCTGGGGAGTGGCTGTTATAAATATTAGTTTGTATACTTGTGGCTATGTCGTTATCGTAGACATTACCGGCTTGACAGCTCCTTGTTGAGCAGATTGGGCGATTGGTCTCTGGACGACCCATGGATTGTCACTGGAGAGTCGAAGCAACATGATGACCACAATCTAAAGAAGAGTCCTTTAAGCAAATTTGTCGAGGTATAAAGTAAGACGGCAGATGGTACCTAGTATTCTCAGCTTAGTCGCCTGATAGGTCGAAACTCGGTTGTTGGTGAGTGGGTGATGATGGTGTAGAGATAAGAAGGGAGTAGGGACTGTAAAAGGTAGAGAAGAGACTAGAAAATGAGATACGTAAAAATTTTCATGATTATCTATTTCACATAGAAATCTTCTTTTCTTTTCATTTCCTCCTCCCATCTTGTGTGCCAGCGGTCAGGTGGAAAGACTATCTACAGCTGGCGGTGTATACACGGGCAAGAGTGGGAGCGTTCACCCAAGTGCCTGCCTTTTCTAATACGAATGTACCCAAATTTAGAACTGCCTCCGTAAAGTGCATAGAAACGCAAACGCATAAGCCACTTAATATGTTAGTAAATATATATGATTTCGTGATGTTGAAAATTGCAAGATGATATATGACTACCCATACTACCCATACTAGTTAACCAGCTTTTTATAGTAGACAGGTCCTTGGGTGTGTGTATTTCGCACATGCATGTCGCCGCAGAAGACTTGTGTTCGATACTCTTAGGATCTTCACCCGATATAGGACAGAGGGCCAAAGTCAAGTTACGCTTCACACTGCATTTAAGAAGTGCGCACAAGATCCGGGTTCGATTCCCGGTTCGACTAAACTTTTTCTTTCTGGCATCCAGTTCTTTTGCTAGAATGTTGATCTTTTTGACTGCGTGTAGAAATTGGTGCTTTTTTACTCGAACTTAGGTTATTCTATGGAGTACGTTTAACAGAAGTATTTACACACGTACTAATTTCAAGAGTGATGTTTTATTGGTGTATTATACGAAAACTTCATAGTGTTATTATAAGGAAAATAAAGCATTAACAACAACTCCCCTTCATGCTGTAATTCCTGATCCAGCAGGACATGGAATAGTTAAAGCACGCCGAGTATAATAAGTATTCCTATAAAAAATAATCAGAAAAAACAGAGAAAAAGACTAATTTAGAACCATGGCCGACATACACCCATGATATCGCAGGAATGCTTCAAGTTTTAATTGGAGACGCAGTATCGCACCCGAGGACTAAATGCTGATTTGGAATAGGCGACGAAGTCAAAGAGGTACAAGAAGCTCGGCAATCTATCCAAAAGAGATCAGTACCCAGGTCATCGCCGACATAAACATCTAATCACTGTACTTCATGCTCCAACGATGATCCACTACTTCTTGTGGAGCCCATCAAGGCCAGGACTCCTACAGATCATATGGCTTAAATCATGGCCGGTAGACTCTCAAATTGCGATAACGGGCATAAATAAGCCCCTTTTAAGATCTTAACAGAAGAGTGGCATATGAATCAGATGCGTTGGTAGCAAACGTGATTGAATTGTGTAGCTATCAGGAGGCAATCCCTGAGTCTCTCAAAAGAAACAATATTTCTAAGCAACTCTAAGCCGGAAAAGAAAGTTTCGGGGTCTCAGTCATCTGCAAATAAAGTAAGATGAAATACATAGAACTGCGAAAAGAAAAAGAGAAAAAAGTCTGCTCCGAAATATCATTCCATATTCGTTTGGGTTAATCATAATCCCGTCGTGTTCCACGTATCAAAAACGAAAAATAAAGAAAGAAATATATGCCCGTCCAGAGTTCCAATTCCATTGTACCAATCAGTCCCATCGGTGCCTATGAACCACCAGAAAAGAAAAAAGATTTCTGAATTCTGAATGCATTGCAGTCCCGTCGGTTTACATGAACCGGAAAAGTAGGGAGAAAAAAAAATAAATAAAAAAAAAAATAAAAAAAAATAAAAATAAAAAAAAGAAGAAGAAGAAGAAGAAGGAGAAGAAGAAGAAGAAGAAGAAGAAGAAGAAGAAGAAGAAGAAGAAGAAGAAGAAAGAAAGAGAAAGAGATAAAGAGAAAGAAACAGCAACAACTCGAGTCTCATCGATTACCATGAATTGGAAAAAGTCTCAATGCGTTCCACCAGCCAGAGTCCAATGGGTCAGTCGCCTTGAGTCGGAAAAGAAAATGAAATGAAGACAGAATAACAACTTGAGTCCCTTCCATTCCAATGGACACAGGTGGAATGATCCCATTACTCTAGGTCAAATCGATGACAACAGGCTCACCGAGGCGCCGAGTGCCCTTCCAAGAGGCCAAGGTGCTCTCTCATCGCGTAGGCTAACTTGCCTTTCATCAAGTCGCTCACGAGGCCTTTCCAAAAATCTTCGAATATTTCAACCGCCAGCGTCTGCTGAACGGCGGTTTCGGACTCAATCCCATCGTTGGCGATGTACTGGAGGATGGCTATCATGGGCCCCAAGTACGCCTCGGCCATGTCAGGCTGAGCAGCGCTCACAGTGTCCATTGGATCTTCATTTGTATCTTCGAGACCCATTAGGTCTCGGATTCGAAAAGTCAACTGTCCCGGTGCCAGTCGTCTCAAGCTGTCTACGGACATTGATTCCTCCAGGTCTTCCATGTATGCCCACATGGCCTCTTCTTGTTGGATAGCAGGTCGAAGTAAATCCATCAGCCTGGGTCTCGTCTGTTGTGCGGGCGGCGTAGTGCTTAGAGTCTCAAAGACTTGCTTCCAAACAATATACCGCATAGCAGGGGCGTTGGAGATAGTGAACATCATTAAATTGGCCACAGTGGATGATCCTCTCGGTCCGTGAAATAGCAGCTACGGTGGGAGTCTCAGTCTTTCAACAGGTATATTACCCATTCCCACGGCCGTGATAAAGCCTCGCCAATTTATGTAAACGGTCTCACCATCAGCTATCTTAATCTTTCCCGTCTCGACCAACCAGGCTAACCATTGTCGCTGACGGTGGAGGTAGCAACGTCGCATGGTGGGTGTAAGACGCTCTAGGGGGTCGTAGAGAGGATCAAGCATCTCGGGATCGTAATCTTGAGTTCCAGGTATAGGATGAGAGGACATGTTGCTGAAAGCAGGCCGGTCGGTGGCTGAGACCCAGCAAAGGAGATAGGTAGAGTGTATAGATGCTCAAATGGTGATAAGTCTAAAGAGTCTGACACCTCTGCACTTTGGGAATAACTTAGGAGCAGGATGAAAGTAGTTGAAAGTCCGTTGGTCGGGTGGTTGAGACCGAGTAGAGCAGGGGAAGAGACCGTGACGATGCTCAAGCGGTAACAAGTCTGAAATGGGAATTAGCATTCGGAGTATGTGATCATGAGCACCAAGAAGAAATAAATACCTTCAAAGGAAAGGAAGAGTTTACCTCTATGTGAGTGAAAAGTGAGGTTAAAAGAGGAGCAATGATTTAGAAACTAATGTTTAAATGAGGGAAATGATATTTTTAAAAGTAATGCAGTATTTTCTGAAATCCTACATTACCTCCAGGGGCTCGCACAAATGCTGTTTTTACGAGTCCAGGGGGCAGTCTGTACCACGGACTGCCCGCTAAAATATATGAGTGACTGAAGTCCCTGTTGCCAAGAATCCTCTGTCTCCCTGCGACTCTTTGTGTCAGTCGTGGCCAGCTGCAGAGACTCGATCCCAACTGGCGGCCAGGTGCCCGCTCAAAAATCATCCGGGGCTGTCCTAAGGACTTTTGGAGGGGCCAGCTAGTTGCAATTTCCACTGCTTTTTCTTTGCAAGGTGCTTTGTTCTCCTCCGGAATTGCTCTACAGCATCCTCTTGGATCTATAAAGACTTACTTCCGCAGTTAAGGGACCTAATCAAGTTGACAATTGCATATGAGGCTCTTACGCAGTGATGTTGGACTTCAAAGAGATCCATTGTATCTGGGTTATTAGATATTTCTATTAATAGAGATAGTATTAGAACCATACTTTGGGATTAAGGGCCCTATACATATCTATGTCAAGGTCAAGTATAGCGGCGCTTCACATTCAAGATGGAGTTCGCGGCAGATCCAGGTTCGACCCCCGGTTCGACTGTTGTTGACTTACCCTGTGGCATCAAGATAAGCGGCGGATTTTGCGTTTCACAATGGACCATGAGACTTATTAGAAGCTGTTGGAATAGCATGTCAGATTAATTAATGTAAAATACTTGCGGTTGCTTTTGTTCAGGCAGGACAAAGAAATACGAAGGGGAACGACGTAATTAAAGTTGGATGCCTACATTAATACCTATTTGATAGCTCTCTATGTTTCTCTACTTTCATCATAATTTGTGATCAAATTTTTTTGTCTCTTCATCTCCTAGTTTCTATCTTTCGCTCGCTTAATATCGTCTATATGGATGATTTAAGTGCGGCAAAGAGGCCATAGGTCTCATACTTCAAAAGGTGTGAAAGGCAGTTAACAACCGTGCTGCCTTGTAGTCCCAAAAAAGGAGAGAAAATAAGAACGCTAATTTTCATCTGTACTTCCCATGCCTTCTCTTTATTCCTTGCGTCCCGTCTTAGCCCACTCCCGCAAGTCATTCTTCTTAATCTTGCCTGTGCTTGTCTTGGGCAGTTCCTTGACAATCTCCACTTCTCTCGGAACCATGAATTTGCTTATGTTGCTCTGATGCTTGGCCCAGTTGATGACGTCTTCGCCAACCAAGTCCTTGCCCTCCTTGACTGTTATATATGCCTTGGGTCGTTCGCCCCAGTGGGAATCCGGAACGGATACGACGCCGGCTTCGAGAATGTCGGGATGTTCAACGAGCATGCTCTCCAGTGCCACCGACGAGATATTCTCGCCGCCAGAGATAATGATATCTTTGGCCCGATCTAGAATCTGGGCGCTACCATCAGGATGCCATACGGCCAGATCTCCAGAGTGTAGACCACCTCCCTCAAAAAGTTTCCGCGTGGCTTCGGGGTCTTTGTAGTATTCCTTGGCACAAAGGTTTCCAAAGAAGACAATCTCGCCAATTTCTTTGCCGTTCTTGGCCACATCTATCAACTCTCCGTTGGGCTGATCGGGTTTGACTATTCGAATGGGAAGACTGGTGATGAAGCCGTGGCCTTGACGGGCCATTTTAGCGAATTTCTCCTGTGGCGGAAGATCATCCCACTCTGGCAAGATGTAGCATTTGGTGAGCGGGCCATACGTCTCTATATAATTGAGGTGAGTAGATGAGCACAAGAGTGAGTCTGAGCATGGAAAGGGCCCAAACACTCACCAGTCATTCCATAGACATGAACCGGAATGAGATTGAGATTGGTCTGTTTACAGAGGATTAGCAGATGCTTGTAAGCTCCAAGTCTCCGGATGCACTCACCATTTGCTCAAAGAGATGTCCGCTTGGCGGACTAGCTGCGACCGTTACTCGTACCTCTTGCGGGAGTCTTTCGGCCTCTTTTGCTGCTACTAATAGAGTGTTGACTGTAGGGGCCGCGTTGAAATGTGTAACGCCCTGCTCTTTAAGAAGTTTCCATATCAATGGGTAGTCAATCTTTCTCAAGCAAACATTTAAGCCGCGCACTGCAACAACGGCCCACGGAAAGGTCCAACCTATGGCATGGAACCTGTAAGAAGAACACGCTGTTAGTAAATTGAGCGAATAACAGTACTCTCTGAGATGATTGGGGTTAATTACATGGGCAGAGTCCACAGGTACTTGCAGCGGCCATTGTTAAGGCCTGATTCAATGATATTGCCTACGGTGGCAAGATATGCTCCGCGGTTGGTGTAAACAACACCCTTGGGGCGAGATGTAGTGCCAGAAGTAAAAGGAATGGCAATCATGTCGTCCTCGTTGGTGGCATGGGCATGGAGGCCAGCCCAGCCTGCGTTTCCAGTAGAGCGATCATAGTTCAGCCCCTCCAGGACAGCTTCATCGAACGGCCCACAAAGTTGGCCTTCTGTGGCGTCGGTATCCTAGAGAAGATGTTAATACCGTCATGAGATAAGCGGCAATGATGTATCTATCATGTATGTAGAGAGTGGCTTTACCGAGTCAATAATCAGGGGAATCTTCGGATGCTTCTCCTTGAACTGATCCAAAAGGCCAACAAACTCGTGGTCGACGATAATGCAGTCAACCTCGGCAAACTCAAAGATGTAAGCAATGTCGTCCGGCTTCAGTCTGTAGTTTGCAGGCGCAATAACACCGCCCGCGGCCGGGATGCCATAGATGGCTTCGAGAAAAGCCGGCGTATTGGGCGCAAGAATGCCAACCCGCTTCAGGCCGTGCTTTTTCAGATAGTAGGCCAAGCCCCGGGCGCGATCGGCAAATTCCTGGTAGGACCGGTGCAGTATCGCGCCGTTGGAGGTGATGTGAAAGATGGCCTCGGCATTGGGCTCGATGGATGCGGCGCGCTCCAGGAAGAAGGTTGGCGACAGCTGGTGAAGGTGGGGAGGCGCAGAGTGCTGGGGAACGAGATGGCCGAGAATTGAGCGGATGCGAGACGGTGGCCCGGACATGATGGGCAATTAGAGATGGCAGATACGAAATTTGTGAGAGCGAGACGAGGGCCGAGGGCCTGGATATCGCGGGCCAAGGGAAGAGACACGCTGAGAGTGGAGGACGGATCTGAGTGAGTGAGCGAGGACAAGTGAGAAGACGGATACGGCTCGAACCAGCACGAATCAAGTTGAAGCTACGGCCGTGACCATGTAGATGCAGGGCAACAGAAGAAAATGAAAAGACAAAAAGAAGAAGAAAAAAAGGGAGAAGACGGTGGGAAAGGGGACCAGCTTCTCTTAAAGACAGTCTCACAGCTTGTCCTCGGTTCAAGGATCCGGTCCGGAGCGCGGCTCTCTCTGCGCGGCCACTCTTCTTGCGGGACGGCACGGCTATAAGAGCAGCAACTGACTAAAGGCCCTGTCAGAGCTGGAGCCCCCAATGGGGAAATCTGGGGGACGCCTCCGCAATTTTCTCGGGTCTTGCTAGCAGTGCTTCCGAACGTGATGCACACGGTATTAGTGCACGCATGGATGTTGGTGGTACTAAGCATTTGATACCAAGCATGTACTACATAATACTGCATGCATTTCAAGTGCACCGTCGTAATATTCTGAATAGCGATACGGTCTTTGTCCTTTTTTGCTTCACTTTTTTTATTCGGCTACGGTGAATCTTGGTCTTGAAATGGGGCATCGCAAATACAGTTTGCCGCGGCCGTGTCTCTTCTACTGCATCCGGCGTCTGCTTGTGGCTACAGCGCCTAATGCTCATGCTAGTGGCGGTGCGTACCTTGTATTAGTGCCTCACCCATGGCCGCAGATCTGGCGTCCATTGGGCGGGCGTGATCAGGGTTGGACGATTGTTTGTATGTATGTATGTATGTACGGAGCAGCAGCCCGGATTGCAAGTTGAGCATCTCTTGGCTGCCACTGATACTTGTACGTACCATCTGCTGTATTATGTCATGTTCCATGTTCTGACATGCAGCTGGTACAATAGGTAGTACCTTAGTAGTACTACTATTACGGCAGCGCTACCCGAGGCAGACGCAGACAGCCACCATGCCGTGGCTTATCGATATCCAGCGATGGCAGAGTGGGGGGCTCCTCTTGTCTGCCCGCAGCGGTGCAGCTTTTTGGTGGCGCGCCGCATCTGAGCTCATGCCAATCGTCTCGAGCTTCGTCACCCTCGCTGCTCTTCAACTCCTCGCAAGTACCGCTTCATCCGCACTGGCCATTGCATCGTGTCTCGGCATTGTTTTGCATCGTTCTCAGCAAAAATCCCTGCAGGCCCCCCTCCTATTTGCCGCAAAAACATCCAGTCAGCATCTGGATTTAATCAAGCATCTGCTGTCCCGCTATCGCATCCATCGATCCGCAACCCACAATACTCCGCCGCTGTCCAGCTCCCATCCTCGCTCACCCATCTACGACGGCATCTGTATACTCTTTTTTCTCGAGCAAGCGACATACGGATGCTGCTCTAGCTAGCCATATCAAGTGCGTACAGATGTGTCACACACATGAAACCCTGCCGAACCCCTAAGGACCTACCTAGTTAGTAGTTTAAGCTGCTGCTTCAGCCCAAAGCTCTCTCCTCCATGCCCTCTACTCTCTACGAGAGCATGGGGCGACATGCTCTTTAACTAGCCGCTCTACCCATTATAACTCTCTTGTTCACTTTGACGTGCTCTTAAAACTACAGAGCCATACCCTTCTAGAATAATAGCTCACCGTTAGTCTCATAGCAGCTCATGGCTTCTCTTCAATCTACCGATACTCCTCCCGCTACTCGACCAAGCCCAGATAGAAACGCTTCCTATTCGAATCAGCCCAATTCAAACTCAAAAAGCAGTTTTCCGACTCCCAAGAGAGCTCATACTTACCACTCGCCGTCAGCCTCTGAGAAGAATGGAGATGCCGCAGCCACCACCGACACTCCCGACACATTTGACACCACCGAGAACAACTCCGATAATGAGGATTTCCCAGAGATCCCACGAGCGTCGATCGAACTTGACGATCTGCCAATCGAGCTGATTACCTTGACTGATAGGTGAGGCGATGGAGCCCGCAAGCGACGCAAGGATAAACATTGGTCTGACCAGCTTCTCTAGCTTCGTGGAATCGCTCTCTGCCAAGGTGCACTCTACTCCACCGAATATCGCCAAGCTGTCTCAGCTCTTTCAAGATTTCTATGCTCAGGCATCATCCAATATCGCCACACACATTAGCGCCCTTGCCTCACGCCAAAGCCGCGAGAATTCGCAACCTCCGTCACCGCCATCTTCCGTTGCCAGCCGCCTTCGGTCAAAAGCAGCCTCGTTAGGCTCTAAAGACAAGCCAAAGGCAGAGGTGGAGCAACAGATGATCACCCCCGAAGAGCTAACAAATCGCAAGAAAGCAAGAAAAGCCCTGGAAGCGAAACGAAGTCTCCTCGAGGAGGCTGTAGAGCGGAGGCTTTGCGAGGGTATATATGACCGAATCTATCGCCACAGGAGCACGCAAGATGAAGCTCAGGATGCAAAACTCAGATCTAAAACTGCTGCTCTGGCCCTTGTGGGTATCGGACCATCTGATCTAGGAATAGACTTGGGCGAGGGGGGCTCAGAATCCGAAAAGTCTACAGCCGAAAAGACCGAAATCATACGAAGTCAACTAGAGTCTGCAAGAAAAGATCTGATTCGAATGGGCGAATCGAGGTACCCTCTTGGCAAGTTAAATCGTCTCAAAGCTGCGCACAAGAGTATCGTTGATACACTTGCTCAATTTCATCCTTCTGCTTCAGCGGATGAGATTATGCCTATGCTCATTTATACCTTCATTACACTGCCTCCAGAGCACCTTCACGCCATAAGCGATCTCAACTTTATCCAAAACTTTCGGTGGGAGCAGAAGCTTACTGGTGAAGAGGCTTACTGCCTAACCAATCTTGAAGCCACCATCAGCTTCTTACAAACCGTTGATCTTGCCACTCTTAGAGAAGACGAGCGTCCATCAGGGCCAGCAAAGACACCAGGTCTGCCCGGAACACCCAAAGTAGAGACATTTCCGCCAGCTTACTCTCAGGGGCTGACAACCTCGCCCCAGAGCACGGCTGCGGTCAATACTGAAAATGCCACGGCCCCCAAGCCGGAATCATCGACCGCGAACCTCAAACCGGCTGCTTCAACTATAAAAAGTCGAAGATTGAGTGACTTGGTCAACACTCCTGCCCAAGCATTTGGTGCCGCTAGTGATGCCGTTTTCACAACAGCCGACCAGGGGCTGAAAACTATCTCAAACAGCCTCGGCGAGAGTTATAGCTTCCTCCTCGGCAAGCTTAAAGAGCGCCAGGAGGACCCCAAGGAACCTATTGCCGTCCCAAAAACCCTGGATGATGCTCGCAAGCTCGTCAGCACTCCACCCCCCGAAGATGAAGATAACACCGCCGCCATAGCTGACCTGGAGTTGGATATACCGAAAAGGCGGGATGAGCGTGTATTGAGCATAATCGGCGGCCGTCGCGACCATAGTACGGACAGCGCTCGTAGCGGTCGAAGTGGTCGAAGTGTGAGCTCTTCTAAAAAGGTTCTCTTTATGGATGACCAAAAGGCCGGAGCGGCAACTTCGGCGCCAGCACCACAGAGCCCTGCAATGTTGGAACAGATGCGAAATTTGAGCAATTCCTTCAATCCAATGGCACGGCTTTCAGGCATCAGCCTGGTCCGGGGATTCGGTCGAAGCACATCATCACCAGCAGTCCCGCCTGCAAAGGACGCAAAGGACACAAAGGAGGCCAAAGATGCGAAAGACACCAAGGATACCGTGAAGCCTACAGATGGAGGAGATTTAGCAACAGTAAGTCTTTCATATTTTCTCATTCCCTTTGCTCGGCTGGCAATGTTTGGTCCGTAGCTAACCACTGGAACCAAATTCAAGGCATTCCCTGACATTGCGGCTGTCCTACCGCCAAAAGAAATTCCCAAAATCACTCCTCCTAACAAACGATTCATGGAGCTTCAAAATCCAGGCGAGTTGAGGCTCAGCGAGGTATTAGATCTACTAAAAGATTATCGACGCCTAGCCGGTGCGTTGAAGAATATGGGCGCATTTGAAGACAAGTAACTATCATTGTAGAGGCAGGATTGTTGATTTATCTGTATCGGCTTCTTCTACATTGTTTTCGGGTACTTTTTGGATACATTTTTTTTTTCTTTTCTTTTTGCGGTACCCCTTTCCCGCTTCGCCTTATGGTTTTGTATAGCCTAAAGATAGGTGGATGATGGGAGGGGCATACATATATATGAACTCATTCATTACACGGCAGCACGGATATAGAGCATCAAATTCTACAAGGCGTTATGGCGAGAAATATATAAGAGACCGGCTACTTAAGCCACTTTCCTGAGAAATTGTTCTTAAAAACCATAAATACATTATTTAATCAAACCGCTATGACCAAACTGTTGCCACTTCTGATAGTGCAACAAGAAAAAGCGCCTCTAAATGCGATCCAGTAATGAATAAGCGCAGTGCGCTTTGTTTTCAACATGAGGATTCTTCTACGTTAAAAAAACAATAAATATATAAAACCTTCCTTGGTCCCTTTTGAAATTCCACTCGCCTCAAGCAAGCTGCCCAAAGAATCTCTTCAAGGCCAGAGGGATGCAAGAGAGAAATTCTCAGATCAATAAAGATATACAGAAGGAAAGGGAGCTGTTCCTCGACAGCTGTTAAAGAAATGAAGTTGGGACTGAATCGTTGTTTATATCCACGGATTCTTCTAGAAGGCGGACGACTCTGTCCGTCTCGGTTTATGCGGCGGCAGATCGGAACTTGACATCTGTTCCAACTCGTCATCTTCCTCTCTCGGAGGCTCTAAATGAGCATCTGTGGGCTCTGATAGAGTATTCGTAACATCAACGGATTTGCTCCTTTGATGAGCCTCCACTGATCTTCCTCTTGGCCGTCCGAGATGCTCGGGTGGGACAACCGGCCCTGGGTGCAACAGTTTGGATATTAAGTTGCTGTTAGTTCGTTCACGACTCCTGCTTCGGCTCTGCCCCGTAGTTGGCTGTCGCTGCAGACCCGTTGCGGCTCCACTGGATACGGCAGTGCTTGTTCGAGCAAGTGTGGCATCAGCTTCCTCTTGCTCCCTCTTTAGCCGCGCTTCGCTAGGAAGGATCACGGCTCGATCAAGACCGTATGGAAGACCACGATGACGCCCACGAATTTGCATAGCCACAATGATCAACTTGCCAGGGACAGAAAACTGTGAGCAAAGAGATGCGTTGACATTAGGTACACCCATGCTCAGTCCCACAGTTCCATATGCACTGACAATTTCGAAGAGGACAGCAAATAAATCAAATCGGCCTCCTACTATTTTACCGCCTTCGGTAATAGCGATAAGGAAGAAACCCAAAAAGACATACCACAAATCAAAGGATAACTGTCGCCGCAAATGAGTTCCTACATAATCAAGAGCGCTTGCTTGAGCATCATCCTCTTCGGTCCGATCGTGGTATACGCCCAGGGACTTTTCTTCATAGACGTTTGTGCGTCGAATAGAGATGGCAATAGGGAACACGGAGATGTACATCATAATGAGGTACAGAACTGGCATGGCAGGGTGAAGCTCGGACATGCTGACGGCCGAGAAACCAGCAGTTCGAGTAGAAGCAGCTTGGAATAGGCCAATGACAACACGGTTGTGGAGTGGCAACGCAGTGATGGGCTCTGCTCCGAGCTTTGGAAGAGTTAGCACTATAGCCCAATACCAAAGCAACAATCATCCGCATATATAAAGAGCAAGAAGACTTACATCAAGCACAATAAAGAAAAGCAGGTCAATGGCATTGAGGAGGACCAGGATCCAGAACAGCCACCAGGTCGCGTTTGACGGGAAAAGCAAGGTGAAACATCGACGAGGGTGGTCAAGCAAAAATCGAAATTCCTCCCAAAGGCCGGAACCTTTCGGGGTAAGCTTAGAAGCGGCCCAAATTATAAAGCGCAGCATCACCGGGAAGCCAGTGTTTCCGATAATGATAAAAAACCACATGGCCATCAGGATCCATTCGGATTTTGCAAATGAGTTCATGCTATCCGGCGTAAGTGTAAACCCTACATCCATAAAGGCCATGTTGGAGGTCCAAAACGCCCACCAAGTCTTGCCAATGTCATCCTCTGTAAGAATATTTCCATAATGTTGATTGGCGAGAATATAAGGAAGTAAGCATACGGCGCCGAGAATGTGGAACACGAAGAAGTAGAAGATGAGCACCAAAGCCAAAGTTCTTAGCGCTCGGTATTCGATACCGCCAAGCTCCTCGCGCTGCTCGAGGGTCAGGCCGAGGAAGTTCGAGTTACGGCCCATGGTTGGTGTATAGCTGAGATACGGCATATCATCTACAGTCTTATCTCGAGACAAGACAGAGCGAATGGTGTCCATTGTCTTGGTTCGCACAGGGTGTGGATGTGGGGTCCTCGACCTTGGTCTGTGTTCTCCATCTTCGTGTACCTTGTCCTGGGAGCGATTGAGGAAGCGCGGCTTTCTAAATCTCAAGCTATCAACGGTGCCACCAATAGCTTTGGCATTGTCCTTCAGCTCTTCCCGCCTAGGATGCTCAGGCTCGGTAATGGTAATGGCTGTTTGCTGTTGGCCGAAGTTGCCGCTCGATTCATTAATACGAGAGTCGAAAGTCGTCTGGCGGGCCATTGGCTGATCATCATCTTCCCGTTGATCGCCTTCTTCAAGTCTTCGGGGCCCTAGACCCCTTTCAATATCTCGGGGCCCAGGAATTCGAAGGACTTCATTGTCTTGGTTTCGCTGCCTTTCAAGAATAGCAATATGCTCTGCATTGGGCCGTCGCTGTGGGAATTTGGTAGGGTTATCGTCCACTCCATCACTCCGCTTAACAGTGTCAGCAAACGTGATTGCTGTCGTGAGGTGTTGTTCCGGTGATTGGGGGCCTGATGCTGTACTCAAAGTAGCTCTCTGGCGAGGCTGATCTAATGGTCCGATATCTTCTTCAAGTTCGGCACTCTTGTGCAGATCATCGGATGCTGTAGTCGTGTCGCTTGCGTTGCTACTCTGAGTAATCTTGGGTTCGGCTTCGTCTATCTTATCCAGAAGAATGCCGTCATTGGTAATTCGCTGTGCCCTGCTATCCTCTGGCATAACGGTAATACGCCTCCCATTCACACCCAGTCCGTTTTCGAGTTGGCTGAGGTCGTTTCGTGCCTTGGATTTGGATCTGCTGATGGTTCGGCGGCGCAATTTAGCCTCTCGTACCCAGTTCTGGAAGCGTTTCTCAAACCAGTAGAGTCTGAGGAAAACAACACAACCATGCAACGTGATTGGGTTAGAAAATAAAGAAAATGTGTAGATCCAAGACTGTTGGAATCCATTCAGATTGTTAACATCAACGGGGTTAAGCCCGGCCTGCGTATTCGCACCACTGCCGAACATAAGAGCATCTATAAAGTGAAGTTGGCCCTTGCCGCCGGCATATATAAGAACTCCAGAGAGTAATGTTGCGAAAATAATCCAGAAGTCTAGGTGTTCAGTGGTCAGTAAAAGAATGTTCATCTGAAGCTAGTGCTACAAATGGAATAAATAGGCCACTCACAGTGGATTGTAATAAAGTTGAAATGCGGATGTTTTGATAGCAAGGAAGGCTTAGCTCCCCTGAGCTGCGCCGCTACATAGGCGCGAGTACCGTCGAACATTTTAATCGACGTCAAAGACACTGTAGGTGTGTAAGGAGTAGATGAAAGCGGTTACTCTGCAAGAGGAGATGAAAAAAAAAAAAAAAAAAATTTCTACTTCAAAACAGGCCAGAGAAGCGCGACGTTGAAGCGAGGTGATGGATGAGGCCAGTGCAGCGTATACGACTGCGGGCGAGATATCGCCTGAGTTGAACTTTCGTTAAGTTGGGAAGGCTAGTTGAAGATATTGATATCCTGGATTCTTTAGGCGTGAGTCCAATCAAAGGACGTCACAAGCAACAGCACACAAAAAGGCATGATCGAGGATAACGCAGAAAGCGAGAAGGGGCTATCGTGAGGTGACCATGTCTGGTCAGGGGGCGCAACTCGAAGTCTGGGGAAAATTGAATCCTGAACGGTCCAGGAGAAGCGCGCGTTGAGACGCAGCCGGAATGTGGTAAGCTTAATAAAAAAAAGAGGAGTATTGAAGATGCCGCGCAGATGCAGGTGCAATGCTCCGGGCAATTACTGATAGCAGCAGCAGCAGCAGCAATGGTAACCAGATGAGAGCAAAGGATGGCGCGAGCTAATCGACGTTTTGCGAGCCCGAGGCAAAAGGAAAACAAGGAGGCCTGGGCCTAGTGCTATTGCCGGCGAGCAGCTTATCAGGAACAGCGGTGCTGACGATTTTACGCTTGCAGGCACTAGCAGCCTTGGTTTTGGTGCGAGAGCAGACAAGGATCCCACTGATAGTGCTTGAGAGATTGGCGAGGAGGGCGATCTTTATTGGCGGCTGCTGTTGCGAATCGGTCGGGCGTGCTTGCGACTCGTCGATTGGCTTGCAGACGCCCTGATCAATGGCAGACAAAAACCAGCTAGCCGGAGAAGAGACAATCCAAAGAAAAAAGGGACGGCAAGGCCAGAAACAAAGCCAGAAATTTTTGTTTGCTGCAGAAGTCGGCAGCAAGACCAGGGCTCCGGGATGCCCCCCCTACTGGCTCTGTGTTGGGTCGTGGGCTGATGCGATGGCGCGCAGGCCCGTGATTCCCAGGCAGCGTGGACGGAGCACCGATGCAAGGTTACGGACAGAGGAATTATCCCGGCCTCGTCGAGTCCCGCGGTTGCGGCAAGACGCCAAGCCCCTTTGGCGGCGGGTTGGACGTGCAAGACGGGCTCAGTGGTTCGGAGCACGGAGGCTGGAGACTGGAGAATGCAGGGTGGACGGATGGGCGGATGGAGCACAGCGACGTAGACGGTTCGAGGCGCTGCCGCTGTCTAAGCCGAGGATCAGTCGACCTTTGTCTGCGTTCCGGTTCGATCGTGGGTTGGCTTCGCACTCGGATTCCCTCGAGGGGAGGATGATTGAGAGAGAATGAGAGGCTGAAGAGAGTCGAGGCAATCGAGGTCTCTCTCTTGGGGGGGGCGAAGAAACTGAACGACTTGCGCCTCGTGCCACCGGCGTTGCTGCCATATTTTTTTCTTGCGTCTATCCTTCCCTTCTTTCCAGTCCATGCGCAGACAACCCTTGCCAAGAGAGGCTTAGCCCGCTTAGCACAAAGCTTAGCCCAGGCGAAATGGCTGACCTAGAACGCCGCCAGCAGCGAGTGGGTAGCGGGTCAGCGCTGCGCTTAGCACCAAGCTGCTGTAAATGCCACTGCCAAGTATGTGAGAGCCACTATTACGGGACTCGATAGCACCAGGCCTTGGTGCCTTTGTAGAAGCCGGCACTGGTACGAGCAATACTGTGCCTACTGCTTGTCCGGAGCTCAGCCCTCTTTCAGCCCAGACTCGGGCTTTTTCTTCAGTGGTGAGACGAAAGACGCATGGTGGAAGAAGATCTCAGGTCTAGCATCTAGACCCACAACATGCTAAGCCGCAGAATACCCAAAGAATGCGTCTCAATTGGCTCTAGCAGCACCAACTACGACATAACACCCAGTAGGTATTACGTCTACGAAGCCCAAAGTCCAGAGCATCGTCAATGACAGGAGCCCAACATCAGCCACGCGCGCTCCATCGCCCCAATTCTCTCCCCTGATCTGCCTCTCAATGCCTCTGTGAAAGGGAGCCCAGTTAAAAACACGCGGCGGCCCAGAAGGTGGCGACCGGCCCCTAGCAGAAACGCCGAACAGCGAATACCTACAGGTACTGTGCCAGGTACTCAACGACTTCTCTCCGAATCAATAAATGGCCCGTAGTGCCCGACGGCCATGCCGCGCGCAGCCGGGGTAAACGAGTGCTAGCGAAATCTCGCCAATATTACAGTGGTGCTTGAAAAAATAATCTGCCATGTGTGATCACTATACATACAGCTCCAGAGCCATAATACTTGATATAGCAGGGACAATCGGTCCCCCGAAGGGAGGGAGGCCATACTACTACTGTACAACTATCCTTCGTTCGAATCTCGTAAACAACATTGGGCAGCATCATGAAGGCCAAATGCTACAAGTCACAGCTGACAATGATGTCACCCGCCTCTCTTATCATGTCTCTAACTCAAGAGTCCTCATGCACCACCGCCGATCCCCCAAAAATCTTTCAACTAGACGAACGTGTCACATTGCGGCACTTTTCTTATACCACCACGCCCCATTTCTTTGTAGCTCTCGTTGTACATAGCTCTTTTTGTGATGCCTTCCTGGCCGGATGCAACATCCGTCTTGTTTTGTTTCCTACTTCGTCTCTTGGCACCGGCGTTTCACACTGACCGTTTTATTCTAGCACTCAACACCAATAGCAAAAAATGACCCGAATCGGGTAACTGTATTCTTCGGGGGATGATTGGTATGCTATAATTGGTAGGACATGACGAAAGACGAATTCTAAGTAGCCCATTTCCCAACCATATCGGCCTCTATTGTTACACAACATCGCAAGGGACTCGGCCAATTTTACTTAATAGGAATCTAAATCTATCCATCTCTACATCAGGCATGTTCTAGAACCAAAAGCTCCATGAGCTGTTCCATAGCTTTCGTGTAACCACGTCAATGTCCTTTCCACACAACACCAACAACAACATGGCACAACAAGACCTTAAATCGTGCATTGTCGATAGATACGTTATACGATGCACACACGCATAGACATGCATACGCACACGCACATGTACATGCAGTGGTCACCACGCACCTACCATACTCGTGCATGGGGCCGTCTCCTCCGTTCCAGATCAGTTCTCTTCCAAAGAAAATAAAGCGGCAACCATGGCCCAGGACCCCAATCAGGCGCCAAGCCCAGCATCATTCTGGGTAGCAAGGCAGATGGATAGGTCCATGCTGCTCCTGCTTGTACATGCATACACATCCATAAATAATCCTGCTCTGTTCGCTTGGCAGTTCGTTCGCAAGATAAACCATTCGAAAGAAACTATGGAGCAATATATCACGCGGTAGTCTAGCTCGCCATTATGATACACAGCCATTGCGAGGAGGCGTGAGCAATTCCTACATCTGCGTCCAATGAAAATAATGCCTCTTGATTTGGGCTCCTTTTCATGCCACTCACGAGATGAACTTTGGGCATCTCCAAGCCTCCTCTTTGCATTGCCGATCCAATGGTCTCAGTTCGCCATAAGGTAGGATTGCCTCCAGTCTCGCCAACATACGATGGTTGTCACGAGATGCTAGGTGACTGCTCACTATGTATCCTGCATGCAACCGAAAAAGCAAAACAGTGAGATAAGCTGGAAAAATAATAATAATTGATAGGGTTGTATTTGCTAAAGCTGACTTATTCGTCTAAATAATGTATTTCATTTATGGGTCGATGTAGACCTTTTTCGCATCATTGTAAGATCCGAAATCAACAACGCCATTTGCCAAGAGAGCATTTTGCTTTTCCGCAAAGCTCACATATATGTAAACCACAACGCCTTGCGCCGAATCGAGCCTTTTGTCAGTGTCGGACCATCCAATCTGTACTAGGTGTTGGTAAAAAATCGCAAAAAAAAAAAAAAAAAAAAAAATTGAAATTACGTGCTGGTGCCTAAGCCAAGGCAGCTCGCCTAGCATTTTCTCGTCCAATCTTCTTGAAGAACGCGCTGCTCTCCTTCTTTCCTTTTCCTTTCTTGAGAGCAGCATTCATCTTCTTGTTCTGTTCAATGTAGGCCATGTCCTGTCCACCACTGAGCTCGCCTAGAGTGCCTGCTGTTCGGCGAGCAGCCCCCTTCTTCTTCCGCCCCATGGTACCGCTGTGGAATAAGTCGTCTGTAATATCTTCATCATCCATCGTCTCGTTTTCAACCAGTACCTTTTGCAGAAGTTCTCGGCGCTCAGTCGCAGTTGCAAAGGCTAACCCCGGCGTCTTCTCAATGTTTGCCAGTTGAGTGATGACTTTGAAGGCATAGCCTTGGTCAACAAGAAAAGCCTGTCGCTTGGATGAAAAGTACATTTCTTGCGTATCCTTGGAGACCAGAGAGTAGAAAAATGCATTAAATCCTTCGTCGTTCCTACGCTTGGCCCTAAGAATTCGTCCAAGCCGCTGTGCCTCTTGACGTCGAGAACCATAATGCGACGATATCTGAATCAGGCATGTGGCCTCTGGCAAATCCAATGATGTGTCACCGATTTTTGATAAGAACAAAGTATTGACTTGTGGGTTGTGCTGAAAATTTTCCAACACTTGCAAACGTTCTGCCTGTCCGGTGCCGCCGTAGATGAAAGCTTTTCCCAGCTTTAGGGCATATGCCTTCAAAGCATACACATTATCCGAGAAGACAATGATCTTGTCACCTCTTGATTCATGGTAGTTTATTAGATACTGGCAAGCCTGAAACTTGCGCGGATTCATGATGTATAGCAAATTCTTCTTACGCGATGGTGCTCGAAGATATTCGTCGTAGAATTCGGTAGGCATTGGGCACCAGACTTCAGCACACTGAACCCGAGCGATATGACCCTGCTTCGACAGCTCCATCCAATTAGCTTCGAAGAGCTTTGGACCGATAAGAAAATTGAGATCGGAGATTTTGTCATCTTCTCGGAGCAGTGTGGCAGTTAAGCCTAGCTTGGAGTGAGTCTTAATTGACGAGGTGACCTTTCGGAAAATGTTGGCGGGCACGACGTGAACCTCGTCCAAAAGCATTAGACCCCATTCTCGTCCGGTGAGGAATCTCATCATCTTCTCGGCATCATACGATCTGGCTCTGGATTGAGTGACCATAGAGTAGGTTGTGACTATGATACCGGTGCTTCCTGTGAAGACGCTGTTCTTGGAGTCGGATGTGAAGGCGACAATATCATCTGGATTAATGTTGGACCATTTCAAGAACTCATTACGCCACTGAACAACAGACATAGAACTAGTACACAGCACAATGACGCCTTTCTTGATAGTGCATGCTGCGGTAATACCAACCAGCGTCTTTCCAGCACCGCAAGGCAAGACAATCAGGCCGCTCTTGGCACGTCCGTTTCCGAACATTTTGCTAAGACTTTTCTCCTGATAAGGACGGATCTGAGTACCGGGTTTGAGGTCGATGTCGAGAGTCGCGTTTACTTCATCGCGTCGGAAATCGTACTCTTCGAGAACCGGAAATCCCAAGTTGAGGCATTCTTTCTGTACAGTCTCCACGTCTTTATCCGCAATCTCAAACGAGTGTGTGACTTCCTGGTCGTCGTCATCCTCTTCGCCTAATCGAGCAAGCACGTCGCCTTCCTGGATTGGTTGGCCTTCGTGCGGTTGCTCGCCGCCGTTTGCCTGTTTGGCACCCGCAGCATTCTTAGTACCAGGAATGACCAGGTTTCCGAGCTTGGGCGCTGCCGACGTCGTGATTTCCGCCGTTCCTTGGACGCGAAGAGGGCCGATCCTTGGGTTTTTAAGCAGCATCTGCAGCATATTGGGATCTGGACTCTCGACGTAGTACTTGGTATTCTTCAAGACGAGCTTGACCTTGCCGTAGCTCTGTGTACAGCTCTCGATAAACGACCGAATCTCTACCGGCAGAGGCGTCTTGAGAAAGCGATCGAGGGTATTTATTATGTCATGAGGCGACAAGCCGACGGATACGGCGGCGTAGAGACTATGTGTGGTGAGGGCATACTCGTGCATGAACGTCGGGCGCGACAGAGGCTCGGCAATGGTAATGAGGAAATCTTGGGCCTGCTCCGCCAGCGGATTGAAGCTCTCGAGGATAATTCTGCCTTTCTGAGGATCGATCCAAAGCGGCCGGTTCTGGTGATCTTTCTTGAGATCGAGATACGAGAAATCATTGCTACCAAAGATATGCGGGAGAGGCTCCCGGATGTGATGCTTCTTCTGGTACCGCCCCAGTGAGAAGCGATCTATATTCTTGTCGATATCCTGTTCCAGCTCTTCATCCACGGGGGCGTCTTCATCTTCCACCACCACCTCGTCGCCACTATCGATGCTGCGAGGAGTCACTCCCCCTGGCGTCGACATGCGCGAGGACCGACCAGCCTTCAGCCCTCCCTGCACGGCGCTGCTGCCGGCCTTCCTTTTGGGAGGCATCGCGAAATTCTGTTACTATCAAGACTGCGAGCCGTAGCCGTTGACCTGACGGAAAAGAAGATGGGATCGTCACCTTTGTCGAAAGCAGGAGAAGTGGCGAGCAAGCAAGCCAGCGACTGGGGAAGAAAAGAAGACAAGATTCGTCAAGGCGGCGAATAGACTTCACGGTCATTAACAACCAAGGTCACAGGCTGAGTGCTGACTCATGGGCGCTAAAGTGCGCTAAGCCTCAACAAATGACCAAGGCAGCTGTAGGTATTCCAGGGAGGCGGATGCACTAAAGGCACCCCGCCAATAGCAGCTGATTTTGGGGTATCTGAGAAATCAACCACTGAAGGCACGATAAACTCCAGCAGCTCCTGAAATACACAATCATTAGTACGAAGCGGGTGGACAGCGACAAAAGACTGTTTCTCTTTGTTATTAGGGGGGAATAAACATAAACAAAGAAATAATTCCAGGCTACGGCTTCTGACTTTCACCATGTGGTACGTACTGAACATCGCAGCACACCGCGAACCCGAAATATCGAGAAGCTCTCCCTAATTGCTAACGATGCGTCCAGCAAACATATTCTCAATGCCCAAGTGGCTATCCGGTCACCATGCTGTACGTTACGTTTTCAAAACACCGAAACTATGATCCCACCGAAACTATGATCCCACCCTAACTATAAGCAACGCCTTGATTTCTCTTGCCATGTCCTCGCTTGCTAACATAACCCTCGGGAACTTGCCAGGCCGGAAATGGTTCGACTGCGCAGAGTGCCACCAGGAGCAGGAATCCCATCCTCTCAAGCAGAGCTTCGAAATGACCTTTGCCTGCAAAAAGTGCAAGAAGGTCTTCCGCAAAGACGCCCAAGAGTTTGACGAGAGCGACGAATACTGCCCGCACTGCGATAACCACTTCGTCATCGAGGCCAAGACCCCCAAGGCCGCCTTGACCATTGAGGGTGACGATATCCGAATGAACAACAAGCTGCTAAAGGATGAGAGAGTAAAGCAGGATGGCATGAGGACAATCTTTGACCCGACACCAGACGCCGATAAGCTTGGCTGAGCGGCATAATACATCTGTGTTTAGGAAATAGCGGCGTTGCATGGCATCACAATAAATTGGAGTTCATTTGTTCCCCCCCCCCCCCCCCCAAGACAGGGTGCGATTTTGTTTACGGCATCCCATGTTCAGATTTGCATACGTTGATACAGCATCGTCTGCGCTCTAAGTTTGTTTGCATTCCAATAAATACCAAGTTCCATTTATTCTTTATTCAGCGGCAGAGTCATCGCCGCTTCTCGTCAGGATAGCAGCGCTTCCAGTGCCTGGTGTCCGTCCCGTCTTCTTCTTAGCAGCCTCCTCCTGCTTCTCTTGCTCAATCTCCTTCACGTAGCCCTCAATCTCGTCCGTCGGCAGCAGCTCCATAGACGCGCCGGGGGCCATGAGGGCAATCTCAATGTTCTTCGCACCTGTCTGGACCACTTCGAGGAGAGACTTGATCGCCAGTCTGATGGTGGTCTGTCTATCCATATCCTCCTTATAGTTTCGCTCCAGGAACTCTCGAACCGTCTTGCTTGAGCGACCAATAGCATTTGCCTTCCTGTAACAGTCAAAAGGTTAGCCATTATATAAGAAATAACGTGGTAGGCGTCGTAATAGTAGAGCTTTACCAGGCTGAGTAGATGCCAGAAGGCTCTGTCTGGTACAGTCTAGGCACCTGGCTGCCATTGTCAAAACCAACCACCAGGGTGCTGATACCGAATGGCCGGACACCTCCAGCTTGTGTATAGCGCTGCTGCACACCGGCAACGTATTTTGTGATGTACTCGATCGTAACGGGGTCTTCAACCGACAATCGGTGGGATTGGGCTTCTAATCGTGCCTTGTCGACGAGGATTCGGGCATCTGCATTCAGGCCGGCGAAGGCCAGAGCGACATGGTGATCCAAGACTTGGATCTTGGAGGGCGTAATTCGTGTGTCTTGAAGCTTCATCGCAGACCTCTTCTCGCATCCTAGCACAACCACGTCCTTGCCTTTGACGCCAACAGCGCATGTGCCTATCCCCAGAAGGTCAGTCGAGGTGGGGGTGGGAAGACGGTCTTGGTGTAGTTAGACGGACCTCTCTTCACAGCTTCGCCGGCATATTCAACCTGGAAGACGTGTCCGTCGGGGCTAGGATAATGTCAGATGAGAGATTCGAGGGTAAACGCGGCTGCAGCAGCACAAACCTGAAGACTGGATACAGGAACAATGTCAGCATAGAGATCGAGAGCAGCCAGAAATGCGGAATAACTTACCCGACAGAGCTCTGTCGTAACCAGACGCCATGGCCTTTGATTATTTGCTGTGAAAATTGAAATCTAAACAATCCTTTTCGCTCAAGGCCACAGAGTGCAATCCGGTGGCAGGTCAATGCTGTGGAAGATGAGGTTGCGGTTCTGGCACTTTGACGTCGATATTGGGGGGTCGATATGCTGGTTCCAGCGGAGCTTCGTCAGAGTGGCAGCCTACCTTGCCTGTCTGTGGCGGTACACTGGAAGGCTGGAGCTAGAGCTCCCTGTGGCAGTCGCACTGGGGAACGGAGAAACGTGATGGCGGGCGACGAGGTACGTACATCATCCTGTGGCGCATGAGTGGCTTGATTCTGGCTGGGGGGAGAGTGAAGATCACATGACGCAGCATCCGGCGCTTGGAGGAATTCCCGCTTATACACGTCCATAAATCTGAAAGGCAGTTTAATGGGCAGTATTTTTCTGCTGGTGATTCCAAAAAGCAAATAGTAAAGCTACGGGATATATGAAGTTGACACAGCTTTATTGAACAATGGATAAAGCGCCCGCAGGTAGTTAGAATCAGTTCTCGATCATGTATCCTTCTCAGCACGAAGACCTAGGTCTATCCTCTCGTCGGGTTTGCATAAATAGGTATCTCTCAAAGATTTATTCTCTATCGTAGGATCCTTTGGATATTAAAGAGAAACACAAATATCACACACCAAGTGCGCTTTTAGGGTATCATTTCATCAACCTCTTCCTCCCTACCCTTATGTCCGTGCCCAAACCATGCCCAAACGCTGGAAAAAAGAGAACATTGATCCCGCTGGGATGTAACCCGCATATGTCGACTCCCACCAGGAAGCAAAGGTCCCTGTCATCAAAGAGTTATTAGAGGCGAACAATAATGATCAAAACAGGCCCACTACCAGGGACAACTTACCAGCTACCGGGCCGAGCTCACCGAATCCCAAGAGCTCCAAGACATACGGCGCCAACACAACAAGCACGCCGATAGCGATGACGGTTATAAGCACCGTGGCTCCCAATTCAAGAGGATGGTCTCTGACATCCTGGACAAGTTGTTGGAACACAGAATTGGCCTCTTTGACGGCATCATCATACGCCTTGGCGAAGGCTGGGCCCATCTTGTCACGGCCCTCTCGAATCGCTCCCACCAAAACATTCAAGATGCGTTTTGCCAGCATCTCAGACCAACCAAGCGTCCCAACCGTCTCATCAAGCTGCTTCTTGAGGCCTGTACCATGCTTCTCTGAACAGAGCAGGACAGAGACGACGTCAATCGCAACCTTGTCATGAGTGCATAGGGACGGATCGTATTCGGGGGATAAAAGCGCAGAGGTAGAATGTTTCTCATCAGGATAGAAAGCAGATGCGGACTCAAATGAACCACAAAGGCAGCTTAATATCGTATATAGGGATTCCATGATAGTAGCGTGTTTGGGGGAGGGTGAAAGGTTGTGCTTGGAACTGGGTGATATGTAGCGGATGGATGTGATTGCTCGTTGCGCGCGAAACGGCTCATTACTTATATCTCTCCAATCTCGGCCATGAGGATTCTCTTCTTTAGGCGGTCAACTCTCGACCTACTCAGACGAGAGACTGCCAAGTGTCGCATTATGCAGGTTCCGCCGGTGAAATCAGCACGCATGTTTCATTGGACAAGCACCCATCGGATAGCAGCCTTGGCTTACTACACACTTCAAACAACTGGACATGCATGATGAAGGTTGTAGGCCTCCCGCAGTGGAACAATAGAACACACTAAACCGAAATACCCCCTATGAGAATAACAAATAAAATACCAACAGAATAGATATGACTGGAGAAAATATAAAGACCGAGTAAATACGAGACCAAACATCTCTTAGAACTAGAGGTTACTCTTATTAGACATGGTAAGATTGCAGTTAGTAAGAAGATCAGCCACCTAGCTTTCGGAAATTTTCAAACCAAACACTCCTCCTCCGCAATATTTACCCCTTTCTCATAATACATCTCAAACGTCGAAAGTAGCGATAAATACGCAAATTTCCCATGCCCTATATACTGAAAGAAGCCAGCAAATACACGTGCATGCGTCGTTCTAAACATTCTTTTAAAGTTGGTTCCGCCCTACGATCTGATCTAGCGCTAGCGAAACTATTGAACCTCAGTATAAAAAAAAAAAAAAAAAAGCTCCGCATTCCAGTTACCGAAAGAAGAAAGGATGCATGCGCATTGAACGGATAACCCAATTAGCAGGTAAGAAGTATAAACGTGCAGCAAAATGCTCCACTAAATAAAAAAAATTAAGGAAACTTGAACTACTACCTATTTGCTGTTAATACGAGTTATACCCTGAGTTGTCATGCGGGACTCTGCTTCTTAGAGGTTAGGATGCAGGAAGACAGATCAAGTTAAAAGCAGCAGCGTCAGATCGCCTAAGCCAATACAGTATAGATGTTAGCGTATCTTTTGGAGCAATACGCGTGTTTCATACCGTACGTCTCAACTCCTAGCCGTTGTGCTATTATTAGCCGTGGATGACTTAGACAAAACAGGCTGTATTACCAAGACACAAGCATAACCCCAAAATAGAAGCTGATTGATAAGTGGGATTGATAAATAGGAGTAGTAATGTTCAAAAAGCTATAGAAAATGATACAGTTTCCGCTTTCGCAAAAGAAAATAAAAAACCCTTCTCCGAAGAAGCCAATGTCCCGCTTGGTTTTATAAAGTTTCCGCTTTGTCCCTTTGTTCCACGGCAGTCCAGCTGTCTCCCTTGCAAATCTCTATATGGATCCCATCTATCTTTTCCTGCTCCTCCTCTTACAAAAATAAGTTTCAAATGTCGCTATACAAAGTATTCTACACTGTATTACCATCATCGTTCGTCGTCTTCGTCGCGATCGTCAAATTGTTGTCGCTCTTGTCGTCGTCGATCGTCGGTATTCGTACGCCTTTCATCGCTCATCGCTTCTGACATATTCAGATATATATTATTCATTAGAATTTAGCCACCTCGGACCATGTATGGGCTTGTAAGACGCTTGTGACGGCTTGCGCTTTTGCCCACAGTCGCTTCTTAAAGCCATCCAGCCAGAGAATCTCAAGCACACCATCCTGCGATGTGACGTTGATGTCTCTGTAAAAGCTCATGGCAACCGTCATCGGGCCTAGCAGCATGTCAGGCTGTACAGTGGATTCAAGAGCCGAATCGAGCCCTCGACAAATATTAGCCGCCAGCTCCCGCCCATCCTGGTAGTGGGTCGGGTCAATTTGCAGGCTGGACGGTAGTTCCGGCCACACCTGGGGGTACGCATCGACAACCGGCTCGAAAATAGCCATGTGAATAGTTTCAATGCACTGATGGAATGGAATCATGGCCATCCAATAATAGACGAACATCAAACTGGTGAGTCCGTCCTTGAAAGCATATGCGTTGGCAAAGGGAATGGCGCCACCAGGGCTCCTCAACTCCTCTGCCCAGTATGGAAAGGAATTTTCTTCTGCTCCTCTGTAAGCGCCTTGCAGCCAATGTCGAAACTCTGCTTCTACAATCAGGCAGTGATGAAGGAGCTCTTGTGCTTGCGTGCGGCGAGCAAGGGTCGCTTGTAGATGGACGATTCGGTCCATTTGTTCGAGGAGAGCGGGAAGCTGAAGCACAATGTCAAACAGCTCATCGAGGGGGGATTTTGGATGCTGTTCCCATGGTATCGTGGTCCATTCTGGCATTCGCAAGAAGGTATCGTGCCGGCTCAAGAGAGCAACGCTCATCTATCATCCAATGGTTAGGATTCGGGACAAGGAAGGAGATGCGGGTGGGAAAACCTACAACCACAGGGCGATATACCCTCACAAAGAAATGATGATTCGGAAAAGAGGCAAAGTAATGCGGCCCAAGCCGAGTCATATGCTCTGCCGTAAGTCTCCATGCTGCCCCCGATGTATCGTGCTGTTATAATGGATCTCCGATTAGCTTCGACCGGACATGAACAGGACACCCTTCGGGAAACAAACTCCGCGGAATAATGACTCGGACAATCAGTAATAATAAGCAAAACAAGCAGAACTCACTTCGAAAAGAAATGCGCAATAATTCTCTGTTGAGTCATGCTCAGCGTTAGTGGCCTTTTGGCGCACAAAGCATTGTGCATTCATACCGAAAGCATCGTCCGCCACCAATCGCAGCTCTGCCGCTGCATAGGGGGGGAAATGCAAAGCACTCGAAGATCCCGCGATGGCTCCATCACCACCACTCTCGCCGCCGGCTGGTACTTCGTGTCTCGCGACATTTTGCAAATTCGTCTGAAGTGCGGTAATAAGGGCGGGGAACTCGGTTGCTCCTGGGCCGCCGGAGGATAAGCGAATGTAATCATCCCATGCTGACGTTAGTGGTCCCAGAGGCTGGAAGACCTGAGGGCTGCTCATGATGCTGCTGCTACCGCTCTCCAAGTCATCTGCCTTGATACTTGGGCTAGGGCTTGCCTTTGGCTTCCTGGATGGTGTCGTCTTCTTTGGGTGCGAAGCAACGCGGCCTTTGTTTTCAGGCGTGCCGGTGATGAAGACTCGCTCTCTTTCGTATCCTTCGCAGGTTCTACCACTGCTGATGCAGTTCTGGCAAAATGGCCGCTCATTGCTGCACTGTTTTCTTGCCGTGTTAGTTAATTCTCATACAGTCTGCTTCTTGTCGTCTCTCTCGCTCTCTCTATGTCTCTTTCTCATCGCCAGTATCGCCATAATCTTCATCATCGTGTTCTTCTCTTCCTACGTTGGATTCGTGCGAAACAAAGAAACTAAGGGGAACAAGGACAAACCTTAACTCTGCGCCTGCGGCAAGTCTCACAACCCTTATACTTGCCCGGAACACCAACCATTTTGTCGGTCTTTGCGCTCGGCGCGTTTGTGTGTATGCGTATGTATGCGTGTATATGCCGGCCTGGCTTTGGGCCTTGGAGTCTGTGTACGTGTGTGCGTGTGTGTGTTTGGCCTTTGTGGGGAAGGGGCAGCGCTTGTTCTTCAACCTTTCCAGAAAGAAAATATAATTAGAAAAAAAAAATTTGTCCGGTTCCTGTATAGAACAAGAGTTGTTTGCTTGGTCTTCGATGCTGCAATCTGACCCGCAGCCTTGCTCTCTTTGCCACCGCTTATCCTCTTTGCATCATGTTGGGTCTGTTATATATTTGTGGAAGAGGGAAGTGAGAGAAAGAGGGACGGCGTTAGCCATAGGCCTCCTGGACATGCATTTGCGCACGGGAGCTATTCTAGCAGCAAACAAGGTAGGTAGTCATGTCGATGGATAGAACTGGGTAAGGGTCGGGACAAGTACGGAGGTGAGGTGGTGAACAGGGACAGCCAGGCTAGAACCACATGGCAGCAAACGGGCCATACTAGATGGAGGAAATTGGTGATCTCCACACGAGATATGTCCAAGCTTTGAGCGTCGAATGGCATTTCAACATTGGCCTTTGGAAAATAGTGGCAGGCACACAACTCCGCCTTTAGCATGGGGCTTTGGACGTGGATTGGTGGCTTTCCCCATCAAAGCCCGGCAACCACCGAAGCCAAAACGTACGAACGGCGACCAGGCGTCGGGCGAATAAGAAGGCTATGATGGCCTCTCGGCATCAAGCCTCATGGGTCAACATGATATGCAAGGCTTACACGTTGCCAGTCGGTTCAGGGGTTCCGAGGCCTCTTGCTAGTCCTCCCTCCCTCTCTGCGTTCCCTCTGTCTCATTGCATCTCTTTCTCATCTTCCCGCCCTCTCAGGCAGGGCCGTTCGATTGGAAAGCAGCTCTGTGTCCGCCCGACATGACGCTAACATGGCTGGCAGCCATATTCTTTCTGGCACTAAGTTTCGTAGGGCTGACGCGGAGGGCCAGCTCTGCTCCTGGTTGGCTGATCCACCGAGACAACTGAGCGTGCCTCTGCGCGTCAGCGATCAGATGTTTGCACAAGGCGCGCGCTGCCATTGGACGGGCCGCTGAAATGACAGGAATACAGCCTATGAGAGATAAAGCATCGTAGTGAATGCGTAGTGCTTCTTTGGGCTTCGGTGGCTCCCTCAGCCTATCCGGCGCTCACCCCGTCCGGCGCTCTGATAGGCCGCCCGGGACCCCCGGCCGCGAAAGCCTCAAGGAACCATTCCGGGAGCCCAGCAGCCTCGCCAAAATCGGCCGCCTCGGTGCCTGCAGAACCTCGTAAATCACAATGGACAAGCTGCCAGCACCTAGACCGCCAAACCGGCGACTGGTCAACATGCTACAATCATAACGGCCTTTTTCCCGCGAATACGTTTAGCCCGCAAACCCCTGATTGCCGTGCACGCAAACCGGTGTCGGCCGACGTAACACTGGATCGGGAAACGGCGCCAGGCTCAAAAGAGTTACAAGATGTGAAGAGTATGCCTAAGGGGATCCAGGGGAGCGGTCCGCATACATGTGCTACTCGTGCTAGGTGGTAGTGCTAGTATGTCATGACTTACATACGGACATGCAAACGGCCAAAAGCGGGAGGGCCTGACTTAGGAAGGGCCGCAAATACGTACTGGTATTACTATCGCATCCTCGTCCGCCACCCTCTACTGCTCGGGCCAATACCCCGGTCAAATGTATTTGTACGGATTCATAATTCCATTCTGTCATCAAGAAATGTCAGTGTCAGCCCTACCGCTTAGCAATAGTGGGAAAATGGTGCAGATGTGCGCGCGTCCTCCTCCAGCCGCAAGGCAGCTGCGTGCACATGTGACGTGCCATCATGAATCAGAGAGGATCTGGCCGAGGAAACGGCAGATCATGAAACACGAAAAGTTGAAACAAGTGTGCATGGATGAGAAACAAGCGATAGACGACAAGCGAAAATAGAACAAAAGGGGAAAAAAAAAAACCACTAGCGAGGAGACAAGGGAGCTTACCGGGTCATACAGGTTCTTAATCTGCTTCATCAGACCAATCACCGTGTCGTTCCGGCTGTAGTTGACGAAGTTCTTCTTGGCCAATCCCAACCCATGCTCAGCGCTGATGCTGCCATTACGCTTCGCGATCCATTCGTACACAAAAGGCTCCAGAGCCTCCTCGACCTTGGCGTCATACCGTCTTACAGCCACATTCAGGTGCAGGTTGGAGTCACCCATATGACCGTAGCCCACCACTGCGCTCACCGGATACTCCTCGGCATCGCCGATCAGACCAGCCTCCCCCATGCGCTCCCTCACATCCTCGACGAGCGAGTACATCTCCGCCAGTGGGATCGAGACGTCGTACTTGTAGACGCCACCGCCATGTCCAATGCACTCGGTGATGCTTTCACGCCAGCTCCACAACGCCTTGGCCTGGGACTCGCCTTGCGCCACGACACCATCCGTCACAATCTCCTTGGTCAGCACGTCTTCGAGGAACTTTTCTAGTTTCTCGTTGTCGTGGTCGCCATTGGAACCGCTGGTCTCAATGAGACAGTAGAACGGGTGATCGCCCTCCAGCGGTCGCTCCTCACCTTTAATCTCGTGCACAATCTGCTGGCTCCGAGAATCCATCAGTTCAAAGGCAGAGAGGATTTCTCCCAGTTGCTGCTTGGCTTCTCGAAAGGCGAGCTGCGCCTTCTTGAAGGAATCCACGCCAAAAAAGGCCACATTGACAGCAGCCGAGCGCTGCGGGCACTGAATCACCAGCTTGGTGATGATTCCAATAGTTCCCTCGCCGCCGATAAACAGCTGCTTCAAGTCGTAGCCCGTGTTGTTTTTGCGTAGAGCACACATGTCATTCATAATGGTGCCGTCCGGCAGCACAGCTTCCATGCCCAAAACACTTCCATGCAAGCTCCCGTAGCGCAGCAATCGCAGACCGCCTGCATTGGTGGCAACATTACCGCCTACATGGCATGATCCCTTGGCTCCTAGGTCGAGGGGAAAGATATATCCTCTTTCGGCGAGGTACTGATCGGCTACCTCCAAGATGCATCCAGCATCCAACACGAGAGAGCCGCTGACCTCGTCAAAGGAGTGAATCTGGTTCATACGGCTCATGTTGATGACGATTTCGTCGAAAATAGGCACCGAGCCGCCCACAAGCCCGGTGTTACCACCCTGCGGTACGACGGCCAGCTTCTTGTCATTGCAGTATTTCAAAATCTTGCTGACCTCCTCGGTCGATCCTGGCTTGAGCACGAGCCGGCTCTGACCTCGATACTTGTGCATCCAATCCTCGTTGAAAGGCTTGAGATCGTCCTCAGCCGCAGCATTGACGCCGTCAATCACGGCCTGTTCGCCGCCGAGGAGGTTTTTGAAGTAAGCAACATCCTCTGCCGTTAGCGACGCAAACTTGGCATCTCTCTTGATATCAGGGTACGTGTCGGACGTGAGCTTTGCCAGATGCTGGACCGCATGTGATTGAGAGAGTAGTCTGGGTACCGAAGTCGCAAAGCATCGAACCGAAGCAGTGGAATGGCTAGTCAAAAAGCTAGCACTGCCAATTGCGCCAATTCGCGGGTTGGGCGCCCGCAGAACACGCACAAGCCTCGATCGTGTAACCATCTTCTCTGTTTCCAAGGGGAGCGCGTGTTGTAAGGCCAACAGCCAAGAGGCGGGATCAAAGACGGAGTGAGAAAAATGAGAAAAATGAAGTCAGACGGGGCTCCTACGTTGAAGCTTCCTTTCTTTCGGTTATCGATTTCCGGGTAGCCAGAGCCGGGGCGATTGCTTAATTCTCTAGGAGCCTGTTAGGCAGCTCAAGCGCCGTAATCCCACTGTTAGGCGTCGCTCTTGCGGCACTAGGGCGTCCAATTAGGCTCTGAAAACATTAGTGGGCCTGCCTGTGCCTCCGAACACGGACTCCCAGTTATCAAAGTTATCAAAGCAGCAGCCAACGGATTTACATAGATATCCAATAAGCAACAACAATAATAATACTATTAATTCAATAAAAAGGAGGCCCAGTGCCAATTAATTTGGTTATCTAACGTCGTAGTACAATTAAATCAACGTCGAGAATTCAACCATGATAAAATTGTGTTCAATTTTTACAGCACCCTTACCATCCAAAAAAAAAGGGAAAAAAAAACACCATTAACATGCATCCAGGGTACCGAGAAAACACCGCTGCCTCTCCAACCAAGTATCCAGACAACATAGGAGACAGGGACTCCGTATAACGCGTGTACGCGCAAAAAGGTAAAATAAATAAAAGGTGGAAGTATACAAGGAATTATACGGAGGCCGTCCATGAAGATGACGCTGGGTCATGTAGATGATGAGGCACCACGGCTACCCATGGCCGTTCACCTTTGAATCTCTTCGGGGCCGATCATCGCCAATATTTGAACTATCTTGGAGCACGCCGGCTGGTATATCGTCATCCGCGTTTTCGTCGCCCTCGCCCATCAGCTTCTCCATAAAGGAGATGTAGTCGAACTGGTCTTTGCCACGATCTCGTGACATATCTGGACCGTTATGCGGCGGCATCATCTCGAGAAGTTTGTCAATGACCTCTTCAGGAACAAGACTGTGGCGCAGATCCATTTCAGTGACATATGGCTTGCCATCAGCAACTTCACGGAACGACTGGAAGACTTGCTCAGCGGTATTTTGATCTTCGGTGACGTCGACCATGAAGCGGATAAACTGCTCGAATGTAACATATTCTTTGCCCCCAGAGGTATCAATAAAGTAATCGTGCATCTCATCTTCAGAGAAAACTAGGCCAAGCGAGGCTAAAGCTGCACTGAACTCAAGCTCTTGTAGCGAGTTCGAGGCATCGCGATCAAAGTGGCGGAACACACTCTCGAACTCTTCCAGCTGAATCGGCGTTAAATTGGTCATGTTGCGAGCAACCATCTGGTTTTCCAAAAAGGAGAGCTTCTTTTGAACCGAGGATCTCACAAGCGTCAATTCGTATGCCAGTTCGTCATACGTATAGGTGGTGAAGTCGTTCTCCTCAATGTTTGCTTCCTCGCACATGGCATCTACTTCCGCAATAGTACTGAGATATCGATCGAGAGGTGGCAGATTTTCGCTGAGCTTCTTGACATGATGCAGCTGATCTTCAATATCGCCATCCAATCCCGAAATGGCAAGCTGCATGGTGTTGAGGGCCATTGCAAAGTCATTTGCTTTGTCGGCAAATGATTTTCTCAGCGCGTTCTTGATGCTACGGCGTTGTTAGCCAAGTCAACCCTTATACTTCGCGCAGAGCTCTGTAATTCACTTACTCTCGAATCGTTTCATTAATGAGCTGCGCGCGAGCCATCTCGCTCTTTGTAAGACTCTTCCAATCTCTCTCAATGACATCCTGACTAACCTCTGCAGGAGGTTCGTAAGGCCGTAACCGATAGGTGCTGAGCTTCGTTTTGATGTTTCCTAATAGTGTGGCAAGCTCACTCTTCTCTGCAACCCATTCTCGCTTCTTGCCCCTCTTATACTCTGAGAATTCAGACGCCTGGGCCTTTGCATCAGCATAGGTGCCCTCAAATTTCGCCGTGTGCCACTGTTCAACCTGGCCTCGGATATTCTTCAGGAGTTCCCGCATTCGTCTCTCGTAGGCATTCTGCATCTCCCAGGCGCCTTGCATGTTGTTAAAAAACTTTTCGACTCGTCGTCCCGCATTTTCGACTTTTTCCATCTGAGAAAAGGCATGGAACCAGTAGGCAATATAGGTCATCAAACTTCGCTCATCGGGTTTCGCTACATCGCACACATCTTCAACATCCAACAGCTTGGGAATACCAATCTCTTCGTGGGCAATATCAAAGGCGAGCTGCATGTTGCCGCGGTGGTCTGACTTGTCTAAAGTGTCGAAGTCGATCAAATCCGGTCGATGAATATCCAGCAAGGCGCAGAAGGCGAGACCGTCGTTCCAGCTGCTACTAAAGTCGCGAACTTCGACCTCATCGTAGCATGCCGTTTTTCGTTGACACCACAACAGCAAACCCTCCTTGGCAGACATACCCTCTTGATTGATGTCGCTAATTGTAAACCGGAGAATCAGGGTCCAAATAAGACCAAGAACAATTTTGCGGTTTCCATCAACAACATCCTCAGCACCAATGTTTGTCATCTGAATGCCTCTGGACTTGATAAAGTCCAGGGCCAGGTTGGCATTTTCGAACCGTTGGACTCGAAGCTTCGGACGGGAGGCATATCGACCGAGGGATTCTTGAGAAAGACATTCGAGTAAGTGAATCAGCATAACCTAAGGACGAAGAAAAAAATCGAATCAAACGTCAGCAAGAGGCTCTCTCGATACATAGCGGCAAGCAAGACGGAGGAAACATCCTATACAGAGCGTGCATCGAGTTCAAGATGTGTTCAACTTACACCGTCACTAAGATCCGGTACCAGGTCCTTCACCTCCAAGTTTCTGGCTACAATTTTGGTGTTCAACCTGGAGAAATGCCTTTGTCAGCACTTTACGGAGTTCATACAAAACCATTTGAAAATGTTTCTCCGTTTGCGTAGGTTGAAAACACACCATTTTGTAAACGTCTTTTCCTGGACCGTGATCCATCTCTGCTGCTCCGAGAAGGTCATCTTTGTGAGAAATTGGTCATGGACGCCCCGAATCGACGACGAATCGACTAGTACGTCGGCAGCAGACGCCTTGCTCTCGATAAGGGCAAGGTCAGCGACTGCTTCAGGGGTTTCAAAGCTCGGAGGTTCTGCCAGACGAGGTTGTCTGGAAAACTTTGCAGGCTTGGGCGGCGGCTTTGGAGGACTGGAAAGCTTTGGGTGCGTCGGAGACTGGCTCAGGGCTTTGGTGCCCAATGATGAGCTGCGCTTCTCTGACCGCTGGAGGCGCGTAGCAGTAATGCCACTACGGCTACTCTCCTTGTCCCGCCCACTCCGCTGAGGGGGGCCCGAAATGCAGCGTGGCCGGGGTAGAGATAGAGAGGGGCCCCTTTGCAGGCGCTCAGCAAATGGCAGCGGCTCAGCCTCAGCCTCGGAGACGGCAGCAGCAGGACTGACAGGCGATCCGGGTGGCGTCCAGAGGCTTGGCAGAGTTACGGGACGCTGAACCTGGAGCTGGAGACGGAGCTGGCGCGCAGATGCAGCGGCTTTGGCGTCGATATCGTGGTGGCGCTGGGCTTGTAAACAAAATTCAGGGAACTGATCAGCCAGCTCGAGGTTGCCGGGCTGCAGCTCCTTCCGCGAGGGGCCCGTGGGCGCCATCTCCCTAGGCGCCTTTAGCGGCCCCGTGGCGCTGTGGCACAGGCTGTTATAGGCCATGAGGGCGGGCGCGAGCAGCAGCAGTAGCGCTACGAGGGACAGCGGTAATAGGCAGTCGGTGTCGTGGTACCGGTACATGTACAGGTACTTGCGACAGTGGGAGACAAAGAAGCGGCTTTATCGATAAGACAGCTCGGCTTCCTTTGCTCACTTTTCTTTAAAGCTTGGGACAACAGGAGGGAGATTGAGGGTGCTTTGACAACACTCAAAGACGGGGAGGGTTCAGCAGGTTATTATGAATTAAATTGATACTACTTTGCTTTGTTGCTTGTGTTTGTGTCTTTATTTGCTTTGTTTTCGTCTGGAATTCGACTCCAGTTATACTCTCCAGACAGGTACCTCAACACGATGTATCGGAACCCTCTCTGGACTGTCCTGCGGGCGAGCTTGACAGGTGCTCCGTAACGTTCGACGTGGCACCGTCCAAGATCCTCGCCGTCTTAAGCGATTGGGTCCTCATGCACGGCTCCACGCTGCCACATGAGAAACATCTCTACACCAGGGCCCAGCCAGGAAGTCAGCGCATGGCGGCATCGAAGAGCTAAACTCGAATCAACACGACTTCGGCTCTCGACCTGCTCCAAAGGCATCAGGACAAGGTTCGCCTCGTCGACGATCCAACCTCCTCAATTTCCAAGCGAACGCCAGCAGCTACTGCGTGGAGATGCATCAACCTACAGGTCGCAAAAACGGTGATGAAACTCTACGAAGCAAGGCCAGCAAATGCCTGGCCTTCGTGGCGCGTGCCTTGTCCTTCGCTTGGCTGCAAGACTCGTCGTTTTCGTCCATTTCCTCCACTCTTTTCATCCGGTGATTGCGCGGCAGTCGTTCGACGGTGCAGAAACAGGTTCGCTTCAGCTGAGTTGTCAAGTCGTGAACAAGCAGATCCGTTCGGGATGGACAGTTCAATGCGGCCGCCTTACATACGCTTAGCCCTCCTTCGTGGGTCGGTGGCCGATGGCAGTGAATCTCGTGGCTGGGTAGCTTTGACGCTGCATGATCCCTGGCGGCACTACTCGGTACTGACAATTGACCGCCTTCCTGTTATCACAAGCAAACTCAAAGCCAGCCTGGTAAACATGAATCCATGCCCGGTGGTTGTGGCAAACACGCGACTTGGAAAGCTTATTCCAAGACGCGCCCCTATACCGCGCAGGGTGCAGACTCCAAGGACGTGACAGGTCGTCTTTCACGGTCTGCAGTCAAGGGTGGCTACCTGAGCACTTTCCTTTCGATAGTCAGGTCACGTTGATATCCGACGGAGCCAATGTGATGCTGATTGCTACATGCATACGTGATACTGCTCGTACAAGTGTGTATCAGAGACTATAGCTGCATATCTACATTGTACGCTTCGCATCCCGCTGCCTCCCAGGTTCGAAATGCCTTTCCCTCGCATTCTGCTGTCACTGGAATATCTTGATGATGAATACCTACTACCTAGTAAAAGTTTTGCTCTCCGTTGATACTAATACATACCATCCAAGTATAAGCAATGAAGATATTCAACGTATCAGATATGACATTTTGTCCTGGCATCGTAGTATTTGCCATACTTTGTACATTCATTCAGGTGAAAGACTGACAATTATTTCAGTAATATCTGCATTATGCATTTATGCTTGACGTGTAAATACTTTGCTACTCACATCCACACGTCTAATTGCTACTCCTCTCCTCACTGCCGGGTAGTACATTGAATGAGCCACCGCCTCTTGCTATGTAGACGACTCCTTACACATGGCTCAAAGAAGAGTTGCAAAAAAACCTGGTACTACCTATCAAAAGCGATATTCTGTCGATTAATAATTTCTTGTTAATGATATTAGAATGCAAAAGCTTCTTTGCGTTAGCTCAGCTAACATTTGCATTCCCAATCGACTTGAAATCATAACGTGTGGTATTTAGTATCTCAAGATGACCTGAAGACATTTGATATTTCAACCCCTTCTGATAATAAAGCAATATCTATCACTACTTTTACACACTTGTAAATCTTCAAACCCTCGAGCTTCCTCTCCAACAGCCTCGTGCAATAACTCTGAAATTGTTACATTTTTAGACACTTATCATACAGCGTTGATCATAACCAAAACCCCCATTCCCCCATTCCCCCTTCTACCTTCTAATCTGCTTTCCACCAGCCTGCTTAGCCTTCGACCGCAGCGCATATCTCTCCTTCTTCCAAGCCGACACCAAGTTGTCCACACTGCCCATATCGTGCTTGGGCTTGCGCATAAACGTCAACCGCGCTCTCCTTGCCCTCTTCGGCTTACGCCAGATGATGTCAATGCCCGTGACCGTCGGGCTGTAGATCTTGAACCACGTCTCCACGCCAGTCTTCATCAGCTGTCCTCGCAGCAGGATGGCGGTGTCGACGCCGCGGCGCCGCATCTGGATGAATGCGCCGGAGAATGGCTCGCCCGCCTTGGTGGTCACCATGAGCACGTCGCCCACTTTGGCGCTGTCGGCGTGGTCTCTGGAGAAGAGCCTCGTCCTGGCGCCGGTCGGGTCGAGGCGGGCGATTTCTTGCTGCTTCAGCGTGGGCATCGGGTCGGGATGGGTGGCTCGTGGTGAAGGGACTTGAGGCCAAATGTGGAATTTCGAGACCTTTTGCTTCTCCATGTCTAGATAACCCAATCGTTAGCGAGGTGATTTCTCTCTCCATGTTGCATTGCAAAATCCAGGCAAAGCCAGAAAATCGTACGTTGTCTTTGACTAAAGGCATTCTTCGCGATGGAGGGTATGGAGGGGCTCGCAGCCTCTGTCGCCAGGCATCTCTGCCATGTTCTCTGGTATCTCGTCCTCCTCAGAGCCGCCTTCAGACAGCCCATCGGCTGCCTCGCAACAGCAACATTCATCGTGATTGGGATTGGCGCCGCTGAAGCTTTTTCTGACCTTCAACTGCGGCTTGGGCAAGAAAGTCGCAAAAGCTCATGGCTCGAAAAGCCATGCATTCCGCCGCCGTGATTGGCCCGGCTCCTCTTTTTCTCCGACCCACCCCAACTCTCAACTTGCGCCTAAGAATGGTCTGCATGTAACTTTTTTTCATTTTGTAGAGATTGTTACAACAAAAGACTGGTTGCTAGCCACAATTCACAGCAAAAATGTCAAATCGGTCACTACGGACGGCCGTTCGGTCAGTCGGTCGACTTAATGGACGAACGGCACGCCCTTCAGGCCTTGCGCCGAGGCAATTCAGCACTTCACCAGCGCATGGTACGCAATAGCACTCGGTATAAATCCAATCGAATGGCTTCTGACGCATAAACTGCAATAGGTGTAAGAGCCGTATTCGCCGAGACCGAAAACGACGAAATGAACAAAGTCCTCAACACCATCCAAGAAACCATCATCCTCCCCGCCTACCTCCCAGAAAAGCAGCGCAAGCTCGTCTTCGACCCCAAGATGAAGTCCTACCTCGAGCAGAACCCCATCATCATCGAAGTCGAGGGTCTCGAACACAAATTTTCCACCATTGATCGATTTGCCGGCATCGAAAACTCAAAGACCATTCTCAACAAGGCCCTCAAAAGCATGCAGAGCCAGGATGACTGGGCCAACCTGGCAACTCTTTTGGCGGGGTATAAGAAGGCCGGCATAAGGCTAAAGGCCAACCACTGGGGAAAGATTGTACGCATGGCAGGAGAGAGCGGCAACATTCACGCCGTGATTGAGTGCGCGAAGCAGTCCGACAAGACCGGGCTCATGTTCACCAACCGGGAAACAGTCGTCCGAGTACTATCTTACATCAACGAAAAGGTCACCAGCAGCAATTGGGACGTGGTCGAGACGAAGCAGGCACAAACATGGGCGGACCAAGTCCTCGATCTCCTCCAGCGCAAGGAACATGCGATTGAAGGCCAGCCCACCCGCGAGAGACTACACTTCTCCCGCGTCGTCCGCGGAATGACCCTCTTCGCAAAGGCCTCTGCCGCCAAAGTCAAGCAACAAGCCGGTGAACCCGTCGAGCAAGACCTCGTGCTGCTCAAGGATGAAGTCGACCTGCTCAGCTCACTATGGAAAGACTCAACGAATGCGAACCTGGAAGAGGTCGCTGACTTTGCAAAACTCAACCCTACCTTGGAGAGAAACTCCAACCCCAAGGGAGTCAAGATACCTACCGCCCTGAACGGAAGTGCATACGTGAAAGTCTTGGCACAGAACATCAAGGGTATCTCGCTGGCGCGTGAGGTCCTTGGTGAAGATGCTCAAGGCCTCGCACCGGTTGAGGTCACTCTAGCCGACCACTTGCGGAACTTTGTAAAGACTAGCAAGAGCTCAACAGAAGGCTGGGATCAAGAATACTCGACAATCGTCGGACAGGCACCGAAGTGGTAAAACCCTTGTACAACAAAATGAGGAGAGATTTTCAAATAAGGGGTTCGAGAGAAAGAGAGAGAGAGGAAAGCGGAATGATGCAGCAGAAGACACTTATTACGAGTTGATGGACGGACTAAAAAGGCGTTTTTTCTAGAACCAGGGGGAAAAGGGGTGGTTTAGATGAAAAAGATGAAAGTCTATAGTATATGTATCATCCTATATATATATATATATACGTGTATAATAAAAAAAGAAAGCGCTCACGGCAGCACAATGTACTTTTCTAAATGCTTTGGAATAGCCCCCAAAAGGTTCTTCGTCTCCAGCCACTTCCGCGAAAACAACCGATCCGCATACCGGTACGCACCATCGCACAGCATCGTCACCACAACATGGCCCTTGCCCAGCTTCTCGGCAACCTCCTTGGCCGCCACGACGTTGAGCGACGAGCTCGCGCCCAGGTACAGGCCCTCCTCGTCCAGGCACCGGTACACCATCTCGATGCTCTTCTCGTCCGAGATGTGCAGCGACCCGTCCAGCAGGTCAATGTCCGGCTGCAGGTTGTCCGTCACGCGGCCCTGGCCGATGCCCTCGGTGATGCTGGAGCCCGTCCGCTCGATCAGCTTGCCGCCCGAGGAGATGTACGAGTGCAGCACGCTGCCCGGCGGGTCGGCAAGGAAGCTCTTGACGCGGCCGCCAGAGATCTCCTTTAGATACCTCGTCGTGCCGGCCAGCGTGCCCGCCGTGCCCGTGGCGCAAGTAAACGCATCAACCTTGCCATTGGTCTGCGTCCAAATCTCCGGGCCCGTCGTCTCGATGTGCGCCCGCCGATTCGCCGTGTTGTCAAACTGATTCGTCCACACGGCATTGTCCAGCGCCTCGGCATGCCTCTTGGCCTGGTGGTTGTAGTTCTGCGGGTTGTCAAACGCCACCGCCGGCACGGGGTACACCTCGGCGCCCAGCAGCCGCAGCAGGTCAATCTTGCCCTGCGACTGCGTGTTGGGCATGTAGATGACCAGCTTGTAGCCGCGCGAGCGGCAGACGTGGGCGAGGCCGATGCCCGTGTTGCCGGCCGTGCCCTCGACGACGGTGCCGCCGGGCTTCAGCAGGCCGCGCTCCTCGGCATCCTTGACGACGTAGAGCGCGGCGCGGTCCTTGACGGAGCCGCCTGGGTTCATGAACTCGGCCTTGCCCAGGATCTCGCAGCCGGTCTCCTCAGAGAGGCGGTTGAGGCGAATGAGGGGGGTGTTGCCAATGGCTGTGCGCAAAGCATGCAAGTAAGCATTACTGAACATCATCCATTATACCAATCCAATCCATCGTAGCAGCAGCGTCACATACCTCCAGTCAGCCCTCGCGCCACGCCTTGCGCCTTGGACACAGCAAGAGTATAAGCGCTGGGCTCGGCAGCTTTGGCCGCCGCAACAGCCAGGCGCTGCGCAGTTTGTCGGAACATGGCTGCAGTGATTCAGTGCCGTGCTTGTTTGGGGGCCCTGAAGAACCTCAATGGAGAGAGTTCCGTGCAGCGCTCGAGGATTTGTAAGTTTGCAGAGCATCAGTCCATCAATGGCCTCTTTCCCCAGAGACTCTGGCGCCGAGGGCCCGGTGGTGGGGCAGAGGCCCGAGGATCCGATCACGTCATTTTGCGCTTCTATTAGGGAGAGTCGTCGCCTGGAAGATGCCGCTTTTTTGCCGCACATGAGTGTTTTAGATGGACTGATGGCGGGTGTATCTAACAAAAGATGATGGCTTCTGCGGTGATGTCTTTTGCGAGTAGTATTCTTGATTTGAATAACCGAGGCTAAGAGTAAGGCTGGCGAGAGGTATCTCAGGTACCTACTAGTAGGTGTGTAGCCTCTCATGAAATAGCGACTCAGTTATACTCCATATCTGCTACATTTTACCTAGCTTTGTTCTTTTCAAAGTAAGTGTAGCCCTGTGTAGATAAACAAGTCTCTGTCAGAATACATTATAATTATTTATCATCTTTATGCTATTGAGAGCCTCATCACCATGATGTTTGAAAAGTGCCCCCCTCCCCCCCCAACCCCTGATGAACTAGGCAAAGATAGCGGGTGATTAGCTTCACCTCATATGCAAATCAGCCATATTCATCTAATGCTGCTCTTGCCCGGACTTGAACTTGCGTCGCAGTCTCGGCCGACAATTTTGACTCAAGGCCGCGAATCAAGCCAAAGTCCAGGCAAAACCACCAGCATAGGGTGAATATGGCTCAGTCCCATATGAGGTGGGCCAATCGCCCGGTATCAGTGCCTAACCAATCAGGAATCTCTCACATAACCGAATCAGCTTGCACTTGAATAAGCAACTGGACCAATCTATCCCTCTCTATTCCATCGTTGCCGAAGTATTGTGCTCTACACCTCTTCAAGGGTTTTGTGGCAAATGAACATACGGCGCTGGGAACATGCCCTTGGCACCCATATAAGTCCCAAAGAACCAGTCTCCGTTGATATCCCTTACTTCATCAATGTTGGCCCCTCGAGGAAACATTAGGTCATCCTCTTTGCCGGATTTTGGATACCATGCCCACATTGCATGGGCCATCAGCCCGCAGCCACCATCAGGCGGAAAGGTCCGTGCATATGATATTTCACCAAAGCTCTCTGGGGCCGTTACCGATACCTCTGTAGTAGCGAGACGCTCGAGCTTTTCACTTCCATCATACCATGTCCATTTCTGGAAATCAGGATGCGCAATATTCTCCAGAGGCTCCATACGGATTGCTCTCCCGCCGACAAGGTCTTTTTCCACATATCGCCATTGACCAACTTTGCCTTCTATGAATTTGAGAACGACCATTCTGTGACCGCTGGGGCATCTTCTCCAGCCTGATGAGCCGTTTTCCTCGCTTATATCGCCCTTTAACTCCAAGTTACTGTAGCAGGAGGAACAGATATCGAAGTCTCCAGGAGTAGCATCTTGAGCAGTCGTATTTGTGCAGCTGAAGCAATGATATCTCGATTGCGATGGTGGAATGGCATCTTTGCAAATTTCGCACTTGCAATTGAATTCAATAGGTCTAAACGACCCAATTCCGGATATTTGTGACCCTGCAATTACAGTTGCTGTGGAGGGTCGGCTTACCGACTTGGGACTGCGAGGTCGATACGTAGGTTTGAGTGTTCCTTCATGGGCCATCGGTAGAAGTTTATGGTTACAAGATTTGCCCTGATTCACACAGTTATTGCAGAATCCCCAGTCGCCCTCGTTACAAACGTCGCAGCGCCAAAAACACTCGTTGGCCCAAGCAAAACATCGTGAGCAAAATGTGCCCGTCTCCAGTCTCAGCTTCGGATCGTCGGTTGTTAATGTTTTCTTACTATCCGAGTTCATAGTTGTCGATGTAGGGCGCAGATAGCGACCAGCATTCAATATGTGAGGCATGGGGATCGATTCATCAGCTTGTTTGCGTTTCTCCCACTTCTTCCAAGCGCCATGGCCAAATCCAAACCAATGTAGGCAGCCCTTGCCTGACCGGTAGCAGTCGACGCATATGTTCCAGTAGCCATCATCGCACACTTTGCAGTTGTAATGCACGCTATACTGGATATCAGGCTTTTTGCATCGCGAGCAGCTAATTGAAGGCTCTTCAAACAGTTGTCGAGTGCGTTGATGTCTCGAGGTTGCCGTTGGGCTTTGAATGGGGCTGGATACCAAAGAAGTGGGAGGACTGACCACATCAGCCGGGCGGTTTGATTTAGAATTTCGCGCAGCTGCCAGCTCTATTAAATCGGGAGTGATTGGATTTGTGTGCGAAGTGGTTGATGGAAGGGTTTGTGCTCGGCTCGCAAAGGAGGCATTGTTCTCACTGCCGTTTGCTGGCGCATCGGCAGTTTGAGCAGCAGCAGGTACTCCGGTTGAACTAGAACTTCGGCCAATTCTCAGAGCTGGTACTGATGCCGTGGGATCATAATTGCTCGGATTTCTTAGGGTTAAGTCGTTCTGAGAATGAGCAGCAGGTCTTGAATCCATGGAAGACAGAGCCATCGCTCCCAAAGTGTTCACCTGGCCACCACTGTTGGTTCGCCTTCTGGTCCTCCTCTCAGGCTCTCGAACGCCAAGACTTGCTGAAGATGATATCGGAGGTCTACTCCTGTCTCCCACTTCACTGATTGATCGTGAGTGCGAGCGGTGCTGGCTTGGATGCCTAGCGCTGTCAGGCCGCAGTCTGGAATCCATCGATGCAGATGCAGAATGTCGTGTGCGTGAGTCGGTCCTCCTCTCTTCTTGTCTAGAGCGACCCCTTTGGCGCCTCCTATACGCCTCGGTGATGCGTTGACTGAGTTCATCATCCCGGCTCAAATCAATGTTATCGAGATCAAGGCCGTCCAACAGGCCCTCTTCTTGGATCTGCCGTGCAAACTCCTCGATTTCCCTCTGGATATCTCGCTCGCTCATCTCAGACCCGATTAACGACCTCAGTGACGACTGGTGCTCAACTTGGCGTTGTCGCGATTCGCTACGTCTTCTTCGAGCCTGTGAGTCCCCGTCCGCAGATAAGTAGTCAGAGTTGCTCCGGCCGTTTTCTCCCCTGTCATTTGCCGTCCGCGGCGAACGGCCATCCGCTCTATAATCCGAGCTCGATCGAGATCGCCCATCTGCCTGTCTCCTCGCTGTTCTTGTCTGTGGTGCATCTGGCATGGCAGCGGCAATGGCTTCTTGCAGACTTAGCTCTCTCACCTCATCTATCAGCCTCTGGTCCTCTTCCTCGGCCCGCTTCTCTTCGGCTGTCCGTTCACGAGTCTTGACCTTGGGCATGACTTGGTCACCAGGTTTGTACTTTTCTTCCATCTCTTTCTTGTCGGCGTCCGACCGTGCTTTGGCAGGGTTAGCCGCCGTGTACATCTCAAGGAGAGTCGCAACGGTGGCATTATGCCGAGTGTCCCTCACTGAGCTCCGACATGATGGACAGGTAAAGATGATTGCGTCTGGCGGTGGCGGGGTAGGAGCCCGCCCAACCTTTTCAGCCTGGAAGCGAAACCATTCTTTCAAACACGACCCGCAGTATGTATGAAGACAGTCGAGCAGAGTGAGCGGTTGGTAGAGAAGATCAGCGCATATCTATTAGATGACGTGTCAGTTGGGCGGCCATGTATGCTGGGCACCCACGCGGGGTATCGTCTTCATACCGAGCATGTCAGCTCCTTGCCCAGGTCGAAGCTAGGTTTTCGAGACTCCATTCATATTTTGTTTCGTTTTGCGGATGGGGAGAAGCGTAGGCGATGTGAACGGCGCATGTGGACAGAGATGTGCTGTTTGAGCGGAATTAAAATCCTCTTGATCACAGCCCCGACTTCATGGTTGGAGGAGGCAGATTCGCAGCGGTGGCCGCCAACCATTTAAAGAGCACCGCCTGTGGGTACGTACCTTAGTAGCTGCACGAGGCGTGAGCGGGGCTTATATCGTAATGGGATCAGGTGCATGTCATGTAGACACAATCAGACGGATAAGCCGTGATTACAGGCTGCATATACACGCCATAACAAGCTATTATGAAACATATGGCTACAAATCCTCTAGCTATGGTTTCCAGAGCCTTGTTTCGAACCACAGTCAGACGCCCAACCGCGGATTCTGAATTAAAGTTAAAGCTAGGTGTGGATTAGCCGAAGGCACTCTATCTGGAGAGCTGATTTCCATTTTAGGCAGTCATCTTCACTGCTATATTCTCACTTCGTCGTGATATCGGGAGCATCCAGTGTTATTATTCGATGCAGTTAGTCGTATATCCCCGGCTTATTTTCAGCCCTATATGCGGTCCGTTTCAACTTGAACCAAAATTACCCAAATGGGCCACTATGAATGAATAGGCTATCCCATGTAGAATCCTTCCACTAGATGGATGTTTCGGAGATAAGACATAAACTCGGGTCAGTGACGCAACTCAAGCCTCCAACTTTGAACAAACACAAAACCCCTTCATCCAGAACAGAAAACATTTCGCAGCATGAAATTGATCATTGTTGGATCCAGCGGCTTCGTTGGTAAAGCACTTGTCCGCCAGGCAATCAGCTCCCCTGCCATAACGTCTGTTGTGGGACTTGGCCGCCGCGAGACCCCCGTCCCAGAGGATCTTAGTAACCCTGCTGATGCGGCAAAGCTCACATCCGTTGTGTGCGATGATTTTTTGAATTACTCAGACGAAGCCAAGCAGAAGCTATCCAATGCTGATGCCTGCATTTGGTGAGTCTTGTCTTGGGATGAAGTCAATGACTTGAGTCTCTGACGTTTCTTCAATACAGGCTTATGGCTGTAACTCCGAATAAGTCTGGGGCTATGCCTTGGGATGAAGTCCGAAAGATCTGCTTGGAGTATACCATTGCTGGCCTCGAAACTCTTTCCAAGCTCCCGCGAGGCAATGAAGCAAAGCCTCTGCGATTTTTGTATGTGAGCGGTGCTAACACTGAGCGTGACCAAACTAAGAAACCATGGGTGATGGGCGATTATTGCCTGATGAGAGTGAGTATCGAGCATTCTCTTCCCAACCTCTAGCAAGAGGGAGAGCAAAAAATTTTTGCTAAATAGTTCACCACAGGGAGGAGTAGAGACCCGCGTTCTCGACTTTGCCAAAAATTCCAATGGCACTATTGAGACCTGCATACTCAAACCAGGCCTCATTCGAGACTCTCAGCAAGGAAACATGTTCATCAATGCTTTTCAAAACATCGCTACCACTTTTATAAGCCTTCCAATCATTTACTTGGATGAAGTTGTGGCGGCCTTACTTAACCAGGCGACAAAAGGATTCGAGAAGGAAACGCTGGAGAATGCCGACATTGCAAGGATTGGAAAGGAGGAGCTGGTAGAGCGGGAGGAAGCGCTTGAATAAGCATAGGATCTTATGAGGCTTTTTGAGTCATAGGCTACACACCCAACTCTATACAGAATGATAATTAATGCTACATTTTCTTCAAGCATGTCCAGGCGATGTCGGATGAAGGTATCTGTAGCTGTAGTAATAGGAGCCATCTCGGTGCAATTTGAGTAAAAGATCCGAAATGCTTTGAGCAGAGATTTGAGAAATACTTACGGGGCCCCGTAGGTTTTACGATATATATCTCAAATTGTCCTTGATGTAATTGATAGCTCTATTAGTTTACTTTAAATTGTTTCTGGTTGGCATATATATATCCTTTTTATTATACACCCCCCCTTTTCATCACTCGTGATGATACCATTGCTATCCTTCACATCAAACTTACGCCCGCTCACGAGTGAGTCCACTCAGCCTTCTTCTTCTCCGCAAAAGCCTTCATGCCAATCTTCTGATCCTGGCTGCCAAACAAGCTGTGGAAAACGCGCCTCTCAAACTCAACTCCGTCCCGCAGAGCAAGGTCCTGGCTCTTGTTGACGACCTCCTTGCAAGCCTGGACAGCCACCTTTGAGTACCCGGCAATGGTCTCGGCCAGCTTCAGGGTCTCTTCCATCAAAGCCTCGTACGTGGGGAAAGTTCTAGCCGCAAGGCCCCATTTCTCAGCCTCCACGCCGCTGAACGACTTGCCCGTGAGGATGAGCTCCATGGCCTTGGACTTGCCAATGGCGCGGGTGAGTCGCTGGCTGCCGCCGGCGCCGGGGATGGTTCCCAGCTTGACCTCGGGCTGGCCAAAGTTGGCGCCCTCTGTGCAGTAGATGAGATCGCACATCATGGCAAGCTCGCAGCCACCGCCAAGCGCATGCCCAGAAACAGCGGCAATGATGGGCTTCTTAACCTGGGTGGTCAGGAGCGACCACGACTCAATGAAGGCCTTGGTGTAAGCGTCTGAGAAAGTGAGGGGAGCCATCTCCTTGATATCAGCTCCGGCAGCGAAAGCCCTCTGCGAGCCGGTCAGAATGATGACGGAGGTTTCATCAGAGGCATTGAAATCAACAAGAGCGTCATTGAGCTCGTGGATAAGAGGCGTGCACAGCGCATTGAGTGCCTTTGGTCGGTTCAAAGTCACTTGAGAATAAAGTCAATAAACCAGCCTTTTCGACTTATATGTATACAAGTCCGGTTATATTCACCTTGTCCAACGCCCGGCGCCGGCGAAGAAGTCTGGATATACTCGTACGTCTTGGAGCTATAAGCCCGTGCAATTCGAGGCAGAGTGGACCGCTGGAAGGGCACCTTGGCGACCGCCGGTCTCATAAAACGAAAGGTATTCATGGCGCTGGTAGCTTTCAATGAGACTCAATGGCTAGAATGGGAGAGGGGGAAGGGGCACAAAAAATACGGCTTCAGCGTAAAAGCAAAAGTGATGAGAGGCAGATGCCGGCTCTAAATGGGTAAAATACTGGAAAGCATCGGCTCAGAGCCGAGGATAAACAGCTCCCAGCTGCTACTTCGGCCTCCGTCCAGCAGTGACGAAATGGAGAGGGGCGCCGGTGCTTACATGTACAGAGTGCGGAAATACGATTCCCCGCCGCCGTGGCTGTCCTGTTCTAATTCGTGGCTGCGTCTACATTCAGATCAACGGTGCATTGGAACGCCGCTGTGGAAAGGTTAGCTATTTAAAGGAACAGACTCGTATAATAACTTCGAAACAAGCTGGTTGCTTTGGTGAAGCTAAAGCCTCCTTTTTGACCTCCATTGTGAAGATCAGTTCATAGCTGTATTTTTTTCTAACTGTCCATCTTTTTTTTTTCCAGCCGCCTACTGAATCTCGTCTCACTGTGTTTATATTTTCACTGCGAATAAAGTTTCATACTATTGCCAGAGCGGTCCGCAGCACAAGTTCAAGCTTCTGCAGATATGCGATTTTCTGCAATGCAAGGCCGCACAGGCTTTCTCTAGACAAAGGCAAACGCAACGTTTGCCTACTCCGGTGAATTAAAAAAAAAAAAAAAAAAAAAGTAACAACATTTGTATTCTTTTCATGTTTATTAGAGCTTGACATACACTATGGCCTAAGTCTATGGCGGCATTCCGGAAGCCCCCTATCTCATTGTATAGACTATAAGATTATGGCGTCTGACGGTAACTTTTCTCATGATTTCCCTGGTTTTTTCTTCTCTTAGTACTGGAATATAGTATAAAAACCCTTCGAGACTCTTTGGCTTTACTCAATGGCTCATAAAGAGTTTGGATCCTTGAATGGCTTTGCTAAAAATCCCACTTCGTGCAAAGGCAAAAGAGCCTCTATTCCACTCAGTCAGGCGTATAATAACACCATTACCCTGCCACGTTTCTTTTGTTCGTTTATTTATTTCTCCCTCTTTCTTTTTACATAGATTCTCGTGGCATTTTCGGTTTCATCTCTCGCGCAGACGTTTACGATCCAAACCGCAAGATAATTCCAACAACGCCAGAATACTTCCCATTTCCAACTACAAGATGTCTACCACTCTTCCGATCGAGATACTCCTCCAAATAGCCCAATACCTTGATTGCAATGGGCAGTACACACTTCTACGAGCCTGTCCATTTTTAGCAGGTGATTTTGTGTACGGCCGACATCTCTTGGCCGACGCGGACAGCAACGGCAACAACCTGGTGCATATACTTGCACAGAATGGAGAGGAGGCACTGCTAAAGTCTCTGTTCCCGGATGACGACCTGGAGAGAAGTTTCTGCGTTCGAAATGTCATCCCTCGTCTAAAGCAGATGCTTCTCACACGATCCATAAACGACGAGGGGGCCACGCCCATTCATCTGGCGGCAGAAAAGGGGCATCTCGCCATTGTCGAGTGGATCGCAAAGCGCCCGGCAGTAGACCTCAGCTTCGAAGATAGAGCAGGGGCAACATGCGTGGAGCGAGCGGCGAGGGCAGGGCAAACGGAAGTCGTCAGCCTACTTCTCGACAACCCTAATTTGACGACGGATTGGAACGCCAGCCAGCGGTCAAACCCCCTTTGCCTGGCTGCCGAATATGGCCACATCGAGACCGTAAGGGCAATTCTCACGCGCCACGGGAATAGAGTCAATGTCAACTCCCGTGCAGCCTACGGCATCACAGCTCTGAGCCTCGCCGTCCTGCGAGATCATGAAGCAATCACAGAGATGTTGCTTCAGCAAAAGGACATTGACATCAACGCGGAGGATTATCTGGGCAACAATACGTTGCACATGGCGGTCCGAAGCAAGAACCATGCCGCCCTGGAGCTCCTCCTGGAACACCCGAATGCCGATCCTAACGTTCGGGACTGGTACGGTCACACCCCTCTACAGGAGGCCGTCTCCATGGGCGACGAGGCCACAGTCAGGCTCTTTCTCAAGCACCCAGGAACGGATGTCAATCTCGGGAACAGCAAGCAGGTCACTCCCCTCATCAAGGCGGTACAGGAATGCCGCGAGCGGATTGCCCAGCTCTTGCTCAAGCGATCCGACATTGAAGCCGACAAGAAGGACTACTGCGGCATGACCGCCTTCGCTTGGGCAGCATTCCTGGGCCGCGTTGAGATTGCCGAGATGCTGCTCCAGCGGCCAGACGTCGACCCCAATTCGAGAGACGAAGACGGCGTGACGCCACTCAGCCACTCCATGCACGCCGGTTGGGAGGACGTGGCCGAGTTCCTCATCAACAGGGACGACGTCGAGATCAACGCCGAGGACGATTTTGGCTGGACGGCTCTAGCTCACGCCAAAGGCGCTCCCGACGGCATCTCGATTCTCTTGATGAAGATGCTTCTCCAGCGCGGGGCCACCATGGAGCTCTACCCAGAGATGATGGTCATGTCCAAGTCAATGGCCCATTCCGACATTGCCATCGACATGGTGGCGTCGATGATTGATGACCACGATCTCGAGGCATACATGATCAAGCGTTTCGGGCAAGAGAAGACAAACGAGGCCTTGGTGGACGGTGAGAATGGGGTGAGGACACTGCTCTTCCGGAATACCAGGGCGATGAGGATGAGACGGGATGCAGTGGAGGGGATTCGATATCAGGAGCCTTATTGAGGCGTAGGAAGTTTGGACTTTGTTTTGGATTGATATTTGAGGCTCAGAATTTGGCGCATGTTATTATGGCGTTTCACGAATATTTGGTTGATATACCACATGTAGATGTAGTTTTAATCAATATGAAGAGAAGTTGTATGTTCTACTTCGTATTAGTACGTCTAAGTGATGGTGGGGCCCAAAGCTCCCAAAAGCTAGTGCAAAAAACCACTAAAGCGCCAACGCTTACAGCAGCCTACAGACAGCAAATTGAAACCACCGATAACGATAAAGCAAAAAAGTTTCCAATTGAGCCTGGCCTGCGAACCACCTCCATCCCGTCGCAGCAACACAGTCCAGGAAAATATACCAGCCCCATCAAAGCCACAATGGCTGTCCTCGGCAAGCGCAAGGCTCCCGAGCCGACAATATCATCAGAAGACGCACAGGAAATCTTTCGGCGACACTTTGAGGCCCAGTTCCTCCCGCTGGAAGAGCAGGAAAAGAGCAAGGCGCAAAAGGTGCGGAGGAACGAAGATGAGGACGAGGAAGAAGATGAGGACGATAGCGATGGCAGCGGAGAAGATGAATGGGACGGCGTGTCGGGCGATGAAATATCAGACGAAGACGACGACGAGTTGGACGATGATGACGAGGAGGAAGAGGACGAAGATGGTAGGTCTTGGAACGACAGAATCCATCTTTTATCTCGATGGATATTATATACTGACTCCGATCCTCAAGACGCTCCCATCATCGAAGTGGTAGACCACTCCGCCCCGCAAAGCTCCAAAGCAAACACAATGTCCAAACGCGAACTCAAAGCCTTCATGGTCAGTTCCCCCCTCTATCCTCCAATCTAAAACCAAGTAAAACCACCCTCCCAAAATGCTAACCCATAAAATCCTACAGTCCTCCCGCCCACCAGATCAAACCTCCTCCTCCTCCTCCAACAAACCCGCACCCACACCATCCTCCTCAAAATCATCTTCCTCCCTCCCCGAAGACGCCCCCTCCCTCCTCGCCCAGGACCTCGAGCTCCGCCGCCTCATCTCCGAATCCCACCTCCTCCAGACCAACCGCCCGCTCTCCCTCTCCGCCGCCCTGTCGACGACTTCTTCCGGCCCCGCCGAACCAAAGGCCTTTGCCTCGGGCCGCGTCCGCCAAAAGGCCCTCGACCTCCGTATCCAGGCGCTCGGCTCGAAGATGTCCATCCACAAGCAGGAGAAGATGCCCATGCACATGCGCAAGGGCATCACTGCCGCTGCTGTGGAGAGGGAGGCTAAGCGCAGGCGTGAGGCTAAGGAGAGCGGCGTCATCTTGGAAAGGGAAACGGGAAAGAAGAAGAAGAGAGATAGGAGGGGTGGTGGTGGTGGTGATGGTGGAGGATTTGGGCCAGCGGTTGGAAGGCTCAAGGGCGCAGAGCTTCGGATAAGCGAGAGAGACGTCAAGAAGATTGAGGGGACGAGAGATACGTTTGGCAGAAGAGGCGGGAAGGATTCCGGAAGAAAGGGAGGGAAGAGGTAGATGATGTTATTCGGAGACTAACGCAAGATACCATGTCACTTTACACGGTGATGAGATGCAACATTGGATGGATAAAAGTACGATTGTTAGCACGACAAGTCATATATTGGAGCCTTAATCTTTTTCGCAAATAGATAATAGCAATTTTTGTTTTCGTGTCTATCAATTCCCGCGCACCTCAAAAGCACTACTAACAAGAGAGCCTCCTGCAAGAAGACTCTCCCATAAGCTGACATTGAATAATAAATAGTATATGTATATATATACAGACAGCGTCATTTTCACTCTCCGTCACACGCAGAACCTCCCTTTCACTTCTCTTTCTATCGCCCAAAGCCCGAAAGGAAACAGAAGATTATTAATAATCCTGCTGAAGATCCGAGCCTGAGCCCATTGTATTTAAAGAGCAAACTTGTGGTTGCAGCCGTAAAAAAAAGGATATTCCGAGCATAAGACGCATAAAAAAAAAGGTAAGAGTGAATGAGAGAGATGGAAGAAAGTGATATCAAGAAGGAAAGAAAAACAAACATGAAATCCCCTAAACCGAGATCCATAGAACATGAAATATATCGTGACGCAAATAAATGAGAAAAATAGAAAATAAAATAAAAGTCATATGGGAATAGAACAGATAAAACACTCTACATGGCACCACCAGCGTTGATGGGAGTGGGATGGCTAATGGTCATTGGCATGCTAAGAGTCTGGAGACTGTTGAAGCTATGACTGGATGTCATGGTGGTTTGAGGCGAGATCGTGCCGCTGGAAACGGCGGCGTTGATAGAACCGGGAACAAAGGCCGATTCCGATGTAGGCGATGCTTCCTCGACAGATCCAAGTTGCTCTTCGCCAGAGAACTCTTCCTCTTCCTCGGCAGAAAGATGCAATGAACCCTCGCCACCGTCCTCACGGCTGTGGGTGCGCTTGTGTCTACGAAAGTTTTAAGTCAGCATATGGTATTTTGCATATGGGACAAGGTTTAGGGGGGAAACATACTGTGCGAGGTTATCTGATCGAGAGAAAGCTTTGCTGCAGTGAGGGCAGATGTATGGCTTCTCTTGTGTGTGTGTTCGGACGTGGCTATAAAATAATTCGTTAGCTAAATTCTGGGTGAGACTATGCTGTTGAGGCGAGAGCGAGAGCTTACCGCTTGAGGTGCTCGAGACGCTTGAACAGTCGGCCACAAGTGGGGATCGGGCAAGAGTGAGACTTGTGAGGATAAGGGCCGAGCTCCATCACCGTAGCGGATCGGGCACGTCGAACGATACCACCAGCCATCATAGGACGGCCATCAGCGGACATATCGTCACTGATATGAGAAAAATCGTGCTGCAGAGCCATGGGGTGAACCGCGGGGCTGCCATGTCTTGACATGTCCATGAGATCCTTGTGCTGAGAGTTGGCATACGACAGGTTGGAAGGCGAGTTGCCGGTGGATTCTTCACCCTCAGCGACGGGTCCCATGGAGACGGAGACAGACCGACGCAGATCCGATGGCCTGTGAGGAGCCGAAGGGGTCGATGTGGGTGCGATGCCAGACATGGAGGTGGGGATTGAGGTGCGGCGTCTTCGCTGCTTGTAGGTAGGAGATCCCTCAATCACGGAGTAAATGTTGTTTGCGCCGTAGGAGCGAGGGAACTGCGGACCAGCAAGGTGAGATGGCATCTGAACCATTCCACCAAGACCCGACATGCCGGACATGTGGTCAGGGATGACGGAGTAGAGGCCAGTCTCCTCGTTGGCGATGTAGGCGGGCTCGGCAGTCATGCCAAGAGCCTGCTGGGGAGGAGTAATGGGCTCAAACGACAAACCTCGGTTGCTGTAATCCTCATAGCCCGAGGACACAAAGGAGGGAGCAGGCGAGTACTCCAGGCCGTAGGCGGGCATGGAAGAGTGTCGGTGGTGGCTGTGAGTAATGGGAATGCCATTCTGGTTGTAGTGGACGCGAGTGAAATCAGCCTCCCTCTTGACAGCCGCAAGCTGCTGGGGAACGGCCGGAGCCATGCCCATGGTGTCGTAGGGGACCATTGTCTCCATGCTTTCAGCCAAAGGGGCCATGGTGTGAGGAATGATGCTCGGGGGAGGCATGGAGTCCATGGCCCTCATGACGGGAGAGGTCGACTGGCTCTGGTTGAATGAGGACTGCTGGGCGTTGAAGGAAGACGAGTTGGCCTGCTGGCTTTTGGTGAGCTGCTCGTAGAGCGACTGTGAAGAGTCGTACTGGAAGGACAGGGCAGGCTCGCTGACAGCGACAGTGGTGGCCTCCTGGCCCATCTTCTCTCGCTTCAAGTCTCGCTCCAGCGCATCCAAGAAGAGACGGTCGTGGGGCACGCTGTACCAGTAGAAGACCTTTTGCTTCTTCTGGGTACGAATGCAGTTGTTTTTGTAGAGAAAGTCGAGGAAAGCGCTCTTTGGTTCCTCCAGGGAGGCATCTGTTCCTGACTTGAGATTTCGGAGATCGGAGAAGATTCCCTCCTCGAACTTTTTGGAGTTCTTGACGGGGCGGCCAAAGGCCTGGAATCTGAATGAGAGGCATCGCACAATATCCGTGCCAGAGATGTGGAAGAGATTGTTCCACAGCACACAAGAGACATACTCGCCCGTGGGCAGGAGAAACCGTCGGATATACTGATCAGGCTGCCAGTCGACTGGAGCGGAGATGAGGAAGTACTTTAGGTTGTCTACCTGCTGGAGGGCGACCTGTGCGTCGTGAGGGAGAGCCTGCTGGGCTTCGGTGCTCAGCATGAACGTCTCAGGCTTTTGAGGCGCAATGGCCGGGTGTTGTGAATACATGATTTGCGAGTTGTGGCGATGCGCTGTGATCCAGGCGATGGGTCAGCAGTTGGAGGGCGTGAGAGGCAGCCGGTTGGGAACCTAGATCAGCTTGGCCAATGCAATTGGCGATGGCGGATATCGAGTCCCTGCGGCTTTCTAGGTTGCGCGCCGTAATTGGCGATTTTGCGCGCAGAGTGTGGATACACACAGAGAGTTAAGGAAATATCAAATGAAAGGCGCTGCCCGAGTGTCGCGAAACGTGGCGGTTCGACGCGATGTTGATGTGTGTGAGAGACCAGCTCGAAACGACTGAAAGAGGTTGCACAGCAAAAAGGAAGGACCAAACAGCAGCGTCAAGCGAATGTATGGGCGCGTCCAAAAAGCGAACCGTCAAGGCGATGATGATGATGCTGTTGATGCTGATGATGCTTCCGTGGCAGGGAGGACTGCAGAGACAGTCGCAGCCGAATTAAATGCGTATAGAAACGAAGGAACCAGCAGAGTCGGCAAAACCCCGCGACAGAGTCGTGTCTTGTCTTGGAGCGTTCGTTTTTGGACGAGATATGAGACGAGTGACGGCGGCGACTTGGCGCGCGATGAGGGACAGCCTAGCCCAACGCGAAGAAGAAATGAATAGAATAAGAAGAAAAGAGAGGGCACCAGAGGATTCTGTGCGGCTCCGAATAAAACGGGAAAATGCAGAGGAAGGGGTGGAGGCGGAGGAGAAGAAGCGAAAGGGCAGAAAAACGTTGAAATAAGAAACACAGGGAAAAGATTTCAGAGGAAGGCCGCGAGGATGGAGAACGGGGGGGATGGCACGTTTAATGGGGTGGAGTGGCTGCTGAGAGAGCCTGTAGAAGCGCCAGGCCACGGGCTATTTTTTGGCGCTGTAGGCCTTACAGGACGGGTGCGCACGAGTAGTGGCGGTGGTGGCAGTAGTGGTGGTAGTGGTGAGTGGTGCTGGGCTGGGCTGGGCTGGGGCTGGGAGTTGCTGTTATTACGAGCTACTCAGGCACGGGGTAGCCTTCTTGTATTGCACGGCGCAGGCGCTACGGCGGCAGTACCTTGACGATACTTGGCGGTGGAGTGGTCCTCCCTTTAGCGGAAGGGGAGCGAGGAGGGGGAGCCACTAATAATACACGCGGAAGGAAATAATATAAAAACAGAAAAAAAAGAGAAAAAAAGAAAAAGAGGGTGCGCAGGGGTCGGTGCGCACAAAGAGCTCAGCACCAGCCAGCGGCGTGGGCAGGCAGCTGCTAAGCCTGTTCGGGGCATGGCGGGCGGCACGGGCGAGCGCGATTGAGAGAGGGTGTGGGCCATGGGAAACGAGCAACTGCTGGCGATAGCGCATGAGCCACTGGGGCCAGGCCCTGGACTGGACTGGACTGGACTGGACGGTGGTACCTGGGTGCTCCTAATCTGAATGGAGTGGGTTCGTACAGCAGAGAGGAGGAGGAAGATTGCTGAAGAGAAGTGAGAGGGAGAGAGAGAGAGAGAGAGCATACAGTATTGACAGTGCATTGGGGCGAGGCGAGAGTGGGATACAGCGCTAGGCGTTGCTGGACGAACCAGCGCTCTTGACGTGGGAAATGCCCACTGGCCACAGCGCATTGGCGCCGTCATGGCGCTCGCAACGGCGCTTCTCAGCCAACCAGCGGCCCGTACAATGCAATTGTTTGGTGCCTGGGCGCTTTGCTGCAAGAGCCCAACCACGGCCAAAGTACGTGCATTGCAGCACGCATCTATTCCCGGTGGCAGACGCACATGCTCGCTGGTTCCTCCAGCTCTGCCGCGAGATTCGATTCGTGCACCGCCGGCCGAAATGCGTCTGGTGGAATTGCAGCCCAGGGGGCCCAGAGAGCGAAAACCGGGCCCTTCATCTGGTCTCCCCCACTCCCAATGCCCGCTTCCCTGCTCGAGAGAGCTTTGCACGACCGTGTCAGAGAGCGGGTGTGCAGGTAGCGAGACAAAAATAGGACGGGCGTGTGTCGGCAAAGGGGCGGGCAATCTGCTGGCGACAAGAGTCCGTGGCCTTGTTGCTTGTAATCCAATTCCAATCCTTCAGTGTTACTTTCACTCTAAGGACTCGGTCCCCTTTTCTCTCAGGCTTGCTGCTCCCCTGCCCCCAAGACCAGATCATAATACTTGACAGCAATTACGCATATTGGCCACCTGATTGATGACTTGGCCAGGACACAGCCTTCCGAGGAATGGTGCGTGAAGGACGACGGCTCGATGCCATTCATGCCGCTGAGCCAGCTCCGTCAACCATTGCCAGAACTGTAACCAAAGTTTATGGGAGGCAAAGAACGCCGCGTTAACTTTCGTTTGATTGAGTGGTTCTCTTAATACGAGTACGTTGCTCCAAGTATCGACGGGCACTAGTCGTCGATACCCCTGACCGGATGTTTGACCGCATGAAGTTGCAATCTGGAGCTCATTAGGTCCCTTATTCATTACATGAAAGCCTCGGAGCAGATGAACAGACTAGGAATGGAGAACCCATCGCCAGGCAGCGCCTGCTCCGGTGCCTCATTGCCGGCCCCGCAGGCGTCCATACACGCTCCATTGAGGAATTCCTCGAGAGCGACGCTCGCAGGTACTGCACCTGTATGGTATGCAGCCAAGTACGGTATTGGGCGGCGGCTCATGAGACGGCCACTTCTGGCAGCCCATGTGAGCAAGGATATCTGATTGGGCCCGTTGGTGCTCGCCTTTGACGCAGGAACAGGCCAGACGGGTGTCTCCGTGCTTCCCATTACCGGTGTCTCGCCTGTCCGTGGCTCGTCACTGCCGGCATGGCGTGCGAACGAACCAGGAACCCCAACGAAAGACTCCGATAAACATTGTTTTCGATTCATCAATCCAAGACGCCAAAGATAGCCCATGAGATCTCTCTGTTGGTTTGCTATATCTACTAGAAAAAAACGAGCGAGATTCATTGGTAGAGTTCGAGATCCCCAGCCGTCATCACAGGAGAACGAACACTCACGCCAGATACTACTCGCAGGTGGGCGCTGGCTCTTTGCACTTGCATAGTATGAGTAGTAGACTCTCTACACAGTAATTTTGAAACAAGGTGGCATCCTAAACGGGATATCGAACAGGCACACTCTTCCTTGCCTACTGCTATGATGGCGAGGCGATGCGTGATCGTGGCCAAGACCACCCAATACTAGTGCCATTATCTTGATGGTGGCAGCAGAGGCTTCAACCTCAGCTAGAATATCCCAGTCGTCTTTTTAGTAGCATCTAGCAGTGTCAGAACAGCTCTCCTGCATAGAATCATCGGAGACATCCTGAACAAAGATGGCTAGACAGTGCCCGAACTGCCACCTGTAACGCCCGATTGCCATGCTCCCTGCTGTGATGGGATCTGAGCTTCCCCACAGTGTGCTGCAGCCAGGACTCGCGATGTCAGTGCTTCGTGCCCTTTTACTCTGCTCTATCATGACGATCCGATAGGTATTCCTTGGCAAGCGTACCAGTAGGATTGCCGCGAGGACTCTTCCTCTCCCATCGATTTGTCATGGCCATGCCCCTTGTCACATTCGAAACATGAGAAGATCGTGGCCGCTGCATCGCCAGTGGGACAAGAGGTGGCAGAGGAAGCAACTGTGGGTTGGGGTTAATCCAAAGAGGAACTCTGTAAACGAAGTTTGGAAGAAGTCGCAGCACTACGAGTCCCAAAGTCCGGGAATACTTGTAGCTGCCTCTGCAGGCTCATGAAGCCACACCTGAGCGCTGCACCGTCCGCAGCACCATGTCCTCGTACACCTTCTGCAACGCCCAAACCCGCTTCAATGGCTCTCTGCACTTCTTCCAGCTTCCTCGTCGGTGTCCAAACGGCACTGACATCCTCGCCATACCGGGACAACGCTCATCTCATCTCTCTTGCTCGCTTCGTCCTGAGGGCTGCCGAAGGGGGCATCTCGTATGCTTGGCGAGCGTCGCCTGCCAAACCTTTTTCCGCCGCCGACGGCCCTTCGCCCACCACCTGGCCGGACGAGCCTTTCCCTGCAACCGCGCCGCCGCAAGCCAATCGATGCCAGGTCTTGGAAACAGGGATTGCTTGGACCACCACGCGGCCCGGGCTGCTGCACGAGAGACCTCTCAAGATGAAACGCGCCTGGAGCAACGCTTCAGAGTGGCCCCTGTGGAGAGACGGCGTTGCTAGAGACACGCGCCGCCGTGATTGGCTGCGTCAGATTCTGTACGCCCCCCAACCCTTGTCTCACTTCGCAGATTCCGGCCGAATCATGGCTGTGTCCATCCATCTTCCCCTCTCCTCATACCATCATGCGTGATGCACGAGCAGGGGAACGAGTCGGTTGCTACATACTACATAGTATGTACTCAACTTGCACAGCATGGGATGCGACTTCGCTAAGCTTGATGCCATGAGGTAGAGTTGACGATGAATGCAGGTGACCGCATCTGGGCGGGTCGTGGCTCTGTGACCAGGCGCTTTGATAGCGAGCAGCGGTCCGGTCTATTCTCAACCGCACCGTGTCCGACGACGACGCTTCCCGCGATGTAGAACCTGACCGTGGCCCAGAGGCTTTGAGGTAACCGCAAGATACAGCCCGTGGCTTGCGACTATGCCGACTTGCCTATGTTAAACTACAGTGCAGTTCGACTGCTAGAAACCTTGCTAGACGTAAGACGAGCATAGCATCGCCCGAGCCGAGTCGGGCCAAGCAAAGCTACCCCCTATTAAACGATGCATTCGATGTGCAGACCAGCTGCTGGCGCTAGAACCTCCGCCGTTGCTCCTCAACAGGGCCATATCATGCAAGCAAGTCAACGCGATGATCCAGCGCATCAGATCGTCAAAGATGCAATCATGTATGTACAGATAACGCTACTACGCACGCAGCTTCTCTCAGTCTGATCGGCGAGGCTGGCGCACGGCGCACATCAGAGAGGGCCAAGAGAAGTCTGGCCTGCTCCACAAAATCCCGAGGGCATTGAGCTAGGTATTGCAGTTAAACGCCACACATCATGACAATAGCTGTCGAAAAAAGATTACGAGTATGCTTCTGCTAGCAGTCAAGCGTTGGAATCCTGCGGCCATGGGCCTTGGGGATGTTGACGGCTGGTTGCCCTGGCCAGGGTAGTGGCCATCTGAAACATGACGATAAATGCTTGCGTGCTTGATCGTCCCGCCCGTGTGAGCTGATAGCCCGGTACGCGCCGCGACCCTCTATACAACTCCGGGCTATTATGTGACGACAAAAGCGATTTGTGAGAAGCCGCATGTAAGGGGCCATGCGGGTCTTACTCATGTGGTGATATGCAGGCACCATTGTCATCATGCAGAAGACTCTTCACAAATCAACGCCGTCGCCTTCAGTCACAGGATCCCCGGCGCTTCGACTCGCGCATCTAATGATATATCTCTTTCATAGCGCTGGCTGGGTCATGAAGCAAAGTATATAGCCTACCTTTCCAGTGACGCCATGCCAGCATATCCACCTCTGGCGCTGCGAGCTGGCGGCCTGCAAATTGGCCTCTTGTAAGCCACTGTTGTTGTCCAGGCTTTTTATTGGTAGTATATGCTGTTCTGCGACTCGACCAGCACGCTACGAAATACCGCTTGACGCTCAGATATCTTTGGCCCGAGCCAAAATTAGATCAAGCTTAACACTGCATCGGCCAACCAGAAACGCGAGATTCCTCTCTCTTCAACGTAGCAAGCATGTCGCGAACAAAGCTCGTGTTTGATTGGCTTACAGCGCATCCTCCATGCCTATCATTATACTATTCTTTTTCCGCTCTGCTCGCTCTGCTCTATGCTCCATCTTGCATCACCGCTCCGCTCAGGTAGCTCTCCTCCTCCTCAACAGACGCGGTTTCAAGAGCAGGCATGGATAAAGATAGTAACATGGTGGCATGGATTGGCCCGCCAAGCCAAATGAGTGAAGCTTTACCGCTTGGCCATGCAGCTCTCTGTCCTAAGCTGGGCCAGTTGATATTGCGTGGCGTCGAGAAAAGGCCCTTTTGGCGAACGCCACACGGCTTCAGATACTGAAACGGAGCCAAGCAGCGCGGGGCTGGTGTCGGCTAGTCATTCATTCTTCAGCCCTGGCGTGCTAATACCATTGTTGACTTTGGGCCGTACTTAGCTTGGGCCATTTACTGATGTAAGCGCAGACTAGGACCTCGCTCATTTCCTTTAGCCAGCGGCTGTCTCCAGCAGTCTCGTCAGAATGGCACGAGATCGTACTAATCTACAATCTCCCGATGCATCGAGCTTCTTGGAGCTCAAACCGGAGCTCGCATCGTACTCTAGGTGAGGCTGATGACCTGAAACGGCACCATAGCTTCTAGAAAAAGACGAAACTACTCCAAAATCATCATCTGGCTCTCCTAGCAGCAGCTATATCGATGATAGCGCACCTGCACGAGCTGCTATCAACTATCCACCTACCTGATGTACGGAGTTGCCCGCTCTCGCTATTACCGGGCGATCAACTATTGGGAGGGGGGGGGTCATTTGCTCTCGTCTTGCGCCCTTTGCGTGGCTGACTCGATCACTGTTTAATTCGAATGAGTGTAGCAAAAATGATGGATCAGCTGCGAAGACCGCTGCTAGTATACTATTACTATCAGCTCAAGGTTGAGTGACGATATGCGGAGTAGGCGTTCGAGACTCGGCTCTGTTTTCGAACACGATACGGATACTTGGCCCGCGCGATTACGCGCAGGAGCCGAAACCTCTGTATACTTGAGACAACGAGGCTCCGTTTCACCCTCTTCTAGAAGAGCGAAGCATCGACTAATGAGGCCTAGAGTCACCTTTTCAGCTCCAAACTATCCAAAGCAGTACCAATTTTGGAAATTCTACAGCAAGTCACGGGCGTGTCAATGTTTCGAAACAAACATTACGACTGAGACCATTGTATCTGGTCATGCGGCTAAATAGAGATGCTCAGCTACCAAGCTAAATGAACTGCGGAAGAGTAAGAATCAGAAGGCTGGGAAATGCGCTCCGGAGGCCAGCCTAAGCATGCAGGCTGGGTCGAGTCTTGACTCGTAAGAGGCGTCTGAAGCTGATGTGCTTTTTCCCTTCTCTCGATGCCTGGTCAATGGATAACCCATGACATCTACCTACTTGAAAGCTGAGGGGACAAAGTCTATCCATATTCCTGAGGACAAGCGATTCGCATCGGCCCCAGATTTCCAGTCATCGGGAATTGGAATTCGTCAGATTAGTTGGTAAAATTTGATTCGGCCATGGAGATATGCAATGTCCAAAACTCGTACGAATATCGACCGCAGCCGCGGACTTTGGCCCAAAAGCTTTGGCAGCCAGTATCCGAATGGCCCCTGCTATTCACTCTTCTTTTCCCCTTTACTTCGGAAGCCGCCTCAACGACCTGACGACTTCGTATCGCCACTAGATTTACGTAGCAGTCGAGATTTCTAGGCATCCTTCTTCGTACGATATGCAGCTGCGAGATAATACTACATCACATCCCATGTCCATCTCCGCTTGCAACCCCTGGCTGAGCAGTCTCGCGTCTCTTTTTCTCTTTCCGCTTGTCCAAGCAGACACACTACAGCCGCTCCGACTGCCATACTGGTACAAGCACATGCATCCGATGCCTGCTACTCCATCTCTCCCGACGGAGTGCTCTATAAATGCACCGTCAGTAAATGCCGTTTACCCCTCCTGCATCATGCAGACAAGTCGTGCACACCGCATGGGTTGCGACCCGATTGGCCGAATAACACCAGCAGGTCCCAAGTATAGCATTCTGAAACCGCGTCTTTTGGCCTTTGAAACAGCGCTCATCCAGCTCCGCGGGCTTTGGTTATTCACCTTTCCGCTTGTTCGGAGTCTCTGTGGGAGGCAAGTGGCGGAAATAGCACCATGACACCGGCGTAGATGCTTCGCAGTCTCTTAGCCACTTAGCCGCTTCGCTCAACTTCGGGGGCCCAGAAGTCGAGCAAAGATGTCCGATGTCTGGGTTTCAGAATGTTGCTCCCTGAGACTGGAGAATGACTAGCCACGGAGAAACTGAAGAGCCATGCGGGAATGGGGCTAATACAATCAATAGTCCGGGATCGATTCGAGGACGTGATGGTGTTGTTGTTACCCGTCTCCCCGGCGATAAGAGAGGTTTATGGTGAGAACGGTAAGGGACCCCCATGCGTGAAATGCTGTAATTGGACGCCGAGGGTTACTAAAAGAGTGGTTTTTTTCCCGTATTTTCGTTATCTGCAATTCCCGTGGCACAGGCGAGATTTGGATCCCGAGTTTGGGCCACAAAAAGAAAAGAAAAGACTGAAAACCGTTGAACATGGTTGAAGAAAATGGCCTGATTCTTACGACAGGCGTGGAAATTACGCTGCAGATCCAGGCTCCATAGGCAGCGTGTAGGGTATGTTGTTTAATTTCGCATATGCACACTTTGTAAGCAGCGGTGCAGAGTAATATGCAGAGATAGACTCTTGGTACTGTTTGTTGCACAGGGGCCTGGCGTGGGACTTGTGCATAGCGACTTTTGAATCAACCACCAAATCGGAGCATTTGAATCGGGACAGTAGTAATTATGTGGTAGCCATGAACAACATGTCCCTTGGCTTGGCCGGGTTAACAAGCATAAGTGGCAAATTGCATGCAGTGCAATCACACAAATCAAAGGTCTAGATTCTACACCGACGACCCATGCATGAAGTCCGGAAGAAGGATTATGCCTGTAAGATGCTGGTAGAAGAGCCAACAAACCACCAGTGACGTGCCATCCACTAAGCATCGAGTGGCATGGCATGGTTCCGTTGCCTTGCACAGTCCTCACTCAGTCAGGCTTTTTTCTCTCTCTTGCAAATATACTTTAGTAAGGCACAGTATATTGAATCCTTCCTGCTAACCGCCACACGCAAAAAAGCAAATACATACTTATCTACTGTAGCAAACAGGGTAGGCTTAAAAGGTGTGTGTGTCTGTGTGCATGTGTATGTATGTCACTGGGCAAAAGTCCCGAGGAAACAAGACTAAAAACTACTATATAAACAAACTTCCGAAAGGAACAAGAAAAGGAGTAATACGTAGTAAGGCCAAAAAAAAAAAAAAAAAAAAAAAAGCAAATAATACATATATATATATATAGAGGAAACGGCATCACTGCATTAGCGCACACACATACTATATAAATGCAATAGGAAAGGAGACGAGACAAAAAAAAAAAAATAGCGTTAGATTCCTTAGGCGAAAATAGACTTTGATCCTTTAATGCAACAACGGGCGCTGTTTTGTAATTTGAACAAAACAAGCTAATGTCGGCAGATACCTATTACATTCGTTCGTCCTCAAGTCTCATGATATGACACAAAGTTTAAAAAGCAAAAAGAGCCAGAGAGAGAGAAAAGCAACATAGATGAATTTCTTAGCCCCCAGCACGTACACACGCATACGTACGTACATACATACATACACACACAAAACGCGGTATTACAACATGTTTTTGTTTTCTTTGCAAAAAAAAAAAAAAAGGAGACAAGGAAAAAAAAAGAAAAAAGAAAAAAAGGTTGCTCTCGCCCTTGCATGAATCCTCCTTCACATCCTCCCTTGATCAAAACGTTGCGTCTCTGTATAGTCTTATCCTCTCTTCTTTTCTTCCTGCTCTCGCTTTTCTTTCCCTCTTCGGGTGAGAGGGGGTCTTTTTTTTTTTCTTTGCTTTTTCTTTTCTTTCCAAGATCCCTTTGCTTATTCCCTCTTTCCCGCCCCCCTTGATAAACGGCAACGTCGCACACAGGATCATAGATAGAATGGGTTGGACAGACGCGGGTAAATAGATAGGCCGTGATACTATGTACTGCTGCATTGGCAAGGCGCCAATTTAGGATCGAGCCTCTTCCAGCTCCAGCTCCAGCTGTCTGATTCGCTCGCTCTGGTCCTGGGATCCTGATCCAAGACGCTTCTTTAGGGATTCGACCTCGGAGGTGAGGAGCCCAATCTGGTCGTTCTGTGCACTGATTATCTTCGTCTGGTTCTCAATCAGCTCCTTAATCTCGGATAAGGAGGTCGCGGCATCACTGGAAGCGGCAGCGGCGGGGGCGGGAGCGGGTGCGGAAGCTGCTTTAACGGGAGCTGGAGCAGGGCTTGCAACCGGAGGAGCGGCAGGCTTCGATTCTGATCGAATGGGGAGAGGAGCCCGATGAGCTGGCTTGACTTCCTCATCAAAGCTTGATGGCTCCTCCTTCTTGGGCTCCTCTTCCTCAGTGTCTTGGTACTTGTTGGCCATAGCAGCAATCGAGCTCTTCTGGTCGTTGACGCTGACGGGAGCTCGGAAAGCCGGCTTAGGCTCCTCCTTGGGCTCCTCCTTCTTGGGCTCAACAACGGGGGCTGGAGCAGCAACTGGGGCCGGCGGCTGGTAGTTGGCGGCAACCTCCTTGGGAGCAGTCCCCTCGTAGACACTCTCCAAATCAATCTTTGCAGGAATATCGGTTTTGCCATCGAGCCACTCCTTGGCGCTCATGGCAGGACGAGTTCCAATGGCGGGAGGGAAAATATCTGATTGGAAGGTCTCTGCTCTACGGGGCACAGTGAAGGAGATGGGCTCGATGTAGTTGTCATTTACCGTCTTGAAGGCGCGCATAACCTCGTTCTCGTGAACCTGGGGCGATAGATTAGCCGGATGCTGTCAGAGCCTCATACCCACGGGCTGGAATACTCACGTTGATACCGCGTCGCGGAACAAAGGCGATACCTCGCTGAGGATCTGCGGACTTGTATTCGCTCAGGTACTCAAACTTGTCATTCTCGTACTCGTAGTAGCGGATGTTGCCGTCACTGTAGACTAGTCAGTAACCGTAATTTCTGGTGGCCGGAATGCCGTGATCAATGGCGGCGGGGGAGGGGTTGTGCTTACCCCTTGCCAGCAAGGTAGAGGCAGTTGGAACCTTCGTCCCAGAATGGCATGCAGACTCCAGAGATGGCATCCAGATGAGTGAATCCGCCGATGGGATCGCTGCGACCGGGCTCCCACAAAGCAATCTGTCGCTCGCTCATCTTGGAGAAACCAGTCGTGGCAAATCGGTTGTGCTCGCCCATCCAGACTGCTCTGCTGTTCTTGGCACCCGTGTGGCCTGCTGCCTCATGCACAGGCTTCTCCTGGCGGACATCCCACACTCGGATCTTCTTGTCTCTCGACGTCGTCACAAGCAGGTTGCCGCTCGCGTTCCATGACAAGCTCTGTACGATGTCGGTGTGTTGGAGAGTCAGGTGGCTCTGGCCGGTGCCAACGTCCCAAAGCTTGATTGTGAAGTCGCCGGAGGCCGAAGCGAGGATGTTTTCGGCGGCGGGGTTGAACAGGACCTGTCCGACTTTTCTATTGTAGACGTGTTGGTAAACTTTCCATTCCGTGAAGAGAAGAGCAGAGGAAACTCGGCAAAAGTCAGTAACTTACCTCGTGTGACCTCCGAGCTTGCTGACTGGTGATACATCGGGGATCACCTCAGCATCAGTGTAGAGCGAGAAGTCCTTCGGGACCTCCCAGATAAAGACCTTTCCGTCTTCAGAGGCAGAGGCGATAATGTGATCGTTGAACGGGTTCCTTTACCGACAAGTCAGCGACTCAAACGTCTGGGCGACAGGTGGGCTGACAAGGGTCTGCCAACGAGAAATAGGGGGGGGTAGCGGAGAGCTCACCAGTCAGTGTCGAGCACAGTCGCAGTGTGTCCGCGAAACAGAGGGATCTGATCAGGAGCTTTGCCCTTCTCGCTCAGAGGGATAACTGCAAAGGCGCCGCCTCCAGAAGACTCCCAATTGACCGACAGGTACTCGGCGTTGGCCTATTATTCAACTCTTATCAGCACATCGGATCGAGGCAAGGTCGCAGCCCATCGCGCGTCTCGCCGGTCGTCGTATCGTACCTTGACCAGGTTCGTGTCCCAGGCATTTCGGCTGATGCGCAGGTTATCGTAGCAAAACTCCTTCTTTGTGGGCTTGCCAAAGATGTGTCCTAGAGTAGCGTGCAAACTGGTCAGCCTCGTCGTCGTCAGCGCAAGAGAGAGGGGGGGCAGCTATCAGTTCGCGACTGGCAACGTACGGTACTTGGACGCCCGGACAAATCGACCAGCCATTGTGGCGTCCTCTGAGAAAAGAGAGCTGAAGGGGAGAAGAGAGGCGTAGGAGAGAGAAAGACGTTGAGAGAGGGCGTTTGCAGAGGTGCGAGGAGGATTGCGCTTTGGTCAAGGTAGAATCGGGGGGGTTGCTCAAGAAAGGGTGCTGTGTTCAGATACCGCAGCTGTTACAGGTGACGATGCCCCCCGGATGAGCTCAATTGGCTGCCGAGCCCACTGAGGGACCCGCTGCGCCTCGCCAGCTGGTTCAGAACCCCACCAGGAGGCGCCCGCTTTCTGTCAGCGCTGCCTTTAACAGCTCGCGACGATGATCAGGATTTGTTTTGCTTGCTATGAACTGTCATTATCATCATCTATACGCTTTGTTCAAGTACGTATTTTACTCTAAAAAACCTCAAAATTTTCAGATGCTCAACACCAATATTCATCCATCATATATGATTGATATTTGGCTACATTTAATAAATGGGTCACGTGCCCCAGCTTTTTATAGTAGCAGCAGTAGACCCCTTAGCTTATGGAGTGATGCTAAAATTAAATGACGAGGCCGGAGATGGCACAGCACTGAGACACCACATCGCCAAGGGAGAGATTATGCTCAAACAACGACTAGACGTGGGAATAGCTTCAGGATTCTTTCAAATATAGGTATCCCTGTCCATATAGCTGTGTTGCTAGTCCCTATGCCGCACAGGGAAATGAAAAATCTCTCCATAGAGTAACTTGAGCAAGTTGGCGTAGATAGATGAAGGTACACTCATATAAAGCCTCACCCCTTTATTCACTTGGTGGCCCCATGATAACTCACCCGTGCACACCGATCAACTCACAGACCATTTTTCATCAGGACAAAGGAAGAAAAGAGAAATTGTGCCAAGTTTATTCCATTGACATCAAGGAACTACGCATTGGCTGCGTTGGTCTCATTTCATTATACTTGCTACCGTTTTTTTAGTACAAAATCAGAATCCATACGTACAGCGGCCTATGCCGCAAACAACTATGAGATAGCAGCAAGCAATGAAGAAAGTAGAAAGAGGAGAAAAGTAACAGAAAAAAAGGGGGTAAAAAGAGACAAGAAGAAAAAAGAGAAAGAGCACCGGCAACGCCAATGAATGTGTCTGTAGTAGCAAATTTGCGCCATGCCCCTCCACCTCCATCGGTTATACCCCATAATCCAACACGTATTCATAACATAGCAAGTACATCCCAAGTCCATGCGTCTTGCCCATCCCCTCTTAGTTGAACGTACTCCTCGTCCGTGAGTGCACTCTTCGGCTCTCAGTGCGACGTCGAATCTGCTGTTCGTGTTTGAGGACAAGCTCGCACCACTTCGCCCGCGATCGGGGTCCACCAGCTTCCTCTTCTAAACCGGCATCTCCACGGCCAATGACGTCGGAAAGGGCCTTCATCCAGCCTTCCTTGTCTTCACCTGTATCAGCATAGAAGTCAATGACTTCGCCGTTGTTGAAGCGTATGCGGAATCCCTCTTCAACAAACATGTAGCCCTCTTCTTCTTCTGCGAAAGCAGATCGCCGGCGCTTTCCACCTTTACCGGTTGTCTCCTTCTCCATCAATGTTCTACGATCATCGATCAATCGTTTGGCATTGGAGAGATTGATTGTTGCACGGGGCTGGCGAGTAGCCTCATGATAAGCAGTCAGCTTTGTACCAACAAGCTTAAAGTATCGACGGCGCCAGTACTAAACAACGGGGTTAGTCAAAAGTTGGGAAGTTAAAGAGGGGGAGGAATGTGGATTAAAAAAATTCGAGAATAAACTTACGGGACAGTCACCACCCTGTTGGCTCAAGACACCTTCCCAATTACGGGCGAGCCTCTCTTCGGCAGCCTTGAGCTCTCGAATGCATGAATTCATGCTCTTGGGCATATCGTCGTCTGTGACGCCATTGGGGCGAGGTACAAAGAGAAGCTGAAGCTCTAGCTTTCCAATCTTGTACGGCGCCCGCCTGAGAATTCCAGAAGCATTGCCTCGCTTGCTCTTGATGGTAGAGGCGAAGCTCTCTTCCTCGCTAGCCCACTCGTTGAAGCAAACAACCTCGGCGGTGTATGGGCGACCAAAGCATCGATTCTCGTGCTCCTTTAAGGAGATGTAAGCTCGAGCAAAGCTTCCATCTTCGGCAGCTAACCGTGAAAAGAGCTCGTAGGCCGATCCGGCATCTTTACGTTGCCGCGCTAGCGCCTCTTTCTGCTGCTGCGCAAAGCGCTCCTCCTCTGCTCTCTGCCGAAGCTCAAGCTCCTTGCGCTTCTTGGGTGACGCAAAAACCCTGCTGAAGGTTGATGTCTTGGGTTTGGCCATCTTGACCGCCGCAGGCTGGACGTGAGAGTAAGTCGGCTTCTCTAGTTTTACGTTCAAGGTCAGTTGGAACTCGAGGTCGTTTGGAACGACAAGTTCAAACTCTTGGCCGATCGGTGCATTGCGAGCCAGTTCCAACCAAGCTGTTGTCACACAGTGAACGCCGTTATCCAGCGTCAGGCTAAACCAGCTTCGCTCATCTAATGAACATTTGTTAGGTATTTTTTTTTTCTGGATACTCGCAACAGAATGGGGGATAATATGCCGCTGCTTACTCTTCGGAATAGGTAGTTCAAGATCCTTCACGCCAACAACCTTGACAAAGAGACGTCCCCTCTCACCCGAGTCTGGGTTGGCCACATCAACGTTGTAGTCCTCTTCAACAACCTTATTGAGAGCGGTGGCATTGCTCTCTTGACCCGGTAGGGGTGGAACAGGGCTCAAAACCGGTTGTCCCTTTCGAATGCTGCGACGAGTTTGGCTGTTCCAGGGTTCGACGGTCCATGACTGTGGGCGATTCGCCTTGATGGGTGAATTATTAGCTGATCGTGTCCTCCAAGAATCTTCCGCATCCTTGTCGCTGGCAGTCACGAGCTTGGTGTTTTGTCGCATCAGATATCCGCGCTGAGAACAAGACGTAATATTAGCATCCAGTTGACTTGTACCTAGTGAGGTGAGTTGCTCCCCCGACACTTGTCGAGGCGAAGGGTAGTAGTGATTGGTGGAGTTAATATGCGGTATGGGGGGAATTGGACCACTGAAAGCTACCTTTTGTGTCTCGATAACTCGTTCAAAATCCTTATCCAAGCTGAGGCCCATATCCAGATCAAGGGTGAGACTCCGATTCTTAAAACTTGGATGTCGCGCCAGGAAACTGTCACTGCTCAGCTCCAGATCTTTGCCATCTCGAGGGGCAAGCCCGCGGTGCTTGTTCGGGATTGATGGAACACTTGGTATTTCGCCGCTAACGTGCCTGCGGGCTTCTCGCATGGCTACAATGTCGGAAGGCGTATTAGAGACTCTTGTCTTCAACTTGGAGCCTGAGGCCTTGATCGTTGCGAGCCGTTCGGGAATTTCGGGGGATTCTCTCTCAAGGATCGTGTGATCTTCTTCATCTTCATCTTCGGATACGGGATTGTGGATGACAGAGTCGGGGGTTCCCGACCTGTCGTCGTCATACGACTTGAATGAATCATCACCCCAACCGGTGCCGTCATAGTCTGGCTTCGGGACCAATTTTTCTGGTGTTTTAATTTGGGGGATCTCAGTTGATATTCTTGGCGACTCATCATCCAGCTCCTCTGAGACATCATGGTTGGGATCTAGCCCTGTGTCATAAGTAAAGTCCGATTCCAGGTCAGAAACCACTGAGCCCGCAAATTCGCTAACAATACTAGACTCAGCGTCATGATGGCTTTGTTCATTGGCCTCCATTGGCGAGATGGCTCGTGGGGTCAGCGCCTCTTCAGCGTCGTTCTCATGGTCCAGGGGCGAAAGCTCTTTTACTGCTTCTTTTACTGCTTCCTTGGCAGGTTCTTTGGCGGGTTCCTTGGCCGGTTCTTCAATAGTAAGGTCTTCCTCGACAGGTTTTTCTTTATGGTCAAGGCCATCTTCTGTGATTTCGCTGTCCTCTCCGCCATAGTGAGAGTGGGAGCCTTCTAGATCGTCATCAGATTGAAAGTGAGAACCATCAAGCTCATCGTCATATTCATCGTCGTAATCGGAGTCGTACATATCGAATCCGGTGGAGTCTTCATGAATGACACGATGGATAATCACACTGCTCTCCGCGGGATCTTCGTCGTCATAATCATCTTCGTCGTCATAACTCCTATCGTCATCGTCTTCATCGTCCATCAATGAATCTTCAGTTGATGGAATGGGAACGTCAGGGTCAAGAGGAAAGTGTTGGTCTCGAAGAGGACTACCAGGCGGCGAAGAAAAGTTATAATCTGCTTCGGGATCCGTCAATGCCTTGTTACCGTTAACGCGCTTCATAATAGACTCCCTGGAAATGGGCTGTGGCAGCTGATAATCCCCAATTCCTGACATGTCCCCAATATTTTCTTCTTCCTCATGAGTCTCATGGGCATCATGCGCCTCCAGCTCATCATCGTTATGAGTGTCGTTGCCGATTTGGCTATCTTGAGTGTCAACCATGGCGAGCGAGTCATCACGACCTAATGAGCTTCGGCTGCGGCCAGAGCTGCGACGAAGACGTCGCTCGCGTTGTTGTTCGGCAGCAGTCTTACCACTGCTATCATCAGACAACATCATGAGCTTAAGTCTTTCTTCAAGCGACATCTTGCCGCTAATAAAGCTCTCAATGTCGGATTTTGTGGCAGAGGTTGGAGGTGGGACGGGCAAACTTCTATGTGAGCCCTCTGGAGTTTGTGAGAGGGCTGGGGATGAGGGCACAGAGCCGGCAGACTGGCTCCTGACGTGACCTGCGCCAGGGAGGGGAGGGAGAGGGCGGTTTTCTGCGACAGATCCAACAGATCCCATGGATAAGCGCCCAGAACTGATTGCTCCTCGAGTTCCCTCGGGCATCAGACTGCCATCATCGTCGTCGCCTTCACCGTGGTGAACTAAAGAATTGTCTCTAGCCCAGTCATCGGGCCCCACAACTGGAGTCTTGTCTGTATCCTCGAGAGATGCGTCAAAGCTCTCATCATCTGGGCCACCCATGTGAGCAGGATCGTAAAGAAGATCTTCGTCATCTTCATCGTCGTCTTCTTCCGAGTCGTAACTACCTTCGCGCGAATTCGTGCCAATAGAAGAGAGATCTGGGGTGGCCATCTCATACTCGTTGATCTGAGGTGGTGCATTATCGAATGTCACGCTCTTCGTATGGCGATGTGAAGATCGACCGCTTGGGGGACCGTCTAGAGCGGAGGTGTCCGCAGACCACATGCCCGTCTCATGGTCGAAGCTACTCTTGAATTTGGAAGGAGATAGCGATGATTTTGTGGGCGAAGCTTGATCTTTGCTGGGTCCCCTCGGCGTGCTGGGGCCCGAGTAGTCTGATTTGGTTGGGCTCATCGGGGATGTAGACTTATCGCCATCGGCAGACTGAGGACCGGGCGAGCCTCCTGAAAAGTTGAATGCGCCGGGCTGGACCTTGGCTAGGGGACGTTCGATCTGAGGAATCCGAGTTGGATCATATTCCTGCTTCTGTTCAAGCGCCAAAATGTTGCTGTTCTTGACGCGGGAAGCCTTCTGGAGACGCTCGATCGAGGAGCGGCGGTGGGACGAAGGCGAGCCGGTGCTGTACATGTTTTCCGAGTTTCGATTTTGCCAGAAGACCCGCGGCGATGTCACCGAATCGGCGGGCGAAGTCTGGAATGGGGACGAGTCATTGCTGAGCGCCGACTTCTAGAAAGGCGAAAAGCCGTTGTCAGCCCGAGACACCACAACACGTAATGTCGCTAATCATTCCACAAACCTTGGAAGGAGACATTTGGTTCCAGCTAGGAGAATTACGTCTCCTTTCGGTGGGCGAAATTTCAGATAGGGGGCGGGGCTGGGGAAGGTTGGGCGCTTTCGTGGGTGATGCGTTTGGCGGCGTGCTGCCCTTCGTGATGCGCAATGGGTGCACCTGCAGAGAGAATGCAGAGGTTAGCTGCTGCGTTGCGCCGGCGGAACCAGCATTGGGTGTTGTTGGGCGCACCGGTTCAGATGACATATCGATCGAAACTGGTCTGGTTAATCCTTGCAATCAGGTCAGGCTAGGACGTGGACACATCGGCACGCAAGTCGATCAGCACAAAGGGCGATGTGACTCGGGCGAGGAATGTAACGACTAGCCGGCGTCGGTTTTTCTTCCTTCTCTTCGCAAAACGTATATAATAAAACAACAACAAAAAAAAGAGGCTAGTTTCGATACGGCAGCCTCCAAAAACGAATGATTGGAATTGAATAAGGAGAGGGGAAAGGGAAAGGGAAAGGGGGGGCGCGAGATATCAGAATGTTCGCCCGGTTAACTCTGTTCTCTTGGTGATGGTTTAAGAAAAGAAAAAAAAGAAGAAGAAGAAAAAGCTGCGTCAAAGCCCTGAACTCGACTCGGCCGCTGGCACCCAGAATCGAATTTCAACGATGACAACTTCGCGAGGGCAGAGAAGGGGGGCTATTCATTTGCAGGTCGGGGGTGTTTAAGGGAAGCGCCGTCGGGCAGCGTGATTGGCCCAACGCAAAACAAAACACGGCCCCTCAATGAGCCAGGGGTTGTCGTGGCAACGCGTCGCTATTTTGCCTAGCCTTGGGGGCTCCCCGGGGGGCACATCAGAGCTGAGGAGGGGTTCGCATGCACTAAATCTTGCTCTGCAACAGGCCTGTAGGAGGCGGCCTGCAGCAGGGGAAAAGGGAGCCTACAGAGCCTCGTCGCCGGTGCTAGCACGCTCTGAGCTTCGGCCGGCGACGCCCAGGCTCAGCGCCTCCAGAGTCGCCATGGCAGCCGGCAGGGGTCTGAGACGAGGCAACATGCAAACAATCAGACGGCAACAGACATCTGGGCTCGGCTGAGGACGCTGATTCGGCTGATGCCGCCGCATGATGCATCTGTTTTTCACGTCCGGCCGTGATGCAGAGTCTATTCTCACTCGCATCCCACGCTAGAGCGAGCGGCCTGCAAAGCATTTTTGCCTGCCCTGTTCGCGGTGTCGTCATCGGCTCATCAGACATGCGGTCAGTTTCCGATAGATGCCCATCCCGACTCTCGTCGCATTTGGGGTTTCCTATGGCTGGCATAAAGGCAATGCATTCATGCTCCATTTCTTTTTCGTCTTCCTTCGCCCGTGGATCCATCATTTTTTTTTTTGTCTTTTCCTGGGGGGATGTTCATGCAATGCTCGCGCGCAGCCACTACAGGCGCAAGACCCCCATAACCGTGGTGTTTTCTTTTCGCTTCTTCCCTCTTCCCTTTGTTTACCTTTTTTTTTTTTTTTTTTTTTTTTTTTTTTTTTGCATGACCCGTGCGATTACTAGTCGTGTCACTCCTTTTNTTTTCTTTTCGCTTCTTCCCTCTTCCCTTTGTTTTTTTTTTTTTTTTTTTTTTTTTTTTTTTTCCATTTTGCATGACCCGTGCGATTACTAGTCGTGTCACTCCTTTTATTTTGTGTGATTACTCCGTCTTATTACCATCATTGCCTGCAGGCGACTGTGAAACACGGCAACGCCATGGTTACCGAGAAATAGGCCTGGTTTTGTGAATACGAAGCTTGAGCCATCAATTTCCTGCCCTGGCGCCTTATCAAAGTTGTGCACGTTGTGTCTTGCAACCCCAGCCTCCGTATTACCTCCTTGATCCACCCGGATCTGTAAGGCTCAACCACGCAGTAGCATTGCAGTCCCTGTAGATAATTTTGTTTGCTGCGAGATGATAAAAAAAAAACTCTATTTTTATACGAACCACTTAGTCCTCACTTCATTTACGGCTACCGCAGCTAGTTTTCTGTCCAGCCGGTAGGTAGTGAGTGGTAGCACGGCATACTGCATAGCAATATATTGATTGATATTGAAACTCCGTCAACGCACCAAAGCCATTAGCGTCGGGCTGCTTGTGTTTTTGTCAACAAACAGAAATGTTTTCTTCCCATCCATCCATCAGACACCCTGGCTCTTATTCCACTGCACGCAATCATCAAACTTGACGCCAGACCCACCAAAACAATCCAAAGCACTCCCTATCGTGAGATCTACTCGACCCCGGCTAAGCCTCTTCACAGTTTCCAAATCTTCCAAGTGCCGACCTCCGCCGGCATATGTGACCGGAATAGAACACCACCCTGCTAGGCGCTCAACCAGCTGCTCGTCGATTCCTCTCTGCAGCCCTTCGTTGTCTGCAGCGTGAATTAAAAATTCTGAGCAGTATGGCTCTAATAACTGTATTGATTCTGCAATTTGAAAATGAGCCACATTACCAAAAATTGAAGTAAATCGCCGTCATTTAGGAACGTATAGATTGCTAACCTTGGTTGATTTCCATATCTGTCAGTGTCTGCCATTTGTTCATGGCAACAAACCACTTGTCTCCTTGGCGACGGCAGCTGAGGTCAATTACCAGCTTGCTCTTATCTCCGCCAAGAGCTCCCAAGACAGCATCTAGTCTCTCCTGGCTGAAGTGGCCATCTGGGAAGAGGTAAGATGTGATGATAATCTATCATAAGGCGTCCAAGTCAGTTACTCATGGTTTATAGACAAAAAAAAAATGACTTGATTGATAAAAATCTGCGATGCTATGACTGCACGGCTTATATCTAGGAGATATTTACCTTTTCTGCTCCCGCATCAATCCATTCCTTTGCATTCTTATCATTAATGCCGCCGCCCACCTGCAGACCACCGGGCCATGCCTTCAATGCCTCTTTGGCAGCGACATCGTTTCCTCCCCCCAGCATAATCACATGAGCGCCCTCAAGCTCATTGTCTCTGTAAAGCTGGGCAAAGTGCTCTGGCGGATGCTGGGACACGTGGTTTGTCTGGAGGGCCGTGGAGGAGCTGTCCAGGGTGCCGCCCACAATCTGCTTCACCTGGCCGGCATGAAGGTCTATGCAGGGGCGGAAGCGCGTCATCTTGATGTGAAAGTCCCGACCCTGAGAGCGATATTCGGAGGTAAAGACATGAAGTTTTGTGACTCTCTCAAGATCTTCCCGCTATCCGATTGTGGGGCTGCTAGTGCTGTGGATGAGGCGACGCCACCAGCGCTATTGTTTTACATACAACTTGTACGTGTAAATATTGGTATGCATTTCGGTAGAAGAATCATAAAATTTAGCACGCTGGCCAGGACTATTTCTCCAAGGCATGAATCAGTTTAGCAAATTTCACCAAATGAGTGGCGATGGATGAGTGGCGATACTGTCTCAAGCGCTCATATCCAGGGTACATGCTCTTCACATATCAACCTCCACTTCTCCTTGCGTCTCGGTAAATATGCTTAGCTGTGGAACGGGATTGTTTGCGCTACAGGCATCGTAAGTGAAAATTCTATTGCATCTTGTCTTATTGGCTGGTTTCACAAGATATCAGACCAGCATTGTGGAACAAGACGATTATAAATTCTTTTCAGCGTACAAACATATGTATCCGGTCCTTATCTTATCAAGCCATCCGAAGGTGTCAAAAAAGGCGCCGTCAATATTTCCAAGCTACATGACTCGAACTACAAACTCTTATCTTTGATGCTCCATTAACCCATTCAAATACAAGAATACCTATTCACCTGTATTCGATCATTCTTGCTCTTGAGAGCCAAAACCTCTCTCTAGATATAGACAGTAGGCAAGGAAAGCACCAGATCATACAAGCAGTCTCTTCTCCCTTGCATTGAATCTCACTCCAATCAGCTATTCTCATGTTTCTATGTCAGCCACACAAACTTCAGCCACCAAACGCATTCAGTTCCATTCACTGAGCCACATTGTAGGCCTCCCAGCGGCCGCAATGCATGAATTAAAAGATGGACGATGCAGCACAAATTTGTAGTATTCCCCTCTCAAATATAGATCACGCAACTACAACACCTGAACAACCGATTCGCCTCGCCGTCTCTTAGGCGTTTGTTTAGTGTTTTCCCATCTTCGCAAGAGATTTCTTCATAATGGATCAAGCCGCCTCGGACATCTCGACCTGCTCAACAGACGACTGTCCCACGCCCACTTCTACTATTATGACAGACACCATGTTTGCTGATAAGAAGGACATCGTGGTTCCCATCGCTGCAGCTCCACACGTCGAGCATCATCTCGTAGCGAACAGGTCATTCATGATTCGTACGAGACAAAAGCCACACCTTTATCTTACTCTTGAACATGGCGAGTTAAAATTGCTAGAGAATATTACGGTCGGAGGGGGCTGGCTCTGGTACTGTTTCAAGAATTGCGGATGGTACGGCTTTCGTAATACCGTCTCTGGCACGTACCTCGGGCACGCGTGGTGGGATGACAGACACAGGCTTCTAGCAAATGCTCCTCACCACAGAGCTGACGAATATTTCATAGCAGATAGGCAAACAGATGGCGGTTATACACTTTTAGCGCGGAAGGATGATCAATTGTTGCCGGTAGTCATTTCGGAGTTTCATATGCTGCTTGGGCAAGCAGAGGAGGCAAATGGGACGGCGTGGGAATTCGTTGATACCAAGTTTATTAACATGCAGGTTCTTTTGAAACATCTCTGAATCTTCATTTAGGTAGGCTGGTATGGAAACATATCGGCAACGCAACAAGATTGATTCACACAAAGCAGACAAGGCAATTGTTCTTTTCAACAGAATATAAAAACTTTGATATCATATTACTCGCAACGCAAAATAAAACACTATATAACCCCTTTATCCGTAAAATGAATCTATCATTTCTTTTCTGCGTGTTCTTCACGAACGCTATCAGAAAGGCCAGCTGGGTCCATGCCGTCAACAGTGCCGTCAAACATGCCCTGGATCTCCACGATGGGGCCCTTGTAGTTCTTGCGGCCATCAAAGATCCAGGTTCCGCCGGAAATGAGAAGAATGACGCCAAAGGCAACGATACAGTAGTTCATGTTGGAAGGTGTGACGGGAATCGCCGGAGGGAATACAAACAGGACAGTGGTGAGAATGGCCCAGCAGATTCCAACAATGTTGCAGGTCCAGCCAAGCCAGTTGGGAAGCTTGAAAGGGCGGTTCTCGGGAAGCATCTTGCGGCCTCTGCAGACGTTGATGAGCGGGGGGATGGCATAAGTAACGCCAAGCGCTACAACGGACGCTGATGTAATGGCGTTGAAGGTGCTGGAAGAGCCCAGGAAAATGCAGCCGAAAATAATAACCCATGCGGTCGTCCAAAGCAAGGCATTAATAGGGACATCAAGGGTAGGGTGAACCTGGGAGAAGACGTGGCTGAAAGGCATTCCGCGGTCTCGGGCAAAAGCGTAGCTCATTCGGGTGCTGGTGGCGACTAGGGTGACGGTGGTGAAAAGCATGCACACGAGAGGGAACATGAGCAGGCACACGCTGCCGGCCTTGCTCTTGGTGGCGTCCATGAAGATCTGAAGCAGCGGGCCTTCGGCAGCGCTGATCACATCATCGACGTTGTTGATAACAAACATGAGGCAAGTGAGGAAGATGAAACCAGTGAACATGCCGATACCGATGCAGTACATCATAATCTTGGGGCCCTCCTTTTGCGGGTTCGGAATCTCTTCAATCATGTGTGCCACAGCATCGAAGCCTATTAAGAAGAGATGAGTCAGTAATTGCTACATCCATGATTGCTGTGTTGACTGTTTACGTACCTGTCAAAGCAAAGGCTCCCTGCAGCAAACCGAGCAGCCAAGCCAGACCATCCGGCCAGCCAACCTCGTTAATGAAGTTGCCGTAGACGAACTCGCCACTTTGATAGTCGGGCGTAGCGCACGCCAAAACGGTGATGCTGATGATGACGAAGCCGCCAACAGACCAGAAGAAGGCGGCCTTGGTAAAGAGAGGAAGAAGTCTAGTGGCGAAAGCGTTGATGACCAAGGCAGCGAGGGCAAACGCAATGTAGATCAAAAACTGATGCCATGCTTTGGGCTCAAAATCCGGGTGCATAAGCTGAATGATGTTCATGATGAACGTGCTGCCCAGCAAACCACCAGTAGCGCTGAGGGCGACCCAGCCAGACACATTGATCCATCCTGTCGCGTAGCTGATGCCGCGGCTGTATTTCGGCCATGAAACGATGGCGGCCCAGTGGTACTGGCCACCAGCTGTGGGATACGCGGAGAGAAACTCTGCCAGAGAAACGGCCTGGGTCATGTTACAGACACCGGCCACCATCAGACCCCAGATAACGGCACTTGAACCTCCGGAGGGGAGGGCCAGTGAAAGTGAGGCGGCCAGCGCAGTCCATGTGTTGAGAATGGCGAAAGCAAGGCCCAGCATAGAAATCAAGGAAAAGTTTCGCTTGAGCTCCTGCTTGTGACCCAGTTGTGCCAGGTGGGCAGCCTCTGGGGAGAGGTCAGATTTGGGGTCGCTGTAGTCTTCCATGGTTGGTTGTCTTGGGCGTGGGACAACTTGGAACGGAAAGAATGAAGGAAATCCGGCACAAGAGCCGGGAATGCAGGAGCTTTTTGACTTAGAGGACCGGAACCGGGACCGGGAGCCAAATGCTTAAAGGCGTCAGACTACCGGCACTGGGGACCGGGGGCGAGTTCCTGATAAACTTAACTAGACAGCATCTCCATGCGCGATAGACGGTCGGGACCCCCGAGGACAGTGCCATGTTGGAGTCGGGGAACTGGAGAAAACTGGGGTTGCTCCCCCAGACAAGCCCGTTTTTGATAACGCGCTGAGATGTGCCTCGCGCTGATTGGCCCGTCGGACCCAAGAACCAGCTAGCTCCAACTTCTCCATCCAATGGCACGCGGACGGTCGGCATTGGGGTATCAATGGGGTAATCTTCTTGTTTTTTTGGGACCATTCGCCCGCACGTTCCCTGAGTCGTGACGAAACAAGGGAAATATCGAGATTCGCCTTTTGGGCTCTGGGGAAGCTTTTCGCCTCCAGGATTACATGTTGCACACGAAGCTGCCGGCACCGGTATGCGCACCGGTGGACCGCGTTAGATAACGAGGTGAGACGACGCCTGCGATGCTAGCTTGGCATTTGGGTTATCGCCAGTGGGCCCGGTGCGCGTCGCATCGCAATCATGGAAGTGGGAGCCTGGAGACAGGTGGTGCGCAGGATGGAGCAACCCTGACTCAAGATCAGCTCAATGACGAGGTCCAGCCCCTGCCTTATCTTCAAATGCGACTCCGCCTCGCGCATTGAACGCTGTCAACGTCGTAATGGCCATGTACAATGCGATGGATACAGATTCATACGGGTCCAGCCCATGCCTGCGCGTTGCGTCAATAGCCTTTTCCCGAGAACAAGCCTCCGCGCACAGCATTCTTCCATTTTTCCATTTGGCGCAGCGTGCCTGGCCTTGGAAAACTTTGACGTATGCCACAGCCGGTTTGGGCGAATGCCGTAGATCCCGCTGACGAAAGCCTTGGCCAGATCTGGTCGCTGAATGGCCCAAGCCTCAAAAAGCCTCAAAAGCCTCTCCCCAAAACCTTCCGAGTCAAGGTCAGCGGCGGCGATTTTTCCTTCTGTGCAGATTCTCCCGAGTCTTCCTTGACTTCTCCACGCCAGGTACGCGCTAGTGCGCCACTTTTCCTGTGTGCTGGGCATGCTACTCCATTTCTCAGCCTCCTGCAGCTTGATTCGCCTCCGACATTTCCCACGAGATTTTGACAGGCGCTCACCCTGACGGAGCAACAACTGACAGCTAATGAGCCGGGTGACATGTAAATACGGCGTAGGTATTGCTGCGTCGTGACGGAATTGCTCGGACGCGAGATGGGACATGTCAGGGACACTTCTCCCCGCACTATTCAGCGCCACATCGGAACAAGTTGGAGGTTGCCAGATTATTGCCCCATAACCCGGAACCGGATGTGTCGAATATCACACCACGAACCTGCGAATGGTCACGATGCAGCTGTGAAATACCACTTCCTTCCGGTCGTCCCCCGCAAAGGCTAATTCCCCAGCTTACGGGGCTGCGGAGTTGGTAACCTGGGGAAGCGAGGTCTCGACGAAATGAAGGTCTGGAGGCGGTGACGGTTGACTTGCGTTGACGCCTACATTGTCGCGAAGTCATTTGGCCATCAACATTGCTTTGGGTTTTGGCAGGTCTAGATTTTGCGGTGGCGCTTTCGCCACAACGTGCGCTTCTCCGGGGCCGGCACGTGATTTCAAATTAGATGTGGCTCGCTTACCGCTAGCTTTATCTCCTCGTATCGCATCGGACCAGGAACCAGAGCCACTAACTGTAATCACCGGCCGGAGCTGCTTGACTTCGCACGCCGCCCTCTAGTTTCAGTCATTTCAGCTGTTAGGCCTCAACTGACCGCTATCTCTGCGGCATTGCTTCTGCAGCTCTTGCTGCTAACTACTAGCCGTCGCTTTTACGAAGCAACAGCTAGATATGTTAAAATATGACTAATCTTTGTGGACTGCTCGGGTACTCGTGCACATTAGTAAGAAGGTTTGAGGCTGATGGGCTTGGCCGTATTGGGCTTGTATTGTTTGTACGGTTTGCATGGTCTCAACACTAGACCAGCCAGCTATCAGATAGTTCTCGATTCCAATTGACGAGTTTTGTCCGACTCGCATTAACAAGATTAACAAATGAAACAAGGCGCTGTGTCAGTAGACGGCATCATCCGAGCTATTGGAAACCAGTCTTAGCGTTTGAACTACTGCACTACGGCAAATTTCAGAACGGCAATTCTTTCCTCTCATGCAGTGCAAACGACCGCCGGTAGTTCGCGGATCATCATCGGTCCGCAAGGTTGGGTGCCTTATCAAGTGAGAAGCTGAAGCCGGCTGGGTCAATATGTGGAAGTCAGCCGGCGCGCTTGTTTTCTCCTCGGCATCTGCGGATGCTGTACTATCTGCCATACCTATTACCAGACAGACATGACAGGAACAGTAGCCTAAACCAGATCAAGAACATCCGTTGGTGCGGAAAACGAGACTGCGACTGGGCAAAGGGCTCTCCCGCCTTGCACAGGTGGCGTATCGGCTTTGACCTCGACTCCGTCGATGAAGATACGCGAGTTCCTACATGCATATTGATGATTGATATGATCTAAATTAAGACCAAATAATCGGCATTTGTTTTTATACAGCATCAACCGCTTGCTGGATCTGCTGTTGGTGTAGCCCTATGATCGCTTTGATAGAGACAAGATGACAAATGTTTATAAACCATACCGCGGCTCTGCAATACCACTAGTTCTACCACAGTAAAAAAAACTCCATCATCGATGACTTGGTTATGGTAAACCTTGTCCCGCGTCGTAGAGCCTCTTGTTCTGTCCTCCACTCATCTGAAAGGGAATACATAATGTACCCATCTGGGTCCATAGCTGAGTGCGACTCGGACTGATCTGGAGGCACAAGGGGGATTCCCTCTTAATCCGATAAATCAGATCTGGATTCGACATGAAAGGCGCGCTCATAGCCACGGCAATGTCCAATATCCCGATATATTTCTCAATGGCCTTGCAGGCAATTATTGCATCGAACCCATGATTCAAGATTACTGGGCTCGTCTTCCTCCACATGCGGATGAGAATATCGTTACTATCGCCGTGGCGGGCGACTGTGTTGTTGGTATAACGAGCTGCATAAGGTGCAACCAGATGCAAATATGCAAGTTTCAAATTACGGAGCTGCTGGATGAGATGGATAAATTGCGGAACGCTCAGTGCCTACAGCATCGACAACCGCGCGCATAGCCTCAACTGTAAACTGAGAACGGTTCTCAACGTTGCCGCTGTAGGATTCTGCCCGCTGGTTGGCCGTGTCTTGGATAAACTGGTCGATGAGAAAGCCGTAGCCGTCGTGAACTTCCATACCACAAAGTCAGCATCATTCACAGCACGCCGTGCCGCTGTTGCAAAAATTTTTATCAGAGCTTTGATTTCTTCTGTTGTCAACTCTACCGGAATAGGATGATCTTTGCTGTAGGGTATCAAGCTTGAAGCAGCAAATTGGATTGAGTCTTTTGACAAGCCAAACAGGGCTACATCTTCTTCAAACACAAGAGGATGCGCAGCGCGGCCAAGAGCCCCAATCTGAAGATAGATATGTGACCCCTGAGCATGAACAGTGGCCGTGACCGCTTTCCAGGCCGCAACTTGCTCATTTGTCCAGATTCCCGGAGGATGCGGGTAGTCGTAGGCGCGGGGTGATATTATTGCCATCTCGGAAATGGCAAGTGTCCCCGGATAGCTGGCGCCCCCAGCGAAATACGCCGGCACCATGGAGACTAGCGGGACATGTAGCCTACAGTTTCGAAGTCTCGCCATGGGTGCCATGATAATCCTGTTGGAGATGATTCCATTGCCGATTTTCGATGGGCAGAACAGGACGGTATTTGCTGCTGGGGTGTCCATGGGTTAAAAATCAAAAACTTTTTATTAGAAAGAACGGAAAAGCGTGCCAATTCCAGCCGCACACTAGCTTTTCGAATGAATATTGCCACAACCTATCGAGGGTTGCGCAAAGCAGCACCGTATGGGCTCAGGTTTGTTGAGAAGTCTCATCGAGTCTTGTTCTTATAGTTCCGAGCGTCGACCAGGGCTTCTCATGACGCTTCTTTCATTTAAGCATGTACAAATACCGAAAATGATTAGCTGCATAGCTCGCGGACGTACAATTCTTCCGAACATAAGCCCCCGATACTATGAAAAAGCTATTTTGACTATTTGCCAAGCTACCAAGCAGGCGCCGAGCTGAAAAGCCTTTGAGAGTAGGTTACCTTCTAGTGGGATAGAGCGAAAAGCTCCTTGAGCCCTCGCAAGTATGTCCTAGGTGCCCGCGCCTTTGGACATGTCAAGTTGATACTTTGCTGTCCCTGGTATCTGATATGCGTATATTTAGGAGAAATAGGTAGGAGATTGTATGGGTTGTTGAGTCATTCTCATTGACGATATCCTGGTCTATTGGCTCTCAGTTGCGGTTGCGGCTGCAGCTTCATAAGATCTTATTAAGCCTTGTCGAGCTGCGGGCTGGCATATACGATGATTTTTATCTAAATTGATGCTTACATTCTGATGAATTCTATTGTATTGCCATTGAGCGATTAATAATCTTGAGGAAACAAACAACTATTATGTTGGGGATGACAGCTATTGCTGGGCGTCACCAACATGGTCTCAACCGTGTTAGGTAAGGTAAACCTCCGCTGCGGACGCCGCACCCGCATCAAGAATCCGCAGCCCCACGCCCACCTGCAGAGCAACGCGGATACATGTCGGATAAATATACTATGGACTCGTTCACCGGGGCGTGCCAGATTTGGCTGAGGGAATAAGCTGCCAGCATGAATAATCACCAGGATTTATTACCTAGGTAGGTATATGATATGTCTTTATTGGTCGAGATACATACGTAGGATGCATGTATGTAGTGCTCCATACATGTACCGAAGATATCACTGACGTGCTTTACACGAGCACAGCACGACGCTCTGACACTGTGAATCTGGCTAGGCCAACTCGAGTGCGTTCGTTGGTGGCCCTGACCCGCCCCGAGCCAGATGCTAGCACCAGATGAAGTCCCAAGTGTCAAATCACATAGCGGAGATGCCGCCAAATTAACCCGTTTTGCCGCATAGCGACCTTAGTCCTGGCCAACTACCGGCCGTAGGGCCAGCGGATCGCTCCACCGAGAACGGGCCCGGCCAGGCTTTACCAATTTCTTATACATCACCCGAGGAGCACTGCAGTCTCTTATAAGAACCAGGGGGCTCGCTGATTAACCGCCATGCCTGGCAGACAGATGCCTAGTCCGTCATCTTCACTCTGCCGTGCGCGGACAAGAAGATGGCGTCCGTCCACAAGGAAGAGATAGCGCTGGAAAGCCCTCCATTGACGGTTGGGTCGGACAAAGGCAGCGGCCCGGACGAAATCGAATTTGAGGCCGAAGATGACGAAAATGCAATCAATCGCCGTATTTCCGTCGCCATCTCGACGCACTCCATGGCCAAACGGCCCGAGACGCTGCTCCACGAGGCCTGCTTCCTCTTTGTGGTTTCCATGGCCCAGTTTCTTGCGCAGACAGGTCTCGCCATCTCGGTCATCCCCGCACACATCATCGGTCAAAGCTGGGAGAACGTTCAGGACGGGCAATTGAGCTGGTTTGCGGCCGCTTATTCTCTAACCAGCGGAACGTTTATTCTCGTCGCCGGTCGGCTCGGCGACTTGTACGGACACCGGCGGCTTTTCGTCATCGGCTTCTTCTGGTACGGGCTGTGGTCCCTTCTGGCCGGCTTTGGTGTCTACGGATCAACACCGACCTTTTTCATCGTTTGCCGCGCTTTTCAGGGCATTGGGACCGGATTGGTGCTACCGAATGCGGTGGCTATCTTGGGGAGGACTTATCCGCCAGGACGACGGAAAGAATTGGTCTTCAGCCTCTTTGGAGCAACTGCCCCGGCTGGGTTCAATGTCGCAGGCGTGTTTATCGCTCTGCTGGCAGAGAGGGTATGGTGGCCTTGGTCTTACTGGATCATGGCAATCTACTGCTGGAGCCTTTCCGTGGCAGGCTTTTTTGTGATCCCACGATCGCTGGATCCCCCAGCGGGATCAAGTAGTGCGTTGAAAACAGGCCGCAGGTTTGATTTCATTGACAAGATTGACATCCCCGGTGCTTTCTTTGGAATCACTGGCCTTATGTTCATCAACTTCTCGTGGAACCAGGCGCCGATTGTCGGATGGTCGAATCCATACACCTATATCCTTCTCATCATTGGATTCCTATCGCTCGGTGTATTTGCATTTGTGGAGCGCAAGGCGAAATTCCCTCTATTGCCGACTTCCATCTTTACGGGTGACCTTGGCTGGACTCTAAGCTGTATAGTGGCAGGATGGGCCAGCTTTGGCATCGGACTTTACTACTATTACCAGATCATGGAAATCATCAAAGGCGACTCACCACTCCTGGCAATTGCCAAATGGTCCCCAGCGCCAGTGATGGGCGTTGTTGCAGGCCTCACGACGGCGTACTTGCTTAGCCGTGTATCGCCGAGCGTAATCATGTTTATGGCAATGAGTGGGTTCCTTATCGGCAGCACACTGATCGCTACACTTCCAATTCACCAGACATACTGGGCGCAGACCTTTGTAATGACGGTTATCTACCCTTTTGGCATGTATGTAGAGCAAGCATCCCGAAATGAACTTGAATATGAGTGGAGCGCTAACTTGGATATTAGGGACATGTCGTTTCCCGCAGGATGTATCCTTTTGAGTAACTCGATGCCTCCCGAGCACCAAGGCCTCGCGGCGTCTCTCATTGCTACGACGATCAACTATTCCATCTCCATCAGTCTAGGTTTTGCAGGCACCATTGAAACTCATCTTAATCGTAAAGGAAGTGATTTGCTTAGAGGATATAGGGCGGCATTGTACTTCGCCGTGAGTTTGGCAGGATTTGGAATGGTCTTGACGATGCTGTTCATGCTTGTCTCGTGGAAGCGAAGTCGTAAGCGGGCCAAAGCGAGCACTCCGCCGGCTGTATAGCAGTGCATTTTTGCATGTCTTTCTAGTTTTACTGTTGCCAAAATACAAGTAGACTCCACTGTTACACAGGTCATGATACAGACCCATACGAAGATGTTAACCCATGAGGCTCTCCAACGCCGCCACGTTACGCCATGCATCGCCGTAGGCTAGCGCCATGCTAGAAAGTTTTAACCTTAAATATCATGCGCAGAAATATTTGAGGAGAAGCAATAGTATATCGAGAGTTCTGTTTGGTCCCTCTCTTGGAGACGTGCATTATTAAGTAGTGCTGACAAATGGCGCACTGCTAGTACCAGGCTCAGTAAAGCAACCCCAGGTACATGCACTATTAAACAGCCATGCTGGCCCATGCGGAATTTCCGCACTTCCGCAACTTTGGCCAGCCTCAACTTATTCCGTTGAAAGTTGTCAAACTTGGAAACCAGTGCGACGTAGCTGACCACCATAGGACACGGCTATTGCTAAACGAGCCATGTCAGCCGTGCGTACAACTATTAATCCCTCAGCATGTAGGTGACGCAATGACTCTGGCGGAATCCCGCACCGCAGGATGCTGGTCTAACGGGGAGACAATACAGAGTAGTCGCTTCATAGCATGGCATCTCCATCCTGGAATGACGAGCCAGTGAATTATGCTCAACTGTCATGCGAGCCTTGTAGAAAAGGCAAACGGCGATGTGACCGAGCATTGCCCAGATGTGGGCTGTGCTCTAGAAAGGGGGTCGGATGCGTTTATCTTTCACGTCGTCAAGCTCGCGAGACTCATCGGAAACCGATACAAACTCGAAGTGAGAGCCGATTGGCTGCTACAGCTACGCCAAACAATTTGCCAAGCTCTAGTGTGAATGGTTCCCGCTCGAACAGTCGAGTTGATAGCCACGTCTCTCATGCGAGTACTCCCTTTGTGAGCCTTGAATCCCCTGCAACCTCGGAGGACGCCGCCTCAGCAACTGCGTTATACTTCATCGCACCACACATTTTTCAGCAGGCACAGCTCGAGCTGCCCCAGATTCATGTCTCTATACCAGCAAATCTATCGCCATTCCAAAACAACTCCTCTCGCATCCGGAGCATCGCCTATACTTTCTTTGACTCAATTCACTGGTGGATGCCCATTATCTCGAAAAGGGGATTCTTTGCGCATCTGTTGAATCCCCTATCACAGCGCCGAAGCGAGCTCAGTCTGCTCATCATATGCATGCAGCTTTACTGTGAGCCCGATTTTAGCCCTGGTACGGGGACGCTTGGCATCAATGCTTTGTATCACGATGCCAAGAGATTGCATTTTAGGATGGAGGCCGCTGGTGTCTTGTCACTCCGACTTCTCCAAGCGGGTATCTTGATTGCGCTGTACGAGTTAGGGCAAGCCATTTACCCGGCCGCGTATCTAACAGTTGGTTCTTGCGCGCGATATGCCACAGCAATTGGTGTCGATAAACTGACAGACAACGAGACATCCATTGGGTATGGAAATACTCGCACCCTGTCTGAGGTTGAGGAACGAAGACGTGCGTGGTGGATCATTTTATTTCTAGATCGGTGAGTCTGGTTATATGACACGCTACAAAGTATTCTGCTCTGTATGCTAACAAATTTACAGGTTTTTAAACATCAATAACCCCGGCAGGTCACTAGCAACCAAAAACCCGACGTTCAATGACTTCCTTCCGGTTGATGACAAACTATGGGATGACGGCGTGAGATTGCCCGCCTTTCTACCATCCTGTTACGAATAATTATACCTAACAGCTTAATTAGATTGTTAAAGCGAGCGATTTTTACACTATATCTCAAGCGTTTACTCTCGAGATGGGTATGTTTTCCCGATTTGGGCAGGCCACCTATATGCTCAACCAGGCTCTCGACCTTGTGAGCCCGGATAACCAACAGAGCGCAATCGAGAGAAACCAGCAGATAACCCAATTAAGACGAACAGTTTATGCATTAATAACGGTTTCAAACGCTGAAGCTGATGCCAGAGAGCTGAGGGTATGCGCTGGCTTCTGTCCCCAGCTATCTATTTGCTCTAGGTAAGGATTGGATCTAGAATCGAGATGTATAAGCGAGGTACATGACTTCTGATAGCCTTGGCAGTATCATATTCTTGCTTCAAGAGCATCAATGGCGAGTGAACCGCAATAATATGAGCGATGTGCCCAATAATGTCTCAGCGAGAGACACTTGGGATGAGACTATATCCTCTCTGGACTACATAGCTACAGCTTGTCAAGGCTTTCGAGACCATGTGGTAGATGCCACCTCCGCACTGGTCGCCACTCCATTTCTGGCCCATGTGGTATATCAGGCAGCATTGTTTCTAATTCGGATGGGTCAAGGGGCTCCTGATAGTATCGTAACTGGGCGCATATCCCTCTATAAGGGCCTCTTGCAAGATATTGCTGCCAGATGGAAGATGGCTAGTATGTGTATACCTGAGAGACTTCCCGTATCACGATATATTAGTTTGCTGATTACATAGCTAGGCGTCTATTTGAGCATCTTGGAGGCGCAAGAAATCACGACGGCTTCCGAGGCCATGTGTGGTCCTCGACCCTTTAGGTATTCTCATGAAACTAATCGTAATAAGGAGTAATGGAAAACAGATTATGTATATCATGAATATTCCGCAGATGTTGCATTTCTAATATCAAATTTGAAGGGATTGAAGCCGTGAACTGTGACCAAAGCCCATGAATTCCCTTCATCTTGATTCGTTGAACAGCAAAAGCTTGTAATGCCAGACATAGGACTGCTGACTCGAGTATCAGTTCTTATGGAGATTTCAATTTATAAATGATTTATTAATTGTCTTTCAAATGGGGTCCATTATATAAAAAGCTGCGGTCAACTTTTTTAGCAAGTCAAAAGCAAATCCAATCGGCTGTGCTCGGTCCAAGGGCCGGATGTCCCCACCGCTCCACGTTCCCCACCATCCGATCACAGCTACCTGATTTTTCGGCTTCAGGCGGTTTCGGACTCCGAACTTCCCACCTTCACTGCGTCATCAGCTGCCAGAGCTCTTTTTTTAGCTCTTTTCTCTTTCTCTTCTTTGGCTATCATAGCTTTTCGCCAAAACCTTATCCACAGTCAACAGGCCACCGGAGCCCGTGATATCGAGTCCGCCCCCCTCTGTAAAGCAGAGTGGAGGTGTCGAGCAAAACATCCTGCCAATGGCCCCGATACCGATGATGCGAAGCCTCGCGAGGCGTTCTTTGCTGCACGACTTCTCTCCCAAGTTCGTATGCCGTAGTTGCAAGCAGCAGCGCCGCCGATTTGCGAGCTCGATAGCTACACCGGCCCGGCCACCGTCTTCAGGCCTAGCTGCCCTGTCCTCGAGGCAGCTGCTCTCAGTATCTGGTCCCGACGCGGCCAAGTTTCTGCAGGGCATCATCACCGCCAACGTGGTCTCTAGCAAGGGCGAACCTCGGACCGATGCTTTCTACACAGGGTTTTTGAATGCCACGGGGAGGGTGCTACATGACGTCTTCATCTATCCCGTTCGAGGCGCAACGGAAGAGGAGAATGGCTTCTTAATTGAGGTGGATTCAGCGCAAATCAATGCGTTGACCAAGTATATCAAGCGATACAAGCTCAGGGCCAAGGTGGCTCTCCGACAGATAGATGCAGGCGAGATAGCCGTATGGCATGCATGGAATGATGCCACTGGCGGGCAGCTCGACATTGCATCAGACGAATCAAGGATTGTCTTTGAGGACCCCCGGGCGCCAGGTCTGGGATGTAGAATCATCCAACTTGCAGGCCAAAAGCCGCCTGAAGTTGATATCAACCAGGTCGGCGAAGCAGCCTACACGATTCGCCGCTATCTGCACGGCGTGGCAGAAGGCCAGGACGAGATTCTGCGCGAGCAGGCCCTGCCTCTTGAGAGCAACATGGAACACATGAACGGCGTCGACTTCCACAAAGGCTGCTACGTAGGCCAAGAGCTGACCATCCGCACCAAGCACCGCGGCGTCGTCCGTAAGCGCATCCTCCCATGCGTGATATATGAGAAGGACAAGGCGGCACCCACGAGCCTTCACTACGATCCCGAGAGCGGCTCCCCCGAGGCCCTGACGGCAGACATGATCCCCGTTGAGACCAGCATCGGGCGGTCCGGCAAAAGGGGCCGCAGCGCCGGCAAGTGGCTTCGAGGAGTGGGCAACATTGGGCTGGGGCTGTGCCGCCTGGAGATTATGACGGACGTGGTGCTGCCGGGAGAGCAGGCCGCCGCGACGTTCAAGGATGGAGATGAGTTTGAGCTGGAATGGGGAGAAGAGGATAACAAGAGCGGCGTCAAAGTCAAGGCGTTTGTTCCGGACTGGTTGAGACGGAGTCTAGACGAAGCGCAGCGGTGATACCATCACCATGTATATTCTACGAGTGTATACCTACCTAGGTAGGTAAGCACCAAATATGTACAATATTTAGACGAAAAAGAATTCTCCATCTTGCTCTGCCCTTCTACGTAAAATAGCATGTAAATATCACTTGGTTCCCTCCATCACTGTTCGCTAAACGAAATGATGATAGTAGCTGATATCAAGCGATTCCTTCGCGGCATAAAAGCACTCACTGGCTGCTAACGCTGCGCCTTAATTTCACTTTCAGCAGCCGGCGCACTAAACCCCAAAGCCCAGAACATGCACCTAAGCAGCCATCTCATCACCTCCAACACATGTGCCGTCTGCCAATAGCACGGTCGGCTTACCTCACTAAAATGAGCCAAGGCTTCAAGGCTTGCCCAAGACGATAAGTTTTGCGCCTAAAAACCGCAAGGGGTTGAGTCAAGGCTGGCTAAAGTGAAGCCATCTCTCGTAATGTAAGCCGTACTGGCGCAAAGTGGTTGGATCGTCTAATAACTGTGGCTGCTGCAGTCAACGTAGGATTCTGCTTCCCCTTACTTTTTCCAGGCGCACGGTAAGGCTGAAAGAAGCTCCTGTTGGCAGGATGCCTCTCCATGGCGGACCGGAGCTGAAAGCCCATGATACAGTAGATGATGAGGATCACATGAGTGGTTGGTTCTGAAAAAGGCCCTTAATTCTTGGCCTTGGCGCTAGGCGATTAGCCATGGTCTTGGGTCATGGGTATCATTGGAGCTGCTAAATAGGCGTCAAGGATGGAGAAATGGGAAGGACTTGAGACCGTTTCTGGGGCTGACCACCCAAGGGGCTGCATGCCGTCACAAGTAGCTTATTGTGAAGCCGGTCTCGCGGCTGTGGTCATGCCTCTTCTGTCAGCGTCTTGGAGGCGTGAACCAGAGATCTGGGGTATGCGAGGAGGCGGCCTCACAGTTGGATGGGTTGTTTATTCCTATTCCGTTGTAGATATAAAAACGCTGGATAGCAGTCTGCTAATTTAGGCCATTTCCCCTTTGTGCTTCTCACATCTCATATATATGACCTTGCTAAAATCTTAAAGCTTGCTCTAATGGGCTCTCAACCTCCGATCCACAAGCGACTCATTGTCTGCTGCGATGGGACGTGGCTGAATAGCGACAACGGCTATAACGAGCCGACTCTAGAACATCCACTGCCGACTCTTCAAGTGCCGTCAAACGTGACTCGAATTAGCCGTTGTTTCAAGCGTCGATGCAACGATGGCACGCTACAAGTCATGACATATGAATCCGGCGTGGGAACTGGCAGCAATGCTATCGATACTTTTACAGGAGGCGCATTTGGCCTAGGTCTCTCTGAGGCAAGAGAAGAAATCCATTTACTTGTTTTTTCTCTCAGACGGAAAGAAACTAACAGATGCGATGCATAGCGAGTTCGCGATGCGTACTCATACTTATGCCTCAATCACATAGACGGCGATGAAATATTCCTGGTTGGGTTTTCCAGAGGGGCCTTTACAGCTCGATCGGTTGCTGGAATGGTTGGTAATCTGGGTCTTCTCACTAGAGAAGGCTTGGAATACTTTTACCCCATCTTCAAAGATATGGAGAATTGGAATAATGACGGGTATCAAGACGAGTTTCCAGGACAACCCTTTGACAATAAGCCCAAGGGGCCAAATGCAGCGGCCGTGTACCGAGAAAGACTCGAAAAGCTGGGATATACTCGCGTGTACCAAGAGAGCGGCGATTTGATCAAGATAAAGGCCGTTTGTGTTTGGGACACTGTCGGCAGTCTAGGCATCCCCAAAATATCCTGGCTAGAGAAGATAGGCATCCATCCCTCCAACGACGAATAAGTCTCCCTCTCTCCGGATGCTTTGCCGCAGAAAGCTAACTGCCACAGCACATATAGATGGCATGATACCTCATTATCGGATAGAATAGAGCATGCATTTCAGGCACTCGCCCTAGATGAAACCCGTGCTCCATTCAGCCCAGCCGTCTGGGAACGCCTCCCGCAGAACAAAATGACGACCGAGCTTAGACAGGTCTGGTTCCCTGGCAATCATGGCAATTGCGGCGGTGGATGGCCAGACCAGGAAGCCGCCGATGCTTCACTTGCATGTAAGTGATTTAGCATGCGAGAGCTAAATCCTTCAAGAAAGGGTGAAAGTCAGTGACTGACGTTGTAAACAGGGATGATGGATCAGATGGCATCTGTGGGAGTCGAATTTGACTTGTCATGTCTTGAGAGGGTGGCACAAAGCACCATCAGCTATTATAAAAGCCAAAGAGCCGCTTCAAAGAAAAGGGGTCCACAGTGGGCTATTGATCCCATCTACTCGAATAACCAACCGGTGAGGCCATGGGCACTTGGGCCCATCAATAAAGCTGGCAACTTCATATACAGACTCGCAGGCTTCGAAAACAGGACGCCTGGCTTGTATAAGCGAACTGACCCCAAGACAGACCGCGAGACCAACGTATTCCTGCAGGACACCAACGAGCGCATTCATTGCTCTGCGAGGGTTAGGCTGGCCTGTAAAGGTCTTGGCTTGGATGATAAAGCCGTTTGGACCTGTCCATCACTATCGAACTGGCAATTGAAGCATACCAATGAAACGTACAAGGACCCCATCCCTCAAAACCCAGACTGGTGGCAAGGCCCTCGTGATGAATCTGGAGTCGACAGGCGGCAAGGCGGAAGATGGATTTGGGAATACGCCGGGCCAAAGAGCGCCGAACCCACGGATCCCAAGCAGAGGATCATGGTGGAGGAGCCCCTAGGGCCGTATGAACGGTATCTTCTTCAGCTCTCTGCGGGAACGCCAAATGTTTACCTGTTTGCTGAGTCTCGAGACATTGTCTGGCAAGGGAAGACGATTCCGGCTCCGCGAAGTGGAAAGGAGTAATACCGTAACATTGGCGATCTCGAAATGAGGTAACAGTATTATTAGTAGCGCGGCGTATTTTTTTATTGGGACGTTAGGATATGCATTTTCTTTCATCCATAAACCAACTACCTCAGGTAGCATGCTATAATACCAACTTTCATGATAAGAGCTCTCTCTGGTCATCACGTGATGACGTATCGAGCGCTAAGGCGCGACGGCGCGCTGCAGCCTGTCACTCTCAAATCTCACGAGCTAGCAGCAACGCCACCCCAGCAGCATCTCAAAATCTTGAATTTTATGCCATCTTATTGCCAATAAGTCTTGTGTTTTGGCATTCAAAGGCTTTTTCTTTCGTTTTCATCTCATCCAACGGCAGCCGCACACTCTCAACATCCGCTGCTAGTCAAAGGCCATCACTTCATAGCAGTCTAGAGAAAATCGACGGTCTCTCACAATGAGCGACGACAAGGCGGACCTCCTGCGGTTCGCAAATGAGTATGCGGACAAAAATATCGACCTTTATGAGCTCCTCGGGGTGGATGCTCTCACTTCCAAAGAGGATATTCGCAGAGCCTGGAGAAAAGCGTCGTTGAAGTATCACCCCGACAAGAGAGGCGACGATTTTGATGCTTCAAAATGGGAGCTCTTTGAGAGAGCGAGGGATATTTTATCCGATGTCGATGCTCGCGCTGCCTATGACCAGTCTCTCAAAGCTAAGCTTCTGCGCAAACAAGAGCGCGAAGCAATGGACAAGGAGCATAAAAAGTTTGCTGACGATCTTGAAGCCCGCGAAAATGCGCATAGGCAGCAGAGGGAGCAGCAGCAGCAGCGAGACCGGGAGAAGCTGGACAAGGAACGGGAGAGACTGGCAGAGGAGCAGCGGATACACGAAGAAGAGAAGAGGCGGCAGGCTGAAGCGGCGCAGGAAATGGAAGACTTGGCCGAGGCAAGGCGACGACTGAAGGAAAAGAAGGAGGAGAAAGCAAGGAGAAAGCAGGTCAAGGAGTCTCTAAAAGCCACAGGCGCTGTGAAAAAGTCATCAGGACCCGCAAATGGCGCCATTGCCGTGCCCGGCGATTATGTCGTAGATATCGGCACTGCGAAGAAGATGTACTGGGAATTGGTGTGCGACAAGTTGCGAGCTGTGCAAGCGGTGAGAAACCTGCAGAAATTGGATACGACGAATAGTCAGGAGCTTGAGGAAGCTGAGAAGGAAATGAGACAAGCGAGGGAGCGAATCCATGAGGCGGAGATCAAATTTCAACAAGACACAGCAGCTGCTATCTAACTGTTCTCACCGACAAGAGATAAAAGGCAGCCGTGTTACGCCTGGCCATTTCGCTATATTATCGGCCTACAGCCTGGCATTAATGAAACGACCACATCTAGACTTACGATGATCAAAGATCTTCGTCAAGACGAAGGATGCTTATAGCATTGCCTCCCATGACTGCCGTTGCCTGTTTCGACCCTTCACCAACAGCCCTGGCTACGGCATCGGCATTCAAACTCACACTCTCCCATTCGCCTTGCTCATCTGTTTCAAGCGGCGGGAAAAAGGGATGATCGGTTCCAAACATTAATCTATCAGCACCACTGGCGTCTATTGCTGCTTTCAGTCCAACCTCGGAATAGATGACGGCGTCCAAATACAGTTGTTCCTTGAGGACTTCCCAAATTGTTCGCCGGCCTTTTCCTGCTTTGCCTTCTTTGACAAGCTGTCCATCGTGTAGGATACAGCTCTCGATTCTGCCTGCCAGGAAGGGAAGAGTACCTCCACTATGGGCCAGGATCATTCTCAGATCTCGAATTTTATCAAAGACACCTGACAGATACATCCGCGTCACTGCAATTGTGGTTTCCATTGGAAAACCTAGAGCGAGAGGCAAGACATGACCATATTCGGCGCTTGCTCGAGGGCCCCATACTTCATTGGGTAGCCCATAGTGTGGATGCAGGAAGATGGTCAGACGAGCCGCTGCTACAGCTTCAAAAATAGGAAGTAACGCGGGATCATCGAGCCCCTTGCCCAAGCCCGAGGTGCCGAGAATGATGCCTCTGCAATACTTAAGGCCCTGAACGTGGGATACCGAGGCGAGCACCGTCTCGAGAGGTGCGGTCAGAGGTAAAGTTGCAAAGAAGAATAAGCGGCCAGGGTGCTCGCCGCACATGCGTGAAAACTCTTCATTGACAGATTCACCCATCTTCCCCGACTCGGAGGCGCTGAGGAAATCAAGCCATGGGTTAGCCAAGGATATGACTGAGATGTCAATACCATGAGTGTCCATGAAATGGACCTTTTGAGCAAGCGATGCGAAATGAGAGGTGAGCGGCCGTCCAGGAAGCTTAGCTTCCGGATTGTTGGTGGCCTCCTCGAGCCCTTTGACTTCGGCTTCGAGCAAAATCAGTCGCGGATCTGGTGCCTGGGGAAATGAGCGAACAAGAGGGATCGCGGAACGAGATTCGAGGATCTTGATATATGACGGCGGATACATGTGCGTGTGGATGTCCACGACGCGCGATTTTGAGACGGCCATGCCACAGGTCGGAGAAGGAGGAATCAGATCCTCACACAATACGGCTCAAAATATGAAATTGGGATGAACTCGGTGGGAGGGAAAGAGCTTGGAGATCATTTGTTGTTGAGATACGAAACCATCCCCCCCGCGGACAACCGGTCGCATAGCGGGGATAGTTGGTTACAGTCCTCGGGTGGCAGCAAAGCCACTCTCTCACTCAGTGACTTCGTTAAGAGACAAGGACGTTACATCGATGCATTGATAGGCGAATCTACTACCACCAGAACACCACCTCGACCAACTGCTAACTGGTGCACCGAGGGGCACTGGTGCGTTAAACATCGCAAGCCCCGCACCAGTTCCCAAAGGTCCACCAGCCGTACCAGTCAGAAACTGCCAGATCCGCCATTCGATGCACAAGCCCCAGGCTAAGCATATTAGCTGCCGTGTTTTGACCCCGGCTTATCGCTGTCTTAAACTCTGGCTCAAGATGCTCACGCTTGGTGGCACGACTCTTATCCCCCGCCGCTTAGTGACGTTTGCAGCGCCGCCGACGAGAGCCGTGGTGAGATGGGAGCCATGTAACTCTGCGTCAATTTTGGCTCTGAGCTTGGGACATAAATACTACCCGTAGCAAGTACATAGACCCGAGTTCTCCTACTAGATAAATCGTGTATCTACTTCCATCTTGTCAAGTTCAATCTACATTCTACTCGAACAAGGCACAATGGCAACAGACGCTGCAGTGAGCAAAGACGGACTTTTCATTCCCGTATGTAAAACCATGTTTATCTTTGTTTTGGGCGTGTGAGGCACGGATCTTCTGCTCAGTCTGAGTGTTACATACTGCCGAGCTGACCTGTTGGCTTACACCCATTTAGCTCATTGACTTCTCCAAATTCCTGAATGGCGATTCATCCACCCGCTTGGAGACGGCCAAAGCCATCCTCAATGGCTTCCAGGATGCTGGCTTCATATACCTTAAAAATCATCCCATTTCATCAGACACGGTAAAGCATGCCTTTGCCATGTCGGCAAACTTCTTTGCGCAGCCTTTAGAGAAGAAAGACGCACTTGAGTGGACTACTCCACAGGCCAATCGCGGCTATGTAGCTCACGGGCGAGAAAAAGTCAGTCAGCTAAACGACGCTGCAGAAGTAGAAAAGATTCGCAGCGCAGTTCCGGACTTGAAAGAGAGCTTTGAAATCGGCCGCGATGACGAGGTCGGCCACCCAAACAACTGGCCCGAGGAAGAAGGCGCAGTTACGGGCTTCAAGGAAGATATGAAGAGCTTCTTTCAAGAGTGCAAAGCTCTGCATGTAGAAGTCATGCGGGCTATTGCTACAGGCATGGGCTTTGAAGAGAATTTTTTCGATAGGTTTGTGGATGTTGGAGATAATACGCTACGACTGCTGCACTACCCAGAAGTCAAGTCTGAAGTGTTCAACACACCAGGCCAAGTCCGTGCTGGGGAACACAGCGTAAGAAAACCCCGGATAAGCGAGGTTGTTTTTGTACAATCCTTTTTTTTTCTAACGTCCCCTTTTTGATACAGGATTATGGATCTATCACGTTACTCTTCCAAGACAACCGCGGCGGCCTGCAGGTCAAGAGCCCAAACGGGAATTTCATTGACGCAACTCCTATTGAGAACACCATCGTCGTCAACGCCGGAGACCTGCTGGCGAGATGGAGCAACGATACGATTAAGAGCACCATTCATCGTGTAGTTGAGCCCCCACGAAAGGAAGGCAAGACGTATCCTTCTCGATATAGCATCGCGTAAGTGAAATCATGCAAGTGGGCTTTATAAAAAGTTACAATACTAAGTCGAAATGCAGCTACTTTTGCAACCCAAACTTTAAGGACCTTATCGAAGTGCTGCCGGGAACATATGCTACTAAGGAGGAGAAGAAGTATGAAAGCATAAACAGCGGCGATTATCTCGTTCAGAGACTCACCGCAACATATTAATACATGTGTGTGTGTTTGTGTATGAGTAAGCGTGTCTGTTCTGTTGATTTGACGGGAAAAGAGAAGAGAGAGGGCTCTTCTAACATGGCATGACACGAACCCTGCGACGCCCGGTCTGGGATTCGCCGCAGGGCACCGAGTGTAGGCAAGCCAATGAAAGCGAAAACGTGTTCACGTCCAGACTCAGCTAAAGAGGGGTCGCGTCATGTGCGAAGAGCTGTGAGGGATGTGGATGTGGGGGTGGCTTTTTGATAGCAATCCTACAGGCTTGTTATTTAGTATATAAGCTTCTACCGTCTGAGCTTCTACTTGTCTTATCATCTGATCAACGATGTCTTAAAATGTTCATCCTTTTGCCCTAATGCTACTTACTCTGTATAAGTGGTATTAGTAGGCCATGATAGAACGCTTTGCAACTTGCAACAGTATAAATTATTCACTTGAATATGTTTTGGAGTAGCGATGACCAGAAAACAGGCAGCTATGCGGCCAGCAGTGACATACATCCATACGATGAAGAAATAGAAGCATTTTTTACTCGCAACGGATTTGATGGAGCAACTAGAGATGCATGTGATGAGTATGCTCGCGTACGGTTTCCTGGCTCGGCAGCAAAGCCAGCGGCGACGCAGGGTTATTGTTCTTATACGCTGAATATATCAGATGAATACCTGCTGCAGTTCCGGCCAGAGGCGTTCAAGTTGGACACGGACACCTGTATGGAAGTCAAGTCTATTTACGGCAAATTTGCCCCGACGACCAGATATCTCGGCGAGGTAGGAGGGGTAGCATTACAACAAGTGCCAGATGCGAACGTTAGATCGTCGGCGATGATGCATGTATATCTTCATCAAAGAATCCGGGGGATTCCTCTGTCGGAATTTCGGAAAAGGAACAAAAGTTGCCGGCCTGATGAAGACAAGATGTTTAAGAGGAGATTGATGAGCGGTTTGGCCAAAGTATTTGCGCTCGGCTTTCGCGCACGGCAGGCCTCACAGGAAATGAAGCGAATACTGCCAGCAGGCACTATGGCGAAGGGGACGATTGGAAAGTCGATGCGCTGGCGTCTTAATCTGCTGAGTGGCTTGCCGGACAAAGACTTGCTCACGCACGTATCAGAGGCGCAAGCCCAGCTCGATATTGTCGAAGCGTCAAGCTGGTGTCTTACACACGGCGATCTTCTCCCGGGGAACATGATGGTTGACGCCAAGACCGGCCATTTGACGGGACTCATTGATTGGGCTGAGGTTGAGTGGCTTCCCTTCGGGATGGCTCTGTATGGTGTCGAGGAAGTGCTTGGGGAAGACATGCCTTCTGCCGCTGGGGGGTTCGAGTACTACGACGACCACGAGGAGCTGCGTCAGCTCTTTTGGGATGAGTTTTTGGCTTCCGTTAGACGAGATGGAGAGGAGATTCAGCTGAGGGAAGCAGAAGCAGCACGGAAGCTGGGAATTCTCCTTTGGAGGGGTATCGCGTTTGACGACGGGAAGATGGACCGCGTGGTGGAGAGTGGAAGAGACGATTCGGAGATTCACAAGCTGCGGCTGTTTTTGGAAGCGCCGAGCGTTGTGGTTTGTTCGAATAAGAAATGTCACTGGAGCGAGTCGTTGATCTCCTTGTGGGCGTGTGTTAGGAGGGTGTTCTGGCATGGAGGAAGAGGATGCTGCTTTGGCAGTGAGAGCGACGAAACGGATCTCAGGGCTAGAAAGGATACATTTATAAACAGAAGCAAACTCGGTGCTGCTTAAGACGCCATGCGCTGCAGTATTCTTATTAACTTTAACCCCAATTAATAAATAAGCCTTGTTTATATACATGTTAATTATATAAAGAAGTAAAAATTATAGTATATTTACTATAATGTGGTTTTAAAAGTAGAAGCAACTAAAATATTTAGAAATATCATGGCGACGAAAGCATCATCTAACGCGAGCGAGCGTGTAGACGGGATTGGCAAGGATCTACAGGTTCACACTGGAAATGAAGCATTCAAGACAGCATTCACAACGACGCAGGCAGAGACTGGCAGAAGGACAGCGCTTCTATTTTATCAACGACACTCGCGTGTTCCTACATAAGATATACAGAGGAAAAATGAGCGTAGTGTTTGCGAGGTTACAATGAATGTTTCACTCTACTCGTCGTATGTATTATCACTACCTAAGGTATAATACTCCTCTTTATTATCCGTATAATGAACCTTCCTTTGATGAATATCTGTCTTGCTCCGTCCCGTGGCGGTGACCAATTTTTCAGTATTGTACAACAAAAGCCCCAGAGATTCCATTTGCTAAATTAGAGTACACGATCCATAGTCCCATAGCATTTTCATAGAGACGTAAACGCACCAAATAATAGCGCCACCCATTCCTAAATGACATATTTCTATCAGTATTTCAACCCTTTTCAACCGGTATATGGTGATTTTCCTCGTCATATTCTGTCCATCTTCTTCTGAAAGAGTATACCTCAAGTCAGGCATAGAGGCTACAGCGCCGCCAAACATCAACCAAATCTGAGAGGCTGCCAGTTGTGTCTCCGTGCTATCGCTCCCAGGCTGGAATTTTGTAAGCCCCAGTATTATCAAGAGAGTGAGTACCGTAGGTAGTAAGCCAACAGGTAGCCATGCCAGGCGTATATATCTCCTGCGTCCATATCTCTTCTCAGCAAGGTTTTCTTCTCCGGAGACGTCGTCTGCGTCCTCTTGAAGAATCCCAACCACGCCTTGGAAATGCGCATCTGAATTGGCACGTAGGTTCCGCATAAGTTCGGTCTCGACCATGTATAAATGGGAGTATTGTGGACAGGTCATGTTGGCAACCAAATTAATAAAGGACATGATGGCATATTGGATAACTGTAAGTCCAAAAGCGGCGTAGCCAAAGCGGTCAATTTGATCACCCCGGGAGCGGTAAATGGTGGAAATGGCGAAAATTAGCTGGACGATGGAAACAATGGTCTTGACCGGGCTGTAGGTTGAACTGATATTTGCAGGGCTTAGATCGCCATTGGGCCCTCCGACCACAACTGGAAATTCAGCATTTGAGGGAACCAGGGCAAAAGCGTATTCATCAGGTAGAGTGTACGTTCCGTGGATAGATGGTTTCCACAATTTGTCTATGCGAGTTGGTCGTTAGGCGTCTATATCCTATCCAATGAATGTTACAAAAATCGATCAAAACTTACTTTTACTTAATATGATAGCTTCACCACTTGAACTTTTATAGTCTCCCTTTCGCACAACCTTGATTAATGCGCCGGCCCGTGCAGCCTTATGAAGATCTGTCTTTCCTAGAAGGGCGAGTCGTAGGATTGTTCGCAACCCCATAATAAATCCTGTAACAGGGAATAACGTGGCGTAGACGATATGGAGTACTGTCCATGTCGTACTTTGGCCCGGCACGGTAACCACCGTTGCAGCATGCGCGATGTAGTTACCAACTATAAAAATAGCAATGTCGTACCATTGTGTTGGTACACATATCAGGTCTGGGTCCCCGTGGGTAAAAGCCCCTGGTGGGAGAAATTCCGTACCGTTGGTAAGGGAGGTGATAGACGGCATGAGAGCAATTGGAAGTAATATAGATAGGTATTTTCGGTTTTGACCCTCATGTACATGCACCGTGAGTTAGAGGAAAGTGGAAATATTATAGTATATCTATGAGCCAAAAAAAAGTAGCATTCAACCAAGGATTGGACTTTTTTCCTCATAGGCGGTAAGACTATGTTCGCAGCAAAACTCTTTTTAGCAATCAACTGCCTCTTCGTATATATATACATGTAGTATCCCGACAAGGTATTTTTGAGAATATACCGACCAGACACCGACACCTCTTATGATTGGCTGACATTTTCATCGAAATATTGGAATTACCTGAGAGCTGAGCTTTGGATCCATGTTCAGGTAGCGATGATGTGTGGGGGCCAGTGTAATAGCTAATAGTAGCTCAGACACACAGCCAATGTAATCTCGACAAGCACGAGATACAAAAGGTATCCGCTGATAGCAAAGCTGTAATATAGAACGCCCTGTTATAATCTGTAGAAAAGCGAAAAGGCTTTGAATCGGCCTGGGATAGTCGTAACTTGTTGAATCTTATATAACACGCCGGTAAAATGGGACAGCAAGTATTAGGCTCGGGGGTGAGCGTCTGGTTGTATATAGGACCATTGGGCCACATTATTAGATGCATAAAATACATTTTCAAACTAGCAGTTGAACGTAATACCTCCAAGCTGTGTCCATGCAAGACTCAAAAACCCATACCTGTTTTTACCTTCGGCGCCGGATGACATCTCTCCTATAAATACTGTCCCACTAACGCCCAGCTTTTCTCCGCTGTCTCTGTTTCTCAGCCTGCTCCTCCATATTAGTTCTAGTCTTTTCGTCCAGGTTTTCGACCAGCTCGAGCGGCGTCCTGCGTTCAAAATCATGCGCCGCAGGATCAGCATCAGCGTCGACAAGCGCGTTCACAACCCCATTGTGGCCATCCAGACAAGCCACATGCAGGGGCGTGCGGCCCAAGTCGTCCGTTGCGTTGACAAAAGCGACGGCAGCAAGCACACGGACGGCAGCCTCGTGGCCTCCCTTGGCGGCGAGATGGAGCGGCGTGAAGCCTCCCCGGAGGCAGGCCAGGTCGGGGCTGGCGTTGTTCTGCAGCAGCAGCTGAACAAGCTGATGATGCCCAGCCTCTGCCGCGCTGTGCAGGCACGTTTCTTGGCAGTCTGTGATGGCGTTCACTTTGGCACCTGCTGCAACGAGGAGTTTTGCAATTTCGACATGGCCCCGGTGTGCCGCGAGTGACAGCGCAGTATGGAAGCTGTAGTGCTCGGCCTGCAAAGGCATTTCTGGGATGCTGTCTAATAGCAGCTTCACAACCTCCGTCTGCCCGCCCAGCACAGCTTGCATCAGTGGCGTGCTGGCGATGCTGAGTCTATCGTCGTCGAATATCCGCAGATTTGAGAGGACATCTGTTCGTAGCTTCTGGAGATGTTCCGGTGCGGTCCACTTAGAAAGATTCGTCCTCCACGCAGGACCTGTGCTTGTAGCATACTCCTCTATCCCACCGGCCTTGTGCAGAGCACTCAGCAGTGCTTCTTCACGACAAGCCTCATCACGTGGCCACTCTGGAAGTCCTTCTTTCCACTTCTCTATCGCAGATTCCACCTGACTGGGAAGCTCGTTCAGAAGGACTTTGACAATATCTGGAAACCCTTTCTTTGCAGCTACATGGACAGCCATGTTTCGGTTGTCGTCTATACGGTATATGATTGATCCTGCCTTGATAAGCTGCAGAACAATATTAAGATGGCCACCTCTAGACGCTGCAAATAGAGCTGTCTGACTCTCGTGGTTCTTTTTGTCGATCACGGCCGAGCCTTGGCTATGCTTCAGCAACTCCTCTACAACGTCATCATGTCCCTGCTCTGCCGCTAGGTGGATGGCTGTTTCCCCGCTATGATCGGATATGGATATAAGTCCTTCTCTTCCTTTTTCATTGTCCTCGGGAAGAAGCGTCCGAACTATATCAGCAGAGCCTTTCAGAACTGCAGCATGAAGCGGCGTACGTCCTTCATGGTCCGCTATAAAGCGAGCCCCAGCAGCGAGAAGCATCTGGATTCCTGTAATGTTGCCCATCTCTACCGCCAAATACAGCGGCGATCTGTTTCTCGCATCCACCACGTTGACGTTCGCTTTCGCAGCGACGAGCACCTTCAAAATAGCCGGATCCACCCGTCGAGCTGCATAGTGTAGTGGTGTCCGATCTATTTGGTCTGGTATGTCCGTGGAGGCCTGGCTTTCTAAGAGCTGGTTGACAGCCGCCAGACGTCCGAGCAAGACGGCAGTGTGTAGCGGAGTTCTACCTAAATCATCTTGGGCGTTCAACTGCGCACTATCAGAGGTTGTTATTTGGGTTTCAGGGCGGCCGCCTTCGGGAGTTGGATCCGCGCGCTGGAGTATTCTCACTGTGTCTGAGCGCATTGAGCGATTTGCTACCTCTAGTGGGGTGTGCTGGTCCATATTGATGCACTTTGTGGGCGCTCCAGCACGTATCAAGACGCTGACAATATCGTTATCGCCTCTAGATGCGGCTATATGGAGCGGAGTGTTTCCATCCTCGTCAACCTCACTCAATTCTAGCTTAGAATCTCGCTGCTCTAAGAACGGCCTGACCAGTGTTATGTTACCGGAGCGAACAGCCATATGAAAGGCCTTATTATCAGCTACAGCACCCGCGCTGAGGAGACACTTGACGGCTGGCAAATCTTTGAGAGCGGCAGCTAGGAAGAGCGCCGTTCTGCCGTGTTGGTCTTGCGCGTCCAGTGACACTCCGTTCTGGACCAGCCGGTGGAGAAGGGCAACCGTAGGGGGCGGATGGCCTGGCTCCCGCAATACAGCTGCATGCAGAACGGTTCCTTCTGTGCTGTCTCGCGCCTCTGGCTGTGCGCCGTGACGAAAAAGGATGTCAATGATATCCTCCTGGCCCTCGCGTAAGAACGCAGCCGCGTTATGGAGAACAGTCCGGCCGACCCAATCCGGTAGGTCCTGCTGTATCTGTGTCTTTTCGAGCAGTAGACGGACAATCTCACGGTGGCCTTTCATCGCGGCGAATCTGAGTGGCGTTCTTTTCCAGAGATCCGGAATAGTGGCATCAATACCAGACTCCAACAAGCGCTCTACCACCTTGACGTGCCCATTACCAGCTGGCTTGAAGAGGGCTGTCTCGCGGCGCCTATCCAAGCTATTTTTATTTGCTCCATGCCGGAGAAGACTATCCACAACGTCGAGATGGCCCTTCTCGGCCGCGAAATAGAGCGGTGTTCGCTCAGACTTGTCCCTAGCGTCCACAAGCACTGCACATGTATCTAACAGATACTCAACAAGATCTAGATGGCCAAATATGCATGCTTTATGAAGCGCCGTCTGACCAAGCAGGTCTTCATATGACGTGTCCACGCCGGCCTCACACAGGAACTTGACCATCTCGATAGAGCCTCGGCGGGCGGCCTGGATTAACGGCTTGCGGCAATTATCCACCAGAGATGGATGATGCTCCAAGAGCGTGCGTACTACGCCTATATGACCGTTCTCGATGGCGAGGCCTACCGGTGTCTCGATCGCTCCACTCTCATTAGACAGGCTGGCACCACGCTTCAGTAGGATGACGACGCATTTGGTCCATCCCAGCTGGCAAGCCACATGCATGGGCGTGAATTTGTACTTGTCCGGGATATCGACGAGTTTCGGATCTGTGATGTGTGCGAGTAATTGCTCAAGTGTCTCATAGTTTCCTCGCCGCACCGCCCTGTGAAGAGGGTACGCGCCGCTGGAATCAGCAAGGTCCATCCGGGCGCCTTGTTCCAGTAGGTCCTTCACGGTATGTGGGTAGCCCTGTCCAGCAGCAATGTGCAAGACAGTGCTTCCAGTGGCGTCGCGGAGATTGACATCGGTCTCTGCCACGAGCGGCCTGACAAATAGCCATATATCAAAGAAAACAGCGACGTGAGGAGGCTGAGGCAGCGTTGAATCTCTGCTATAGAGTCTAAAGTGGGCCCGGAACACGCCGTCCAACTCGGCCCGTGCCGTCAACCAAGTAGGGAAAGTGTCCCGGTCACCAAAGAAGGCCGTTACAGCCATCCTCTCTTTCTCGTTGGCCATAATCTTCTCTTTGGATCTTCCGCAGTGATACGGCCATTCTAGGACGGCATACTCGCGAAGGTCTCTATTGTCCAAGAAGGCCACTGACGTAGCATTACAAGCGCGACGTGTGCTCCCTAGGCTCCAACGTAGATATGTTACACAGGAGATGGCAATGTCTTCGTGGCTGACGTCAAGATGAACTTTGAGATCAGAGGGACACTGCGCGCCCTCTTCCTCTATTTCCTCGCCCAGCAGAAACTGTGACACCGTCGTGTGGACGAGGCGGACAGTCTTGTCCGGGAGAATTTCTATCAGTGGCAATAGGTTTTCGCGCAGGAAGGCCTCGAATCGATCGTTCCCGGATCGATCTTTTCTTAGCCCTTCAGGAGGTTGATCTCTATCTAGATCGAAGCGTCCTTCTGATCCCACATATCTGCCAATTATATCAACCCCACGGAGACTATCGAGAGTGAGGGGTCGTCTGCATGTAACCAACCATTGTAATATCTTCTTGGCAAACTTTTTATCTGTAATTTTGTTCATCCTGTCGGCATAGAGCGCAGATAGGTTTTCAGGTATCCTTTCCATCTCAGCCAGCAATTCGTCTTCGTTTGCGGCCTTGACTTGGAGGATGTCAAGCATGAGCTTTGCGTATAAGATCATTCCCTAGCACAGGTGTCAGAATATCAGTGACTAGAGCGGAAAGGGCAAGGAGAGGAAACGTAAAATAAGGCTGTCTTACGCTTGAGCGATGCTTGAGCTTCTCCAACACTTTCGGCATTTCTCTCGGAAACATCGAGTCTGCATTATTGATGCGATCAATAATAAATCTCTCAATGTCCTTGTCTAACTTGCTTATCATATCACTCAACTGGATACATGGAGAGCTGCCGTAGAGTGTTTTGAGCTCCCGCGAAGGGCGGCTCGTGATGAGAATGCAGAGATTGGGCAATCTCCGAATCTCTTCCAGCCACTCTTTCAAGGCATCTGTATCTGTGTCTTTACATTCATCCAGAGCATCCACTACTAGAAAGCTTTGCTCAGTTTGGCCTAGTACTACCTGCAGGGCTTTGAAGTAAGACATCTTTCCGGGTCCTTCCCTCTGAATTGCTTTTTGCACCGATTTGAACGAACTCGCCTTTAATTTGGGAAAGGTCTTCTTGATTCCCGTGAGAAGCTGATGCAAAATCGTCTGATAAAATTTTTCTAGGGACCGCAGGTCTCGAAAGTCTTCGTTCTTGGCGTCAAAGAAGAATTTCATGAAATTGTTTGTCTTCTTCTCTTGTAAATGTTCACACAGCCACTTTTTTTAGTCTATATTAGCTAGATACTTGAAGGAAGCACGACAATTGTGGTGGGGGGGAGGAGCAGATCAATGATTGATTCAGTTGATAGGGCTGCTACTGACTTGTGCGATGAATGTTTTACCAGAACCGGGATTACCGAGAATCCACAGCATCGTGTTTTCTAGGCTCCAATTCTGGAACTCGTTCTCCTCAATGATCCACTCACAAGTACCGCGGGTCAGGCTTCGCCTCCGCTTCTCTTCATCTTTGAAGCTGCAAGCTTCCAGGTTCTTTAGCAGTTTCAACTCACTAGCATCTGCAGTAGCTGGATTGATTACCAATAGTTCCATTTCAATTGGGGTTGCTATGATGAATAAAAGAGGGTTGCGAACCAAATTTATCTCGCTTCGTGTCCATCTTATCTAATAAATACAAGTTAACACTGTACATAAATCAAGCCGATTTTAGCTATATTTTGATGCAAATGGGAATTGCCTTACCATTCCAAGATCGCAGAAACTGTTTTATCTTATTCCTGACCGCCATATAACTCCCATCAGTTTCGCTGCTATACTTGTTTAGATCAAAGTGATTCGTATCTAGTGGGCTGGCTTCTTCGCCACGACGGGTGCCAGATTCTCTCGTAACGACCTTGGATAATGGAGTATCTTTAGTCAGCCATGTTGGTATCATATACAAAGTCTCTGTTTAAGCTCTTACCATTTTAAAAGACATGCCAAGGATGACATTGGGCACTCTCTCATAAAAGTCAAATGATAAGCCGCGGTAATGTTTCATAAATTCGCTCTCCATGTTCATTATGTGCTCCGACCCCTTGTCCATGTATCCCAACAACAGGGGATTTGCGCCATCCCAGTAATGGAAGAGGCAGTAGATTTTACCTAGCAAGGAGTAATCAGAGCCTGCGTGGGGAGTTCCCAAGAAGATGGCACCAGCAAGGCTGTCTGCGATGTTTTTATGTCTTTTTTTGGTGTCTTCGTCCGCGGCGGCTGCTTTCGCGAGAACAAGTGTCTATTGTTACAATGGTAAAGATAGAAAGATTAGTTAGAGCTCGAGCGGGATGAATAAAACCTGGAATACAGCAATCGTTTTTTTTGGGGGGGGGGGGAGGGAGGGAAGAAGAAAGAATGACGTGTAATTACTTGTTCGATCAACAATCCACCAAAGCTATGGCCAATTAAGATTAAAGGACGAGTTTGGGCCTAAAACATCAAATATATGCGTTAGCGCTTCAACTTGCATGACTAGGAGAAGCTTATACTGTAGGTATTGGTATCGGTCTTACCTCTTCTGTATTTCGTTCGCCTTCGAGGAATCCAAGAAGCTGTGCTCCGTGATCAGATAAATTGCTGCCCAAAGCTTGAGATTGCCAGCTAGTGTTATGACAGTAGGTCATGATACGAGCTTTGGGGAAATCTAGATGGAGAAAGTCTCGCAACCAGAGTTTACCAGACCGCTTATGCGTCCAGGTTGTTTCGACTGAGGATCCCAGTCCGTGGACTGCAACAATACTGCGATTAATACCTGTCAGCAGCCGAGCGGTGAGATATAATGGAGAAATAGCTTTTCAGGTCTCACTCTATATCAGCATCTCGTGGATCGTGCAGGGTGCGAATGGGGGGTCCTGCATATGCGTGCTCCCGTCTTTGCCTGGTTCCTCTTGTCGGCTCCCTAAAGATCTGGGGCACTAGGCCCGTTGGCGCGTATTGGAGACCCTTTGATAGTAAATTTTTGAGAGCCCAGATAAATAGAGGTCCAAAGGGGGACATAAAAATCGTCAGACCCAAAAGTATTGTGGATATAAATCTCCCCCATGTCGAAGAGGCGGGGGAAATGATCCATACTGTGAACGCCCCAATAGCAACCGACACGAAGTTCCGGATAGACCGCTGCCCGAGGCGAATAGACAAGAGAATGAAAATAAGCACAACAAAAGGGATGAGTTCTTCGCCTGCGCGTAGCATTTTCAGCTCTGAACCTCGCAGTACTTCGTTCATCGACGGGCTCGCTCTCTGTTGGTTCTTGATGCTAGAATCCTTACTGGTAATAAGAAAAACGCTAGAAGTGTGGATTGATTGAAGGCGTGTATGCATGGAAGCTGGGGAGGCTGGAAAGGCTAAAATATTCATCAGATATCTATTTATTTCAAGTCAGGCTCCTCTCGTCCACGGATGTCGACATTGGTGCTCCCAGCCTGAACAAGGGTATCTCAATGCGCATGAATGCCTTTCGGTCAAGAACCGGCCAATGGGTGTTCCATTCAACCCTCATGCTTGGGCACACAAGCATATGTATATGATAAGAATGCTATTGGACAGTGTATTTTTTCTATGGCATGCCATCAGTCCACAAGAAATGCAGTGTCGACTGATCTGTGTATTCGTAAAAAGGGCTGAATATAACGAGGCATTCTTTGTAGTGTGAAAGTTTCATTTCATCAAATACTAAAAAAAAAAAAAAAATCATTCCTGATAATAAAGACTTTACACGATATGTGTGAGCCTCCTTTCAGCGCGGACTGTGAGCTTTGCAAAAGACTAATGGTGACTACCGATGGCCATATTAAAAGGAGCCCCAACCCCGCTCATGATAGCCAGGTGGCGACGAATAAAAAGGAATATTTGCCTGGCGAGCCTCGTATACAGCTTGATGACCCAGCTATGGGCGCGTATCTTGAAGAAGAATTGGCAACGCCAGAGCTCAACCAGTTATCTCCCCACCTCTGGCTTGTTGCGAAGCAGGACAGTGCCCATATCTCATCTTTGACGCATCAAAAAGTCCGCGGTCGCGAGATCATCATCACAGAGCAGCCCAGGCTGCATCTTGTCTGGTACAACGATCGTGTGTTTATCAAACCCTTGCCCAAATACCTCCTCTCACGCGCTTTTTGGGATTTCTACCTCGTCTCTCCGCACTCATCTCTGGAAAAGTCACTGCAGAAAGAATTGCGAGAGGCGGCTCTTGGTTTTCTCCGGTCATATAGCTATCTTGTGCGGCGACGATCTGACTTTGACCTCGCCATGGACGAGTCTCACCGTCTTCTTCCGAAAAAGACGACATATTCTGGCTTTATCAAATTGATCAAGTCGCTGGAAACCATTGATGACCATATGGTCTCTCCACGCTATCACTACGGCGAGCTGCGACTCTCGCGGCTTAATTTCTGGATTAAAGTCTTCAACTTCCGGTTTGCCTACCAAAAGATCGAGGGCCAGTACAGTCTCTATTTTGCACGGTTCTATGGACCTATCCTCTTTCTCTTTGGAGTCCTCTCCGTTATATTGAGTGCTATGCAGGTAATATTTGCTGTGTTGCCGCTCATTAACGATTCCGACGCGTCATGGCTCGATTTCGCAAAGCTGTCTCGGACGTTCTCTATCATGACACTGTTCGTTGTCGCCACTGTCATTATCTTTTTCCTACTGGCATTCATGAGTCTAGCTTCTCGAGAGACTATCTACGCGCTAAATGATTTATATCATAATCGGCGGTCGACACAGACCAAGACGGAGGCATAAAAACAAGCTTCACTAACAATAGCCATGGTTATAAGTGCAATCAGTTTGCAATAGACCTGTGTGTGACGGCCTGAATGCAGATTTCTGTAGTATGAATCGCACATTCTTATTATTTTCATTATTATTTTCATTAATCATATCAAGTCTATTTACGTCGTTCTCACAAATCAAGCGCTACTCACGCTGTCTGTGATATTGTTTGGCCATGTCGTTCCTGTAGATATAGAGCTCTATTGACAGAAGATGATCCGTGCCCACGCTAATTATAACTAATACCGACTAGACACCGACATTGTTTATAATTGGTTCGCATTGTTAATATCCCCGTGGGGGCAGAAGCAAGCTAATGTTTGATGCTAACCTTAAAATCTATATTTAGATGCAAGGGGCATAATATTACCATTCCGGACTGCAAGATGCAGGTTGATAGTTTTCCCGATTTTTTCGACATAAGATACGTTGAATTGATCAAGAGATGTCCCAATAGTCTAACATATTCCATTGATTACGAAGCACGTTGGAAGAATCTGGTCGACAAGGTTTCTAATGTTCCCATCTATAGCTGATTGAGAAGCAGCGCTTCTTTAATATTATCCCATAACCTGTACCGTGGGTCCTATTCCATTAATATATCACTACTCAGACTATTGTTGATTGTTGCTTCTATACTCGCATCAAAATCTTCAAAATTCTCGCTCTTAGCCTCCCTTTTAAGCTGTCTCCGGGTTCATCAGCTTGCGTCTGATACTCTAGCCTTTTGGTTTGATCTCAGCTCGCTCCAGTCCCGCACAGGTACTACAGTTAGATCATAATCTGTAACAACCGTCCATATATCCCCATCTTTATCTTCCTTTCTATTTACAGACTCGACGAAAGTCTGTAAGGCCTCTAGACTCGGGAGACATACCCATCCGTATGTCATCACGCTGTTAACCCCCACGGCAGTCGGATTATAGTCATTAAATAGTTCAAATAGATCTTGGACCTGCATATTGCTAAACCCTGACGTGCGACTAAATCTAGTTATATATGGAAAGAATTCTTTCGGCCTAGGCCGTGCACCCTTCCACAGTCTCTTTTCCTCTGGTATGGCGGGAGTGTTCGAATGTTTACGGGAAAGCTTTTTCTTATTTTTTTTTATGAAGTAATAATAATACTCAACTTCTCAGAATTATAAGGGGATCCTACTAATTGAATAAGCAGCGCTGTTACCCGAACAAAGTCTGTAGCTGCATTGTGTTGAAAGGCTGCGCTTTGCAAGTCTTTTGCATGCCTTCCAAACCCACAGGCAACAAGGGTATCGCGCAAGCCAGGATGCAAGACGTTGGATAAACTGCTTGCCAGTTCTTGGAGGTCTAAGCAATGTGTAAAATGTTTTAATAGGGTGGGATAAAGGCTTGAAAGCACCCTGAACTCAAGAACAAGTCCAAATCCAGCCAAAATGAGAGGCGAATCGCTCAACGCATCTGCATTTCGTAGCCTGGAATGACCGAATAATATTTAGTATAATAAAGTCTACGTTATTGCTTTAAATGCTGTAGTTTTTGCTGTATTAGTGGATTTTACAATAGCTCTCTCTCCTTTCTCTGTCGATCACTCGTATCCAGTGCATTTCTGCTCTATTGAAACAGCTAGCTGCGTTTTATGTTTTAGGTAGTGTATAAATGAAATAGCTGAAATCCGTATGGAGAGGAGGTAGCAGAGAGATGTCAATTTCTGCAGGCTTCAAATAATCGGCACCCCAAGACTCAGCATCAATCACAACAAAAGCAGCGTCATCAGTGGCGGCTGTTTTGAGCGTCATATGTGTCCATGATAGAAGACTTATAGAGTGCTCGCTAGTGCTTGGTTTTGAACCCTGGTGGATGCGGAGAGTAGGGCATGTTGAGCGTTGTGTAGATGCATGGGTGTATGCTTGAAGCTAGGAGGGAAATAGGTAAGAAAGTTGAGCTCTAAATATCTTAGTAGGAGAGATAAATCTTCGAGTAAGGTTTTCATTTACTTGGCCGCGCAACACTAGAAAGGAAAAATATAATAGATGCTAGATACGTATATATATATATATATATATATATATATATATACAGGTAGGCAACTTTGGTGCATATGAACTCAGGTACATGTATATTTCACATGTATATCTCAAGTACCTTAGTAGTTACAGTACACATAACTCACCCGTTCCTAACAAAGTAAAATAGAATTAGGAATACATCAATGTAATTACACCGCATACTACCTAGGTAGGCAAACAACTAAAAAGAATGCCAATAGAATTCCAACTAATAGTGGCTAATTATAAAACTAAGCGTAAAGCATTTGAGATTATTGTTTCGCGCACGACGCCAGTGCCAAGTGAAGCAAAGGCCGGGGCCCATTGAGGGAAGAAAGTAAAGCATCTGCATCTTCTTCACCCATTTACTTGCATCGTATGTATAGAACTAATAGCCAGCCATGCATTGCATCACCGTATTTAGCCATTTGCTGTTCATTCCTTCATGTGATATTCATTACCCAAGATCTGCTTGTTTAACACTGCGGATCCCCGGCCTCGGCAGGCCCCACAGCGGATCCCCAACCGTTGAAAGGCCCAAAAAATGCAACCACCAAAATCTCCAGCATCACCAGCCTCTTCCTGCTTCTTCTTCTTCTTCTTCACCTTGTCACACCGCGCGAAGCTCCCCGACACGCGCAATTCTTCCGCAATTGATCATGGCGCCCTCCAAGAGTGCATCGGCCCAAAAGCCGCCCGCGTCCCCCGTCAAGAACGGCTACCTGATCCTCTACAATGCCGCCTCTGCTGCCGCCTGGTATCTCGTCCTCCAAGGGACCGTCGCGGAGCTCGTCAAGTCCGGCCCGGAGTCGGTCTACCTCGGCGTCGGCGAATTCACCAAATGGACCCAGACGGCCGCGGCCATGGAGATCCTGCACTCCCTCTTCGGTAAGCCAAAGTCTTGCCCGCATCGCATCTTGCCCAGTCAGTTGGTTGGCCCGCTCTTCTAATGCATCAAAAACCACAGGAGTCGTCCGCGCGCCGCTCTTCACGACGCTCATGCAAGTCGCCTCGCGCTTCCTCCTCGTCTGGGGCGTCCTCTTCCTCTACCCGTACCTCGCCGTCCAGTCGCCCACCTACAGCTCCATGCTCATCGCCTGGTCCGTCACCGAAGTCATCCGCTACTCCTACTTCGCCCTCTCGCTGTCCGGCCTGACGCCGCGGATCCTCACCTGGCTGCGCTACAACACCTTCTTCATCCTGTACCCGATTGGCATCCTGAGCGAGTGCTCGCTCGTGTACCTCGCTGCTGTGGGCCCGGCCGCCACGGCGACTGAGTATCCTCTGACCCTGATGCCGTATATTCTGTATGGCATTTTGGTGGTCTATGTTCCTGGTGAGTTGGCGATCAATGGAGATGGGGAATGAAGAGAAGAGATTCTAACAAATGCTTTTTTTAATTAGGTGCTTATATCCTCTACACGCACATGATGGCCCAGCGAAGAAAGGTTATGCGTGGCTTAAAGGCCAAGAACGAGAAGGCGACTCAATAAACAATAGAAGACGAAAATATGAAAGATGAGCATAATACTCTAAAACGGGGGGCACGGTTTATTGTTATTGGACATGATGAACGACAAAGATGTAACGATACAAGAAATAAAGTCAAAACCATACGGAGTGTGCATAGGTACAGACAGTAGTAATGCTAATTGTAGAAAATACACACAAAATCAATCGCCTTCTCCTGTCCCCTAAGCAAGTCAAACACCTATATCCATTTGTCATGTATCCCTTTAAACTGCATGTCTATGGCAGCATCACCATCTTCGTCATCTCAGCCGCCGGAGCTGCTGCTGCTGCTGCTGCTGCTGCTGTTGAGACCTCGACCGCGGCTCATGGCTGCCTTCAGCCCAATCCCTTTGCACCCACATGGCAATCAGGTTCTTGGAGTCCTGCAGCAGCTTCTCGTAGGCCGGGTTATTCTGCGGCTCAAACATGGCTAATACAAACCGTTAGCATCAGACGAGAAAGAAGGGGATTAGCAAAGAACAAAACGCACTTATATGTGCCGTCACCTCATCCTTGGCCGTATCATTGACATTGTCTATCCACTTCCCAGACGGCTGCTTGCTCGGCACCACGCAAAACGTCCTGTCCTTGCCCAGCACCGTGCCAACCATGCTGACCTCCTTGCTCTCGGCAGCCTTGCCCAGCCGCGTATACACATTCGCATAGCCAATGTTGAGCTCCGAGCTCAGCCTCACCATGTACGACACGCGCTGCTTGAGAGCCTCCGGCCGGGCCAGACAGCCCACGAACTCGAGGTGCGACGACACCCACGACCACCCAGTCGAGATGTGCTCGCGGTTCATCCACGCCGCAGCGCCGCCCGCAGCGACGGCACTGGCCGCAGCTCCGTACATGGCAATCTTTCCCCATCCCCATCCGCCGCTGCTCTCGTTCTTGGCGGCCGTAGTCGTCGTGAGGGCAGAAGAAGAAGAAGCAGCAGCGTCACCGCCACCACCACCGCCAACCATCTTCCACACCGAGCCCAGCTGCGCCAGAGCCGACTGCGCCGTCTGGTAATGCCCCTCGGCGCCGTACGCAACCACGCTGGGGGCAATGCCCAGGTACGGCGTGTCAAAGGCCAAGACGCCCTGGATGCGAGGGAACATGAGGCTGTTGAAGTTTGGACGGCCCCCGGACTTGTCGATGCCGTCCTCCGTGTAGATGGGCCGCTCCGAAGCCAGGCCCATGACGGTCTCTGCGGCGACGATGCCGCCCATGGAATGGCCAATCAGGATGGTGCGGACGGATGGCTCGACGGTTGGCGAGGCCGTTCCCTTGGCCACTTCATAGTCGATGATTTTGTTTTCCAGCCTATTGAGTGCCCAGCCCAAAAACGTCAGCACAATGATTCAAATGTTTACCTTTTTTCACTTCGGCGTCTTGTTCTGTGACACAAACTGCGCTTTGGAAATCCTTTCCCCCATCATGGATGAAACCGCGTTGTCGTAGTAACTCACCAGCTGCGGAATTTGCTCACGGCCTCTCCCAGGTCTCCCCTCGTGTCATACTTGGGATACACCAGCACCTTGATGCTGAAGCCGGGCAGCTCTTGCGCCACGGCAGTGCGCAGGTCCTCGACAAACGAGTAGTCGTTGCCAAACGTCGACTCGCCTCCCTAGAGTAGCCCATCCGTCAGTCAATCAATCCATCAATCAGTTGTCAAACCCAATCTCATTCATCAACCAGCCACTCAGCGAGCAATCTGTTACGCTTGCAGCAATGTGAAGACAAAGAGCAATTTCACTCCTTTGTGCCAACTACGCCCCTTCCAGTATTCTAGCCCACCATCATAGCCCGCCATAGCAAGCGGTGGGGGATCCAGCATAGGCAAACTCCCAGAAATTACAACGTACCTTGAAGCCATGGATAAAGCACAAAATAAGCGTCTTCCTCATCTTGTCGTCACCAGAGTAGAACCGTTACTGCGCTCTCTTTATTTTCCCAACCAACGGCCGCCGCCAGCAAGTTTTCGAACACCAGAAGGGATGTCGCCAGTTGTCCTCTTCAGCTGTGAAAATTCGATGCCATCTCACTGTGCATCGAAAAGGGGATGCAATGTGGCCCAATAGGCAGGGGATGCGGATTTGTAGGTGCAGATATTGGGCCAGCAAAGGCCGCCGAGTGGGTGGCGAAGCTGCGGCGGCAGATGGATTGGCGGCGCTGACGGCATTTGGCGCGGTGGGCCAGTCTCCAGTATAGTGGACATGCACAGTGTAGTGCAGTGCAGTGCAGCAGCAGAGCGCTAGGGCATTGGCGCTGGAGCTGCCCATCTCTTAGCACCGCCTAGCGCTAATATGCAACGTATCTCATCCGGTTCTATACAAACATGTGATGCATATGTTGGCAGTTTGATATGTTGGAAGCAGAGCAATTCTTTCATTTTTGCATGATTCATGAGTCGTGCTTCTTTAATATACTACATCTATATATATAAAATGATTCGCATCGTCCCCTGCATTATGAAATGTCGCGACTGTATCAACGTCTATTAAGAATACATTTTACTACTTTATCTAGACAATGCACAGGCAAGAAGACGACCAACTCAATGAGACGCAGCCAGCCACCAGTCACAAATAGACCAGGCCGCCTTGTACTCTTGACTCGTCTCCTCTCCATCCTCCGCGTCCCTAATTAGAAAACTTAGAAAGAACACAAAAAAGAATCTCTCTGGTCATCCAAATATGCCGCCCAGATGCTTCAGCCTTTCGCCTCCTCTGTCTCTCCATCTTCATTCTTCATCTTGTACATGGTTGGTATTTTGGCCTACCTTAGGCCTGTTCCTCCCCCTTTCCCTAGGTTCACATGAATAAAACGCCGATCCTTCCAACGCCGCAGAATACATGATTAAACAAGCCGCTTGCGGGGCAGTCGTTGGGAGATATTCTTCCTCCTAGTGCCGTCAATTTTGTTTTTTTCTCTCTTTATAAATTATATTCCCGCTGGCAAGCATGTAGACCCCCAATTTCGTCGTAAGTGGGCACGTCACTCTTCTCAGTCATGAAGAGAAAGAGGGATGTGCATAATCAATCTCCCTTCTCTCTCTCGCTCAGTCTTCATCGCTCTGGGCGGCAGATCGTGCCCCGTTGGCTTCCCGCGCCGCGCTAGAGATGATCTTGATGCGAGTTCCGCTTGGCTGGGGGGTGCTTCCATTGCCTGAAGGCGCTGCTGATCCTGCTTTGCCGGGTTCTAGCTCAAGAAGCTCCGGGTGTGCGTCCAGCTCCTCTTGGTACTTCTTCGTAAAGAATTCCTATTTTAAATGAATTAGCACATGTTGCTGTAGGCGTTTGTCTCTTTTTATTTCTTTTCAACTTACATCCATCGTTTTCGCATCCTGATACAGGATACTGCCGTCCTCATTATACGTTTGACAGTTGCGTATCAGCAAGTCAAAGTCTTTGCGAAGGTCGTTCAAGCAGTTGTACTCTTCCTTCTTGATACGCGTCTGTATATGATTCATGCAAATGGGGTTTTGGATAATCACATAGTAGTCGGCATACTCGCGTTTCGGAGGCAGTTTGACAAAAGGTCCAATAATGAGACGCTTGCCGGCATCGGATTCGTCGTCCTCGGCAGGGGGTTCAATGTCGTCCACTTCCAAGTTCATCAGGCTGTCATATAATGCTCGCAAGCTCTTCTGAAGCACCTCCCGTTGCTGAGATCCCAGCCGGGAATCACCATGGGCAGCAGACTTGCTAGGTCGACCCTGAGGGCCACGTCGCTTCTTAGCAGGAGGCTCATCCTCCCCTTCTTCTGCCTTGCGCTTCTCGTTCTTGCTTCCAGGTTTGCGCCCTCTCTTCTTGGGCGTCTCCAATTCCTCTGTGCTAGCGCGACTGACGGAAGGCGAGTTGTCCGAGCCCATCTGAGATAATCGCTTAAGCCTATTGGCCTCTCTCTTATCCTTGCGTGCCTGTTTACGCGCTGCCGCCGCCTCTGGAGAATCCTCGTCGTCGTCCACCGCCATCAACCACTGCTCTTCTGTCAAGCCATCGTCATATTTCACCTTGGTACGCTCACGAGCACCGCGACCAAGGATAATCTCTTCAGCGTCGTCCTCGATGGGGTTGCCTTCATTGAGATAGATGTCAGGCAATTCGTCTTCGCCCATGAGTCGAGGTTTTCCTTTTGGACCACCATAGATGCCATCTTTTTGTCGCTCTTCGTCAAGCTTCTGGAAGGTGAGGAGTTCGTCATCATTACGGGCAAGTAACATGTTGAGCTCTTCGTCTTCCATCTCCTCTTGCTCGCCAGACTCAGCCATATCGGCGGTTTCCAGGAGAGTTCGAAGCATAGCATCACGATCCGTCTCTGAAGATTTGTTATCAAAACGACCTGCTTGGATGACCTTGCCGTCCATATCTAGCTTGAACCGAGCACGTTCCAAAATCTTCTCCTCGACGGAATTAGAGCTGATCAGACGCAGAATTCGCACTTCATTCTTTTGGCCGATACGATGGGCACGATCCTGTGCCTGTAAATCCTGGTGAGGATTCCAGTCAGAGTCGTAAATAATGACAGTGTCTGCCGTCTGCAAGTTAAGACCCAAGCCACCAGCACGAGTAGATAGCAAGAAGAGAAAGTAATCTGAGTCGGGGGCATTGAAGTCTCTCAGGAGGTCGGATCGCTCGTCAGATTTGGTTGTACCGTCCAAACGCAGATACTTGTAGCTTCGGTAACGAAGGTAGTCTTCCATGATATCCATAATCGCCGTCATCTGGAAGAACATCAAGACTCGATGGCCAGTTGCCTTGTACTTGGGCAGAATTCGGTCCAGCAGCTCGAATTTACCTGCCGTCCTCCAAAGAAGATCGTTGCTAATGTTGAGGGGATTCATAACATTCTCGACCACGTCAAAGACAAAGGGATGGTTGCAGAGCTTTCGCAGCTGCATAATCATGTTGCTCAATCCACGAGCACCAGTCTTGCCACCCTTGCCATCGCTGACAACCAGCTTGTTGTGGGTAACCATCTGTTTGTAGAGCTTGGACTGCAGGGCGGAAAACTTGCACTTGATAACCTTTTCGGTCTTGTCGGGCAAGTCTTTCTCGACGTCCTTCTTCAAACGACGCAGGAGGAAAGGCCGCAACACCTTATGAAGACGTCGAATGACGAGAATCTGTTCTTCTTCAGTGAGTTCCATTTTGTCTTGACCGCCAGTGTTGGCAAAAGGAGTGTTGAACCACTCGTCAAACGTCTTGACTGATTTAAAAATGTTTGGCAGAACAAAGTTGAGCATGGCCCACAGCTCAGACAGATTGTTCTGGAGAGGAGTACCGGTGAGAATAAGTCGGAAACGGGTGTTGTAGTACTGCTGAATAGTTGCGCTGAGCTTCGACTGTGTGTTCTTCATTCGGTGACCTTCGTCGATAATCATGTGGAACCACTTGATCTTGCTGAGGATGGGTCGATCTTTGATAATGTACTCGTAGGTAGTCAGAAGAACCTGGAAGCGGCCCTGGCGAATCTTCTCTTGCTGTAGCTTACGGGTATTGGGGGGACCTTTGTAAACAACACGAGATACAGACGGGGCCCACTTTTCGAATTCGAGGTTCCAGTTGGTCAGTGTACTGAGAGGGACAATGACCAAATAGGGTCCGCTCTGCTGCTTCTGCTCAATCAGGTAGGTAATCAGACTAATGGTCTGGATCGTCTTTCCAAGACCCATTTCATCTGCAAGGATACCGTTAAGATTGTTGTTATATAGTGAAATCATCCATTGTAGACCCTTGATTTGGTATTCCTTCAGCGTGCCTCCCACAAGAATGCTTGCTTGCTGGGTAACTTCTTCGCGGATGCGATGCGCCACAGCGTAGTAGTCAATCTTCTTGCCGCTATCTTCTTCGTCGATTTCACTCTCTTCGTCAATAAACTCGCCAACATCCGTGCCGTATGTCTCAGCAGCTTGGCGCTGTTGAGCCTTGACTGATGATGCAAGCTGGTGCAAGAAGCCGTCGGTCTGCTTAAGCAGATGCGTAATACGGGTATCCTTAGCCTGGTCAAGCAGTTTGAGATAAGCTTCTTCGTCGTTAGCCTTGAGAGCCTGCAGACGCTGCTTCGCTGTTCTCTCAATGCGCTTCTGCTCTTCCTTTTCGATGTTGAAATGGTGAGAGTACATGAGCCTGCTGAGCTTATGTGACTTGTTCTTCTGAGCCGCCGCGGTCTCGGTGATCTCGGCGCGGTGGTTATAGATGGCTCGAAGGAAGTCATTGTGCTTCTTCTTTTCGCGATTCTCACGAGCATCACGCTGCTGCTTCTCAAGCTTCTCTGTAATGCGAGCTTCCCGGACGTTCTGCTTCTTCATACGACGGTAGTTTGTCCGGTTGGTCGTCATTGCCAGATTATCGTAGTGCATCATCTGACGAGCAATCTTCTCGCGAAGAGCTCGCTGTTTCGCATACAAGGCCAGGCTCTTCATTTCGATGACGGCCTTGACCTTTACAGAGTCATCAACTTCGACGTTCTCCTTGGTCGTATCCCAGTGGGCAATGTTGGCGGGCAGATTCTTCAGCTCCGAGTATCGCTGGCTCATGCGGTTGAAGACGACGACCTCTCTCTCGTAACGCAGGTGGTCAAAGTCAATGCCAGTCGGGAAGACGCCAGGAATAAACCAGCGATTCTTCCGCTGCGCATGGTCGAAATATTTGATAGAGGGCCGAATCATACTGCTGCCGTATGGTGACTTTACGGTCTTGTATGTGTGTGGCTTAGGGAGAGAGAGCGCATCGTCTTGGGCGGCAGCATCAACACCATTCGGTGTGGGCTTTGAAGCATCCGAGCCAGGCTGGGGGGTCTTTGTTGCAGCAGGAGTTTGAGCTGAGGCCATGACAGCTGCTTGGCGCTGTTGGCGCTGCTGGAAGATTGCTTGCTGTAGCTGCACGGAAATCCCTGCATTTTTGCCGAGAAGCTTAAAAGCATGAATCTGTTGTCTAAGTAGACCAAGCTGCTTCTGCGTAAAATGACTTGATGATGAATTTGAATTCGGCTGTGCAGGAGTATTCGGGGCAGTGGTGCCAGATGCATTCTGGTTAGGCGCAGCAGCCGCCGTTCCCATGGCGTTTGGCAGAGCAGCACCCTGCGTCGTCTGAGGCGCGCCGTGTTGCGGTCGCTGGACACCATTGATGGTTCCATTGACTCCGTTGGCATTGCCGTTCTGGATGGCCTGAGCATTCTGCTGCATCTGCTGCTGAGCCTGGATGTACTGCTGCTGATTTCGTCGCATGTTGTGTTGCTGTTGGAAGTTGAGCAGGAATTGCGACGCCTTGATATACTCGGGATCGTTTGGCTGGACGCCCGATTCTTTCATTTGTTTGAGTTTCTATGCAGAGTTATAACGTCAGCTACATATCTCAGATAGGATACAAGCAACGCGAGGTAAGCATTGCAACACGCGTAAGTCTGCGTACCCGAAAGACCTCTTCGGCCTGTTGCTTAGTCGCCCCGGCAGGCATTGGCGCGCCCGGGTGCTGCACGGGGGGCGGGATCTGTACTGAAGCCATGGTTGCGTTTGGCGATGGCGTTGGACCAAAACGTTGAAACTATCGACTCCCCAATGTGTATCTCGATATAAATCCACCTATAAACAGTGCATAGCGAGGAGCGAGTGTCTGGAAGTCGTGCCCGTTGGGTGCGAGACGAGTCTTTTTTTTTGTTGTTTTTGTTTTTGTTGTTGCTGTTGCGACTCAGTGCGAGACGTGAAGTAATATCAAGAATGACGAGAAGTGGAAAAAAAAAAAAAAGTTGGTTGAAGAGTGGCGCGTCAGAACTGCACAAGGCACATAAAACAAGAACGGGAGAAGAAAAGTAATAATGCGCGGCAAGTTGGCGTCGTCGAGACAAAAAGTCACCAGAGGTGAAGCCGCTGGTTGGGCAAAGACAGAGTCGAGGTGAGTCGAGTCGAGGTGTAGAAGCGAAGCTCAACAGCGTCAGCCTTGCGACAGAGCCGTGGACGCGGATGTGGGGGATCTCGAGGCTTGCAGAAAAGATTCAACCCCGAAGGGGGCTGCGAAGGCGAAGCAGAAAAAAAAATCCTGCCCAGGGGACGGCGCGGCGCGTCGGATCGGGTGCCGCAGGCGTGAGCGGCGTGCAAAATCGCGTGAAACACGAGGTTTGCGAGGATTGGAGATGGACGCCGATGGTTTGCGAGGGGACCTGGCGATTTTGGGGATGCGCGCGCTGGCCGGTTGATGATGGGGAGTGGTTGAAGACACAACTGACAAGATTCGGCGTGATGGCTGGTGCGGTTCTGGCTCGGCGCGCTTCAGTACATTTCAGCACGGCTCCTGCGCACGCCTCAGGCTGGCACAGCAAAAGGAAGAGAATTTGCGTCGAATTAGGTCTAGGGCGGCTTTGGAGGTCACGTGGAGCGATACTTGCACCTTGTACTCTCTACCCGGCGCCTCCCTCTCAGGCCAAGGCCCACATTTTCGTCCTGGGGCCTCGTCTCTCGAGAGCAGAACAGCAGCAGTAGCTCCAAGAGGCTGCCATAAAGCCTCTAACAGTACCTATCTAGCAGTATCTACTTAGCAGTATCTAAGCCCAGCACCTGTTGTAGGAATCCAGTCAGATACTCCTCAGCCTTTTGGCAGCAGTACCTACTATACCTACTACCTGATTTGGTTAAAGAAGTCATCATTACCGCGGTTTTTATCTTCATATGGTATTTGGTGGTGGTCGGGGCGGCTATATCTCGAATGCTATTCGAGTTTTCATCGATATTCGTCCTTGTAGACAAAGTAGATGGAAACGGCAATACAATACGAAAGCGTAGTGTCGGGACTGAAGCGCTGATGTCGTTGTGACGATCAATTTGCCCAAACCACAATACTAGACGAGGCTCGAGTAGGCAGCTGCATCGTAGTCCCTTTTCTTTCCGATCCACTGCTTCCTCTTCTCGCTGGGCATATTTTTCACTTCATCGCTTTGCACGCTTCTTGTCTGGGCCTTCCTCTTCGTCGTCGCTGAGCTCGGCGTACTGCGTCTGCGGCTGTGTCTTACTCCAGGCCTTCGTGAACATGGGGTCGCTCTGGGCCTTGTCAGCATACTTCAACAATGCTTCACGCGGATCCTCGTGCAGCATCTTAGCCAGAGGAATGTTCTGCGCAATGTGCTTCTCGTCTGGCTGGCTTTTCTGAAAGGGCGTCTGTAGCGGGACTTCGGGTCGTCGAGGGTCTTTCGATTTGCCTGTACCCGTGACTCCGGCTTTGCGCCCGCCGCCCATCGCGCCGGGGACAACGATGGAGTCGCCTGATATGCCAACGTTTTGGTCCATTGTAAACTCAGGGCTATCGTCAATATGGCGTTTCTTCGGCGCTCGCGACATGACCTCTACAGCACCGCGGGAAGACATGGTCGGGTTGTACAAGACGTGCGTCTCGGCGTTTGCTGAGCCTGTAACAATCTGGTTAATCTTAGGATGCCAGTCCACAGCAATCAAAGCTGAACCCGGCGTGATCGGAGTGACGTGTTCTGGCTGAAGATTGCCCGGGTTCAGGATGTGGAGATGGCCCGTGGCTGAGCCAGTGATGATGCTGGTCGAGTTGGGTGCGTATCGAATGTTGCTAGTTGGATAGCTATCCGAAGTTGATGTGTGCGATACTGTGACGAGTGGTTTGTTGAATTTTCGGGTATCCCATAGTTTGATCAAATCATCGCCGCCCCTCGTAACTACCATACGGCCATCGGAAGAAATGTCGATGCCGCTTGTCCAGGTCTGGGGCTTGTGCGCCTCCTTGATCTCACCCGCCGGTCTCGTAAATGGCCCGTTACCGCCATACATTACCAGCGAGCCGTCGAGGGCAGCGCCGACCAGCACATTGCTTCCTTGCGCAGACAATTTCCATGCGACAGCGGTCATTTTGGTACGCCCAGCAGAGCCGGCGGCCTTTGACTTGAAGACAATGACTTCCTTCTGGGAACGTTTATTGTTAATGTCCCAGATTCGCAGCGTGCTGTCAGTTCCTGCCGTGACACAGAGGTTTTTATCCGTGGGATGCCAAGTGCCAGTTGTAATCTCGGAGATGTGTCCCTTCGTGTTGTGCATATCACGAAGGTACATGTCTCCCTTCACAAACTCGGTCAAGATATCTCCATCTCGCGACATGATCCTTGCCTGAGGGTGGGCGCACACGCATAGAAATGCTCCGCCCGACAGCGGGTTGAACTCAACCAGGTGGATGGGGTGGGCTTCTGCGCTAGCAGCAGTTCTCTTGGACACAAAAGGGTCAACGCTGCGAAATGCGCGGAGCGTCGTCGGCGTCATCGAGGCGAAGTCGTGGAGCTTGACAGTACAGTCTAGGGAGGCAGACGCCAATCGGCCACCAGCAGGGTCTAGAGAGACTGTGGTGACAGCGCGCTCGTGCGTCTTCAAAACAAGTTCGTGCGATACTGGGAATTCGTCTTCGTCGTCGGACTCATCTGAGTCGTCGCTATCGTCGTCGTCGTCGCTCGAGTCGCCCTTCCCTTTTGACTCCTGTGCTTGTGTCCTATCGCCATCCTTGCTGCCAGTCGCTGGTGGCTTATCCACTATTCTCCGGCTGCGGTCGATTTGGGCTGCAATATCAGCCTCCTTCGACTTCTTTCCGAAGGAGGCAGGGAGAAACGCTCTCATGGGATCATCTTCAGCGAGTTCAGGGCCCTCGATTTCGTACTCATCGTCGCTAGCCATGGCGAAAATCCGACAGAAAAAGGCGCGAGAGGGCAGACAAGCCGCCTAATAGAGAGAGAGAGAGAGAGGAGAGAGAAACGGGAGAGTTTGCAGGTGGGAGGGGAGCCGGGAGCCAGGAATTTCACAGTGGCAGGGGAATGACGGAAGCGCCACATCCACGATGCAAGTGCAAAATGCAGCACGGCACCGACCAGGCTTGGTGGGAACCTTGGCGCCTAACTCGCTGCTTGTTTGCCTGTCGGGTTCCAATAACCTAAATCAGCACAAAACCCAGCCAGTCAAATCATTGCTTTCCTTCGCTCTTCTCCAGAATTATCATCCTTGTTCTCCTTCTTATGGCAGTTGCCGCTGCTGCAATCTGTTCCGTTTGTACTCCATAGATCAGACAACTCAGCACAATTTGAGGGGGGCCCTAGAGAAGGCATCCATGCCATGTCACGATTCAGTAGACGATGGTCCGCGTGGCACACTATCACGAACCAATTCGATCCTCGGAGCCACCGTAATTAAATCGGCTGGCGGGCGAGGAGAGCCACGGCTGGGATCCGCCAAAAAGCAAATTTCACGAAGCAGAACCTACGTCCCCTGCAAAGTATAAACTATCAGGTTCTTATGAACCGCCCAGAACTCCAAAGGCAATGTGCGATAGCACGATTTCAAGTCTGGCAATTTGGCAACACGCAAAATAGTTGCGGTGAGCTCTTTGCTTGCCATAGATCCATGTCTTGGGCTGAGACAGGCTTCTTAGTATGTCGCGCCGTTGCATCTCCAGAGTTACCCGCAAGCGATCATACCCATGCATCTCCCTATTCCCCCTACGCAAGGTCACGAGCGCATGGCCACTCAATGAGAAAGCTTTGAATGCGTTCCACAGAGAATTGAGCTATGACCTACGCCAATCATCCATCGAGGATGGCAGGAAAATAGCTCACGTACCCCCATTTCCTGGGGCTGGCTTAAGACTCATCCTTTGCTTAGCTGGTTGCTAGACGTGAATTCAATAGTAGTATTTTGGCTTTCAACATGAAAGGCTATTTTCCTTGAAGTATTTGGCATGCAAAACAAAGCTAATACGTAGATTAAACCGAAAAGAAATGGCATAACATAGACCCATTTAGTGCCTAGTTTGACTTGTATGTGGGCTTAATTCGAAATATACTCACGGATCTAGTCTGGTAGAGGCTTGACATACCCTACAAGCGACACGAAGCTGGAGCTGGCTATTAGCAAGCGATACGTTTCATGGCCAGTGGTAGATGAGAATAATAATATGACGTGAATGTCAATATCAGGTTGTTATGCAGTTAAATGTTAAACACGCGTAGCGACTATTTGTGTGTAATTTCACCAATAGATACTTGTAAATATAGAAAGATTTGAGCGTGCTGCATGCTTTTCTGCTAAAAGAAGGGCGGTACGTCATTGGCCCCACACCGAGAGAGAAGACTGACCGAAAGCAGCCTCACCGGCGCGTCTACGCGATCGCCTTGGAACATCCCACTATTTTGCTCTCTCGCCAGATCTACACAATGCCGCCAGAGCGCATAATTGACGAAGATGAAGAATACGAATCTTCTCAGGATTCCGACTTTGCGCCCGATGATGCGCCCGACGCTGCGTCCAGCTCTTCAGATTCAGAAGATGGCGACGACGATAAGGCTGCGAGAAAGCGCCAACGGCCGGTAAAAGATGCGAACGCCGAGGGAGGAGGAGAGCCGGATAACTCTGGCGACGAGGTGATAGTAGAAAAAGGCAGAAAACGACAGAAAAGAGCCAAAGCCAAGGGAGAAGTTGTAGATGACGAAGGTGGTGAAGGTGGCTTAATCAAGACGAGAAGTCAACGTGCCGCTGAGTATGCTTTAAGCTCTACTACTATGAGTGCAAAACGCTACGCCGGACATTACTAAAAAAAAGCATAGGAAGGAGGAACGAAAGTATGCTGCGAGCAGGGGGCCTGTGACGGTCGACATCGATGCAATTTGGGCAGAGATGAAAGCCGGAGGCTCCTCAGCATCAAGACCACCAGAAAACGCTGACGACATGGTCGTAGACGAAAGCGAGAAGATAGTTGCAGACGACAAGGGCGATTCAAAAGAGGATGAATCCTCCATGATCCGCATTAAGCGAACCTACAACTTTGCTGGTCGAGTCCATACCGAAGAAAAGCTCGTCCCTCGCGACTCAGCCGAAGCGAAGCTCTATCTGGCCTCCCAGGAGGGTGAAGCACCGCCAGACGCACTGCTAACTAAGCGACTTACAAAAAAGGCATTCCGGTCCGCCTTCGAACCTATTATAGAGGGCACAATAGGCCGTACAGATCTGAACCTGGGACTGGCGGCCAGAATGAAGGCAGCCAACGAAGCACAGGCAAAGAAGCTCAACACGGTGGAGAAGAGTCGCATGGACTGGGCTGGTTTCGTGGACAAGGAGGGCATCAAAGACGAGCTGGAGCTGGCTGGCAAGTCCAAGGATTCTTACGCCTCGCGGCAGGCCTTCTTGGCGCGAAGCGAGGCCCTCAGAGAGAGCGAGGCCCAGAGGGCGAGGGTAGCAGGACGGTCGTAAACTGGCTAGAGGCGTTGGCGTTTGGAATGATACCACCGGTTAGAGTTGCAATATGTAATATTAAAAAGCAGCAATGCCTGAACTTGGCCTTGGAAATGGAATTAGTACATGCAGGGTATATCAAAGTATTTTGCCTCGCCATCGATTGGACCCATATTTTGCAGGATTTCGCAAAGATGTTCTCCTATGGCTTGTTTCCTATGGAGATCTTTTGGCTCTCTATAAATAATCATAAGAACTCCTCGCCATCAAAGCATCCGGTTCGCGGAACCCAAGAGAGACGCAAGCATGGGTGACCAAAAAGACATTTCCCGGCCCAGCTGCCTGGCCGGAGCACCAGAAACCTTTTCATCAAACCCGGCGATGATGCAGGCAACGCTCAAGGCCTGGCAGGGTTCTTCTTCCTTATGCAGTGCATACTGCGAAAAGCTGCGAAAAGCTGCGAAAAGCTGCGAAAGGGGAGGCGAGCGAAGTTGATGGGAAGGAAATACAAGAGATGCTACACTATCTCGGCGATCACGGCGCTCAATTTCATGAATACTACCGAAACTCCACAGGCACATCGGCTATGTCTGAGTTTACCGGATTCTTCATCCAGGGCGAAGAGAGAAGCCTCGCGGATCTGCTCGCATCCCTTTCAACACCACGCCTGCGGCACCAAGGAAGCGCAGTCGACTTCTTCTCGAAGTGGAGACGGAAGATGGAGAGAAAGAAAGGAAGCGAACAGTGGCTTTGTAGCGGAACCGTAGTTGGATCTGAATTTGCCTCTCAATGGCAGCCTTTGATATAAGTTCGTCATCCGGCGTCTAAAGCTCTGAATGACAGATCCGCGTAACGGCCGGGGGTTGAGCCTGGACCTACATCTTCGAGATCGCCCCTTTTCTTTTCTTTTCTTTCTTTCTTTCTTTTCTTTTTTCTTTCTTTTTTCTTTTTCTTTTTTTGGAGCATCAAGGAATTCCAAATGGTTGCATTATACAACATAGATTGTGAGAAATACTATGAATTACCATTATATCAATGCTCTAATACTTTATTTCGTCTTCGAGAAAAAAATGATTTCGCGGTTTAGAGCGAAGAGGACTGCGCTGCCTAATTGGGAAGAATGCCAAACTAGGCTAGCGCCAACCTGAAAAGGTCTGGTGCGGCGATCTCCACAGTACTCCATAAAACTTCTCACGATCCCGCCCTCCACACCACTTCGTCCTTCATTATCTCTGTTTAGAACAAGCTCCACCATCAAATCAGTTCTCATAGGTCGAATCGTATAGCGGTCAGTACACACGCTTCACACTGCATTTAAGAAGTGCGCGTGAGATCCGGGTTCGATTCCCGGTTCGACTACATGTTTCTTTTTTGATACTTTCCAGCACTTTTGTTGGAATGTGCGGCTTTTGACTGCCCCTGTGGCATCAAGAATCCCGGTGCCGTGGTGTTATTTTTAGAGTACCCTTGCTCGAAATTCAATTCATTTCGAGTAATCCTATGCCTGAGACGAATATCTGCATAGCGTGCTCATTCATCATGGCCTCCCCCCCGGGAGTGACACTTTGTTCCTGTTTTGTCAAGCGGGATCATGAGATTTATGTGCTGTGACGGGAGAAGTGTACGTTCAGCTTAGTAAATCTCAATGACACTTCCTTTCAATGCTCTAATGCTAGTACGTGCATATTCTAAAGCCAAACAATGAATCCTTTCCGATTTTAGATTGCATAGTGCAAGCGTTTCTGTAATATCATTTAACCCATTTCAGCATTTCCAATCCATTATTGTGGTATTTACACCTGTCAAGCTACCTTCTTGTACCTGAAGGCGATGTCCTACTTTTTCTAATAGATGAAGACGAACGTAAGGACGCCTGTCAGAAGATTGGACTTGAGGTAGCCTCGGCGGTTCCACTATGCGCTGAAGCAATTCGCAACCTCGGCGTCCGGAAAGCAGTTAAGATATAGGCAAGTAAATACCTCTTCTAGGTAGCTGCTTTTAATCGAGACGCAATATCTCATCCAAGGTCCAAACGCTGACTCGCCGAAAGCACCGACGCCAGCGCGAAGTGCATCCCAAGCGTCGTCTGCGGATATTTCTCTTATTGTCTCGTCAAGAATAATGCAGCTGTATTGTCGAAGCTACCGCAGTCCCATGAGTATATCAGTCGCCATGTTCTCTCGTAGGCCCAGCGCCCTTTATCTGGGCGCGTCACTTGTTAGCAATTTACATTTCAGTTTATTGGCTGGGAGTAAATGCCATCCCACCCACCCGTGATACCGCTTCTGGTGCAGCATACCGTGCGGACTCTTGGCGACCAGGCCATATAGGGACAAGACCTCACACTCCATCTGAAGAGATCGACGCCAAGGTCATCACTGATATGAGCCTCTTGGCAACTGCCCGAAATTCCTGTGCATGCCCCCCTTTATAGACTGATGTGAATGGAGATCTTGTGTGATATGCTAGCACTTGTCAAGATTTCCGATCACCAACAAAGGAATCCCTCTCCATGCGACCCTCCTTTTTATACCGTCATAACGACTGGTCACTTCGAAAAATGGAACTGGGCTGAAACGATTATCCTGAGACTTCCTGATACGTGGCTTATAATGTGGAAATATGCCCAGTCCCAATATTCACTATCCCTGCGGCTCCATTTTACCTTTACTTTTATAAGCACTGATACTATCTTGTTCGAGGTGCGGAACCAGTGACATAGGCCACAATATGTTGGATAGGAGTACATGCATATCCGGGACCTGCTGTCAAGGCTACCTTGAGGCTGCCTGTTTTTTAGCCTCAGCTTCTAGCAGGCCAGGGTATGTTCTCAGCGAGATCCTGGTAATCCAAATTATGATGACGAAAATACTTGTCTATTCTACCCAAAATACGATCCGAATCTGCGCTGAGACGTCTCGTAAGCACAAGTAGTTGTGACCGATATTAAGCTGTCTCCTTTTTCTAGGCGTCAGCGCAGAACTCGCCCTCTAAATCACAGGTAGAATTGGTCAAATTGCTGGTTGATATAGTACTACTGGGTATTTTGCTACACCTCGTAGACACAGATCTGCGTCGATTCTTCCCGATTTGGAAGACGGGCAGGCTGAAGATTATAGTACCGCCCAAGGACCAAATTTTGATCGAGATAGACTTTCGATGGGAACAAACATTAGTAGCAGATGAGGACCTATTCATGCCCAGATGATGAAGATCATAACCCGGCAATGCATCATGGTGCCTAAGTGTTGCCCGTTGTTGGCTGAAGTAAACAGGCCTAGCTGCATATTGACAGTAGTATTAGCCTCGCCATTCCTCTCGGCGGAGGGTTTAATCAAAATTTTGCCACGATATTTTTGGTTGCGCGAATAAAAATAAAGCTTCAAAAGAACCATGTATATTATAAATTAACTCACGTTACTGGGGACTGCGCAGGCATCTAAAGTGGGTAAGGTAATGGTACCGACTAGGAGCTATATACTGAAAACAATCTTTACCGAGGGCTATAATTTGAATCCTATTTCGGCCGCCGCCAAATAAGGCATAACTGTTCCTCTACGAAAAGTGGAGGTTGGGGGCTAAAACAATATACTACTATACGATGAGCGCGTATAGCAGCATCGATAGACCTTGCGGTAGAATTCAGTGAGACCTATGTGCTGACTTCCTCTTCAAATGGCCTATATAAAATTTAGCCGAGCAAGCACTGTCTATATGTTTGTTTCCACCGAGCCGACCATTTTTATAGAAATCTAAAGCAACCAACCTCATACATTGAGCAGATAGGTTTATTGGAATAGGAATCCTACAGGAAGAACATCGCGTGTTTTACATGGGTATATAAATCCTCTAGTCCGGTTTTTAAAAGCTAACACCATTACAACATTTATTGAATTATCCCTGGTCAACAAATAACGGACTAAACGCGCTAAAACTGTGATTCAACTGTCTCTATATATTGGCTAGTAGTTTGTAATTCTCCTCCATTGGTTTCCGTGGAATAGATACGTTCTAAGTAGGAAGGTATCAAGTAATATTGATCCTTCGCGCCATTGAACGAAGGATTTGGGACTATAAGTTTACTTCATAGTAATTCTGTATTTGTGAACATGTTCGTAGTCGATGAAGAGATAACATGTGAGAGTGTTGGAAGAAGAGGAGCATTGAGAGGTTCTTAAAAGGAACGATGACCTTTGAAGTCTCTGGGATGGATAGTGCTCCCATCGCAAATCTCAAAGATGTTTATACAGCACCGTCTTTTTGCAATGGTGGCGGTTATTTTCCATCTATTTGTTTGTAGCTCTCTACTAAGGGCTGTCGTGGCTACTCATGCGGATGCTATCGCTCCCAATGCAACTAAAACAATTGCATTTTCTTCCGCAGTTCAGCTGGCATCTTCTGTTCAATGGCAACTGGATCAGCTGGCAACCATTCCAGCTATTCCAATTCCCAAAAACATCACAGCACTGCCTGCCTATCAGGCTGTCAGTAAACTGGCCCCGGCACTGCCTGTCATACAAGCAGGCGTTGAGCTTCCATCGGCCGAAAGCATGATATCAGATTTGATATCTTGGACCAATGCAACTTCAACAGGAGAGTCGCTAGCCGCTCGACAAAGCGCTCTTAGAGTGATGATCGTCGGCGACTCTATGACACAGGGCCAGCAAGGAGACTATACCTGGAGATATAGAATTTGGCAATGGTTCCAGGAGAATGGGATTGCGGCTAAGTTTGTTGGTCCGTATTCCGGCACAGTGCCGCCGGAATCTGCATCTCCACCGTCACCTCCGCCACTCTACGGAACTAATGCATCAACGACTCAAGTTGGGACGAACGGGGGTTATGCCAAAGATGTTGACTCTGGGTTTCTATCAAATAGCAATCACTTCTCTGTGTGGGGTCGAGCGGCGGCAGTTGATAAGGGCCTCATCGCAGGCGTGTTACAGCAAAATCCTGCAGATCTGATGCTGCTCATGCTCGGTTTCAATGACATGGGCTGGTTTTACAGTGATGCTGCAGGAACTATTGACAGCATTGGAACATTAATCGCTAATGCTAGATCTGTGAATCCGAATCTCAAGTTTGCTGTTGCGAATGTGCCACAACGAAGCTTTATTGGCGGTAGACAAGATCTAGTCGATAAAACCAACACATTCAACAGCTTGTTACCCGGCGCTATTTCTCAGTGGTCGACTGCGCAGTCTCCGATTCACCTCGTTAAGCTTCAAGAGAATTATGATTGCGAGCCTGGTGGTTGTCCAGCCGGTGCGTTTTGTTTTACTTATACTTCTACGCATATGAGTGCAAGTATTGTCGCCTGTTGCTAATGGAGTCTATGTGCTGTAGGCTATGACGGTTTGCACCCAAACGCCTGGGGCGAATATCTGATTGCTCAGGCTTTTTCAGAGACCCTGCTTAATGACTTTGGGATGGGCGTTGTGTCACTAGCGGTGCCTGGCATGAACGATCCAAGCCTTGCTAGAGACCTCCCTGTTCCGTCAAATTTTCAGGTCTTTACCAGTCCTCAAGGTGTATCAGCAACCTGGGATGAAGGCAAATATCTCCATACGGCTTGAACCATGAATACTTTAGCTGACAATTTACCTTTGCACAGTGTATGGAGCATATAGCTATGATCTTCAAGTGTCTATCAATGGAGGAGCCAATACCTTTTCACCAACTACGACATCTTCCAACCGATGGGATTGCCAATGGCCGTTAGCTGGATGGACATATGCCGTCTCTGTGCGAGCAAGCGCTGGTGACACAAGGAAAGGAGCTTATACAGGGACATTATCAGCGGTTGCTCAACCACAGCTCGCGCCTCCGCCTGAGAATGTCGTCGTCACGCCCACAGAAACCGGCTTTACAGTGACGTGGGACCCCCCGACTGGTGACTATACAGACAGTATCGTTGAATACAACGTGCTCTACTGGGACTGGAACCCGACTGATTGCCAATACATTGCTGGGGCTGCGTTCAAGTCGTCGCCGGCAGTTATCGAAGGACTAACTCCGGGAGTTAACTACATGATTGCCCCTGTGACTTGGAACAAGAATGGACAAGGCTTACCTTTTATTGCCCAAAATGCTGTCCCTGGTTTAGGTACTCCTCCTGTACCAGGCGCCCCGTCGATCAATGCCAATGATCCGACTACCGCCCAGTGAGTATTACTACTATGCTGCAACATATGAGACGAGAACTGTATGCTAATCATCCCCTACCCGCTTCAGCATCACTTGGACGGGCTCAAGCCAAGCTGGAGGTTACCAACTCTGGTCAAAGAATATCAACCAAGCAGGCAGTAATTGGAGCGTGATCGCTAATGTGACAGAGTCTACCTGCAATGACGAGTACTTCCTTTTTCCTGGAGTGTGGAACTTCGCATTTGCTCTCTCTGCATTCAACGGCAATGAGGAGTCAGCCATGGGGCCATCAAAGGTTGCGCCTTCTCCAGCCAGCGGCGTCACCGAGGGAAGTCCAGGGCCAACGTGTCCTACAGTATAGTCGTGGTGTCCGGGAGGAGGATCAGTCTCTGTGCCCCCAGTCTCTGGTGGTGGTGGAGGTGGCGGCGGAGGAGGAGCTGGTATTCCAACTGTCGTTGGTGGAACTACGTAAGTAACAATTAGTGCCACTGGCAATGCTTTCGCAATGTCGGAAGCAGTGTCGTTTGTGTCTATACCTATACAAGCATACACATCATTGGGCATGCTAACAATTAACTACCAGGGTTACGATCAGCGGCAAACCGACGGTGATAGGCGGCACAACAGAAACTCTGGTTGTAACTACGGGAACAAACTCAGACGGCTCTGTTTTTACTGGCACCATCACTGAGGGACCAACGCAAACACATTCTTCGATTGTTGGGCTAACGACTTATACGACCTTTCCCTCAGGTGTCTCTTGGTCTACCACATCCGTTGCGACCAATACGCATGACTCTCACGGCCACCCTGTGTTAGGACCTTGGCCTTTGTGCTGGTTCTGTCCTCCTGGCAGTCATGGAATTGTGCTTTCTGGATGGCCTGGGCCAGGAGTGTACCCCGGTGGAGGGCAAGTAACTTGCACCAACCATGCATGTACGAGACTGCTAATTTCATTATAGGCCTCCTGCTGGGCTTCCAACACCTTTCCCACCGATGACAATAGAGCCCGATGGTGATCCGACGTATGAATCTACAGAGCCGACAAAGTCTTCACCCTCAACGTCCGATTCGTGTAGCACAGAAACTGCTACTAAGATCACATACTATGTATCTTATGCGACTGACGGTTCGGGTTCTACGATTGCAACCGAGACATACTCAACTTATTCATCTCAAATAACTGGCTGCACAGTGTCTGGAACTGTCGCTACTTCTACTACTGCTGCTGGGTATTCTTTCTATTGCACCCCCGGTAATTGTGCGAACTGCAATGCTCGGCGCGAGATCGCAACTGCTACAGCCGTTGCAGCCATTTCTGCTACTTCAGCACAAGAGAGGCCAGTGAAGAATTTGATTCACTATGCCCGAAACTTGACGTTGGATGAGCGTGATATTCCTAGTGAACTAAACGCTGATGGTATTGCTGAGCTCTACTCGGACGTAAAGGGTGCTTCAAACACGATCCAAGTTACACTTGACACAACGACACTCCGTGGTATCTCGAGCTCACGATTCTCCTACTTTGGCGCGTCCGAGTTAAACATCATGGTGCGGGGATTACGAGGATGTACCTCTATCGTGGTAGTTTCTCGGTTAGGTGAGTTACTTCTCGTGTCTTAACAAGATCTATATATAGAGGCAGAACTGATGGTGAATTTTTAATAATAGGAGTCTACGCTACACACTTTTGGGAAGGCCCAACTTTCAACAACGTTGGCCCAAGTGCGACATTTACGCAGGATGTTATTAATTATATGCAGTATGTTTCAATTATCCAAATATTGTCTTACAGTAACTGAATCGTACTCGTAGGACTGGTCGATCCGGCGGTGAGGACGGCACTGAGGCTCTCGGAGCCCTTGTTCAGGGCGGTGTCTTTGGCGATACTGCAACCACGAAGATATACATCATGACGCCGGCAACTATGGATCTTGATCTTTATGCATCTACCGTTGGCATGGCAAGTTCCCTCTACAACGGCGACAACCCTCCTCTGTTTGGCCCTTCCCCGCCTGGAACAGTGGATCGACTCGATACGATTACCACGTTTCTAGGCCAATTATTGCCAGGCGTGCCAATCGCGCAATTCGTTTATAGGAGGCAAAATGTTGACCAGCTGCTGAACAGTGGTGCCTATGGTGCACTGATGGTGAGTGAATCCCGCGGCTGGCTCTCTCGTAAACTTTCAGCAAAGGCTTGGTTGCTAACAGGCTCTTGATAGATCTTGTATAGCAACAACCAAGAGACTGATCCAGAGACTGGCGATGACCTAAGCCCACCGCAGAAAGCAGTTTGGCAGTGTTGGATGCAAGGAAAGATGATGGGTTCCGATCTTTGGGACGCATTGCCTGGGTAAGTCACGTATTTTCTTCGCGTTTTTAAATCCTCATGCTTCGCTGCAACACAATGCTTGATATTTATATGACGCATTACTGACATGATTGTAGGCAAACGGGATCATGTTCGACGAACCAAAAGCGGCAAGCTGGTAGTGCCTGTTCTTCACCCGGCTCCTCGCCGAGCTCCAGCGGTAAGGGTGGGAGTGGCGGAGGCAGCAGCACCAGCAAGGGCAGCTCGCCCACCGTAAGTACAATTCACGTTACGAAGACGACAACATTCACCACCACCGTATCTACGAGTGTGCTTAAAGGAGCCCTGACCATAGCGGGCGTCAGTTCGCTCGTGTCTGGGGGCAGAGGCGGCGAGTTGGCATTGTCCGATTACAACTTGAACTATATCCCTGCGCAGTCCACGTTCGATGTTTGTTCCGCAGGCAACTTTTACGTCGATGGCTCAGCTTCTCCTAAGCCAGCTGCATGGAGTGATATTCCGCGCAGCATATCTTTCTTTACGGCGCTCACGTCTGGGCCGACGCCCCTCTCTTCTTGTATATATACCAACCCAGCTGCGCCCAGCAATGGCGACGGCGGCACAGTTTCTTGCAAGGGCACAAACTTCCCATGTGCTATTCAAACCGAGTCTGTTCTGGGTTGCAATCCTGATGCTATTGCTGGGTATGACACGAAGATCAAGCTGCTGATTCATTGCAATGTGTATGTCCCGACGACTACTGTGGAGACGGATACGTCAGTAGTGGTGCAAACAATCACTACAACAATACAATAGCGAATCCTGCAAGGCACGAGTCAATGAGATGAGGGGGCACAGTGCTTTGATATATGGGACTGGGCATCGAAGCTAAGAAGGAATACTTAATCCTCTCCCCTAGATAGCCCCATTACACAGTAGGTTGGACTGAAGGGGGTTTGATAGGACCTATATGCCGTTTGGCGTGAAGGAGGATTTGGATGCTTGTTTTGTCAAATCTTTTACTTTATGGGAGAGTTATATGCTTTAGAGTGTGGAAAAAATGTGTGTTTTATACCTATGGCAGTTATATTCTCAGATGATGTTGTTCTCAGCATAAGAAGAACTAAAATAAAAGAGGTAAAATAGTTTGGGGTTTACTATACTGGCATCCGCGGCATTATCGAGCAAATAGGACAGAATTTTGAGTGAGGCTCTCCTGAGGGAGTTCCTGAGGCCGGACTGGAGGACCTCTTGTGTGTTATGTGACTCTGACTTGGCTGCCAGTGAGCGAGCGTGCACCATCAGAGATATGTACATTGCCATTCCTGCAAGCGTTAGAAGCCATCTACCTTGGAGAGATGGTAGGTGGCAAAGTCTGCACCGTTTGATCCACTGAATCTCAGACGGAATAAAAGGAGATGATGAAGCAAGTGACGAGTTACAGAGTGCTGTGTTTGCGGCGTGCTTGTTTGCGTCTTTGTGCGTAGAAAACAAAGGGAGAGGATTGTAGAGATGGGTGACAGCATAAGGTAACATGGCAATATGAAGGCATAAACACATATGCTGGTTCCTACGTGGCCGTCTTGATCAGCAGATCGTGGCTGTTTGTATGGAGCTTTTAGCTTTTAGCCTTGAGCTATTAGAATTGACGGCGCCAACTTACAGCTTCTTACTACAACGGGTTGCATTACCTTGCATTATGAGCTGTGCTTTCAACAAGAAAATGAATCCATCACTGGCTGCTCTGCTGCGTGTTACTGTTATCAACTATCGAGTCAATGTCAAAACTCCAACTCCGTCAAGACACAGCGACGGCCCCATCGTCCGTGGCGGGGAAATGCCAGCCCGGGGTCCTAGTGGAGCTCTAGCATGGATCCGCCCCCCAGTTTCTAGAAAGCTACAGCACGGCGCGACGACCTCAGTGGAACGATCCAGCACCATCCAAGGCGGCCACCCCCAAACTGTTAGCGCGCAGCACCGCCTGAAGCCCCTCCAAATGGCACCAGACTTCCGTCATCCATCCATGCACCCTCTTTTTTTTAAACCTGTGCTGCCGCAGCCTTGTTTTGATTCCCTATTTGTTTATCTGCAACCCATTTCGCGATCGACGACGCCGCCGAATCCTCTCAATTAGCTTCACTGTGATTTTGACAGCCAGCCCTTGATCTTTGCCAGTAGCATTTCTGTCTTTTGTCTTCTGCTTCCTCTTCCTCTTCTGCTTCTGCTGCTGTAGGCATCATGAGCGGGTCGCGGCCACTGCGGGGCGGGTGCCAATGCGGCCGAAATCGTTACATCATCGCCATCCCAGAGGACGGCATCAAGGACGCTCAGGTCCTGTTCAACACTGAGCCTCAGCATCGTAAGAGCACCCCCAGTTTCTTTATGAGGTAGTTCGTGGGCGCAAGGACTGCAATTGTGCGGGCTTATGGATTGCCCCATGTCCCCTTGGCCATTTATGTTTTTCTTCTTCCTTGGGCTGTTGCTTTTGTTTTGATGCTTTTGGCCCCCAGCTAACGGCGCCTGGTGCAACAGAGATCCCTCTCGCGACACCCCTGGCAGCTTATATTCGTGTCCCGCTCTCGTGGTATCACAGCACCACCTATGCCTTCTTCCCGGATGAGACGCATTCCATGATCCGCAGGGTCTACACACACCCAAGCCAAGACTATTCCAAACGGCACTTTTGCGGCTTCTGTGGCACGCCTTTATCGTATTGGTCCGAGGAGCCGCGGAGTGAGGCTGAGTTTATCAATCTCACCCTCGGCAGTTTGCTTCGGGAAGACATTCGAGACCTGCAAGACATTGGCCTGATCCCCGAGGACGGCGATGAAGATGCACCGTCCGAGGGCGAGGCAGCGCCGGCGGCGACACCGACGAAAAGGACAGCTCTTCAACAGTCGTTTGGCGTTCCCTGGTTCGACGGCTTAATCGAGGGTTCTCGGCTAGGTAAGATGCGCCGGAGCTACGGCACTAGGAGATCGCGCGACGGGCAGACGAGCATCGAATGGGAAATTGTCGAGTTTTCGGAGAATGGCGGCGGAGAAACGGGCGAGGACGATGCTGCGTTGACGCACCTTGGTAAGAGGAAGGTTCGAGAGCATTGAAGCTTGACAGTGACGATGGAGACGTAAATGCACGTTGGCGGCTTGCCGGATATTGATGCGATGCATCCGTATAAATGGATGCGTACAAAGGACGAGGAAGTAAGCAATGGGTTTCTTTTTTTGGGTTGCTCTGCAGCCTATATGTTAGTAGGCGCACAAGCAAGGTCTGCTGTGTATGCAATGCTGCCCTCTTCTTTTCTCTCTCTCTCTGGTTATTATTATTATTTTTTTTTTAAAAAAAAAAAAAATCTAAAGGTTCTTTCATCGTGTTTCTCACCTCTGGAGTGGCGATTCGTACCGTGAGCAAATGCTGGCTTGGAGTTTGCACCGCAGAGCAATGGAGAACAAGCACGTAGCATCGGGCGATAGCCTCGCTTGCTTATACTCCGTCTGGTGCCTGAATTGCATGCAAGGGTCCTTTTAGCAGTGCCCGCAGGCCAGCAACATCTGCCTATGCAGACGCCCGCTAGTGTAGATGCACAATTTCGGAGAGAAATGCTGATGCTGGCAGATTAGGTAGATTCTTATGCTCCGTGCCAGCGGCAAAAGCCCCAGCAGTATTGCTGTTTAATATAGGTAGGTAGATAATAGTCACGTCCCCACGTGTTCTCTCGGCTGAATCTAGCCGTCGGCTTCAACGCCAAAGACACCATCGTCTTTTCTTCCGACCGTCGAATCAAGTGACTCGGCCTTCTGCCGACAACGCAAAACATCCTATCTGTCCACATTCACTGCTCTCCTCCTTCTTGCTGCTCTGCTAAATTGCTGCTATTGGCAGATCTGCCACCTTGTAGGCTATGCAGCATTACTTCAAGTGCCTGTAACGTAACAACTGCCACTTACATATATAGACCATTGAACTTACAACTGTGCATTTCTTACTATACTTGTTGTACACCTAAGAGTACATGTAGTATGCTCCCCCTTCGCCTCAAGACTCCTTCCACTCGAACCCACCACCCTTCACTTAGCAGCCCATCTCTCGGCCCGCTTGACGGCACTGGCCTCATGTTTCGGACAATCACGTATAGGCTAAGCTGCTTGGGGCCGCCCGGATCGCCATCCTCCGCCCATATGGCTCCCATTGAGGGCAACTAGCCTTACCTTGTGACTATCTGTCGGTCAGCGCGGCTGGCCGGGGAGGATTCTCAACGTATGAGCAGAGAGCTTTGAGAGGGGAACTATGGATTTCGGTATCCCCGTCAAATGACTTATCTGGGAGTCATCCTCGCTCTACCATGTCCCATCTAACACCACTTCTTTCTAGTTCGACCATGGTACGGAGTACCGTCGCTAGATTTGCACACTTATGGAGTGCATGATGCGGGCACTACTGCTCCATAGTTCGGGGTACGGGGTAGAAGGCCCTATTATCTTAGCCTCCACGCAAGGGTTAGCCGTGCTATTAGCAGCACTTTTCTTGGGTAAAATGGATATCGCAACTGTAGCTTGGCTAAATGCGCAGGTACCCATGGCAGGGCACCATCATTATCCGGGAAAATGCGCCTCTGGCGCCATGCAGGGCCGTGAGCGTATTTTGTATTTCTCCATGTTTATTTTCCGAATCTTAGGCTGGACTGGATGGGAGGGGCAATTATATATATCCAGGCTGTTGAGACTAATTCCCACCCATCTCATTAGCTGAGTGAGAGCATGCATTGCATGATCTCTTGAGTGATTGTGCATCTGTTTCTTAAAAATATTTTTATTTTTATTTTTAACTCTTGTTGTTAGAGTAAAAAAGTAATCTCGTGCAAATATGTTGCCCAAAGACTTTCAGTGGGGTTTTGCTACGGCTGCGTAAGTTGCTTTCCCATGTGTATCAAAGTCAAACAACACAAGATCCCGAGTCGTTATGCTCTCCTTTGTGCTTAGTCGCTTACACCTATCATCTACAGCTATCAAATAGAAGGCGCCATCGACAAAGACGGCCGCGGTCCCAGCATCTGGGACACCTTCTGCGCCATCCCCGGCAAGATTGCTGACGGATCATCCGGTGTTACTGCCTGCGACTCGTACAACCGCACGGCCGAAGATATTGCACTTCTGAAATCCCTTGGAGCCAAATCTTACCGCTTCTCCATTTCTTGGTCTCGAATCATCCCCAAGGGCGGTCGCAACGATCCCGTCAATAAGGCCGGGGTCAACCACTATGCGCAGTTTGTCGACGACCTGCTGGAAGCGGGCATCACCCCTTTTATTACGCTTTTCCACTGGGATCTGCCAGAGGAGCTGCATCAGCGATACGGCGGCTTGTTGAACCGCGAAGAGTTCCCGCTGGACTTTGAAAACTACGCTCGCATCATGTTCCAGTCGCTTCCTAAAGTTAAGAACTGGATTACTTTCAACGAGCCTCTTTGCTCCGCCATCCCAGGCTATGGCTCTGGAACTTTTGCCCCGGGACGCCAGAGCACTTCAGAGCCCTGGACGGTCGGCCACAACCTCCTGGTTGCCCACGGCCGTGCCGTAAAGGCCTATCGAGAGGAGTTCAAGACTACCAGCGATAGCCAGATCGGCATCGTCCTCAACGGCGACTTCACTTATCCCTGGGATTCGTCGGACCCAGCCGATAGGGAGGCGGCTGAGCGCAGATTGGAATTTTTCACGGCGTGGTTTGCCGACCCTATCTACCTGGGAGATTATCCTGCGTCTATGCGCAGACAGCTCGGAGATCGCCTGCCAACATTTACAGCCGAGGAGAAGGCCTTTGTCCTGGGCTCCAACGACTTCTACGGCATGAACCACTACACATCCAACTACATCCGCCACCGCACCTCGCCCGCCACCGCCGACGACACCGTGGGCAACGTCGACTGCCTGTTCTACAACAAGCAGGGCCAGTGTATCGGCCCAGAGACGCAATCCCCATGGCTGCGCCCTTGCGCGACCGGCTTCCGCGATTTCCTCGTGTGGATCAGCAAGCGATACAACTACCCCCGGATTTACGTGACGGAGAACGGCACCAGCATCAAGGGAGAGAACGACCTGCCCAAGGAGAAGATCCTGGAGGATGATTTCCGAGTCAAGTACTACAACGACTACATCCGAGCCATGGTTACGGCCGTGACGCTGGACGGTGTCAATGTGAAAGGGTATTTCGCCTGGTCGCTGATGGACAACTTTGAGTGGGCGGATGGCTACGTTACCAGATTTGGAGTGACGTTTGTTGATTATGAGAATGGGCAGCAGAGATTCCCCAAGAAGAGCGCAAAGAGCTTGAAGCCGTTGTTCGATGAGCTGATTGCTAAAGAGTAAAAAAAAGAAAAGAAGAAAAAAAAAAAGACATTTACTTCATACATTCTCTTTTTTCTTTGTTGTAATTTTGTTGAGGGAAGAAGCAAATACGATTTGAATGTAAAGTAGCGAGCGAATGATAAGAATGCACATACCTAAGCAAAGGGAATACATGATACATGCGTGATTAGGAATGGAATAAAAGACAGAAAAAAAAAAAAAATTGTTCGATGATAGCGAATGCGTGCAAAATGCAAAAAGAAAATTGAATGCTCATAGCAGGGCTTGAACCTGCGACCTCCGCATTACCAACATTGGAGCCGTTAGACCCGAAATATTAGTACGAAGCTCTAACCAACTGAGCTATACGAGCCGGCGATTTGTGCTAGGAGAACTCGTAGAAGTACTCTAAGAAGTGCCATGTTTGGCTAATTGACACTCATCGATATAAGTCTATACATCAGTCGAGCGCTCTCTTGGTGTAGAGGCTCCTGACATTTAGCCGTTATAACCTTCTCATCCCCGCTCTTGCGTCTTGAACGGTGGTTGATGGCCCACACTTTGCCGCCGATGCAGCCCGATTCTCGGCTGCGAAGCGCCGGGACTTAATAAGCTGTTTATTATAAGTTCCTTACGAGGGAGGGCCTATCGGATTATGCATACCTACCTATAATTGCTTAATAGTAATCCTCCTACTGATTCAATGCACTGTTCTGCAAACAACTATTTAATTTGCCAAAAAAGCATTCTAAAGACTTTAAGGATATCCTTGCGCTATATGAGGGCAGAGACTTTAATGTATGATGCAATTAGCAGAGACGGGGAAACGGGGCCCGTTTCCCTTAGGATTTCTAAAGTAGCCTTAATGTTTCTTAGTGTATAATGTTAAAGATATAACTCTCCTTCTGTGTGAGAAATAAAAGTCCCTGTATAACTACTGTTAATAATATATGTAGTCTTATTAACAAAAGCTAGGACTGATTTAACACTGTCTTCCGGTTTCATAGGTACTTGGAAGGTAGGTGAATAATCCTCTATAACTCCAGTGGTAAGGACTAAGTTAAAATGTATTTTGCACTAGCAGCCAACTGCGTTGCAACGAATCACAATTGCAAACTCTTCGACGTTACAGTAATTAAATACTATAGAAATCAAACCCCCTGAATGCTTAAGTTGTCAGTGACTGCGCCAACAGCACAGTACTGTACTAAAGTACAAAATGGAAATTACACGTATTAAATGGTGAAGCTTCGACGACTGCGCCAGCAATAACGTTACCGTTTTGATACTACAACGCCGAAATCAAATCTTTTGAATGGTAAAGTTGTCAACGACAGCGCCAGTAGAGTAGACGCGAACACCAGCCATGCCCTTCTTGTACGTCGAGTCGCGGTACTGGATGTAGGGGTTGCCGTCGACCCAGACGTTGATGGAGTTGCCGATGGCACGCACCCTCAGCCGATACTTTTGGTTGACGCGGATGCCGACCTTGTTCTGGTCGAGTTGTTTCCAGCCGCCGCCGGCCCGGCCCAGGATGACCCTGCTGGAGGCGTCGATGCCGACGTAGTAGCCCTTGTAGGCGTCGGGGCCGTTGCCGACATCGGTGGTGCGGAACAAGAAGCCGGCGTTTCTATTGTCGCCGCTGTGCGTCAGGGCCACGTCGGCCTCGAGGACAAAGTCCTCAAACGTGGCCTGGTACGCAATCTTACCGCTGGTGACGTCGCTGGCCACCAGCTCGCGGGTGCGGGCATCGAAGCCGCCGTCGTAGATCTGCCAGTTTATGAGGTTGCGCTCAAAGTCGTCAAACACGACCGTCGAAACAGACAGGTCGTCAAAAACTGCCTCGGTCTCGTACGTGCGCACGCCAACCTTGCCAGAGCGGAAGGTCCCGTCGCGAACGGTCAGCGCGGGACGGTCCACGTTGTTGACGTAGACGGCGATCTGATCACCCGTGGCCAGCGCCTTGATGGTGAAGGGACGGTCGGCAGAGACGCCGACCTTGGCGCGGCCCAGCTCTCTCCAGTCGTTGTTGACGCGGCCGAGGACCAGGTCGCCGGCCAAGTTGACGCCGGCATAGTAGCCATGGTACTGGTCGCCGCCTTTGCCAATGTCTGAGGCGCGGAACATGATGCCGGCGTTGCCAGACCGGCCAGCGCGCAGAGTCATCCGCGCCTCAAAGGCCACGTCGTTGAAGTTGACGTCGTAGTAGGCCTTGTTGCCGAAGGAGGTCATGGCAAGGGCCTTGGACGAGGTGTCGGCGCCGCCCTCGGCCACGATCCACTGGTTCTTGGTACCGTCGTCGAAGCTGAAGCTGCGAATGGGATCAACGCAAGCCCAAGTCTGGCCAAAGATGCGAGAACAGTCGCTGCCAGCCTTGGGGTTCCAGTTGGTCAACTCGGAAACGGTAACACCGTAGCGAGAAGCAATGTCCTGGCAGCTCTGGCCGGATTCCACAAAATGGAACCTGTTGCACGAGTTGATCATGTCGGGCTGAATGGGGGAGGGGGTCTTGACTCTAGAACAATTGTCAGCTCAGTATGATATGATTGATCAGATACATGTAGTATAGAAGTACGGACGCGTTGGGAGGAGCAGTTGGCTTGTCCGTTTGTGAGCCAAGAATACCGACGCAGGTATACGTCTTGGCCCAGAGCCCCGTGCATCGAGGGCCAACTCTGGGGTTCCATTTGGCGAAATCCTCCATGCTGATGCCATTGTTGGTGATAATGTCGGCGCAGCCATCGCCTTCCTTGACAAGGTAGAACTTATTGCAGTTGTCGACCATGCCAGGCTGAGTAGGCGTGGGGGTGACGACCCCGTTGCCGGTAGTCGTCGTGGTCGACGGCACGGCCGTCGGGCTGCCGGTCGAGCCAAGGACGCCTACGCAGGCGTATGTCTTCGCCCACAGACCGGTGCACTGGGCGCCGACCTTGGGGTTCCATTTTCCAAAGTCGTCGACGTTGATGCCGTTGGCGGAGGCAATGTCGGCGCAGCTCTCGTCCTCCTTGACAAAGTAGAACTTGTTACAGTTGTCAACCATGTTGGGCTGGGTCGGAGTAGGTGTGGTTACGCCATTACCGGTGGAAGTAGTGCTAGGCACGGTAGTTGGCTGGGTGGTTGTGCTCCTGGGAAGACCAAAATTGACCTCGACGCAGTACGAGTTGCCAATCTTCATGCCGCTGCAGTCATCTTTAACGAGGGGGTTCTGCAGCCGTGTTAGTACATAATCGACACCATCACCTCTTAACAAGCTCGAAAACCTACCCACTTACGAAAGTCGTTGGCCGAGATGGACCACGCCGCTTGGAGACTATCACAAGTCACAGAGGCATCAGTCTTCTCTTCCCAGTACGTGCAGTCCGAGGCAGTTTCGGGATCGACCTTGCCGACAGGCTTCTCACCACGCTTGGTGCGGGCGTGAGGAGCGGCCAAGATGGCCGGGACAATGAAAAGCCCGTTCAAGAGAGCCAACATAAGCTTCATGGTGTATGCCTTGCGCTGGCGCTTATCTGCGGAATACTACCACAAGCAGAACACGAACTTACATAAACCCAACTTATATGCCATTTCGGACTTGCCCTGCTGCTCTTTGCCTTGTTGCCCTTCCGCTCCGCGCCCACCCGTTCATGGGGGCCGACGGGTCGTCGATGGACGCCAAGCTTATAGGATTCATGGTAGCGGAAAAGAATAACAGCAGACAAGGATTCCTGCACGAAACCTTGCTCCTCATCCGGTTGACCGGGGTATGACCAACGATTTCTAGTCATGAGAAGAAAAGAATTTTTTTCTTGTTCACGGAGTTTTGGTACGACGAGCCGGATGATAGCCGAAATCAGGGTGGCGCCGAACGCTGTTATACGGGAACCTGCAGCATGCCGTGCTTGGCAGGCTGTCGGCGGGTGGGGAAGGTTGCAGCTGGCTTGTGAAATAACAGGCCAGGAGACCAACAATAAGTAAGCTTAACAAATCCTGCAAGCCACCGGAAGTCGGAACTGAATCCTAAGACGGTTGTGGTGGCAACTTGCGTTGCTGAATGAACATGAGGTTGATGGGAGTGTAGGTCGCCTCAGAGCCACCATTGATTGGCTACTTGTAACGTCAACATTGCAGATCATCACCCGTGAGGAAGAATAGTTCTCAATTCCAGTAAGCATCTTATTTATAAACGTGACTGGGGCATGGCGAGCAGGAGAGTCGCAAAAAAGTTGTAATTTACGCGAGAGGAGCACAAGGACGGGACCTGCGGGAGTGAATGTCGAGGGACTTATGCCAGTCCATGAATCAATTTTAACTAGCCACCGTTAAATGGCGCTGCGGATCACGGTTGGTCGCGTGTTAGACAGGGACTTGGTCCCAGCCGTGAACTGGGTTTAGGCAGTACCACAGGCCAGGAACAATCTTGCTGTCACACTCAGCGACAGAGCCGAGTGAGGGATTAATCTTCAAGAACAGGTCCATGGGCATGGCCCGCTTGGCGAGCAGGCTCGGGCACCTGATTCCCTTCTCGGCCTGGATATACTTGCCACAGTTGTTGGTCGTGCCCTCGGCTACTTTGGCCCCGTCCGGCGGAGGGACAACTTGGTTAGCGTAGCCGTCACCAGAGCCTCCCTCGCCGCCAATGTCCCCGTTGCCAGGGGTAGTGCTGGGAGAGCCAGGGTCGGTATACTCGCCGCCGGGTTGGCTAACGCAGATCACTCGGCCCCAAAAGGGTTCAGTGCTGTAAATGTTCCGGCAGTCATCCTTGAGAGCTAGGTTCCACTTGACAAGCTTGGCCCACGACGTGCCGTACCGCACGCCAATCACCACGCAGTCCTCATCCTTGCTCTGGACCTTGTATAGCTCGCTGCACTTCTCCGGCAGACAGAGCTCCAGGCCCGCAGGCACACTGCTGCAATTGAGCAGGTTGGGGTTGAGGAAGAAGAGCGACGCCGCCGACACAGAGTTTGCCAGAGCAATACTGTCGCAGGTGTCGCCGTTGCGTGTGCTGTACGTCTGCTTGCTGGTGCACACGCTGGGTCTGGTGACGTTGACGTTGATGGGCGGAGAAAGAGTATCGGTTGGCCCTTTGACATTGCACCCTACAACAAGTCAGCATTCGTTATCTAGATTTGCAATTGAAATGACCTCACGCTTATTGACAGTTTCCAGTGCCTGAGCAAAGAGCTCGTCGTATGCAGAGTACGGCGACTGCTGCATTATGCGTAACTTGGCTCCGTAGCAGTAGGAGCACAACTGCGCGTCAGGCATGGCTTCGAGGCTGTCGTAATCCTCAAAGGCATCGATAATGTCTGCGTAGTACAGTTAGCTGACAGAAAAGACGCCAGAGTTAGGGTGGTGGCGCGTCGACTGACCATTGCAGTACTTTCCAGTGTCCTTGTCTTTGAGGCAGGTTTCGTCCCAGCCGGCAAGCGTCGTTTCAATAAGCGTCGCGACGGGGTATCCGGGGATCAGATCAGGTGTTGAAGCGCAGACGGCGGCAAGACGTCTCCTGGTGTTGAGCAGAGATCTCTCACAGGTGGCCTGGCAGACGCTGTCGGTCAGCGCAGGGCTGTCGAGAGAACCGCGGTAGCCCCTCTCGCGAAAGTTGGCGACGAATTCATCGCACTGGATTGTCTGCTGCAGTAACTGCTGGCAGTTGGAGTTGAGTTTAGAGCCTTCTAGCTGCTTGTTGGTAACGAGCTGGAACCCGGTAGCGCGGCTCTTGAGCGAAACAGTAGCAGCAAGGGGCGCGAAACCGCCCAGGAGGGGCAATACAAGCAAAAGATTCTTCATCATGAACATGTAGAGTTTCGTGAAGTCAACTTTTAGATGCGAGTGTGTAAGCGGTTAATCCTGAATCTCTCGACGGGAGTGGCTCAGCTGTTATGTGGGCGGCCGAAACTTGACCGAGGGTCGCGACCTTCTTCGGAATGGTAATGATTCGGCCCCGTCTTTTGGCCATATATTTCTCCTTATCAACGGACGGTATTACAAGGTGCAAGAGGCAGGGAACCTTTGCGTGCCAAGGCCCAGCCTGGTGCATGGGGGCAGGCTGCAGTACCGGGGACCCCCAGCGGAGCAAGGACGCTGAGTATGTTCGTAGCTGTAAATTTGGAACCTTTGTCCATGGTCAAGTACGAACCAAGTGAACAACATATATCGCTTGCCTCCTCGTCTTGGTAGAACGGTGGAAGCCAAAGTGTGTTGCAATGAGCAGGGGTATAGAGTAAAAAGGCCTCCTCTGCCATCACCCCATTTGTTTAAGCCGACGTTTCCCTGCATGTGAGTACGGCCAAAGACATATTTTCCTTCCCGCATGGCCAGAATTTTCTCTTGTTATCTATCTCATTTTTCACTTTCTTCTTCGTGAAATACCCAACATGAAGATTCTTCTGACCTTCACATTATTGCTGAGCGCTCTTGTCCAGCTCTCCGTGCAGCAAGACGGCGAGTGCAGCGATACCAAGCTCTGTCCTGAAGGATGTTGTAGCAGCGCAGGCCATTGTGGTTATGGACCTGACTATTGCGGGTAAGTAGATCCGAATCAGCCCATGTGTATACACGTTGCGTGTATACGTCTATCGTTGCTCTCAACCTGTCGACTAACACATTTGTCTAGAAAGGGATGCCAGAGCACCTGTGATCGCAAGTCTGACTGCAACCCTGGTTGGGAGAGCAACGATTTTAGTAAAGGAGATAAATGCCCCCTTAATGTCTGTTGCAGCAAGCACGGCTTCTGTGGCTATACCGAGGAGTTTTGCAAGGGCAATGAAGTCAAGAGGCCCTCGTGCTCCATCAGTGACACTCCCGTAGACCGAGTTATTGGCTACTATGAGGGGTGGGCAACTTCCAACCGCCGCTGTAATGCCCTGCGACCAGAAGAGATTCCCTATGGCGCCTACACCCATCTCATCTTCAGCTTTGCCACCATCAATCCCAAGTCGTTCGAGGTCTCGCCCGGCAACTACGAGACCGAGGACATGATGGAGAGAATTGGCACCATGAAGATCCTCCAGCCCGACCTCAAGATCTGGGTTGCCTTTGGCGGCTGGGCGTTCAACGACCCCGGACCAACCGAGACAATCTTTAGCGACGTGGCTGCCTCTGAGGCCAACACTGAGACGTTCCTCAGCTCGCTCGTCAAGTTGATGGATAAGTTTAACTTTGATGGCGTGGATATTGACTGGGAGTATCCTGTCGCTACCGACCGCCACGGCCGTGATGAAGACTATGAGAACATTGTCACCTTCATGAAGAAGCTCCGAGCACGCATGGATAAGTACCGCAGAGGCGTATCCATGGCCCTGCCTGCTAGCTACTGGTACCTCCAGCACTTTGACATTGTTAAGCTTGAGGAACACGTCAACTGGTTCAACCTTATGACGTATGACATGCACGGCGCCTGGGATATCGACAATAAGTGGACTGGTCCATGGGCGAACTCGCACACCAACCTAACCGATATTCAGCTTGGCTTGGATCTCCTATGGCGCAACAAAATCAGCCCCAGCAAAGTCACCATGGGAATGTCCTACTATACGCGTACCTTCACCCTGACAGATCCCGGCTGCAACAAGCCCGGCTGCCGCGTTAGCTCACCCGGCGAGGCAGGCAAATGTTCTGGCACGGCCGGTGTGCTGCTCCACCCCGAGATTCAGGACATCATCTCCAAGAACAATTTGAAGCCTGTGCTTGACCGGGAAGCTGCCGTCAAGACCGTCTCATGGGGCAACCAGTGGACCTCGTTTGATGATGCTGCAACTTGGCGCCTCAAGGCTAACAAGCTGCGCGGCCAGTGCATCACGGGCTTCATGGTGTGGGCCATTAGCCACGATGACGAGTTCGGCACCAACGCCGAGGCTCTGGCTTCTGTTCTGGGTCGCAAAAAGCCTGACTTTCCCAACTTTACCATCCGCCCCAAGGTGGAAGACAGTCCCGATCTTGAGTCCAAGACGTGCCGTTGGACAAGCTGCTTCGAGGGCTGCCCGTCTGGATTTAAGGAGGTCCAGCGCGACGGCCACAAAGAGATTATGCTGGACACAACGCCCTGCTTTGGCAAGGGTTACGGCTTTAGTCGTCTTTGCTGCCCGACGAGCGCCAAGTCTCCCACGTGTACCTGGCGTGGCCACAGAAATACTGGCAAGTGTAAGCCCGGCTGCAACGACTTTGAACTTGAAGTCGGCTCACTGAGTGTGGGCTGCCGTTCGGGGTACCAATCAGCTTGCTGCAGCGATACCTTGGTCACGTCCCTGTACAGCAAATGCGTCTGGACCGGATGCACTAGCCAGGGCAAGGATGCTTGTACGGGCAATAACCCGCATTTCCTCACTTCCAGCAGCGTGGGCTCTGGTGGTATGAAAGCCTGCAGCAAAGGCGAGAAGAGAAGTCTCTGCTGCGTCTCCCCGGCGCCCTACGATGTTGCTGGCAAATGCGAGTGGCGAAAGAAGGCCGGGTTTCTCAACGCGGATAATGAGAAGCTCCTCTGCGAAGGTGCATGCTCGTCGAACCAGCTGATGATGGCCCGAGAGAGCGGCCTCACTATTGGTAGCGAAGGCGGCGACGGCTGCTATGGCGATCTCGCCTTCTGCTGCACGGAACCCGAAAAGTTGAAGCCTCGAGATGAAGACCCTGGCTCGTCACAGGGTCGCGAGTTCCAGGCTCTGATCCGTAAGTACATGGAGAACCCGACCTGTCCCGCTACCATTCTCTTCCCTCAACTCCATGACAAATTTGTTCGTAAGCGCTCCTTGGAGTTCGAGGCAGCCGAATACAACGTATTGCGCGCCAGAGCAAAGGATTGCACTCTAGATACCTGGGTCCGGCTGCTTCAATACGCAACGCTAGTGTTCTCGGTCAGCCGCGCTGGCATGGATCCCCTCGTTAAGGTCTGGGATAAGGAATTTGCCGGCAACTATGACAAACAGCTGGAGTACAATAACCTCCACGCATTTTTGTTGAAGTATAAAGATTATGAGCCTCGCAGTGTTGTGGAGTGGGTGCTCTACAACCCAACTCGAGCCGGACCTGGCATCAGAGATGCGGATGCCGCCAGCCAGGCACTGTGCCGAGTTCCAGGCTCCAAGGCCCGTAGCATTCCCGAGTCCACCATCTCTAATATTGACAGCAGAAAGATTGACGCGTGGGGGGGCGGGTCGGGTTATATTCCTGCCTTAGACACGATCCTAACTGCCATTATTAGCGGAGCCATCTCGCTGCATTATGCTCGCTGGCAGTATTATCAAAGCTCCCAAAACGGAAACGTCCCAGGGCCTATGCTTGAGATGGCGTACTGGCTTGGCCGCCAGCCTGGCCATGAGAACAGCGAAGACATTTCAGAATACCAAGATCAGACGCCGCGACCACGCTGGCCATCAGATCGCTGGGTTCGTAAGTTGCATATTTTTCCACTCTGCTCATACTTCTAGCCACGTACTAAAGTTTCCCCAAAAGTCTTCCACCTTCACATCGATCCATCAAACCGGAACTGGCTGATAAGTGAAAATGGAAACACGTATGTCGGCGTCAGCAACTTCCGTGTCATGCACGGCCAGTACTGGATGCATGGAAGGAACGGCCAAGCGTGGCGTGTATCTCACAGCAACGGCATATACAACTCGCGTGACGGGTTCTCCTGTCCGGAAGAGCTCGGTAGCCTCTGGTACGTTGGATCTAGAATAACGCTCCCGGACGATCAGCCTGAATGGGCAAGACTGCTTCACCAATGGGGTGAGATGATCTATCGTCAGGGGTACGTCGGCAACCGCGGCCTGAGAATGATCATTGAGCCGCCACAGGGTGGAAGCCGCACCGAAGTCAACCCTCATAACCCAGGAGAACTGTCTCGTGGAGTAATGGGTACATCGGTAGTCGGAGGAAATAACCCGTACGAAATTAACTTCATCTTGTCGGACGAAGGATACGACTTTACCACTCCTCCTCCCCCGCAAGACCGTGAAGATCCAGACACTCCGGCCTGAATGGTAACGCGTAACGACGAACTCGCATAGAGGCAATCTGTAACTTAGACATATAGAAGCTGCATAACGTCATGATTTAATAACTGTTTTGATCTCAACCAGGCAGCTGTTTGTTTCCTATATGGCCTGCTGTTCCTTTTGTGAGTACTCTACGCTAGAATTTGTAGCATCAACCAAAATGCGTGTCAACCTCGCGCGTATATCTGGGTGCGTCTGGAGCAGTGGCGAGGTGTTTATCAGATCAGCTGGCAGGCAATTCCTCTCATCAACAGCATTCACGTCCGCTCCATTAGCCAACAGAACCCTCGCCAAGCCGGCAGCGCCGTGAAACATGGCCCAGTGTAACGGCGTTCTATCTTTGGTCGTCGCAGGCGGCTTGTTGCCGTTGGGTTGGAGATGCTCAACGACGCGGGAGCCCCAGATGCCGACCTCCCGATTGGGCACACGGAGTGATATGCGACTAGAGTTTGCGGAAACAGCCAACATGGTAGCTCGAGCATCAACAGGTATACCCCTCGTAATGAATTCCTGGGCAAGATCTGCCAACTTGTTGTTATCGCCATCGCCATTGTCTAGGTAAAGCGACAAGCAGTGCAGCGGTGTCCAGCCCTCGGCCGTGCACGCAAGGGGATCGGCTCCATGGTCCAGGATAATTCTTGCCGCCTGCAGTGCTTTATAGTAACTTGGCATAGAAGTCTCGGTTGCGGTTGACGGGGCTACAGCACACATTAATGGCGTCCAGCCATTGTCATTAGCAGCATTGACGTCCGCACCTGACGATAATAGAAAGCGTAATATGTCGATCTTCTTGCCCGCAGCGGCCCAGTGAAGAAGCGTCTCTCCGCTATTGTTTTTGATTGATTTCAATGCGTCGTTATGTAGACTGTCAACTGGCAGGCCGGCGGTATACAGGGAGAAAATGTGCATATTGGATCCAAAGGCAGCGTAGTGCAGCGGCGTGTTGCCAAACTCATCCTGAATCGTGACGGACGCACCGTGTTGTAATAACAAGCGAATACCAGTTTCGTGCAAGCAGCGCTTGGGACCCTTTTTAATATGCACCGGCGACCCCAGATGGTGAAGGGCGGTTTCTCCAGCAGGGCCGCGTCCGTTGGGATCAGCCCCCTTATCGAGAAGCGCCTTGAGAGCTCCCACCAAGTCAGCCCACGTTGCCGCTGCAATGACGATATTCAACCCTTCAGCGTTGTTGTTTGGGTCGGCCCCTGCACCGACCAGGCAACCGATGAGCTCTTGCTGGTTCACGTAGTCCAGGCCGTTGCACTCAGCACGAGGATGGCTGAGCAGGTCCGACCTGAAGTCGGCCGCACGGCAGAGAGACAAGTTGATGCATAGCGGCGAGTATCTGAAACGGGCCAAAAGAAGCCGAACCACGTCGACGTGCCATCCTGACACGGCGTTCCCAAGGGCATTCTCCAAGACAGCTTCCGACCAGCCGTCAGCCCAACCCAGAACGTCCTCGACCATGGCAGTCTGACCATGGATAGTTGTTCGGTTTAGAAGAGTACGGTGGAGCTGTTGCGGAATTTTACTGTCTCCCAAGACCGTCTTTTCGCACATACGAGTGAACATGTCGCGGTTGCCTGTCTGAATGGCCGTTTCTATGGCCGAAGTTTGCGGCTCAGTGAAACCATTGGAAGCCCAAGGGTTGGCGCCGGCGTCAAGAAGAATGCCTGCCGCTGTCATGTTATCGCACAACACGGCGACTTGAAGAGCAGAACCAAAATCCGGGTCGCAGTAGTTGAGCTCGAGGGCAACAGTGCCGCACAGAGGGACGAGGTTTCGCAGCGCCGACATGTCGTTGTCGCGGACGGAGGCGTGCAGGCGCGCTTTTGGGTCGTCATTGAATGCATCCTTCATTTGCATCCAGAGGCGTCCATCCATGCCTGGCGGTACGGGCCGCGTGGCTGAGGATGGAGGCGGCATTATTATTGTTTGCAGTTGATGAAGCTTGGTATGGACATCGGAGTGTTTCACAAGTGTCTGGTCCGCCTTGCAGGCGGCACTCAAGAATGCAGTGCTCGGATGAAGGAAACAGCGTCGCCGATGTGCGGAGCCGCGCACATGATGTATGATACCTAAGATAGGTACTAATTAAAGCCTTGATAATTGCCAAATTGATTCATACTGGATGAGTCTCAATCTTGTCGGCTTGGCAGTATCTCGGTCTACTTCATTCATGATCTCTTAGGCTGCCGCTTAGGCTGCCGCTTAGGCTGCCGCTTAGGCTGTTCTTTCTCATCTTTGCTTCCTCTTCCTTGGCATCCATATGACGAACCGGTCTATGCCAGATGGTATAGGGTAGCTTCTTAAGGTAATAAACTAGTCGTAGTTTACATTAATAAAGCAGGTATAATGCAGTAGGCAATCTTATTATATAGCTAGTAGGTTAAATATAATATTTAATAACTAATTATCTAAGCTATTTAATAAATATAAATATTTTATTTTTATATAGTAAGTTATTCCTTTATAAAGTAATATAGCGTATATGTTTGACCAATTCCAAATAGTATAAGCATTTTGGAATTTTTGCACTGTTAATGTAGGCGGCGATAATATTAAATAGGGTAGGATTTGGAGTTTAGTTATGTCCTATTTAAGAGGAAGCTAACAATAGAAATGTCTTAGTCTGACTTGGAATAGTCATCTATCAGTACTCAAAGGGGGATAAATTATCTTGAAAGCATATTTAGATGTTACAACATACCAGATTTTAAGTTTTGTCTCTGCCTACCATAGCAAATGACAACAGCTTTGAATTAGGCGATAATGCCTGGATCAAAATTCCTGTTACGGACCTGACTTGAGGTGGTAGTGTCATTGGCGGCGTAAGCAAAGCAATCTATCCACATAGCTTTATATATGGAGGATCTATTTTATACTATACCAACAGTTACCTATCTGAACAAGCAAAGCGGGCCATACTACTTAGTACCTAGAAAGTGGTGGTGTGAACAGAACATTTACAGTTGTGCGCAAGCTAGAGGATTGAGAGATACCTACATGTAATCGGCCTAGAGAAATGTACACAGGACCAAGGGACTCACACACCGACTGCGCTAGATAAACCCCCTGTACTCGGTAATAGGGCCCTTATGTATGTCAATATTTATCTTGCGGGTCCCTGTTTTCTTGTAAAGCACTTGGCAAGGTGTATGAACCAACCACTCCCATCCTCAAGCTGTGATTTCTCTCGACTTTTTACTTCACATGAGTTGTTTGCTCCAGCACAACTTTAATATGCGCCAATATATATGTATCATTTGATAGCCTCCAGATAACAGATAACACTCGCCTGCCTTGTAGTCTTTTGGGGCGAGGGGTTATAAGTTAAACTTTGCTACCTGAATCTAGGTCTAGGTACTACAACCAAACAGACCCAGGCTGGTGCAACGGTAGCATAGCTGGTGACACACGGGAATGACTACAGCGCGGAACCGTGCCCTTGGGGCGGCAGATCTGGGTTCAAATCCCGGGCCTGGGGATATTTTTATACCATTCTTCGTCTTGAAGTCTAGCAAAGTGGTCGATAGTTCATTGTTTTATTTATCAATGTATCTCTTTCATTCTCTCCTGTTTACTACGTAAAGTAAGTGTGCTGTAGGCCTCGTATGAAGTGGTCGATTGTAATTTCTACCAAGGTACCTAGGTGGTGGTCTTGGACGCCATGACATCTTCCAGTGCTTTTTTTTTTGGCGACGGCTCATGTAGCATGTGTTACTGAAGAACTGGTTAAAGAACATGTGTTTTTTCTCCTTGATCTCTAGATCTATGTATACTAGACTAGGTAAGGCGACGCTCTTGAAAATTGGTTGCGGCGCCATGTTCCAGCTTGCTCTTCCTAGCGAACCTAGATGGTGTCCTGTAAGGGAAGCGACTTGGTGGAACCAAGAGAATGCTAGCCCACGATTGGTGCCGTTATTCACAGCCCTCGAATGCCATTAAATCCATTGTGGCGAGCGGCATGCTCTCTTGTATCAGACCCGAGAGCAATCCAGCAGCCATTGTCGAGTCAGCGTGAGATGCTCGAGACAAGGCCATTTAGACGCTCGTCAGTCTCGTATTCCTTCAGTGCCGTCTCCCTCCACTGTGCCCAATCTTGGCTGACACCAAAGACTTCTAGTATCGCGATTGCCAATGGCAACGCATTCAACCATTCGGATTCCAAGGCCAGGCCCCAGAAAAACCTCCTGGCTTTCTCGTTGATCGCGCAGCTGGTAATCCAAGAGAGGCCCTTTTGCCGCAGTGCATCCGTCAAGGCCACATCATCGGTACTGATCGAGACCTTACCACCGCACAATGCATTCATGTCGGCAGTAACAAGCGACGGACCGAAGGCTTCACGTCGTGGTACGACGCGTGCCATCTGCCAGTCAATAATGCCTGTGATGTGAAGGTCATCGTCGACAAGTAAGTGGTCGCCTTTGTCGTCGACGTGCTTTAAAAAGAATTCCTCTGATGGCTTCGCTTCTCCTCCTTGTTCGGCTAGCTGTGACACGTTGTCTTTTAGAAAGCGGTATACTAGGTACGCATTGATAGGATACTCCGTGTAGAGTTGGCCGTCTGCAATCAGCGTCAAGTACTGCTCAGCAAAAGCAGTATAATATGCTGTTGAGTTATGAAATGGGCCATTAGGAGTGAGGACGACGAATCTGTCGCTCGCTACGGCCGAAATTTCGACACTGGATGACTGGAAGCACAGTGACCCAGCTTTGGGAAAGGGGTGATGTTCTAACTCAGCCAGGATCTCGGCGAGGCCACTCCAAATCCTGGCCTTCTCGTCGTCAGTGGCCGTTGTACCCGACACTCCTTGGCCTGTCCAGGGTCTTCCTGGTAGCTCTTCCATAAGAAGGAAAGCCACGCCGACACCATGGTCTGTCCCATTGCTGCATACACCATAGTTGAAAGCTCGAGGTGCTGGCACTGAAGTGGTTTCGAGAAATTTCAATGTGGCGTACTCGCTGGTTATTAGATAGTCTGCTAACGGGATGGGAAGACCAACGGCGAAACTTACCACTCGTGGAACTCGAAGGAGCCACGAGGGGGAGCCGTCTTGGAAGCGTATGCGGGCATGATAGTTGGCGCTTCCCATGAGAGCGCCCTGTCCAACCTTGGACGAGTGCTCAATTCTACAACTTCGACCGCCATTCAGTCTGGACGCAAGTTGGCATACGGCCGCATCGTTGATCCGAGAGCGGAGACGATCGATCTCGGCTGCAATTTGCGACTCATAAGCTACGTCATCCAAAGTCTGTTCACCCAACTACGTTTCAGCATTGTATTTTGGTTGTAACTCAAGCTGTGCTGTGATAAATGAAAGGGGGGAGGAACTGGTATGTCGTACCTCGTCACACGTATGGAAAGAACGAGACAAGTGGGTGAGGCATAAGTGGCGATTACAGCTATTGCAACCGCCGTTTGCTCTGACACTCGGTCTTTCACAATCAGGCACTGAGCAGCTGAAGAATCTGGACGCCATGGTGCGAATGATGTTGATGCAGGAGGCTTGTGAAAATACAAAGCTTTGACGCCGTGGAGTTTGCGGCTTGAAAACGATTGTGACGAATGTGATGAATGTTGAGCTGTGTTGTGATGAGGATTAGATATTTTCGTCCAATCCGGCTTGGCACGAAAAAAGAGCAAGCATCGGGGTATAGTAAGTGTCCGGTTCGTCACACAAATTCTACCTGTGCAACCGTATACTGAAGTAAGAGAAGGGTATATGTATATGCCCTCACACATACGTTTTCCTCAGCCGCATCTGACACCTCACCTACAATAATTTTAATTTTTCAATCCAAAAGAAACCCCCCCCCCCCCTCTCATTTGGTCAAAGCGCCCTTATTTGGCTATTTGCCCATTCCCTCTCATGTTCGCCGAAACTTGTTCAGCCGAAATTTGTACAACCACGAGCAGCACTGCCGATGATAAGCAGCTGGCAGCCAACGATGCGCAAAGCGAGGTTGCAACAATTGGTCCGTTGCCAATTCTCGCTTCTGCCATGCTCGTGAGTTAACTCACGATCATCAAATACAATGTGGCCTTAACAAACATATCCGTACCGATGTCTCCTGACCTTACACTTATATAGATCAAGGCTAGGGCTCGGTCGGGAGTAGAATTGTGTTGGTGTGAACGTTGAGAGCGAGGGCTATAAGAGTGATTTTGAGCTCCATTTGGTATCCCCATAGATCTCAAAATCATGGCAATTGGCGTGTATGGAGGTTTTGGACGCTCCGGTCTGAGCATCTGTCCTATGTGATAGCGCTAGGTGTAACCTACGTAAGAGTGCTCAGAGATTTGTTATAATTCCAAGAGTTTGCGGGAGTACCTTGACGGAACATGATGCACCTCATCTCAGCTACTTCAATACACACCGCTAGTCGCGGCGATGTCTAAGAGGTCTAACTACATACGCAGTTTGAGTGCCTCGTTATTCGCGACCTAAAATAAAACTGGCATTTGGAGGAATTTAGAGATTTGGGATATTTCTACCTTACAGTAAGGCACATCATATTGATAGAATGAGAATGATGAAAGTGGGAAGACTAAGAGATTGTCTAAATTATACACAACGTGCGAGAGCGTTAGAGCCGGCTGCTGTTGAAGATGGTGCGCACATACCGACATGACACTGCAAGGTATATGAACCAACCACTCCCGCCACTGCTCAAGCTGTCATCCTCTTGACTTTTTTACTTTACGTGAGTTGTTTGTTTGTTTCAGTACATATCATTTGATAGACTCCAGAAAACGGATAACGCTCGACTTGCCTAGTTTGTTGGGGCGAGGGGATGTAAATTAAAATTTTACTACCTACATGTACCTATATGTGGGTGCTGTAACCGGAAAACCTAGACTGGTGACACATGGGAATGAATATTTCTCCAGGGGAGGGGCTACCTGCAAATCAATAATAAAAAACGAGGGCCTTCTCTCTGCGATATAACAACCTGTATTCCTGTCTCAACATTTGTTCGCGGGTAAGGGAAAATCCATCTTTTGGGCAAAACCTTTAACAAGACAATTTCCAGAGATTGAAGCTGTATACATAGTCTTTAGATTGGACTCCCGATGCTGCACCAAATAACATAAATCCTCTTCCACGTTGCTCTTTATCTGCCCTCGTCCTGCCGACAGTTTCCAAGATATGAGGCCGGATTTAACACCAGCCCAACTGAGTACAACAGCAGCTTTCGCAATTAGAGCAGCCACTGGCTGGCTGGTCGCTTTGACAACATCCCTCTACGCAAGAACAAACTTGTCTCTCTCCAAGAGCTTGTGGCGATTCAACTTGCACAGCAACGGCAGTGGCGATAATGACTCCAAGGATGAGCGATATGACACGCATTGTTTCGTAAGGAAGCGGTTAAATAAAAAAAAAGGCTTCAAAAGATTATCTTTTTGGTCGAATATTCTTTTTTTAAACGATTGGAATTAGAATGATGAAAGAGTAAGTAATGAGGCAATGAAAACAAGAGAATCACAGCCAACTGATTGTATTTATACTCTCTCCCTGGTACCAGCTAGTAAAGGTACTGCAAGAGTTATGAGTTAGGATAGTGCTAAATGAGTTGGCACCTTTAGCACCTTCCTTAATAGCTGGTTGGGTAGAAAGACAAGGCATGTTCTGACGTGTTCTTGCTTCGTGGTCTTGACATCCAGTCGCAGAGTAAGCCAGTTTGCGGTGTGTTTGAGTGATGATTTCTAGGCTGAGTGTACAGGGGAATTCCCTGCCCCTGAGAGAAAATAGTATTTCTGTTTAGTATACACGAACGACATATAGCTGAGTAGAATGAGAAATAATGTAGACTAGTCATAGCGCCTAGTAATATAAAGTAGCGGTACCCTATCAAAAGAGCGGTGTAATACGGTTGTGCTGTTGCTTCTCTTGCTTATAGAAGTAAATATACTTTGATGAGGCTTTGCAGCTGACCTTCCAGGTAAGGAAGGAAGCCAGGATTATCAGTTACGCCGATCTTGTCCTGGTGCCGTAAGATGAAGATGGAATGAGCTTTTCTCATTTTGAAAAAAAAAAAAAAAAAAAAAAAAAAAAAAAAAAAAAAAATAAGAACAAATTTGCTACATAAAATGACCTTTAGGTAGAGCAGCGGCTTTTTTTTTCTTTGGGGGAATGAGACAGTGCTGGCTAGATTAATTGGCCCTTGACTTGTCCCCGCTTCATGGTTTTGATAGCGATCTGGTCAGCTGAGTTTCTGAGGATGCATCTGGATGTGCGCAAGTAAGTTTAAATGTGCTTTCCCGCCTTGTCAATAACCCAGTTCTATTCTTCGTGGAATGAGCCCGGTGAGGTTGAAATTAAAATAAAGTCATGTTTCACTGTTTACTACCTACTATATAATGACAAATAGATGAACTGCGGTTAGACAAGTCTAATATAAGACCTACTACTAATACGGAATATCGGCAATACCAACTTTACTCGGCCGACTGCCGAGCTTTAGTACTACTCTACTTGCATAGATTTCGTTCTGAGTGGAAGAAGGCGGTTGAACAAATGTCCCACTAACTGATGTGGGTTCTGCCAGATCATAGAAAGTGTTCTAGCAGCCAGCGCCCCACTGTTGACGTGACATTATATAGAGCTATAATTGGACTTTTACACTTTTACGTGTCACTTTTAAGTGACATAAGCCTAGCCTGGGCTCTCCGTATGGCTCTCCGTATCTCTCTGTCTCCATATTTGGCATAGCCGTTGACAGACCCTATTGCTGGTAACAACCTGGTAAAGACCCACGCAAGCCACATGGGAGTCGAGACTAAGTGAATATATCATGTGGTATGTAGCTACACCTCTCACTCTCATTAACGGCACAACATCAATATCATCATCGAAACTAGCAGACGAAATGCTAATAGTACATGGGTTCGACTTATTGAAGCCGTGTACTACAACCAAGGCGTAAATGACATGAGCAATTCCCCAGTGGCTTAGCGCAACTCGACGTCCCCTCGCAAGGAAATATCTGACGAGATGTTCTAATCGGGCACAGTGTATATACCGCATTCCCTCACAAAACTCGGTAGCGGATGGCTGTGTTTTTTTTTTAAAAGTATGATGCTAGGATATATAAGTTATCCTATTGGTTATTTTGACCAAAACATGGTTTAATTCTGGTGATATCCACTGCCGAATTTTGCGGGGGAATGCGGCACATGTATTTGTCGCTTCACAGGACGCGATCCCGTAATTAATAGAAAACGGCGCGCTAGCTCCGCTTACATATGTAATATCAGATGTGATTTATAATTAAAGGTAGTGCTTTAACCTCCCTTTTCTGAAATCTGAAGTAAATATTTCCAATTCTTCAACACCCCTCTTCAAAAATGGTGATTTTGCTCGTTACAGCATGTCTCAAAAACCTAGTCGTTGACCCTCATTCGACGTTTAGCCATCATAAAGCTTAGTGTCCAACTCGTTTTATGTACCTTGGCCGTAACTCCGCCTGTCCGAACAAAGCAAGAGCGCCATTTGAAGTACCTAGTCGTAGGCGGAAAATGCTGTAACTCTGTCATGCGACTGACAAGACATCGTTTATAATAATAAAGTTTTCATGGCGTGTAGTTGTAAACGTCGAATTTATTCGACGCTATGTTTCGTTTATCGTTCGTAATAGCTCGCGCACTTCTTACAAACCCGCCTTATTTCCATCCCACACTAGCAAGCTCCCTTGGACTCATTTGCTCTCTGTGCTCCGCAACATTGCTCTTAGTCACTACTAGTAGCGAGAACACCCACTTGTTCTCCAGTTGCTGGCCATCTTCATCAACCCATAACTCTTTAAACAATACAATTGTACTTATAGATTCCAGCATGGAACCTTCGTCACAACCAGTTATGGGCGCCGATAAGCGAGAAGTTCTCGACCTATGCATCCGAATTCTGGAGAGCTTAAAGGTTCCCGGTGCAGCAGGACGAGATCAAATGTTATCTACTCTTGCCCCCCATGGAACTGCATGCCATGCCCGAACTATGGTAAGTATCAAATTCATTTTGTAACGATGCTATGGCACTTTCTCTCTGAAGACGCATGATATTAACAATTATAAATGTATTAGGTAAATAAGGGCTTTGAACATGAGCAATTTCCGCTCGATTTTGCAGGTCGTATACCATGGGACTCGATCAAGGCCGGAGAGCTCGAAGAAGGGCTTGATGGCGAGCCTACGGTCTTAATCGATCGCGACCTCGCCATGGTTTGGACGCTATACTGGTTTACGCGCAATGGTGCTCTCATCCACCTTGGGACTAATTGCTTTACTCTTATCAAAGCGGCTTGGGATGAAAACCTGCCGCAGAAAATTGAGTGGAAGATTTGTGGCCTGACCGACACTGCTCGGCCTCCAACAGATGAAGATAGAATACGGCTTGGAAAAGAGTAAACAGAGTGGATCAGTAATTATAACCCATTAAATGCATATAATTGTGATATGTTGTTTTTTGAAATAGATGATTTGCTGCTCTTCTATCTATATTCTATAGTTGCTTTGTGTCTCTATAAGCTTGAGCTGTTTACTCTTTTCATACACTGATAAGACCCTGCATTCAGCCTTCGCATTACAGACCTATTTTTCTTGAATTCTAGTGAAATTCTCATTAGGACGAGTTTCCAATTCACCAGATATGATACAAAACAACGGTAATATATCAAAAAAAATCTCTCATGTCTCAGTTAGCTCTCATGATCCGGAAGCCACGTTCCTTCCACTTGTTTGGCTCCTTGAATTGGTGCCATCCAACTTGGTCGATTCTTCACAAAGAGCTCGACATGTGCTTTACCATCTTCTATAGTTTCCAAACCATCAATTCCGCCAATCATCACCGCGGCGACTCCCTCATTAAAGGTCGAAATACGATATAATGTTGACCCACAATCTCCGCAGAAGTGACTTGTCATATTATTACCAGTGGCGACTTGTTTTGTGTAGGTTTTGAGTGTTCCCTTCAGAATCTTCATTCCCGCTAAAGGAAGAGCTATGTTGTTGGTATTTGTAGAACCAGAAAACTTGCGGCAGTCAATACAGTGACATCGCATCTAAGAATAACTCAATTTAGCAAGGCAGAAAGAGAGCGAAAGCTTATATAAATACCTTCACAGAAATATCGCCCTCAAAAGAGATGCGATTTGCACCACATAGACAACTTGACTCGAGCATAGTAGTTAAATTCACCGATTCAAAACCTGGAATTTGTCTCTGTAAACTCTTAGAGAGGCTTCGTGAGTTCTAATAAACTTTAATGCTTTAGATATTTCAGTATGTTGGAAGAGATTTTGGCCGTATTTATAATTTAATTACATTCTTATTTATCATGTCTAGGTATATTTATGAAGTTATCGAATTGTTAACCGGCTGACGGCTATGGTTACTAATCGGAAAATCATGGCTATAGCAACGAGCGGAGAACTGCCAGTTTGAAAACGTTGTTTTGGAGTTGGATGCATGTCCGCTTACTGCCGCCACCAACCAATACCGTGTTACACTACCGTGCTACAGCGTTCTTCGTGAACAACCCCTGTCCAGAGTATCAGGAAGTCGGGGATCTGGGAGTCGGGATGTGGAAGTCGGGATGTGGAAATCGGGATGTGGAAGTCGGGCCACCTGGAAGTCGGGCACCTCGAATAGGACAAAAGAGATGACCTTTTTTTTTTTTTAAAGAAAAAAAAAAAAAGTTAAATTGCTGTAGGGGTCGATTATAGGAGCTGTACACATCTGCATAACCGCACGGCCATGCGGGCGGCTACCAACGTAAGCTGATTTCTCTGATTGACTTTTCTCCATAAACTCCGACCCTTATTGCATCGTTCGGATATAAAGCTTTAATCACCTAGGTCCGTACTTCGTAATTATTATAATACTCTGATATAATGTTATACATTCTGCCAAAGTATGGCGCATCTCGAAGACCAGGTCAGAAAAATGCCCGAGTTGTATACTTGCCCAAGCATTCGCTTATCCTCTTTGCAACACGAGGGTTATACGCATGCACTTATGAATCAAGCGGTAGTTTTTTACATAAACTGATAAAATAATAATACATCGCATTGCTTTCTTTGAGTTTCTTCGTCGCATTACTATCTCTTCTCGGCAACCAAATCAATCGCAAGCATAAAAACTACATTCATAGAATTGTAAGGCTACATAGAAAGAGGGGAAGAGATACAGATAGAATATTATACCGGGACCATCCACAATAGTGAGCTATTACGTCGCCCAGATCCAAATAACATGATACTGCATGACCTACACTATGCCCTCTAATATCATTCACTAATACAGAGACCGACGATAAATGCGAGAATAACCATATTGTATTAGCTAAATCCATTAACGCCGGACCAACCCATTAGTTAAATAACTTGTGCATCTAATTTATAATTACTCACTTAGCTTCCTATCTGTATATCTCTTCAACCACACGGCTCTTCTGAGCAGCTCCTTTATTCCCTTTATTTCCCCTTATTTCCACACCTTCCATATCATCCTCTTGATTATCATCTTCTCATACTATCGCATTATACGGCAAACCGACTTAGCTGGCGGCAAAAGTAGACCTGGCTCGCAATTTCGCGCCAAAGAAGTAGATCAGAGTCGTTCCAATGATACCTGCAACACTTATACCTGCCAGCAGAGAAACACCCCTAGCTACTCCCAGATTGACGAACAATGGCCGGGAGAAAAGCACGGCGCCACCAGCAAGAGTTGATCTCAAAACACTGTTACCAGCAAAAAGAGATGCAGCATATTGCGGATACGACATTGGCAGATAGATGAACAGCGACTGCATGACGATAAATTCTCCGTACACAACGAGAGCAACGCCAATTAAGCACACGATCCAATGAACTGATTCCCTGGCTGTCCAGGCGAAAATAAATAAGCCCACTGGGAGGAAAACTGAGCCAAAGATCGCCGGTACAAGTCTATGCTCTTGCGCTCGCAGGCCGTTTTTGATATTATCTGGAATCATATAGAAATAAAGGTATGCAAAGTAGGAGAATAAAGCGGTTGTACTGCCGATAAGACATGATACAAATGCAAGTCCAGTCTCGCCTTCGTTGAATCCATATATAACCGGGAAGACAAGCGGAAAGACCTCGAAAAATGTATAGAAAACCGCGTAGAAATATGCTGTGTAGACATGAATGAAGAAGACAGAAGGGTCTTTAAGCATAATCTCAGTCGGTCGGATGAGGACAGTCTTGACAATGCTGTACGTGCTGATGTGTCGTTGGTTGATCTCACTTTGAGACTGCAGATTAGGGTTGCCGGTCAGTTTGCGAAGACGGCGTGCGCGGCGTAACAAGATATTATCCGCCGATGTCTCGGGCATGAGAGCCAAAAGCAGCACTAGGATGATTGACGAAAGCCAGACAACTTCCCACATTGGCCACCTCCAGCCTTTTGCCTGAGCAGCAAAACCACCAATCAATGGTCCTATGGAAGGGCCTTGGTATCCTCCAAAAGCCCACCAGCAGAGACCATAAGGGACGTATAGTAAGCTGTATATATCACCAACAGAAGCTCCGCCATTAGCAAGCGCTGGGCTACCAAAGAATCCTAATAAGAATCGCAGGACTATCAGACCACCGAAGCTGTTGATGACCGGTGGAGCGAATGAGAGCGCCCAGTAGACAATATAGGTCATGTAATAAACATGGTTGCGCCCAACAACAGGGATCTCGGTAATAGGGGAGAAGATCAGATCACCCACGCCAAAAGCACACACATAGAGTGCAAGACCCAGGCTAGAAGCAACAGGGCCTACGCTGAAGCGTTGCTCAACCCCTGAGGCTGATGCCACATATACTGGTCCACCACAATACACGCCAAATGTGTAGGTGCAAAGCACACCAGTGATCCAATACTTCTTGAGCCTTGACCAATTCTGTGGGTTCGCAGGATCATCGGTCGTGTACCAATCAACAAGGACGACGCCGTCATTGGTTTTTTCGGGAACAATTGGAACGGATTTCGTGCGCTGCAGTTCTATTTCTCGCTCACCATGAACATCATGCTCATCCATCCACTCACCCCCAATATTTTCGATATCGCCTAAGCGATGCTGAGTTGTCTGGGTATCATCAAATATCCCCTGGTCTGGCGAGCTTCCGACATTGGACTTCTCTTCTTTTAGTCGTGCCGTATACTGCGGTGGCAATACAAAGCCTGCATCCTCTTCTGGATATTTAAACAGCCGCTTTCCTGAGAGGAAACGAATCGCCTGGCCAAGAGGCGCGTCGCGAATAAGGTCGTACATTTCGTTGTAAAGTTTACGATTGTTGCATTATTTGTAATGAGGGTGCTGTTGCGAGTATTTGGTATACTTCCTGAGCTTGGTGGTTGAGTTGCCTACGAGCGAGGAAGGTAAAGATAGGGACCCTAGCACGGCGAGATTAATTGCATGCATATATAGGTGTTGAAAAGATACCTTGAATAATATTCTACTTCTTAACCCTGTTTACTATTTTATATACATTTGATGACGCACCACAGCTTAAAAAGTTTAAACAGGCTTTACAGCTTAGAAATACAATGCGGCGTATATATCGAAGGCTTCTTCAATGGCAGATGGGGTTCCCGATTGGGCAACTTAAAATCAGGACATCTTCGGCAGATGGAGCAAAAGGGGGCCTAATCAAGCACCTAAAAATGAGTATAGAGTTAGAATCCTGTGGGGGTAACAACAAACTAAAAGCTAATAGCGCTGATAGCAACAACTTGAAGACTAATGGAGCAGATGATACTGGCGATATTAGTATAATGCTTGGCCACAGTTAAAGAAGCTCGGAGACTTTTCTCAATTTATTATGAATAAATGGAAGGCTAGAAGAACTAAGATAAGAAGAAGTGTTAGGACGGCTTATTATCAAGTCTTGCAATTTTGGCTTTACTCATGTAGTGCGCAATGATATTGGGCAAGGCTTTTATATCATACCAGATGCTTTGAAATCAGTCTCATAGGCCAAATTATAGTCATTAGTCCATTGATGCAGCCCTTTAAGCTCATAGATGTATGTATACTCTCTTGAAAAGGAGTCTTTGTAGAGGCTACTGAGCGTGCGAAATGTCACCATGAAAGTTAGTTAGGATGACCAGCTTCATTCATGCTTACTCGACAGCATACCCAAAGATACTGTTGGTAAACAGGGTGATGACTTTGAAATTGGAAGCTGGTAAGCTTACCACATGAATATAACTATACTAAGCATGACTATTGACTCACCTCGACTCGACCACACGGAGAATTCAAATCGATAATATGAACCACTAAGATGACTCATGCCTATATCTATGCCTCGTTTAACCAGCACGGAGCACTAGAGGCAGCTACTTTTTTTTTTTTTTTTTTTTTTTTTTTTTGAACAAAATCACGCCACTTTATCTACTGACCACGCCAATTTTCAAATACTTGAATTTTGCGCTCTTCTGCTGAGCATTGAGACTGAGCCTGGAATTGAGGGGCGAAAGGCACTGATACAAATTGGCATCTAGCACACTACGCAGTGGGGTTACCTTTAATGGATTATTGGATAAAAGTTTCTTAAGCAGTGTGCGGCTCAAGGGCGTGATGCTTTAACAGACGAGGAAGGCAGAGAAACTCTGGCGGTACGTACGGTCACAACTTCGCTTCATCCCAGGCACCATTGTGAACAGGAATCAATGGAACATGCTTCTTTTCAATATGATAATAGAAGAAGCAAAGTGGTGAGTAGAATTAGCGTTTGAGATCGCCAAGGATTTTAGAGAGAGATGTGTAGATATTGCCAGTGTTCAGGAAATAACGGCCTGAGAGAGATTCACTTTGTACCAAAGTTCAAAGAGAATGTCTTCACAATTGCATAAGTAGTCTTTCGGGATGGAAGATAATTTATTAAGCATGAATGTGTTAGGCCTCCATATACTATTATATTTTTAGAAGACTTGCTCTGGTAAGATACGTCTCCAGTTTAACCATACTGGTTGCGTCACTTATCCGGCACTGAGCAAAGACAGTATGCTTGCAAAGCATTTTGATTCAATATCAGGTCGATCTGCGCTGTCTTGTTGCTAATTCTCGGATTTGTAAAGAAATAGATCGAATGAGGGCATATACTAGCACTCTTAAGAGAAGGGTGCCATATATGCCTCTTAGGTAGACCTGCCACGTTGCGAACCGTGTGATACAATGCATACAGCAACCGCCAGACGAGATCAGGATCCATGCAAGCGTAGGTAAAGATGCGACTCGCGGGTCTGTATTGGTCAAAGAAGGAGGACTAGCTATAGCCATGGATAGCCGTGATGCTAATATTATCTGCGGCATACAAATGCTGGGTGGGCCTATCTTCGGTTTTATTTTCAGCTATTTTCTGACAATTAGTCGCGGCACCACTACTTTAATCAAAGCCAAACATAAGACAGAGTGACCCGAAGATCAAGGCAAAGTCTAAATCAGGTGCTTACACCACCTAGACCATACGAGTCTCACGGCGCCACCCGTTGTATTGAACTATTTTGTTGTCCTTCGCTGGCTTCAGGGCTTCCTCGTCTTACCTTGATTCCGTGTAAGAATATCGATGCGTACGGAGTACCTGTATGAGTACTCCACTCTCTAGTTGGCGAGACCTCGGCTCGGCCCTACCAAAATTCTGGAAAGGTGGGCTCTTCAGGGCGATGCATGTGAAGCTAGATCGGCTCAGCTGATCCCGACCCGCACATAGCACCGTGAAGTGTCCGCATATCGAAATGTTTCTGCCATTTGTGGAAGTATGTCAATCGTATACACCTAGTGCTGTAAACCAGTCACTAACTTACCAACTAAGCCAAATTTTTATGCTTAGTTTCGTTATAATACCAGAGGAAACGCATCGTTTTTGGTTCTACAAAGCTGTGCTATTTTCGTTTTTGCTAGCGAAATTCTGCCTTACGCTTTCGGTTGATAACAAACGAATCATTTCGTCCAAGATAAACGAAATTTTAGAATGGAGAAACCACTAGCTACCTTCCCTTGCTTACGCCCCATCTTCCATAGGAGCAATGGGAGGTGAGACATTCTAGCCTTTGCGGGACGGCACTTTTTGCATCCTCGATTGACTCAAGACCTGACGACAGTGATTCAAAGAGAGAGCAGTAGCGTCAATAAGAGACACCTTTTATCTTATGATTGGCGCCGCTAACAGCGGGTGGAATATATTTGTTCAGCCCATCTGCAGAGAATTATCTTTTCACCCGGCGTCGGCGTTATCGTAGTCTACAACCGAGATGCGGGCGCAACGATGGCAGCTTAGGGCGCTTAAAGGCAAACTCTGTATACACACATTCGAACTCGAGCAAACTGGTGAAAAGACCACTAATTAGCTAGATTTTTAAGCTTTGCCAGATCGGAAGGCCGTTTTAACGTTCCCTCCCACCTCCTTACGACATCATTTTCCCCGCAACGTTCTTGGAGCCAATTGCGTAAGATGCTACCAAGCAGTCGGCGAGCAACACTGAGCAGCTTTCTATATCGGTAGTCTTGCCTCGATAAATGATTTGTGAACAATTGATCCGAGATCCATCGTAGATAATGTACTGAGCAAGGACAAGGTATTGAAATGCCCATCTCCTTAGGCCCGCCGGTTATTAGGCACAATGTTGTCTCGTGTAAATGGTGGGGTGTGCAATTTACAAGTTACAACATTGTAGACTAATCGACTGCGTGGTGACTATAAAACTTGAACCAAGTCTCCTCGGAGGCCCCGCAATGGACCAACTATGCACACACCCTTGCAGTCGTATCCAAAAGTGATATAAGAAGTGTTCGCTCTCTCCACTCGGACAGTAGACCTATATCGAACTCGGGGAATATACGGAACAGTCAAGGCAAATATAGAGACATCGTTATGCTGTTGGCTGCCGAGGCTCTGTTTTTTAACCTGCCGCCTGGACTCGCTCTAGTGCTATGGCTCATTGTTATTGTTAGTATACCCTAGCCTACATCGTTTGCCATTTCCTCAATCTCCCTATACCATGATATCTGCACTAGGGCTAACGTAGTCGAGAAAGGGGAATGTATATCTTATTTCAATCCCAATCTATAATGTCTGGTTCCATCCCCTTCGAAAGTACCCAGGCCCTAGGCTATGGGCCGCAACTCGGATCCCATACACGCGTATGATCTTCTCTGGCATGTCTCACCGGAAAATCCTCGAATTACATCAGCATTATGGAGATATTGTGCGTGTGGCGCCTGACGAGCTGGCCTACTGCAATGGTGCTGCCTGGAATGATATCATGGGCCACCGAAAACGCGGCCAGGGAGAGAACGGCAAAGATCCAATCTTCTGGAGGACACAGCAGCACAGTGTAATCAGCGCCGATCGCGAAAACCATACGCGAATGAGAAGAACATTGGCTCATGGTTTCTCAGCCCAAGCAATGTTGGATCAGCAACCTCTTATACAAGGCTATGTCGACATGTTGATTAACCGACTGCGAGAGACCTGTGACGATGGCAATCAGCCTATGGAGATGACATCTTGGTATAACTGGACGACGTTTGACATCATCGGCGACTTGGCCTTTGGAGAACCATTCGGTTGCCTGCAAAACTCTGACTACCACCCTTGGGTATCACTAGTATTCCAAAGAATTCGCGGAGGCGCAATCAACAACGCTCTGCGCCGGTTTCCCTTTGGGGAAAGACTGATACAATTTCTTATTCCAAAGGAAGCACGCAAAAAGTTTCATGCGCACTTTCAACTCACACAAGAGAAGGTCAATAAAAGATTGGCTGACACTAACCCACGACCAGATTTTATGGAAGTTATGACGAAAAGGGAGGGAGACATGGTATGTCTTCTATAAGTTTAATTCGCTGATTCATATTTGTTACTAATTTGCGCAGAAATTCTCTTATCCAGAGCTTGTGGACAATGCAAGTCTACTTATTATTGCCGGATCGGAAACAACTGCAACGACCTTATCTGGAGTCACCTATATGCTACTGACCCACCAGGAAATCTTGCAAAAGACGATAGACGAAGTGCGATCGAGCTTTTCAAGCGAAGCTGAGATTGATCTTCTCAGCGTGCAGAAGCTGGGCTATATGATGGCCGTGCTACAAGAAACGCTTCGCATGTATCCTCCTGTCCCAGCTACCATACCACGCAAAGCGCAGCCTGGTGGCGATATGATATGCGGACAGTACGTTCCAGAAAACGTTAGTATTGTTTCCCGTCAAAGACGCTGGCTTGTCAGCTCTAACAAATACATAGACCATTTTGGGCATTTGGCAATGGCCAACGTATCACAGTGAAAAGAATTTCACCTTGCCTGATTCCTTTATTCCGGAACGATGGCTGGGCGATGCCCGGTTTTCGAATGATTGCCAAGAAGCGCTTCAGCCATTTTCATATGGACCAAGAAATTGCATTGGGAAGAAGTGAGTGGCTATACTCTCCCAAACAAATCAGCGACTGTCAATCTAACCATCTTTAGTCTTGCATATGCCGAAATGCGCTTAATTTTGGCAAAGATCTTGTGGAACTTCGACATCAGCCTTCATCCTGATAGTAAAAATTGGTATGAGGAACACAAGGCTTACACGCTCTGGCAAAAACCAGATCTTAATATTTATATAAAACCAAGAGTAATTGTATAGTGCATGGACATTGCACGGTCTATGCTGCTGTGGAAATTAATTTGTCTTATGTACAAGCAATGGTTTGCTCTTTTCATGAAGACGTTTTTAATCTAAATATTTAGGGCTTCACTTGATTCCATATCTTGTATTATATCAGAGAATACTTTCCAGTATTCAAGCTACTTGTAATAAAGAGTCTGGTGGTATTATGAGTGCTGTCAGTTGGCCGTGAAAGATTATATGAAGTCATATCTATAGACCTTGCTAGCATAGCGGCGCCATCGCAGCTTACTTAAATACAAATAGTCACCAGACTACCTCTATCAATATGGCTGTCTACCGACATAACAGTATTGTATACATGTGTACATTGAGAACCGTGACTTGCGATCTTCGCGAGATCACATAACATCCCCCCGCGGAAGGCGGTCTACGCTCGAAGCAGCTTATAAAAAACCGTTCTCTTTATGTCCCTATCTGCCCACATTTGGGTTTGATGGATAGCGATCTCAGATATTCTCGCCAAGATAAAAGGCGTATTGCCAATCAGAAAGTACATCGGTCCAATATCGAAGCCTCGTGGCGATGTGATTCAATAAGTTGGCTTGAAGAGATCACCCTCTTCAAGGAGATCACTATGATCGAATATGGAATTTGTTCGGCTTTAAGACGCCCAGGAAAGTGCATATATAAGCCCTGTCTACGCTGTCTCACAGATTTTAGAGTCATGGTTTCCCCTGGCGAACGAAAGGTCATCATTGGGGCTTGGCACAATTTCGGTATGGAAGGGTCACCAATGGATATAAATTGGAAGGCAAATGTAGTAGATAAAAATTAACAATTATTCACATTGAGTCCATATATAGAGTATTCTCATGGAAGTGTTCGAGAATTATGGTTATTGGGTAGCTCTAATAAGAGCGAGACTGGGCATTGAGTAGAAGTTAGAATATCTAGTACAGTAGAACCAAAAAGGAGTATAACAACTCTTAGTGAATGTGGGACGTTTGGAATGGAGCTAGCACAAAGGCGAAGGCTTCCAGGACTTTTGGAAAATTCGTACACTGCACAGCGTTGAGACCATTCGAGAATTATAATAAGATATGTCAAGTGTAAGAAGCTTACTTGAATGGCTGCTTCTAGTTAGTGAAATCATAACGTACCGCAAGATAGTGGCATTTTTTGAAAATAATATTCGATGTCTAACATCTACAATAGTGTCTAATATCTAATGCCTTGTCAAGTATCTCGAATTATAACAGCGGCTCCTTCAATCAAGCATGAGTGCAGAGCTGCCCGAATGCATTTCAAGTATAAAAACTCTGCAAAAAGGTCTTTTGACAAAGCATCCATGCTGCAATGGATATTTCTTGCATTCAAATCTCATGCATTGAACCGTCATATAACTCCTTTCTTCGAAGGAGTCCGCTAATTTCTCCAGGATATTTCCAAAGAAACCAAGCAACAACCAAAAACATCGGTAAGGCATCGAGGCAATAGACAAAGACCTCTGTAGTCATTAAATAGCCATTGCTTCCCTGGCAATACTCAATAAGACGGAAAATATTCCGCACGATAATGAGTGCACTGGCAACATATAGAGCGTGGAGGTAACTTCTCCATTTTATATCTGGCTGGTAACTTCGGGCTGTCGGGGAGAGCATCATTCGACGGTGAAATAGGAGAGTTATCACAACGAAAAGTCCAAACCACAGCAGCTGCAGCACAAGTCCGCCGATGATGATATTGTTGCCCAAGTCGAATGCTGATTTGTTCGTCTTTGCAGAGGCCAGCATGCCACCACCTACAGCAACGTTAGATATCTAGGCGAAAGTGGAAAATGGGCTTAAAGAATTTGAATCATACCGCCACCGAGGAGAAGAAAGCATACGATATCTCCGCAAACAAATATCTTCGTAAGCCATCTTCGTTTGATAATTGCATATTTTTCTCCGTCCACGACCTCGATAATTCGTCCAAGAGTCATATAAACGGAAGCTGCGAATAATGCCGGAGCCAACAAGATGAATAATGTTTGGACAAGATAAGGCGGCTGCGTCCAACATCCTGGCTCTTGATTTGCCGAAACTGCTCTGCCGGCGAAACCAAGGACCTCGACTATTATGAGTTGTTAGCTCATGTCTCTAGTAAGTAGCATCTGTCCCTATATATCACACACATAAGCATCCTATTACCAACGGACTTAGAAACCAAGCCCTCGCTTTGATCATTCGAAATGAATGACCGGCGAATGCTAAAAAGAAGAAGCCGGTGAATATCCCTGCGGCAGCAAGAGACGGGACATATTTGTAATAGGAAAAGGATGCATCCTTCCAGTTTGGGTTGCAGTTATCACCGTTACCCATTTTGCAAAGTAACTACAGAAGAAGTGAAAAAAAAATGATATAAAAAAGAAAGGGAGAAACAAAAAGAAAGCAAAGTAACGAATGCTAGAGAAAGATATTTACTCTGAAGCGTGAGGCCCTTCACGATGCTCTCTCATTATTAAATACCAACGCGATGGAAGACATCTTCTCCTTTTCTTGGAGGCTATGCGATACGCGCGTCTTTCAGTCATGATACTAAAGCTGTCAAGACGTAAGTCGGGATTCGGGGCCAAAGAAGTGCACGTTCCTGGCCACGTTTGTCAAGAAAGCCCCGGCATTTATTTCCAAATATATCCGTAATATACGCTTCAGTAGTAGCCGGCGCTTATCTGGATATCACATATCTGTTCCTGACTAGTCATGCCTGGCTGTAAGTGAATACTCGCATGGCTTTCCTTAAAGTGGAATAACTAGCTGACGCCAGAATCGAGGCGCAGCCAGTCCATCTCCGCATAGAGTAAGTCAGTTACGAGATACGAAACAAGTGCTTAACATGCCTCTGAAACTCTTTTTATTGCTTAGAGACTTTCATGCATTGTAACATCGTACGTTTTCTTCTATTAGCCCGTTGGGGTTCCTTCTGAGTTACTGTAACATGGATTAGTAAGTTCAAAGTAATATACTTTCCGAAGCTTAGAGTAATAAGCATAAGTAGGCATTCCGAATAGCAAGTGTGGGCACCATATTCTCCTCAAAGAAAAGAAGAATGTATTTTATATCGACCAAAACGGAAAGTATTGTTCAAAAAAACCTTTCGAATTTTTTTTTTTTTTTTTTTTTTTTTTTTTTTTTTTTTTTTTTTTTTTTTTGGATTAGAATAGCAGTGTTCTGCATTCTACCACCCAGCGCAGCAACATCTCTGTTAGCCAAACTTCGTGACTTAACCTAGGGCCGTATAAAGCCCCCTTGTAGCCAACGGGATTCGCTTAAACGAAATTCCTAAAACTAGCGGGTTGTAACGATAAAAAAACTGGAGGCCTCGCCATAGCATATACTGGTACCGGCATCTTGGCCCTCTAGTTGCACAACGAACAGGTCTCTTTTGCAGTTAGATTTCACTTTGACGCCAATTAGCTTCCTTCTTATACTTCTTATACGAGAAGCGCTTGATCCAACTTTCGTCCTCCTTACCCGCGATGCTTACATAACTAGTTGCCCCTGACACTTCCACTATGTTGATTACCTAGAACGCAATCAGAGCTGAGCCATGTAGTTTAATCTGTCAAAACGTAAAGACCCAACATAAAGAATAAGACGATGATTCTAATAATTATCGAAATAACTTATATAGCTATTGTTTTTCTCTTTTTTTTTTTTTTTTTTTTTTTTTTAATTGTGTCTATTTCTTATTGCAAAACTTTTTCTAGTTCTCTAATGCCCGTGTTTTTTCTCTTCTCTTTGCCCCATGCTTGCCTGAATTATAGGACACACGGGATGCAAAGCGAGTAGGTAGGTATATTGCCCGAAGCAATTGGTAAGCAAGAAAGACAAGAAAGCTTGACCCTAGCAACTGACCACATTAAGTAACTGGAGCAAGGGTGCTTCTCGTACCGCTGGGGACTGCAAGAATAGTGGCGCTTTGTTAACCTCAGCAGCGCTTCCCCTTTAGGTTTCGCCGTTTGTAACAGAGTGATTCCCATTTACCCTCCCCTTTTTGTGCCCACTTCTATGAACAACCAATCAGTAAGTTGGGTACACTAAATGAAACATCAACTTCGGCACCATCAACTCACAGGTTACTCGTAACGGGCAGAGAATACTCGTTGAAGACACCCATACAGGGTGGACCTTTGCAAACAGTTGCGGTTCGCTTAGTTAGGTTGTATCTTATATGTGCCAATGTTGTCTGAGCACCTTTGTATGGATAATCCGGTACATTCTTCACTGTGCAGTCTTCCATATGTTGACAAACAGAGGAAGGAAGCGATAAATGGTCGCAGAACGCCTCAGTAACCTTCTCTGCCGATAATTGCTTAGTATTGAAAGGCCGGACTTTCTGTGCGACTCTCACAGCGCGAAACCAGCTGCTGCCTCCAGGATAGCGATCATTCCATTTACTCGCTTGAAATGATTCACTGATGAAGTGATTTGATCCGACAATAAAGTTGTCTCCGTTAGAGGGGTATCCCAAGTGAACAGCACTAGGCGTAATTTCCATAGACATGACAAAGTTGTCTGCTGTGCCTACGATGAGCTTATTCGACAAATGTCTCGGTGCATTTTTCACATTTATAAGCGCATTGGCAAAATTAATATTGTGCAGAAATTGCCTTCGTACGAGAGACATCGGCAGCAGTGGTTGCTGTTCGCTGCCGGGAGGCAAAGTCAGATCAAGCGGGAAGTAATCTTCGGTCGACATGAGTGAGCTTGCGCAAACTCCAAGCCCGGCAGAGTTGAAGCCAGAACGGCCCAATTGGCCGGCCTCAGTTGTGACAAACATGACGGGGAGGTCTTCAGACGGGTCCGGGTGAATTTCTAGGTAGACAGCCGTATCTTTAAGGAAGACGTTGGCCGACATGTCCCAGTTTTGGGCCAACATCACGTCGCTGTTGTCCATGGACTCGGCAAGAAATCCCGCCGTAGTGCATTCCTGAAGCTCTTGGATATCTGTCGGCTCATCACTGGAAGAGATGTTATGAAACCCATTTTGTGCAACATGACCATTAACAGCTTGAGAAGTGTTTGCTGCCGAACTGGGCTTTGTACTCGGGCACGGACGGATAGTTGGTCCTCGGACCCTAGCAAGATCGTACCGAGAATTGAGAAACAAGATTTGGTCTAGATCAACCCCAGCACCATCAGCAATACCCCGAAGCTCAGGTAGCGCTTCGGGAAAGAATTTCTCTATTCCTGGAAGGTAAACTTCCTTGATGATGCGTTGAGATATGTCCCTGAGGTAGTGACAATTAGCAAATGCATGCATCTAAATAGCCTAATGTAGACTAAAGAGGACACGAATCAATTCATACCATGGCAGTAGTTTCCCTGGTTTGTGGTAATGAGCGAGGCTATCAAGAATCTTTTGCTTGGCTTGCTCTCCGTGGGTATAGCCGCGGTCGTACGGCAGTCCCTTGAGAACAATATGCTGGTAGTTCGAGAATGTCATAATGGGCTAGTGCTGACTTGGCGTCTTGGCTTGCTGCTGGCGAAGAAGTTCTAAGTGTTGGCTATTGGCCAAAGACGTTCTAAACTTCACCAGCTCTCAGCCAGGGAAAGATGACCTTAATGTAGCAATGCAGAGCTTGGCTATGTAAGCGGATAATTTGAAACAGAGCGGCATTACGGCTTCTTCCAAAGACATCAAACGATATATCACGATCTCGGCTTGGCTACCACCCGGAGGACTAGTTCATATCACTAGTTTGTGGTAGTTTGTGGTAGTTTGTGGGGTCGGCATAATTACTCCTCCTGGAAGCCATGGCGAGAGGCGTCTATCTTCCACCCCCGCAACGGATCCACGCGGCAAGTTTGTGGCGGGTGCCGAGATAACGGTCTTTCTACTGTTTCTCAATAGTTCCAAATTGTTTAAGAAGGGCCTGATCACTGACATGATGATATGGTTGAATAGGACCGGCAATTCTGGGCTTTGTGAAGGTTGCGACAGTAGAAGCTATGGATACGGAAAAAAGAGTTGTTGGCTCGACACACCACGATCATGAACTTGGCGTGGAAGAGTCAGATGGTGTTCATCATGTTTTGGACAGTGTTTTCATCAAGAAGTCACAAACAGATCATGATGATGCTCTAGACTTTCTCCAAGCTACCGGAGATCAAGCTTTCACCTACACAGACAAGGAAGCAAATAGCGTCCGGTGGAAAATTGACCTGATGCTAATGCCACTTGTAAGTATCTCAAATACTCAACTATCAAATTGACAAACTGATTATCTGTCTAGTTACTTGGAACATATACACTGAACTTTCTGGATAAAGGCATTCTTTCCAACGCATCAGTTTTTGGCCTGAAGAAGGACACGGTAATTTCTTTACGATTGCACTTGTCAAATGATATATTAATATCATCCTTTTAGCATCTTGTCGGCCAGCAATATAGCTGGGTTGCAAGCATTTTCTATTTTGGGTATGATATAGCATTATCTTGATCAAAGCAAAACTGACTCTTGGTAAACAGCTACATGCTAGGGCAGCCAGTTAATGCATACATGCTTCACAAAGTGCCTATGGGCAAATGGTTGGCTGGTAATGTATTTGGATGGGGAGTATGCATTCTGTTGGCCATTACGGCCAAAAACTTTGCAGGCCTCGCTACTACGCGCTTTTTTCTCGGACTTTTTGAGTCTGTCAATAACCCAGCATTTGTGCTCATCACTGCTCAATATTATACTCGCAAAGAACACTCACTTCGCGCATGTATATGGTGGGCAGGCAATGCGGTTGGATCTTTTTTTGGAGACCTTATCGCGTATGCCATCGGGCATGGCCACGGGTCGCTCTCGCCATGGAAGTACATGTTCATCACGTTCGGAGGCTTTACAGTCCTCTGGTCTGCAGTTCTGTTGCTGCTTTTACCCGATTCGCCATGGAAGATGGGATTTCTAAATGAACGAGAGAAGAAGATTGCTGTGTTGCGCGTCATGTCTAATCATACTGGAATCAGCGCCTCGAATTGGAAATGGAAACAAGCATTCTCCGTTCTTGTGGATCCTCAAGCCTGGATATTCTTCTGTATTGCATTTATCCAATGCTTACCAGGCGGTGGCTTGACGGCTGTAAGTCTTATTTCCCGTTCACTATCCCCATGCTTTGGTTATTTTATATACATAATTGCCCGACAGACATTTTTCTCTTTCTATATGCTTCCTCCTTGTCATTCGAGAATTTTCACCCTGTATACTCTTTCCGTTAATAATCAAATATATGACGTATGATACTAATGGAAACTAAGTTCAACAAACTTATCCTAACAGGTCTTGGATATACCAATCTCCAAGCCACGATATACTCTATGCCGGAACATGCCATTCAGCTCTTTGGCGTCGTGGTTGCGTATGTTTCTCTCTACCTAGCTTGATGAAAATGTTAGGCTAATAATACTAGGGGCATTGCTGGTTCCTACCTGAAAAATTTTAGATGCATCGTTATTGTGCTATCTAATATCCCTCCCTTGGTTGGTAGCTTGATCGTGTATTACGTGCCGGCGTCCGACAAGTTGACGCGCTTGGCTGGTGTTTACATTCTCTTTACAAACACAATTAGTTATATCATGGTGTTGAGTCTTGTTGCTTCGAATTTCGCTGGAATGTCTCGCAAGACTACCGTTTCGGCTGGAATATTTCTTGCATATTCAGCTGGTAATCTCGTTGCTCCAAATCTCTTTATCGACTCGGAGGCACCTCTATATCCCACGGGGTTTAGAGGGATGATTGCTTCGTTTATAACGTTGATCGTCCTGGCCTTTGCTCTCATGGGATATTTGGTTATACAAAATAAAAAACGTGATAAGTTGTACGGCAAAGTTGATCCAAATGCCGTACAGGAGGATGACTTTATGGATTTAACGGATCAGGAGTTGCACTATTTCCGATATGCCTGGTGAACATCTCTAATTTTTTCTGCGGACATTTAGGACATGCTGAAAGTCAGAGCTGAAAGTCAGAGCTGAGGGAACTGAAAATGAAATGTTTTTGCTATTTAAAATTTACATGTTACATCTCTTATGGCTAGCTAGCTGCACTTTTCTCAGAACATAGTTAAAAAGTCAGCGATTTCTCGGTAATTTAGCCAAGGGTCCGTAAAGTATAAAAGCTCTTCGTCAATATAATAACTGTATTCGTGCCTCTGTGGCTGAAAGAAATTGGCTCAAAGGTTGCATTAAGGTAATTGACCAGATACAGGTATGTAGCTGCCGTGACGTCCATCATATGGCTCCTATTCTGTAGTTAAAATTGTCCCTTCTGTGCGTGAATATTCCTCTTGACTCGTGATCGCGTACAAAAGTCAAACCAGCAAGCCATTAACGCAGGTGAGTCTAGTTAACCGTTTATCCAAAACAGGCATATGGTGGACTTCAAACTGAGTCGGGAAATTCAAGAAGAGAGGGGAAATGGCTCCATACAACTACCTGCGCTAACGCGGCAACGGCCCCCAGCGAGCAGCTATTCTCTCTAAAACAGCGGCTGCCCCCTCTAGATATGTAAGCGCGCGAGCTGTTCTAACATCATGAAGACAGACTCCTCATTCATGACAATGGATCACACTCAGCGTAGAAGCTTTCACGGTACGTCGGACAGGAAGCGACAAGCAGCAGTTACCTGGGATTTTGAGTGACACTAAACGACAGACGGGATGAAGGTGCGTGGCTAATCACTAGGAGCAGGATGCATGACCTGCAGGAAACGCAAAGTCCGCTGCAGAGGAGGCAATCCGTGCCAGAACTGCGTGCGGCTAAAAGCAACCTGCGTCTCTTCGTTTGATAGTAATCTACGAATGTCATTAGGGGATCCTCGGACCAGCCAAAAACGCGATCTTGCAAGCACGCCTCATCAAGAGCCATCACCGCTCAACGTGAAGCCAGATGCTATTGGAGAACCCAATGACAGTCAACAGCAGTATAGCCCACCCGACTTAGACCATTCGCTTCCCTCAGTTACCTTGAATTATATGCAATTGGACAGTAAATGGCAAACAAGATCAAATCCTCGCCCAGAAAATCCACTTCCACAGCCGATACTGCACTCAGTCAATTATGGCCTGGATTTCGATAGCAGCCAGCAATCTGATGGTGGCCTCCCTGGGTTCAATGCCTTCCACATCTCAGAGCTATCGGATTTTGATTTCTCTTTTGATCCCATCTTCAACAAAGACATAGAATTTCCCAGTTGGCCAGATGCAGCACTCACAATGGACGGCTTAGACCAACCAGCTTTTAACAAGGGAAGTGAGACTTCGGCACAGAGTGCGGTTGGTTCAACTTCACACCACAATAAACGTTCCAGGAATGTTAGTGCACCAACAGAGTCAGCTGAAACTCCTGCGCCATATATGGATCAAGATGCTGCTTATTTAGCTCATTTTGAGCGGTGGATTACCAGATGTGGCTACTCACTCAAGGAGGATGGCAAAGGAAATTATCTTCGATTTGTCCTCGACTACGTTCAGAACGAGCACTGCAGTACCGAATCTCCCTTTCGGTATGCAGTATTGGCCTGGACAGCCAAACACTTGGCCAAAATCTCTGTATCCCACGACAAAACATGGAAGTCCTATTGTATTCGAGCAACTGAAGGTCTCAGCCGTATATCATGCTGCGTCGACTCACATAAAACTTCAGAGACTAGGTCGACTTCATCCGGTGTCCAATCAGCTATCTCATCCAAAGCCGAAATCACCATAGCTTCTTTATTATTCCTTTGCAGGTGCGATGTTTTAAATGGCGATGCTACTTCAATTCTTCATCGCTTAGATCATTTCAAGGAGCACCTGACATGCCATCTAAACGATGGTCCTCTCTCTGCCTTGGCATGCAAGTTTCTTTTATGGCTATGCTACATCGATGTTCGCCTGAGAATATTCTCGACTCTAGCACCGCCGACCTATGATGGCAGAAACACTCCTATAACCACACTGCTTGATGCCCTTATTCATCATCCCAGTTACGATCACATTTTGTCGCATTCACATTCTTATGGGTTCGAAACTTTTGGTCAAACATATCCTCCTGAGGAATTAGTGCAAGATGTGAAGAAGATACCCGTTTCAGTACGAATTCATGAAACATTCTGCCTTATTTCCAATATGCTCCAATACCGATCATGGAAATATCTAGCAGAGCAAAGAACCGATTTCACTGTACACCGGGAGCTGGCGGAAGCTAAAGAAGCGGCCATAAATCTTGATATACGGCGGATGGATACAGAATTCGATCTTGCAATAGCAACCAATCCAGCTGCAAATGCGTTATGTGGTGTTGTTGCAGGCGTTGGGCACAACACTATTAAGAGCAATCCCACCAGCCATACGGCTAACGGTATCGCCAATTACAACTCCCCTACGCTCGCGGCACCAGCTTCAACTATCAGCCTTGACGCTGCCTCTAATGATCGAGCCTCATTGCAATGGCTGTCTTGCTATGCAGCATTCTTAGCAGCCAAGGTTCTATGGTCGCGATTTCTATACACCTCGATCCGTAGCGATTCGACTGCCACGATAGCAACAAGCGGCATACTGAAGATTGCTCTACGTCTGCGAGAGATTCATCGTAAGAGCAGATTGGCTTCGTCAATGAAGATACCTCGATCAATGTTATGGCCTCTACCTGTTTTTATTGCTGGGATAGAGACGACTGACGAGATATACGCGGATTGGATATCGGAGTTTATGGATGAAATGGGCTCATCAATGAACAATGCTGAGAAAGGTCGTGATAATATTGGAGATCACAAAAGCGATTCAACTGAAGACAAGACGAGCAGTTTAACCGACCAGAAACTAATACTAATGCTCATGAAGCGGGTTCGAGAGAAGCAACATCTTTTGGATTGTCGTGTGGATGTTCAGAAAGTTATGAGTGAGATGAAAGGTGTTGATGACATATTTCTGTTATAGGGCCCAACTACTCTTCGGAAGATCAAAAGACTACTTTCAGATGTAATTATCAACCTGTTGTAATGTCTTGGGCAATGTCCTATCTCACTTTTTATCCATGTTTTCATGTCGGCAGGCCTCTTCGGGTAATATCATGGTGGGTACATATATTCGGCATTTGTTTAAATGTTTACCGATATGTACCGACGGTTGCAAAGTTGAAGCTTTAATGTTAAATTTCAAGCAAGGTAAGACAATGTACATGTATTCATTTACAATATCAAGCGCGCCACCATCCCTAATTACATGCGCAAATTATTTGCCTAATTTCTATATTGCCGTTCAAATCCAAAGTTCCAAACTTCAGTTCGACGTTTTCCCTCGGATGACTCTTTAAATCCAACATGTTGAAACACACTCGGCTCTAATGCCCATTTTACTAGTCCACGATCTTCTGCATAGCCTTCCAATATCATATCTCCTGGGAAGCCGTATGGTGGGTCCCTCAGTAATGCTTGAAAGCCTTCCAAGTGTCTCTGAGGAAGAACAAGTCCTTGGGCGCAGCACCCGTAATGTGGCATCTCTCGGGCTCCGTGCAATTCGCCCAAGCCGAATGGATTCAGTCTGTTAACGGATAGACGGCCGGATAGGAAGTAAAGAGCAATAAGAGCCGGCAACCAAAGACCAAATACGAGGGCTCCGAGATAGCGCTGCGTGTGCGGCGATACACCCGTTGAAACACCCTTGCGGATATAGTATTTTCTCCCGGCCAGGAATGCGGCTAACACGCCAGTGTATACCAAAAAGATGACTTTAGAGTAGGATAGCCACTCTTCGTTGTTCCATCCCATCAAAATCTCCGAGTAAAACAATCGCAGATATATCCATTCTCTCTTAGTCTCCTTGGTCTTTTGTTCGACAAATGCCAAGCCCTTTTTGAATCGGGGAAACCAGTCTCGCAGTGTAACAATATCGTCCTCTACCAGCGCGAAATATGGATACTCCTGCTCTCTGCACGCTTCTACGAGCGCCGAGTGATCCAGTCTCATATTTTCTACACGACCATCACCACGGATATTTCCTTCTTTTAGATTGAACGGTATACGGCGGTATACCGAACTTCCATTAGGTGGCTCGCCATAGAGAAGAACTTCATCAACAAGTGGTTCAAGCCAGCTTTGGCCATATGCAAAGTGCTTCGAGGGTGTTTTATCGGCGAGCAGCACAACAATGCGAATTGATGCGCGCTCCTCTGGCGTGAGTGTGTCGGATAACGTAGCAACGGTCGAGGCTAGGAACGACTCGGTCGTGCGATTAATGCTAGGGATGCCGATGCATAGCAGCTTCTCGACGGGTTTGATCGGTACGACTCTGGCGGGTGGATTATGGATATATGCGTCTGCCTCGTCAGTCCTCACGCTCGAAAAGCGTTGTCTGTAGGCTCGCTCGGCATTGAAAAATATTGAAGACGGATCATCATATGAAAAGAAAGAGGAAAAAGCAAACAGAAGAAGCCAAATAATACAAAACGCGGCGTTGATGCGAGCGACGGACATCATTGCGGTCGCGTGACACAAGATGATGCCCACCACGTCAACTTGCCCCTTGAGGCAACGGCATAATATCTAGTTTTATATTCTATTAGCACCGAGGCTGATTGGGCGGAGAACCTTTTCGTCCGTAAGCTTGACAGAAAGGCCTCCATAATACAGCACGAAAAATACGATGCTTCTACCAGGGTAGTTTAGCCGTTGCCTATGACCTCAAATCATAAAAATACTCTATAATCTTCGCAGCCAGCAATATCTGCCCTCGATCTTGAGAATCTGCCCAAGCTGACTGTATAAACTCTCATTTTACGACTATGCTTCGGGAGAGACTATCCATCCATCGCTTTGGCATAAGCGGCGAACCGATTTTTGGACAATTTGCCTCATTTTCATTCTATCAATGCAATTTTATTAGACCATTGGCAACGCAGTCAGATCCTGGAGACAACAAGCGCATTAAATTGGGGTGACACGGATAAAGCGGCAGGAGGACCAACAGCAAAAATTTTAGATTACGTGGCGTGGATCTCTTTATCAAAGATAAATGAGCAACTGATTAATAATCATACTCAGAAATGATATTTCGAGTACAGTATGATGCTCTACTTTACTTTTTCCCAGTACAGTGATTATATGGGAATCTGGGGTATAGGTTTTACACATTTTATAATCGAGATGCGACTCATGTCTCGAGCCCAGAACAACAAACACCAACAACCTCTGAAAATTGTCGTATCGCTGACGCTGCGTAGTTTCCACTAACGAAATTATAAATTACCTAGCAAGTATAGAAATAATACTTGCGTTTCATAGGTAATCTCCTTCTACTCTCCTTTGGCCTATCAGCACAGCATTCTCGGATCTTCTCATATTTGATGAGGGCTTGTATCGAACATAATGTTATAAATTATCCCATCTTGCCTTTCCGCTATCAGATTACATTTGAAGCTACATAAGTACTCCATAGCCCACACCAGTGCTTTCTTTCCACTCAGGCTCCAATAATCGCACCCCCCTCAACAATTTCATTACTCTTTGACTACTTTACGCTACAATGAGTGAGAATACTAGAATAAATATATTAAGGGGGAAAACGAACCTTCCTTCAGGCTCCAATGTCACAAGGGAGTGATCCGCAGCAATATCCACTGTGTGAACTAAGAGCTCCTTGGAAATCAATGTGATGACAGCCATCAGAAGACCTCCAAAGCAAAGCATCAAAGTTGTAACCTCCAGGAGTTGTTTCATAGAATCTGTTTACCGGTTAATTTATTGGTAAATATATCATTTTAAGTGAAACTTACCCAGCCGTGCATTTCGTCGACACGCACCCGCTGAAGCCATCGTGGAGCTCAGTTTCATACTTGGATCCGGTGTTATAATCGGTCAAGTAGATGAATTGATATTCGCCGCCCTCGCTTTCCATTATATCACCAGCTGCCAATTGTCCCCAAAACGCGTTAGCCGAGCCGCAAAAGGCAGCAATGCTGAGCAAAACGTATGCCTTCATGATTTGATAGGTAGGTAAGCTTCAAGGATGGAACGTAATTAAAGAATCTGGAAATAGTAGTGATGTGCTATTGAAAGGAGTCCCAGACACGCCTTTTATAGATTTCTTAACACATACGAATCCACTGATGAGTAACAAAATTTCTCCCATAAATATAAATAACAAATCTCGTTTAAATAAGCTTATAATAATCCTAATACCTCGCAAACACCCAGCACCTTCTATCTATGTCGAAGTGCAAAATTTAATGATTCAAGTTTGTACATAATAGTACTTCATAATAGTGCTTATACCGACCGGTCAGCTACGCATATAGTCTGTCTATAGCAGTGCGCCTCATACCTGGTAATTTCCAAATGCGGACTATTCCTGCAGGTATTGTGGCGTAGAACAAAGACTTGTCGTTAAAGGTGAGCCTAATTCACAACAATAGCTCCTCTTCATCGAACTAGCGCTGAACGTACTAAGTTTGGCTATGGGTTGCTTGATATCCCAGTAACTGCTTATTTAGGCAGGCATTAAACTTCCCCTCTACATTTTTTTCCCACTAGCTCATATGCTGCGCTTGCGATAACTTTTGGCTTCATCTAACAGATTTCTGCTGCTCTCACCCTTTACAAAGAGAATACAGTCGACCAGTCGACTAGAATCTTGAGTCGACTATACCTATATATGTACACGAAGCAGTTGGATTAAACACTATTACATGCCTTGCATCTCTTGTTTATGTTTCCAGCAGCTCTCCTATGACACAGGTGGTCTATAATAAAAAGGGACCTCATTTTTACGAAGTTATCTGCTTCTCCTTTAAGATAGCTAGTCTCAGCATATAGCGAGCTGAGTTATCGGGCCCAAAGCAAGGGGCTCATGAGGTTCAAACTAATGCAACAAAGCTGCATGCGATAACGCTACTAAGAAAAATACTGTTGTGTAAACCTGTGACCGCCAAAAGGTCTTTGCGCTAAAAGGTTGAGCGACGATCCAAGATTTTGATCAGCCAACAATGCAATAAACTCTTGGGAATATTGGAAGAATCACTAGGTTCATGGAGTACTCCCAGGAAAATGCCTAGGCCACCACAGTTTCGTTCTACATTACGGAATTTTAGTTCTATCCAATATATCACATCTCAGGATCCACTCCTCATAGACAGAGGTAAGGGAGATTAGCCGCATTCATTTGTCTCCGCCTACTATTAGTTACCTTTGTTCAAAGCAAAGCCTGTTCCGCACACCAACATGTCGGGTGAGGGCTTCGGATACTGTCAATTAAAATGTATCGGCTGCATAGTGCAGTATAACCTCGATGAATACCGTACATGTACGTACATCCTACGCTTTGCAACACACTTCCCCCTTATTATACTGTGGATTGCTTGAAGGATACTTTTTCTTTATTTAACAATGGCGATTGATGACTTATCCTTATGATAGTTTGCTCTCCAATTGTATTATGTACCTAAAAATCCGATACCTTTGACAATTGTCAAGAGGCATCGTAAGTAGACACGGTTGTTTGAAGCTTCGAAGTTGTCTCGGATACATGTAATCCCTACTGCACTACGTGCGTTAGTGGTATTTGTATGTGTATGGTAGAGTTAGTGCAACATGCGAGATATTTGTCGATACACTATAGGTTAAATATCTCTCCCTGCCTAGGTATGTTATGGTATCCAGTATAACACGCCTTGTATGTATAGTATGAGATATGCTGCTTAACACGTTACAATGTCTTGTAATACCTAGTACTGCAGCTTGACCAATCATGGACATCCACGACTGCCTTCATGTTTAGACTTTCTAAACTGTTGATGCATATGACTTTTAGAAATAGTAAGATAAATAGATGTAGATGAGCTAGCGAGAGGTTTGGGGCATAAGAGGCTAGGTAGCCAGCTTATTCTAAATCTTCACCTCAGAAAGTTAAAACTCATACGCTCATAGGTTTTTCATTAGAGTTATTCTTCCTTAATTGCCGTTTCTTTTCTGGTAACAAATATGGTTACACTATCGTCTAATGTAAATGATGAAAATCACGACTTCGAATTTGCCCAACGCGGACTAGTTGCACCATTGAAAGACCCATATATCTTTTCCGATTCGAAGCCTCATAAGGTTGTCTGGAACAGCCAGGCTTATGATTTTCTTCAAGAAGATTGTCCAAAAACTGCCAATACATCGCTATGGCGCCAAGGCCAACTCTGCAGCGTAGAAGCAGGCCTGTACCATGTCACCGAGGGAGTATATCAAGTTCGCGGGCTTGATCTAGCCAATATGAGCATTGTACAAGTCCCGGGTACAAATAAAATCGTCATTATAGATTGCCTTACCTCCGTTGAAACTGGGCGCAAAGCTATTGAACTCTACCAAGAGCATCATAATTCTCAATTCGGGCAAGAAGCAGAAATCTGTGCGCTGTTTTACACCCATTGCCACGTGGATCACTTTGCTGGCGCTCAATCTATCGCGAACAAAGCTCAAGAAGGTCTTCGAATTATTGGCCCAGATGGCTTCATTGAGCATGCAGTCAGTGAGAATATATACGCTGGGGTTGCCATGGCACGCCGGTCTATCTACCAATACGGAGAGGCCCTGTCAAAAGATCCCCGTGGGCAGATTGGCTCTGGCTTAGGCCAAGCGGTATCGACGGGAATTAGTTCTTTAGTAGCACCAAATCAACGAATTGTATCGGATGGTGTTCTTGAGCCGGGAATTGAAGGCTTGGAGATTATCTGTCAACTTACTCCAGGGGCCGAGGCACCAGCAGAAGTGAACTTATTCTTCCCGCAGTACTCCGCATTATGCATGGCAGAAAATGCCACACACACCCTGCATAACATTCAAACTTTGCGAGGTGCGCCAGTTCGCGACGCGCGTTTGTGGTCGCGGTATCTCGATGAGTCAATTACTCTGTTTGGCGACAAGACGGACGTTGTTTTCTCAAGCCACCACTGGCCTACATGGAAGTCCTCTGACGAAGAGAATCTCGTCATCACTTTTTTGTCAGAGCAACGAGATTATTATGCCTATCTTCATAATGAGACACTTCGCCTTCTCAATGATGGTAGAACTCCTGTGGAAATTGCGGAAGAGATCAAAATGCCTCCGAATTTGGCGTTGCGGACAAACATTCGTGGGTATTATGGCTCCATCAGCCATAACGTCAAGGGAATCTACGACAAATATATGGGTTGGTTTAACGGTAATCCAGCATACCTATGGCCGCTCTCTCCTGTTGACGAGGCTATTCAATTTGTTGAGTGCATGGGCGGCTACGAGTCTGTTCTTAAAAAGGCCCAAGAGTATCATGCCAAGAACAATCTACGATTCGCAGCTACGCTATTAGACAAGCTTATCTTTTCAGGCGCTGAAAATATTAAAGCTGCGAAAGCTGAACTGGCACTTGTCTACCAAGAACTGGGATTTGGGGCAGAGAATGGAATATGGCGAAACATTTATCTAACCGGAGCATACGAACTAAAAAACGGGCCACATGCGGCGATTAATACAAGGACACCTGCGTCGTTGATGGCCCTTGGTCTAGATCAGCTGTTCGATACAATCGCCATCCGCGTGAATGGACCACGAGCATTTCTCGAACAAGGAGTCACTATTGACTTTATGGTGGACGATATGCCGCAAAACTTGAAAAAGAGCCCCGCGGGATGGCATGTGAGGCTAAGCAACGGTGTTTTGACTGGACATGGCGTCGAATACACGCCTTCTCCAAAGCCACGAGACAGCAACATTGATCTCACTGTCTGGCTCAACCATGAAACACTGGTAGCAGTAGTGGGAGGCGCGGCCATCGGCAAGCCTATAAGTCTTGATAAAACGACGGCTATTACTTCTGGAAATACTAGAGCATGGGATACAATTACATCCTTGGTCTCACTGCCGAATCTCAGTTTTAACATTGTTACACCGTAAATAGTAGTAAATAGTTAGGCATTATTCAATAGTATAGACTGGTCCAATACATATTACACGACTTCCTTCGGAGGTATTTATAAATAGCCAAGGATAATCTGCATACCAAGCTCATACGATCTCCTAGTATCACAACAGAACTAGAAGCCCCACGCATTCTTATCTAATAAAAGCAAGACGGCTGATATCATAAAAGGCAAAATCATGCAGTCAGGTTATAGGTAATATAGATTTAAGAAATTCTAGCTAGGTGATCACATGTAAAGAAGAAACATGAGAAGCATCCGTATGGAAGAGGAGGGATAAAGAATGCAAAGCGCGGATAAGTCTTTGTTTATAAGGCGCTATATTAATGCTCTATTCAATAAGGAAACAGCGCCCGCGTAGCTCAGGGGTAGAGCGTTGCACTCGTAATGCAAAGGTCCATAGTTCAAATCTGTGTGTGGGCAGCTATTTTTTTTAAGTTTTTTTATTCTATTGCGCAGGACAAATAATTAAGTAAATATTCGCCAATTTAATTGTTTCTTTTTTTCTTTTTTTTTTTTTTTTCTTCTTGTTTCTCTCTTTTAATAAAGTTACTCAAATTATATCTACATCTATATATTTTTTACTTTAAGTGCATGTTTAATAGGTATTTTTTACTAAAATGCAATTAGGCTGAGCTGTGTGGTGGCTTTTTCCCCAAGCTTTGACAACTGATACCAGTAATACTCCATTGACGTTATGCTATCTCATATAAGCAAATCGTATAGATGTTTAGATGGCTCGTAAAACAAATGAGAATCATCAGCAACGTCATTCTCACAATTTAAGGTTACCGCCTCCCATTTTGGCGGATTGCTAGTTAAAATTTGAGTAAGGTATAATATAGGTTATTACTACAGAATATCTAGCAAATGAAATTTATACCTCCAGCACTCTACCCAGTCTTTACATCATTCTTTTCAAATCTTTCCACCGTCACTCTTTCCAAATCCTCGGCATCATGAGCCGTAACATCACTTTCATGACCATCTCCTTGCCCTGGCACAGGCAGCTCTTCACCACTAGCTTCTACATCGTCGCCTCCTGATTTCTGATCGCGTTGCAAGTACCACTTAAAAAAGTATACCAAAATTTGCGCCATGAACACCTTTTTTTCCCCAGTCAGTAACAAGACAATAAGAGAGAGGTGGAAATAAAACTGTCTGCCCAGAGCTCACCTGTTCAATCGTATAAAGCAACACTGGGATTGTAATAAACGCCCTCGTCAAGTCATCCGCCTGGTTCCACATTGCCGTCACCAGAGGGATACCTAAACTCGTCGTCTTGGCCGCTCCACAAAAGCAGACTGCAATGGTCTGCTCTTTAGACATCTTTTTGACGGTGAATATGCGCTGGGCTCTCTCCGGCAGGCGAGATTTAGTGACGCGCGGGTTAATGTATCTGGCGAAGAGGAGTGGTGGGCGGGCGAGATAGAAGCAGATGAGAGTGAAGATGATATAAAGGCCGATGTTGATGAAGACATTGAAAATGACATCTGCTTTTGACAGCTTGTAGAGAGCGCCAGTGCCAAATGCGCCTGAAAACGTCGTCCTTTTCCCTTTCATTAGCATATCGCAGCCTCTAAAGCTATAGATTCAGCATCTCTAACTCACCATACGAGCAGTATTAGACACACGCTCGGCAATTTCCCCAGCATGGTAACCCTCAAGACCTTGGCCACCATATCTCCTTTCCACCACCTCACCGCTTGTCCTACTGCCAGGGGCAATAGGACGCTCAACCCCAGCTGCTTCGCCACGTTGGCGTACATGTCGCCCAGGGTGCTCGGGTCTGCAGGCCGCCAATTATCAAAGACGGAGTCTCGCGGTATGAAGCCGTATATCAGAATTGGCGTGAGAAAGGATCCAATAGTGTTGCCTATGACTACGGAGATGACGGCTGCGGCTTCATCGCCTCCCGCTGAGCGCGTCATAACCACGTTGGAAGCAATCGTGGTGGGGAGACAAGCCGTAGCGAGCATGCCAAGGATGATGGGGATAGAAGGGGTACCATGCTTGAGTGCACCAGCAGCGAGACAGATGTGTACGAAGACTAGTATTGCGCGTTGTATGTTAGTATATTTAAACACCAAAACACTTGTCCGAATCATCGTCATTGGAGAAACAGCATTGGTCTACAACTCACTCAGCATAAACACTGGGATAATCGCAAAGCTGCTCCCTTGAATTATCACATGTAATCTCCAGTTTGTCAGGTTCTGCTTCAATTTTTCAGGGGGAAGCTGTAACCCGTTGATTAAGAAGATGATGGCTACGGCGCCATACAAGATGCTGTACTCTGATCGAATCACACCCCCATGCTCTGCAACAGCTGTGTTTGTTCGCAAAACAAGATAGTTAGCGAGACTCTCTTCTAGCATGGGTCATACCCAGCCATATGATTCTGGTTCACTTCTTCTCTTGTATTTCTCATGTGAATCGCAACACACCTCCTCCGGGATATGGAAATGCATAAACGTAAAAAGGAGAAAAACTCACATGGGAAGAAACGTCCCAACACACACGCCACTGCAAATCCAATAAGCAGCCACTGTGCTGCTACAAACTGAACTCCCTTGCAAAACCACATCACCACCTTATTTTCGCGCCAATGACTTGTATCCTTCGCCATCGTCTTCGTTGTCGTCGTATCCATTGCTCCCAACCACCTCTCAACAGATATTACCAAATATGCAGTTATCGTGACAAATCATAAATCGTGAAAAATGGCTCCAAAAACAAAAATGAACATGTCTATATGAAAAGAATGAGAGAGAGAAGAGGGGAGAATAAAATAGAAAGGAAGCAAAGGCGAGACAGCTAAATATGCACCTCGTAGGTGAAATAGATTAGCAGCTGCTAGCTAGCTCTGCTACTTCTCCAGCCACACAAGCGTGCGGAATCCAAAAAAGCTTGCGAAATTGAGACCGCGCAGGAATGCTGGGTCAGAGAGGGCAAAGCGCCGTCTTATTACCGGATATGCTGAGCGGGTCTCGTCGGCCGATCGCTAGAGATATCTGCCGACACCGCATATTACGATAAAAAGTAGTCACTAATAGTAGTCATAGTCGGGTAATTTAAGATGGTCCTTACGGCGTAGTGGGATCATGCGTGAGACATCTGTTGTAAGCATAACGATAACGGAAAGGGGGTGAAGCTTGGAGGGGCAAAAAAGCATCAGACTCGGCACCAGACCTAAGGGGGAGGAATGAGGCATACGATGGCGTCACATCGGCATACTCCGTACTCAGCAGGCAAGTTAAGGAGACGGAGTCTATTTCTGAGATGCTCGTGCTAGATTTAGATTGAACTCGAAGCATTAATAAATACTGCCACTATTTCCTCAATGTCGAAACCCTCCGTATCCTTGCACGGTCAAGACATTAAACAATATCTACACTGATTCATCTCTTTTTTTTTTTCATCTCAAGCAGTTGTAAACATCTAATCATCCAAAAATTGTTTTGGCTAACCCCTCATGGAGCAGCGACAAGCAAGGCTAACCCCAACGCCGTGCGATGCCTGTGGTATCAACATAAACATTCTCCCAAACGAAAATTTCGGGAGGTAAAATCGTAATAAGAGGCCCTGCTCTTTCGTGACGGCTCCATTGGTCGTAAGAATATTAAGTAGAAGAATGAAGAGTAGAATAATAAAATATTCAAAGCAGGCACCTTTTTAGAAAAAGAAAAAAAAAATATAAGAAAGGGGGTGTGAGGGAAAGGGAGGAGGAAGGCGATATACGGGTATCGCATTGTCTCATGGGAGACTGGATCTACGCAACAAGAACGGGTGCTGGTTCAAGTGGTAGAGCTGTCATTGACTCGCCAGCACCGGTACTACTTGGCGCTGGCGCAATCTCTGGGTCTGGAATTTGTATGTCCAGCTAGTAAGAGATACTTGTTAGCATTGGCAATCAATTTTAGTTTGGCAACAGGCAAAGGGCCTTCTTACAGTCATGTACCCCGTGCGGCGGAGCGAAATCAGCTTCGGGGGAAGAACTCCATCCTCAGAAGACATGGTCTTTTCTTTTTCTCGATTCCACTGTTCGATCCACGCCTCTAGGTTGTTGAGTCGAGACTTAATACCGGTCATACCGAAATCATCCCACAACCAGCCAGTTGCGAGCCCAACAAATGCGTCAAACATATTTCGAAGATTATAGGGGTCGAAGGCCGGTATCAGCTCTTTGTTGAGCTTATCAATGATGCGCCGGAATTCAGGTTCAGGAACCCCGGCAGGATCCAGGATTTCAGGGTAGAGATTTGAAAAGGTAGGAGCCAGGTCGCCTTGGAGAAGCCAGTCGCGGCGAATTCGGATTATCCGCGTCTTGGCATACTCGGCAGAGTCTGTCGGTACATGAGGGTTCAAGTGAGGGAAGCATGGATGCTGCGGTCCCCAAGACTCTCCCAGGTCTGGTTGAATCTCTTCACCCATGATAGACGAGTTGGACGAAGAGATTGCAGATCCTATGCCGTCCCCAATAGAGACGTTGGAGAAGCGATGGGTGTCCATCACATCCGGCCCTCGCTCCAGGTCTCTGGAGTAGGACCGCCTGGATTCTTCATTTTCAGGCATCATGATGCCTTTCCCTTTGTCGACCCTGGGTATGTTTACGGGCGGTGGCGATTCACCGTTAACGTCACTGCTGGTTCTATTCTGAAAGTCAAACCGGGTTGGAGAGAGTGTTTGGGAGCGTCTCTCGTCGTACGACGCACGGACAGACCCAGGTAAGCTTATTCGCTTGTTATCCGTTGTGTTCAAATCGAACTGAAAGCTAAGCGGGGTTGACGTGGAGTGCCTCGCCTGTATATGTTCGGTGAGAGTGAGCAGAGGATAGTCGCCAGCGCCGGTGATGTTTGGGTCCGCGGTGTTGGTAGAATCGTCGAGAGCTGGATGCTGCAGCGGTACTGGAGGACCAATCGGGCTTGAAGGGCGCCGCCTGTGGGTGGAAAGTCTGGGAGTAGAGTTGGTAGGATTCCACAAGCTAGCAGACGAGAGGCGCTGCAAACGAGTCGGATTTGCGCCTGATGTCGTGAGGCTGCGAAATATCGAACGTTGGGCCTGCTTATGAAAGACGGGACGATGCGGTGATACAGGTTCTGTCACAGTGGCAGGTGCCTTGGAAGGACCGGAGCGAGCAGGCTGGTGAGAGGCAGGGACTGAGGCGATGGCGTCGGCGTGAGTGTCTGTCTGCGCGCCTAGGGAGGGCGGGTCGGCTGTGGTTGAGATTGCCTGGAGCTCGTATGAAGCCGTGGGAATGGTGGAAAGGGCACGGCCGCTGGGACGACCGCGCTGCAAGGAAACGGCGATGCGGTCGCGTCGGCGCTGGAGGATGGCGGAAGCAGCGCGCAGCTGCTACAAGGCGAGGCTAAGCGTGGCCTTGACCCCAAGAACGAGTGTCGCAGAGCTGCTGCGACAAAATATTCAATCGACTCTTCCGCCGGGGCCGTCGAGCGCAATGCTGAGTTGGAAATGCAAGGCCGGAAAGCAGATGCTAAGAAGGGCTTGGCGTAGGCGCCGTTTTCGTATTGGCTAATCAGGGGCGTGGTCTCAAAGGCGTTAGTGCGGCTGGTCAAATCTCTGGCACCGCAACTGAGCGATTGCATGTTTATCGATTGCTGCGATAAGACAAAAGACCGTGGGACGCTGGAGCAGCGCAAAGCAGGGCAAGGCAGGGCAGAGAAGGCTTTTTAAAAATCAAAATCCATTGCTGGAGTCACGACAGACAAGTGGGCGTAAAAGGGAGGCGAGAATGGAAGAAGTGGATGAAAAGAAGAGCGAAAGAAGCGAAGAAAGAAGCGAAGAAAAAGAAATGAAAGCTCTGGATCGCAAAGACTAGAAGCCGTGCATCGAGAGCAGCGAGATGGTCCGTGGTCATGGGAACCGGCTTGCCTTTATCTGCGTTTGATGCCTTTGGTCGTCTAAACCCATGCAGCATCTTGAGCCTCAGGGCTTACGTGCCTTGCTTGGTCCACTGCAAGTGAGCGTTAGCTGAGAGAATGCGGCATGGCTTCGGCGCCCTACACCAGTGGCGCTCAGCCAGAGCGCAGCTGAGCGACTGGACTCCCAGTCCGACATAAATTTTGCACTGCTCTCTAGGGCAAGGAACGGAGCACATGCACCAACTTGGCTGGTTGGCCTAGGCCGTAATGCTCCAATTCCCACCACTCTGACAAACCAACAGCTCGAGATCTGCAGCGGCCTCTTGTGAGATTACAGCAAAGCCTGGAACTGCCCTATGGTGGAGATGCCGACAACCATAATTTTCATCAATTTTCGCGGCATTTCCGAAGACGTGGAACTACACACAGCATGGATTATGCGAACAAAGGATTCCACCACCATATTTCAAAGTACTACTACTTACAAGTAGGTCATCAAAGTGGCCACACGCACTAACAGCATCAGTGACTGTTCCAACTTGGAATAAATATACCCACGTAGTGGGTATGCATGCGTTGATCAAGGCACATGCTGGTAGACGTGGCAGCAGCAGCCTTTAATCCCTTGCAGAGCATAGGTAGCTCTATTGTGACCAGTATCGCCTCTATCCAACTTGGCATATCGCAAGGCTGGCAGTAATCAAGGGGTTATGGCGAAGCAGCAGACAAGGTACCTTGTTCATGTAGAACAAAAATAGAACATGAGCTATTGACTTGATGTCATTAAACTTTGTGGCAGCAACATTGGCGTCAGGGGCCATCACCAACAACCTGCTGCATCTGTGAAATTTAATCGGGCCACGCCAGTCGAGCCCGTGCGGAAGAGGGAAAGATCGCAATCTCTTCGGCCTGCATCGATCTCATCATCTCGAATAGGGGCTGGACAAGCCGTGCACTTCCATATTGCATGGCGCGCTGTCAGTGCCGCCCCCTGCAATGGCCGGGCCATTGATGGCAGATCGCAGAGATAGTACTAGTGGACTATTGAATGTTGTCCCCTTTTAGAAGCATCCTGGGCAAGGTTGGGGATCGTATTTCTGGAGATTGCCTTGCCTGTTCGCATGATGGCGATGCGGATTGCCCCCATGCTGGGAAATTGCTCAATGCGAATTTTGACGGGACGGGATGAAATTAAGCTGTTGGTGCCAGGCGGCCGGAAAGCGGGGCGCGATCTCGCGGAGCTGACTTGTCAGTCTGCGCTGTTTTGATGGCGCTTTAGAAGCAAATTCGAATACACATGCGAAGCACCATCTAGGCCTGCTCCGTACTTTGAGCAGTTGCTTTGCACGCGGTGGCTGAATATCTAGAGAATTGTGGACGCTTCACAATTGCTGCGGAGATTGTTAGGGCTAGCTCACTGCGTTTACGGACTACATGTCCTCGAGAGCAAAGAAAGAGCGCAGATAAGCTCTAAAATCACAAAACGCTGAATATACTTACTTGTAGGGATGGATCACTGACGTCAATTAGCTTTGCATTAGAGATGATAGAATCCACGCTGCCATTTGATGGTCGCGATAGCCTCACTCACAACTTCAATTACAGGTGAATTTCGTCATAGTAGGGGCTTTAGCGCCCTGTCATGGCGGAGCATTTCGCCCAGCGCTATGCAGTGGAGACCATCGCCTTCTAGCGGTGTCGTCAACCCAAAGCCGACCAAGCTCTCCGTCAGGAATGCAGAAAAAATTGTAAAATATTACCATTTATTTCCGGAGCCTGAGACAGGTAGCCGACTGAATCGAGATTCGAAATCAGAATCAACATCAACAAACATGATTCCTTGAGCGCATAGAGCTTTTACTGCCATGACACTGTCCGTGCTGTCACTCATCTCACCTGCTGCGGCCCGCCATCACATCACCTGCCAAAATCAGCACAAGCCCGCTGTACCCCAGATTCTAGCCAGTCCAGCCACGCGGGAACGCTAGTCAGTAGCAGGGGAAGGCCGCTGGAGCGCTGACGGATGACCACTAAAGGTTGCCACCTCAGAGCTGCTCGAATTCCTGTTGACGTAAGGACGCTGCGGCGATCCAGCGCATACCACCCACCACTTTTCCCACGATCGATCCAGTCCTCTTCCTCCCTGTTTACCGCCTAATGGCCCTCCGCTGTCATCCCGCACAAACGTGCATAACCTAGCCATGCCGGCGGCAGCAATGCCAGATGACGGCCGCCAGGCCTCGACGGCATCGTCAGCCAAGCCTGGGCTCGCGGCAAGCTCCGGCGTCAGCCTCGGCCACGGTGGCGGCAGCACCAATGCCAACGGCAACGGCAGCACCACCTCCCCTGGACACTTTATCCGCCGTGCCAAACCCTTCGACGAGCCCTCAATGCGGTCAGGATCCATGTCGCGACACTTTTCAGACTCGTCGTCCGAGGCGCTCCCCCGGAGGAGCTCCAACTTTTCCGAGTATAGCTTGAACGAGGCACGCGACATACTCAACCCCCGGCCACACGCTCACGGCGAGCAGCTGTCCCATCACGAATCATCGCCACTGGCTTTTCTATCGCTGGCCTTTGCTTTTCTACCTGCCATCGCCGGCGTCCTTTTCCAGAATGGCACCTCGGTTGTCACCGACATCATGCTCTTGGGCCTCGCAGCCATCTTCCTTCATTGGTCAGTGACGCAGCCTTGGTAAGTAGCGGTAATGTTTCCGCCACTCCCTCCCCCGTAGGAAAGGGCACGAAAGAATTCATAACTTCATAGGCAATGGTATTACGCGGCGCAAGAAGTCCGTCTATTTCAAGAAAACTCGGTCAACATATCCCTTGAAGAAGACAGCGATCTCGACTGCCGGGGTAAATCCCCAAGCACTAGTGCACCACTTGACGATGTGCCCGAAGAGAAAGAGGGAGACGAGATGGAAGACTCGAGCTCGGGAAAGCGAAATGCCAAGGAAGGGCAGCAGATGACAGAGCAGCAGCAGGCTGCTCTGAAAGAGCTTTACCGTCATGAAAGCCTTGCGCTGGTATCATGCTTCGTGCTGCCACTGCTTAGCGCATATCTCCTACACTACATTAGAGGGCAGCTTAGTCGGCCATCCGAAGGACTTGTGTCTAATTTCAACTTGACGATTTTCCTATTGGCAGCTGAGCTGCGTGTACTTTCACACATGATCACTCTGGTCCAGTCTCGGACACTACATCTTCAGAAAGTTGTCCACGAAAATCCCTTTGGCCAGCAGGTTGGAACTGAGACACTATTAGAAGAGATGCTCAGAAGGCTAGAAAGGCTAGAAAGTCGTTCAACATCCCAGGGTCACGAAATCGCTGGACACGGACAGACGCTGGACTCGACGACAGCAACGATTAGCCGAGATGTCCGAAATACCATTCAACCAGAGCTGGACGCCTTGAATCGAGCTGTGAGGCGGTACGAGAAGAAGGCAACACTCCTCCAGCTTCAGACAGAATCCAGGTTCTCTCATGTACACGCTAAACTGGACGATGCCATTGCTCTAGCCGCCGCTGCGGCAAAGAATGCAAATAGACGGCAGAACTTCATCCCTTGGGCCTGGAAATGGATCAGAGCGATTGTAACATTTCCTTTCAAGGCCCTTCTAGAGATACTCGCTCTGCCTCTGAAACCTATAGTTGCATTTGCGAACAGAAATAAGCAGCCATCTGCGACGAGTCTACCGCCTTCAAGGAGCAAGGCGGGGAAGCCGCCTGCATCGCTGAAATATAACGGCGATCGAGTGCCGACGAGGCTTACCAAGAGATGATGGGATGTTAGTTAAAAGTGGCTTTTCTTTTGAGTGTGTTGGGGTTTGCCGGATTTTGCTGGAATTTCTATTTTTCTTTTTTTTTTCTCCTTCTCTCTATGTTTTTCAATAGGCAGTCTTCGCTATCGGCAAGTTATAAAGTTATAAGCATATGAAAGTCTGGTCATGGCTGGATTCAAACGAATTACTACGAAGTAGCATTAGTACCGCTCAGCTTTATCATCCCAGATATCACGCCTTTCTTGGCGACAGTATTGGTAATCAATAATGCTACAATAGAGTTTCCTCTGCACATTATATATGAAACGTTGGCCCTTCGTAATGATTAAGTGGCATCTTTAGCACAGAGGATAAACTTCATCGCCTGCATACTTTGGGGGGTGTTTGATAGGAGCTGGGTACCCAGTAACACTACTGGCTTCATCCATTGTTTACGCCTCTTCGTCTCTTATCTCCTAGATATGACGTTGTTTCTCCTACACATCAGCGTCTCGTAACTTTTTGATAACGCGTCAGCAAGCTATTCCCGTCGCGCGTACTTTAAAGTGGTGTTGTTGACGTCTTCCGCGCGCATTAGACCCGCTGATCTGATTAAATAGGCGGATTAGAGTTATAGCCGATTATTGATTTCCAACGCGCTACAAAGCACGCTATAGTCAATCTATTAACCTTCAATCCCACCTATTAGTGGCACGTGGTCCTAAGAAAAAAAAATATCAAATCATAACGTTGAAGAATATGAATCATAATAAAAGGAGAGTTCTCGGGCTGTCCCAATTTGGTATCTGGCCCAGTATTTGAGGCACAAGAAAGGCAGTGCTACTGTATACCATGTAATCGTAGTATTACCCTGCAGGGATGATGGTGAGGATGCTCTTTTTGAGTTCAGCCGTCTTGCGTGCTGCGAAGTATACTTTGCGCTAATACTATTTGTTTTCTTCTCTTGTTGTGAACGGCCAGGTGAATGGGCACATGTGCAATAGTGGTGGTTTGGCTCGCAGGATCTTGTAGCTTGGCAACTTGTGCCTTGTCCAATCGCTCAGCTCAATACAATCTACAAGGGAATAACCCCGGCCAATCTGGATGAAAACCAACTCTCCTCTGTTGTTCGACAGAGCATAGGTACTCACTTATCAGCTGAACTTTCGGTTGGTCAATAATCTTAAGCTGGGTGTTGCCTCAATATCGGAGCTGGGTTTCTTGTGTTATGATCGTATTGATCGAGTCACGGGGCCATGATACGATTCTTTTCGCATCTCCAACTGCAGTTTTCGGCGTTGGCCAAAAAAAAAAAAAAAAAAAAAGTGAGAGAGATTCCTCCGTCTTACATTGCCAAGTAGCAGTAATATTAGAGCTGAATGCTTATAATTAATTGCATTGTACAGCCCTTTGTACGTGTGTATCATCACGTTACTTGTCGCTGTAGGGTGGCACAAACCCGATGTTGCCCGCGCATGGTAAGGTTTCACCATTGATGGAGATGTGCGCCTAATTGATCACTCTGAAGAACTGGGGGGAGAAGTTTTGAAGAGTCGATTGTCTTCTGCACGATCGCGAAGATAGAGCAGGTGCCACAGGGATACGGAAACCAACGTGGGAAGAAGGCGCCTGGAGAGTTGGTGCACCATGACGGGCCAGTTATCTGCCGACTTTGGGTCACGCCAACCGAGTGGATCTCTTAATTTCGCAGCCCGAGGTGGCGTGGCGCATCAAAAGCTGCTGGCTGCGTCCTAAAGGAGAAGAAGGTTTGGTTTGGAGCAGTGCCAAGGATTGGCTGATGGTATCGTGTTGATGCCGAAGAGGATGCGCTGTACAGCCTTGTATTCCGTGTACAGTATGCGCTTCGTACATACGAGCACATGCAAGCAAATCCTTGGCTACCAACAAGAGTGTTTTTGGGCGGCACGTGAAGATCAACTTGCGCGTAGGCGAACTTCATGCAAGGGAAATGTATGCATGTATTTACTTGGAGTAGCACCGCGATAGGCGTGATTGGCCATTCTTCCCTCATACCTACCTGTGTATGCACCATGTCCTCTTGGAGGCGGAGAAATAGAGGCTCGATGGAAGAGACGATTATAGGCTGCGTACGGCAAGCTCTCTCTAACAATGATGTAACCATATGAGCCGGGATCCAGCCATGCAGTAGTCTCATCGGCGCTCCGTGGTGTCCGATGAGGTGACGAGACCTGATACCACCTAATACTAGTGTAGTAGTGGTGCTACTGCTAGTGGTATTCTATGCATCCGACAAGGAGTACTTCAAGCTTGGCTACGCTCGCTCGGGGCCATGGATGGTCAGTGACGGCAACAATACCAGGATCTTCAGCACGCAAGAGACACTCTGTTGCTCGCACAGTTCTCCGTACTAATACGGCAGTGCATTGGTCCCAGGATGTGTTGCAAGGGAGAATGGTCAGCTTCTCTCTGCTTTTGGTTATTAGCTCGCAATGCACAGCATAACGTACAGGATTCAGGAAACGAACCAATGGTCGCGTTGTGGCAAGGGAACAGCATTGTGGAAGGACTGGGGATTTTCAGCTGGGGATTTCTACATGTGCTCTATAGAACTGCGGCGCAGATATGGTGGCTGAATTTCATTATCAGATGGCAAGAGTCGTGAAGATAGACTGCGGCTGATTTTTGGCACCCAGTCGGTTGTTATATCCAGAAATAAATTGTAAATCTCCGGTGCATCTTCCGCTAGCAGAGACATCCGTCCAGCTTGGACTGGGTCATCGGAGGATACTGGGAGAAGAAGCTCGAGGGCTGGCCAAGTGCTATTACCATTATGAGGCTAATGAGACACTTTAGGAGCCCCCAGTATGTCGTACTACTGCAGCACCATGTACCGAGTGCCACCCTACCTTGGCTGGTTTGAAAAAAAAAAAAAAAAAAAAAATAGCACTACGAGCACTTGATATTCTGCTGCCATGACGAGATGGCGCAGCTGCTACTGTTTTAGCGGCCCCGTACTCGCAGACCGAAGCGATGATCTTTCCTGGGCGAGATAGATATGGACGGATGGAGATAGCAGCGACCGAGTGATCCTTTCTTTTCCTTCCTTTTTGCTGCTTCGCAAGCATCGTGTATTATTAAAGCAATTTGGATTCAGCAGCACCTGTGGCGCCCCGCCACATCAAGCCCACGGCGCACGGGTTGTTTAGGCTCTGCCCCATCCTTGGCCTTGGCTGGCTGAAAGCGGATGGCACCGCGCCCGGCTGGTTCCTGCCAACGACCCCGCTCGGCGGCCAAAGCTCTCTGCGGCCCCTGGACGACAGGTCGCGAAGTCGCCGCACAGGTACCGTGGGCAGCGCTACTACCACTAGCGCCCAGCACTTGCGGTAGAGCTTGCGGTAGCGTGGGGCTGCTGAGGTACCGGCGGATACCTCGATGCTGGAGCAGGCAATCAGATCCAGCCTGTTCCTGCATGCATCTCTGCCGAAGCCGCCCTGTTCTGGCGGCCCCTGCACCCGCTCAGTCTGGTTTGCCTCTCGATTCCATCCACAGTGGCAGATCGGCTGGTGATGGCCATCGCATCAGCCAATGCTCCCAGCTCGTTGCCCGCGCCAAAAGAAGCGAGAAAACCGGCCCCGAGCGTCATGCATCCTTTACTCTCTGGGCTCCCGTACGCCCTGCATATGCATGCGCCAGCGCTACGCAGCACTCTTGGTGGCACCGCCTAGAGCGAGCCACGAACCTTTGCTTTTTCTGCTTCTCCAGCCCTGCATCCGCCGCTGCAGCCGGGAAATTGGCCCAACAGCCACGCGCCATGGCAGATGCCCACCCGTCGATTGGATTGGGTCCTGGCATCCCTGGCTGTGTCCGCGATGCCGGGCTTGATTTGACTTTGGGACCGCTCGCTGCGTGCCACGGTCCGGAGGCCAGGCCCAGAACCGCAAGCACTAACAGACGTGGCCGAATGCTGTGCCGATCGAGCTGGAGTTGTCCGCATGCAGGCGTGGACGAAGCAGCAAGACGAAGCTATTGGGCCGGGATGGGGAAAGGCAGGAAAAGGCAAAAAACAAAAGAGCCGCTCTTTGCTTCTCCGGACACCTCCCTCCTCTCTTCTCGCTTGGTGACATTGAAGCCCGCATGTCTCACTTGATCTTGTCATAGGTCCTGGTTATCTGACCAACTCCCCCATTGTGCGTGGCCCATCCCCTATGCATGTGAGACATCTCTCTATTCGGTTTTGGCAGACTTTTGGAGCTCCTCTGCCAATCCCCTGCAGTCATATACAAAACGTGTCTCAGCTCGTGCCAACTTTGCTTGGCTGTATACGGCATTACTCGCATGCCTGCTGAGTAGCCATTATATCTATCTAGGCACTGGTTTCATGTAATCAGCGAGCGGGGGCTTCTTTTATGATTCAGCTGTTCTTTTCAAGTTCTTTCTCGCCTTTCGATTTTTTTTTGGCCTGCCTCTACTTTTCCCGTTACGCTCGGATGAAGCTTCACGGCCCGCAGATATAGCTGGGAGCATTTTCTCATATTAGCGGCTTCTAAATCCACCACTGGCGGCATCGACGTCCGAGCAAGCACAGCGAGAATGCTAAAGGCTATGAGGCTGCAGGCACTCGTATGCCTTTTCCTGGTCCTGCAAGTGACCGCCACGGCCGGCTTTTATCCACAGAGACGAGATGATACCTCCGCTTCAACGCCCGCCGCTTCATTGCATGGTTCAGAACCAAGTCCAAAGCCGAGTCCACAGCCAAGTCCACGGCCCTCTGCTACCAAAGAGCGACACGATGACAGCAAGCAGACAGACGCCCCGAAACAGTCGACTCACACAGATGCTCCTGACAGCACTACAACATCCGCGACACCGACAATTCAGACCACAGCCACAGTTGCTTCGGACAGCCCTTTGAATACTTCGGCCGTGTTTAACTGTAAGAATCCAATTCTGCCGCTGACCATCTCAAGTTAGCTTGCTGACATATGGACTGATAGCAACAATCCCGATCCCCCCCGGCCAGCTGCCTATTCAGCCCGTCATAACTCCAGGATGGGGTGTTGCTGGAGCCATTTTGATACTCACTGGAATTTTCTATACCATTATTGGGCTCAGAAATCGATGGATCAACTGCTTCTTCTCGACTGCCTACCTTACCTCTCTCGGAATAACAGTCCTTGTAGTCTATCTCATGGACGTCCCTGTCAGCCTGGCAATTCAGGGAGCATATGTCGCTGCTGTCACTCTATCTGGCTGTGTGCTAGGAGCAGCATCATTGATCTTTCAAGAGTTAACTGAAGGCCTGGGATGTGCTCTGGGAGGCTTCTGTCTTAGTATGTGGCTTCTTTGTTTGGTACCAGGAGGCTTGCTACATGATACGCTAGGTCGAGCAATTTTCATCTCTTGTCTTTCTGTCGCTGGCTTCGCCTCCTCTTTTAGTCACTACACCCGAGATTGGGCCATGATTATTTTGATGTCTTTTGGAGGCTCAACAATAATTGTCTTGGGTATTGACTGTTTCAGTAGAGCCGGGCTTAAAGAATTCTGGGCTTATATCTGGAACCTAAATGGAGATTTATTTCCCCTTGGTACAGATACCTATCCTATTACTAGAGGCATCCGAGTAGAAACTGCGGTAATCGTTATTATCTGCCTCATCGGAATTAGCTCCCAGATGAAACTCTGGAGAGTTGTCCGAGACAGACGCGATAGAAAGGCTTTGAAGCTCGCTGAGGATCAGAGGTGTCTTCAACAAGAAGAAGAAAATGTCGGTCGCAACATTGGACAGCAAACAGCACGGGAACGAGTTGCCTGGGAAAAGGTCTATGGAGGCAGAATTCTTCAAGACAGCAATGGTACAAGTACTACCTCACACTACTCATACGGCACCGACAGCGGCAGCAATAGCAAAAGACAACCAAGAATCCATTCTGAGTCTATTTGCACAGAATCCAAAACTGATATTGAGATGACGGAATTGTCAGATTCAAGTGTAGTGCAAGCCGGCGCAGATGGACTCATGTCCATGGAAATGGCCAAGGAAGGCAAATTCATGGTACGAATAGCTGCAGACGAAGTAATGGAGACGCCAAACAACAGGGAAGGTGAGATAGCCGAAGAGCCAATTGACGCAATTTCAGAATTTGGCGCGGAAGGTGTCGATAGCGACAGAGCTGGGTCACACTCAGAGATGGCCAAGGAGAAGGAAATTTCTCAAATAAGCTCAGAGCGTAGACGGAGTTCTCGACAGAAGAGTACGACACCCGCCCCTGAGGTAGTTCCCTTACCATTCAAGACCCCGACAGAAGAAGACTTGAAATCTATTGGTGATCGGTCGTCTGTTGCGACATTTGCTGATGACGAAGTCTTTGCATCTGCGACTCCCCTTCGAAATTCTCTCGTCCAAAGAGTCTCACAGAGCTCAGTGACGCTTCTTAGAAGCTTATCTCAGCAGAGGAAAAAGAATATGTCTCCTGAACGCCAGTTAGAGACTGGTGAAAGCTCTGAAGATTTGGTTGAGCCAGTAGCCTCTGTCCATGATGATAGCAGATCCTCCTTGGCGGCAACCGTTGATTACGAAAGCTTGAGCGATTATCAGAACGATCATGAGTCTGTCATCGATGGTGGTATCCGAAAGAGCATCGAGATCACTGCAGAGCTAGGCGAAGCCGAAGCAACTCAAAATCCAGAGGCGGCGGAAGTCGAGGCTGCAGCCGTGAATAATATTGAGAAATCAGAGGTCATTGAATCTCAAACAATATCCAAGAAAATGCCAGCCAATGAAGAAATTGAAGCAACATCCGGATCAAATGAGAAATTCGATGGCGATGGCGATGAGTTAGATAGAGAAGTCTCAGATGCCAAGGCTGGAAATGCAGCCGGAGAGGAAGATACCTCGGCAGCTCATGAACAGGAACACACTGCAACCGCAGGCAGTATGACGGAAGGCAAACTGCCCGAATCTAACGAAAAGAACAAATCCGTTTCTTCAGCAAGTTCAATTCCAGTGACTTTGACAAAAGATCGATTACCGACGTCTATGTCAAAGGCTGCACTTTCTTACAGGACGAATGAGTGGGCTAAACATCTTGGCCATGCGGACACTCCTGAACCTGACGCTATTCATATCGAGCCATATTCGCCTGAAGTGGATATGGAAGAAGTCCCCAAATACGTCGATATCGAGGATCTTCAGAGAAACATTACTGACACCTCGTCATATGTGTTTCCTGAGCAATCCGATTCTGGATCAAACCAAGAGCCCTCCGTGCAGCCAAACGCCAAGACAGTTAAGAAACAAGCGCGTATTTCTAATATCGTTGTTTCCCCGGCAGTGTCTGCGGATGCTACGAGCCCCAGCGGAAGTCCTAGATCGCCTACTAGTGACATGGCCGGTCTCCAGCCAGCCGCCGTAACCCTACGACGTACATCTTCAGGTTTTGCCCCGATTGTCGAAGAGCAAGATGCTATCCAAGCTAGTAGGCTATCCCTGGAAGGCACTTCTCAGCAAGACGGCACCCAGCTGAATCCGGCACCATTCCGGCCGATAGTGCCTCGTGTTGTGTCTTATTCGAGCCCTCATACTCTACTCGGTCAGAGAGAATCTGTCCTACGGAGTCGATCACAAGGCAATCTCGTTTCCCAGCTAGCCGACTATCACATTGATACACAGGGATCTGTTGTTGACGCAGACTCCCTTCACAACTATCCTATAAACGCTCGAATGCTTAGCCCTGATCCCGATGATCTTCCGCTGAGCCGACGAAGAGAGATTATACGCCAAGGCAGCAGGACAAACTTACCACCTTCAAATTATAGGTTGAATCGCTCAAGTAATGGAGTTGAAGTTTCCGGAAATACGCAATTCAATTCACATCAACCGAAGAGAATATCCTCTGTCTCTGCGATAGCCCAAGAAACAAGACTTGCCAACTTTCGACATTCGATAGCCAGAGATCTTCAGTCAATGACTCCTGGCGTTCCCCCTAATCTCGGCCGCGAAACTCCCTTTGGGCCAACGCCCGTTCTTATTGATGACATGGATATGCAACGTATGGTATTAATGGAAAAGAAGGAAGCGGAAATACAACGGAAGGAGATGCAAAGGCGAGAAAAGGAGTGGAATGATCGAGTGTTCGATGCTCGCATGCGGAGCGGCGATCTCTTAGACGCACACCGCGAGGTCATACGGAAGATGCAGAGTTCGGCGAAAGATGCATGATTGGACAGATAATGGATAAAGACATGGCGGCACCTGACTCTATATTAAAGAGCGTCGGGCGGCGCGGTAGTGGATCAGCGGCAAATATCATTACCTAGTGGTGCCTATTGGAACATAGAGAAACAAATCTATATTATAGCACACGATGGTTCATTTAGAATACTATGTATACATATATATGTAAAAGGAAGAATTGGCTAAATAGAAAGCAATCAATCGAGATATTAATTGATATGTGTTTTTAAAGATCAACACTGGATTAAGAATCCTCGTTTTTAAGATAGATTCGTGCCGTCTTTTCCTTCCACTCGCCCTCCATAGCCACTAGCCTGATTTGAGGTGGAAGGGACGAGCAGTGCTGGAGGTGCTGCGTTGATAGCAGAATGGTCTTTGTCCTTATTATATTTGTTGTTGGAAAAAGTCGTATGCTTTGCTGCTGCTGTATAAGGAGCAGAGATTCGAGATTCTTCGTCAGACCAGACAGACCTGTGGGTAGGTTGATGGCTGAGTAGCTCTAAGGGCGCAGAAGAAGCATCTTGTTCGGGGAGCTTGAAGAGAGATAGCTTGAAGGGAAGGGAGAAATTGAGACGGGTGCGAAAGAGAAATGGGTTGCGAAGAATAGGCTGAGCATGAATGTCCTGGTTGTGGACAGGTAGAGATGTTGCTGCTGGGGCAGGCTGTTGGAGCGTTGACCCCATTTGGTTAGACGGTATGCTTGTCATGAAATTCAAATCTGAGGGAGCTGCGCTCTTTTTAGATGATCTGGTAAAGTGTCAGCAATCATCGATGCCTAAAGAAGATGGAAATCCGGGCTAATTTACCTCGTAGACATTGTGTGACTACCGTTAGACATGGAGGCTAGCACCCGAGCATCTGGGTTATACTCTTCATATAGCCAGGGGAACATTTTCCCAAGCCCCAAGTATAGGAGAGCCACGCGGTAACAGTTCATGGCATCTTTGGTCATGCCAAAGAAGATGAATATCGGTACAGTCGATACGATTGGGAGGTAGCACATATTCATGTATGACCAGTGTATTTCGCCACTTGTCAAGTATATGATGGTGTTCCAGGGTATCTCGTCCGGGCCATGGTGATGGATGGCGTTGAAGTCAAATGGAGCGAGAGCTCCGGCAACTCGCATATTGACGATGGCGAGCGCTATAACGATGGGGAGGAAAGGCACAAGAATCGCAACGACCATGAGATAGAGGCGGCGGCGGGCTCGTTGGCTGCGGGCATAGGCAAGGGGGCTGTTGGAGAGAGCAGACGCGGTGGCTTTGGAGACTTGGCGGTATCGTATGTATATGAATACTATGGGAGACAAGATTTAGTAAATGTTTCCGCAATACATCGGTAGCTGGATCCTGTTGGTTGTTGATCGTGTTTTGGCATTTGGACTTACTAGCATAGCCGGCAGTTAAGAGGGACATGATTACTGGTAGGAAGATGTCGAAGACCATATACGGCCACGAATGGGAATTAGCCCAAGAACATCCACTCAGTGTTCCAATGATATATCGCTGCTGAGTGAGAGGATATGTCCACACGACCTGCAGAAGCGGCAGTGGAAAGATGATGAGTGCCTGGGCAATGTTTCGCCGGGTTTTTTCCTTCTTCGTAAGAGGACTGGCTCTCATGTTTCCGATCTGGAGGGCCAGGTTCCGCATGATGGCTAACAGACATGTGGTATAGAGACCGATAAGGAGATTGTGGAAGTAGGAGTCGACATCGCAAAGGCCGTAACCCGGCCACCAGGACTCCACGTCATCGTTGTGCCAGATGAGAGAATTGACAACGGTCTCGAAGTTGGCCAGCTCTACAACGAGGATGAGCATGACAGCGGCCAACTCTCCGTTGCGATAGAGGAGCCGGAGAGGGACGAGACAGACGATGTTGCCGATGAGGGCGAAGACGACGCGACAGATGAGGTTGACCATGAGGGATGGATTGGTGAAAACGACCGGGGGTGGGCCGGGCATGGCGATTTCGGGAGCACCACGACGGGCAAGATCGAAAAGTGAGCCCATGATGGCGACTTGATTCAGTATTACCAATACCAAGATGAGGATTTGATATCGTGGGACAGGATGCTCGCGAAGCAAAGGAGGGGAGATGAAGATGACGATGATGATAATGTAGATGGCGGCGATATAACTGAGAGGAAAAGAAGCCAGGAGAGAGACTAACACTGATGATGATGAACAGCAAGCAGTATACTCTTTCAAAACAAATTGCGAAAAGATAACTTCATGATCAATAAGCTATTACTGAGGTATAGAGCGAGCAGCAAAAGCAAAGCAGAGGTCGCACAATTGGATATCTATAGAAACAATAAAGGAGTCAATAAAAAAAAAAGGGTAATCGAGGATACTTTTATTGGCAGAAACTCTTGCACAGAAATTACACAGGAATAGTATAGACCTCCTCTCATACACGCATGCACACACAGCCCGACGTCAGTACATGTTGATTCACAACAAAAAGTTCCATTTTGTCGGCCCTTGCAAAATGGACGAAACTATTGCCGGCTGAAGAACGAGCAAACTGGGGTAGCAAATTTGGCAATGAAGGAAAAATAAAAAGCGGATCAGGCTCGAGATATGCAGCCTCTCGCGTCCAACTTCCATTGATTGAGACGCGATCCCCTGGTCTCTACAGACATCCCAAAGCGCAAGCAAGAAGGGGAAGAGCCAAAAAGAGGTTTCGTGGCTGCATCGTGATATGCAGGCAATCACCAAAAATGGCCACTGGTTGGTGGTTTGGGAAATGTTTGTTTCTATTGGAGGCGTTTATTGAGAGACGGATTGAGCTTCTATTGATGGCCGAAATAGGCAATGCCCTGTGCGCATGGCTGATCCCGCAACCTTCAGCGGCAGCGCGGCTACCCGGATTTCTGGGCCTATGCTCTATAAAAAGGGGGAGAAGTGAGGAAAACATGACTACGGCTGCTAGACTAGTAGAAGAGGAGCATTATGCTACGGCTGTGGCTCGCAGTGCCGAGATGGATGAAGCGACTGCGGATCGGGGTAGGTAGTTAGTAGTTTGGTGTTTTGATAGGGGCTTATTGTGAGCGAGAGATGGCTAATGTATCGTCGAGGTTGTACGAAGCACAAGAGGGGGTGCGTGCAGCGGCCAGGCGGAGGGATTCCGAACGAGGGGGGATTGTTCCTAGACCGAATATGTGAGACGAGACACAGAAATGGACCTGGAGATGATTGCCGTTTGGCTTGTTTTTTGCGTGGTGTTGATGAATCAAGCCTAGCAGGCGGCTTCAGTGACTGGCGCCAAAGTCGGGAGCTAATACTGCAGATCGCCGCTGTCAATGGACGCTACACTGGAAGGGCTTAGCAGCTGGCCGTCTCTGTGACGGCGGCAACGCATATAGCGATACACCTCTCTAGGGACATATACCAGGGACTATCGTGTGTTGATCGCTCAATCGGGGACAGGGAAACATTGGCCCGCCGTCCAGCCAATCATTGCTCAGACAGCTTAGGTGCGGGCTTAATCTTATCGCGTCCTGACGTGACCCATTTCTTCGCAGCTTTTGGAGAGCGAGCAAGGGAGGGGACCAAACAAAAGCACAACCGTCTTGACGAAAAACTTGTAAGTCTTTTCCTCCCTCCCCTCGACTGCTGTTTTTCTTTTTCCTTTTTCCTTTTCTTTTTGCAATCGCTGACCATTATCATTCAAGCCACAATCTTCAATCCACCACCATGTCGTCGTTCCTTTTCCGCCGCGCCACCGCCGCCACAGCTGGAGCTGCCCGCGCATTCAGCACCACCTCCCCGCGCTCCATCGCCCGCATCACCATCGTCGGCAACCTGGCCGATGCGCCCGAGGCCCAGGTCGGCGGCTCCGAGCAAAACCCCAAGGAATACATCAGATACGCCGTCGCGAGCAACAGCGGGAGCAAGGAGAACCGCCAGACCAGCTGGTTCCGCGTGACGGGCTTTGTGGACGGTCCTCGCAAGGACTTTTTGCTGGGCCTGCCTAAGGGGTATGTTTTTTTTTCTTTGTTGGAAGAATGCCAATGATTTAAAAGATGAAAGGAGAATATGGCTGATGACTGGTTTAACTAACGTTTTTTCTTTTCTTCTTTGTAGCACCCTGGTTTATGTTGAGGGCGATGCGAGCATCAGCTCTTACCAGGATTCCAATGGACAGACCAGACACGGCCTCAGCGTTATCCAGCGTGAGTTATCAATCTACTCCAAGCTCGCTCGATGTTTATACACTCAGTTTTTTACTAACTATGCGGCAAAATCACAGGCAGCATCGAGGTTCTAAAGCGCCCCTCACTGCCTGAGCAGGGCGAGTAAAGCAGGTATATAGCGGAACTGGGCTGGGCTTGGCTGCTAAGGGATGAGCAAATGGATTCTGGCTGGGTGTTTGGCGAATAAGAGGCAGGCGGGTGCTTGCTTGCCATGTAACTGTAGTATTGCCTGATGATTTGATGTATGATTTTGATGCGATAGATGAACTCTCGGCTCTCCTGCTTTGGCCACTTGCGATGCGCGATTCTCCCAATCTCTCTATAAAAAAGCCTACGTGCTCGCGATGATTGTACTATATATCCAACATTTATTTTATTTTATTTTTTCGCTTCATCAGACCAAGGTTACGCTGTCCATGCAGCCGTACCCTGCAGCTACGCCTCCCTCTTCGCTCTGGTCCCCCTTTGTACGAAGCAGATATCCTGCGCCCTCATTGTGGAGCACATCGCCGGTGCCCTGATTCCACAGGCAGGTGCCATATATGCCCAATTCGCAAATAATACCACCTTCCTCCAGGTGGCCGTTTCTAAGGATGATATTTGAGACAGGCGGCGGCACAATGAGCTCCATGAGGATGTATGCGCCCCAGTGTTCCTCTGGCAGAGTCTTGAGGAATTCCGGAATGGCGCTTCGGTAGATGTTGTTGCCTCCTCCCTCTCGCTGGGGCTTGAGAACATATGCCTTGCATAGCTCGGGATCCAGCGCCTTCTTCCGCGCTTCTAGACCGGCTTCAGATGTGTCCATGGGGTAAATGTTGGTAAACGTCTTCCAGAGCTCAGTGGCAGCGGGAGTACTGTCGTTGATGAACTTGCCGAGAACAGACGGCGCGGATGAAGGTCGAGGAGTGGCGAGCACTTGTTGAACCTTTTTAGTACCGGCCAGCTGAGTAAGAATGCTAGGGCACTTGATTGCGCCAGACCGCTCCAGGTGGTATCTGGCATCCCAGGCACTTTGGTCAGGATAGTCATTAGTGTGGTAGCCAGAGCGCATGTAAATGACGGCCACTTCAAAGGCCTTGGATGGGTCGCGAGGAAGGTGGTAGAGGAGCTGGCGCTTCGGTGTGTCTGCGAGGGTGGTGTGCTTGAGGATGTCTGACATGGCAAGTCTAAAAACTGGTATCGTCGGTGACGACTGGGTGACCTGGTACTCCAGATGGCGTTGATCAAAGATGTTTCGCTCGCCTCCCTGTACCAAAAAGATAACACATTTGGCATGACCTAGGTCAGACTTGGGGTAGGCATGGAAAGCAGCCTGAATACCGCCTGCTAGGCCCTGAATGCTTTGGTTCTCGGGGAGGTTGAGTGAGTCCGGTGCCAATGCGTGTTGGAGCAGGGGATACTCGGTAGCTGCAAGGAATCTGAGCGCTTGCTGGTTAGCCTTTGATGTAGAATGTTTCGCATTAATACTGACTTGTGTAATTTTGATGTGTAAGCCGAGAGGCCACCGAAGGATGCGGCGATGGTGTTGAACTCGACTTGTTTTACTTGAACAGAGGGGGGAGAGACTGCATTGTCCTGATGGACCATGTAGTCTGATCTAAAGAGACCCAAGGATAAAGACTAAGATTCACAAGTCAAAGAGTAAATATGAAAGCTCAGTAAGATTGGTGAGTGCTGTCATGTATATATGTACCTGGGTGTAGCCCTCAGCCTTGACCTTGAGATGGACGGCCCATAGGTTGCGGATGAAGTCATCGCCATTTATGACCCTTTATAAATCATGTTAGTTTGTGACTGGTCACTGATGTGGTTGCTACTGACTCATTGACAGTTTGCTCCAGAAATGCCTCGTCACGGCTCACAGCTGCATACAGCTCGTTGTAAGTCTTTTGCACAGCCCGGCCCTGCTCGAAGCACTCTCGCGGGAATGGAGTGGGGAAGAGAGTGACTGGGACGTTGATGGCCGTGATGCCAGCTGGGTCAGTTTCAGTTGGGACAACTGCAGGGGGCGACCGCACAGCGAGGCCGTTGGCAATGGCCCAATCTTTGACCGTTTCGACGAGGGCATCTTTTTCAGCTTCCTTCAATGGCGGGGGATAAGCCCCGCTCGTGAGAGATGCCATTAGTAAGAGGGAGGCAGGAAGAGGCTATTTAAAGAAAAGGAAGAAGAGAAGAGGATGCGGGAGGCCTCGCCCAAGATATGGCAACTGGCCAGTGGCTACAGGTTGTTGGTTGGGTTGTGTAAGTGCGGCGAACTGCAGTTGTGAAGATTTCGCGAGCGGTGCTTCTGTAAGCGTGTGAGCGTTGAGAGAACGATATAGTGTTAGTGCGAGATCCCACAGATGTGGATTATTAATGGCTTTCCGAAGTGCTCCGTAAATACATTGACTTTGTCTGCGCCCTTGTGGGTTTTTAATGCCAAACGTGTCGATTCACACGGCTAGGACAACTGCCAGTAAAGTCTGCGTTATCGCAGGAGTTTGCACAATCTTGACAAGATGGCACGCAGACAGCACTATTTCCTCTCTTGCATCGGCCAAGGTGCCATTGGGGCCTCGCCTCAATGCAAGCCGCACGCACATGCGCGCACAGCCTCAGCCCCCGCCACAGGTTCCTTACACTTGTGCTAGTCAGACGCCAAAGGCCCCTGTGGATTTCTGTCTGAGACACCCCCGGCCAATTAGCCGCCGCTGAGACTCTTATTAGCACTGCTAGTACGGTGCGCTGTGATGGATTTTTCTTGACCTGGGAGGCGAGGCCGCGAGATATGGAAAGAAGAGAAAGAGGAATACCTGGGAGCATTTAAACAGTGCCGTTGCTGCGCTCGCAGCCACCAGCGAGAACAGGGAGAAGAGTTATTCCGTGCCTTCATCTCATCTCTTTTTCTGTTTTCTCCTGCACGCTCAGTGATCACGTGAAGTGGTGTTCTCTATTTCATCTGGCAGCCAACAGTCGCCAACGAAACGCGTTTTGGAGCATACGCTTTTTTCTTTCTTTCTTTCTTTCTTTTTTTTTTTTTTTAAAAAAAAGGGAAAACGATGAGAAGCTGGATGCGCCGATAAGCTGTGCTTGCGTTGTGCCGATCCAGCGAGTCTGTGGATCTTTTTTAATATCAGGATATCCTTGTCTTGGTTCTGCTCCAGGCTGCGGGCACTTCTATCACCTTTTCTCTTTGGCTAGAACGCAAGTTCACGCGTATCTTCTGGCTATCAGAAATCAGCCGCACTCCTTCTTCTCTTCTTCACTTCATATTTATCATTCTAATATCCCATACTTATTTATTTTATCTCACTTGCATTGTTCCCATCTCATTCCCAATGCACATGCCGCTGCAAGCCGGATAAATCCTAGTAAGTCTATTCTCGCTCGTCCTGGCCATCGTCTTCCTTCCAAGGCAATATGGGACATCTTGGACAGGATATCCTTCTTCTCTGAAGAACTGTTCCAAATAAGTATTGCAGAGCACCTAGCTGCTTCATTCAACAAAGTTTGCGATATCCGACTTGCTAACACTCCGCAGTGGATCCAAACGTGCCACCTCTGAGCGCGAGCCTGGCCCAGATGGGCAGCATCCATGAAGATGATCCGTTCTTGTGGGACACGGAAACACTCTCCAAGGAGATTTGTTCCCAAAACACCCCGTGGATAAAAAACCCAGCTGCGTTGGCTGCAAAGCTGGTTGATCAAGATATTGACGGGCACACGCTGCTTACCTACGAACTTTTGTTTTCTAGAGCTGAGCTGATGGAATGCCTCAACATGACAACGGCCCGAAGCAAAGCAGGCTTAGCAGAGACCATTCTAAATTTTCAGGCAAGAAGCAAAAGCTTTCGCTCGTGGAAGAAGAACTTCTCGAAGAATCAATCCATGCTCTTATCTGATGATGAGCAGCATGATTTGAAAGCAGAACTCTCGCCTATACCTCCTCTGAAGCGGCTCTTAGACCCAACGCCAACTCCAAACGCTCATAGCATCTCAGCTCAACATGAGCCACAAGGGATAGCTGAAGCGCCTTTGGGAAATGATCAAATCACTCAAGTCTTTGATGACACCTTACTTGAGACTGATGGAGATTATCCAATGCAATTGAATGGCGATGCAGATTTTGCCACCAGCGTGGATTCTGCTAATGGCATCCCATCAATTAATCCCCAAGATTCTCCCGATACTCCAACAGATGCTCGGGTCGGCGAAGAAAAATCTTGCCAGCGAAGATGCTTGGCGCCGATGAACTTGAGCGCAAAGCTCCCTTTAGAATATTCGCCCCCTTTAGAATATTCCTATCTTGGTAGCAAGGGTCTGTGCCGTCAAACTATCCTGTCTTCTACTATTGATGCTCCAGACCACCCTTGGATGAACCTTGGCAGAGGTGGATTTGCGGTTTTGTCTCCAAATCATGCAAAGCCTCCTGGGCAGAGGCTTGTTGTCAACCGCATACTGCAGAAGCGGTTTCTCAAGAACTCCCGGAAAGAAGCTACGTTGAAGCGCGGATTTATTCCTCTGCAATCACCAACCCCTTCTAACAAGAGTGCGTCGGTCATAGACTTTGATGACTTGCCTGATTCGTGGGATGAAGAGACACAGCGAGAGATTGATGAAGAGAAAGCAGAAGCCGCAGCAAGAAAACGTGAACTTGCACGTTATCTATCGAGAGAGCGCGCAGCGGCCATCCTCAAAGATGAAATAGCTGCTATGGAAGCAAAATGGAGAGAAACGAAGCTGCCCCGACTCCAACACACAGCCTATAAAGATTGGATGGGTGCCAAACGAAATGGAGGGATGAAAAGCGCGATCTTCAGGACTCTGAGACGCGCACAGTTCTACGATAAGCAGTTTAAAAATTCATATACTGAGATACTCCATCTTAACTGGGAAAAAGAGGGTGACCTCCGATTTCAAGCTGCTAGTTTGGAACAGAGCTTAAGAAACAAACTTTCAGAAACATATCACGTCGAGCTTTTTGAGAGGCGCGATCCCCCACCAAAGCCTTTAGGTGTTTTGAAGCCGAAATCTTCAGCAAAAAAGGCACCTCTAGAATATTCTGATGAAGAAATATTGACCAGTTCAGACGAAGAAGAATTCGTCATACTTGACAACAACCCCGATATGACGATGACCGATGAAGATTTTTTCAAGAGTGCTCCTGAGTCACCACTACAACGACACGACCGCGAAGCAAGCCACCCTCTGTCTGAGGTTGATGCCTCAATGGTTATTGATCTCACACAAGTAGAATCTTTGGTGGAACCCCAAGTCCGCAAAGCGACAATAGAATGCATTGATTTGACAATATCCCCCATTAAGAAAAAGGTGGATGAGGCCCCTCCTCTCGTTAAAGATGAGCCAATCGATTTGATAGGAGAAGTCCCGCCTATGGATCAACTGGGAAGCTTGGAGAAGATTGGCGAGACTCCTGTAAAGCATTGGACAAAAGCAAAAGATCGTTGGAGATTGGTCCTCTGTCTGTTATGGAAGCTCATACAAGCTCGCCGTGAGCCGATTCTCCAGCTCATGCAAGAAAATGCAGCGGAAGATGCCTGGAGGTTGTCGATAGGCTTCTATCAGGTAAATCCCTTTACCAAAGGGTCGGAAATCGGAGAAGATCCAGCAAAAACTACGGCGTTTGATCTCACAAAGCTTTTCTTGAGCTGCTCTCAGTGCCGTCAGTACACAGATGACCGCGTCGTGGCTTTGAACAAGAAAGACAAGAACCGTCTCAGCCGTGCGAAAGCCTTTTTCCCGGCCTTCCATGCATTTATTAGAGAGTGGGCCCCTAAATATCCGCAGAGCAGCCAAATTTATAGAACGGACGCTTTTGACGATGAAATTGGACCAGATGATCTTGATGAGTATTCTGCCAATATCATAAAGAGTCCTTCAGAGCCACGCAAACGCGTGGTCAAAGAGATTGTTCAAGACAAAGAAGGCCTTGAGCTCCGAGAGCAAGGAAAGAAACGCGCTGAGGAGTATCAGGCCCGCGCAACGAAAAATTTGAATCTCGCCACGCTATCTACTACCATGACAGAGCGTGAGGCTCGACTGATAATCAACGAAAGTAAGCAAGATGACCAGCCATTCATCTATATAAGTAGCACCATCGGCGACCGCATAAAAGACCACCAGATCAAAGGAGTCCGGTTTCTATGGAATCAGATTATTCTTGACTCAGACCTTCATCAAGGCTGTCTTCTGGCGCATACCATGGGTTTAGGAAAGACCATGCAGGTCATTACTCTTCTAGTGGCTATAGCTGAGGCTGCTAATTCGGATGATGAGTCAATAAAGGCGCAGATACCCATAGACTTGAGGAGGTCACAGTCACTCATTATATGCCCCGCTGGATTGGTTAACAACTGGCTTGATGAAATCAAGGCATGGTCACCTGAAGACTTACTTGGTAATGTGTTCATGGTTGAATCGGCCCATGCCAAACGAGAACAAATTTCAACAATTGAAGACTGGGGACAGTATGGTGGTGTACTGGTTATTGGACATGAGATGTTCAAAAGAATGCGGTCTGTAAACGACAACATCAAAGAGATATTGACGAACAAAGCCAACATGGTCATTTGCGATGAGGCCCACATGATGAAAAATCCTGATAGCCAGCTTCACCAAGTCTTACAAGATTTCCACACCAAAAGGCGAATTGCTTTGACCGGCTCGCCGTTATCTAATAGCGTCAATGAATACTACTCAATGATAAACTGGGTGGCACCAGGGTATCTTGGCCCCAAAAAGGAGTTTACGGATATATACACAGACCCTATTGAAAAGGGACTACACAGTGAGAGTGAGAGGTCAGAGAAGCGGAAGGCCCTGAAAATGTTGGAAGTGTTGAAGATGACTGTTGCACCCAAAGTGCAACGAGCCACTGTCCAGGCTGTCAAGCATGAGCTACCTCCCAAATATGAATTTGTCATATTTGTCAAACCAACTCCTCTTCAAGAAAGGCTCTACGGCATATACTTGAATGAAATGATGGCTACTTCATCAAAGACGACGGTCTTTAATCTTGTACAGAAGCTGGGGATTATCTGCAACCACCCTCGCTGCTTCAAACAGCAGATGCTGAATCAAAAGGCAGCATTAGCGATAACGACTCCAAAAGCTGCATCGCAGCCTATAAGCGGCACAGGAGTTGAGGAAGCAGACGACGAGAGCGAGAGTCCTGATTGCCCAACAAAATTTTCCCTGAATATGATCTCGACTGTTCTTAAGGAGACAAACGGGAAAGATATTGCCAATCCTGAACTTTCGCAAAAAGTTGCGCTCCTCCTCGTGGTATTAGACCAATCACGCGCTGTGGGAGACAAAGTCATTGTCTTTAGTGAATCTATTCACACATTAAACTACCTCGAGGAGTTGTTTAAGCAACAGAGGCGAGCAGTACAGCGACTAGACGGTTCCACACCTGTGAGCAAACGGCAAGGTATGGTCAAGGCTTTCAACGCTGGCAAGGCCGGAGAGTCGGAGGTCTACCTTATCTCTACAAGAGCTGGCGGAGTGGGCCTCAACATACAAGGAGCGAACCGAGTCGTCATCTTCGATTTCAAATGGAATCCAGTCAATGAGCAACAAGCTGTTGGCCGATCCTACCGGTTTGGCCAAGAAAAAACGGTCTATGTGTATCGGTTTGTCATTGCAGGCAGCTTTGAAGAGGTGCTACAAAACAGGTCCGTTTTCAAGACGCAGCTCGCATCGAGTGTTATAGACAAAAAGAACCCCATTGCCTGGGGCAAGCGGAATGGAGATTTATTTAAGCCCTTGTGGACAAAGCCAGCCACCGACCTCAGTCCTTTCCTAGGTCGAGACAAAATACTGGATAAGCTTATTGAACAGTCAGGAACCAGCGGAGCTATTCGGCAAATTCTCTCAACAGACACGTTTGAAGAGGAAGATCCTACAAATGAGCTAACAGCTGAAGAGAAAAGAGATGCTCAAGAGCTGCACGACATGGAGCGGCTGAAGCAAGCCGACCCTGATAAATATAGAAAAGTTTGGGAAGAAAAACAAAGAAGAGCACAGATTCGAGCTATGGCTGCAGCCGCTCCACAGTCTCTAGGGGCACAAATGCCATCCCCGTACTCATCCCCGTACTCAGTTCAACCGCAATCTAATCAGCAAGCGTCTGTTAATCCGGGAATTTCCTTCCACCCAGTGCCAAGCGCCAACACGCCGTCACTCTGGCAAGCCCAGTCGGCCCCCATCGTGCCAACTGCCTCTCGTGTGAGTAACAATGCATGATCTCCCATTACTCGCTAGCTCGCAGCTAATTTTGCCTGAAATCAAGGCGCACTTTCCATCGTCAGCTCCTTTACCTATAACAGGGGCGAACACATATATCCGAAATCCTGCTGCTTTTACTAACCCTTCCGAAAACACAAACGTTATAATGCCCATCAGATCTTCATCTACCCCGGAACAAGGGGCAGAAGCTAGGCCGAGACCGCCAGACCCAAGTTCTGCGTCAATATTGGCATCAACACCTACAAATCCACACGCCGTAACTACGCCAAGTCAAACGACATCCTTGTTCAGCCAGCCTCGAACTCAGGCTAAGATGGATTTCGAGAAGGTGCTGGCTACATTGATAAGCGGCCAGCTGGGTTATACAGGTAACGGGACAGAGCTAGCAGAAAAAATCACAGTGGGCGTTGCAGATGCTCTGAAGGAGCAGGCGAAGGGATTTGTACCTGACAATCTTCGCTGGCGCTTGTTACTCAACCTCGTACGAGAGCATCACCGGCTCGTGCTGGCGATAATGTGGGGAAACTGCAGCCCTGAATACTTGGCAACAGCGCCAGACAAAGAAATCCACAACAGGATCTCACTCATGAACAGCCAGCCGCAGGATGACTTTGACGCTCAATTGCGACGCAGTGCTAGTGCTCCTGATCCAAGCGTATGTCCAGCCCTCATTACTCCCATCTCTCTCCGATATCTCCCCGATACCTTTCCTTTTGGCAAGCACTTCACTCTCGAAAAAAAGCTTAGACTAACTTTTGACAGAACTTGCATAGTAATATTAATAGGCCCTCGGCGCGATCAGCCCAAGCTAATGAAGATGCCGAAGCCATGCGGCAAACTGTCCATAACAGGACGGAACGCAATTTTCGGCTACCGCCTTGGGCAAATAATGCGCTTTCGAAAAGCAACAGCCAGACCCCATAAAAGAAAATGGATATAAGGCATTGCGGATTGCAAAGCAATTTCTATTTCGTGTTTGCGGCATAGTGCGGCGCAGTGCGGCGTTGGGAGCGGCCTTTTTAACGGGAAAAAAATTGGCCACACTCGTTTTCTGATTAATTTTTCTTTTTCTTTTCAGTTTCATGTCAATGTAGCAAGATACCCCCAACTACAAACATAGGAGGAGATGTGTGAGTGGCGTTTCGCAGAAAAAAAAAATCATTTCAGTGACAAAAAAAAAAGCCTAAGAGACAGTTGATTTTAACAGAATCGTTTCGAAAAATTGATTTTAATAGAGTCGTTTCGAAATAAGCGGCATGAATTGAGTTGAAATCCCGTAGCGTATACTTTGTAAGGATTGTACTACTTTGTAGCAGCCAAGGCGCCGAGTGATTTTTCTAGTGGTCTAGAGCGTCTAGAGCCACCAAAAATCAGTCCATAAACTGACGCGCTGAGTCAATGCCGTAACAGGACGACGATCGGCTTTAGTCTTGTGCTGAGGTAGCATCGACAATTGGCGACTTAGTAGAATCTACTAATGCTGTTTCCATTCATGAAGCTAGCAAATGTTCATCTGCCGTGCTGCATGTAAGCGAGTAACTGCATTACGTTGTGTCAAGACACATGTACCAAGTATTATTCTTGACGTTGCTTGGCGTCGCTCTTATTAAGCTAGCTGCCATCGAAGGCGTATTGCTATACGCCATTACTAAGGGACGAATTCGGCAACATATGCCGGATAATTAAGCGGTCTGCATATGACAGGGACAGTAAAGGGAATACGCGGAAGCAATAAAGTGATACGCAGTTCCCCAAATCGATAATCATCGCCATTGCCGATTTATGTGCGTACCATGTTATTTGGTGTGCACGTCATCCTCAGGTTCTCTTATTTATTATGGTGTATTTTTCGTAATATGGTTGGTATGGGACAATGTTGGCTCTGTGAGTTGAATAAGTATAATAGCCTAAACGTTACTTGAGTCTCTATTCCGAAGCAGTCAACTAGGTATTACTATTATGTCCTGAAACAAGTAAGTCCGCAGGATGAATGCCACCTGTGGATTGAACCGCATGCAACAAATGTTTAGAATGAGTAGAGAGTTTAAAAATTCAGCCTCTTGGCTTACAAGTATCAAAAATTGAAATATGCCCAACTTTAATTACCTTTGTGGTTTCTGTTTGGCACTTATTACTACATGCATGCCGCGGCTGGATCGTGTGTTGGGTGACGGACACAAGGACAGTCTGTTGGCCCCTCCAAGCAGCTGGAGTGACATCGCCCTTGCTTGAGATCGAATCCACTGCGATCCAATCAGAAACGAGATGGAACGTTCCAGCCGCACCGTGATCTGACAGGCTGACTGCGCGCGCATCTGCAGGTGCTACTGTATGTACTGTATTGTAAAATCCGCAGAGAGCTGAGCAGCCGGGCAAATAGACGACCGACAAAATACCCTCGCCCGCCAGGCTCGACTCGGCGCGAAACCAGGGCGGACATCGGCGCCACGAACATGCCTTCTTCTGGGCTTCTCTTTGCTTTCCATGGATACGATGCCGCGCATGGGTCCCGGATAATTGCCTAGTTGCGCGCCCAGCGAATGGGGACGTGAACAATTCGCTTCAGTCAGCAAAAACGAACGATGGCCGCTCCGAAGCCGCGGCGGCCGGGATTCACTCGGGAACTGAATTGTGGGGCCTCCGTTGGGCGGGCGCTGAGTCAAAAAAAGTGTCTCCAGTCTCAGCTGCGCCCGAGTATATCTGGAGCCGTGGTCCCCGAAACATTGGTCTCAGCCTTTGATTCTCTACTTTCATCATTTCTTCTTGTTAATTTGAATTGGCCCATTGAGAATTGGACATCAATTCTTGTGGACTTTTCTGGAACAAATTTCACTCTGCCGAGGCTCTGTAGTGCACAGGACTAAAAAAGGCTTCCCCGGAAGTTTTTTTGGTGGCTGGAACTTTTATTCCTCCGCTTAGCTCGTCTCACTAACTTGACTAATAAACCACCACGACCCTTTTTTTCTTCTTCTCTCCATCTCTCTCTTCACTGTTGCCACTTGTCGTCAGCAACATTGAACCTCTGCTCCAACGCAATATCCACTCGATTGTCACCACACAGGGCTGATTGAACCTCTCCGCCATGGACAGCGTTCTGCGTCAATCCAAGGCCATGTGCCCGTTCCTCAAGTCGGCCTCGCCCGCCACTCTGCGGGCCATGTCGACGGCCACCCGCCCCAGCCCGCGAGCCTCGCCCTGCGGCGGCACCATGTCCAAGCTGCAGCTGTATGCGCACCGCTGCCCCGTCATGGGCAAGGCCATGGCCGTGCAGTCGTCCAAGTATGGCGCTGCGGCCGGCATTCGTGCTTTCTCGGCGCCGTCCCGCACGGACAAGGCTCGGATTCACACGAGCCGTAACCAGGAGGCTCGCGCTGTGGAGAGCCCGATTCTGGAAGGACGAAAGAACGGTATGTGTAATTGCCATGATATGTACATGATATATGCACGATATATACGATATAAATGGGTGTATATGCAATATACATGTTCCTTTTGCTGACGTCTATGCCTCGGCTGTAGTTCCGCCTCCTCCTCCTCCTACCACGGTGACTCCTCGCAAGGATGTGCCGCCTGTTGTCGCGTCCGCCTTCACCTCGGCCGGCAAGTTTGCTTATGAGGACTTTTACCAGGCAGAGCTGGATAAGAAACACAAGGACAAGTCTTACCGTTATTTCAACAACATCAACCGTCTCGCCAAGGAATTCCCAGTGGCGCACATGGCCGACAAAAAGGACAAGGTGACCGTCTGGTGCGCCAACGACTATCTCGGCATGGGCGGTAACCAGCATGTGCTCGATACCATGCACCAGGCATTGGAGGAGTATGGTGCTGGTGCGGGAGGCACGAGAAACATTTCCGGACATAACAAGCACGCAGTTGAGCTGGAGGCGACTCTGGCCAAGCTCCACGCCACAGAGTCTGCCTTGATGTTCAGCTCATGCTACGTTGCCAACGACGCTACCCTGGCCACCCTCGGCAGCAAACTGCCAGAGTGTGTTATCCTATCAGATAGCTTGAACCACGCTTCCATGATCCAGGGCATACGCCACTCGGGAACAAAGAAGATTGTCTTTAAGCATAACGACGTAGCGGATCTGGAGGCCAAGCTGGCGTCCCTACCCCTGCATGTGCCCAAGATCATCGCCTTCGAGTCTGTTTACAGCATGTGCGGTTCCATTGGACCCATTGAGGAGATTTGCGACTTGGCGGAGAAGTACGGAGCCATTACCTTTTTGGACGAGGTCCACGCCGTCGGCATGTACGGCCCATCCGGCGCTGGTGTTGCCGAGCATCTGGACTGGGAAGCACATGCCGCTGGCAGACCCCGCGGAACCATCATGGATCGCATTGACATCTTCACCGGTACACTTGCCAAGGCTTACGGAACCGTCGGCGGTTACATTGCGGGCAGTGCCAAATTCGTCGACATGATTCGCTCGCTCGCTCCCGGCTTCATCTTCACCTCCACCCTGCCCCCGGCAACCATGGCCGGAGCCAGGGCTTCTATCGAGTACCAGATGGCTTATGATGGCGACCGTCGTCTGCAGCAGCTTCACACCCGCGCCGTCAAGGAAGAGCTCAACGCTCGCGACATCCCCGTCATCCCTAACCCGTCTCACATTGTCCCCATCTTGGTCGGCAACGCTGCCCTGGCCAAGGAGGCTTCGGATCTGCTCCTGAGGGATTACAAGATCTACGTCCAGGCCATCAACTACCCCACCGTCCCCGTTGGCCAGGAGCGTCTCCGTGTCACTCCCACCCCGGGCCACAACAAGGAACTCCGAGAGGAGCTCGTGAACGCCCTTGACGAGATCTGGACTCGCCTGGACATCAAGCGCACTTCGCAATGGGCTGCCGAGGGCGGCTTCATTGGCGTCGGCGTCGAGGGCAACGAGCCCGAGCCCCTGTGGACTGATAAGCTGCTGGGCATCGAGCAGGCCACGCAAGAGGTCAAGGCCGCCGGTGTTGGTCCCAACGGCATCACCGAGGCTCTGCTCGCCCGCGAAGCAAGCAACGCCAGCCGCGCTATGGACGTGTCGGCATAAATTGACTGAAGCGCCATTGTGTGCGATGAGTCGCGCGGCGGCTTGCTTTTGTTGGCCGGCTGCAAATCAAGTTCACTTCTAAATAGCCTACTTTTTGATAAGTCTTTTTTTCTTTTAAACAAGAACCACCTACTGCAGCTAAAGCTGCCAAAAGAAAAGTCGGGGTTTTGAATCAATACAAACCAATCCTTCCTTGGTGTCTGACAAGATGCCGCCTATAAATACCTAGAGTGCCTCTCTCTCTCCCCTGCTTATATGCCGTGATGTGATATGACATGATTTCTCGGCAGCAGTAGTATCTTGGTAACTGCCTCCGCTGTCTAAGCTTAACATTTGAGTTTTGTTAGTGTCCATCTGACAAGTCCCCTCCTGCATATTCCTTTAATCAAATGCTACTGCGATGGATGCCCTGTAAGACAGACGCCCACTCTTAAAAGCGCGCCACTTCTGCAGGCATCGTTCCATGGCATCCTGATCCCGCAATTCAGCATGTAGGATTCGGCATCCCGGCCGTCTTTTTTTTCTCCGGAGATATCTCGCAGCGACCTCGTCCCCACGGCTTCATCCCTAATCCGGCCTAGTGCACCATGTGAGCCTATCGGAGCTGGAAAAACATCCCGGAAGCGACGACGTTCAATCCCAGCTCCACAAGGCCAGCTCCAGACGGACAGCCGGCGCAATATCGTGTCCGATCCTCCCAAACCGTGGCTTCGTGGGACGGACTGTCTTTTACACGGCAGCGAATCCCGAATCGTCGAGAGAATCTTCTCTTCTTCTCTCTGCCTTCCTCTACTCTTATGACGCGTTGCTGATTGGGTGACTGGTTGCCTGTTTTGAATCCCTCTTCCATCCTGTGTACTAATTCCCTCCCGCCGTCTCATCCTCTCTCTATTCCATCTTTCTTCCCTCTCGTGATACCAACGGAGTACAGTCTCGCCGTATCTCACTTATAGACTGTCGGCGTCGGGAAATCGTAAAAGAAAAAAAAAAGGTCTTACCTTACCCAAATACCCATACGCTCTGCATTACATACACACACATTCACACATTCACACCTCGGCATCCACCCCGATACGTACGACAAGGGAAACTCTGCATGCGCGAGACGGCCTCATATTTGTACCATCGACCCCCAAGACCGGCCTCCAAACGCCCACCCCGGCGGCCATGGAACCCACCAGTAAAGGTCCCAAGGCCTGCACTACATGCGCAAAGGCCAAAGCACGGTGCATACCCGGCCCGGACAAGGACAGCAAGTGTGAAAGGTATGGATCTGTGATATCCCTCTTACTTCTTATGGTTTGCCCGTGCCGTGCGGCCTGTGTTTGCTCCGGGCCGAAATCCCGGGAGGTGCGTGGGGGCAGCGGATTCGATATCGCTGCTCCCTCGGTTCGGAGCCAAGTGACTCTCTCTCTCTTTACTTCGGCCTGCTATTCGTCTCTTCATCTCTCATGTCTCTTCCTTCTCTCCCCCTTCCGGCTAGCTGCCCTGCTCTGTCTTAGACTGGTTGTCTGTTTCGACTCATCATACTCATGTGCTTGTCTATTATAGATGCCAGAGACTGAAGAGAGAATGTGTCTCACAGCGGCCTGCTCCGCCTCGGGCCAAGAAGCCGCCCAAGAGGTCTCGCGTTGCCGAGCTGGAGAAGAGGCTGGATGAGCTGTCGTCTCAGTTTGTCGATGGGGCTGCCGCTGCCGCCGCCATAAATCCCATATCAAGCCAGCAGTCAGGAGACTCACAGTCGATATCAGCCTCATCGGCGAACCACCTATCGGCCACTGAACGCCCCAGACCGTGCCAGCAGCAACAGCAGCAGCAGCGACGACAGAAAACCAATTGTGATAGCATCGTCAACTTTGAGTACCTATTTCCATCGCCGCGGTCGGAGAGCGCCGAAGTCTCGGGATGGACCTCGGAAGTCGGCAGCAATGACTGCGTTGCGGCGGCGGCCGAGTTATGGCCCACAGAAGCCGAAGCCGAGACGCTGCTGCTACAATACCATGAGATTCATGCGCCTCTGGCACCCTTTGTGATTGTGCCGAAGCATCTCATGGCGGCGGACTTGCATCGACAGAGGCCGTTCCTATGGAGGGTGGTGATGATGATTAGCTGCTTCGTCGATGGGCCGCGGCAACATCGCATGGGCAAAGAGGTGCTGGCCGAACTAGGGAAAATGTCCGTGCTGGATAGCACGAGAAATCTTGAGACATTACAGGGACTGTTGCTGACCATAAGCTGGTGAGTAGACTGTTTATTTACTAGCTATACGCTCACTTGCTTGAAAGTTTGATGATAGTATGCTAATCGTTTATTCTTAGGCTGAATTTTTCTTTAAAGAGTGCGCAGCTGACCAACTTACTGTTCCTTGCGAGATCTATGAGTCTAAGCTCGGGTGGCTTTGGAATCTCATATGGCGCCGGTGGCGGGAACACCAGAGACGAGGTCAAGTGGGGAGAGCTGGAACACGCACGAGCATACCTGGGGACATATTATCTCAACGCCATGTAAGTCAGAGCTCGCTCCGAAGAGCTATCGTCTCCTCATTTGGTATGATCTTTTCTAACGTTGATTGGCTCAAATAGTGTCTTCAACGCGAATAAAAAGGTGGATGCCTTTATGAATACTTCACAGCTCGATAACTATTGTAATCTCCTCACCTCGCCAGGGGAGTATCATTCCGACCTGTACCTGGCTAGGCTTATCAAAATTCAAATGCTGTCGCAGTCGATCTCCATGGCGATGATGTTTGACCCTGCGCAACAGCAGCAACCGATGCAGCTGCCCCTAACAATGGTGATTCAGACTTTTCAGGAGCAGATTGATGCATATCGAGCGTCTTTACCGCCGCATCTTGTAGATAACAGCAAGTTTCCCCTTGTTTCATTTCTTCCATCCGAGCTGTTCATTACTATTGGCCTCCATCACCTCAAATCCAGACATGGCTGACCTATTCCACAGGCACTATCCGATGCCATGTGGCCATATCAGAAATTCTCCTCGCCGATATGGCAATCTCCGATGCCCATTGCTCCTCTACATCCCTTCCTCACAGTGACCGAATCCACCTCCTCTGGTCTTGTCTCCACGCTCTGCGCCGCTTCTACGGCGTCGCTTCACTCAAATGCTGCGATATCACCGATCGTGAACAGCGCAACTTCCTAGGCATCAATGCCTCGGACCTTGCTTACGCAATCATTACAGGCATCAAACTCCTCCTTGTGCGGATCCCCGATTGGGATCCTCGATATATTGTTACCGAGCTGGGAATCCGGGAAATGCTGGATAAGGAGATTGAGGATGTCGGTCAGATTGTGGCGCGGAGAAAGAGTGATCGCTGGCCTGAGGAGGACCCAATGGATCGGATGCATAAGCTGTTAATGTATGGGAGAGATCTGGTGAACATGCAGCTACAGCAAGTGGCGGCAGAGATGGAGGCGGGAAGCGCTACCATATCTTCCTCCACACCAGCAACGGTGAATAAAGGAGAGAATGCCCAGGGGTGGGTGATGGCAGGCATGGAAGACCTGGACGACGATCTGTGGCAGAACTTTATGAATGACACGGTGTGGAACTTGAACGGAGAGTCGATGGTGATGGATTCTTTTTAATATGCGAGGTTGAGGCGGCGTTTTGTGGCGCGGAGCTGATTTAGGTTGTGTAAAATTCAAGCAACCAGGTTCATTCAAGGTTTTTTTTTTCTTCTTCGTTATATGGATGGATGGTAGATCCTAGGCCGGGCAAATGGGTGTTTGGACATGGCGCGCGTCAAAGCTAACCTTCGAGTTTAGCATTCTTGTATTTATGTATTTAGAACAGCATGGAATAAGTAATATGATATCATTCTCTTCTCCCATTCACCTTTTATGAAATCCCTAGTTCCTATCCCCCCTTTTCCCTTTTCCCTTTTCCCTTTTCCCTTTTCCTTTTTTCTTTGCTTCTTTATTTCTTTTGCAATCGCTTTGATACAATCACGCACTCTCTTCCTCCACCACCTCCAGAGCCTCAATCTTGGCCTTTGCCAACCACGCAACATTCCCCCCAGCAGTCTCCTTCCGAACCGCACTCAACTCATCTATAAACGCCGGCACAAACGTCCCCGGCCCGCGAACATCATCCCTCACCGCCGCCCTCTCGGCCGCTATCTCAAACAGCACCAGGCCCGCCAGCGCCGCAACCAGCACATCGCTCCGGAACGCCGCAACCATGGCGCTCACCGTCGTGCCCAGCGTGCACCCCGTGCCCGTAACCTGGCCGAGGAACTCATGGCCGTTGTCTACACGGAAAGTGCGGGATCCGTCGCTGACGACGTCCGTCTTGCCGGTGAGGATGACGACGGCGCCGGTGCGGCGGGCGAGGGCCCTGGCGAGGGTGGCGCGCTGGGGGATAGTCAGGGAGGAGGACGAGTCGACGCCACGCTGGGTGACGGATGAGCCGTAGACGGTTTGGATCTCGCGCTCGTTGCCTTTGATGACGGTGAAGTGGCCAGAGGAGAGGAGGGTCTTGACGGCGTTGCGGCGGATGGCGGTTGCGCCAGCGCTGGAAAAGAATGTTTGTTAGCACCAGTGTATGATTTGCTCTAAGTAAGGACAAGAGTATGTCACATCGGAAGTAATTATTGTTTACGTGTGTGAAAATAAAGGGGGGGTGAGAGGAGGACGAAATAGGGGGGAGAAAGAAAGGTTTGAGGCTTACCCAACAGGATCATATACAACGGGTCCCCCAGCGGCATTGTACGCTTGCAGTGCTTGCACATGGTTTCTCAGCCCTTCTGGTGTCACTGTTCCCATGTTGATGACGAGAGCGCCTCCCAGCTTGGCCAGATCGGCAGCCTCTTCGGCGTAGTTGGCCATGATGGGACTGGCACCCACCGCAAGAGCAACATTGGCAGCAAAGTTTTGCACAACCTAGCAATGTATTATCAGCCCATCCGCTCAATCTTAATAAAAAAAATTCACTAATCCTTTCTTTCTTTTTTTTTCTTTCGCGGAAACTCACCAAGTTCGTCATATTATGCGACAGCGGCGTCCCAGCCGCCACCCCCTTGACAACATCCGGAACCCTCCCCATGGTAACATTCGTCAGCAGAACCCTCGCCGCAGCCGCGGGGTCCTCGGCCGCCACCAGCGCGCTCACCACGGCGATGCCGTCGAGGCTCTTGGCCGGAGCGGCGCTGGACTCGACCAGCACGGCCGTGGCGTTGGAGCTGTTGATGCCGCCGATGCAGACGGTCGGGATGGAGGCGTGGCCGGCGGAGGAGAGGGCCTGCAGGATGGAGCGGATGCCGGCGGTGCCGATGATGGATTTTGTGTCCTTTTTGCTATTAAAAATGTTTGAGTGTTTGAATATATATATATACATACAAGAAGGGCAGAAAGGGGAGAGAGAGAGACTCACGTTTGCGTGGCGTAGACGGTGCCCAGGCCGAGATAGTCGGCGCCGGCCTCACATGCCTTGATGGCTTCTTCGATGGAACTGGCTGTTACGCCAATGATTTTGTCTGGGCCGAGCAGTTTTCGGGCCTCTTCGTATGCTGTATATCATTGCCATCAGCCGATATGATTGGTTGCTTTGCTCTCTTTTTTTTTACCAGCACTGTGTCATCGTCCCAATCTCCATGTTTATATATCAACCAAACCAGGCAAAACAAGCCGATTTGAGTCATGGCAAACAAATAAAGACACCATATCCTCCCTCTTCAAAAGAGTAAAGAAGAAAAAATAAAAAAAAATAAAAATAAAACACTCACCCATATCATCCTGCCCAATATGCACTCCCTCACAACCAACCTCAACCGCCACATCCACCCGGTCATTCACCAGCAACGGCACGCCGTACCGCCGCGTCACCTCCAGCAGCGCCCTCGCCGTCTTCACCGCCGTCTCGCGGTCGCTGTGCTTGTCGCGATACTGCACAATCGAGGCGCCGCCCCGCACGGCCGCCTCGACGACTTTGGTGAGGTCTTTGTTGCCCAGGATGGCGGGCGTGGAGTCTGTGACGAGGTATACGCCGTAGTTTACCTTTTTCTTGTCCATTGTTGTTTGCTGGTTTCAATAACTCTCTGTTGTTGTTCTTTTTTGCGATATGCTGGATTTTTTGAAAAGAAGGCAAGGTGGCGTAGAGTATCATGTGAGATGATTGGTGCTCATGTGAAAATTGTTGAGATTTGCGAGGCTCAAGGGCGCAGGTTCGATACCCGGGACGCGGCTATGATCGGACCCATATCAGCTCCATGAGCTTCTCATGGCGTCATATCAAAGCAGCTCACCAAACGCCAAATGAGCAAATAAATGGAGAAATAGAAATCAAGAAGCGCACATGGTCGAGTAATTTTTATTCATTCAATGCAAATTAAATGCTTCAAGAGGCCTCTACTAGTTGTGAGCTAGCCGTGTTCTCAATACTCGAAGCTCATTCACTCATCATAACAATGCTACCAACTCGTAGAAAATCTCATAGCCCAAACATCACAATTTCTAATTTCTACATCATCTCGGTTGTATACAAATATGTCCTGTATATTGCGTCAAATCCTGACTTGAAATCTACCATTTTATACAATTAAACCACAACACCGTATAAACTCATGTAATGACTTTTTCCCTTCTTCCTCTCTCTCTCTTCCCCCCCAGCCAATCAAGACATTATTATAGCTCTACAATACCCATATTTATTGCAGCATGGAATCCAAACTTTCGCCGAGCACACCCTCAATCTTGACAATCCATCTATGTGTCTCTCTTTCAACCACCTCATCATCATCCTCTTGCAGCTCGCTAATTCGAGGAAGCATCTCGTGAAGCATCGCAAGCCACTCCTCGCCCAATCGGTCCGTCAGTGCCTGTTCGCACTTCACAGCCGCCAGTCGTACCGCCGCCTTCTCCGATCGGAGATGCTTAAGCAGAGCAGAGTTCAACTCCTTCTGGTGGGCCTGAGAGTCGGCCGCTGCTGCAAGCTCGACTGTGGTAGGGATCAGGGCTTCGTTGACGTCGACGATCGTTGCGTGGGTATACTGCTCCATCAACACAGGAGCAATTGCTCCAAAGTGTGCTGGCGCCTGCCAGAAGTCGTCCTGGTCATGCTCAAAGCACTTGGCCAGAGTGTTGAGCACACGGTTCCAAAGCTGCCGCTCACTGCTAGCCTTGGGGTCGATGGCGCTGAGAATCTTAACGGCATCCTCCAAGACGTACGTGGCGTAGTTGGTCACGATGGACTTGAGATTGTCGAAGAATGACTGCAGGAATCCATACACGCTGTAGCGTCTGTTTGACAAGCCGACGCTGTCTCCTTTAAGGCCTGTGCTTGACCATTCGATGAGCTGCACAAATACAGGCCGGAATGTGGCGTCGTTGAGCTTGTAAATCATCTTCAGGACCTTTTCATTCACTGAGCTTTCCAGCTGAGTCAGGCGAGCCAAAACTGCGTCGCCAGTCTCGCCATCAGCAACAATTAGTCGTCGCAAGTCAAATACCTTCAGCAAGATGCTGGACAGGACTCCGACATTCTTAGTAATGGCGGATTTGGAATGCTTGTCGATGGCCATTCCCAGAGTCTTGACGTATTCAGACATAGCCTATGATTATTCATGTTAGCTTTTTTTCCTCTTTCAAATATCTAATTGTACGAGTTTCTTACCGAAAAGCCGTTGGATCTTGCGCTCTCCCAGTTAAGATCCAAGCTAGTGAACATCTCCTTCGCCTCAAGCTTCTTCGCAAGAAATTCGAGACAGCTCTCACGAGCTTCGTTAGTGTCATCATCAAGGTTGGCGTTTGCCGATTTATTGGACACCTCCAAGATTTGGCTGATGTAAGTAGAAAGCATATAAGGCAGATGCTCAGCCAGAGCACTAATGAATCCGTAACCAGCTGAATGAAGTTCCAAGTCCTGTGAATCCTCTTGCAGGCTCAAGTTGAGATAGGCGATGGCCTGAGGAATCGCAATGGGGAGCACCGGCACAATAGCGTCTTGCAACACATCGACGAGAGACGTGAGGCACAACAGAGCCATGATGCGGAGCTGCTTTTCGTCTTGGCCAAGGCAGTGCTCGCCGGCGATTGTGGATGCAGCCGCAACCACAGCCTCGATGTCTTTCTTGCCATACTTCTCTGCAATCTTGTCGACGCAAGTAACTGCTGTGTGCTTGTATCGAATATCGCTCGACTCCCGGATTGCGGCCGTGAGCTGTGGCAGGAAGGTAAGTAAAGCTGTTCTTGATGCTGCGTCTGTGTTGCTCTCTGAGCCCACGCGGAGCTCCAGAGCGCGAAGGACCTTTTGACGCAAGTCAAGGCTGGGTCGATCGAGCAAGCTTTCCACAGCTTTGATGAACTCGCCGATTGAAAGCAGGTTAAGCAAGTTGGCCAGTGCGTTTCCGCATCGGTTGTGCAGGCTCTTGTTCGACTTGACAGTGTCTGCCAGTACAAGCACATCTTCAAGAAGAGTTGCGTAAAGTTGGCGGACCTCTGACGTCTCCATGTCATCTCTATCGACAAGCTGGCTGATCTGAGCCTTGAGCTTTCTGTTTGCCAAAAGACTTGGCAGCACAGAAAGCTGGCGAAGAGCAATCTTCTCAACATCCTTGTCTTCCTCCTCATCACTGCTACCAAGTAGCACAAGCGATAGAGTAGGCTTGGGCTTGAAAAGGTCTGAAGTCAGGTCGAGCAGCTTGACCAAGGTCTCTAGCTGAATTTCGACGCTGAAATCGTTAAGGAGATCCAGAACGAATTGGAGCAAATCGTCGTTCAGCTCATATCGATCGACCAGCATGCTTACTAGCGTAAACAAGAACTCTTTGGGTCCCATAGTCTCAACCAACGCGACGAACAGGCCGTGTCGTCGGTGCACTGGGATATGCTCGTATGCCGTCGTAAAGCTAACAAGGATGTCTGAAGCTCCGGCAACAGGGCTCTTCTGGCCCTGTCGTAGAGACTCAATCAACGGAGGTACGACTTCCTTGATCGTCTGTGCCACCACGTGGGCGGAATAGTCATCACTCTGGCGGAGTACGGATGTGCCCATAAACGTGAAAATAGGCATAACACTGTGTAGAACCAGGTGCGGCGCAATTGTTGCCAAATTTGCGACCAGTAGTAAAGCAGCATTCTGGACTACGGGGCTTGATGACTTCTGGATGCAGCTAACAAGCAGGTCTCCATAACCTCCAGAGCTGTCTACCTTGAGATTCTTATTTGTCTTGTATGCTGGCATCATGGCAAGAAGACTGCGCAAGATCAAATTCTGCAGGTAGCCCAGTTCTGAGCCAACAACGGTTCTGAAGTGCTGAAGCTCCGACAACGCCGTGAATAGACCGTCGAGAAGTTCGGGGTGGGACACAGGATCCGAGCTGTCGACGATTTGCAGAACAAAGGTAACCTTGCGCAGCGCACGACTCAGCTCGGGGGTAACCTGAGTGTTCAGACCCCGGTTGGCATCAGCAGCGCTGGTTCTTCTCCGCTTATTAGGAGGAGGCTCAGTAATCATCTTGGTGCCGGTTTGGATCGAGTCTAGGAAGAAAGATAAGATATCCGTTGTCAGGGGCACAGACCTGAGAAGATCTGCAGCCTCGGCCGGGATAATAGAGTCAGTGTTACCGGCAGCAGCCTCTGGGTCTTGTGAAAGTTCCAGGAATTGCTCTGCCACCATGAATTTCATCTCAGCCTTCATCAAAGTCCACATCTTCTTGACGCGAGAGAAGGCTGCTCGAATGAGGCCTGGTCTTTCACCATTTGTAGAGTCTGCATCCTTTAGTAGCTTGAACACAAACTCGAGTCCAGTGGCGTCGTTGGGAACAATGATGTCAATGAACTGGGAGTCCAGAACAGATTTATCAAGCTGCTGTGAGGTACAAATATCTGTAGCTTCGGTTTCCGTCAAGTCAGCCCAGGACTGCAGAGCCGGTAAGAGAAGCTGTGTTCGTGTCGCGTTGGACACGCCGCGGATTTCATTCAGTGATTTGAGCAGTCTACTCTTTACAAGTGTCAACGGGGTTGAGACAATGTGAGAGGCAAAGAACGTCAACAACGCTAGCCTGCCAGCTTGAGATAGATGATCCTTCTTGTCCAGCGACGGCTCAGGAGCAATTTGGTACTTTCCGCTCTCGATAGCTGACTTGAGAATGGCAGAAATGTGATCCGCATCCATGACACACTCCTCAACTGCCGGTAAGAGCTGGAGCTGGAGAAATTTACAAGCAACGTCTATGCTTAGAGCGGCAACGTCCTTGGACTTGGCCTTTCCGTAGAGAGACTCAGCTCCCCATGCCTTTACTGCCTTGGCAAAGGGAGGCGCGTAAAGCCCGGCGGTTACTGTAATTAGATCTGCCGCTGCCCGGCGCACTCGTTTGGAAGGGTCGCCGAGAGCAACAACGCAGTAGGGGATAAGAGCTTGGACATCCACCTCGGACACGCTTGCAGCCTTGAGGCTGTCCTTGGCCATATCCAATGCTGCAGCTCGAGCCAGGGCTGGATACAGACCGCACCAAATGCGAATAAAGAAACTGAAATATGTGCAGTCTTTGAACGCTGACTCTCGCTTGAGCTTGGAGAAATGGTCTAGCTGCTGAAGAAGCTCCTGCTTCCGCCCGGTTTGGTCGGAGACGATGGAGACGAATACATCGCTGAGGCTGCCAAAGATTTCGCCAACTTCTGGGAAAAGAGATGAGGAGAGGGATGAGGAGCTGTTAGCCAACTCTTCAAGACCTGCTTCAGGGTTCTGTGCCTGTTGAGCTTGAGCAGCATCCTCAGCCTCGGTACCGTCCTTTGCATATTCGGGCAGCTTCCTCGTGCGGAATACGAGGTCCAGCTTCATTTCTAGCTCTTCAATATCGAATTTGACCTCTTCAATGACGGATTGAATGATATCTCCAGCTGTTCCGGTAGTGTGTGATAAAGCAATCAGGGTAGATCCCACTTCCCGCCGAAGAGAGCCATCTTTGTCGTTTTCATCGTTGAGTTCGTGAGCCGTCAGGAGCAGAGACTTGAATATGACAGAAATCTGCTTATCCTTTAATATCTGGTTGCCTAAGATTGTGGTAATTGTCGAAAGGCCACGAGAATCGCCCTTCTTTACTAGTCTTTCAACGAGAGCCAAGCACAGCCCGTTTGCTAGCTTGTCCACGCGACGCTCCCGTCCAATTTCGACAAGAAGGGTGCCAATATCCTGAACCTTCATCAATGCCTTGGTGACCTTGCTGCTCATTTGCTTGGCGGATCGGAACTGGGCCAAGATCGTCAAGCATACAAGACCTGGCCGAACAGTCTCGCTGGTCCAGCCGTGAACCAGCTGCTGCATTAACGCTGTAACAGCATTATCGTGCAAATCACCCTTGGAAACAAAGACAGTTGTGGCCATGTAGGAGGCGATTTGAAGGCTGGGGACCTTCTTCATGACGAGCGCTTCGGCGAAGACGGGGCCCAGTCTATGTAATAGTGCTTGGCTGTTGTCGCTCTGTACCGTAGCTCGACCAGACTTGGTGCGATCTAGTATTCCGCTTACAGCTTCGGTTACGAGTCCGCCCCAGAATGTGATGAGAGCCGGATACTGGTATCCTTTCCGGCATGACTCGAGGGTGTATTCAGAAACAGCAGTTAGGAAATCGACGTGGTGAACGGCTTGGTGAACGAAGACTGATCGAGGAGGAGGCGTAAGAGATCGGATATACGGATCGAGGAATCGGAATTCGCTAGGAATTTTGGAGGGTAGAATGGATAGAAGGGTAGCGAATGCGGTAATGGAGTGGTATGGTAAAAAGGTCATGAGCAGAATTGACGTATTCTCTACATGAATGCTGCATGGGTAGACAAGTTAGCTAATCCACATACAACTCTTTCTTGAGATTGCATAAGGTTCTTCTTTGGAGATTTTACGCACGAGAATCGTCTAATCAGCCACTCAACAGCCTTGATTGCGGGCATCAGCCTCAGACGGCTTCCCACAAGTCTGAGGAAGGCCTCGATGTGTCGATCGAGCTCCTCATTTTCAGCAATTGTGAGCTGATTTCGGTCTTGGTTTTGGCTCTGTTCGCTGAAAATGGTTGATTCAAAGACAGCAAACCGGCCATCGAGCTGGCAAAGCTCTTCAAAGCCCTGGTGGCATGTCGCATACAGAGTTTGATAGCTCTGAGCCGCTGCGACTCGGGGTTCCCAGATCAGAGATTTGGAGTGGGAAGCCCTTTGCGCTTTGATATCCAAACTCGATTTCGAGTTTGCGGCAACCTGCGCCAGCTGCGCAGCAAGCGAGGTCGCCATTATGTCGAGAGTTGAGGCTCCAGGTCGAAAAATGGGCTTGATGTAAAAGAATTCAGGAACGCGGCTATGTTCACTATGGCGCCTTGAAGCCTACTGTGAACTTTTTTTTTTCAGACTTCACAGTTTAGCGGAGACTTGCCGATTATTTCTTATCGATAACAAGGCGCTAGTCTGTGGGGCCATTTATCTTAGCCAATCACGTGATGTCTTTGTTTGCTCTCTGCTTGATGACAGAGGTTCGGTGTCGTGGGATAGTAACTCGAAGAGGCATTTCTGCCTGCCTGCCAGGTAGGTATATCAGTGCCTTGCCCATTTGCTGCGATAACATGCTGTATATATCATGTATTTTATTTGGTGGATTTCTTCAATTTTTAGCGCCTATTCTTAAGTGTTATTTGATGAGACTATCAACTGACACCTCTATAGGGCGTAAGACAATATGGCGTATGATGTTGCTTGGGTTCTTATAAATGGCAATTTTTCTCTTGAAGTCAAGATTTCTAAAACCGGTCTTTTCATTCGAACTTTGAAAGAGGAATCGTAGGATGAAGAACGTTTCACTACATGAGTCCTCAGCCAATAGACCTGGAAGGCCCCCAAACTAGCTAAAGGGTACCTATCTACCGTGAACCATTCGGCGTAAATTCCGGCTAGAAGTGGGGGAGAAGATCGTGGGCAGCTACATACATATATACTACTACATGCATCATTGCAAAACCGAACTCGGAAGATCAGCATCCGGTGCTTTGCATGTAGTATCATTTAAATCCCCCGTTTGCGGACCAATACCACCACATCTACAGAATACAAGTTTCCAAAAAGAGGCCCCAAGAAGAGTTTAAAATGGCTGTAAGTTGAAAAACGATTACAGGCTTACTCTATAAAAAACTCACTCAGTATAGAAACCGTATCCTCAAGTTATTCTTCTGGGGGATTCCCTGTTTGAGTTTGCAGCTCATACTTTGAGCGGCTTCTCATTCCAATCGGCTCTGCAAACACGTAAGTTGCTGAACCGAGCCACTGCAACAGGCATAAAACAAACCGAGCAGAAATTCTAAACAAAGCATTTTGCAGGGCTAATAAGAAGATTCGATGTGGTCAATCGCGGCTTTGCGGGGTGGAACACGACAAATGTCCTCAAGTATGTGCCCGAGATTTTCGCGGAACCATCCGCCTCATCACCAAAGATTGAGTATTTGGTTAGTACAGAATATCTTTGGCGTTTGAATGTTAATTTGTGTATACTGACTACGGAAAAAATTGAAGATGATTCTCTTGGGAGCAAATGACGCCGTTATCGATGGAGCGACCACATCGCAGCATGTTCCCATTGAGACATATAAGGAGAACCTCCACAAGATTATAAATCATCCTCGCATACGGGCTCACAACCCCAAGATTTTGCTAGTTACTCCTCCTCCAGTGGATGAGCTTAAGCTCCAGGTGGTAGACGTGGCTTATGGTCATCCATCAGCGGTCCGATCGTCAGCTATGTCTGCATCATATGCGGACAAAGCTCGGGAGGTAGCCCGCGAGAACCCGGGAGTAGTTCTTATTGACCTCTGGCAAGCAATCATGGGCGAAGCCATTTCCATGTCGCCAGAGGATTACCAACCTGGGGGGCCTTGGCTGGGATCGCCCGAGAATGGGAAGCAAGGAGGGCTGGACAAGCTTCTACCGGATGGACTTCACATGGGTGGACTCGGATACAGAGTGTTTTTCGATGAGATCAAGGCGCATATTGGGCAAGACATCAATCCTGATGACAGGACAGATTACATCGTTCCGGATTGGAGGACTGTTACTCCGCCAAAGGTTGCTCTGCCAAAGGTAAAGCCCTTTCCCCTTGAGTAAGATGGGCTGCTTTAAGAGGCGCATGCGCATATACACATAGACAGATAGACGGCGCCTCAACTGTTATACGGTGGATAGATCAGCTTAGTTAAACGTAATGGGTATATCAGTATCGGCTTATGGCAGCGAGATTTCCTCCGGATAGGGCATCCAATAGTCCCTGTAACCATCTGCTGGAGGAGAACCAAAGGCACATCGGCATCGCAGCCCAGGCAGCACGGAAAATGGAACGCAGACCGCCCTGGCTGCGGGGAAGGGATAGAACCTGAAGCCTCCTTCCAGCAATATTACGGCGCGTTGCCCTGCTCGCTGCTAGCGCTGCCTTGCACTAGGCTGGCTGACTGGTGATGACGCCCTAGTAAACAACATAACACCGAGGCGCTGTATGACATGCTTGTAGCGCTGACCCCAGCTGTCTTCAGAGGCTGCCACGGCCTGTGATTGGCACTTGTGGGGAAGGGCCCAGCGCAACCACTAGGCTTGAGGCGGGCTGGAATCCTCGATTGTGGCGATCGGCCAACCTCGCATCATCACACAGCCGTTGGACCTGAAACTGCCTGCTTGCCCTTCGCAGCCGTTGATTTCCTCGTACGTCTCTCTGCCTTGCCTTGCCTTGTTTGCGCGTCGACGTCGCACTTGCACGGGCCCACCGATCAATAACTGGCGGCCGTTTCCCGCTTCTTGACTCTCTATTTTCTCCTCGTCTTCATCATCGACTCCTCCACCCCAGTCAGCCTTTTTCAACGCCTTCTCTCCCCAGGCTCTCTTCAAACCGCCCACCGACTCGTTCTACGGCTTGCATACTCGGCGCATTCCCAACAGTGTTTATATTCCCCCCGTTTGCGAAATCAACCCATCTGCCACTTATTAAAGGGCACGCCGTCACCGCGACTCCTCCTGCGAAAAGAGGCACCTGCGTCTTACAAATACATGCACTTCCGAACTGCTTAGTATCAGCAACAACAAGCTATATACCTCGTTTTGCACGTCTACGTCTGGCCTCGGACTTACCCAAGCCACGGAATCATATCATATAAGCAGCGTCTGACTCTCCTGTCCTCTAAACAAACACTTCGGCATACGAGACCTTATTTGTGTGGCTAAACCCACAATCTTGGTGCCGCTTCGTGTCCGTGCCGACACAATATCTGCAACGCGACTTCGCCGCTGCTTGAAAACTTCCCGTCTTTCTCGACGTATTGCATACCTGAAAGGCTGAATATTGGTTTTCTTCAGGCCATAACGCACACCCTGCGTTATTGGCTGAGTGACCTGCGGGTCCAGGGCAAGGAGATGTGGTCGGGGATGTGGATTGTGAACTGCCATTGATACTCTGTATGATCAAAAGTCTGGACAAGAGCCACGCCGCATTATACTTCCCAAAGTGAACTCCGAACAAACAACACCCCGGCATTCCCCCCCCCCTTTCTCGTCTTGCCCTTGTGGCTCCAGCCTTGTGCAGTCCTGGCTGAATCTTGACTGCTGTTTCTTTGCGTTGATACCTAAGCTTAATATTTTTCTTTTCCTGCGACCTATTTAATATTCCACTATCGTCTCTCCTAAGGATTCGAACTGATCGAACTTTTTATTCTTGGCTTCATATGCTCCGTTATCACTCCTTCGAGATATCTTCAGACATGGAATCCCGCTTCGGTGTTTCTCGGGAAGAGCTGTACAACCTGCAGATGGAGCTGAAGCAGGTCCAGTATGCCCAAGCCAACTACGCAGAGCGAATTCTTAGGCTAGAGAAGCGTCAAGCAGATGATTCCGCGATAAAGTCCGTGTGGAATTCACCATTTCCGGGAGTCCTAGCTGGAACGCCTCAACATGGTGAGCTGCCTTGCCCTCGCTCTTCGTCGTGTCGAAAACTTGATCCCTCTAACACTAAGCGTTCTCCAGGACCAGTCCAAATCCCCCAAAATGATGTCTTTGACGACTTGGACGAACAGGGAGAGCAGTTGCTCGGCTCTCTACACCTGGGCCCTGCGGAAGAGGAGCCGGTTCGCCGCGGCGGCGCAGCTTCACGGGCAAACAGCGTCCGATTTGATGAAAGTGCTTTGCATGGATCAAGCTGGGCTGCGCAGAACAACCGCCACTCGGGAGACTTTGGCCAAGTCCGACCGGGCACTGGGTTCATGATGGAACGATCACTGTCACACAAGTCAGACGGCAGACATAGTTCGGCGGGGCATTCGGTGCATTCTCATCATTCTGTAGCATCAGGCCGAGCTAGCAGTATCGGCCTCGACACTAACTTTGCCACCGGCGATGAAGATGATGACGATTCTTCCTTTGATATGCCTGGGCTTCCAGCCTCTGTCTATGTGCTAGGGACTGTTCCATCCATTGTTCGTTGTTGGCTCACTACAGATTATGCCCACGGAACGCTACTCTATGCGGATATATGTACGGGGTCGCAAAAGTCTACAATTGAGTATTCGCTTGTCAAAGAGCTAGACCTGCTAAGTGAATTTCAACGCGACGTCAGCGGAGCTTATAAAGCTAGACTAGACGTGTACCTTGCAGAAGCTGTCATTACGCGCCACAGCAGCCGGTCAGATTCTGCCGCGGGATCAGTGCCCTCGATGTCGGTTTGCTTCGAAATGTGCGGTGGTAGTGGTGGCGATCAAGCCAAATCAAAAGCGGTTCGCATATTCATTGGCAGTGATGCCCTGAGAGCGCATGCAGCCGACATCCTCTTCTCTCAGAATACGATGGTACTCTATAGTAATGAGCGAGATCGACTCCGGGTTCCTTTCATTCGCCCTGAAGACGAGGAAGTATTCCGCCACATAACTACCAGTAGTGCTGCGCCGGAACGACCGAAACTGAATGCTAATGCTGCACCGTTCGTCTTTGGGGATAACAATCGAACCGATAGTGAGGAAAAACTAATGCCGACACCGACGACGCCATCAGCAACGACAACAGCTACCCCTACATCCACCACGACGGCGGCCAAAGAGCTGGGAAGCAGTGAAACAAGAAGTCAGGCGTCGCCCGCAACGTCGCACTCCGAGCCATCGGATCGTGTTCGAGCGAATAGTGTTCCCGATTACGAAGAGGGAACAGAAAAATCTACAAGAGATGCCAGTGGCTCTGAGCGTCGGAGAAGAGATGGATCAAGCGCGTCTGAAGCTTCGCGGCGAGAAACGTCCTCAGGCATCTGGGGCTCCTGGCGCAACCCTAATGGCAGCGGAACGGATCAGCGCGAGACTGGGCCTTTGAGCGGATACCAACCCGCACCGCGAGGGCGTAACATGAAAATCCTCAAAGCCCCAAAGTCCAGCTCGTCTTCTGCGCGGACCGGAGCATCGTATGAGCCTCCCATCCCATCCAAATCTGAACTCGGTCGGCGCAAGAGCCAGGTTAGCATGAGCGGCGAGAGCGCCACTGCGGCAGTCAATGCTGGCAGTAAATGGGAGACCAAAAAGCCAGCGCCGACGAGTGAAGGCAAGGGCGAGGCAACAAAGCCCAGCTCGGCTTCTGGTGGTCGGGCGGCTTCGGCTTCGGTGTCGCTGCCAAGGTCGGCGAATAACCCTGTTGGAGTAGCGTCTGCCTTTTCGTGGATGACACCACCGGCAACGGCAAAGTCTACCAAGACCACAACCGCGGCAGATTAATATGCCTAGCATTGAGCCAACTTCCAAAGGGGTGTACACAAGGGGTAACTAATCCTCGGCAGTAGCAGCGCGGGATGCAGATAGTATTAAGCGATTCGATTATGACAAATAGTTGGTCTGCAGTCGCATGCGTACTGCTCTAGCTAGGAATTGAAAAGATGAATGCCCCAATATCATTTATCAGGCCTGTAAAATGCTTTTTATTGATTTCTCCCAAGAATAAAACCGCCCGAGTGAACAAAGTGGAACAAAGTAGTACAAAGTAGAACAAGGTGTTTGAAGTGATTTCCTTTCAGCTCAAATTTATATGCCCAATTCAGATCTTGGAAGGTGGCAGCACACTCAACACCTTGCTGGTTTCGCTCAACTTACTCTTCACCACCGTAAACAGGCCCTTGAACAAGGCATGTGACGCATCGCCCAAGCACTCGTACATCCAGCTCTCGCTCGACGTGACGACGATGCCAGGCTCGCTCCTCAGGCGGTCCAGCGCAATGCCCACCTCGCCCTTGTTGCAGGAGCTCACGCCGTCGGCGATGACATACGGGAAGTGGCCGGCGTCGCGCAGGTCTAGAGCCGTCTGCGTGATGCAAATGTGCGTCTCGATGCCGACGAGGGCGACGCGCGAGCCGGGCGCGAGGCTGGCGGCGATGGAGGGGATGAGCATGGAGAACTTTGTCTTGTCGTGGACTTCGGAGACACCGAGCATGTCGGCGATGGCGGGGACGGTGGCGCCCAGCTTGGCGGCGGTCTGGGTGGTTGCGTAGACGGGGATGGAGAGGTTCTGGGCGTAGGTGAGGAGCTTGACGGTGGTGGTGACGCTTTTTTTTTCTCTTTGGTTAGCAAGCATGATGCGGATTGAGGCTGGGTTCGGTTGGTGGTGATGCTGGATTTTGGTGTTGAGAGGAGGATTTTGATACAAGGAAGGGGTGCCTCGGCTCGGGCTCAAGCTTTTTATTACACTCACATGCTGTCGAATTCATAGATGGCGTTGCGGAACTTGTCTTGCATGTCGCAGACGCTGTTTCATTGGTTGTCAGCCATTGTGATTGATTGATTGATTTTCGGATTTCGTTCCCCGTGGTCAACATAAGATGAATGAGGGGGATCTCATAGCCCCGGTGCCAACTTACAAGATAGCAGGGTTCTCTATAGCAAAGGTAAGCCTCTTGATCGGGAAGAAAGGACCGCAGAAAGCGGTATGAAAACTTACTGAACCGCAGTTCTGTAGGAGCAGCCATTTTGGATGTGATGGGGGGCGTAGAATGCGAGAGAGCGCGGCAGAGAGGACGAGAGAGTCGGGTGTTGGCCGGTGATGAAGGCGGCGAGACGAGGGGGCGACACTTGAGAAGAAGAAGAAATGGCCGTTGCATAAAGAGTTGGACAGAGTCGAGGTAATTGGGATGAGGCGGGAGGTGGATCAACAAGAAGCTTGTCAGAAAGATGCTTCTCTTAATTGAAATGCCGATGGCCGGCCGGGTTTGAGGATCTGATGGCGGGGTTGGCGATTTATAGCGGCATGTGGCTAATACAACTAGGAAGAGGTCGATGGAATAAATGAGCACGTTGAGATGTGATGGATGGATGCAGCAGCAGCAGCAGTATAAATACTACTTACTTATATAAACGAATAAATGAATGTGTGAACGAGTAAATGAGTGAATGAATGCAAGCAACAAAAATGGAATTCTCTCTCGTTGCTCCATTTCCACCTTCCCGGTCTGGCTGGGCTGACTTGCGGCTCGTTAATTGGCTGATGGCCATGATTTGAGATTCATCCCGCAAAGCGCGCATCTGTTTCGGGATTCGCCCCGCCCCATGGAGTGCGGGTAGAGGGAGAGAGTGAGAACGAGAGACACGAGCTTATCTAGAAGCGGCATCGCAGAAAGCCCACGATATGAGCTTCATAAAACTACTAAACACGATCTGATAGCAAGGGGGATGGCATGCACATTAGTACTACTACTGCAATAATATTTGGTTATCAACTGCCTAATACTAGACCTATACAAGGCAAGGCATGCTGTGTTACCGCGCTTGGACTGCATATCATGCATGTCATGGGCAAAACAGCCCTATTGGCTGATGTTGAAAAGAGTCGACAGACATGCTGTCTCAGGAAACACAAATACTACTACTAATAATACTAACACAGCTCCGGATACATAGCTTGATCAATTGTTTCACCGCCAAATCTCTGGATTGAAATTTGAGTCATTGTGAGAAAATAAAAGTATTTCAAATTGCATGGCACTAAAGCAGCGATATGGAGACGAGGTCTCAGTTGTAAATGCAGAATGCATGTTAGTCATATTAGTGTATCCGTCCAAGTGAGACATGTGCTGAAAAGAGACACAAGGGGAGGAAAATTATTTCAAATACGGCGTGCTGCAATTCATTCAGCTCTGCTATATTCCGCTCCATCGGTATACTATACAGTGGAATAATTCGCTGCGTTGCACACTATTACTGCATGTGCATCTTGACTCATGCAGGGATGCAACCTCTTGAATGGCGTCACTCGAATCTGCATCTTGGCACGAAACAGTCTACTGTATCTGCATGCTAGACTACAACGCAGGTGTAACAATAAACTCGTCAATTTTCGATTTATAAAGACTAAAAAAGGCACCGCATATCACACCATTCTATACATGACCATATTCCGTCTATCCATCCCAAACCCAATGATAGTAATAATAATAACTCCATGTCCCAGTGCTTTTTGTATACATGTATATTACGATGCCACCTCCGCAAACCATGTGCGCAGCAATCCCGCCAGCGCGCTCGGCAGCTCCTCCAAATTATGCACAATCAGGTAGTACTGGAACGGGAACGTGTCCAAGTACCGCTCAATCACCACTCTGCTCTCGCCCCCTTCGCTCACAAACTTGGCCTCCTTGAGCTCCAGCACGCTGTCTCCCTTCTTCTTGCCCGTGTCGTCCATAATAATAAAGACAATCATGATGCGCTCCTCCATGGCCTCGCGCAGCAGCCGTCGGATGGAGTCGTGAGCTGAAGATGGTGTCAGTCCGTCCGACAGGATCAGCGCGAGTTGCCATAGGTCTGATCCGCCGCTAGACCGCTGTCGTGCCGTGCGGAATGTATCAATCGTCTGCCGGATCAGCAGTGCGATATCCGTCCTGTCCTGGCCAAAAGTGAATCGCTGTAGCACCTTGGCGCCGGCATCCGAAGCAAAGGGGTCTGTTAGCTCGTGCGCCGTAAAGACGTCGGCACCAAAGCCCAGCACACCAACTTGGCCGGCCTCAAGCATCGTCAGGGAGCGTGAGACCATGACCAGCGATTCCATGGCCAATGCGCCAGATGACGACTCTCCCATACTCTTACTGTCATCCACGCAGAGCATGATCTGGTAAGTTCGCTTAGTCGGGATGCTTCGCCGCATCCAGATCTTGTCTCGCTTGTAGCTGGAAGCGATGTAAGGGATGATGCGCTTAATGTTCAGCCGCTTTCCGGTACGGAACGATCCCGACAGCTTGGTAGACTGAGATGGGGTAAGAATCAGCCGCAGCTGAGATGTCAAGGACAGTGACAAGCTGTGAGACTTGGTTTGAAGCGCAGTCCACTGCTCAAGACAGTCAGAAAAGTCGCGGAGAGGTCGCTGGTTATCCCAAAGGTGAGTTGTCGATAGCTGGGTTGACGCATCTTGGACTTCTTCCTCTTCTTCATTCGCCTTGGCTCTCTGCTCATCATCATCATCTTCGTCTTCGGGCGTAGACTCTTTGTCATAGGCACCCTGTCTCGTCTTTACGCCAGTCCGGGTGTCATCGGCATCGTTAGCAGCCGCGTCCCTATCTTCGTCTGCAGGCTCGCCAAGATCCATTTTGTCGGCCTCTTCTTCGGCCTCCTTTTCGGTCTCGTCTTCTTCCATTAGACGGCTGGTAGGATCTTGCTTCTCTTCATCAATTGCCATAGACTCGTCTAGGGGCTGTGCCTCTTCCTTGTCTGCTGTGCCTAGAGCCTGAGTATCCTCAGCTGCGTTGTCGTCCTTTAGATGCTGGAATTCGCGTCTCTCTTGTTCTTCAGAGTCTTGTCCGTGCTGCTTTTCGTCTTCCTCTGGATTTGCGTCCTTAATGTCTAGCTGCTGGCGGTGCCATCTCTCCAATGCATCACCCAGCTTCTTGAAAGGATCACTGCGAGCCTCTTCCTCTGCATTGCCATCGTCAGGCTTATCCGAAGTCTCTTTTGATCGCGATGTAGCTCCCTTGTTTCCAGCACTCGTATCCTGGTCAGCGGCGCCGTCTCCCATATCGCCTTCATCTTGCTGAGCCGCCTTGGCTTGGAATTCATCATCCACATCCATGGATTCTGCGTTTTGGTCTATTCCAGAGCTCTTGACATCGCTAGGGGCCGCATTGTCGTTATCTGCCTTGTTATCCTCCTGCTTAGGCTGAGGCTCAGTGTGGTTCTCTTCCTGTTGTTCCTCTTTCTTCTCCTCTTCTTCTTGCTCGGGCTCCACTTCTTCCTTGATTTCTTCTCCAACGTTTTCTTCAACCTCTTCGGCTTCGCTGACTTCATCATCATCCGCAGCAGTCTCTTCCTCTACCTGCTGCTTTGCATCCTCTTCCATCTCTTCGTCATCAACAGCCTGCGCATCATTAGGCTGCTCTTCCTGCTCCTTGTCGTCTTCCTCAATGTCTGACATGAGATCCAAGTCATCCTCATCCTCTGAGCCAGCCGCATCGTTCTCGTCGAGGTTCATATCTATATCTTCAGGAAGCTCCAACGCATCATTCTCCTCTACTGTTTGGTCTTGGCGGTTTAGCTCTTCCTTTGCATCCACGCCTTCTTCCTCGTCTTCTACTTCGTCGTTCTCGGCTTCATCAGCCTCATTGGCCTCAGGCTCTTGATCCTCATCCTTGCTCTGATCTTGCTCTGCGTCGTCTGGTTTCGCTTCTCCTTCAGTAGCCATTTGCTCGTCGTCTTGCTTCTGACCCTTTGCTTTGTCACCTTCTTGGTCCTTCTCCGCCTTCTCATCATCGCCATCCCACATCTTTTCATCAACGGCAGTGGGATCAAGGTCATCCACGTCACCAACCTCTTCATCCATATCATTCTCCTCTTCTTCCTCTTCATCCCCCTTCTGAGACTTATCTTCCTCCTCTTCAGCACCATCCACGCTATTCATATCTCCCTCAAGCTCCTCGTCTGCCATGTCGACTGCGTCCTTCTCATCTTCCATCTCGTCGTTCTTCTCTTTATTCGCTTCTTGTGCAAGCTCAGAAAGGTCTTCATCAGCCTGGATATCCTTGCTAATATCTTCAGCACCCTCGCCGTCTCCGAGGCCAGTGCCGGATTCTACTTTGCTGTCGGCACCTGACTTCTCGTCTGATTTCTCTTGTGGCGTGCAGAATCCTTGGGAGGCGATCTGTGTGAAGGCCCTTGTCATGCCATACCCCATCTTCACTGTGGCACGGTGGATATCCAGGCCGGTCGTGATAGACTGTTGGCATAGTGCTGAGAATTGGTCCAAGATTGGTGACGCAACAGTAACGGCGCTCATTGCGGCCATGCTTGCCAACGGCTGTGAAAGATCGATTTTCTGCAATGAACGAATACACTGCTGGAGAATTTTCTCAATGTTTTTCATATACAGCTGATTGATCATAGAAAAGAATGCCTCGCTATGCCTCTTCAGCCAGGCCGCCTCATCCTCCTTTCTTGGAATCTCTGCTCCAGCCTTCTTTGCATTCTCAACTGCTACAAGAACTGTGTCGCATAGAGTGGCAATTGATTCCACAAAGCCCAAAAGATCCATCGTATGACCTTGAGCTTCTAGCGGAACATTGGTAGTCTGGTTCCAAACACGAAGCTGCTGGAGAATGAAGGCAACATCAGGATTGCCCTGGATAGCTTCGGTGACGGCCAATTGTAGCCCAGCCAAATCTCGAGTGACTTCTTCCTCTAGTTGGGCATGTGCATTCGACGTTAGAAGCGCAGGAAGTTTGACCAATTTACAAAACCTCTGTGAATGCTGCTCAATTGCAGTCGTCCACACTTGAAGCTTTTGAATCAATGCACTGTGATCGAGCTGGCCCAATTTTCCATGTACACTCAGCAAGTGGATAGCAAATCGCAATCCCTGAACGCACCATGGAAGGAGTCGTGACAAGTCGGTACTGCTTTGGTTTCGAGATAAGCCATTGAGCTGTTCAAATTTGCCCAGATCTTGGAATTCGAGCAAGGTCTGTTGTAGCGATCCAAAGGAAGACATGACGTTCGCAAGGCTGCTTCGCTGAGACAGAGCAAAATGAATAAATCCTTCCACGAAGCCTATACTTCGTGTGACCTCGGCGCCGGTCAAATCCTCAGAATGCTCTCGAGCAGCATTCCTAACTTTCGGTGCAAGATCAAGAGTCTTATGGAAGTAATATTCTGCATCACTGAGAATGCTAGAATCAGAAAACTCCAATGGCACAGTTGAAGCAAGTACGATAGAGAGTGATTCTTGCTCAGCTAACTTGTCTTGGCCAAGGTTGTACCGCAAACCCATTCCGCGTAAATCTCGCAGTGTGTCGGCAAATAACTTGCGCTTTCTCGTCTTCATGTGCTTGACTTCCTCTTTGTTCTCATCAGTCAAGGTCGAAGGCGTTTCTTTCTTCAATTCGGCCATCGATTCTTCCAAGCTGGAAAGATATGAATCCAAAGACTGAGGAACAGAACTGGTCATCTCGGGGCTGGCAGCCACTTTATGCATCACAGATACTGTTTTTACCACGTTACCAAGGCGTTTGCGCTTATCCAGCCATCCAGGAAGAGTTGCATTCAAAGATTCAATGACAACATTAGGCACTTCAGCTACCACAGCCTGGCCGTCTAGGGCGGCCTGCTGGGTTATTGTCATATCAGGAACGCCCTGCTCAATAACTGATTTCATTTCTGTGCCCAAAATTCCACGGAATTTTCTAACGATTCTGAAAAGCTTTTGGTGAGATTTCTTGGCGCTTTCTCGGAGAGCGGTGATGTTGGTATCCTTCCAGCTAGCCATCAGTAGAACATCTTTCATTTTCTTATCGAGCGTGGCCCGGCCCTTTTGGATGGCGGTTTCAGCAGACTTCTCATAACGAGAATAATAGAAGATGAAATTCGTAAGAGCATGGCAGATGACCGTCAAGCTGGGATAATCCTTCACGAGAAGCTGAAGATGGCTCTGGAGCTGTTTCAAAAGCGACAGACGAGTTGCAAATTGGCCAATAATCGAGGTCAAAAAGTATGTTTCCAAGGTCTGGATAAGTGACGCAGCATACTCTTTCAGCTCTGTGGGAGACTCAACCATTGAAAGGGGAACAGCAATGACCACTTGATAAGCAATGAACCACCAAGAATAAGCGTCCTCTTGGCATTTCTCTTGTTCCATTTCAAACAGATTAGCCCATGTTGACAGTTCTAATCGTCGCCATCGAATAATCGTATCCGTAAGCGCGTTGTAGAGCGATAGAACAGCATAGACCTTGCTCGCCCATCCACCAAACTGCCATTCATAGACGTGAGCATGCAGTTGCTCCACCTTGGGTAGGATCTTAGCCAAAGGATCTTCGTGGATGAGTTCGAGAACGCTATTGCAGTACTTGATGACGTCTGCCAGGGGCTGCATGTGGCCAATTTCATCCACAAGCTGCAGCTCACGGAAGCGGGCCTTGATCTTGCCAACGAGAATCACAAGTTGTCGAGCTTCGGGCAAGTTAGGGCTAGTATAGAAGCTGTATGACTTGTGTTTTTCAGCTGTTTGCAGCCTGTTGAGTTTCTCGTCAAGCATAAGCATCGTGCTCGCGAGCATTCTACTGTTCAGCTCACGATCAAGATATGACTTATCCTTGATCTCATTCGCGACTCGATCGCCCAAGTCTTTACTCAAGTTCTGAATTGAAATCTGAGCATCTTCTCTATCCAAGAAGATCCTTCTATGAGCCTCAGAAACCTTGAGCGACATATTACGCACGAAATCTTTCTTGTTTCCTGGACGTTCAGTCTCTGTATTCGCATCGTATGTTGGGAACAGCTCGTTAAACTCTTGCTCGTCGATTTCCTCTTCATCCTCAAGCGATCCACGGAATTGATAGAGGCTGCCCTTCGTCTCTTCAGCTTTCCTGTCTGCCTCTAGCTTCTTAGTCCAATCATCATAGAATCCATGGAAGCTTGCAAAGATTGCCTCTCGCATGCCTGGTCGGAAACATTCGCTTCCTTCAATGTTCACAGCGACTCGGGCAAGGCTGAGAAATTCAAAGTTCTTCTCAGAGGATAATTTCGTGGTAATATCCCAAGTTGAACCCCCGAAGAAAGGTGTCATGTCCAGAAGCTGCGTCGTTGATGGCGTCAGTGATGCAGCCGCAGCCGCGTCATAAAGCGATAAGCCAACAAGCAAGCACTGTAAGAGATTCGCGGCAGGTCTGGTCATGTCTTGGTACGCTTCAAATCGAGCAGTAAGTCGATCTTGGAGACGTTTCACATTTTCCTTCACCAGTGCAAGTCCTTCTCTTTCTCCGGGAGCATTTGTGTCATTAGATGTCTCCAATGCAGATCGAAGAGCCGGACTCGTGATGGCCTTCAAGATGTTGGAAAACTCGGCATGTAGTCGACCAAGTTCTGAAACTTCTGGCCGGAAAACTGGTTGTACTTCGTCGGGCAAAGGTCCCATATTAGAAAGCTCTTGACTGAGAAGTTCAATTCGTTCATTTGTATTCTGCCCGGTAAACTTTCTCTCATACGCTATCAGAGAGGATATGTTGTTGGACAAACTGTTTTGAAGCTCTTCATAGAACTCTCTTTCGATCTTTGGACGCAGCTGAGGATCAAAGACACGATCCGGAACATACAGCTTCAGAACTCCCACACTAAAGTGAGTCCACGCCAATGCCGAGAGATATGTATGCCGGCTGTCATTTTTCTCTACAAGTAAAGAAACCAAGGCTGGTATCAGATGTTGCTCCGCAACTTGCTGGAGATGAAGAGGTTCAATGCTCTGCAAGAAGGTTCCAAAGAGGCTAGTGCCTGGCAATTGAATGGATTGCTTCTTGACCTGCTCCTCTGCATTGAGATAAGCGTGAATAGCAGCGTCTTTGAGGCTCGGATCATGAGCTCCGAAGACTTCAAAGATCAGCTGCTGAAGAACCTTATTCAATTTTGGCAGTGGATCAGTGGCCACTTCAGCCGACAGAGTGGCGATATGTCGTCCAAGAGCAGGTAACTCTACATCTAGCAATGCCAGAGATGCGAGACTAACTCCACCCATCGCTTGCAATTTAGACCACAGCGTAGGCGCAAACGTTCCATCCCATGCAAATTGGTCTTGCTGCACTAAACAATCCATAGACTGTAAAAGTGCCGCTTCTTTGGAGACACTCATAAGTGATAGTCTTGCCTTTGTTGGAACATTGGACAGAATGGACAGATCTCGGATTCTGCTATCCAACGGCATTCTAGGCGAAATAGACCGAAGCATATCGAACTGTCTCAGAGACTCAAATTCTTTCGCCAAGAATGGTAACAGTTCAACCTCTTCATCTGCAATTCGGCTCTCCAGAGACTCGATTCCAGTAATAAGATCATTTACCAAACCATCTGTTGTGAGAACACCATCCCTGATGATTTTGTAAGCTTGCTCAAGAGTCTGCTGAGCTTTTGACAAATCCATAACAGAAGCTCCAGCTTTCCACCGTAGGCTATCAAATCGGGTACCCAATCGGTCAAGCTCCATGGATCGGTCAAGAACTGACTTGTCAGGAATGGGAATGGGTCGCATTAAGTTCCAGAGCGACTCCATACTCAAACCGGTACTCAGTTTGAATCCATTGTCAAAGTCGTCCTCTAATCTTCCTAAGATATAAGAAGCGAGCTGACGGTTATTATCGGACTGTGCAGCCAGTGTCTGCTTCTTCAAGAGTGCGGTGCCCTGAGCCAAGTGAGCTTGGAATGTGGCTTCATCAAAATCAGCCCTCGTTGCAAGAGCAATCGTGCGATCGATATAGCAACGGATAGCTCTGATGAACTGAGTGCCCTATTATAGTGAATTAGCAGCTTTTCGCGCCATTCCAGCCAAATCATTTTATTTGGTACTCACCTCCAAAGTGTCATATGACAACATTTCAAGTCCAAAGAATTCCGTCAAAGCATTCAGAAGTGAAGAAATAAAGAAACCAATCTTCACAGTAGAGTCTTTTGATACGGCAGCAACACGATCACTAATGAGAGATCTCTGCAGTCTGTTCAAGGAGACCAGCTTTGATGAACGAGCCTGTGACTGTTGCGCAGTGATAATGTTTTGAATCTGATACAGGTGACGGTAGGTATCGTAACGAGCAGCGTTCCACCTAGCCGCGTCGACAGAAGGAAGCATATTACCAACAGTAATGTTATTAAGGGGGTGAAGCGGCTAGTTCAAAGTTAGGAGTCGCATTATGCGTATGAGCGAAGAAAGGTTAACTTACCTGAGAATTAGCTAGAGCATCAGAAGCAGTGCCCGCCAGGTGAGAATACAGTTCCTTGAGAGATAGCTGCAACCGAGATCCCAACGGCGATTCTAAAAAGCTTAAGAATTCTTGTACAAGGCTCAAGTATGAGGCACGGTCAGTTGTAGTCGAATTTGCGAATCTTGGAAGGAGAGCTACGTCTTTGATAGAAAGGTTCTCCAGAGAAACTTGGCTAGCCTCTGCATCAGCTTCTTCGGAAAATAAGGCATCCGAATACTCTGTGGATTTGAGGTATCGCTGGAGGGAGCTCTCTACATGCGACATCCTAGCAAGGCTTGCATCCATGACAGGCGGTGGGGTGTACATGTGAATCTCAATGGCACGATTCCTCATAGCACGAGAAAGTTCACCATGGCGGGGGTCCATGGTCAAGAAAATACGAAACTCCGGGTGAGGTCTAACAATTCGAGGTTCTCCTCCAGGACCACAGTGCTCGTTGATGCTAAGGAACCCATTGGGCTCAAGCAAAGAGTTCAATCTATCCAAAACGGAAGCGTTGCACATATTGGCGTTATCCAGGACGAGCCACTGGCCAGTCTCTAATGCCTTTACAATTACTCCATCAAGCCATTCGAAGCGAGGATTTGAGAGGACCAGGGGACTGCGGAGGATGTCTAGAGCTCGGGAAAGCGACATATACACTTCAGAGCCCTCGGCAATCTGCTGGAGTAAAGTTTCGATGGAGGCACGAATGGAAGCAATACTATCGCTATCGCCATTATAGCTGTCGAGTTGATAAAGCAGCTGCAGAACATTGCTTGGAGTTTGAGCAGGAACAACCGACATGATAGACTGCTGCAAGAAATCCCTCAAGTTTCGGATAGTAGCGTTGATCTCGCGTAAGGGATCAGCTTGCTCAAAGCCTCCAACAAGATCCATAGTATCAATATCCGCATTCATGGGGAACACAACAAGCGGCTTTCCGGCAAGAGCTGCAACATACTCTAACAACACAGATTTACCATATCCGGAAGGACTGCTGAGAATACAAGGGATATCCTGCTTTACACAGAGCATTATGGACTCAAGTTCTGGGAGCCGTGGTACGATATCAATGCTGGGTAGTCTCTCTGGCTGGGAGCTCAAATTTCTGTCCAATAGAGCAAGACCAACCTGGCCAAACTGAGAGCCGAGGTCATGATAGAAGTGACGAGAACGAGGCTGCCATGTAATAACCCGTCGGAATATCTTGCCCACCTCCGCACGGTCGGCTTCAGTCCGGAATCGCTGTCTGATTACGATGTCAAGGAAGTCTTCAACATGCCGGGTTTTCAGGAGCGGATCTGACGAGCTCAGCAGGTTGAGCCATCTGAGCACGTCTCGAAGATTGAACTCCCACGGGCTACCTTGTGCGCCAAAAGACTTCTCGACAAGGAGGTGATGTTCAATCTGCGATACAAACTGGATCAGCAAACCGACGACTTCGTCGGACAGCTGTGGGAAGCTGTGGCTGGCAATCAGCTTGAGGTCATCATCCTTGAAAACATCGGCATATACAACGACAAATCGGTTGACAAAGGAAGCAGGGAGTCCCTTTCGGCCACCGCCTTGATGGTGGGGATTTTGGGCAGCAAAGAGACGGAAGTTGGGATGGCGCTTGAACACCTGATCAAGTTCCGAGATGTACACCTCTCCACGGTGATCCAAGCAGGCGTTTAAACCCTCAAGAACAGACTGCGAAGCAAGGTTCATCTCATCGAGAAGAACCCATTCACCCTTCTGCATCGCTTGGAGGAAAGGTGCATCTCGCCATGCAAAGTTACCCGCCTCTTCTCCCTCGACAGGAACATCCGTTCCGAAAAGATCCATCAAATCAGTCTGATCTGACAGATTGATTCTTGTCAACGGTCGGCCGCACGCTTGAGATAATGCGACAACCAAAGAAGTTTTTCCAACACCAGGGCTTCCTTCTAGCAGAATAGGTTTCTGTGTTTGCATAGCTCGAATGACTCTCATCGCGTTTAGTCGTGTCGTTGGTGCATGGAAAGCGAAACTTGAAGGATTTGAAGCAGCCTCTGTTCGAGGCGCACTGAACCCTCCAATAGTCAAGCTAGAATCAGTGACAGTAAGCTCGGGCTGTGTTTGATAAGTAGTGGTAACGTCTCGGCCAAGTAGCTCTCCCAATTTGCTCAAGCATTCCACCCGCTGGCGGTGAATGGCGTTGATATCCGTCGCCAGGATAGCGGAAGGGTTAGCACCCAAGCTATCTACGAAGATAGCAGCAGCACCATGGACAATTGAGAGGACAACGTCCTCATCTGTAGATGAATTAATGAACTGAACCCAAGCAAGAACCTCACGTACGGAGAATGGGGCAGTAGCCATAGGTCGAAACGTGGCGCCAAACCAAGCCGCAAATTTGACAACAGCTTCTGCATAGGTTTTGGCGCCCTCTGTCAGTTTTGTCCGAGTTATGTCGTAGATATCGTCACTATCTGACAAAGGAGGAACCCATATTTCGGTGAAACGGTTTCGCAGAGCTGGAGAAAGTTCCTTTTTACCAAAGTCACCGCCAGGGTTCATGGTAGCAAAGAACTGGTAGCCGTCTGCACCAACAACAAATGAATTATCCACTCCCTTTTCGGCTAAAAGAAGTGTTCTTTGAGGTTCAAGAACTGAGTTCAGTCGTTCCAAAACAGAGTCATCAGCTAATGAGATTTCGTCAAGAAGGAAGAAATGACCACCTCGCATAGCCTCAACAAGAGCACCATCTGACCACTCGAATAGAGCCATGCTTCTGGTCTCATTCGATGCTATCCGCTCTTTAGTCTGTTCCGGGATGCTCTCGAGGACTGCATTGCCAAGCGACTTATACCTCTCCAGTCTATCTGCTGCCGAGCCAGAGGTATCAACATTGCACTGTTTCAAAACCTCAGTCACATCAACATCTAGAGCCTCGAGGATAGCACCTCTGTTTCTTATAGGGCGTTGAGAACCAATGATGTCTCCAGTTTCTGTGTTTTGGTGGGCATTAATAATATGCAATTGTCTACCCAAAACCTCGGCGAGCAGCTGGACAACAGTTGTTTTACCGCATCCAGTTTCACCAACCAGGAGAACAGGCTCATTGTTCTGTAAAGCGCGAGACACCAGCACATACAGCCTCCTGATTGCGTGGGTCCAGACAACGCCCTGCGCATTGGATCGGCCGGTAAGATGCTTCAGTTCTGGCGCCAATTCTGCAGAGTAAAGATCATGAGGATTTAGCGTAACTTTGAACACTTTCTCTATGACTTGTTTCACAGCTAATCTTTCCTCGTCGTTGCGCACTCTTTCGGCCAGGAGCATAAATCCATGCGCGGCAATCTCTTCACGAGTATCTGCCTTTCTAAGGGCCCATCGAAACAGATCTCGAAGAGTAGCAAAACTGTCTTTCTGCTCGAAGAGTCTGCTCGTCTGGCGGAGGCGCGACAGTTCCTTGTAGACATTGACAATGCGTCTGCAGTCAGGAGGCGAGGTATTGCGGCTACGCTGCTGGAGAATGAACTCCAGCTCGTCTTCAGGAATATCGTCGAAATGCAATTCGAGGAATCGATTTCGGAACGCTCTGGATAGCACCTTTCTGCCTCCATAAAGGCCAGGAGGGTTTTGAGTAGCAAAGAGAATAAAGTTTTCGTGGGGCTTAACAATTTCCTGCGTTTCGGGGATTAACAGTTCGCGATTATCGTCGAGTAAACGGTTGAGAGCTTCGAGAACGTCAGTGGGTGCCAAGTTCAACTCGTCCAGAACGATCCAGTGTCCCTGTCGCATAGCCTGAACCAAGAGACCCTCTTGGAAGCGCAGCTTCCCATCAGGTCCTGAGACATATGTACCCAGATACTCCTGAAGATCGGTATGCTCGTGGTTATTGATTCGGACGAATCGATTACCAGTAAAATTTGCCAAGTATTCAATCATACTTGTTTTACCAGCAGACGTAGGTCCTTGAATCAAGATAGGGAAACGCCTCGTGGAAGTTGCTCTAACAAGATTAAGTAGATTTCTCTCCACATAAGGTGTTATGATGTAATCATCTCGCTCGATGGGGGACTGTTCTCCTTGAAATAGCCAGTACTGTCGGTCACGACTCTGGTTCTGGAATTTGACATAATTTCTACCATCGCCCGGGTGCTTTGGGGGCTGGGAAAGAAGAGACTGCGGATTTCCATGCTTGTCTAGAAGGTGGTGATATATTAATGGCAGAAGCATTTTTTCAGAATTTCGATCCAGTAACGTCAAGAATCCCATGGAAAATCCTTCATACATGGCCCGTCGTAGGCCATAGAAGGGTGCTATTGTGTTGACATAACTCAGTACTCGGGTCAGCGTACGAAGACTGAAATGAGGGACTTCGTTGGCTCCATCTACAATTCGTTTCTCTTCTGCCATTCGTTTAGTGTTGAGATAGAGGCGCGCAATGTCATCTCCCGCTTGGTCGTTCTTATTGCTACCGTTGCCCAAGTATGTCTTGATGATTGTGAGGAGATCTTTCAAGTCTTTATCGGGACTTTTCACGTAGAGCTCAGTAAACCTAGATCGAATACCAATGGGCAAATCTCTCTTTCCAACATCAGTTGCCGGGTTCATGGCACCAAAAATGCGGAAATTGGGGTGTGCCACAATCTTCTCAATCTCTCCTGTTTCAGATAGAAGGATAGACGGTTTCTCATTCGGTCCAGTAAGAAGGTCTGTGATGCTCTCGAGAGTATCTGGTGAGGCCAAGTTGATCTCATCCAAAAGGACCCAGTCGCCATTTCTGACGGCCTTTACCAGGTTTCCTTCCACAAAAGAGAATGCAAAGCTGGATGACCCGCCCGAAATTTGTATCTCAAACTGCTCAAGAGTACGCGCGAACTGATCCCATCTAGGCTTTAGGTCCAGTAGAGTTTGCAGCTTCGACTGAGTCTTCCGCCTCTTCGTGGGCTGTGCATCCCCATTCCTCTCCTCGGCCTTCTCCGAATGAATGCGTTCCAGTTCAGACACAATCTTGAGGAACATTTTCGGCGCCTCTCTCCACAGCTTGGCTAATCTTGACCACTGCCCCTTAGCAAAGCACTTTCCGACTTGCTCGAGATATTTTTGGTTTTTGGATGCAGATATTCCCGTTGCTCCAAAGAGATCCTCAAACTCTTCTTTCAGGGGCACAGCGAGACTTCGGACGTTGACCGGTTTGAATCCACCCAACAGATCACCCACCTCACTTTGCTGTGAAAGGTTGACCGCGATAAGCTTATGGCCAAGCGACTCGGCCAATTGTTGAACGACTGTTGTTTTTCCTATACCCGTCTCTCCAACGAGAAGTACTGGTTCGTTGAGTTTGACGGCTACAGCAATTTGCTCCAACAGCTTTTTAGCGTGGGCAGTGCTGGCAAATGGTCGTTTTGATTTTTGTAGTCGGGCTACCGTCTTCTTCTTCCGCAGCTGGACACGCCCAATGCTGAATTGAACATCATTCTCCTCCAAAGGGGGTATATTGGCAGTCAAATAATGGTCTGCCCGTTCTTTGGACAAATGCATCTCTTCGGCAATAGCGTAAATAAGCTGCTTGCCAAGCTCATCATCTGGACAGCTTCCCACGAAACAGTCAACAGCTTCCATAAACATCCAATCGCGCGTTGTTTCGGTTATGGGCTCCTCTCCAGTCGTTGAACCAGCCGCCAGCAGGCACTCTTGCAACCGCCGACACCACTTGAGCAAATCCCGCAAGTTCATTTGTCGATCCATTAGTCGACCGCGAGGCAAGGCACGAGGTCCGTTGCTAATTTGAGCCAGACGACTAAAGACGGCAATGATTCCGGGAAGAAACTTTCGCAGCATGGGATAGGTTTGCAGAACCACTTCTTCCAGTTCTGATTGAACCATAGGCTCAGTAGTCAGAGACTGCCAGAAGCGCATGCCAACAATGCTAGGAAGGTTCTCCCGTCCATTCATGCCCCGGGATGTTCTAACAGTCGCAAAAAGGCGGAAGGTATTCGCAGCTTTTATCCTCTCTCCTCGGCTCGGAATCAACAGTTCGTTTCGCTCGATCAGGGGAAGAAAAGTGCTGAGAACTTCGGTAGGGGCTCGGTCCAGGTCCTCCACCAATACCCATCGGCCTTCTTTAATAGCTGTGGTCAGCACACCCGGACGCCACGAAAAGCTACCTGGTTTTGAGTCTGTCGAGTAGAGGCCGATGAGCATCTTTGCGTCGGTCTGCTCGTTCAAGTGCAGCGTAACCATGCTGGAGTACATTCCAAGCTGCTTGGCCATTTCATGGACCAACGCCGTCTTTCCGACACCGGGTAGGCCGTGAAGCAGGATAGGTTCGGGTTTGCGAATCATGGCGGCAAGTCGTTCAAGGTTATTCGTAGTGGTCGCCGTCATTACAAGGTCTGAGGAGTTGTCATCTGGCATGAGTGGTCGCGGGAGAACGATTTTGCCGTAAGAAACGGCATATTGAGTGAGGGACTGGAGGACTGGTTCGTGGTTGTGTTCGGATTCCTGATCTTCTCGAGCAACTCGCTGCCGTAAAGCCACAATCTTCTTCGCACGTGCATGCTCATGCAACGACAGAAACCCATAATCCGCCGGTGCACCGTCGAAATCCGCAGTAATCGCATTCGCATTGCCGACGTGCGTGTCAATAAGAGATTCAAGTTTGTAATCGGAGGCGTGAAACAGTTGGCAGAAGATGCGAATCGCAAGGTATCTCACTGCTCTGCTCTCATGCGCAAACAGGCTCTGTAAATACTCGGGTGAAATCAATGGGCTGAAAGTTCTCAGATCAAAGCTGAAAAGTCTCCAATATGCTAGCAAAACCTGCAACAATGCATCTGCATCCAGGCCCAGTGAAGCGTCGAGGGCTGGCAACACCAAGTGAAGTGAGGGTCCTGGCGCGGCTCCATCGCCAGCTTTACCGGAACATCGAAGAAAAGTCGAAAGATATGGCGCAAACGGCAGAATTCTAGCTATGGCTGAGGCAACTAATAAGCGTCGTGGTCCATTGCCGGCGTTGAGAATCCATCGTGCGCAAATGTCTGAAAAAACGTCTTCAAAATGCACCAAGATTCGCTCTGTAAGTGATGGTGAGAGCGCCGCCTCTGCTACAGCATCAAAGAGCTTCGTCGACGACTGATGCTTGATAATTTCAAGCAATTCAGAGGGCAGATGATCCAACACAGCCGCATCCCTAAGGAGCGACCTCCTCTGCCTCGAGACATCAATCATGGCCATGATTGCGCTCTGTCGAACGAATTTTCGCTGCTCTCCAGAGTGTCGCCTTCGCGCCTCTTAACTTTTTTTTTTCTTTATATGAGAGCCCGCCAACTTTTTTTTTCCTAGTCGGGCACAAGGGTGCATCAAGGAGGGGCACTCGGCGCTACGAATTTCCGGGCCAATCAGGATCCGCCGTCATCCCGGCAGACTGAAGCTTTCGAAAAACTTCAAGGCCAGGCATCTTACGAGGGCCAGCGATCTGAGAGAATACCCCACGAATTGCGAATTGCAGCCAATCCCTCTCAACAACAAACAATGGCTCTCCCGTGTCGGTTTGCGGCGCGCAGCTGCGCTCGCCAGTTGCGATCAGCCACCTCTTCTCGATCCTCCGCACAAATGCTCCGAGTGTCATGCACAACGAGACGGTACAACTCAACAGAGGCCGACGCCGCAAACCCCAAGATTGCCGACATTGTCGACCAGATCAGCAAGCTGACGCTGCTGGAGACTGCCGATTTGGTCTCAAGCCTAAAAGTAAAGACATGGATTCCCCAAGGGCACGGCGGCGTGTCCAATCTGCCATGGTCGAACAGCCAACTAACATACGTCTTTTAAATAGAGCAAACTGAACATTCCCGATATGCCCATCGGCGGCTTTGCTGCCGCTCCTGCTGCTGCCCCCGCCGCTGCTGTTGAGGAAGCCGAGGAGGCCCCTGCCGCCCCTGCCGAGAAGACTCTCTTCACCCTGAAACTGCAGTCAATTGACGCCGCCGCCAAGGCCAAGGTCATCAAGGAAGTCAAGGGCCTGCTGGGCTTGAGTTTGGTCGACAGCAAGAAGTTCGTCGAGAGCGCGCCGAAGATGATGAAGGAGAACGTGCCCAAGGAGGAGGCCGAGAAGATCATTGCCACCATGAAGGAGCTCGGTGCTGTGGTCGCAATGGAGTAAAGGGGATGGAGGAAGAAAAGGAGAAAAATATCTTGGGAGCATTCGCATGATCTTTATGACACGATAGATGGTCGAGGTACATGTACAACAAAAATTTTATGTATTATATATCAAAGAAGAGATTCAATTTTTTTCTTATCCTACGTTTTTCATGATGCGAACAAGTCGTTCTTGCGGTGTTATTGGAGTTGTCTTTACAACTTCGACTTCAATTATCATTTTTCAAGCAATTATATTTCGAAAATTATTTGGGTATCTCAATGTTCCGTGCGACTACATGCAGGTTTCATCCTTCGATGCGATGCATCCTAACAACATAACGCCGCCCAATGCTATATATACTAAAACAACATCCAAAAGTTGAAAATCAATGGTGGTTGCCATTCGTCGTCTGCAGGTGCTGACACCGCTGCATCTCCATCTCTTTGGTGAAATCTTCTTCTTCTTCGGTCAGAAGCCGGTCGTCGTCGTCGCCAAAGTCGCTAGTCTCTTCCCAGAGCTTGGTCATCTCGGCACCCTCTCCTTTGGGCACAGCCCAGATCCTCTCACGCTCTCGCTTATGTCGCTCGCGATCCTCTTCGATGCGTTGTTCAACTTGACGCTTATCTAGGCCGTGAGTCGTGGGCCGCCGCCGAGATTTCGGCTCGGAAGCCGGGGCGTCTGACATTTCAACGTCGCCATTGGGGGAGGCAAGGCCTAAATCATCATCATTCGTTCCTCTCTCTTTGATGACATCCTCAATCTGGACAACGGCCTGGTGCTCCAGAAAGCCCTTGTTTTGCAGCCCTATCAAAACCTATCGATGTGGCGTCAGTCAAGTCAACCAACGTGAAAAGAGAAACAGCGCCTAAGCATACCTTGCGGACAACTTTGACATTGGCCGCTCCAGAGCCATCATCGGGGGCCACAGCATCAACGACTCTGATGATGTCTCGTTGCATCATGCGGATATAATCAGAGTGGCCATCTCGCTGCGCCAGGTCCAGGAAGTGCTCAATGAAGTACATGATATTGGCACGAGTGTTCATGTTATTCTATTCCAACATCAGCTTCATGGCCGGTATCCAACATTGCATCATACGGTGCAGTCCGTCTTCTCGCTTACCCGCTCGACCTGCTCAAGGATACATGAGTGAAGGTCCTCGTCCATGTCCTTGTATTTGAGGGCATATTGCGCAGCTTTTTGCGCCGAAGCAACCGAAGCGTTGAGATGCTGGAGCTGCGAGCTGAAGCGCATCCGCACCTCAAAAGGATCCGCCATTTTTGCGGGTGATGCCTCCGCCAAAGGATTTTTTGGCAAAGCGGCGATGTCGAGTCTGGATTGCCGTGGCTGCAGATGCGCGACGCAAGGCTGAACAATTAGGCCCAGTCCTGTGTGAGCTGTGAGTGGCGTGTGCCTCAGTGTGGCTGAACTGGCTGAACCCGCTAAGAAATACAGAACCTACAAGCACTAATACAGTAATACACACAAACGCTGCACCCAACGTGAATGAATCTTTCTTTTTTTTTTCGCTAGTCTGAATCAGCTTACTGGTCATGCTCCGTATTACTGCCCCGACCTTTTTACTGCTAATATCAATCTCTATCCTATTCATTTGCCCATGCGCGCCACGGTAAAGAGCCGGAAACGAACCGTCAAATCGGCCCAACAGCCGTAGATTTGGCCCCCCTTGGGCACTTTAGGCCACCGAGACACAGCGCCTCCGACAGGTTGCCAAGTTTAGAACCCCTGAGCTCAAAACACGCAAATACTATGATATTGTACCCTGCCTTCTAGTATATACAGTAGCAACAGATTGTCCATGTACTCCGCAAAGTGATTCATCCACCTGGGATATTACCACCAAATACCTACTTGTAATACTACTGCCGGTAGTACTGCTCCGTATTCAGCTCTCTGCAGCATTAGGAGAGGTATGTAGCAATACAGTCGCAGCACCTACCACTTCGTGTGTTAGTGGCGGGCGGCGACAGCGAAAAACTCCGGGGCAGAGCTGAAGGGTGAGTCTGAAGCGATGAAACATCGTCGGCTGAGCCGTTATTCATGCCGTGTAAAAGAAGGCAAATCCAGGCTGGCCGGTGCATTCCATTCCGCACGCTGCCGTGTTTACACGAAAATCCTTGTCCCCTTTTTGGCATATTTTGACGATCTGACTGGGCAGCAACCGTTATGGAGGGGGGTTCAGCCGTTTAGGGGGCGGTTTGGCCCTTTTTTTTTACCCTTACTCCCAGCAACCTAGTTTTTCTATTTATTGCAACTTGGGCCAGCTTGAGATACCAGAACATCCCGGCAGTCTTTTCCCTCAACCCCCTGTTCTTGACACTTGCAAGCCTGGCAACAACTTCGGTGGCCATCCTTCGTCCTTTTTTTTCCTTCTGTCTCTCTTCTCTTCAGTCCTTCTTTTCAAATAGAATATTTGGTCTTTTTGGCCGCTTGGTCACCGCTAGTAATAAAAAAACTAATTCCGGCGCCATGTCTTCCTCCAACATGCTGGCTCTCACGCATCACAGCACGCCCCAGCCTCCTCAGGACCTGACCATGGCGGTCTTGGGCTGCGGTAAGTGGACATAACCTCAACGTGGCATTGGCTATGATGATGCTCGTTGGGAGCCGTATTTGGTTTGAGAATCTGCGTGGCTCATTATTTCTGTCTGGTATAGGGACCATGGGAATTGCCATCCTCAATGGCATCCTCACCTCCCTGGTCGAGATGCAGGGCCCCAAGCCGCTGCAGTCTGGCGCCTCTACGCCCGCAGAAGATGTTCCGCGCTCTCTGCCGTCTCGCTTCATCGCCTGCGTGAGAACTCCGGAAACGGCCAAGAAGGTCAAAAGTGCCCTCTGGGAGCACTCATCCGTGCTCAAGGTTGTTCGCAATGAGAATCTGTCCGCCGTCCAGCAGGCTCAGGTCATCCTGCTGACCTGCAAGCCCTACATGGTCAAGGAGATTCTGGGGGCACCCGGCATGGCCAAGTCGCTGCATGGCAAACTCCTCATCAGCGTCTGCGCTGGCATCACGGTCGAGCAGCTGGAGATCGCCCTGCACGGCGCGGTCCCCTCCAAGGATCCCGAAGAGGATGGCCGCTGCAGAATTGTTCGGGCCATGTGCAACACCGCGGCCCTTATCAGAGAGTCCATGACTGTCATCAGCGCTACTGTCCCGCCCCTGCCCCTGGAGACAGAGCTCCTGGTTACCTGGATCTTCAAGCGCGTGGGTGACGTCGTCTATCTGCCCGCGCGATACATGAACGCCTCAACGGCCCTGTGCGGCTCTGGACCGGCCTTTTACGCCCTTTTCCTCGAGGCTGCCATCGAGGGAGCCGTTGCAATGGGTCTCCCCCGTGCTGAAGCAACCAGGATGGCAACGCAGACCATGCGAGGCACGACTGGCCTCATCCAGAGTGGGGAGCACCCAGCTCTTCTCAGAGAGAAGGTGTGCACTCCTGGAGGCTGCACCGTCAACGGAGTCCTTGTTCTTGAAGAAGAGCGCGTGCGCGGGACCATCTCCAAGGCTGTACGAGAGGCGACCTTGGTGGCGGGCCAGCTTGGTAAGAACATTCAGGCCGCTAACAACGTCCCTCAAAATGACATTCACCCACACTACGACGAATAATTGTTTACGCCGGCTGGAACGAGTTTTCTTATTTAATGACTGTTTTTTAATGAAAGAAGCATGTAATATATCATGTTTGCTAGCTCGGTTTTTCCTGTTATGCAATAGAATACATAGAGCCTTTCCCCCCCTGAAAATGCCGTATCAAGACCCATCCAACGCCTGCTACTATTTACTTTTATTAGTGAGACTAAGCCTATATTATGCCACGATAATCTGTTTCACGCATCTTCCACTCTAGCCTTCTTGCTGAACGAAGCGTCGGCCAAAGACTCATCCAGTTTCCGCTTCCCATTTGATTGATTCGAATGCTTGACAGCACGATCGTGAGCTTCCAAAAGCCTGGCGTATTCCAACTCGACACTGCTCAGTGTTTCTGATAGCTTGTCAATTCTCTGGGAGACATCTACTTGCGCAAGAGCCTCCTTGTTATGGCGATATAGTCGCTGTTTGACAATAAGCTGCCACAACTTTTCTTTGTGTTTATCCGCAGCTGTAGGTGACGGAACATCGTCATCCAGAGACATGGTTGGGCGGACAGATCGTGGCAGTTGGGACATCAAATGCATCTCTAGAACTCGATAGAACTGACGAGGGGCAATCTTGGCCTGCAATCGAATGTTCTCGAGATTTTCTGCGCCGGTGATCAGGGGAGGTAGAGGCCCTGATTTGGGAATCTTTACTGTGGTGTCGACATGAAGCTCGTTAAATTCAGGCATTGTTCTCAAAAAGGCCAAGTCACAGATGTCTCGCAGATCATCAAAAGCTTCATTGGGATTCTCAACTGTGAATTCATGTGTCTGAGCGTGGCTGTGGTAGTGCTTGAAGACGGTATTGTAGAGGCGCGCACCACTGCCCTTGCCTTGGAATGGTGGGAGAATGATGAATTGTGAGAGCCTTGTCCTGCACGGGAGCAGAGATAAATCCATGTGGCCTGTGGGAAGCTCCCAGTTTTCCCCGGGAGAAGCTGGCGGTGTCATGGGCGGCTTGAAATAAAAGAAGCGGTAGACAGTGGCATAACCGACAAAGGTATACGCGCTTTTCTCCGGATCATCAGTGGATTTTTGCTTGCGGTAGAGAAAAAAGAAAGTCCACCGGTCCGCATCCGAATAATCCAACTCTGGCGAGTCTGACTCTGGATCCTGGCCGATATAGGAGCCTCCATCGATAAGCATAGGAACCAGGATCTGAATGCGGCTGTTTAGCTGCTTCACGGCAGGGTCAACGAGGGTGCTCTTCCAGATTTCATACTGGCCATCGGGGCCTTGAAAGGTTTCGTGGAGCGTTCCAGGAGGGGACCAGTCGTCGCCAAGCTGCTGTGAGCTGTTTTCAAAATCCGACGCTTTAGCGAACGCAACTATGCTAAAGGTTAGCAACAACGATAATCAATCAAACCGCCCAGCAACGAGTAGCCCAAACCTTTTGGCAGATGGCCTCCCTCCTCCAGAGTCCCCACTACATCAGTGGGCTCATGTTCACCAACAGGCTTGAACTTTTTGCTGTATGCAAGGCGCAGGTGCGGCCGCATATCATTAGCACGGTACCGCAGCTGGATCTTCAAGCCCTTGTATCCGAAGATTTTCTCATCGTCGCCAAAGATGGAATACGTGAACTTGGGGTGGAACGTCGCAATTGTATTCAGGCCCGATTTCGACGGCGCCACGAGGCTAATGTTCAACGCATCATTGGAGTCCTGAAGCCCTGTTCCGTAGATTAGCACCAAGGCAGTTCGACAGTGGTGGGTTATGAGCATCGCTTACACTCTGCGAGGTCAGGAAGACCAGCCATTGTAAATGGGTAAAAGGGATGAACCGGTGCTGGCGCAATAGGAAGGGAAGAATACTTGAAATAAGTCGATAAGCTGCGCGGCCTGGAAACGCCTTCAAGCGACCAAAAAAGGCGAAGAATGGAAGAAGGCTGTGGATTGCTGCAGCAAAAGGCTGACGGCGCAAAACCCCAGCTTTAATTCGAAGCGCGCTACCACAGCCGACCTCTAAACGCGTTTGCAGGCCTAGCAACGCGATTCAATTAAGCGGCTGCATCTCTTGCTGCGCTGGTGCCCTACATCCAAGGCACCAATGCCACCTCGCCGCGGCTTCATTCCGCCGTTACGTCACGCCCAACGGCGCCCGGGTGGGTCCCTGAAGGCCATCCAGCAATCTCACGAGACATGCTGCAGGCTAAGGCTTATTGTGACCCGAACCACCACATCCTGTCTGCCCGCCAAGCACCTCAACCAGTGGCTGCTTGTTGTCTCTTGTGCCTTGCAGCCAAACCGCAGCTCCCCAGACAGCCGAAATATCCTGCGCCGCATCGCGCCATCGTCCTGCAGCGTCTGCGATACGAGCGCGCATGGCGTTCGCCCCTGAGCCGTCACGATGCCTGAAATTGCGAGTGCCCCGACGCCAGTTGGCTCTACCATCTTCTCCGTCATCGCCCTCCTCCTAGTGTCGCTCGGAGTGCTTCTCATATTGCGCTACTACCTCCCGCTTCGAACCACGCCGGCCTTCTACCTCGTCCCCATATTCTTCGCCTTGTGGCTTCCGTCGGTGCTCGTCTTGCTGGTTCCAATAGACCTTGCTTCGAGCGCCATAACCGACGATGTAGCTTCGAGGGGCATCTGGCTGCCCCAGCGGGTGGTCTTGGTACTATGGCGAATCACATATTGGTTGACGTTTTGCTTGACATGGTGAGGAAATGGATCTGGATTCGACCCCTTATTTCACATCTCTAACCGTACTCATGCAGGTTCATCCTCCCCATTCTTGCCGAGTACTCCGACACTGGATATCGCGAGCCCTGGGACAGGTTCATGTACTCCCTCCGTGCCAACGCTCAATTCTACGCCATGGTCTTGGGAGCTAGCTTTGTCGGACTGATCTACATATTCGTCTCCTACGAGTTCTCCTTCACGGCCCTCAAGGCCCTCATAATGGCTCTAGCCTACTGCTGGGGTTTGGTGCTTGCCATTTACCTGATGGGTCACGGGCTGGTTTCCATACCAAGGCAGCTACTTCGAAGCGGAAGTATCAGTGGCAAACTACGGAGTTTGCAGATCAAGGCGCCCAGAGTATATGAGAAGATGGAAGACTCCTTAACGGGTGTCGAGGAGATTGAACAGCAGATTGCGGAGCTCAGTCGACGAAAAACGGGAAGCGCCGCGGCCTTCCAGGATTGGATCGAGGAGCTTCAGGAGATGGCCAGCATCCCTGAATCGCAACCCCGGCCGACGCTTCTGGATCCAGCAGTAAATACCCAAGCTGTTCCACATGTCATAACAGAAAAATATCTAGCCGACTTGACCCGAAAGTATGTGCGAGCACGCCACTCTCGATCTCGATACGTTGGAGAGTGGAGTCGACTGGTGCAGTCAGCGGCCAAGCTTCAGATGATTTTGGACTCGGTGGCCTCTAAGAAACTAGACTTTGGCAGCGCCTCTCCCCATGCCGGATTTTGGGACAAGGTGAAGATATTAACACCTTACTCTCGATACGTTTGCTACTTCTACGTCTTTCCATACATGCGGATGGCCTGTGGTGCCGTTTTGGCTTTCGCATCATCCTGCATTATTTGGTCGGAAATTGTCAAATTTCCTTTCCCTAAGCTGTCCATTATCCGTGTCAGCGTTGTCCACCACTGGGTTGGCGACAAGGCCCAGGTCGGATTTGCAGGGCAGGCCATCTCAGCATTCTGGATTTGCTACATGTGCATTGCCGCTCTTTCATCCATGACCGAAGTCAGGGTATGGCGCGGACGAGCCCTCGTGAGAAGAAATACCGGCCACGAGGCGGCATTCTGGTACGCAATGCAAGTGGCAAAGCTCAGTGTCCCGCTTTCATACAATTTCCTTACCTTCTTGTCGAGCGAGGTCTACGAAAAGACCATCTTCTACAACTTCCTTGGAAAATATGTTGACGTCACCCCCTTGGGTAAATGGTTTGACAACTTTTTCCCCATCGCCCTCGTCATTCCCGTCTTGGCTGCTCTTTTTGGAGTGTACGGAAAGGTCAAGCGCATATTTACCGGAGTAGACATTATCGACGAGGAAGATGACAACCCATCGGGCTATGGCACTGGTTCTTGGCGTGAAGGACGTGATCTCATCGCCAGAGAGCTAGGAGGGAACTCGACGCCGCGACGCAGCGGCACTGCAGCCAACGGGGCCTCGGGTCGAGCAGCCCCGATTCTGTCCGTTCCCGCCATCCAAGATTCGGTCGCTAGCCCGTCAAGGTCGCCGGCCCGCTCTCCAGTCGGGAACAATCGTCGAGCTGGCCAATCAACACACCCTCGCTTCACGGATGAACCGCCCGAAGATGACAATATCTTTACGATTCTCGGGCACCGTATGAAGAATACAGTTGATGCGTTTGAGACGCCACAGTGGTTCCAAGATATCGGACAGGGCATTAAGAAACCAAAGTGGATGGGAGGAGATGATGCCCAGCCTGCCGCCAGTGGGAGCAACAACAGCAACAACAACGATAATGGAAGCAACATTCGAAACTGGTTTGGAGGCGGGGATAGCCATATCCGCCTCTAGAACAGCCTCGTCATGAATTTTTTTTATTCCCCTCCTTTTGGCTACTCTTTATTTTATTCTAACGGTCTATCTTGGATACCAGTTGAAATACCGCATTATGATGGAGTTATGGAGCTTTAATATTTCTCTAGGTCTTGGCGAAAAACTTTCTTATCTTTCCTAGAGCCATAGATTTTATGTCCTGTCGATTTTTTTGGGGACTTTATTCTACTTTTATTATTCGCCCAGAATCCTGCCAGTCGGCTCCAAAATATTAATTATTTACACTTCTTCTTCTTCTTTTTCTAATTTTCCAGTAGAATACAAATAAATGATATTAAATTTTATACAATATGCGTCGCCTTCTATCTGATGACTGTATATTATGCTGTTAAAGAAGTCAAAATTAAGTAAAGATAATCTGTTCATGGCTCAGACCGTCGTTACAACCTGCCAAGTACCTTATGCTTTGCAATCGCCAATGACAATAGAAGAGGAAGAAGAAGAAAAATGATGCTCAAGCATACTCATGCCTCATCCCACAAAAACATATACACGCATAATATGTATGCAGGCCCGCCACGAATTCATAAAGTCATCCAGTCGTAATATAGAACTTTCTAAAACCAAAAGAAAAAAAAAATCACTCAAGTTTCCGCTATGGCGCAGGGCTGATGGTCGAGTTCCAGGTATTCGCTTTGCTCATCGTCCTCCTACGGAGCGATTTCATGATGCTGACTTCCATCTGCTCAATGTCGCCCTCCAGCTCTTTGTCGAGGTCTGCGTAGCGGGCTTCCTTGCGGCGGTCGTACCAGATCCAGGATCCGACGATGAGGATGGTCAAGGGGACGGTGATGATGAAGTAGACCCAGAGCCAGTTGGAGATGACGGGATCGGCTCCTATATTTATAGTTGTTAGCATTTACCGTTTGTTGTACGTCATAAGAAAGAGAAAAAGAGAAAAGGGGGCTTTCAGGGGCAGACCAACCAGATTGAAAGTTGAAAAACGTCATGCTAAAGACAGAAGCGAGGTAGGTGCCCGGCAAGAAGAGCGCGCCCATCAAAGATATAGTCTTCATGGCTGTGCTGTCCCGCTTGCTTGCATGTGCGATCCGACGCTGCTCTCCGGCAATTTCGAGGTTGAGTCGCGCCTCTCGCTGAGACATGATATTGTAAAGCTGCGTGGAGGGAAAGAGAAAAAAATCATGTCAGTGAAGAGCTCCAAGCTGCACACATGCCCACAGTTATGGAATAAAAGGAGGGAATTGAAACAAAGAGGCGCTCCTTACCGCTTCTCGCTGCACTTTCAGCCTCTCCAGCGTAGTGTGGATATAATTCTCCAACCCCTTGAGCTTAACCCTGTAAAACTCCATCCGGGCCATCATGCTCCTGTGCAGCTGATCGATCGTCTTCCTATGCGCAATCTCCTCGTCCGTCAGGAAATCCTTCTTCCAGTCGTTCCATAAAACTTTGAACCGTTCCATCGACAGCTCCATCTCTCGCACCAGCGCAAAGTAAGCCTGAGGCCGCTTCCACATAACATGGCTATGGCACTCCACCAGGTCGCGATTCAGCCCGTCAATAGACAGGATTCCATCCTGGAAATACTGCTCTTCCGGCTCAACTTCGTCGCGCAAGCTCACTGCATTCTCCAGCCGACGTAGCCAGTCACGCGCATCACGTTGCTTCTGGTCGTTGGCAGGCGAGAGATCGTGCGAGAGGATGATGGTCGGTAGGAGCATCGGGTGGCCGACTTGACCATAGCACTCCCGTAGATGCTTGAGCGCTTGAATGATATCTGAGCTGGGAGTGCCCTTCATGAAGCCCGTGGTAATGCCGCTTTTGAATGAGTAGGACAGCATCATCTCCCAGCCCCGGGTTTTGCCCTTTTTGCGGACATCTGATTTCCGGTGTACGATTTCTGCACTCTATTATTAGAAAAGAGTACTTTTTAAACGTTTTTGATGGGGGCGTATATATATAGGTATATACTATTCAACATACGTAGATGCGGGTCATCATCATCCTGATCGTACGCACACCAGAAAAACGGCCCAACCACAGACGACGTTTCTATGCCTCGGAAGGGCAGCTTCATTGTCCTTACCATGTACATGTACTTTTCTTTCGGTAGAGAGATGACCTTGGGCATGAATGTGTCCTTGTGCTGAGCATCTTTTTGGATACTGATTACGCAAGGGTTAGCACATGGAGCTGAATAAGTGGCTTGAATCCAGCATGCTCAACGCCTCAAATAGACAAAGAAAATGACAGACCATGACACTTACAGGAGTCGAATGCCGCTCAGGAGTTTGGTTCCTTCACGCATCTTCTGTGGCGGCTCAAAAGCACCCTAAGCAAGCAAGGTTCGCGTCAGCCCCGGATATTTCATTGAAGCCTTTATTTCATCCCATCTCGGCTCCATTTCCATCCTTGTCAATGCCGTCTCATCTTGTCTTCGGACGGAAACCTTCGATCCACCTCATCTCTTCACTCACCCTTTGATTCAGAAAATTCTCAAACTCGGACATGGGCAGCGGATGCTCCTCGACTGAGTTGTAAAACGGGTCCTAGCCTCGGCGTCAGTCCTGGCTGTCCTAAGCATTATTTCCCCCTTGCCTTCCATATCATCCCATCTGAGATGAAATCTGCCTTAACTCAAGATGGAACTCACAGAGTAATTGAAAATCTCAATATAGCTCGTCTTCTCCTCCACAACGCGACACTCATCCACAAAATACTTGAACATGTAATCGTCCATTTTGCCGGCTGTTTCCCAGACGCTGCCTCGGCACGCCTCCAGCTCCAAACACACGCGTGCGCAGCCCTCAATGCCTGCTTCTTCACTCCAAGAAGCAGTCGCCGCTCTCCTCACAGATACCCTCGAATTGGCGATGGACAGCAAAGCCGGCAATATAATGGCCAAAAGGTGTCTTGCCGCCCAGCAATCTCTCCCAGCTGATGTGGCGCCGCTGCCGAGGCCGCTAGCAAAAACAAGCTCTCGACCAGCCCGCTAATAATGGAACCTGGTACGCCAATTGACACTCCAACGACGGAATTGCTAGCTCAAGCATCCAGCGAAGCCCAAGAAACGATAAACAAGGGGGAAGGGGGGAGGAGCAAAAAAAGAAGGCAAAAAGAAAAAAGAAAAAGTATCAAATAAGACGAAAGCAAGTAAAGCGTTACCAGAAGATTTCCCCACTCTCGGGGCGAAAAGGGGAGTTTTTAAGACGAGAGTGCTTTGGAATACATGTACTCATATGTAAGACGCATTAATAAGAGGAGGGGAGAGATGGAAGGAAGAGGGAACCAAGAAAAAAAAAAGCACGACAGCGATAGTCTCAGCGACCCCAGCCTCGCCAGCAGCTAGTCTAGTAGGTACCACTACAGTGCTGTATAAAGTAATATAGCAGAGGGAGCGAAACAGAGAGAAGCAAGCAGGGGATCTATCACAATCCCCACGTCGGCTATCCAGACCCAGACCGAATAATGCACCCCTGTAGCAAAGAGAAAAAAAAAGAAAGAGAAAAAAAAAATCTCCTGTAAGTAGCAACCCAAGCGAATCAATGTGAGACAAGAAGCTACTACTCGCCGTTACCACACACCTTGCAAAAAAAAATAAAAATAAAAAATAAAAAAACTCCCCGTAGACCACCCGCTATAACTATAATAAATGATTTGAGGTCCAATGCTCCTTTGGGCCCTCCTCTATTAGCGGCTCCGCAAGAATCAACGAGCTCCATCCTCCTGTATTTGACGGATCTACAGAGGCTGCGCTAAAAATTACTGCTAAAAGAATTGGAGTGGCGGCTCTAATCTATGTACCTGGGATATCCTCCCACCGCCTTTCTGCTCTCGTATAACCTGCTTCTCTGTCGCCATATAACAGCCGACCACGTATTTACATGCACCTGTGCACACTACCGCCCCAATTGCAGATTTTGACTATTTAATTGGTAATCCCAGCAAAGACCCATGGAAAATTTCTGCAGCAAATACTACTACCGACTGACTTATATACAGGCTACCTGGTTCGTGGGCCTGCGACGCGTCAGACTCGCATCATGTACCTGCATGGATATAAAATCCACAAAGTGCCATCGCCCGATTCCTTTACACCACCAAGTAATAGGCATAAGACAGCACTAATACAGTTAGTTGCAATTGCAAGTCTCAAAGTAACTGATGATGATAAACAGCAGGTATAGCAGAATAGATGTAATAGGTATATATATAGTATTACTAGTAGGTATGATCAGCGCAGCAAAGCACATCTGCAGACTCAGCTCCTTCAGCGACAAAAAAAAAAGGTATCGGTTCTGAGACAACCACCCCAAGTATACATTTATCAGACCTCCTTCTCCCACTCTTCTCGCCCACTCGTAGCCTAAAGAAGAAGAAAATGAGAGTTAAGAAGAGAGAGGGGACAAGAAAGCAAAGGAAAGGAAATAGATGGATATACAGGAGCTTCGTATAGTTGGCTACTGGGCGAGACAAGAAAGACTTGGCGTTGTAGGTTTCAAACACAGCTCCCTCCTCCGAATACACGTTTTCCAACAGACTCCAGGTCAAAAATGAGCCTCCAAGACCGATCGAGTCCCCTTATTTTTTTTTTCCAAAGAGAGAAGAAGAAGAAGAAGAAGAAGAAGAAGAAGAAGAAGAAGAAAATATAGTCCCCAATGCAGAGCCACCATCCCAAGATGCAGCGAAACAAACAACCAATCCATTCGCATCTTTTGCACCCACACGCGCAGAAAAGAGAAGCTGGAACGCTCCTCTTTTCTTTCCTTTTGGTCACATATCCAGTGCATCGTCGTCAATCGTCAACATTTCCAGGTATGCTTGGAATTGAATACACATCCTTTAAAATTCAGTAAACAAGTTGCCATACCTAAACAGAATTCGTTAGCCTACAGGAACGCTTCACAGGGGGAAAAAAAAATACAAAAGGGAAGAAGTCCACTCACTCGTCATTGCCGCCCGGACCCCCATACTTTTCGGGATCCTCGGGGTATCGGTCAAACTGACTGGCATCGCCGGCTCCAGCCTTGACTGGCGGCGTATAAGGGGCGTCTATGTCTTTGCGCGCCAATCGATCCCAAGTAACTTCTGCAAACCACGGGTGGTTCTTGACATCTTGTGAACCTCCAAACAGGTTGCCCAATCTCTTGGTCAAGTCCGCCGTAATCAGTCGCTCGAGCAAATTCTGGGCATCCGGGTTTATATATGCCGGATACTTGACTTTACCCCTGAGAATGTTTTCGTATATGCGCATGGGAGAGCCGCTATCCCAGAAGGGCGTGTATCCGCAAAGCATTTCGTATATCAAAATTCCAAGGGACCACCTAATCTTGTGTCAACCGCCGCTACTACTATTCATCAATGGGAATATCGTGGCAACTCACCAGTCTACAGACTTGTTGTAGCCTTTGTTAGAGACTACCTCAGGAGCCAGGTAATCCGGTGTACCACATAGCGTCCACGTCTTGTCTGGCACTCGCTTTGCGAAGCCAAAGTCTGTGATTTTGAGATGTCCATGCCGGTCCAGCAGCAGGTTCTCAGGTTTCAAGTCGCGGTATATGATGTTTTTAGAATGCAGGTATTCCAACGCCAGTGTGGCTTCGGCAGCGTAGAATTTGGCGACCGGATTAGGGAATCGCTATACTCGGTTTCATTAGCAGTTAGCCCAACAGAGTTTATAGCTAGCAATGAAAGAGAAGAGGAGGGATTGAGCCACGACGACTCGTAAATATATGCGGGGAAATGGATATGATGATGGGTCAAGGTTGTCATACCCCAGATTTCCTTAGCAGCGAAAACAGCTCACCGCCCTCGACGAAATCCATGACCATGTAAAGGTTCTTCCAGTCTTGAAAGGTACCCCACAGGGTAATGAGGAATGGGTGCTTGACGTCGCTTAGCATGCGGCGTTCGTCGTTTGTGTGCTCGACCTGCTTCATCTTGACTACCTGCGCCTTCTTGAGCACTTTGACGGCGTAGAAACGCTGGTTGTGCTTGGACTGGACCAGGTGAACGCGGCCGAAGCTACCAGTGCCGAGCGTCCTCAAGATCTCAAAGTCGCCCAGCGAGTACTTGCCCTTGGTGACCCGGGGCTGGGACAGCGACACGCTGTGTCCGTGGTGGATCTGCTGCGGTGGATGCTGCTGTTGCTGAGTCTGTTGTTGGGGTTGCTGCTGCGGAACAGCCTGCTGCTGCTGTTGCTGTGGTGGATCCAGCTGCATTTCCGACGGCAGGTGTTGTTGCTGCTGCTGTTGTTGTTGTTGTAGATGCTGCTGGGCATTGGAGTCGGCCATTACGGGAGCTGAGGTCTGGTATGGGGAGGGGGCGTAGCCGTTGGTCGAGCCGTCATTCTGGGGCGAATTGATGAGGTTGCTGATGCTGGGGAGGTTCTGCGAGTCGTGGCCCGGTGGCGCGTAGGACTGGACGCTGACGGGATTCATGGTCGAGGTCGAGGGCGAGGTCGGGGAGACGGGAGGAGCGGCCTTGGCCGTGTCTCGCTCGGCTGAAGAGGCGGCAGGAGCTGGAGCTTGCGCAAAGGCTGGCGCAGAGGCTGGGATCGAGGACGCGGGTGCGGAGGCGGGAATGGGGGTGGATGCAGACGGCGAGATGGAGCCAGGCGACACGGCGGTGCCTGGAGGAACAGCCAGACCTAGACCAAGGCCTGTCGCTGTAGCTGTGCCTGTGCCTGTGCTGCCACTACCTGCGCCGGCGTGATTGCTATGGCTACCGCCGGGCGTCACTCGCGGCTGCTGCAGCGTCGACGAGTCGAAAAGCTTGGAGGCGGCCGCCGTGGGTGCGACGGGGCTGGTGGGGTTGCTGGCACTGGTGCTGTGGCTGTGGCTGTCCTTGGCCGAGGGGTCAGGGTGGCCCTCCTTTGTCCGCTTCTTCTTGAGGAATGACCCGAACGAAGGCATAAGGTTCAGGTTGTGGTGGTTTTGCGGAGGAGGAGGCCGGAAACAGGGAATTGGGGATTCGATTTGAGGGGAAAGCAAAAAGGGCTCGAATCGAGGCAGCCTGGCCGTTCGCGCCGATCTGGGCCGGGGATGCTACTGAGCTGGGCAAGTCTGGCGCTGCCGTCTGGCGCTGGTTAGACGCTGGGGCTTGGCTTTGGGGGGGATGAGGGGGTGCTTTGCAGCGGGTGCGGCGGGCGGTCGATTTGCTCGTGGCGATGGCCGGAGGCGGGCTGTGATTGAGGGCGCCTGGAGAAGAGCCCGGAGAAAGCTCTGGGGCAGCTGTTTTGGCGGAAATGGCGGGGGAGGCTCAACTGTGTGCCTCCAATGGACGTCTGCTTTGGGCGTTTAGGGGGGGAGGGCGCCGAGGCAAAGGCGGGAGGCGGCAGGCCAGCGCTGGACAAGTAGACGGTAGGTGGTGGTAATAAGTACGTACTGTTGGTAGGTAGCGGGCGCGCACTGATAGCTTGTGTTTAGCTGCCACAAAGGACGAGCTCAACGGTTTCGAGGCGGGCAATTGGCGGTGCGGCGCGGCGCGGGTTCGACGGACTGCTGGACTCGGTCAGTTCTGATGCTTTGGAAGCTTGGAATCCCCCAGCCCCGAAAATGCGCAAGCTGATTTGACTTGATTCGTGCACGTACCGCCGGCGCACGAGCGCAAAATGTAGCACAGCAGCGTTTCCCAGCAACTAAGGCCGGCAACAACAAATGGCGTTCGCTCGGCTGCCTGGATCGGCTGCGGTGCTGCTAATTAAACCGTTTGATTGACGGCCAGGCGAGAGCTGCTTATCCACAGCAACTGCGTCGGCAGTTTTCGTCCTTGCTCCTTATTCGACTTCGGAGCTCTCCACGGCTCCGGCTGGGTCAATTGGCCGCTTGGATAAAGTGCTGACTCGTTTCTTTTCGTTTCGTCTGGTAGTTCTATCCAGCTCGGCTCGCCTCTTCAGCAATAGTCCTCTCAATCCGGCGCTCAGGCCATGCACTAGACAAAGCAGCAAGGACAGGTGATGTCACCTGAATCGCCGCACCCCACGGTCAGTACTCCGTAGCACAGTAGCTGAAACAGTGCAGCTGCGTGCTGATGCAGCTGTCGTCAAGAATCAGATTTGCCAGTTGGGGCATATATTCACACGTACGTGCAGCTTCTGCTTGCTGTATGCTGTATGTAGGTCTATATCCAGGCGGTGGCTGAATAAGCGATCGTAGATGCGAGCTATGACGCTAGGTAGTTGCCGGCAGCTAATGCTGCAAGATGATGATGCTCCAGCAGCAAGATCCGGGTCACAGGCTAATATCAGCTCGGTCGATTAAGAGTGCAATAGAAGCGAAAATCTCGTCTGTTGCAGAATTGGCTGTATTCTCGTTGGAAAATATTGCTCTAGAACTCTCTTCTCTTTCTTTCGACAGTGTATGGTGGCTCTTGGCGATGAAATCGATCTGGCCGAACCTGCCGTTAGTCGAAATGGATTGCTTGATTCGCAGCCAAGCTAAATCGCCACAAGTTGCGGGGATCGATTCAGCAATCCGTCGGCACAAAAGACCAATCTCATTCCTAGTGATACATGTAATGCTAGGACCATTCAGCGTAGACGCATAGTCTGAGACGTTCGTGACTCAATTGATAAATCTGGAGTTTGGGCGGTAAGAAGAAGGGAGGGAAAAAGCAAAAACAGCTTGGGACAAACCATAAGAGAGGTGGGATGGGGGGAGGCCAGAGGGAGCTTTTAGACCCTGCCCAATGGTGTAGCCAGCTCCTTTTAGTGCATCTAGCTTGACTCGAGCCCGTTTTTACTTTCACTTCCCCTCATTCTCGGCATGGATGGACTTTGTCGACGGCCTGCCGATCTTCCTGTTGACGCCGTCGAACTTTGAATCGTTCACATATACGTCAAAGGGTACGTGCTTGTAAGCCCCGAGAACGACCGGGGAATAGCATTTGACATGTCGCGGAGAAGTATACTTTTTACGTTTCAAAGTTGAGGTAAAATAAAATCAAAATGAAATTGAATGTAAGAATAAAAGCAAATGAAATAAATACGATCCCCAAGGGCCATCAGCGCAGCACATGATGATTCAACGATTCTTAATTGTGGCTGAAATGTAAAATCTTGGGGCTTATGGTAACTCAAACATACCCTGTAGCTTTTACAATAACGACTTACCTCGAAATCTTTGGACTAGACCGCTTTAGGACAGCTTCTATTCAAGAGCTCTCTCATTAACATGCAGATTATCAAAAGTTGATGCAAAAAACTTGGACCAGTAAAACTGTCATTTCGTCGCTAATAATATGATTTTCATCGATTTTCCATAAGAAATCCCCGCCACCGCGTGCCCGTCAAGCAATGTACCAATTGACCCAACTCCCAGCACAAAGAAAACCATTGACAACAGGCATGGCTAAGCACCCATATGCTTTCTTACACGGACAACGACGACGACGTCTTTTCCCGCCCGCCTCTTGACCAACTCGAATTATATAACTCTTGCCTCTCCTTGATAGGGTCTCTCTCTCTGCCTGAGTTCAGTTAGATGGCCGAGTTCAGCATGCCTCTGCACATCTCCTCCTCTGTAGTACACGTTCTGGCCTATACTTGTGTATCCTTCCTCCGATGCACGGTCCGCCTAGAATCTGTGGCTCTTAGTTCTTGACCTATAAATGGTGAATCCCACGTAGCCGCCGCCTGCAACGAGGATGAAGAGGATGATCTTGGTAAAGAACCATGTCCAGCTTCCACCGCTCTTGTCGCTGCTGCTGCTGCTCTTGCCCTTGTACGAGTTCTTCGGGGATCCCTTTGAGCCAGGTCCGTTGGCTGGGCTGGTGTAAAGATTCTTGGACGAGATGGAGATGATGTCGTGGTGGTCGCTCAGCTCGCCAGTCTCAGCACTGAATCCGAGATAGGCAATGTTGGGGATCGCAGGAGGGTTGTCCACCTCAAAGCACACCACCCAGTCGCCGACGGTCTTGTACTGGAGCTCGAGCTTGAGGCTCTTATCCTGGAAGTAGGTCAATCGCATCTTGGTGGGGATGTTCGAGTGACGAAGACCTCGGGCCGAGCAACCAGCTAGCTCCGTCTCCTTGCCATCGTTGTTCTTGTCGTAGCTCGCCTGTCCGTCTCCATACATGGCCATGACGTAGGGGAAGACAACACCAGGTCGGTTGTTCTTGTATGTGTCGACAAAGATGCCCAAGCCTTCGAATTTATCGGCATGGCCAAAGACGGGACCGATCTGGCCTCGCTGCTTCGTGATCCACATGGCGAAGCCATCGCCGTAAAGCTGATTTTTGCCGTGGATCTTGAACTCAACCTCGACTTCCCAGTTGGTAGCGGTAAGAGGCACTCGTGAGAAGAGCCAGCCGTTTTGTGAAGGTCGATCGGAGGTAAGGCGAATATATCTGTAGCACATTGAGCTTCTGAATCGGAGAATGTATGCATGTGCGCGTGTATCGGAGATTGACGTACGAGTCTGTTCGAATGATGGTATCTCCGCCAAAGTCAAACCATCGGCTCTGCATGTCAGAGTCCAAGTAAGGCTAAAGAGAGGGGGAAAACAAAGAAAAAGTCAGCCTCCATCATTCTGCTATTTGCGACCAGTTCTCCTCCTTTCTTCTCTTCTGTTTGCGACTGACTTGTTCGATAGAGTGCGTCTTGAGCTACACGAGGTTTGTTAGCTTACAGCAACATTCGCGTATACTGTTCCCGAGAGCTACGAACCGTTATGCTTCTGTAGTCATCCTGGGCCGCCGCAGTCCACGCAAACGCCGTGGCGAGCACGGCTGATAGCGAGGAGAGCCGCATCTTGGCGCGATTGTGACGGGTTATCTTGCAATGATCGAGGTATCAGCAAGTTGGCCAATTCCAATTGCAGATTGGCAGAAGGTCCGGTGCCGCCTCTCGTCTTCCGCGGCTTGGTGCGTAGTTCTGGCAGTGGCGAGCAGCAAACCAGCAAAGGATGGTTCACATGGGAGGCTCCATGCAATAATACTGTAAAGGCCACATTCGTGTTAAGCCCGCGACACAGTGCTATTCCTGAAACAGCTAGACTGTGAAGGTACCCGCTCTCACTAGAGCTGACTGCGTAGCTGCGAGGTACATGAACCTGCGTCTATAATTACCTTAGTAGTAGGCACGATATGCTTAAAACGACGTTCTTACGGTTTCCTTTGTTAAAATATTATGTTCTGTCATCTCTGAAAAGGGACCCGGTTCTATAGCGTTTTAATTGGTATATCGCGTCCATAAGTGCATGTAGATATTTGGTGCAAGCAGTGCTCTGTCTGCTGAGGGGTTGTAATACACACTGTGCGGTCTCGACTTACATGGCTAGCATTGTTGAAACACGAGCTATCCGTGCTGGTATGAGACTTGCATAACTGCCTTCTTGAGGGAAAGAATCGTTATTCAATCTTCATATTCTATTTCTGCACGGCTACTCCGGAATACTGTCTACATTTTTCCGACTCGATAGAGAACCAAATCTCCATCCAGGCAGGTAGTCACATGCCAAATGTCAGTTGTTCCTCACGAGATCAGTATATACAGTCAAGCCGCAGGTGCTCTGGGCCTATGATTTCACCTTTTAGTCTGAAAGAAATCAAATTGAGCTATTGAATTGATATTTGCCGGCAATGGGAACCATCTTCAAGCGTTGCATCATTTTCAATAGATTGCAGGTTTGACGCCACACTTCCTACCAAGTTAGTAACCTTGACCAAGTGCCGACGCCACACTCAGCCACATTTATTTTGCAACTCCAAGCCTTCCATCTCCAAAATCTTTCTATCCATCGGTCCAAGCAGTCACGCGATTCTAATAGCAAACCACCAAGTCCCTCCAGCATAATCTTCTCCAAAATGGACTCCTCTTCCGTCAAGCAATCTGTCATGAAGCAGGTCCTCGCAGAGGCCAACCTCGCCAATGCCCGAGTCCTCATCGAAGTAGGCACAACCCCTCTACCTCTTCCTTACAAGAAACCCTTCAATAAGAAAAGTTTCCACCTGATATAAACGGCACAAACTAACAAGAATTTTTTTTTTTTTTTGCTTCGACTATAGAAACTCCAGGAAAACTGCTTCGAAAAGTGTGTCCCTAAGCCCGGCAGCTCGCTCTCCAGCAGCGAACAGACCTGTATGACTTCCTGCATGGAGAAGTACATGGCTGCTTGGAACCAGGTCAATGCGGCCTACATCAACAGAATACGACAGGAGCAAGGAAACAACTAAAAGATAAATAACACGACTGACGAATGGGAAAATGGGGGGATAAAAACTTCAAGTTCGACGCAGTAAACGACATATAATGCGGGCTATCGTTTGGACGGGCGCATGGGAAAAAAGCATGACCGGGACTATCGACGCCGTTGAGCTGAGATGGCACCTCAATTCAAAGCTTCAAGGTTTTCCCACATGAATTCTTGTACTACTACCATCTATTCTTCAATTAGACTGGCCTTGGTGCCACGGCGCAGTATCTAGGAATGGGCCTTAGATATAGATATTGGACCATCCACTCTGTCTCTAATCTACATTTAAAAAGAGAACCAAAAACAATTTGATAAAAAGGGCCGTTTGTCTCATAATGATAATTTGAATCTGGGTATCTATTTGATTATATATATATATATATATCATCATCATCATCACTCCGCCGCAGCCTTCTTCTTCTCCTCTTCCGCCGCCCTCTTTCTCGCAAGATATCTCTCCTTGGCACTCGAAATCTCCCCCTCCGTCTTGCGAGTCTTCGCAGCCCTCTCCACTTCTTCCTTCTTGGCTTCGGTTGCCTCTCTCGAGCGCTTCAGCGAGGCTTCCAGCTGGTCCGCGAGCATCCGCGACTGTCGTTCCCTCATGGCCTGCTTCCGGCCGAGCTGCTGGCCCGTGACTTCTCTGCGCTCACTTTCCACTGGCCGATCCGCTTCCCGTTGCGCCTCTACCTTCTTTTTCGCGCCGACGTTGAGGCCGCCCTTGAGTAGCTGTCGCTTGTCGACGACTTGGCCGTCTTCGTTGACGGAGATGGATGCTCCCTTTTCATTAAGCTCCTGCGCCACCTTGGCGAATTCCTTCTCTTTATCAACATCTGCCTCTCCTTCATTCTCATTGCTTTCCTCGCCAGGGCCCCTCTTGGCCATTTCTTCCGCAGCTCGAACCGTCTCGGCATGCCTCTCCTGCTCCTTATCCAGCAGTTTCCTATAAAAGGTCGTCATGCCAGTGCCCTCGTTCTTCTTGGCTTCCTCTTCCTCGCGTTTGCGCTCTTCCTCTTCTAGCCTTCTGTTTTCCTCCTGTTGTTTCTTGTACGCCTCAGTCACAAACTTTTCCTTATCGGCAAACTCCTCTCCCTCAGCCTCACGCTCCCTCGCAATCTTCTTCTCTTCGGCAATCAGCTGATCTCGTTTCCGCACATCCGCTGCTCGCAACAGATTCTTCATGTATTTTGGCTTTCGTTCCTCGTCCTCTTTTGAAAGATTCTTCTTTGGCTTCATGGAGTCGTATATGGAGTCATACTCGTAGACACTGGCGTCTAGTTCGGTGGCCGCCTCTGCGTTCTTGCGAGACGAGAGTGTGCTGGACAGATCTCCAAACATTGCACTTGTCTGCATTTTCGATTTAAGCTTTGGAGGTTCAGCTATAGGGCCTTTCTTCGATCTGGGTGCCCTCGTTGAATCTACTGATGCTGAGGCGGTTGCTGTAAAATCTTCCAGATCGCCGCCGATTTCTTCTACTTTGGCGCCTTCATCGTCAGAGTCATTTTCGTGGTTATCAAACATGGGTTTCGATCTCGAAGGCATCGGCTTAGATGCTCCAGGCTTCTTCGTCAGGTTGAGCCCGAAAGCAAGCTTCGGTTTATCCATCTTCTCGACTGATGAACGTATCAATCGATTTTCAAATAGTAGAAAAGCGATGGGGGTTGCGCAAAATTGTAGAGTAGCAATTGTATTATAACAAAACTCATGTACGATTTTTCAATCGCAGGTATTCAAAGGCAGAAACAGAGGAAGAAAAGAAGCACGGGAAGAACTTCTAAGGTTCCGGGCGCGCTGACCAAATGCCGAACACCAGCTAAACACGCGCCGGACGGCTCCGCAATCCGCTTGACATTTCAGAGCGCTCCCGGGTAAACTCGTCGGTCGCAGTGCTATTAGAGACCGCTACGGCGATTCCAGCGGCCTGGCTATTAGCAGGTAGCCACAGACGCATCCATTACGATTCGATCGATGCGGAGCCGCACATTTGCCTTGCGCCCACCAAGATCGAATCCTACCCGAGCGGTCTTTGTTTAGCAGAAACCTCCCTTGTGGCGTCCGACAGCTAACAGTTGCTGTCATCTGCCATGACGTGATTGGCCCCCGTGTGCTGCCGGCTCGAGGAGGTAGCCCCCAAAGCGGCGATAAACCGTCCAGCCGCTACCAAGATAGGCAGATGAACTTGAGCCCCAAGTCCTCTCTCATGCCCCCGTCACGAGGACAGCATCGTAAAGGCATTTCTCTGTCTATATTGTGATATTTGTCTTCCCATTTCCCGTATATTCTCGCAAGCTGCAAGCCATGGAGTTTTGCAGTACTTGCACAGGCAGTCTTGCCCAAGATGATGCACACGACCGCAGAGTTGAGTGCTGTTACCGAGTTATCTGCGCAAAGTGTATACAGGTTAGCCACCCGTCCAGCAGCACTTCTCCTATCTATTCGAAGCAACACGGCCTCTTGATATCCTCATAATTGTTAATGGGCGCCCGCCTCTAGAACAACCCGCGCTTTGCATCGTACTGCCCCTTCTGCCAAGTATCAAACATGCCGTCGCCGTTACCGCAGGGCCTTAGAGATCCTCCATCGTATTCATCGGTTCCAAACTTGGGATACAGATCCATCCCAGCTTCCGCTCCTCCGCCACCGTATATAGCTGATGCGCCGACAACGCCACCCCCGGCCGAGAGCAGCAAGAGTAACCCCGAGCTTGACGAAAAGGCCGTCTCAGACGATACGCTGCATTTTCTAGACCACGAGCACGACACCGTACAGTCCTTGTCGCTACGGTACGGCGTACCTCCTGCAGCGCTGCGGCGGCGGAACAACCTCACAAGCGACCACCTACTGGTCGGTCGAAAGACTATCCTGATTCCTGGCGAGTTTTATAAGGGCGGTGTCAGCCTGTCTCCCCGGCCCGTCGAGGGCGAGGAGGAGGAGCTGAGAAAGGGTAAGATCCGACGCTTCATGACGGCCTGCAAAGTCTCAGATTATGATTACGCTCTGTTGTATATGGAGCAGGCCGGCTATGATATTGATGCCGCTATCACTGCTTACATGGACGATGAAGCTTGGGAGAGAAGCCACCCAAACCGGAGGGAGAGCGAGGCGAACAAAGTCCGTAATCGTGGCCTTTTTTGGAGGGGGCTGTAAACTCATGACATTCATTTTTTGGGCGTCTTTTTTGTTTTCCTTTTCAGGCAAGAGGGTTATTAGAATTTCATATTTCATATAAATGTGCAAAATCTGCACATGAGCATCATCTCTTTGGATGCCTTTGCCGAGCCCAAATGGCATATATAAGCCCGTATATAACGCCGTCATCCTTTAACCTTGCTTAGCTACACTTATATATATCATCACTTATGCCACAAGAATATTAAAAATTTTTTTCCAAATGCTCTAAAATGCAGACCGAGTTCGGATATCCTATTATTCCAAATATTAGTCTGTGCGTTTTGCTAAAATATGCAAACGTTTCTTACCGATATTTTCCGCTCAATTTCTCGGACAGAGCGGTCCAGCTCCGCTGCAATCATTTGCTTCTTATCGTTTGGAAGCAGTGTGTATCTCTCACAGAGATCACCATCGATGACGCCCTTCACGGGTGCGTAATAACTGCGATACATTAAATGGTCTCGGCCTGCGAGTGGAGCATCTTCGGCCCTTAGGTGCTGTTCTAAGCTTTGGAAAAAGTCTGTATCCTCTCGGGTGACAAAAGGAATTAGGACACCAATGGTGCCCATGAGGCCGCTCCACAACAGTATATCCTGCCCTCCGACAACAAGGCTCGTTTTGGTAATACTCGTCGGAATGTCCTGAGTGTAGAGGTGGCACATCAGATCCAAGCGATGAGATCTTCCGTGAAGATAGTCCCTCGCGTTTAGCAGGTGAAGCCCCGCTTGCTCCTCATCGGCCTCTTCACTGGCCTTCTGAGGAGAGCGTACGATGAAAATATTGCCAAATTTGTCTCCTCCAGCCACTGTCTCATAATCTACCATTGCTGAGCAAGTTGTCCATCGAGCAACCGTGTCATCCACAAAAGGAATGAGCTTATTTGTCGTTTGTTTATAGACGACATATGTTATACCTTGCTGTACGTCTCCCACAATAATTCTGTTGCCTTGTGAGCTCAAAGAATTAATAAGCTGTGGTGCCGCTTCAGCCTGGGTCTTCCGCAAAAGTTGTCGCATGCCGAGATCGTATATGCGAAGTGTTTTCCCAATGCCAACTAGCACGCGCCCCTGGAAAGGAATTATGGCCATCGGAGGCTCTTCGACCTTCGTTTTATGAATGAAAACCAAACCCCTACCCTCCTGTTCGAACCGGTAAATATGGACATAGGCATCAGAAAAACTGCGAGGGTTCACGACCATATCTTTCCCGGTTCCGACAACAAGGAAGGTTTCGTTATCTTGACTAGCAAACGTAACGATGGCAAGGCTGACCGCGGCCTCGTTTTCCTCTAGATCTATTTTTTGTAGAACTTGACCATCTTCAGCCAGGGGATCAACAACACTGATACATGAAGCCCAGCGTCTGTTGCCTCTGGGATGGCCAAATTCTTCGGGGGGGAGAACTTTTGAGTCTCCATTGACACGTGCTGGGTCGGCGAGCAACTTCGCACAAAGGTCAGGAGAAAGGGTATGATTGTCCGCTTCAATTACGTAGAAAAGAGGATGCTCTGGATGCTTCACCATCTTCTTCGGCGTATAGGTCAGGGGAATAGAATTCTGGATCAGCGTGTCTCCAAGCCGATCGACAGAGAAAATGCTAGAAACCATCAGTATATAAATAATGGTTCTGGATATGCGAGAGTAAAAGGATTGAAAAAAAGGATGTCATTCAGTAGGAACAATTGGAAAAAAAATGCGTATGATGAACCTCATAGCCCAGGGGCTTGGATCCCAAATTTTTCATCATCTGACAAGCATGCAAAAAGGAGAAAGTGATTATTGTTACTTACCGCAGAGTCTGTCCTTGAATACCCACGATACCTTCTTCGCACTGCTCGCTAGTAAAATTCCAGCCCCATTCTAGGTCAACGTAGCTGAGAGGTGTAACAACAAAGCTCTTGGTGATGGGATCGGCATATCCGAGCCAAGGCCGAGAGCTAAGACCAAGCACACACGTCCTTCCTTGGACTGTTACTTGGAATAGTCTCACTTGTTTTGGCCCTAAGAATTTTTGTCTTGTGTCTGTTAATTCGCCGGTAACTTCGTCCAAAACTGTGCGTAGGTAGACGCCCGAGTAGAGGCCGATATGCAAGTAGAGTGTTGAGCCGCCTGAAGATGAGTCCTCCATGGATATAATGGCGAGAGAGGTAGGTGCAGCTGTCAGCGCCTGGACTGATTTGTTTTCAAGTGTAGATTCTGGATCGAGACTCAAAATACGGACGGTGCAGTCATCACATCCGACTGCAAGGAACGAGCTTCGCAATCTGCCCTCGGGGACTTCGCCCAGACTCAAGCAGGTGACTGTCCCAAACATTTCTTTCTTTTCGTCATACTCTGCCAGGGAACCGTCCTCGTCCATCTCGAAGTAGACAATTTCACCTGAACTTAGAGCAATCGCTACCTGGTGAGCGTTGGTCGAGGCGGCCACGATAGATCGATGTTGCGGGGCATCCCATTGGTTGATTTGTCCATTGCGGATGTGCCTGATGCCTTTAGGATGAACTTGAATTAGACCATCGTCGCCGAGCAGCTGGGCAGCCAGAGTAGGAACACTGGTCAGGAACCCGGAGTCGCTGACTTCCTCCACCGTCTCTCCTATACTGAGGACAAGAGTTCCGTTGGTGAAAGAGAGAACAATGTACGCGTCGTATTGCTCACTCCGGTTCAGCTTCAGCGTCCAAACAGCTGATGGAATGCCTGGCAGCTCAGAAGATACAATTTCATTGATCTCAAGCCCATGCTTTAGTGTTCGGAATGTGCTTCGAGCACCGTTGCCACAAATGGTGTAAATCTGAGGAGCGTCCTCGCCGGTCAGATTGGCAATTTTGCAGTCGAGGAGAGGGTTCATAGAAGGAATGCTCTCTACGAGAACTAGATTTTCCAGCGGTCGGGGGTAGAAATAAACAGGGTTATACGAAGCATGTGCATCGACAGGAAAGTCATCGCTGGTAAATTCTAGCTCTTCATCGTCATCTCCCAGTTTTTCAAACTGGTAGAAGGAGAAGTTTCCGAACTGGCTAGCAACATAGAGGAAGCCACTCTTCAAAATGCAGAGACTCGACGCAGCTGGGACTGTGTCAAAATACTTGATTTTGAGCCTTCTGACCTCTCCTGTGGTATTGCCTTCGTCATCTTCCACCATATCGATTGTGACTTTGAACATGTCGCCGTCTTCTGTTTGTAGTAAGAAGAAAAACGCGCCTGCACTGCCCTTTAGCTTGTGCATGACGCCGGAAACAATGGTACGCTTTCTTGAAGGATCCTCTGTTGCACCTCGTCGCCGAGGGATCGGAACTCGAAAAGCCTCTTGATTGGAATGGCGATAAGTAATGTTTTCCTCACCACACACCAAGACGCCACTTGGGCCATCGTTGCCACCAGGCACCTGGAATAGCAGTGACGCTGTCGAGTCTACAGGCTCAGACCACTTTCTGACGACATGATTGAGTCCGAGATCGAGCTCATAGTACACTAGTTGCGTTTCCAGCTCTCGCAAAGCTTCCCCAGTAGAATCTTGATCTACCTCGGTATAGTCTATCTCTAGGGCGGCGAACACCGGATTGGCATATCCGACGTCTAGTGCCACCATAGAAATGACCAAAACACCAGGCTTGTGGGCTTCGAGAGGCGAGGAGATTGTAAGTTCTGCTTGGGAGTTTCGGTTGAGCACATATACGAGCTTGTTCTTCTCTACAGAAGCAACAAGACACGCACGCCCCTTGGGATCACACGCGAGGTATTCTCCAGGAATAACTCTCCGCACACCAGATTTCCCGAAAGTCTCCAGATGCAATCTGTTAAATCGGTTCTCCCTCGGAAGATACTCAATGATAGTGATTCGACCAGAGTCAGTGGCTAAGATCAAGTAGTCTGCAGCATGAAGATTAGCCCGCTGCTTGAGAAATAGCATAGCTTCGCTCCATTGAGTCGTATAGGGTTGGCAGGGTGCGTTTCAAAGCTTTTTAAAATTTTCACCATCACTATGTGGCCCTCCAAAAATCGGAGCTAGGTAAACTCACCCTTATTGCTGCCTGCGAGGCGAAAGGCCGCTAGAGACCTGATAATGCCAAAAATATCATGAGACAAGAGAGTGATTACCTTCCCCTGTGACGGATCAGGCCGCAGTAGAGTCAGCCGTGACCCAGCACCGGTGATGATAAGCTGCTCCTTGGTCCCCGCGAACTGACCCAGGACCGCTTGGACGACATTGGTTGGCGGCTGGATCGTCAGCGAGTAAAGGAACATGTTGGATGTGGTCGCCATGTTCCCGACTGGGCGCAGTCAAGCCTGCGCGGCTCTACAGAGGCTTGAATGGCCGATTGAGGAGCTCAGTCGCGTTGGGAAACGGTTGTTGTGGTCTGGAAAAGTAGTTGGCGGAGCTCTGCTTTAGTTGCTTAAAAGTTTGGGCCAAGGGCCGGAAATATGGAGGAACGATAATGCGGCGGTGGTCTGAGAGTGGCCCGAGCTCCTTGCAAATTGCGCGCATCATATCTTTTTACACTGGTGATGAGAGTCTGGCATAGCGGGGGATCTCCCACGACATCAATTAAGTCAATCAGGCCATACAATGGAGCCGGCTTTGCGTCGGGCGGCTCGCAGCCTGTGTGGGCACTGCTCAGCATCTCTGCGGAAGCAGGTGATTGCAGGAGCAGCGTTGAAGCCAGCGTCGATTCGGAGTATACACTCTGCCAAGTCGTTGGACGCTAACCGTATGGTTACTGGATCTAAGTTGACGACAACTGCCCGCGAGTATTCAAGTTCAGCGTCCGAAGCCTCTACCAGCGAGAGATCTCCCGCAGCGACACTTCGTTTGAGTCAGGATGATCTCTTCCATCCTTTTTCTAAGTCGCCAGTTCCCGAGTTCCGTCGCCGAGCTGCCTACATGAGACAGAATGCATACTGCCCTCACCCCGATCACAAGCATGCGAGAGTCCCACTTGATTCGTCCACGGTTGGTGATGCTGCTCCCGTCGCTGAAGGAGATATGGCTCCCGCACATGTGGATTTCGAGTGCCCCGATTGCGGTATTGCGGTCTATTGCAGCAAAGAGCATTGGATGGATGATTATGAAAATCACTTGAAAATCTGCGATACTCTTCGTCAAATTAATGAAGATGACCACGATCTGCGATCTGGTAGAGTTTTCCATGAGGGTAATCTCCCAGATCTCCAGATGGAGAACGCTGCGGTTAATATGACAAACTGGGACACCTTTATGTATACCCGAGAGTTTGAAGCAGTGAATTCGGACCGTTCAATGAGGCAAATCACTCGACTTCTCACTTACCCGATTACAGTTGGAAGTGTCCTCCATGAGTTGAGCCCCTACAATATCCAAAAAGGCGGCCGCTTGACAGTGGAAGGACTGAAGAGTTTTAGCGGTAAGTGGACAAGAAAGTATAAAGGATGCTTAAAGGATGCCTGTCGTCTTAGGCGGAGAGCTAATGTGGTACTGGGATCCTAGCCTTGAGATATAACCTACATATTCCAAAGTCGGGTCGTGGTGCTGGCGTCAACCAGCTTCGTCCAGAGCCCCCGCCAGTAAGATTGTTCATTCTCGGTGCACGGGCTGAATCATCTCTGCCGCGACCTATATGGGTGCAGCTGGCGCATTTGTTCCCTGAATCGCGATTGCACCTCATCTTTATTGGGCCGGAGAGTATGGCCAACCGAGATGACGAGTTTCCCTTGCCAGAACGCACGCCATCGAATCCATTTGGCACCGTGGTAGAAGACCGAGTGTGGTATAACATGAAGATCAGCACCATCGTGGATTATTATCATACTATTCACAAGACGGGACACTTTGCACCATACGATCCTTACTTTGACTGCTTTGTCCTCTTCCATCCTGGCCTTGGCCACCCTGCAAGCAGCCATGACTGGGAAGAGACTTTGCCTTTACTGCTGGAGACAAAGGTGCCCATTATCAGCACGGGATATACGCAAGTCGATATGGAGCGTGATGTTGAGTGGGTCAACAAAAAGTCTGGAGGCGAGTTTGATGTGCTGTTGGAGCCTGGAGAGAACACTTTCCGGAGTCTGCGATGGGATCTCGACGACATGGACCCTCAAGATATTACTTGTGGTAATTGGGGCGTTTGGGCTTTCCGAGGAAAGAGGTATGCTTTAACACTGACTGCCTTTCTTTCTACTCCAGACTGACTGACAACTTTGACAGATATGAGACTACCACACGGGACCTAGAGGTATAGAGGGGTTTGACGGCTTGGATTTCTGTGGACGTCATGCCATGATGTAAAATTTGTCGACCATCTCGTATGTTTTGACGATGATTGTACGGCCGTGTACATGTACTTATGCATAAAAGCACCTCTCCAATGTATTATATCTAGGAGGCGTTTAAAAGGGAAGAGAAGGCCTAGTGGCTTGGAAGAAACCCCCAACCCAGGTGTACTATATACGCTGTTTGTTCTACCAATCTTGTTTTGCTCTATGTCTCAACCCAGAGTTACTGGGTGATATCTAGTACGCCTGGATTATCGTGAGTTTTTCCTCTGCTGCCCATGGGTATCTGCACATAATGTAGTACATAAGCACACTAACATGTATGGATAGCAGCCCACATCACTTTATGCACGTGCGGGGTGCCGTGCAGCGCGCACGGTGCTAGCCAAACCCCAAAGCTACGCCAGACATCGAGCTGCATGCATCCCAGACCTGCGACCCAACAGCGACCCAACTTAACTTTGACGACCAGCCACTGCGGCGATTTCAGGAGCCTGGCCCTCCTGTGTCTGCCATTGTCGCCCTCGCCTGCTCCCGCGCAATGCTCCCGCGATGACGCCTGACTCTCCGGCCATGACCGCCGCCTTCTCCACCGCTTCAGCTCCTCTCGCTCCAGCCAGAGCTCCGACGACGCCGCGATCCAAGCATGTCACCTCCTCTCCGCCTCCCGAAGCCGGTGCTGGCGCCGCCGTGGCAGATCGCCGGAGCAATCGTCCCGGACCGGTCGACCCGCTGTCTGATCGGGCTACGCTGAGTCTCATCCGTCGTACGCTGTGCCCTCAGCAACTGGGTGACAAGGGCAGAGATGCCCAGCTGCCGATCGAGGAGCTGCTGCCGCCGCTGACGAGCCGCAACGATGTCGATCTGCAGCTGTACGCCTTTCTCGCCATAATCATGCGGGAATTCGTGCAGAGCTGGTACAGCAAGATCACCACGGATGAGACGTTTGTGCCGGAGATCCTGCACATCATCGCACACTGCACTACGGCGCTGGAGCAACGGTTTAGGAAATTAGATCTTGAGAGCCTGTTCTTGGACGAGATACCAGAGCTGCTCGATAGACATGCTACAGGCTAGTAGTGTGGTATTACTCTACACGTTGGATCTGCCACTGACCGGAACGCAGCTCGTCGTGTGGCTTCTCGGGCTGCTCTGCAACCCTTGGTGGAAGCTGACCCCCGAGACGTCTATCACTCCATTTCCCCCCTGCCGTTTCTCTCACCCGTGCCTTGGGCAGATGATGCATCCTCTGTGAAGCTACAGAAAGAGAACGAAGCAACATATCGCCAGCTGCTGGTCCAGGCTGTTCTAGCTATCCTGCTCCCGACTGAAGACTTGGAGAACCCCTGCTTGACCGCACTCGTGGAGCAAATCCTTTCGGAGCTAATCATTGGCAACGTTATCGCTGGCAAAGCATCCCAGCCATGGCTTCTCTTCGAAGCTATCTGCATCGCTGCAAGGTCGCTGGATGAGCAGAAAGCTAGAGCAAAGACAAGGATAGTGTCCGGAAAAGATGAACCATCGCCATCGTTTTCGGCCCTTGGTCAAGATGAGGAGAAGTCTCCAAAGTGGACAGCCCAAGGGGTCTTTGTGCTGGTTATTCACTTGAGCATCCTCCTATTTAATGCGGTTCGATTCATGGTTGTCACCTTGGCGGACTCCATATCGTTACCCCCGAGGACGGCGCTTCATCTCGATGAGGAAGCCGCAGATCACACTCTGGACGACAAGCAACCATCACCACCAACGGATACGAACGTCGCTCAGGCTAAAGTACCTGTGCTAGCCTACAAACTGTGGACTTGTTTCGGAAACTTGATTGAGCTGGAGGAAAGGAAGCCGTGGCTGGGTGGCTTCATATCATTATTACAGACTGCTGCCGTCAACGGGCCATGGCGAATTGCGGGGCTCGATGGTCCCCTCGACAGGTAAGATATGCAATTTCCTTGTTATATTGATCTAATATCGCGACTTTATCCCTCTTTCCATGAGCCTTTATTCCCTCCCCTCCCTGGTCATTGTTGAATTCCTTTGTCACCTCGCATCTTCTCCCAGTCACTGGACCTCCTTTTCTGGCCGCGCCTAGCCAGTGAGCTCTCGGAGCAGGGTTCCTTCTTGTTGGATTGTGACCCGGCCATGTACCGCATCTCCATCTATGGCACGATGCAGTTTGCATTTTGTGCACAATCTTGCCAGGGCGACGCCCTCGGAGTCTATCTAGCAGATGGGCTCCATGCGACGAGAGGGCCGTTACGACCGGCGCTACTTTAACACACCACACCGAGCCTTCTAGATCTGGTCTGCTAGTTCCTCAACTGGCCGACCAATTGAAGTGCAGGATTCGCTATCTCGTCTCCGATTGCTCGAAATTGTTGCGTCGGCCTGGGCCACTGTAAACCGGCCCGTCCATCAAGAAGCCTTTATTACGCGCCGGCTCCAAACAGGGGCCGTCAGCTACGAGAGAAAGCGGGTCGCGACCCTGGCCTTCTAGTCTCGCACGACAAAATGGTGTTGGAAAAGCTCTTCGTCCGTTCAAGTCACCCGCTCGCCCCGTGCCGCACCACCTCCGAATGGCTACCTGCTGTCTATTGGGCCAGTGTCTTCTAAAGCAGGCAGTACCGTGGTGCCTAGGCGCGCCGTTTTTCTCCAGTCACACGGGAGGGGAAAAAAAATGTTGCCCATTCTACTTCTCCACCCTGTGGCGCTCAGTGTTTGACCAAGGTCACTGACGGGACACATGCCACTCGCTTCTCGTCTGCTTCTTATTGTGGAAGCTGAGATCGTTAATGGGCTCACTGAAAACTACTTGTCAGAATGGACTGGTTTTCGGCGCGCATGCGCTTATGCAGGGCGGTCGGTTCTACTTCTCCGGCCTCGTAACGAACTCCTAGCTTTGTCGCATTACTCGACCAGCAGGGAACGCGACACATCACTTTTTTTTTTGCATTGATGTCCATTGGCAGTCTCTCGTCGCACTACGAAGATCCAGCATGCACCTTCCCACACGCCAGAGAAGTTCCTTTTCTGCTTTCCCCGCACGCAACAAGCCTTTCTGTCTTGTCGACGAGTCTGGTCATCATTGCATTACCACCATGGGGAGCCCCCCCGTCTCCTGATCACATGTACATGCTCATGTTCTGTCACACCTTGACAAACATACACCCATACATCGGAATGCCAGGAATGAAAGCAAGATGCCTCTAACAGACGCCGCGTCTCTTGACGAGCTAGCTGCCAACAACGGTTCCTTATGTTAACGCCGTTATACTCCCTCCACTTCGTCCCCTCCCTCCCTATCTCGTACTACCCCTCCGTTTTGAATCTCGCCTTTCATCCCCACCTCTTGCGGGCGGATCCGATAGAAAATCATTTTCTCTCTCTTTTAGTCTTATTTTGCTGTTTTACGATGAGAGACTAACCAAGCTAACCAATGGCCTTTTGCTTTTCTGCAGACTCCTCTCGCATCACTTTCAATCCCTCTTCGACCCCTCTCATCTACCAGCCCTCCTTCGGTCGCTCCGAGGCGCCCTGTTCCCTAACAACAGCCCCGGTTCGTCCACTCTTGCAGCTCCCCAGTCGGAAGAAGAGCTGCTCGCCCTGCGCCGTAGGGCCGCCAGCGCAATACGGGGCCTGCTCCCCACAAGTGTGACCCGCGTGTACTTTGGCGGTCGGCTTTGGCGCTTGGGCGGGTTACTTGGCGACAATTTCGGACGGTCGTCTGCCGCAGTTGACGGGGAAGATGAGAGAGTCTTGGATGAGTTAGAGAGTCTCCTCGACGTTGTTGGAGACGAGTACTGCAACAAACATTTGATGTACAGTGTGCTGGAGCTTATTCTCGTGAGGCTGATGCCAGAGCTAAGCGAGAAGGGCGTCATGGAGCTATGGGAAGAAAGACTTGGCTAATCACCCACGAACATAGATCATTTCCCTTCAAGTAATTATCAAGTGCATAAACGGAGCTTTTTTGGCATATGTAGAATAGACATGACCAGCAGTAGTGTAGCACGATTTTCCGTCTAGCCCCTGTTCTAGGTCCTGTCTAATAGACATACCTCCACATAGATAAATCCATCCACATGTATCCAGTACATATACACTCACAGGCAAACAAAATGTGGTCCATCTAAATGAAAGGAAAAGAGGGAATAAAATGGGGGTTTAGCGGCTGCCTTGACTAGCATGTTAGATCCTGAAAATTATGCCCTCATATGGATTCCCGCTCTCAGGGGACCCTCTTTTGGTCACTAAGTCGCCTGCTTAGCATAGAAGGGAAAAAAGCACATTTGATATCGAGAGAGAAAAAAANAAAAAAAAAAAAAACGAAAATAGTATGCCTCTCCGTGAGGAGTTTGGTACCAGACTGGCCCTTGTGTAAGTTTTTGTTTCTTTGATGTCTTGACTCCCATGCATACCCCCCTGATATCCCTCAAGTATGAAACACATTGCAGTAGTAAAGTAAAGTAAAGAAGAAAAAATGATATAATAGTTTTCGTCCAAGGACGTAAGGAAGTTAAGCTGTGTGAAGCTATAGGAGAGCGAGATGACGCTGTCTCCTAACCCATGATCAGCGGCGCCTTAGGGAGCCTTGGTATTCATTTTTTGTGCCTTTGTGCATCAAATTGGACCAGAATTGCGCAGGAAATAGAATAGATTATAATGAAATGCAAGAAAAGATAAGATAATAAAAAAATCAACGCAGCGGCATAACAAGGGGCGCGCGTGAGCAGCAGGAGTGTCTTTCGTAGCTTAACATATGCTAGGAAACGAAAAAGAAGAAAATTTTTGTCACACAAGTGGTGGGTATAAACCTGAGGGAAAGTTTAAATGAGTGATATGTGAATGATAAAAAAAAAGACCAGTGTTGATGCTGGTGGATCTGTCGCCAGATGAAGTCGCCTTTCTTTTTAGTTATAGTCCCGTTTCCATCCATCCAGTTCCTTATCCGTTCCTTAGAAACCACATTCGTCGCCTGCGATGCGGAAACGGACGCCCTTTCTTTTATTTTTAGATAGGGGTTGGCTACAGCTTGCTGCGACCTCATAACCAATAATTGTTCTTGCTCAGGAGTAGTAGTGAAAGCTGCACTCTTCTTCCAGGCTTCATTGCTTGTTTGTTCCAGGGATGCTAAAAGAAATCCGTAACGCCGGTAATATTTTCAAAATAGAAAAAAAAAGACAAGACGGCAAAGAAATAGGGGTGAAAGGAGGGCTACGAATGCTTTAGGGGAGCTCTACTTCATCATGTTTCCACTATCGTAGGCTCCGTCATTGATTGGACTTCTCCGTCGTCACTCTCAGGAATCCTTGACAGTCCTCCTATAGACGGACGGGTTGTTTGGTGCTGATGTATTTGTAATTTTTTCGTAAGTTGAACGATGGTGGCGTATTCGCTTTTATCAAACGGCCCATTTGGTGTCATGTGGTGAAGATAGCTCAGTAGTGTTTCCGCGGCACGTCTCGCGTCCTCCGGGGTAGGAGAAGTGGGTGAAGAATCAGCAGTGTTGGATGATACAGTACTAGCGTTTGCAGAATTATTGTTTGATCGAGCGGCAATGCTCGAGTTGCTGCTGCTGCGGCGTAAAGCTGGTGGAGGTGATATTGTCGTATCAAGCGTGAAAGGAGTGCTTCGAAAGTCGTTTGTCGGCGATTCGATTGCTGAAGATGCTGTGACGGCAGAATGTCGAGGGGTCAGCGGGTCTGTGCTTGAGTCTTGATTTATGCAATCGATATTGAGGGAAGGGAAAGTGTTGCTTCTCTTTCCGCGATGCTGAAAATCAGGGGCTGCAGGTTGTATATGGAGACCGTCTTGAAACGCCCCAACGTTGGGGTCAGGTGTGAATTGGAAGGCTGCAGTTGGACTGATCGTCTCAGAAAACGAAACACCCGTATCTTTTAAGTCGCTTGCTAGTGAAGCAGAAGAATGAGACCCAGCATGTCTGTACTGGAAGTCGAAATCGTGTCCTTCAGCCTGCAAATCCTCCTCGCTACGGCTAGCAGAAAGAGGCGAGAGCCGGTGAGTGGGAGAGACGGGGGAGATTGCATGGGCCGCTTTGTCTCCTGGAAAGCGTGGAATGGCTGCAGACATGGTCATACTGTCTGGAATATTCGTCTCCGATGCTCGACGCATCAGCCGTCCAGCCCCTATTCCGTGCTTTTGCTTGAATTTGAGGAGCCAGTTGCTGTTGATGTTTGTTAACACTGCTTCTTGGTTGCCGCTGGCCCGAGCAAACAGCCTGGCTTGTTCCATTATGTCGTCATCTTTGACTTCAAAGCCCCGTTGCTGCTGTCGTCGAACATAGTTGCTGAGCGTTCGATCAAAATCAGGATGCTTCCCTTTCAAACGTTTGAGTGCTGCACCATCTGGCTCCGGATCTCGTTTGAGATACTGCTCTTTGTGCCTCAGCACTTTAGATACAGTGCTTGCATTGAATGTTAGTCGATCATACTCTGTAGATAGGGGCGGGCTCAGTGATGTTTAGAGGCATCTACCTTCTCTCAACGCCAAACTTTGCGCCAATGTCTGCCTGCCTAGTACCTGGATTTTCTTCATGGTATTGGCACATGGCCCTTTTCTGCTCCGCGCTCAATGTCTTTCTCGCCTTCTCATGATGCACAAGGGGCCTCGGCGGCGGGTCAATCGGAGGCAGACTGGATGCCGGTGCGATGGACAGCGGAGGAGCAGAGTAGCTTCCTGAAGGGGTAGGGTTCGTTAACTGACTCGGCCATTGAGTGTTTAGCATCGGTAGTTGGTGGTGGCCCATGATAGGTGCAGGATGTATCATTTGATGTGTTGTAGATTGAGAAATAGTTGGGGGAATGGGCGGAGGCATTCTGTTGAGCGATTCGGATGGTAGTCCATGCGATATATATCCGCCAAACGTAGCGCCATATTCATTCAAAGGGCTATTTCCATAAGGGCTTTGGCTATAAGGGCTGATACTTGCCCAGTGGTCATTGTTATATCCAGTTCCGTTGCTCTGCACCATGGTAGCGTCCTGATCTAGGCTGGCAGAGCTGTGAGAAGCGGTATTCATTATATTCCAGAAAGGTGCGACCCAGTCTATCGCTGGGTTTTACTAGGTGCTGAAAAACTGAGCAAGTCAGCACTTGGCAAATAGGCTCTCTCGAGAATAAGAGGTGAGCAGAAATGCGAACAGAGAGAAGCGGAACGGGTGGGGGTAATATTCATTAAACCGTCAGCGCAGAGACAAAGTCCAAACCTTGTCTTGGCCTGTCATCAACAAGCCGGCGGTGGTCGTGAGTCAGGAAGGAGTATGGGAAGTGTTTGTCGATAGCAAACATAAGACCATACGAACCTCATGGGCAAGATACGCAAAGTAATGGCATGGCCTTTTCCTTAAGAGGAAATGACACTTGTAGTAACGATGTGAGAACCAACAACTTTAGATGCCAGAGAGAAGGGAAAATCGCTGCAACGCAAACCAGTGATGATAGAAAGTATGTTGTATAACTGTGCAAGATTTTCGAAAGCAAGGCAAACCAAGGAGTCAAGAGTGAAGTCTCGGTGACAAAATTTCTGAATGAGGGGTGCTCTGCCGGATAATGTATCGCTACTTGGGCCGGCTCTGTAGAACAACACCCAGGAGCAAGCAGAAATCACTTGTCAAGGAAAGCCCTGCTTCTCACGTCACTTTAACTAGGTACTGAAAGTGTGCGAGACCCGCTGGTGGGCTCTCTTCCGCGCGGTAACGGTCTGGTGAGACAATGACGGGCTTTTCTTCGCCGTTACTCGCTACCTTATGTTTTCGTGGGGGTGAAAGTACAGGACTGCGGAGAAAGGGAACGACTCATGTCAGCCCTGAGCAAGAGCAGAAAGTAGTATCTGGCCTGTTCGAAGAGCGGTGATGCATCTCGAATGATAACCCAAGTACTGGCCCCCCAGGCCCGACTGTACAGGCAGAAGCTGTTGCACCGCGTGCTTGTCTGTGCGGCAAGCGAGTCCGTACAAGATCTGACAAGCTGCAGCAGGCCGATGCTGTTGGCCCAGAAGACGGCAAGTTCGGTGGTTTGCTGCAGACGAGCAAGTGGCCCGCCCACCAACCAGTGCCATACCACCAGACCAGACTAGACTAGGGTATCCAAGCAGTAGCATCGTCCAGAGGCGTACAAGTTGGCACTTGACTTCGTAGCTGTACTCCCTACAATAGCCCAGGACGGATGCTGAGACCGGAGCGTCCAAGTACAAGTATTGTCTGTGAAGGAAGCGGGACGTTGGCTGTGGAGGCAGGCAGGTATGCAGACGCATGCACGAAGCAGCACTGTGCTAGCAGAGTAGGTTCAGGGGACCTGATGCAGGGGGGGGCTTGAAGAGGAGGGGGCGTGCGAGTCGGCGAGGTGATGGGCGCCTCCCCATGCGAGCGAGCGAGTGAGCGAGAAGCTCCCGTACCTGTAAGTCAGTCTTTGTGTGTCAGTCCGGCTCTCTAGCTTGGTTCTCTGCAGGTCTGGCGCCCATGTTTGCTCAAGCGGACGGTGGGTGGGATTCAGTCCCAGAAGGGAATGGGCACCAGAGCCCAAAGTCCGTGTTCTGGAGAGGCTAGGATGGGAATGGATCATGGAGATTGGGCTTGATAGGGCAAACATTTGACTAACGGGTTGACCAGGGCCGGCATGGCCAGAAGAGGCAGCGTCGGCGGGATCTGGGACTTGACATGGGACTTGACATGGGACCATATGTAGGTACCATACGGGCAGCCCACACGCACTGGCGGTGCATTGATTAATATTGGTTCGTTGGAGGTCTCCTGAGCCTCTGCTGCAATCGTGCTTTGTGCACACATCCATGCTGCTGGCTTCATAGAGCTTTCTGCTCTGTGCTGCGCGGCCTGCTGCATGAGGTTATCTAGATGCTGGTCTGCTCGTACATGCACAAGCAGTGCGACGTCGGGAAGAATTGTTCCAGCATTCCGTACCTTCCCTCTGTGACGTCGGCGTAGAACGTGACAAACAACAACATCGGCTGCGGAAGGATGAATATCCAAGGCGAGGGACCACGAAGCTTAATCACCTCAGACGCACGCAAAGAAAGAGAAAACCACGCGAGCGCAATACTTCCGATAGCCATGCGCGATACGCAGAAGCCGCCGCTTCCAAGGCCCATGTGGTTGTCTAGGATCATCCATGGTCACCGACTGCCACTGCATAGGTACTGCCTGCTGTCAGGGCTTCATCACGATGCCGGCGTAAAAGAAGGGTCTGACCCGGCTTCCTTCACGGCTCGACGATTCATCAACCGTTCTAGGAAACAGTGTCCTGAGCAAGCATTTAGGGCATAATTGTCATAGAGCAAATCCACTCTATGGAGCGAGACAGGCAGAACCCAGCAAGTACAAAGCTCTTGTACGCGGCAGCTTCAAAAAACCCCGGCACATGATGAAATAAGAAACCTTGATCCCGGTCTGATCATTGTCAGCCACGGCGAAGCCCACTCAAACACACCGTCTCTAGGGCTTGGTATTATACAAACACGACCGACTCAGGGTATATTTCGCTCGAAGAACAAACAAGTCCAGGGAATGTGGTCTGTTGGTGAGCAGTGCTGGACTCTTCTTTGCGGCTTTTCAATTAACCTCTTGGCCAGGCATATCGAGCAGCGCCCAGCCAAGATCCTCACTCATACTGCTGCTTGGCCATTGCATTGTCCGCTCTCGTATAAGGCTAGAGGATACGCCTGTGGAGCGGCCCGAACTAGCTAGCGCAATTCTCGCAAATGATGCAGATGAACAACGAATCATTTGCTTAGTTCTAGGTACGATTTATGCCCTCATGTACGAAGTGCCGCAGCTGATCATTAAAACCAAGCTAATAAACGGCGACCTGCAAAATAGGCTACTCTGTGGATGGGCCCAGCTTAAGACAAGGGCAGCACACGCTCAATCCAACCTTACCAAATTAATGATGCCAACATCCAATCTCAGGCATGAAACGAATGGAAACTCCAGACAAAGTAGTCCACGGAGATTTGGAGCCTCCCTAAGATGGCAGCTCTTTAGCAGCGTACGGAGCAGGTAGTACAAGTGCCAGTGGTATTGGAACCCTTTCGTACCTCCACCAGTAGTGCCCTTCTCCACGTTCTCAGCTACGAGCAAGTCGTATACGCTAAAACAGTGCTACAGGGGAGGGGATCCTAGCAAAGCAGCTCATTGGAAGTGCTACTACCTGCTGGGTACTGCTACTAGCACGTAGTAGTTGTACTTGCAACAAGAGAAATTGCAGCCACTATCTCGACGCCATCTTGACTATGCCGTACAGGTGTACAATACTATGCAGGCATCAACTTGCACACCCACTGATCATCGAATAAATCCGCTTATTATTCCGGAGCTGTTTGCTGATGATTGTTTGCTCGGATGAGATGTCCAGGATGAGCCTCTACGCAAGTCTTTGATATTACAACTTGATCTATGGACAAGCTGGCGTGGAAAGGTTACAAGCATGGGCTTATTGGAGAATATGAACCCTTGCCCAACGATGACATAGCAGCTATAGAGTCTATAGCGAGCGAACCCGGCATGACAGCATAGCAATTACGGAGTACTCGTCTATCGAATGAAATGCAAAGTACACGCCCGTTAGTGCTGCCTTTCAAGCTCAGTCCTGAAGGTAAGGCACGGGAGCGCGGGAGGACCGTCCACATTAACGAGGCCCGTGCCACTAGTCTATTCCTTCCTGAGGTAAATAACGGAGTACTAGCACTCGACCTTCTCATGGAGGCTCGAGGAACAGTGAAACGCGACGTGTTGGTAGTTCGGACGCTAGGCTAACAAGATGGTGTAAGTGTTTACTTCATACATTGCTCTATAGCGTTTATATCGCCTCACGTTTCGCTGACAGGTTATTTCAGAAAAAAACACATCTACATGACTCGGGTTCGTTTTGGAAACCCGCATAGTTAACAAACTCGCTTCTTCGCGGAGCCATTTCGGCAAAGTACCCTTGGTCTACACATAGGACTTCCCCAGCGCACTGAAGGTCATACATCAATGCTAACAAGTCTTTTTGCTATGCGGTGCGCCTAGGCGTTTATACTCCACTGCCAGCCGTCGTAGAGCGGCAGCTTTACCGCCACTCTGACTACGGCTTGGTAGACGAAACGAAGCAACCTTGCCTGTATATGGCACCAGTCTCTCTGCCATACCTCATCTAATATTCAAGCCATTCAACAGAGTATTCGGAGTGAATTTTTGTACAGCTCCTTCAGTATCTTATTCCATTTTTTCTGCTTTCGTATACAGGGAAGGCTGCGAAAATAGATGCGTCACGCAGGACCTGCACAAACCAAAACAATCACTCATACAATATGGTGGATTTAATGGTAGGCTAGTTACGTTATGACTTTCTTATAACCGGCATATCATTGACCCAACCTGAAGCTTTTCGATCCAAGACCATTGCTCTCATCAAGTTAAAAGCTTTAAAACCTCGGCATTTCGTCCTTATCCTCGCTCAAATTGGACAGGTATATATACCAGGGGCCTGTGGCGTCCGCGCCAAGAGCATAGCTTCCGCTTCAAGGCTCACTTCCAGTTGGCCAATGTCAACCCCTGCCGCTTGCTGCCGTGGAGGGTCCGTGCCCAAGCAAGAAATACTGACTAGTGGTAAACTACTACTGGTAGCAGCATGTACTTACAGCTAAGCTATTTCGCGGCCTAGCATAGAGTTGCTCCGCATAATGAAGCACGCTTCATGATGAGCGCGCTGAGAGGCGTTCGAGAATCCAACATCATGATACACAGCTGAGCCAAAGTACTTATTTGTTTTGTCTATATTTGACAGCGGTTTATCATCAGCATGCCATACGTGACCCGTATCAACTCCGTTTCGACCCCTACTTGTTAGCTGAGGTCAACATCAAGCATCTAAACGTTACGCGCCGTCTCCTTGTTCCATTTCCAACCGCAAGCCAATGCAAAATATCACCTGTAAGCACTCTTTATTATCCTATACCTCGTTTTGGAATCAAAATCTCATATTCCCTTTGCGGGACTGGTTGTCTAGCAGTACACACAATTGTATCCAATTAAAACCAAGTCTTTTATTAGATTGAAGACAGCGGCCAATCCCGACAAGATCTACGGATGTCCACTCCTCTCAGCACATTCAGGTGCCGACAATGTGGATCATGACTGGCTGCTGGTGATACATAATTTGGCCAATAACACTCTTCATAGGAGCCGTTTCCTTGAAAGAATGCAACCGCGTGACGCTCCCATAACAGGAAAACGCCCCGGAAGCCGGCCTTTGGTTCATCAGTTCCTTCATGGAGAAGCTGCCGAGCGATCCTCTGTGCAATAGTCTTGAGGCAACACGACATCACTACCATGTGGCAGATATCCCTCTTTTAATCCATGATAGGCGGCAACAGAGGAGCTATGCGGTAAGCGCTGTCAAGTTCCCGATTGTGTATAGTATTTTACCTGTTATATTCACGCGATGGATATGACATAGAGATCTGCCATTTACTCTCGCGCCTCTGCGTGCAATATCTCATCCACAAACATGGTTCTATGATGCGGCTCCGCGGCACACTACGCCGCCGCCGGAAGCACATGCAGTTTGCAAGAGTATGCACATCGGCAAGGGGGCATCGTCTCTCGCACTCCGGCTCTGCAATGTTATCTATCACATTATGTATCTCTGCCGGCCCCCCTCGCAAAGTTGAATTTGGTGGTTGTTGGCATGTACAAGTACCGCTCTGTACATACCTGTCAAGGCCTCGCAAATCAACATGGCAAGGCGTCCATGTATCCAACAAGGGCAGCAATCTTGTTAGTGTCATTCAGCGGCAGGGCAAACAGTGGTCTGTGCCCTGCGACTCTTGATATCCGACTCCGCTGCGGGCGAACTACTCCGTCCTCAGTACAGGTCGTAAAGACATGCATGAGCCATGCCGCCCACCGCGCACTCATCTTTGCTATACAATGCAGGACGCCACCGAAATCCTGCTTCCCGCGATGCCTGATTTACCTCAACCCTATACGAGTACTGCTACCACTGAGGATGCGATAAGTACCAGCCCTGCCACAAGACACGCAGGGCCTAGCTTTCTATGCACAGGTGGTCCCCCCCGGTGGTTTAGCCTCTTCATGTTCCGTTCCCCTAGGCATGGCTAAAGCTCTCCACTTATTAGCAAAGCGACTCGATTCCTATCTCAAGCCGGGTGCCGTACGCCTTATTAATCGCGGCTCGTCTGCTTTATGTGGCCAGGTTTGGTGTGTGGTGGCGCAGTTTGCTTCTTTGGCGGAGCGGTGCTGTGAGGATAGCTTCAGCATGTCTTTCTTATACTATGCCCGCTGCTGGCCCACTTACCATCCCAGGCAAAGGAACAGCCTTGGGGGTAGGCAAAAGCCCAGTAGCACATACTTCCGGCACTTGGCACCTGGTGGATCAGGAACACTGGAAGAAAAAATAAAGAGTTGATAATCATGGGGGAATAGGTCACCGCCAAACCAAAATAATGCGCCTCCCGTAATCAGGGCTCCACCCATCGCCCATCATTTTTGGGCTCTTCCTCGCCTGGGCGGCAAGAGAAGCTCTCTGAAAGGCTGGGCTGGAGACAAAGCAAGGTCCAATACAACTCCTTGGGGCGCCATGCAGCCAGCATCGGCCTATATCCAGCGAATCGTTTTCTTGCGTCGCCCATCCAAAGTAACCCTGCGGGCTTCCAATTAGCGTCCAGGTTGCAGGCCAAGCCAATTTATCATGATTTTGTATTTTCTGTATTCCTTTTTATTCAATCAGTTTCTCTCTGCCCACACCCCCCTCCCTCCCCCTTCTCTCCGGGGTTTCTCTTCACGGTGTAGCTCTAAGAGTTGGGAAGGGGAGCTTCTCCGTCCACAGCCCCAAAGGGGGACTCTCGCCATCCCCACGTTTCTAGCTCCTTTCCCGTTTTTGCTGCGAAAAGGCGGCCGCAGATCGAGAGGCCCTCGGCTATGCAGGACCAAAGCATATCGGCCCCGGGTATTGGACCATGAACCACCAACTTTTATACTTTTCTGCGTTTTCTACTCGTATTTTAGCTGTTAAGCAAGGCGCTACAAGGGCTAGCCAGAAGTATATGATGAATCAAACTGCATATTGCGCCTCCGCAGGCTCCATATGCACAGCTATATGTGTACTTGATGGTTGGGAGAGGGATATATTGCATACTTCTCATTTCTCATCAGTGTAGAGCGCACAATGTACTTTGAAGTACCAACTACAGCTCTTCCTTGCGGAAATAAGCCCGAGTACCCTGTCACCAAATCGTGTCCGCTAGTTCTCTTATTTGATCTTTTTTTTTCCCCTAAGTTCTGTTCTGTTTCGTCGCTGTAGCAGTTGCTGTTACATACACCAATCTACTCCATATGGTCCACCGGATTCCATTGCCGCCGATCCTCATCGTTTTATTCCCTCTTGCGACTTGCCGAGCAGCGAGTTTCTGCGCATTGACCGGAAACTAATAGTATTCTGCTCGTGCAATCTGCCGCGTCAATGCCGCCTCATAGTTGCCGCCCATCCCCTGTTTTTGTCCCGGTCTGTCGCCCAGCAGAAAACCTTCCTGAAATGGAAAATCATGTAGCATACTCCGTACCCTCGGCCGGGTTCTGAACGGAGATTCTACTTTGTTTAATATCAGAGCATTACAAGAAAAAAAAAAGCCAGGGGCTTTGGCTTTGCGGACAGGTAAGGAAGATAACCTCCTTGGTTTGCACGGGCACCGGAGGAGCGCTGGGCCTCACCCACCCACCTGATTGCCCACCGTAATGTTGGGCTCTGGGATATTAATCATCGCTTGATAATGGTCACTACGGGTTTGCTGTATTAGCATTTGCTTGTTCATTTCCAACCATGGCTCAAGATGACAGCGGAAAAAGAAAAAAAAGAAAAAAGGGAATGCGGCACGTGGCACGAAGCAAACTCATGTTTGTTTTCCCTCCGCGAGACCGGCTCCAAGGACTGATGGGACAGATTATGAATGAAGATATGAAACTTACCAACGTCTTCATCTTCCAGCTCATGTGCCAAACCAACTCTCTGTGGCTGATGTTTCACCGACTTGCCATAAACAACGGCTGACTTGAATTGTTCCACAATGCTACGATGAATGGCATTGCACTGAATGTTGTGTAACGCATATTAGTAAAGAGTAATGCGCAAAGCGGGTGGCGTTTGTCCATTTGCAAGGGGTTTCTGTTACTCACAAAATCTTCCACCGTGCATCTCGATGCTCTGAGGACAACAGGGGCTGAGTAGTCGGGCTGTCTACCCTTGGGCTTTGTGTACACTCGTTTCAGGCTCAGCTTCTCCCACATAGATTCCATGAGCTCGTCAATGTTCCATCCATGTTCTGAGCTAATAGGGACGGCGTTGGGGATTCGGTACAACAAATCCAGCTCTTCGATGCTGATTGAGTCAATCTTGTTGAGGCAGTAGACCACCGGGATGTAACTATTCGACAAGCATTAGCAACTCCTCGTCCACATGCCGGTGCTGCATAGCAGGTAGGAGGTTTCGTGGCGGCTCACCTTCGGCTCTTCGCCTCGATAACATCAATGAGATCATCAATGGTGGCATCGCATCGAATAGTAATGTCAGCCGAGTTGATACGGTACTCGCTCATGACGGCCTTAATCTCATCGTGGTCGATGTGTGTAAGGGGCTGAGTGCTCGTGATGTTTAGGCCACCCTTGTCCTTCTTCCTGAAGGTGATATTCGGAGGCTGTTTGTTAATTCGGATACCGAAGCCCTCCAATTCAGCTTCAATGACTCGTTTGTCCGACAGGGGCTTGTTGACGTCCAGCACGATGAATATCAAATGGCACGTCTTGGCAACAGCGATGACCTGGCGACCTCTTCCTCGACCATCCTTGGCTCCCTCGATAATTCCAGGCAAATCAATCATTTGCAAGGGGGCACCTGCAAGCATATGCAGTCAGTTCCTTAGTCCTTACGGCCAAACAAAAAGCAAAGAAAAAACGCCACCGTCGCCTAACGGCTCTAGTTTGGGTTCGTTTAAGCACGGCAACACACCATTATACATGACCTGGCCCGGCACGGACGTCAGGGTTGTGAATTCATATGCTGCGGCCTCGGAGTGCTGGCCGGTCAACCTGCTCATCAGCGTACTCTTGCCCACCGATGGGAAGCCGATGAAGCCAACACTGGCCACGCCCGTCCTGGCCACGTCGAATCCTGCGCCGCCACCGCCGCCGCTGCTGCTGGGGGTGAGCAGCTCGCGTTTCAGCTTGGCTAGTTTGGCCTTGAGCTGACCCAAGTGATACGATGTCGCTTTGTTCTTTTGAGTCTTGGCCATCTATGCGCAGGGGGGAGAGCAAAAAGCAAAAAAAAAACGTCAGGATCTCTGTTCTATTCGGTATCGAGCGCTCACGCCGGTCTTCGGAAAGAGCACATCGTCGCTGGGGGTTTCGGCTCGGGAAAACATACCTCGGCCTCGATCTCTTTGATCTATGATACCCAATGTCAGTCCAGCTGGTCAGAAAGATGCCCGAAAAACGACAGGCCATACCTTTTCCACGGTCGTCGACATGATGCCGGTGGTGCCCAACTATGCCACTAAAGTCTCCTCTATGGTCCCTTCTTCGGGTCTCTTCCTCGATACGCGACTTGCAATTTCGCAATGTCTCCGGCGTCGCTCTTTCGTTTTTTGTTGGGCGATGATGTGATGCAAAAGGCCAGCCAAAAGTCTGATCTGGTTATGCCAAACTTGTTTGTGTGTGGTGGTGGTGGCATGAATCTTTTGGGAGGATTTTGGTGGGGTAAATTTTTGGTTTGTGGCTCGCGGGTGGCCAATGATGTCAGCGCTTTTTCGGGACCAAACCGCTTCGGGAAAGAAGGCATTTTATCATGATAATGGAGTTCTCGAAGGCGAAGAGACGGCTGTTTTTTTTTTTTTTTCACGGCTTTAGGCATCAAGCACTTCTTAAGCCAATTAGTGTTTCTCATAGCCAATCTTGTTGGTTGTATAAGATTACGTGTAGTGTATATACATATACAGCTCCTCTTAGCATCATTGCCTTATACATACAGCCAGCATACAGCATGTAAAAAAGAGCTAAACCTTAGCTATATTTGAACACAAGGCTATCGTCATCCATGTATCTTCATTCCCAATCGTTTCCATCACGGGGGCACCAAATGAGAAGAGAGAGAGAGAGAGAGCGCGAGAGAGAGGCAAAGGGGGGGAAATGAAAAATGAAAACCGTGAAGAGCTGCTCTTCCCTTCTTGCTTTGCCGATGAAAACCTGACATGAAAAATAATAAGATGAAAAAAAAGGAAAAACGCCCTTCGTCGCACATACAAAAAAAGCTTTGCCTTTCCTTCCTTTCCATTTCTTCACCCTATGCCCTATCCAAAAAGAAAAAAAGAAAAGAGGACAATTCCTGTAGCAGCATTGAACCTAACGCACAAAAACAAGCAAATTGTCCAAATATACCCGAGGCATGCATACCATAGCACTCCGTCCAAGCTACATAAATAACAGAAAAGAGAAAAGAAAATGGCTTTTTCCCTCCAGTTCTGCTTATGCTATAAAAAAGAAATGTGTTGTAGAAGACACCCTGTCGTGTCAACCAAGATAAAGTTATCCACCTCCTGTTCTGGATGTCACCAAAAAAATCGTGTTTCGTATTGCATATTGCATTTGCATCAAAAAGGTGTGCGTAGGTTTGCGCTTGTGTACAAGGGAGCGCGCGGCGTTTCGTCCTTTTCCCCCCCCTCAACCGCCGAGTCTATAGACATGTACATGAAAGCCAAAAAATAAAGAGATAAGAAGGAAGAAATAGGGAGAAGAGGAGACGGTAAACCAGGAACCAAAGCAGAATGTGTCGTACAGATTTGTACAGCAGGAGTCGATTTCATGAATTCTTCTTTCTCTTCCAGACCAGTTTTTTGTTGTATTCATCAACTGGCTGATCCATTAATACCATTAATTTTATCACTCTCCACTGTCACCTCATCCTTGACCCTATCCGGGGTAGTATGTCCATTTGTACCGTTGACGTTCGGCCTGGCCCGTGGGATTGAGGTTGGGCTGATGGGAGAAGAATGGATTCCATTCGGGACTGGCGACGGGCTCTTTGTATCCTTGAGGAGATGTCCAAGACCTTGGTTCATGCAGATGACGTTGTAGTCGGTGTCATCGGGAAAAGCACGAACCAGTCCCCGTCGAGGAACTCGTACCTCCGGAAATGGGGTTGAGCTTGTTTGGGAAAGGGTTGGAAGCTCTTCCCCGACAAGGATCCCATTGACATAAAATTTGAATCGTGGAGCGAGACCATGATAGCGGCTCACATCTGGATCTCGCTTCCACTTCGCAAACGTCCTCCATCCTTTGGCCTGCTCTTCAGTTTCTAAGAGCTCACAGTACTCCACACCTAATTTGATGCCTCGTAGGTGTGGAATACTGGGTACGACATACATAAAGTCAGAGACCTGATAATCAGTTAGTAAGTATAGCCTTGGAGAAACAGAAGAGCATCTTCATATTGCAGCTTACCTTCACAAAGAACATGTCCATGGCCTGGAACTTCTCCCATGCCTCCTGTTTGAGCCGATCTCT